AGGACCCCGCAGCTTCCGCCTTCGGAGAGGCCATGCTGCGCGCCATGCGCCCCGCGCCCACGACCCCGGCTCCTCCGGTGCCAATCCAGGAGCTAGGTGCCGCCCCGATCCAAGATGACACAGCTCTGCAAAACAGCACTCTGCAAGACAGCGACAGCGACAGCGCAGCTCTGCAAGACAGCGCAGCTCTGCAAGACAGCGCAGCTCTGGAAGACAGCGACAGCGACAGCGAAGGTCTGCAAGACAGCGCAGCTCTGCAAGACAGCGCAGCTCTGGAAGACAGCGCAGCTCTGCAAGACAGCGCAGCTCTGCAAGACAGCGCATTGCAAGCAAGCGCCGTGGAAGACACTCTGCAAGACAGCGCGCTGGCAGGACCCAGCCAGATGACACGCAGCAAGAAAGAAAAGCGCGAAAGAGCCTTGAATAACATGCGGCGTGAGAAGCTTATCGACGAGTTTCTCGCCTTACAGGACCCCCAGGCAATACACATGCAGCAAACAAGAGAAAGAATGGAGAACAACAAGCGAGCATACACGAGGGCGCGAATCATCCGAGACATTCTAAAATCGGAATTTCCGTGAGGACTAGTAAGTAGCGATGACCAACCAGCGTTTTCCCAACCTGAAGTATTCTCCTTTGAAGGTCAAAGAGGACCCCCCTCGTCCGGGACCGCCAGGGCTCCCTCCCATGGGCGGCGTGCACGCGCTGCTCGGATACGTCGTGGGCAAACGAGGGGCGGGCAAGACCACGATGATGCTGTCGTTCGCTACGAAGGTCCTGGACCACAAGTTGATCGACCACCTGTACTGGCTCAGCCCCACCGCCGGCAGCGACCCGAAGGTGGAGCAGACGCTGGAACGCTACGGCGAACGCGCGTCCGTGCACGACGAGGCGTCCATGCTGCCGACCATCTTCGCGGAGCAGCGCGGAAAGATCGAAGAGTGGTTGGCGGAGAAGGAGTACAAGAAGCTATACGACCGCTGGATGTCCAAGGGCGAGGGGGGGCTGAAAATGTGGGAGCTCCAGGCCCTCGAAGATCGCGACTACGAGCCCCCGAAGAAAGAGCTCCTGGTCAAGCCCCACTGCCTGCTCGTGGTGGACGACTGCGCGGGGGAGGCCCAGGTGTTCCCGCGGTCCGCCAACCACAGCACCATCCGCACGATCCTACGCCATCGTCACCTCGGGCTGTCCATGCTGTTCGCGTCGCAGACGTGGCGATGTGCCATGCCCCTCCTCGTGCGGAACAATCTAAACTGTTACTTTATCAGTGGTGGCTTCCGCGACAGAGAGCGCGAGATGATATGCGAGGAGCTGTCCGACCGCCACACGCCCGCCGAGAAGGTCCTGGAGATGTACAACGGCAGCACGGAGGACGACCCCTACGCGTGGTTCACGTACTTCGCGTCCTGCCCTCGAGGTACGCAGTACAGGAAAAATCTAGACACATGTGTAGGATGACGACGTTTGTGGACAAGCAAACCTACCTGGACTGGATCGCCGAGGTGGACCGGGAGCACTCGCACGGGGCGCTCGTGTCCGAGGGCATCGTGCTGGCATGGATGAAGAAGGAGGGCCTCACGCCCCCTGCTGGCGTCAAGCTTGGGGAGCTGCTCCGCGAAGGAACTTCTTCTGCGCCGTGGATAGAGGACGTCATCCATGAACAACCAAAGCTACAACCCGCCGACCTTGGTCAATTCCGACTACTCGAGGAAGACCCCGGAAGGAGCGCCGCCACGGCGGAGCTACCAAATGGTCCTGCGGAGCATTGATCGCGTGGAGGGCGACTTCAACGCTTGTCGGATTCCCATCGCCCAGGGCACGTCGCCGCTGCTCCAGGGGGAGTACAAGGTGATGGCAGAATGGGTCTCTCCGCTCCAGGTCCAGACCGGCATATCCGGGCTGACCTTGCACATGGGCCAGGCACACTCGCGCTGGTCCTACGACAGCCACACCAAAAGAGAGAGCGATTGTATCGGCACCTACACCGTGGGCCAGGCCATCATGCCGACCCGGGGTTTCTCGCACGTGGACGACAGCGTCCTGCGCGGGCCGGACGTCGAGCTGTACTGGCGCCGCGTCGACGGACCCAAGTGCTCCGGGAGCAACATCTCCGCGGACTGGACGGTGGTGCTGTCCCTGCAGCCCGAGGAATAGTCTGCTACTGGAGTAGCGATGAAGCCCACGCGGTTCGTGCATCTCTCAAAGAGCGAGGCCCAGGACCTTGGGAACGGATTCTACGGCTTCCAGCTCCCGCCGATCCGATCGTCGCGAAGGCGGATGTACGCCTGCATCGCCCATCTTCACGTCCTTACAGTGCCGGTCGTGTGTCCCCAGGTGGAGGTGCGATGCTCGCTGGCGACTTCCTACTCCGTAAACGGGCTCAACGACGTGTGGCTCTCGATCCCGTCGCCTTCGACGCGCCTGGTGTATCACGACCCCTGGGGCGCTCACTCCATCCTGGTCGACGAGGGCCAGCTGCAGTCGTTCTACGTGCGCATCCAGTCGCACTGCTCGAAGGAGCCAAACAACGCCGACTGGTGGATGAGCATTGCTCTGCGCGAGCCGGACGACAGCGAGGAGTACCTACGATTGCTGGCTTTGAACAGCTATATCCGCTGATGATTTCTTTTCTCGAAGGGGAGTAGACACAAGCATGAATTCCGCAGTGCCTCCGCAGCTCCTGCGCATGGCCAAGTCCCTGGCCCTCGGGACCCGGCGCTCGGTGGTCACCCTGCGGCCGGATACCTCGACGTCGGCCGTCAGCGGCGATGAGGTCATCTTTAGGCTCCCTCAGTCTGGGTTCCTCGACACCGATTCGATGGCCCTCTGCGGCTCAGCGGGGCTCTCGGCCGCCGGCACCGCCACCGGCCACCCGTCCGTCCTGTTCTCCAGGTTCGACATCCTGGTTGGCGGTCGCCAGCTGTCGTCCATCTCGGACTTCGCCGGGTTGGTCCGAGCGCTCGGCATCATGGGCACCGGACCAGCGAAGGCGCCTGTTACGGAGGGCATGTCCTTTGGGCAGTCGAACGCGGTCGGCGGCAGCAACGCAACGACTCTTCCCTTCGTCATGCCGACCTTCCCCTCGCTCCAGGGGGGTACCCGCATGCTTCCCCTGAGCATCCTTCCAGAGATCGAGATCCGCATGCGCGTCCGCCCGGGCGGCCAGTCCATCCTCCCCAACGCAGCCGGCGCCTCGGAGGTGGAACTCACGAACCTCTCCCTCGTGTGTCCCCTGGTGTCCTTCGCTGACAGCTCGTTCGAGCAGGCGCTCATCGCCCGCGCGGAGTCGGAGGGCCTGGTCCTGTCCTACGACAGGTACGTGGACCACCACTTCCCCGCCGGCCAGAAGGACTGCTCGTTCACCGTAAACAGCGGCTCTGTCGACTGGGTCGCCGCCACCACCCGCGTGGAGACGTACGATTCGACCTCCTCGGTGGCGGCGACCATCAGCCCAAGCGTGGCCGCCCCGCCACTCATCAAGTACTCCATCGGAGGCGACGAGACGACGACGTGGAGCCTGGACGTCTCCAACCAGCTGGTGGCCCAGGCTCGTGGCATCGCCGAGTGTTTCGCTATGATGAGTGGCACGGCACACGCCGCACACCAGAACACAGACAGCTTGGTGGTGGACCGCACGACGTACCAGAACCTCACGTTCCTCTTCGCAACGCCCCTGAATATTTCGGACGAGCTAGGGGACTCGAAGTTGGCCTCGGGGGTCGACACGCAGGGCGCTTCTATTCCGTGCACGGTCCGCTACAATGGGAACCTGACGAACATGCGTGTCACGGTCTGGGTGAAGTCCACCTCGTCGATCGAGATCGGCGCGGGTCGGCAGGTCGCGCTGTCGTACTAAAAATGTGACATCTGTGCAGCAGAGACGATGTTGTGGAAGGTCGCGGACACCACCAGCCAGCTCGCGGAGCAGAAGACGTTCAAGCAGTTCGGCAGCGTCGGGCAGCCCCTGGTAAAAAATCTCCATCCCATGCCAGAGACCGGGAGCTACTACGACCGCCGAGACGCCCTGCTGTGGAAGGTCCACGAGCAGCCCGCGCGCAAGCTGAAGGACACGAACGACCCCGCGCGGACGCGCCCCTGGATGAAGACGCAGTGAGGTACCCCTCTCTTTTCTGTCCCTGCTGTAGGAGGAACCTGATGGCAACGGATCTGGACCATGTGACCGGCTTCCTGCGTCACTTCCGCGACGGCATGTCCCACGAGGACGCGGCGGCCGCGGTCCGGGACTGGCAGAGGGAGACGGCCGAGGTGGACGACGCCGTTGCGCTGCTGATGCGCCGTCTGGCCGAACAGAAGAACCCGGACGTGTCCATCGGCGCCGTCCACGCCATGCTCGGTGCGGAAGTGCCCGTCGAGGTCGCCGTGCGCGCGGTACGCCGTGTCATCGACCGCATGAGAGGGTTGTCGGGGAAGGACGCCCGCGACGCCCTGCGCTGCGCCACCATGCTCACGCGCTTCGGTCCACTGGCCGAGACGGACCCTTCGGGCTGCGTCCGCTCCGCGGTCGAGCACCTGCAGGGGTCCCGCCGGCTGAAGGGCAAGGGGTCCCTGAAGAAGGCCATCCTGCGCGCTGGCATCGACCTCGTGAGCGAGGTGCTGCCCCAGCCGCTGCGGGACATTGTCCGGGACGACCGGGTCGAGGGGCTGATCGACGGACTGGCAGCCGCGCTGAAGGGGTTTCGCAGCTTTCGCACGCCGTCCTTCTGCCTGGGCGGGCAGGCTCGCTGACGCGCTGAGACGGCACGGGACGACCATCGCGCTGGGGTCGCTCGTGGTGAAGATCGTGCACGTGCTGGTCGCGGTGATGATCTTCCTCGCCTGAGGCAAAAACCGAGGTCAAAAATTGACATGTAAAAACACACAGTGTGTGTCAAAACACAAATATTGTCTCCAAACACATAAGAAATCAGGATGGTAGTATCTTCTCTGTCAAGTTTTGGCGACGATATTTTCCCGTGCCTTGCGGCCTTTACGAGGGCTCAATGCCGCCTGGGGCCGCCACCGCGCGTCACCAGCCCCGGCTCGCAGGAACCGACTGAGGTCGACCCTTGCGCGAAAATGCCGAAGCGTAGGGCCGAGCTGTCCCTCGAGGCCGAGTACCAGGCCAAGGTGCACAAAGCGGTCCTCAACAAGCAGATCACCTACGATGTGGACTGGATCTGGGGCCTCCTCAAGGAGAAGCACGCCGCCGAAGCACCCGCGCGCCTGGCGTCGCTGCTCTCCCACCACACAGCCAACAGCGACCTGCTCTGGCAGCCGCCCCTGGAGCTGCGCCCCAGGAAGGCCAACTCGCGCTTCAAGCCCTCCCAGACGTCGAAGAACTTCCTCCTGCGGTTCATCAACCCCCAGCGCAGCACCATTCGCGCTCTCACGGACAGGCCCTCGGTCGTCGAAGCCCTCGCACGCACGAAGCCGTCCGGGGTTGTGTACGTGTGGATCAGGGTGCAGCAGACGACCCCGGTGAGCCTGCTGCGGCTGGAGCGCCTCCAGGACGACTGCACGCCGTGGGCTCTCCTCGAGACCCCCGAGGCTCTCACCACGATCGTCGAGCACCTGGGTCAACAGCACTGGTACAACTTGAAGGAGGCGGGTGCCTGCACCGAGGACCGCGAGGGGTTCCTGGAGGCCCTGGAGGAGCCGGTGGTGGAGGACGAGGAGGAAGAGGAAGAGGAAGAGAGCACCTATGACAGCACGGAGGCCTCTACTGCATCGATCACAGGGTTCAGCGCGCTCGAGCTGACCGAGGAAGGGGATTGAACCCCGCCCCTACTTTTTGTGTAAAGTCTGTGGCATGGGCTTGGCCCCCGCCCTTGCACCCATACTTCTGATGCAAAGTTTGGGCTCGCGCCGGCAAGTGGTGCAAGGGGCTTTGTTAGAATCAGAGGCTTTGATCTCTCACAGAGCGAGCGTGAGCGAGCCCCTCCGCTCGCTCCCTCCGCCTCTTGCCGCCGCCTTTCCGCCCGGTTCCTGCCCGCCGGCCTCGGCCCGCGCCTTCCACTGAGGTGCCCCCCCTGGCTGGGGGTGGGGCTGCCAGTGGCCCCACGTGTGTCGGGATCCAGTGTGCAGCAGCCGTCCAGGAGCGTGTGAGTCGTTCACAGTCTGCTTGAGCCCCGTCGACTCCATCGGTGCTGCTATGCCAGGCTACTGCTCCGCCTGCGCGTCCCCGGCGCCGCTGCTCGCCAGCACGGCGAGGACGCGGCGCACGAGCGCGTCCGCGGCCTCGGGCTCGACTCCCGCTGCGCAGTTGGCCAAGCGACGCCCCCAATCCTCGATCGTTTGCCGATCCGGCTGCCTGCAACCCCCCGCCTCCTCCGCCGTGATCCAGCGCCCCAGCGGGGTCAGGGGCTGCCCCCCGAACCAGCCCCCCGGATGCAGCCCGGACGCGGCGTGCCGGCGGATCGCGGAGGGCTCCGTGCGCGACCCCGCCGCGAACTCGGCGATCGACCACGTGTTGGCTGGGAGCGTCCAGCTCCCGTCCCCGGGGCCGGACGCCGCCGCTGCGGCGCACGCCTTGGGCGCGAACGCGGCCGGGTCGTGCGAGCCACCGAGAGGCTCCTGCAGCTCCGGGTCGTCCGCGCTGGCGTACTCCGGCCCGCGGTGCTCGTCGTGGTGCACGATGCCCGAGGCGATGAACAGCATCGGCAGCGACCCCGTCGTCCTCCCCAACAGCCTCGTGCGCGTCGTCGCGTCCCCGCCTATCGTCGCAGCCGCCCCGGCGCCGTCCCCGGGGACCGTGAAGCCCGCGGGCAGCCCGGCGGCCCGCTCTCGGATCTCGGGCGACACCAGGAAGCAGCGGCTGCGCGCGGCGTCGATCACGGCGATGCGCGTGTTCGACTGCGTGAGACACGGCAGGACGTGTCTGCCGTCGCGGCCGGGGAGGGCCCGGGCCGTGGATAGGTCGAGCGCCAGCGCCCGGCGCGGTCTCGGCCCCCCCCGCTGCCGCGCGGCGGCGCTGGGTCGGCGGCCGGTGACGTGCGCCTCGAGATCCGGCTCGTCCCGCCCGAGCGGCGGGGGCGTGAAGAACCACGCGCGCGTGCCCGGCGGGCCCTGTGCGGGCGCGGCGCGCGCGGAAGAGCTCCTCGGCACCGCCGGCACGGGCCGAAACAGCACCTGGCGGGCGTTGCCCGTGCGGGCCGCGACGAGGATGACCCTCTGACGGCGCACCGGGATGCCCGCGTCGACGTCGGGGCTCCACGCCCGCGTGCACACCATGCGGTATCCGATGGAGTGCAGGGCGGCCGCCAGAGCCTGAATGGCCGAGGGGCCGCCGCAGCACCCGGAGTCGCCGAGCGCCGCGCGGACGGGGGACGTGGCGGCGCCCAGCGCGGACCCCTCGTGCAGGGCGGACCGCACCTGCTCCACCACCACCCACTCGGGGCCGTGCCCCGCGTCCACGGCCCGCGAGATGGCGCGCAGGGCGTCCGCGAGGAGCCCGCTCTCCGCGCCGAACTGTCCGTCCCGCCGACCCAGGCTGCGCGCACGGCAGACAGGGCGCGTGACTGGTGTCGCGAAATTCGATTGCCGTGTGTCCAAACACCGTGTCCACATCGCAGGTCCATCGCACCACCGCGTCGTTGCGGCGTGGACGCGTGAGCGCGCGGATCCAAGAGCTCACCTGGACAGGTCCGTGCACGGCGGGCCCATGACGACGCACGAGGAGCGCGGGGACAGCACCAGGTCCCGCACGTCGGCGCACGAGTGGTCGACGTCCGCGCCCGGCCACTGCCGCTGCAGAATCTCCCGCGCGGCCGGGTCGCTCTCGCACGTCTGCACGACGCGCATGCCGGCCATCTCCATCCCGAGGATGAAGGCTCCGGTGCCCGAGAAGATCGACGTGAAGAACAGCCGCGTGTCGACCTCGCGCCGCGGCTGAGCCTGACCCGCCGCGACGGGTACGGATCGCTCCTGCATCCAGCGGTCGCGCAGCTTGGCGGCGAGGGCCTCGACGCGCGGGACGTCCGGCGCCACGCGGGGCGGCAGCTCGCCCTCGCTGCTGCTGCCGGAACTTCTGGAACGGCTGCTTCTGCCGCCCGGACCGCGCGACGCCCCCGTCTTGCGACTGGATCGCGCACGGGCGATCCGAAGGGTCGCTGCGCGCGTCCGCGGGCGCCCGTCGTCGTCCCCTTGTGCGTCGCGCTTGTGGCCCGCGGCCCTTCCGAACGGGTGCCCACCGCACGGAGAGGCTTTTTCGAGGACTCTTCCGACGTGTTTATCCAAAAATCCGACGAAGCCCCGCTGCGGCGCGCCGCCGGCGGCAACGGCACCCTCCACCGCGCGGCGCACCCATGAGCAGGCCGTGTCCTGCGCGAAGACGGAGGGGGGGAGTTCGGGGTCGGACGCGATGAGTGCGGACCCAGGGAATCTCGGTGACGAAGCCGCGCGCTCGTGCCGTGCATCATCGGCACGGACGCACGTCAGACATAGCATGTTGATCGGTGCGCACCACGTCGAGGGCGGGGCGTCCGCGCCCGCCGCGGAGCGACGACGCGGTGCAGCCCGAGTCGTCCGTTGCGAACGCCGACGCGATGTCCTCCACCATCGTGGCGACGAAGCCCCACGTCGTGCCATCGTCCTTGCCGCCAGGCGCCACCGCCAGCCAAGCGCGGCGGAGGACGCCGTCGACGTCGCGCCCGCGCGGCGAGCACGCGGCACACGTGCCAGCATCTCCGCGCCCGCGCAGCCCTCGGTGGCGCACGAACAGGTCGCGCACGGCCCGCCCAACTGCGGCGTCCAAGCTGCGGGGGCGCTGTGGGAGCCTGTAGATCGCCAGCGCCGCCAGCATCTTGGCGGCTCCTGCGATCATCAGCCGCCGCGTGCCCCCGACGCCCAAACAGCGCAGCAGGCTCGCGGGCGCTGGCACGGAGGAGGCACCGCTTCTCCCTGGCCCCAGGCCGCCCTGGCCCGGGATCTCAGGCGCCTGCGGGGACGCGGCGCGGCGAGGTGCATCGCACAGAGACAGGCTTCGCAGCGGGTTCAAGGACGCGCCGCCCCAGGCACCGCGTCGGCGGCCTCGAGGCGGCGAGCAACTGCTGCAGCTGCGGCGGTGGGGCGGGGAGGCGAGCGCACCTGGAGCACCTGTTCCAGCTTCTCGACGGAGATGGAGAGCTCCAGGGAGTCGTCCGCGCCGCGCAGCGCCGCAGACACCCCCATGGAGGCGCAAATGTACACGAGAAGCAGGTGCGCCGCCGCCCTGTGCACCCGCGCCTCGACGACCACCGCGGCTGCCGAAGTGAACAGCGGGACCACGTGGCCCATCACGGCGACCAGCCGCGGGTCCGACAGCGGGTTGTCGGGGTCCGCAGAGACGGCTTCGCGACGCTCTTGTGCAGGCATCTCGAGCCTGCCGAGCGCCGAGGGCAAGCGCACTTCCGGCAGGACCGTCGGCTACGACGCATACGCAAGTATGCCGGAACGTCAGTGGCCGGGGGACAAGGCGGCGCAGGAGACTGAGCAGCCCACGGCGGGGGTCGTGTGCCCGCCAGAGCTGACGCACACCGATCTGGCGCATCGCAGGCATCCTGCCGTGGCACGTCGTGCCCCGGAGATTGTCACTCTTCGCGTGTGTCGCCGTAATGCGCCGCCCAGGGGGGGGGGGCGCGGGGCTCGGCCGCCGCGGCAAAGCCGTCCCTGACTTGGAGCAAGTCTCGTAGCAGGCTCACACAGTCGCCCACAGCGCGTGCGCTCCGCCTGGAAGGCGATGCCGCTGGTGCGGTAATGAGAAGCGTCTATACCAGGACGACACGTGTCAGGCTCTTGATGCCGCAGGGAGGCTGTCCAGGTCGCCGCGGGCGCCCAGGCCTGTTCCATTGGCGCGTGTAACGGCGCGCCCGGAGACCCGCCTCCGCTGCTTGCCGACCAAGAGGACCGACTGTCCCGAGGGATCAGAGTGCCCCGCGGGCCGCCCGCGTCGCGCCATGAGCTCGCGGGGACGGACAGACTCGGTGCGCAGGAGTCTCCCCCCAGCACGCGTTGGACGCGCCCTCCCCTCGGCGGCCAACAGGCGGCGCCTGCGACGGCGTTCCCACACGATCGGCGCACTGCCGCAACTCCTCGGCGGCGCCCGTCACGTCGCGCGAGGCTGCGTGACAGAGGCAGGGGAGCTGTGTGCCCTGCAGGACCCTTTCGGCCGCTCTGCCGGCAACGAGGCGACGGACAGGACCCTACTGCTCACCCGTAGATGGCCCAGGTGCGTCAGCGGCGACTTTGCCCGAACGCAAGGAGGGCACCTGCACAGCTGCAGATCGCGCTCGCTCTCGGCGACGCGCTTCGTCGTGAGCGGTGTCTGTGCTCTCGACCGGATCGATTCGATCTGTACGTACGCGAAGCGCTACCATTTGCGCCGTGACCCGAGCACACCGGCCCAGACGGCGTCTTTGCGGCACAGCAGAGGCCCATGCCTGCATGCACCGCCGCCGCCGCAGCGCGCATCGTCTCGCCGCAACGCTGCTGCATCTCCTTCTGTTGGCGACGTTGTCAGGACGCGAGCGGCGCCCCAGCGGGGTGCGCGAGCCCGCACCCCGAACCAGAGCACCAGCTCATGCCCCACACAGGCGCCCGCTGACATCGTTTCCCGCAGGATCCCAGGCCCGACCTCATCGCCATGAACGGGTTTCATCCGTTGCCGACGCCGTGGGCCTGTCGAGGGACGACGCCGCGCGCGCCGAACTCAGCAGGGCCTTGGCGCATCCTACGCTGTTCTCGTCTCTGACGGTGCGCGCGCACAGCCCTGCCCCGCGCCACCCTGCGGCGCGGTCGTGCAGCCAGACGTGCAGAGCCGATTTCAGGCCAGAACCCCCGGCGAGGACCCGTGCGTACTCCGCTTTTGCGCAGCAACACTCCTGGCTGTCGCTGCGGGCCTCCGATCCGAACCGCCTCGCTCTCGTCAGCGACATCATCTCGCAACCACTCCCTGATATCCTTGCAGGGCGCCGCACCCCAAGATGCGCCAGCGCCTCGCGGACACCACCCAGGCCACTGGCGGCGTCGCCACGTGGGAAGTGGGGGTGTACACGGCGCCGAGGATCCGCCGGCACGCCGTGCTGTCCGCGGGCGGCCGCGAGCGACCCGTTCTCGTCGCGTCGGGCCGCCACGTCCTCAACGCCCGCGCTGCCGAAGCCGTCATGGGCGGCGACGCCGTTCGACACTGTCCGTGGACCTGACGGCGTCCGAGGAGTACGTCTGGTACTTGGAGCGCACGGGCGCGACCGCGGGGACGTGCTCGCTGCTCGACACGCGCGCCGCCGGCGAGGCGTGGGCCGAGGCGGGGGGTGCCTGTTGCCGCATGCGCACACCCCCTTGAAGCGACTCCGGGGGCGAGGACGGCGGCGGCGACGCGCTCACGGTCCGCGCGGGCGCGAAGGCCACGGCGATTGCGCTCCAGCTCGCGCTCGAGATCATGCACGCCGGCTCCATCCGCGGGCGCGCCGTCAAGGCCGTCGCCCGGCGCGACGCCGCCCCCACGGGGCTGGACGACGTCGCGGAGGCTGCGCTGCACACGTTCGGCGCGCAGCCCGGCCGCGACAATGCCGCTCGAGGGCATGCGCGCGCAGGTGCGCGTCGCGGAGAGCGGCCGAGGTGGCGCTGCAGGCGCGTGTGGCGACCCTGGACTGCGAGGCGGGGCTCGGGCCGCGATGGCCGAGGAGTCCGCGCGGGTCGAGGCGCCGCGTGAGGAGCTCGAGGCCGCCGGGGTGATGCCGGCGGCGCGCGCCGGGGAGTCGCGGCTGGCCCTGGAGGAGGTGTGCGTCCTTCAGGGCGAGCTTGCGGTCGCCACGGAGCGCGCGGAGGGCGCGGAGGCGCGCGTGAAGGCGCTGCCGACGGAGGTCCACGAGGCGCGCATGGTCGCCGCGGCCGCCTGCGCACGTGAACACGGAGGCTCAGCCTAGAGAAGACTTCTCTGCCGGCAGAGGTCAAGGCACTGAACGCGTCGCTCGCGGACAAGGAGCAGGGCCTGGCCGCGATGGTTGCGCGCGCGTGGGGGGGAGCGAGGCCCGGATGGACGCGCAGGCCGCGGCGCTGGGCGAGCAGATGCAGGCCCAGGCCGACGCGGCGGCGCGCCGCGTCTCGGAGCTCGCGGGCGCGGCGGAGGCGGCGGCGGCGCGCGTCGGGGCGCCAGAGGGCGACGCGCGGGTTGCCGCGGAGGACCGCGCGGCGCGCGAGGTGGGCTCCGCGGCGCAGGCGCGGGCGGAGGCAGAGAGGCTGACGGCGGATGGGTCGGCGCCGCGTGCGCACGTCGCGGACGTCGAGGGGCGGCTGTCTGCGGCGGACGCGGGCGCAGCGCAGAGATACGAGCGCGTGCGTGAGCTGCAGCGGCGCGCGCGGGACGCGGAGTGCGCCCTGGAGCGGTCCCAGGCGGACCTTTAGCTGGCACCGAGGCCAGGCACGCTCCGCGGGGCGGGGGCGCGCACCGGGTGTCGCGGCTGGCGTTGGACGAGGTCCGGACGCTCCAGGCGGAGCTCGAGAAGGCGCGCGTGGACCTCAACAACCCGGAGCACCGCCGCGAGCAAACTAGTGCTGGTGGATGTGCGCGCAGGCGCGGCGCGGGCGGCCGAGGCCCGCGCGGGCGAGCTCGAGGCGGCGCGCGCGGAGGCCGCGGCGCCGTCCCGGGCGCGCGTCGAGGCGCTCGCGGCGACCGAGGCGGAGCGCGAGACGCCACGCGCACAACAAACTTGCGGACGCGCTCGCTGCCCGCGAGGGCGTGATGTCGGGGCTCGCGGACACGCGGGCGGCGCGCGATGACGCGGCACGTGGCGCCGCGGAGGCGGTCGCGGGGCGCCGCCCAGCGGAGGCGCGGGCCCGGCAGCTCGGGCAGCTGGCGGTGATGGACGAGCCGTGCATGCAGCAGGCGGAGCGCGAGAAGGCGGCACGGGCGGGCGCGGAGGCGGCGGCGGAGCAGGCGGGCGCGGACCTGGAGGCGCGCGTGGCGGATCTGCAGGCGCGGGCGGATGGGCGTTGCCGGGTCGCTCGGGGCGGCGCGGAGGGAGCGCAGGGAGCTCGCCGCGCGGCTGTGGCGCACGGAGCAGGAGCTCGAGGTGCGGGGCGCGCGTGCGGGGTCGTTGTGCGCGCGAGCGCGGCTCGCTGGTGTTTGCATGGAACGGAAGTCCTTGTTCGCTGATTGTGGGGGTTTTCTCGTGCGCGTATGCAGGAGTCGAAGGCGAAGGTCGTGGACCAGACGGAGGCGCGCCGCACGGGCACGCGGAAGGGCGAGGGCGCGAAGCGTGTCCTGCCGACGGCACGCGAGCGCGTGCGCAACGCGTTGGTGGAGCCGGAGGCGTTGCGGCGCACGGCGTCGCACGCACGAGAGCGCTCTCGAGGAGCAGCTCGAGGATACCCAGGCGCGCAGCAACCCACACGTCACGCGCGCGTGCTCGAGACATGTGCGGAACACGTATCCATGGGGCGCGACCGTCGTCGTTTGTCTGCGTTCGACAGCCGGTGCCGCGAGCCGCCCTCGATGAACGCGGCGGTCCCGGTCCCTGGCCTGCGCAGAAGGAGCTCGAGCACGCCGAGGAGCGCCTCGACGGCGTCGTGGACGGAGCGGCCCGCGATCGCAGGAGGGGTGTTCGCCGGTACCCTCGCGTCGTCGCAGGTCGCGACCGCGGACCTCGCGGACCGCGGCGCTCGACGCTCGCCCGTGCGGAGCTCGCCGCGGCCCGCGCGGCCCAGTCCGGCCTCGACGCCCACGTGGCGGAGCTGGAGGCGGCGCAAGGCGCACGCGCTCGAGTCGCGGCTGGCCGGGGAGGCGCGCACGGCTGCGACGCGGCAGGCGACGCTCGAGGAGCACAGGCGCTGCGAGGACCTGCAGCGGGACCTGCAGACTGCGCACGAGGAGGCGTTCGAGCACCGGAAGGTGAGGCTTTTGCTTGCTGGAGCAATGGTTGGCATCATGTTGCGCGGCCGGGGTTCTGGGTCGTGCAGCAGCGAAGAACTGCTCGTTCTCCACGACGGCTGCGATGCGGGGATTGCGCAATTGTGCTCGTGCGTGGCTTCGAACACGAGCAACTCGTACGAATCCTCTCTGAAAAGGTCTACATTGAGGCTCGAAGTCTCTCGGCACTGGTTTGTCTGTGCATCGCATCGATGCTTCCACGCGCGCGCTCACGTCCCGCACCGTGTCGTCGCCTCCGTCGCAGGAAGCCAAGCGCCACCGCGAGCGCTGGCAGCTCGCGCACACACACCAACCCGGGGCCCGTGAAGGCGCGCGAGCTCCAACTCGAGACGGACCTCGCTGCCGCCCACGAGCACCTCCAGGACCATGTCGACACCGTCGTGGACCTCCAGGCCGCGGAGGCGCGCCTCGAGGGTGGGCGCAGGGCGGACACGCGCTTGCGAGCCCTCGACGCCGCGGCCGCACCGGGAGGTCAATTTTGCCCACCCCCCTTGCCTCGCGCGCCCCGCTCTTATCGCCGCGCCCCCGCCCGCGCCGCGCGACATCCGTGCTCACCGCGCATCTCACACGCACCCCGGCCCCCACGCGCGCCCGCTGCACCACGGTGTGTCGCGCCCGGCGCCACCGTGCCCGCGCTCCCGCCGGCGGCCCCCGATGCAGCCGCGCGCCTCGCGCGGGGGGCGGTCTACGGCCCGCTGCCCGTCGCCTCCGCGGAGTGGCTGCGGTCTGTGAGAACGCCTCACACCTCAAGAACGCCCCACCTCACCTCACACCTCACCTCCTCCTGCGCGCTGACCGCCTCCAGGTCCCTCGGACCTTCCCTCGCCACACTGTACGTCGCTGCGAGCTCCCATCGCGCGCATCCGGCCCGCAGCCCACCTGCTGCGTGACCATTCCTTTTGGAACCTCCCGCCCGCCCCCCGCTCGGCTCCACGTGCCGCTAAGCGGGCTGGCGCCGGTCAGCCCTGCGAACCGCCCGCGGCGACGGCTGGCGCGCCACGCTGGGGCGAGCGCGGTCCAGCGACCGTGCTGCGGCGGCGCGGCACCGGTGCACGCGGGCTCAGGGGGGCGCCTGCGCCTGTCGCGCGCGATGCCGCGGCGGGCTCTTCGGCGGCAAAGCCGATGGGCGTCGCCAGCTGGCGGACCTTGTCCTGGTAGAAACGGTCCGGATCGTCCGGGAGCCCTCCCACCATGGCCTTCAGGTTCGCTTCCAGCAGCTCCCGCACCTCTCCGACGATCGGGGCGCCCCTGGACTCGTCCGACGTCTCCGGGCGATCCAACCACTCGTAGAAGGCGTGCCAGCACGCGCAGAGCTTGCTCCCATTGCTCAACGTGATCCTGCACAGCAGCGAACAGGGTAGCGCGTGTTCGGAGGCGCGACCGCCGACAGACCGGCGCGGGACTGGCGGGCGCGCGCCGCGGCGCGCGCGTCGCGGCGGCCCGACTGGTGGCGTGTGTGTGCGCACTTTCTCACTTCACGGTGGTTCGCGAGACCGCCACCCGGGTACCAGGCGACGACGTTGTCCATCCACTCCACGAACCGCGCCTTCTCGTCGTCGAAGCCAGTAGTTTTGGTCCCGTCTTTCAGCGTGACCTTCTCTGCGAGCGGCTTGGTGAGCTCGCGGAACGCAAGCTCGAAGCCGGGCTGCAAGCGCGCGCGCAGCCTCTCGCACACGAGATAAAACGTCTGCGGTGTGGGGGGGGGGATCTCGACGAGGGCGCTCCCAAGGATCCTCTCGCCGTCGTTGGATTTAATATTGCGCGGAAAGTTGTCGACAGCGAGGAGCGCTCGCTCGCCGGTCCAGGCGTACTTCGATTCGAACACCATCACCTGCGCAGCAGATTCGCGCGGGAGCGAGGGCCGCGTCGCACAGCTTGGCCGGGCGCACGTGCGCCGCAGCCTGCGCCGCGCTGCAGCGGGAGTGCAGGGGGATGCTGTGCTCACCATGGTGCGCCGAGTCTTGACAGTCGTGCCCTTGAACCACACCTGGCCGTCGGCGGCCGGGTGGTCGTCGTCGTTCAGGCGCTCGCCCAGCCGGTCGCTGCCCCCCACGTACCAGATCGCCCAGCCGACGAAGACCTCCGACCCGTCCGGCTCCACGCGGAATACCTGCGTGAGGATCAGGTAGAAACCCGACATCCTGCTGAGCCTCTGGAAGTCCTCCTGGCTCATATCCAGACGCATGCCGTTGCTGTCCTTCTTGTTGCGTCGCCAAAACACCCCGAACACATCCCCCATGCAGACCGCGAGGGTAATAGTTTCCCACGTGTGGCCTGCAGCGTCCGCGCGGCCGTCCGGGTCGCGGAAGCAGGCGGCCTCAGCCGGACCGACAAGGTGTTTGACTCCTTGCTCCCGGAGCACCTTCACCACTTCGAGCACCTGCGGGTCGAGACAGCCGGGGGGGAGTCGAAGTTGAGTTGCGTGCGTGCCGGGTCGCGAGCCGGCGCGAGAGGCGAGCTGGCGCAGTCGCTCGTCGACGCGCGAGGAGTGCAGGCGCACCTTGGGTAGCGCCACGTCGCGTCCGTCCGTGCCGAGCAGCGCATGGACGTCACTCATCCCACGCCAGAGTTCGCACATCTCCCTGGGGTGGGCTTCGGCCGCGGCTTTACGAAACGCCGCCACGTCGACATCCGACGGCGGCATCATGCCGCGTCCCAGGCTGCAGCGATTCGCAACGACGCAGGAAGACCAGGTGTCGTGGGCACGTCAGACACTCGACTCGACTCGGTGTTTCGCGGGTCGGACGCACGCGCAGCGTGGAGCTGGGCCCGAGGGGAGAGCGGGCGGACGTACCTGCTCAGGTCCCCGACGAAAATCTCGTCCTGCTCGGGAACTGGAGGCGTGTGGGACGCCATCTTGGTGGTGGCGCGTGCGCGCTTTTTCGCGTCGGCACGCGCGGTTTTCAGCTCTGCGCGCGCGTCCCCGGGCTCAGCGTGCTCGAGGCTGATGACCTCCGCGACTAGGATGTCTGCGGCCTTTCGCAGCGGGTAGCTGCACACGAACTCCACGAGCACGTCCGTGTAGACGCACCCGCCCTCCACCACGCGCTTCAACCACACTGCCCCACAGTGCAGCTTCTTGAAGCCTGCAAGTACGGCGCGCGGCTCGCCACGTAGACGCGCCTTCGCGTACTTGCGTTGGCGCGGGCCCCTGCAAGGGCGGGCACAATGGTCATGGGGGAGTCAGTCGGGGTGCAACCTGACAACAATTATTCTGCTGGCGCGGTGCTACGCGGCGGCGTGGCGCGGCGGAGGCGCTGAGCTGCGCCGCGAGCTGCGACTCGGCCGGCACGCACCCTGATTTCGACAACGGACGTTGTCGCACGTTGCCGCAGTCCCGCAGCAGGACGGATGACTCGTCCGCAGAGTTGTTGAGCAGCATCGCCTCCTGCGCGTAGACCGCGGAGACGCCCCGCACCGCCTCCGGATCGACGCCGAGCTCGCGGGCCGCGGCCGTTTGCGTCCGAGGCCGGTCGAACTGCACGATGAGCTCGAGCGTGTCGGGGACGAGGGCGCCGTTGTCGTCCACCAGCGGGCGGACGACCACGAGCCCGCAGTGCTCGTCGGTGTGGATGATGTCCACGAACGCCTCGTTGGAGTCGAAGCCCTCACCGTGGAGAGCCACGTACGTGAACTGAACACGTACGTGACTGAATGACTTCTTCTTCTCCCTGTGTCGTTGAGGGGAGGGCGAACGCGACCGACGGCCCGTCGGCGATCGCGATGCGCACCCGACGATCTTCGACGCTGAGAGCTCTGAACCGGACGGGCTCGTGGACGCGTGACCCTTCCTGTGATGCTGCAGCACCTGCGCGACCGTCTCCACGGCCTCGCAGTCGCTGAGGAGTTGGACACCGTAGTCACCATTCCAAACAGGCGGTACTGCGTCAATCGTATCTTTCACCGGGAGCGGGCGGTCGAAGACGACCTGCAGTTCGACGATCGTGCAGACCCGGGCCCTGCCGCACGCGTTCCCGCGCGGAACCTCCGATACTGCAGCGCATCCGCGCCGAAGGCGTTCTGCCGCGGCCTGCACGAGGTCCTGCGCGCTCGCGTACGAGGCGAGACCTGACCCAGGCCTGTGTGCCGCACCAATTGCGTACTTCATCTTCACGCCCAGGACCGTCTTAGCCGCGAGAGCGCGCGACTCGGCGGCCTCTTGCGCCTTCCGCGTCGGAACCTTCTGTCGCTGGGGGCGCCCCGACGCCGGCGCACCGTCGCTCGCGGCAGCGGGCGCACCGCCTGCAGCGCTGTCGGCAGCGGGGCGGTCGGCCGCGTTCCTGCGATCCTCTGCGTGCTGTTGCAGAGCGTCCAGGAGCTTCTCCCCGCCAGACTGCGGCGCATCGCTGACGATGAGGTCCGAGTCGGGCCCCTGGATGACCGCCTGGGCGCATCTGGCCAGGCTCCCCGCGGCACTGACTGCCGCGCCATCGCCTGCGCCGGTACGTGCGCCATCGGGAGAATGCCACCCGCCCGAGGCTCCACCGGCATCCACGCCGGAGTCGACCTCCATGTGGGTGTCCTCTTGGTCGCTGGCGCCCGCTGCGTCCAGGTGGTTGAGAACACGTGTTGCGGGGCGTCCAGTCGGGCTGCGCGCCGATGGGTTGCGCGCGAATTTCCCGCAAAATATATGTGTATGAACCCTACGGGACGAGAGGCGGCGTACCTTGCAGAGGAGTCGGCGGTTTGGGCCGAAACCCTCCCTTGCCCGAAGCCTGGGTCGCAGCCGCGGTAGCATCGGCGAAATGCTGCCTCAGCAGTTCCTCGGCCTTCTGACCGGCCCTCCGCTTCGGTCGGGCATTCCTGCCGACTCCTGGCTCCGCGTCGTGAGCGTCCTGGGTCGGGACCTCCGGCCCTGGGGTGCGCCGAGGGGTATCCTCATGACCGTTGCCATGACTCGCGAGTTGACTTCCCGTCGATGGGTCCGCGTCGCCCGACGGTGGACGCTTTGACCCCGCGAGCCCCTGCGCGGCGGTGGAGTGGTGCGAGACCCTCAGCAAGACCCGGCCCCTGATTCCGGCCGCTCGCTGCGCGCAGAAGACTCTTGAGTAGCGCGAATAGTGCAGCTAGACTCGAGGATGCCTATGCGCTCAGAAGTAACGACTCGCGATCGCCCGCGCGCGTTCCCGGCACGGCCGCTTGCAAGGCGCAGCGAGACAGACGCGAGTGCCGCCCACGTCTCCTCACGACACGGCATTCGCCCCATCTACGCAAACGGCGCGCAGCTGAGTGTCGTCGTGCCCCGGAGCCAAGTTTCGGGGGCACCGAGTTCGCGGACACCCAACTGCGCCCGCTCGGCCCTGAGGGGTGCTTCTCGTGCGGCTGAGTCCGCAGGCTGCGGCGGTCAGGGTCCTAATATGGCCCACACGTCTCGACATTGGACTTCACCTTCTGATTCTTGCGCTTTGCGCCTCCTCGCGCCATGTTTCGTGGCGAGGCGACGAGCTCCTGCTGCCACAGCTGCAGTGCGCGGGTCCGGACGGACGCCGCACCCCGCAACACCTAAATTTCCCGCCAGGAGGATGTTAGTTGCAGGAGGAGCGCAGCTGCGGAGGTTTTGGCGCCAGCGAGCTCATCGACGGCAAACCGACCGCTTGACTGACTCAGTTGCACCTCCCCCCGAGGGAGGTGCCCCCCCTGCGAGCGAGCGCTGCAGGGTTGGCCCCCAGGGTCTGACCGCTCACACGACGCCCTTCGCGCAGGTCTCCCGCCCCCACGCACCGTCACGCGTCGAGCGCAGCGGCACACGAGTGCAGCACATCCTGCTCGCCCGGACCCGCGACGAGCAGCAGACCCGCGCCGGGCACCCGCAGCGTGGGCCGCCCCAGCCAGCCCTCCGCGCCCACCGCCAGCCCGTCCGCGCCACCCGCCGTGGCCAGCACCAGAACAACTGGTGCTGGCAGGACAACTGGTGCTCGCAGGACCTCAACGGACAGCGCGAAGCCGCACGTGGGACGAGCACCCCCGACGTCGCGGCCGCAGGCTGGTCACCTAGCGGCTGCGACACCCCGGCCCACCGGCGCTGCAGCTAGCCGCGGCTCAGCGCCAACCGCCTCACCGCCGACCCGGGCAGCCGCCCCCGGATCGGCGGGGGGCCGGGGGAGGAGGACCGTATCGATGTTCGACCGTAGTTTGCCGCGTTGGAGCATCTGAGCCGCCAGTCGCCTGCTACGAGCGAAAATCTGCACACTGACTGACTGACTGACCAGCAGGCCCAGGAGCTCATCGACGGCCTGCAGCAACGCGCGGCGGCGGGCGGTGAAGACGGGCGAGACGCGACGGTCCGCCTGCTGTTTCTCGACGGCGGACCCGTCTTTCACCGCGTCCTCTACCGGCTCAACAAGATGGCTGCAGCGTTCCACCCCGGCGCGGACCTCCTCGACCCCACCCCCGGCGACGACGAGTGATCCGGGGCCTCCACGACCGTACCTGCTGGCTGGCTACCCACGTCCCCCTCAAGTCCCCCCCTGCGGCGACGCACCGGCCGCAATGGCTGGGCGCGCCTCCTCCGGCACGTCTGGGCTGGCGTCGCGACCAGCATCGAATCACCGCGCACCCGCGCCCTGTGCCTGCTTGACTGAACCCATCCCCGCCCACCATGTTTGTCAATCGCGAGCTGCGAGCCCCGACACCGCTGCGACAGAGGCCGCAGGACTGCAACCAACCCGCCGCGTGGCTGGATGGCCACGAGGGTGCTCGGCCGTCCCGGAGATCCCACACGACAGCACTCCTGTGCACACGGCGACGCGAGGGCACCGGAGGATGGCCGGTGCCGAGAGGACAGCCCCAGCAGCCGGCGCCCCCGTGCACTGGTCGTCGTGCACGGGCGACACCTGGGCCCCGCGCGCCAGCACGAGCGTACCGCCGCGTGTCGTGCAGCAGACTGGTCCCTGCCATCGAGCTCGACCTGCCCTAAGTATGTCCGCCGGCGCCACATCTCCCGCGCTCCCCCCCTCCTAGCGCCCAACACACAGCAAACACCCCCCGGGTACAACACAAAGTGTCAATTGACCACCCGCGCACGAAACGAAATGCGGGTGTGCTATCGTCCTGGTCAAGGCAGCAGCGTGCTAGGAGTACAACACGCCCGTCTGTCAGCGCTCGGCGCCGGGCATCACAAGCAGGCCCCGGCGGCCGCGCCTACCACCCGGCGCGCGTCCCCGTCAGCCGCGACAGCCTCGACTTCAGGTCCTGCAGTCTCCTGTTCGCCTCCTTCTCTCTCAGCTCCGACGCCAGCCGCTGCAGCAGCTCGAGCCGCCTGTGCGTCAGCTCGTCTGCGGGCTGGATGGCCCGGCCGCGGTCGTCCCGCGCGAGCTCGTACGTCGCCTCGCCCGCCGCGACCAGGACGTCCTTGATGTGCGCGCGCAGGTGCTGGTGCGACGCCACCGCGCGGCGGCACTCCTCGACCTGCGCGTCCGACCCGTGCGGCGTCGGGACGAACCGCGCCATCTCGCGCAGCCGGTCGTTCGCCGCCTGCCACTTCGCGCGCGCCCCCGCGCCGCCCAGCCGCGCGGCCGCCGCGTTGCAGAGCACGTGGGCGGTGTTGAACAGCGCGGCGAAGCACTCCGCCTCGCTCGGCGGCGCGCGGTGGAGCTCGCGGAGCTGCGTCATCGCCTCCTCGCCGCGCGCGCAGAGGTCGTTGAACTCCGCCGTGCTCGTCAGCGTGCTCTGGTCGCTCTGCCGCGACGCGACGAGGTTGCTGATTTTCATGGACAGGAGCTTGAGCGCCGGGCGCGGCTCCCGGGCCGCGAGGTACAGGCCGACGGCCGCGTCGTGCTGCGCCTGCTTCTCGCACCGCTCCGCCACGTCGCGCAGCCGCTTGAGCGCCCCGTCAACGCCGTTCTCGAGGTGCACCAGCCGCGACGCGTCCGTGGGCTTTGCCAGCCCGAGCGTGGCCCCGAAGCGCGCGTTGACGGTCACGAGGCGCTGCAGGAGCGCGCCGAGGCTCTCGCAGTCGGTCCCGGCCATCTTCGACGCAGCCACCGCGTACTCGAGCGCAGCGGCCGCCGCGAAGCTCCCGCGCTCGCCCTCCCCGAGCGGGCCCGGACCGTTGTCCGTCTCGAGGCCGTGCCGCGCGACGGCCTCGGCCTCCGCGTCCCCGATCCGGCGCGCGTAGTCCTGCGCGAGCTCCCACACCAGCTCCCACGGCCGAAGCGTCAGCGCGCCCGCGGCCGCGTTGACGTTGGCCACGGGCGGCAGCGCCGCCAGCGCGCCGTCCACGTGCAGCGCGTACGCCATGTGCACGGCGTCGAGCTCGGCCTCCGAGTGCGAGCGCGCGGCGCCGGAGTCCGACTTGAGGTAGTCGAGCGCCGCGTGCGGCTGCATCGTCAGGAGTAGAACCCACACATACAGGAGGGGGTCTCTCCCCTTCCGGGTATAATGCTCCTCGGGCCACCGGTTGATGTCGGCCTGCATGTCCCGCACGGTGTACTGCGGCCGCCGCCCGGCGCCCCCCGACCCCGCGGCGAGCGTGGGCGACCCCGTCGACACGTGCCCGCCGCCGGGGGACGGCCAGTCGCCGGGCGCGGGGTCCAGCGCGCGGCACATCGCGAGCTTGAACCACAGGAAGTCCTCGATCGTCGAGAACATGGTGTCCGCGTAGTGGTCCAGGAAGCGCTTGTGCGCGTCGCGCATGCCCGACATCACCGTCAGCACGAGCAGCCGCCACACGTTGTTCCGCTGGTCCTGCAGGCTGCTCGACACGACGCGCTGGCACGTCTCCGCGAGCCGCTCCGCCTCGGACTGCTCCACGCACCCGCGCCGCAGCCACTCGTCAAAGTGCGTCAGCTCAGGGCTCTGGATCTCGTCCTTGACGCGCCGGGCCTCGTCCGCGAGGCCGCAGCGCAGACAGAGGAAGAGCAGGTGCCACTTGGCGTCCGGGCTCGGGTCCGCGTTGTCGCGCGGGTACCGGAGATGCATGTAGCTGTCGAGCTCTGCCAGCTTGCCGTAGTGCCTGGAGCTGCCGACCTGCGCCGTCTCGAGCTGGTTCCGCAGCTTGCTGTCCTGCGCGCAGCGTGGCAGCGGCGCGGGGCGCGTGGGGGGGGTTCGCTGCCGAGCAGACGTCGTTTCGGTGCGCAGGAGAGAGGGGGGGATTCAGGAGCGCGCGGCGGACGAGGGGGGAGTGAGGGCGCAGGGGCCCGAGCGGGCCCGATCGCTCGAGTCGCTGCTCCGGGCCGGCGGGGCCATGCGCGGCAGAAGGGGAGTTGGGGTGTCCGCGGCAATCGAGGTTCCAGGTCTGCGGCGCGCGCACCACGTGGTCGAGGTACTGCCGCTCGAGGAGCCGCCTCGCGCCGCGCACGAGCGCCATCGCCCGGTCCTCGTCGACCGCCCGCGTCCCCAGGCCACCCACGATTCCCCGCAACGCGTCCCAGCACCTTCTCACGGCCTTCGGCGGCTCCTCGCGCAGCCTCGCGCCGCACATCGTCTGCGTCGCCTTGCCGGGCTCGAGCCCGACGTCGGAGTTCAGCTGCGCCGTCGCGCGCAGCAGGTTCGCCGCCGCGCCCCCCTCGACGCTGCTCGCAGGCAGTGCTGCCGCCATCGGCGTCCGCGCCGAGAGGCTCAGGGCGCCCGGGGTGGCGTGGAACGACGCAGGGGTATAGCCGGCGCGGTACGGGGTCGCGCCGCCGCGGCCGGGCGCGGGAGAGGCCCCCGGCGGGGCTACGCCATGTAGGCGAGAGAGGGGGGCGAGCGAGGACATCGTGGACAGCTCGGAGCGGCGCGCCTCCTGGGAGAGGCAGTCGTCCATGAAGTTCTCGAAGCCGCGCGCCGCGTTGCGCCGCGCCTCCCGGAGCGTCGACCTGCACGGCACAGAGGCTCGATGGTTTGAGCGCAGGGAGAGGGGCACGCACGGTGGGCGCGTGGCGGGGCGGCTGCGACGTTCGGGGCGCTCCGTGGCATGGATGGTGGTAGGTGGGCGCGTGTGGGGGCGCAGGAGGGCGGGAGCGGCGGCGGCACGCGGGCCACAGACAGGGAGCAGCCGTGGTGAGTGGCGGTGGGGTGACGCACCGCCTGGCTGTTTCCTGGTTCTGGCGGATGAAGTCTTCGAGTGTGCGCGTGACAGGGAAGGGGTCCTCGTCCATGGGCGCGTGGAGGTCGAGCTCCGCGGTGGCCCGGCGGTGCAAGCTGCTCAAGTCGACGCCCTCCGCCGCGAGCAGCCGGGTGGCCTTGCTCAGCGCGTCGTCATCGATTTTGGGAGCGTGCGACCGCTTCTCCCGGTACACCCGCGCCGTCTGCTCCACAACCTGCGACCAGCGCCACAATGCCGCGCAGGAGTTGCTGCGCCGTCGTCTCAGCGCGCCAGCGGCGCTTGGGCGGCCCAATGCGCCGCGTTTCGACGGCGCTGGCCGCCCCTTCCTCCAAGCATCCTACCGGCGCGCACGGATCCCAGCGTTTCCGCGGCGGGGGCGGTCAGCCCACCTGCGGGAGAGAGCGGTGAATAGCGGGCACGCCGTCCACGCCGTCCAAGGCGTTGTTGCGCGCCGCCTCGCTCTGGCTGGCGAGCATTCGCCAGTCCGCGGTGTCCGTCATCGCCCCCTGCGCGCCCCGCGGCCCCGGTCCGGCGGAATCCGAGCCCTGGAGAGAGAGCCTGCACACCGTCCGCCGCGCCAAAGACGCCGATGACCCAAACAACGCGAAGCGCTCCGCCCCCTCGCAGAGTACCACCCGCCCTGCCCCCCTAGCGCCCCATCACGCCGCGTGACCCTCCCACGCGGCGTCGGGGGCCTGTTGACACCCGTCCCACGCCCCCGAGCACACACAGCGCGCAGCCCGCCCGCCGGTCAGCCCTTGGGCTCGCCGCGCGCGCACGCTCTGCCCAGTCACGCTAGCCGCGTTCCATCGCCGGATACACCTCCGAACGCAGGTCCACAGTCGAGCGCGCGACAAGCCAGGGCTGAATCTCTGAGAGGGTGCCGGGGGGGGCCACAACCGGCACGGCGAGCTTGGGCGGCGCTCCCGGACGCTGCGGGCGTCCCAGTGCATCACACGCCCGGCCGCGCTCGCACCAAGCGCCTGCGCCGCGAGCCTCGTCCGCGCGTGGCGCTGATACTGTAGCACCAGGGGCACCGCGCACAGCGCCTGGGCGGACAGCGCGCCAGCCACGATGCAGTCCCTGCCGCAGGACGACCAGGACGCGGTGATGCGGGATGATTCAGCGGCGCGGACGCCCCGGCCGCGCCGCGCGGAGCAGACCTTGCAGGACCAGCGGGCGTCGTCTCCGTACGCCCGTGACGCTGGCCAGCCGCCAGTGCGCGAGCCGACGTCCTTGTCAGGACGCCCACCACGCCCCGCGCGGCCCGGAATGCGTCCACCGCCACGGCACCCTCAGCTACCAGGTGCGCCCAAACGCAAAGGCGGTTGATGTTTCGGCTGCGCGCCCCGCCGTGTAGCGACCCGCAACGCCCATGGATTGCACCGCGGCGGCTCGCGCACGAACTGGAGAGTGCACGCATCGCTAGCGGCGCCGCGGGCGCCTCTCTGCGGCGCTGTTGTTTGGCCCCAAGCAGGCAGTTGTGCACCTGCTGCAAAGGCGGTGCTCGGTTCGTTCCCGCGCGCAGAGGCACCTGAGGGCACGGTGCGCGGCGAGAGGCTGGACGTGGAGATCGTGTCCTGCGACGGAGGAGCGTACAGGTGCGCCTCAGACTGGTAGCGGGAGCTGCCCGGCCTGGCACACAACAGACCGAGGTCTCGCCTTCTCTCTCTCTCCCCGCGCCGCGCGTCCACGAACCGCTGCGCGCCTCCGCCTGCTCGACCGACAGACGCAGTTCCCACGCGCCCCCCCCCCTCGCGCGTCGGTGCACGCTGCTCGGCGCCTCACGTGCCGTGTATCGCCCCACGCGCGCCCCCCGCGCCCCCGTTCCCGCAGCGACACGTACTCCTTCCACAACATCCTCCAAGAGACGGCCGTCTGCTACAGTTCCTGCCGGAGCCGCGGCGTCAACATCGTTCTGCGCTGCAGGGACGGCGGGATCTTCAACCTGTCCAAAGTCGTCGCCCGCGCCCCCGTCCACGGCTACACGAACCCGCTTGCGCAAGCAGTCGTCTTCACCTCCTTCGGTGCGCACTCCCGCGCACACCGACCCCGCAAACACCCCCCCTGCAACTCCCCCCTCTGCGCCTCCTCGCCACCCAACTGCCGCCTGACCCCGCGCCCCCTCGTCCCCGCTTCCCTGCCACCTGCAGCGCCCCCGAACCTCGTCGAAGCGTCTCGATACGACGGGTGTCGGTGCCCGGACGACGTTGCGCGCGTCGCGGCGTCCGCGGGCTGCCTCGGCCGCGTCGCGCCGCACGCGCAGGCCCGTTCCTCCGCCGGCACGCCCTCCGCCGCCTCGAGCGAGCCGAAGCCATCCCTCGCCACGCTGCCCAGCGGCTCCCTGCCGCTGGCGATGCCTCTACGCGACATTGCGGCCGACTCTAGCGCTGCGGACGCGGCGGAGGCGCTCGCGACGCTCGCGCCCGACCCGGGCTACGACGCGGACGACGACGCGGCGGCCGTCCCCGGAGCGGAGGGTCTCCTGGAGAGCGCCCGGTCCTTTGCGGCCGGGGACGACACACCCGTGCCCGTGGCTTTCCTGGACCTGACGGAGACGGCGTGCGCGGTCGTCGACCTCGGCGTCCCGCGCTCCGGGATGTACTTGCTCGTCAAGCTGCTACGGTCGCGTTCAGAGCTTCAGGGCGCGCAGGAGTCCAACATTGACACGAGGTTCGTCGGATTGTACGGCACCGAGGGGCCCGTGGCGTTCGGCGAGGCGTCGCTTATGTAGGCGCGGAGACACTCGAAACAAAAACACCGCCCTTTTTACAAAGACTCCCCACCCAGCTCACCCCCCGTACCCGGTCGGCTTGTTTTGCACTCGACCCCGGCCCTGCGTTGTACTCTTTGCTCCTGCCGACCCGTCCACGCCCCACGTTTCTGTATTCGGTCGCACCCACGTCGCGGTGGAACTCTGTCCGACAGAATCCGCAAGCTGCCGACAGAGCCAGCCAGCAAAGTGGTTCTCATTTGCCGCCGGCTGCGCTCACGCCGCCCGCGTAGCTGTAGTTGCACGAAGACGCATGTTGCACAAACTCCACATCACCAGACGCACGCTCTGTGACGTGCGGTCAAGAGCGACGCCTGTTCGGAGTCACCTGACAGCATGGGGGTGTTCTCTACGACACCCCCGCCACGAACAAGCCTGAACCCGCGGAGCGGGCACGCCAGGCAGGCCGCCGCGCGAATCGCGCTGCGCGCGCGAGGGCGGCCCTCACGCGTCGCCTTCGATCTGCACTTTGTACTTCGCTGACCTACAGGCACCCACTCACCACCGATTCAGCCGGAGCACCCGCGCGCGACCCGTCCGTCGCTTTCCGCCCGTGACTCCGCGACACGAGCACAGCGCGCTGTTGATTTATCTAAGCTTCACAGGAACAAGGGGCGGAGGGGCGGCCGCCGTGGCCGTGCTGCCTGCCACGCGTCCCAGGAGTGGTTGGGCCGGCTGCGACTCGCAGCTGGCGCTCTTGCAGGGGAGGCATAGCGTCAACAGGGCCCCGGACAGCGCTGGGTCGCGCAGCGCACGTCGAGTGCGTCTTGAGGGCAGGTCTGAAGGTGTCTGTTGTCGTCTGTTTTCAGTTTTATAGGTCTAGATCATGTAGAAAGGGCAATATGTACATGGCACGTGTCGTAGGGAAGGGAGTTGGGCAGATGGCCGGCCGTCCACGGCCGAGTGCATCAGGCATCGCGCAAGGGCACGCTCGAGGCACCTCGCCGAGACTCGTGCGGTGTTGGCCTCGATACGAGGCCCCCGGCGCGCTTAGTTGTCGTCGGCAGCCTCGCCCTCGCTGCGCAGGCGCGCCTCGATGATGTCGATCCGCTCGATCAGCTCCGCCGGCAGCTTGTCGCCGTACTTGGCAAAGTACTGGCGGAGCTCGGCCAGGTTGGGGAGGTACTCGTTGGCGTCCACGCGCACGCACTTGGCGAAGTCCTCCGCGCTCATGTTGAGGCCGTCCATGTTCAGGTCGCCCTCGCGCGGCATCAGCCCGATCGCGGTCTGCTTCGCGCCCACGCGGCCCTGGCAGCGGTCGACCATCCAGGCAATCACGCGCGAGTTGTCGCCGAAGCCGGGCCACAGGAACTTCCTCTTGCCCGTCGCGGCGTCGGGCTCGGACTTGCGGAACCAGTTGACGTAGAACATCTTGGGCAGCTTCGCGGGGTCGCGGCCCTCGGCGAGGTCGAGCCAGTGCTGGAAGTGGTCGCCCATGTGGTGCCCGCAGAAGGGCAGCATGGCGAACGGATCGTGGCGCAGCGTGCCGACCTTCCCGGCGGCCGCGGCGGTCGTCTCGGACGACACGGACGCGCCCATGAAGACGCCGTGCGCCCACGTCTCGGCCTCGTGGACCAGCGGGACGGTCGACTCGCGGCGCCCGCCGAAGATGATCGCGGAGATCGGGACGCCGCCGCCGAGCTCGAAGTCGTGCTGCTCGAGCACGGGGCAGTTCGCGGCGGAGGCCGTGAACCGCGAGTTCGGGTGCGACGACACGCGCCCGCAGTCGGGCGTCCACTCCTCCCCCTTCCAGTCGATCAGGCGGTCTGCAGCGCGCACGGGAGAAGGAAGACGTCATCGGCCGCCGTTTCGTGCGTCGGGGGAGGCGGCTGGCCGGGGGTGATGGTCGCGGCGTGTGTCATACCTGGGGGGGTGTCGGTGAGTCCCTCCCACCAGACGTCGCCGTCCTCAGTGAGCGCGACGTTCGTGAAGATCGTGTCGCGCGCGCACGTCGCGAGCGCGTTCGGGTTCGTCTTCGCGCCCGTGCCCGGCGCCACGCCGAAGAACCCGTTCTCCGGGTTGATGGCGTACAGCCGCCCGTCCTCGCCAAACCGCATCCACGCGATGTCGTCGCCGAGCGTCTCGAACTTCCACCCGGGGATCGCCGAGTTCAGCATCGCGAGGTTCGTCTTCCCGCACTGCGACGGGAACGCCGCGGCCAGGTACACCGGCTCGGAGTCCTCCCCCGGGGGCGTCGCCTTGGTGATCAGCATGTGGCACGCCAGCCAGCCCTGGCGGCGGCCGATCACGCTCGCGAGCCGCAGCGCGAAGCACTTCTTCGCCAGCAGCGCGTTGCCGCCGTACCCCGACCCGAACGACCACACGCTGTTCTCCTCCGGGAAGTGCGCAATGTAGGTGTTTTCGGGGTTGCACGGCCAGCGGGCGTCCTTCTCGCCCGGCTGGAGCGGGCGGCCGACGGAGTGCAGGCACGGGACGAAGGTGCCGTCCGCCGGGAGCGCGTCGAGCACGCGGGCGCCCATGCGCGTCATGATCTGCATGTTGATGGCCACGTAGGGCGTGTCCGAGAGCTCGACGCCGTAGCGGGCCATCGGGGAGCCGACGGGGCCCATCGAGAACGGAATGACGTACATCGTGCGGCCCTTCATGCAGCCTGCGAGCGGGCGTCCGTGCGGCGGCGAGGTGAGCCAAGGCAGCAGGGCGTCGACGCCACTTGTGCGGCGCGGGGCGCGTGCGCACCCTTGAAGAGCTTGGTGAGCTTCTGCTTCATCTCGCCCGGGTCCTTCCAGTTGTTCGTCGGGCCGGCGTCGGCCTTGTCCTTGGAGCAAATGAAGGTGCGCTCCTCGACGCGCGCCACGTCAGCCGGGTCCGAGCGCGCGAGGAAAGAGTTTGGCCGGAGCTGCTCGTTCAGGCGGATGAGCGTCCCGGACTGGCACATGAACTCCGTCAGGGCGTCCCACTGCCGCTGGCTCCCGTCGCAGAAGTACAGCTTCTCCGGCTCGCACAAGGCAATCATCTGCACCGCGCCAAACACCCAAAACCGACTCGTTTTCCGCGCGAAATCGACCCAAGGTGCGCGGGCTGCGGCGCCGCGCGGCAGCGACGGCCGCGCGGCGCGCGCAGCGCGATCCTCGTCAGCCACGGGGCCTTGCTTGTTCCAAGCACCCACCTGCTTGAGCCAGGCCCGCAGCTGGCGGTTGCTGGTGTACAGCTCCAGGTCGGCGACGTCGACGTCGACGAGGCCCGCAGGCCGCTGGACCTTGGGGGACCGCACGGGGTCGGCCCGGGCGTTCTGGGGGACGGAGAGGACCTGCGCGCGGCGGAGCGGGGATCCGCAGCGGATCTCGCGCGGTGGGTGTGCCGGCGTGGCGACGCGCTGGTGGTGCGTGGCGCGCGGTGCCGCGGGGGGCGCCTCGTCATCGCGCGGCGCATCTCGCGGGGGCGGGTGGGATGCTGCGAGCGCGGCTGGGGCCGCGGCGGATGCGGGCGCGCGGTGCGCGGCGCGCAAGGGGGGCAACAGCGGCGCCCGCTCGCCGTCCTTGTCAGCAGCGTCGGTTGGCGCGACACGCGTCATAATTGCGGCGCTAGGCGGCGCATCGGGATGGTTCAGTGCCCATGCGACCGCGCGAGGTGAATGCCGGCTGGAACAGCGCCGTGTGAGAGCGAAAACGCGGGGCTAGGCGCACGGCGGGTGCGCCGTAAGCACGCGGCCACGGCGGAGGGCTGTCAGCGCACCGATCCGGGTGTGCAGTGTGCGCGAAGTCGTGTTCGCATGCAGGGCAAGGCGTACCTGTGGCGCGCCCATTGCTCCGATGGCTTTGCGCGAGCGTGCGGCGCTGGTGGCGGTTGCCCGGCGGCCGGCGCGAGGTGGTGGCTGGGGTGCTGCGGCCCGGTGGGGTCCGTACGGGGGCCGTACTACGCCCTGGGAGCTAGTGTTCCTGTGAAGCAAGTGCCGGGGAGGGCCGGGGCGCGCACCGAATGAGCAGCGGGGGCGTAGTAGGCGGCGAGGGGTGTGAAGGCTGTCTCGAGGCTCCGAGTGCTGACGAGGCACCCCTCAACGGCCGGGACGGTCCCGCTGCTCTGCGCGCGGGGCAACCCCTTGGAGGCGCGCTCCGGGGCGAAACTAAGGCGCACAGGGAAGTCTGCGCGCGCGCGCGGCCGGGGGACGCCGCGAGCGGCGGGCGGGGCTGGGCGCGCATGCTGTCCAGCCGTTTCGTGACGCGGACGCGGAATTGGCGCCGGGCGGCGGGCGCTGCGGCGCGCGCGGGGACAGGCGAGGACTCGACACGCGAGTGCGCGGGTTCTGGCGGGACGTCGCGCGGGCTGCGCGGCGGGGGCGGGGGCGCGGCAGCAACTGGCGGGGCGCACACTTGGACCGCGCTGCGGCGTCGCACACGCGAGCGTGCATCTTGGATTCCTTTTCAAGCGGGTCTTGCGATGGAACATCGATAGAATGTGGCGCCTGTGCGGCGGCCCGCGGGCTCTCGAGGCGCGGGAGGACAGTCGTGGTAACCCCCCTCGACAGCAACACAGGGGACCAGAAGCAATCGAATCGAACACAGCCGCGAACAGCTTTCGGCCGCCAGCAGCACAGCTCCGATCGGGCCAGTACAGGTCTCACATGCGGCCGAGTGCAGCCGTCGTCTCGCGCGCGGGGGCGCGTGGGGAGTGCGTCGTGCAACGTGTGAAGTGCGGCGGTGGCCCGCCGGGGCCGCCGGGCCGCCGCGCCCGCGCATGCCGCCGCGGCACCGTCGGCAAGAATCGCAGAGCGGTGCGGCCGGTCCCGGTCGGGGCCAGCCGACGCGCGAATGAACAAACCACCTGCCGCATGCAAACCCGTGCGGCGCGCGCCGCGGCCAGGCCGGGCGCGCGCGAGAGCCACGGCTTCACGCCTTCAGGTCCGCGACGGCGTCCGCGAACGACAGCGCGTCGAGGCTCTGCCGCCCAGCGGCGTAGAGCAGCTTCCCGGTCTGCAGCGGCCGGAGGATCTTCCGGTACGTGACGAACATCAGCTCGGCGCTCGCGCGCTTCTCGTCCTGGTTCAGCCGCTTGAGCTGCTCGAGGTTGATGTGCAGCTCGCCGCACAGCGCCTGCCGTTCGACGAAGACCTTGCTGGCAAGCATGTCGGGGCCGGCGAGCGACCGGATCGCCTGCATCGACAGCTCCTGCCGCGCGAGCATCAGCTCCTGCGCGCGCCGGCGGAAGCGGTCGCGCATGTCGACCACGCGCGCCCGCTGGTCGGCGTCCAGCGCCAGCGACGCGGCCACCGCCGCCCAAAGCTTCTTCGCCTCGTCCGGCGGCATCGTCGGCACGACCTCGCGCAGGTCGAAGCCCTGGTCCGCCAGGCACACCGACGCCCGCACGACGTACATGGACGTCGTGGCCAGGTTGCGCACCCGCCGCACGAGCGACTCGCCGTCCGCGCCCGCGACCTCCGCGTTCACGTCCTCGCGCGCCGCGAGCCCGGAGCTCTCGAAGAAGTGCCGGAACTCGTCCATCTGCACCACGTAGAGCCGACTGAGCTTCAGGCCCTTGGGCGCGCAGGCTTCCGGCGCGCTGGCCGAGCCCGGGTGCGCGGCGGCGGACGCGGCGGCGGCGCGGCTGCACGCGGCGTTCGTGAGCGCGATGACCTCGGCGGACATGTCGTGCCCGCCCTCCGCGGCGCTCTCCGGGCCCGCGCGCTCGTCGCGACCCATGTGCTCCAGGTCCTTCGCGAGGTCCTGGACGACGTCGACGATCTCCGCGGGCGTCTCGGCCCAGTTGCCGGACCGCAGGACCGCGGCCTCCATCTCGAGGCGCGACACTTCCGCCTCCTTGAGAGCCACCGCCTGCTGCATAGAACGTTTCTCCTGCTGCCAGGCCGCCATCTGGGCCTCCATGGCCTCGAGCTGCTTGACCTTGCTCGTGAGCTCCTGCGCGGCGCGCGCGGGCGGGGCGGGGACGGTCCGACCGTGCGTGGTGACGCGAAGGGTGCGCAGGGGGCGTCGCGGTGGGGCTGGGGTCGGGGGGGGGCGTACCTGCACGGCGGACTCCATCTGGGACATCTTGTTCTTCTGGCGCTGCTTGTAGCGCGCCTGGGCCTCGCGGTTCGCGATGCGCGAGGCGAGCGTGGCGTAGCGCTTGCCGCCCTTCTTGGCGCTCGCTCCGTCGTCCCCGTCCTTGGCCGCGTCCTTCCCGGTGCTTCTCCGCCCGCCGCGACCCGCACGAGGGGCCTGCTGCTCAATTGGGTCTGCGAAACGCGAGATACGCGACGGGGAGCGCGGGCAAGGAGCCGTGAGAAGAGGCGTGCGCAATCAGCCGTGCGCGGCGCGTTCGGCGCGGTTCCTCGGCGCGGGGCGTCGCAGCGAGGCGCACGCGTGCCAGAGACTCGAACGCGGGCGGTCAGGAGGGCGTTTCGTGCGCGGGACGCCCTCGTAAGAGGAGCTCGGCGCTTAGCTTACCTGTTGGTATCGAGCCCGACGAGTCCCCCGCGGCGTGCTCCTCGCTCGCGCGGTCGTCTTGGACGCTGCAACGGCGCAGGAAACGGATGCGGGCGCTCAGGAGCCGCGATGGGCGCGTCAGGGCGCACAGAGGAAGAGCCAAGTCCTCCGCCGGGCGCGCGAGGCCCAGAACGGCGTCGTGCCGAGCGGACCGTGCTGCCGAGACGGACAAAGAGCGCGACGTGGGCGCGCGTGGGACGCAGCAGGCGCGGCGGGGGGCGCTCACCCTTGTAGAGCGCCACGCGCAGACCTCCTAGTGGCCCGTGAGGCGCGCGTGGGCTGCGCGGAGTGGTCTCCGTCCCCGCTGCTGAGAGGCTGCCGCGTGGTCCCTGCGTCCGGGGCCTGCGGGGCCGCGAACGGCACGTTCAGGCCCGCAGGGACCGGCACCCCCAGAGGCGCTTGCGTGCCAGCGAACGGCATGCTGCCGGCTTGCGGGAGGGCGTCGAGCGACATCGCGGTCGACAGGTCGCCGAGGCCTGCGCCGTAGCCCGCGTTGTTGCCCTGCGGGGCCGACGGGCGAGGGCACGGGAGCACGGTGACGCGAGTTGCGGGCGTGGAACGAAGGGGGGCGTGGCGCGGCGTGTGGTCGCTGCGAAGCGTGCGTGACGCGCGCGGTCGCGGGCGGGGCGCCGGGAGGATGCGGCGGGGCGGTGCGGGCGCGCGAGTTGCCGCGCAGGAGCACGGGAGAGCGTGCGAGGGGTGCGAACCTCAAAGAGACCGCTCTGGAGGCCGTCGATGGGCTTGTCTTCGATCAGGTCGAGAATATCGTCGAAATCGTCCGTATTGTTCACGGCCAGGTCCTCCAGGATGCCCCATTCGGGCCCCATCGATCCCATCGTGCGCACCACCAGCTTAGGTTAGCGCGCAAGTGCTTCCTCGCGGCTTATATTTCCCCAGCCTCCGGGCAACGCAGCTCGCGGAATATTTACCGTGCGCCGCGCGCGGCCGCGGCCATCGGCGGCGGCCCTGCGCGCGTCCCCTGGCTCGGGAGGCGTCCTCCAGGTCAGGTGGGCGGGCCAACCCAACCGGCCCCTCCACGGGGCCGCCGCGCGGTCGCTGCGCAGTTCCGCGCCGCCCACGCGGTTCCGGGCGAACTGCTCACGAGCCCAGGAGCGCAAAGAAGCCCACGGCGCGACCGCGATGGCCACGGGGGCGGCCCCACCACCTCCAACGACCCAAGGCCGCCTGCCCGCGAGTCGAGCGGCTGGGACGGCCGCGGTCCTCTTCGTGTGCTCGCCGTCGACGTCAGCCGCGAACAGCACCCGGACGACGCCCCGCGACGACCAGGCCGCGCCGCCCCCGGCGGAGAGAGTCTTTCCAGAGCTAAGATACAGAGTGCTGCAGTACTTCGATGCGTGAGGACGAGCGGCTCTGCGCAGAGGGGGCAGGAGGAGATGCGGGAGCTGGCCCGAGGAGGGCGGAGCTCGGGCGGGGGCTGGCGGCGCTGCGGGGGGAGCGGAGGCAGGATGGGGCAGGGGCACGGCCGCGCGAGCGGGCTGTGCGGGGTCGGACGAGCGACGTGCGTGACGGATCCGGGGACCCAGAGACTCAAAGACGAACCAAGATGGCGAGAAAAGGCGCCAGGACGCAGGAGAGCGACGAGGAGGTGCAACAGCTTCGTGGCAAATGTGCTCGCCGCGGCGCGGGCCGTGAACAGTCAGGGCCGAAAAGGCGGCTCCATATGTGACAACTCTATAGACTCGACGTCCACGCACGCCTTCATCGCCGTTTCGGGCCCGGACCGCGCCGCGCAGCCGGAATGATTAATTGAGGGCCAATCCTCCTTCTTCTCGTCCCCGTGTCGCCCAGATCCGCTCTCACGGGCAGGCGACGCGCCGGCTCGCTCACTTGCGCAGGGGCAGCGCGCGGGGGCGCGCGGGGGCGCGCACGGGGCGGCCGCCGCGGCCCCGGATGACTGAGAGCGAGGGGGAGAGGGGTGAGGACACTGAGGTCGCGTTGCGGCGCCTGGGAGCCGCGCGCGGCCTGATGGCGCCGCGGACATCGCCCTCAGAAACAGAATTTCGAATCTGGGCGAGTTCCCGGGGCGCTCGTCGAGCTACAGGTGCGTTTGCGCCCACCCCCGAATGCGACCGTTCGCTCTTCGAACGGAGCGCGCGCCCTTCCGCCGCAAACACGCCGGAACCCCGCCGCGTCGCGATTATCTACTAATGAACTCTCGGTGGCGCGCGCGGGTCTCGCGTTCGCGCGCGCGTGCGGGCCCGTCGCGCCGGTTCAGAAAACCTACAGACCAGTTGGTCATTGGGGAGCGCGCCGCGGGCGGTCCGTGCGTCCGGCGGCGCTGACCGCGGCCTAGTACGACAATGCCGGGCCATGTCCCCCTCGTCGCAGGTCTCGGGGCCCGAGTTCCTCGCACCGTTTCGCGCAACGGAAGCAGTGGTTCGTGGCCAAGAGCATTTGCGGTTCCGAGCGACACACGATGTTGACGCGCGGGTCGATCGACGCCCAGGCGGACGTGAAAAAGACCATCTCGTACGGGAGCGTGGCCGCGGTGCACTCGCGGGGCTCCGAGCCGCAGAACAGCGCGTACGACCCTTCGGTCGGGGAGCGCCCTTCATCGCTCGTTTCCTCGCAGACCGGCGTGTTCTACGCGGCTCCCGCCGGCCAGGACGGCCCGAAGAAAGATGGATTCTGCCTGTGTCCGGAGCTCATGTCGGATTTCGGCAAGTTCGGGCTGCCGCTCGACTCGGACCCCACCAAGGTGGAGGGAGGCAGCGTTGCCAGCGACGGGCGCACGATCCCGTCCCCCCAGGCCAGCGCCGGCGCAGGTTCCGGCTCCTCGAATTCCCCCGCGCAATCGGAGAAGATGCGGACGAGCGTCGAGGCCTCCTTCACGCCCGACAGTACGTTCCTGGCCCCGTGCTCCTCAGCGCCGCGGCCAGCCCCCAACCAGCCGTTCCCCGCGCGATCCGCACCAAAACCGCCCCTGGAGACCTCGAACTCGCATTCGCGCTGCAATGCGCCGTCGCTCTCGCCCGGGTCCGGCGTCCCGCGAACGGTCGTTTCCAACAGAAAGCGAGACACGCCCACCCACGTCCCCGTGCGTCGTCCCGTCGCAGAATGTGCGCCGGCCCCGGAAGCACCCACTCCGTACGAGGCCAAGGACGCGGTCGCGACGGCCGCGGGCGGCGACGGGGCCGCGGGCGGCCTCACGCTGGACCACCTGCGCGTGTACTTCCACCTGCCGATCGAGGAGGCCGCGCAGCACCTCTCCGTCGGCCTGACCGTCCTGAAGAGGATCTGCCGCACCCTCGGCATCGCGGTGCGCCGCCCTCGCGCCGCCCGTCCTGCCGTCGTGCTGCAGTGCTGAGAGCTGCGCGCTGTGTCCCGGGCGGCCCCCGCGCGCGCTGCGTCCCACCGCGGCTCCTCCCGCTTCGTTCCCGCCCGCAGCGCTGGCCGTTCCGGAAGCTGCAGTCCCTGCAGCAGCTGATCGACCGCATCTCGGAGGAGGCGCAAAACTGCCCCCCCTGCCAGGAGCTGGAGCAGGCACTCAAGATGCTGAAAGACAAGTACGACGAGCTGCTGCAGGACCCCACGCGCGACCTCGAGCCGTCCATCCGGAAGCTGCGGCAGTGGAAGTACAAGGACGACTACAACACGCGTCGCGTGAGTAACCCCCGACTCAGGGTCCTCCGCGCTGCGCTGCGCCCTGCCACGCCTTGCATCGCACAGCCCGTGGTAGCGCAGGCCCAGTGCGCCGTGCCCGTCCGGCGGCGCGCCGCGCGCTGTAGTGGCGCGTGCGTTGCGCGGGTGGGCTTCGCGTCCGACGAGGCGTTGCCGCGTGTCGCGCTCGTGCAGGCCGCGCGGGCGGAGTCCGCCACGGAGACGGAGTGCGACAGCGAGTTCGAGGTCGACCAGGGCAGCTGGTCGCCGAAGCGGCCCTACTCGCCGTCGGTGGCGTCCTCGCCGCTGCGCAACGAGTCCGGCAAGGTGGTCAAGTTCCACCGCCGCGACCGCCAGAAGAAGCTGCGGGCCATCGCGCTGGCCGCCACGGAGCAGAACCACGCGCCCGCGCCAGGGAAGGCCTCCCCGCGCTCCGTGCGGCGCAGCGTCTTGCGTATGGCCTCGGCACCGGGCGACTCGAAGACGATCGGCTCCGCGGGCTCCCCGACCGTCTCCGCGGGCACGCCGTCGAGGTTCGCCGTCGCGGCGCGCGGCAACGGCGGCCGCCCGCAGCGCATGTGCCACTCTGCGGTGGAGCCGGCGATGCCGGTGCTTCCTGTGCCGAAGCTCCCTCGCACGGCCAGCGCGATCATGAACGAGACCGCCGACATGCTCGCGCACGCGGAGATCGGCGACGGGACGCCGCGGGGCGCCGCGGGCGGGTACATGCAGCTCGTCGACAACGGTCCTCTTCCGTTGGGCGGCGGGCCCGTCGACCTCGCCGGCGGCTTCGACGCCCAGATCATGGCGCTCGACGCTGAGCTCGTGCCCGAGGGCTCCTTCGGCCACAAGAACGGCGATCTGCCGGACTTCCCCCCTTGCGATGACGCGTCGAAGCTCCTGCTGCCGATCCCGCCGCCGTTCGTCGAGTGCGGGGAGCTCGGCGAGCTCGGGATCGCCGACCGCGACCGCGACGCTGCGCTGCGCCGCTGGGACGTCATGATCAGCGACGACGTCCTCCCCCTCTGAGTGCCCCACAGCGCCGACACCAACACCCCCCCCCCGCGCCCGCCCGATCCACCCTTCCCTCTTGCACCGGTCCCGCGGGGCCGTTCCCTCGCCCCGCCTTGCCCGCCGTCTCCGCATCATCCTTGCCTGACTTCCCTCATTGAACAACACGCAGACAAGATTGTGCGCTGGTTAGTTAGTTGCATCAGGCCCCACACCACTGAGAACCCCCCGACAGGCATTTTGTGTCCCGCTCCTGCTTTCAGCAGTACGCGTCGGAGCCTGACGGACCCGAACCCCGCGGAAACGCGCGGGGCGGGGTCCGCGTCACGACGAAACGTGATGCCGCAATGTCCAACCGGCATCCTGCAGTTACCTCTGCAGTTCACACCACGCTCTGCGCGCAGAGACTCACCGCCATTGGCGTTTCCCCGTCCCTCCCCTTCCCCCCCTCCCTCCCCCCTCCGTTCTGGCTGCGCTGCACACGACCCTTGTCACCACGGCGTGTTGCTCGACGCTCTTTGACGAGCTTTGACGAGCTTTTTGGATTTGCACGGCAGCAGTATGAAACGCCAGTCAGACCGGAGGAACAACCCTCCTCTGAGCCCCGGAGCACCAAGTAACCAGCGCCAGCCTGCCGAGGGTGTGTTTCGCGACCCTCTGTTTCTCCTTGCGACACCCCTCCCTGTCGTCAACACGTCGCTGAAGCACCCCTTTCCAACCCCCAGCCTGGAAACTCTTACACCCCCGGCGAGCTTCTCCCTGTACGGCATCGGCAGTCCGTTCGCGCTGCTGTGCCCACTCGCCAACCCTCCTGCTTGCTCCGCGCCCCCGATGTGCCCCACAGCGGGCGCCCGGGGGACATCTGCAGTGCACATGTTGCAACGATGCGCGCGCGACAGGGCGCCCAAAGCGGACGCACCGACCCCGTCCTCACAACCGCCCTTTGCGTGAACAACACAGTTGCGGCGCAGTTCTCATCGCGCGCACAACAGCTGCGCTGCGGCCCGCCGGCAAGGCCACGCGCCACGGCTGCGTTCCATCCCCCAGTTCGGGATGCGGCGTCACCTGGCTCGACGTGCCGCCTCATGTTCACATTCGACTTCCCGCATGCGCCACACCGGGCGCCCGCGCGAGACTCGTCATTTAGCCTCCTCCGCCGCCTTGCCCCCGCGCTGCCAACTGATGCCGCGACCCCCTCCCGCCCGCCCACCCCGCCTCTACCCCCGTAGACAGACATCGACTCACGTGCCTCCAACCCTCCCCGATTTTCGCGCGCCCGTCGCGGCGCCCGCCCTGCACGTGTGATCCACACTTCCGCGCCCCGGCACTCACACGCGCTACTTCTTCCCCGCCTCCTTTTCCGCCAGATTCAACAGCAGGCTGTCTGCACTCAAGTAAACCTTGTTGGCGCTCGCGCTCAGCGTCGCCGCGATCTCCTTCGCCGCCTCGATCTTCCGCAGCGTCAGGAACGCCGGGTTCTGCTGCACCGCCTGCCCGATCAGCTTGGCGCTCTGCGCCTCACCCTGCGCGCGCACAATCGCCTGCTCCTTCTCTTGCGCGGCGCGCGTCACGATGAACTTCGCGCGCTCCGCCTCCTGCTGCGCGACCTGCTTGGCCTCCACCGCGGCCGTGTACTCCTTCCCGAAGCGCAGGTCCGTGATTGCCACGTCGTCTAGGACCAGGTTGAAGTAGCGCGCCCGCTCCGTGAGAATGCGACGGATCTCCTTGCTGACCATCTCGCGCTGCGTGAGCAGCTGCGACGCGTTGTACTGCGCGATGACCGACTTGAGCGTCTCGTGGATGATCGACGGCAGCACGCGCTCCGCGTAGTCCATACCGAGGCGCCTGCGACGCGGGAGGTGAGTGGCGCCGGGGGGGTGAGCGCGGGCCGGATAGATGCGTGGGACGGCGACGGAGGTGATCTTTGATGAGCGTGAGGTCGTGTCGGCGCGCGGCGCGGCCGGAGGAGCGCGGGGCGCGGCGGGGCGGCGCTCTGAGGGTCGCGCGGGCGGTGCGCACCTGTAGATGACCGGGAGGGCCTCGGGGTCCGGGCGCGTGAGGACGCGGAGGCCGAGGCTGACCATCTGGAGGTCCCGCGAGCCCGAAGTCGAGGTGATCGTCTGCGGGTGCGCGCGGACGTCGTAGGTGATGGGCCTCTCAACCCAGGGCACCATGAAGTGAGTCCCCTCCTTGTACACCTGCGTCAGGGCCGCGGGCGCGCGGCGGTGAGATGTAGACGCGTGTATCCGCGCGCCGGACGAGGGTGCGGAGCGCGATCGCCCGCGGGGACGCCCCGCGAGACGCAAGGGGTGATGGGTGGAGAGGCGGGCGTGCTTGGGGGGTGCGGCGGTGGGGAGCGCGGGCTCACCGTCTCCTTGATACCCACGAACCGGTTGAAGACGATCGCCCTGTGACCGCCCTCGACGTTGAACAGGCAGTTGTTGGCCCCGTAGAGAAGGCCCCCAGCAGCCATGAGGACGGGCACGAGCCGTGCCGCCCCGGCCGGCCCTATCGGCATAGCCATCTCGTTTGGTCAAAAACCGAGCGCCGCCTGCAACACCCTCCCGCGGGCCCACGTCCCCGGCGCGACGCAGACGTCTCTGCTGAGCTCGGCAGAAGCCTCTCTTTCCACGATCGCGGATATCTAGGTCGCTGGATCCCACCGGCCCGGTTCAGAGTGGCTCCCGCGCCGCCTCGCGCCGCCCCCTCGACCCCGGGCGACCCACCACGGCCCGCCAGGGGTGCACACACACCACGCCTCCAGTCTGTCGCGGGTTCCAGACCCCCCCAGTGCGTTTCGGGCCCACTTCGCCCCCCCAGCCGGACCGTCAAGCGCACACCGATCTCCTGGATGCGTATCTGGCGGTGCGACTCCCCCCAGACCCCCCCGGGACGCGACGAGCACAGCAGGCGCTGCGGGGCGACCAGCATGGCCGCGACGCGGGAGCTCAAGATCAAGACGGGCGTCGTCAAGCGGACGCACAAGGAGCTCGGGCTCTACAAGAAGGAATCGGAGCGCGAGGCGGGGAAACTCGAGACCATGAAGGGCCAGGGAGCGGACGAGCACGACGTTCGGCACCAGGTGCAACGCTGGGCGTGCCCGCCCGCTCACGGCCACCACAAGGGGCCTTCCCGCTCCGTGCAGCGAGCACTAGTTCCCACCTAGCGGCCCCGGCCTCCCGCCGGCCGCGAAACGTCCGCACCGGCCCGGAGAGCGCGAGGGGACGCGGCCCAACAGCTGCGCAGCGCTCTCCTGCGGGCCACATGGCGGGAGGCCTGCCCTGGCCGGTTCCCGCGCGGAACGCCCACGCACGGCGGCCTCCGTGGCGCAGAGATCGTCTGCGCGCGACTTCCGCCGCGGCGCGTCGCGTGCGCGGCCGGAACTGCGCGTCGCGGAGCACAGGGAGCAGCGAGTCTGTGTCGCGCGCGAGGGGCGCGGAGCGGCCCGAACGAGCCCGCCGTTCGTGCCGTCGCCTCGCAGGAGAACGTGCTGCACGAGAGCAAGATGATGATACCGGAGACGGAGCAGCGGCTGAAGACGGGCGTGGCCGAGCTAGATGCATGCTTGGTGTGCGCCCGCGCGCACGGCGACGGTCGCTCGCATGCACCGCCGCCTGCGCAGCGGCCTGCCGTCCTCGCCGCCTCGCTTCCCGCGCGTCCGGGTGTGCCCTGAGCGACGCTGGGGCCGGCCGCGGTTTGGTGCAGGGCGACTTTGATGCGGCGGACGAGCAGGAGGACGTCAAGGTGGCGCGGGAGGTGCTCGCGGCGGCGAAGGAGACGCTGGCGGCGGAGTGAGGCGTCGGACGGGCGGGGGGGGGGGCGGAGGCCCTTACAGCGGCATCAGGGTTGGCGCTTTCCACTTAGGCGGTGCTGCTTGTTGTTGTTCGCCGACCTACAGGCACCCTCGCCGCGAGGAGGCTTGAGCGACCGAAATGGTGCGGCAGGCGAGACTCATGCAGCAGACGCGGCAGACAATGTGAGCAGTCATGCGTGTCTGCTTGTACTTCGTACACGACACGGGTTAGTTCTTCGCTGACCTACAAGCACCCTCACGGGTGGGTGATGCGGCACGGTCGGCGATCGGGTCACAGTACAGCGAGTATGCTCCCCTCCGTATGACGTTGGTCGTCCATCAGTCAGACGGGGCTGCGTGGAGAACAAGGCAGTGCGGGGGGTCTGCCAGAGAAAGCAAGTTGCAGGCTTTGCACGGCACGGTCTTGCGGCGCGCGCTTCTAGGCTGGGTGTGCTGCAAAGGGGGAAGCGGCGGGGAGAAGCTACTGCGAGGGTGCAAAGGGAGCGTCGGCCGCTCCAGGTGTAGGTGGTGGTCAACGTCATCGGCCTGTGTCGGTCGTGTCAAGGTAGCGAACTGCGCAGAGGCCGCGCTGGAGGAGGGCGCTGGGTTCGGAATGACCCGGGTCCACCAGTGAAAGCCTTCGTTGGGCATTGGGGGTGTGTTTGGCAACTTGTGTGTGGGGGGGGTGAACTTTGTGGGAGGGGAGGGGAGTTTTGGTTGCACGTGGGACGGTGCTGCACGGGCACCTCGTTGTGCACCGAGAAGCCCCGGACCGCCGCTCACTGGCCCTGCTTTGTGCGCAGGCAGCCCAGCAGGCACGGTCCCCCACGCATGCTGTCCGTAGGCCAGGGCCCAGCGATGCATCGGGGGAAGGGGGGGACATGCATATCACGTGCTACCGCACGGACGATTCGGGGGTGTGGGGGGGGCAAGGGACGGCACCAACGGTGTGCAGGAGAGGCCCGCTGCGACGGCGTAGGGGGTGTTTCAGGCGACGGTGGGGCGTTCAGGAACTTCGGGCTTGGGTCCTGCCACATTCCGTAGCGAGCAACTGCTGGGTGTCGGGCTGCGAGGGGCGGGCTAGGTGGCTGCGAGGAGCACAGCGACGGCAGTGCGCGCTCGTCGGTTCAAGAGTCATGACCGGGGGCTCGCGCAGCCCGCCACGGCGCACCGGGGGGCGCGCTGTCCAGCTCCGTGGTTGCATCGATCGATCGCGCATGCTGTTTCCGCGCGTGCCGCGGGATGTTCTCGGTTCGGCCGCGGTCTCAAGTCAAGTCAACTCAACTCTCAAGCGTCGGTGGGTGGGGGTGTCGGGGGGGCCTGCGTCTGGAGGGGCGAGGGGGCACGCATGGCGCCGCTGGTCGTCGTCGGCGGCGCGCCCAGCCCGGCGCTTCGTCCTGCGCAACGACAACGCGCGGTCCAAGGCCCGCGCAAGAGGCGCCGCCGCGCGGCTCCGTCAGATCCTCGGGGCGGCGCCGAGCGGCGCCATCGACCCTCCCGCGCGCGCCATGAGCGCCGCGGACGGGTCCCGGCCCCGCAGGTGGTACCGCGAGCCTGACGTGTTGCGCTGCCAGATGGAGTGGCTCCGGTCATCGACCGCCCCGGCCGGGCAGGCGGTGCTGCGGCGCCCGTCCGTCCGCACGATGCCGCTCCCGCCCTCCGCGGCCCCCGCGCCGCCCAGCGAAGGCGCGTACGCCTGCGTGGTCGTCTGCTGCTTCGCCTGCGCGTACGCCTTCTCCTTGGCGTCCGTGAGGCTCCCGCGGCGCTGCGACTGCTTGCGCATGATCTCGATGTTCCTGCGCGTGACCGTGCTCTCCTCCACCGCCGCACCCGCGCCCGCGCCCCCGTCCCCGTCCTCAGCGAGCTCCTGCGTCACCGCCAGCCTGTCGCCGTCCGACATCTCCGCGCTGCCGCGCTCGTCCTCGTCGTCGTGCGCGGCGACGGCGGCTGCACAGCGCGGCGCGGGGCGGCGACGGTGGGGACCGGAAGAGGCATGAAAGTCGCGGGACGGTGCAAAGCAACGTCGAAGCATGTCGACGCCCGCTGCGACAGCGGAGGATCGACGGGGACGTGCCTTTCCCGACGAGGCAGCCGGCGTGCGTGCGCGAGTACTTCTTGCCGTCCGCGGGCTCGTTTTGCCCGGCACGGGAGTCCCGGGGCAGCTGAATGCCGCCCAGCATCTTGTCCAGCATGGGGGCGCTGGCGCTCCGCGCCTCGACGAGCGACCCGTCGTCGCTGCTCGGCGCGTCCGCCTCGTACGCGGGGCCGCCGACGGGCTCGCGGGCGCCCGCGGGCAGGGCGATGCCAGGGCACAGAATGCTGTCGGTGTCCACGTCATGCTGCTCGGGCCTCTGGAAGCTCTCTGGCGCCCCTTGCGCCTGGAACCTCGCGGGCCGGAGTCGGAGGACGGGCTCGTCCGGCCCGGTCCTGCGCGGAACGCGACAGCGGGCGCGGGCGTGGTCAGGTGGCTGGTGAAACCAGGCGAGTCAACGCGGCAGGGCGCTGCGTGGCGCGGACGCGAGAGGCGGCGCGCGGAGTGGCATGCGTCGGGCGGGGCCGTGGCGTTCCGGCGACGTCGCGGCGGGGCGCGCGGGCCCGGCGGAGCGCCGTCGTGAGCGCCGTTGGTGCGTACCAGCAGTTGGTGGCTCCGACGCTGCCTGCGTCGCTCTCAATCATGGCGCCGAAGCGCCGCCGCCGGGCGACGAACGTGCTCGCTTGCTCTGTGGCCGAGGCGAGGAGCACGTCCGCGACCTCCCGTGGCAGGTGGCCGCCGGGGGACCCGCTGTCTTGGCGAGTGTGCGTCCGGGAGGTCGGCCTGCGCGCGAGAATGCGGCAGCGACGACGTCGGCGGATGCGTGTGCGGGCGAGAAACGAGCACGTCGCGTTTGCGCGGGGCCAGCCGACCGCGGCGAGCGGAACTCGGCAGCCACGCGCGCGAGCACGTTCGATGCGCAGGGCCGCTCGAGGGCCATCGCCGGCCGCAATGGCAGGCTGTGCGGCGAAGACATGGGCGAACCACGTCACGGGGCAACGTCGACGCGCGGCCCAGTTGCGCAGACGAGGGCCAATGTGTCATGGTGTTGAACCCGGGCGCTCCCGCGCAGAGACCGCGTCTCCGGCTGAGCGTCCCCGGATGAAAGGAGCTCATGCCAGCATCAGCCAACTGCGACCGGTTCGTTCCACGCGCGGGCCGGGAAACACGCGGCGCGGACACCTCGTGAAGCGAAGCCGTTCACGCACCTCGCGAAACACCCGAAGAGACCCATTTTCCACCCTTTCCGCTTGAAACAAATCGACGCTCGCAATGGACGACTTCTGAGCGCCCAGCTCCTCTCGCCCGGAAGGGGAGAGCGCCTCACAAAAAGTTGGCCTGGCCGCGGTCTCTACGCGCGCTGTGCAGCGCCAAAAGCGTCAGCCGCTGACTTTGCCGCGTTCCTGGTGCGTTTGCAGCCACGCGCTCGCGCCGCCCGCGCCCATATGCTCCCGGCGGGCAGCCCCGCCAACTGACAGCAGTAAGCGTGTGCCTGAGGCAGGCGCTGCCTCGCGCCGGGTGCCGCAGCGGCCACCGCCTCCGTGCAGGCAGCACCGCCGCGGCCGCCCAACCGCCCCCGCCACCTCAACACCCACCACGCGCACCTCCGCCCGCCCATGCAACACCACGTCAACACACGCATCATCAGCCGGCAAGGTCCCGAGTTGCCCGGTGCGGCGCACCGCTGCGCCGGCGCGTCGCGAGGCCCTCAGACGCTCGGCACGCGGGGCGGCCGCCGCGCATCCAGCCCCGCTCAGCTGGATGCGTCATCACGTGCACGTGGCGTCCGCGTGATCTTCGGAGTTGCGGCGTCGGCCCGCGGCGCCGCCTGCCCGCGCATCCAGCGCCCCGCCCGGATGCCGGGTCCGCGGCCCGCAGTGCGAAGGGCGGCCGTCATGTCCCGGCTGATGTTGCACCTCGGTGGCAGGGCAGGTGTCGCGAGCGCGCCTGCGGGCCCGGCACGGAGGCGCGAGTGCAGAGGTGAGATCTGGGGGAGGGAGCGGGCACCCTCTGCTGCAGATCCGAGGCTCTGCGGGCCGCGCGCGGGGCGGGGAGGACTGAACACCTCGCCTCAGGTGCCGTGGTGGCTTCCGGCGCGTGCGCGGGGCCCCGGGGCCTGAAGGCCGCCTTGGCAGGGCCGCGTCGCTCAGAAAGGCGCGCGGAGAGCGCGGCAAGGAACGAGAGAAGTGAGGTGAAGCAGCGCGCCGAAAGGTCCGTCCGTGCCCACTTGTGTCAAATCATCGCCGTTGGCGAGACCTGTGTGCCAGGAGCGCCTTGGACGCTGCGCCGCGTGCACCTTTGGTGCGAGGCACCGCTCGTGCCGCGCGCATAGGCCGTGTGGCGGCGGTTCCGAGCAGCCTGAGCCGTTGGCGCACTGCGACAGGAGTTACGCGGACGGCGCGCCGCTGAGCCGTCGAACGAGCGCTTTCGCCTTCCCGCGGCGTGGATGTGCGTATTGTCGTGCCCTGGCGGTGCATTGGACGGCCGCCTGGCAGCCGCCTCGCACAGAGCGCGCCACGATGTGGGCCACAGCGTCTTTTTGGCGGACGCGTATGCGTGGCCGCCGTTCGGGCGCGACGACCCCGACATCGGCGATGACCACGAAGTCTTGCACAGCGCCGATTGCGAAGCGCTACGTTTCCACGCTCATGCGCGCAGGGAGGGATGCTGTTCCGACCCTAGCCAAGGAGACTCGACGATGCCCATCATTCAGCGCCTGCGGGCGGCTTTCAGAAGAAAGAAGGAAGAGCCTTCAGGTGCGCACTCTCGCGGAGCCCGCCACGCCCGCATCGCCGCGCTTTGACCGAAGACGTTGGCCGCCTCACGTCATGCCTCCGCGCCCGCGAACCGCAGCTCGACAGGACACGCTACAGAATGACGCGTTCAACCCAATCCTCGGGACGGACCTGTGCCCGCCCAAACTGGCCCTGGACCCCTCGATCACGTCGCAAGAGGCGAGTTGCTCCTACAACAGACAGAAATCGCATCGCGCTCTCCTCGCCACCAGTGCCGTCGAACCCGCCCAAGACCGCCCGCCGCGCCCACATACGCACTATCCGCGGGCCCAGGGCCCACTCCGCGCCAGCCAGGCCCCCGCGGCGGGCCGCAGGCGCCGGTCAACACCGCTCCAGCCTCTAGCTTCGTATCAACTGCCGCACCCTCGCGCCCCCGCGCGACCGCCGCCGCGGAACCGCCTCGCCGCGCCGCCCACCTCCCCGCAGGTCCGGCCCGTCGGCAGCCCCGCGCATGCGCGCCCAGGCGCGCCCGGCGGAGCGCACAGCTCCCGCCCGAGCTCGGCGGCAACGGACTTCCGGTCGCCGCCCTCGCAGCGCCAGGCGCTGGCGGACTGCCGGTGGTTCATCACGTCCCGGGACTGTCCCCCGGACATGGCGCGCGACGTCTTCAGCGTCCACCAGTTCGTTCCCATTCGAGAGATTGGTTCCGGCGCAAAGTCGCGCGTGTGGCTCGCGGAGGACACCATCTCCGGGCGCGTGGTGGCGTTCAAGGTGTACGACCTGTGCGCGATGCACCAGGCGGAGATCGACCAGCTCCCGCACGAGGCCCGCATCCACGCGCTCCTCCCTGCGCACCCGCACGTGTTGCCGCTCCACGCGGCCTTCTGCGACTGGCAGGCGTGCTACTTCATCATGGAGCCCGCGCGCGGGGACCTCACGTCCATGTTCCTGGACCCCCGCGAGGTCGGCGAGACCCAGTTCGTCCGCCGCGTCGTGCTGCCCCTCCTCGCGGCGCTCGACCACCTGCACTGCCACGCAGTCATGCACCGCGACGTCAAGCCGGAGAACCTCGTCTTTGGGCAGGTGCGGAGAGACACCGCGCGCAACCCGCCGCCCCCGCCACGCCGGGCGTCGTGCGCAGAGCCGCTGACGAGAAACGCCGCGCGTGCTGGACTGTTGTGCTCGCAGGACGGAATGCTGATGCTGAGCGACTTCGGGTTCGCGGTCAACGTGCGCAGCCGGCGCCCGACGACGCGCCTCGGCACGCTCGAGTTCACCGCGCCCGAGGTGCTCAGCAGCGGGCAGCAGGACGACGGCTCGCAGGCGCCCAAGGCGCTGCGCAACCCCTACACGTTCGCCGCGGACGTGTGGTCCGTCGGGTGCCTGGTCTACGAGGCCTTCGCGATGCGCACGCCCTTCGCGCGCGGCACGCACGGCGACACCGCGCGCGCCATCGACGACGCCGCGTACGTCCCTGCCAAGTGGTCGAGCGCCGCCGCGCAGGACTTCGTGCGGCAGTGCCTCAAGCGGGACCCGACGGAGCGCGCGTCGGTTTCGGCGCTGCTCGAGCACGAGTGGGTCCTCACGGCGACGGGCATGCTGCCGGAGAGCGCCCACGCCGCGCGCCGCCGCGTGGACAGCATCTCGCCGGTGCCGGGGAGCTGCAGGTCGTCGCAGCGAGCGAGCGCGCTGCCCGCGGGCGAGCCGACCTCGTGCGACGCGACGGCCGACCAGAGGACGACCGCCGAGTCGACGAAGTCGGACGACGACGCCGCGAACGACAAGGCGCGCGAGAGCACGGGGACCACCGAGCACGGGCGGGCGCACGCGCCAGACAAGCGCCACGACGGACGCAGGAGCTTCGACGCGCCGCTGCGCGTGCCGGCTGGCCTCGCGAAGGGCCAGGAGCCCAAGCGCAGCGCCACTTCGTACTGCATCGGCGCTGCGTCCACAGCGTGCCCTCCGGCCAACGGGCCCTCGGCGTTCATCGGGTGCGTGCGCGTGCCCACGTTGCTGCTGCTGCTGCACCGCCCCGCGTGCTGCGCCGCGCCTGTGCTCATCGCTCGCTCGCGTTCACTCCACGTGGCTGCGCAGGGCCCGGAAAGGACCGTCCGCGGAAGGGTTCCCTCCGCAGCGCAAGACGCGGCTCAACAGCACGCCGGCGGTCATGCGAGGCGCGCTCGGCCCCCGGTACGGACGGTTCCGTGTCGTCTCGGGCGTGCCGGAGCTCGACCCTGTTGCGCGCAAGCAGGCCGCCATCCAGGCCCTTCGCGAATGAGGCGGCCCCGCACGGGTCTCCAATGCGATTTTGCACTTCCCCCCGCACCCTGCGGCTACCAACCCGCGCCCCCACCCGCCGCGCTTCCACTCCGCCGTGTATGTTTCACAAAACAACGTGTGGAGCGCAACCTCCGACAACGCGCGTCCCGTAACGCCCCTCGCAGAGGGTTCCCTGTTCCCCCATCCCGTACCCCAGCTGTTGCACGGCACAAGTGCCCTCGCTCCACCGAGCACGACGCTGTCTCGCCACCTTTTGGTGCGCGCAAACGGACCAACGACCCCTGCGCCGCCATGCATGCCGCTCCCCTCCTCCCTCCCGTCCCTCTGTTTATCACCAAGATCGCTGCACTGTTTGGCCCCACCGTCTGCACCCTTTCAGAGTGCATTCCTCCAACGCCATATTGTGCCCCCCCCTCTCTGCTTTCAAGGCCCCCCTCCGCAACCCCGCTCCTCCCCTCCGCGGCTCCCCTTCCCTCCAAGTCACACTACCCGTCCCTTCCCCCGTGGCCGAAGCAAGAAATGGCTGGCTGCTCGCAACCATCGCTGCTCGCAACCAGCGGAAGGGAGCACGCGCCCGCCGGCCCCCGGTGCGGCCCGGCCCCTCCACGCGCAGCAGGCCCAAGGCAGCTGCGCTGGCCCCTCGCGTTTGCTCGGCGCAGTCCGTTGCGCGCCCCTGCACGGCCTCTGAGCAGCTAGGCACAAGCGCAGCTCGCACGGACTTCGTCAACGAGGAACGGCGTCGATCGTCCTCCCACCCCGTGACCTGCGCAAGCTTTAGCAGCCGGACACACGGGCGACCAGGGCGCAGAGCTATTCTCGCTCGCTTGTGTCTACGACGGTATGTAAGAACTCTTTGTCGGTCGGGGCCGCATGCGTCGTGCATCTCGCCCCGCGCCTAATGTTCCGCGCCGTCGCGTGGACATCTTGGTGCGGGGTTCGGTTCTGTGCTGTCCCGCTTGATCAAGCGTCGTTGCTGGAAGTTTCCCACCGCAGCTAGGCCACGCGCACGACCGGCGCCCAACTGGCCTGACCGCACTACCGGCTTGCGCGCGGCCCATGCAAGTGCGGGCGGAGGCCTCGCATGGGGCTGACGGGACGTGGACCCGTACCGAAAGTGCCACGCGCCCCCATGCGCCAGTGATGGTCCGCGCTTGCTCTCTCCTGCCTCGCAGGCCAAGCGCTGCGGACGAGGTTCGGCGCGCACGTTGCCGTGGACGAGGCGCTGACTTGGGCCGCACCGGCGCCAGCACGCACGCGCTCACGTGCTCGGTCAGGTTACATTGCTCGGCTTTGTGGCGCACCGCAATCGAAGCGGTGGAGCGAGTCCGTCGAGGTCTGCAAGCCTCTGCGCGGCACGCCCGACAGCGTCACCGCGCGACCGACCGCATGCTGTGTCAGTTTGGCACTCCCATCTGGAAGCGAGGAGCACCACGCAGACGATGCGCAGTGTTGCGGGGGTGAGGGGGGGGGTCAGGGTTCTGGGGGCAAGCGCAGGACAGATGGCTTCGGCCTGCGGAGCCGAAGTCCAAGCTATGTGCACAGACACGTGTCTGAGAAGGGAGGGCAAGGCAAGCGGGGGGGGGTGTCGGGGGGGCAGTGCGAGGAAAGAAAACCGACGTTTTTCGGGGCGGGACGCTCCGCGCGAAATGGTCGAAGGCCGGCAACGCATGTGGCATGGGTCGCGTCAGCTATGTGTCCTATATGCGAGAAATGTGGCCCACGGCGTGTATATTCAAGTTCAGGCTCAGTGGGCGCAGTTGAGCTGCATTGCATGGTTCGCCGCGAGGCGAAGGGCGGGAGTGGCGTGCCGAGGTGCGCACCAACATCTGCTGCATTGTTGGCACTTCGCAGCGTCATGGTTCAGTTTAGTTTGTTGAATTCGTGCCAATGTTATTATTATTATTGTTGTTATACCTGGTTGATGTCAGCGCACTAGGTCCGCCAGGCGCGGGCGCTATGTTGAACGCAGCATGCAGCGTTACGTGCCCCCCGCGCGCGGGGGGTCGCGACAGCCGCGGCGTGTTGGCAGGCGCTGATTGAGTTATGGCCACCAGCTGGCGGCCTGCAGGCAAGCGTGCCGAGCACCTGCCTCCGTTCGGTGCGAGGCTTGGGCGGGCGACGCAAGTTGAGTTCGGCCCAGTGCTCTGGGCCAGCCCACGGGCATGGTCTTCATATGTGGAGAGTGCCACGTGCACCAGCGGGCAGGGGTGCAGGTTAAGTACACGCTAATGCGGGCCGAGCGTCGGCCGGGGGGAGGGGGCTTGAGCGGGGCTGCAGGTCCGAGGCTAATTGCAAGCGGGTAGGGGGGGTAAATGAGGGCAAAGTGGTGCAAACACACTCCAGCGGGCCGGGCGTCGGCCGGGGTTCGAGCGGGGCTGCAGTTCTGCGGCAAATCGTAAGCGCATAGGGGAGGTAAAAGTGCAGGGGGGCACGTGCGTGCGTCGGCCGCGGGCAGCACGGCGACGTGCGCTGCCTGGGCACACACGCACGCGCGCATGTGGGTGCTCAGGAGCACGTCACGTGTGGGACGAGGTTTCCCAGCCGACGCGAACGGTCGGTCCTTCCTCGCTGCGGGGCCGCAGCGACGCGACCTCCGGCTTGTGCGCGTCCACGCCGGAGCCCGCCGCGTCGAGGTCCATCATGTGGACGGCGAGCGCAACGTCGCCGGTCCCGCTGTCGCCGCTCTGCTCCAACAACAGCTCAGGGGCCGGGCCGAAGTTGTATTCGGGCCCCTCCGTCTCGGAGACCGGGAGCGTGCGGCGGTCCTGCGCGGTCGGAGCGAAGATGTCGAACACGTGGCTAGCTCGCGCATCCGGGCACGCGAGCGAGAGCGCCTCGTCGGCGTCGCATGCCTCGAAGATGCTCGACCGGTTGTAGTGCGCCACTGCCGGCGATATGTCGATCCAGGTGCGGCATGCAGGCGGCTTGGCCGAGTCCGCGCGGTGTTCGGGCGCTGGCGGCTCCACGCGGACCGATGGCCTGCAGAGAGCCGAACCGGAAGGGATAATGTCATCTAAAGTCGCGCGAGGCGCGGCGCGCCTGACGCCACGGCCGCCTACAGCCGCGAGCCGGGCGGTGGGAGCCACGCCGCGGTTGCTAGTCTACCGCGACGTCCCACCCGCGCATTAGGGCGTGGCCCGGGGATGGCGCGCTGGACTCGGGCAACTTGGAGCATGCCAGGAGCCAGCAGGTGACCGCGGGCGGTTGCGCGGGGGCCCGGCGGGCCCACACGACGGCACCGTTCACTCGGGCGCTTGCCTGCGTCTGGACGCCATTGTGAGATTAATGCAGCACGGAACTCAAGATTTCCCGGCTCTGGAGATTTCCCTCGACGAGAAATTGGACCGTGGTAGCCCTGCAGAGTCGCAGGAAGGGCGCGAGGTGAACGCATAGCATGTGTCTCGGAGACCCTCCTTTCTCGCCGCTGCGGCGAGTCGGTCACGTATCTGACGGTTCCAACGCTTTACCATGCCTACAATCTACCAGGGTGACCGTGACACGGGGCCCGAAAAGGGATCAACGCGGAGAAACAGCGTCGGCTCGCTGCAACGGCTGCATGGGCTACCGTGCCAATCTGGGGACAAGCTGTGGCCCGCAACTTGTCCCTCGAGTGACCACAGTGCCCAATTCAGCCGCAGCGAGCCGAACGGCACAGGCAGACGCGGCCGAGTGCGGGAGCGCGGGGGGCTAGGTGGAACGTGCCTTCGTGGCAGCAAGCGGCTTCGTGGCAGCCCGTTCAGACCGTTCCTTCGTTCCACTTTGTTCATTGACTTCATGCAAGCGCCCGACTGCGCGCCCCCGACGCTGTCGTGCTGCTACGACTCACCGCGGGAGCCCAGTCAAAGACGGGCCCAGCGTGTGCCAGGACCCCCCCTGCACGGCACGCGGCCGGGCCGCTTGCGCATGCGAAGGGCTGCAGCGCGTGTTGCGTTGCTCAAGAACTGCTGGAGGTGGAAGAGGGCCGCGGAGATGCGGTTGCCCGTCGCAGGAGGCGCTAGATGCACCGGGATTCGGGGGCGCGAAACGGCGCGCAACCGATGCAATGGCGCGGTTTCGCGACCGGCATTGCGCGCAGGATATCTCGCTCGCGCAGGTGAGACGCGATTCCTCGCCGCCCCCTGCGCGCGATCCGCCGAAACAACCGACACGATTCGTTAGCCTCGGCACTCGCCGGCGGGGCTCCGCGTCGCTCGAGCGCGCACCTGCGCCGCCGCTGCGGCCGACGGATGAGCAAGAAACGCGAGCCCGCCGGCGAGTTCGGCCCGTTTCCCACCGCACGCGGGAATCTTCGGTGCTTACCCTCGCCCACCTCTGCCCGGGCACCACTCGTCCTGCGCGCCACGCAGGCCGCATTGCGCGTTACGCGCGGCGACCCACGGCGGCGAGGGCCGCTGCAACTGAACCCGGCGCGGATTTCGTCGACTTCTACGAGCTCCTGGGGGTACGTTCCCTTCCTGCCCTTTGTGCGCCCCGCGTGGTGCCGCCCCGGCACCATGCGGCAGATGCCCCCGCGCGTTAGCTCCACTGAAGCGATGCGCACCCTCCGGCGCGCGCGGCACGGCGTGGACGCGCGCCTGTCGGCGCCGCAGCCGTCCCCGTGCGCTGCGCGTGCGCCTCCCACGCCGCGGGCCGCCCGAACGGACCTGCGCAGGTCGGCGACGACGCGACGAGCGAGGACATCAAGGCCGCGTACCGTCGGCTCGCGAAGGTCTGCCACCCGGACCGGGTCGGCCAGGACGGGAATGCTATGTGTGTGCTTCTGAACGAAGCCTACGACACGCTGGCAGACCCGGTGCGGCGCGCACAGTACGACCGGGTGCTCGACAAGTGGCTCGAGGACGACGACATGGGCTTCACGGGGAAGCCGCTGTCGCGGTGGTGCGGTCCAGGTGCAGCACCCGCACGGCGCGCGCCGCTCGCGTGCCCGCGCGCGCCCGTGCCGCGTGGCCCTCACCGCGCGGCGGAGGCTTCCTCTCGCGCTGCGCAGGCCACAAGATGTCGAAGGCGGAGGAGGGGGAGACGCGCGCGGTCTTCGTGGACGAGAACAGCTGCATCGGTTGCAAACAGTGCGTGTGGGTGGCCGCCGCGACGTTCCGCATGGAGAACGAGTACGGCCGCAGCCGCGCCTTTGCGCAGTGGCTCAACAGCGAGGACGAGATCCAGTGCGCGATCGACTGCTGCCCCGTCAGCTGCATCCACTGGGTGGAGAAACAACAGCTCCCGGCGCTCGAGTTCGCGATGCAGGTGCGCCCCCCGCGCACCGCACCCCGCCTCGCGCAGCCCCGGCGCCGCTCCGCCCCGGACCCGCTCCCTCAACGCCTGCCTGTTCCCCAGCGCGCATTGCTCACGCATGTCGCGTGTGTGTCGCGCCGCAGAACCTCGTGGATCGCGTGGACGTGGGGATCATGATGGCGGGGCAGGGCGGGGGCGTCGCGGACCCGTTCGAGGCTGCGCGGCAGTTCGAGAAGCGGTTCGAAGACCGGCGGCGGCGGCGGGAGGAGGACCGCTCCTGGGCGCCCGAGCAGGCCGCGGCGCGGATGGACGCGGCGGTGCGGGTGCAGAAGGCGAAGTGGGGGAAGATCGGCGAGGCGCTGTACGACGGCCTGTGGCTGGGTCTGGCCGGGGTGAGCGGCGGCGCGGGCGAGGCTGCGTCTGACCGAGTCAGGCGGAGGGCGGAGCTGCGGAGCAAGCGGCGGCAGACGGCGGCCAAGGCCGGGGACGCGCTCGCGACGACGGTGCTCGACTCGATCGACGAGCTCGAGCGGGAGCACGCGCGGGGGCGCGGCGGGGGCAGCGTTCCACTGGAGCGCGCGCTGGTGCCCGTGTCGGCGTACGCGGCGACCGCGACGCGCAGGGAATGACGCAGGCACCGTGCCGTCGTGACGACGTAGCAGCTCTGTACATTAGACTCGAAAACGCGCGCACATAGACACACACACGACCTCGCGATGTGCACTGTGAGGCAAATATAGCTCGTTGAAGAGCGGCGGGGCGTCTCAGCACTGGGCCCTGAGGCCCCCTGCCGCGTGCAGCGGCACATCACGCACCCTGCGCGGGTGTAGCCGCAGCCGCTTCTTTGCGGCGACAGGGGTGCGGTGAGAGAGGGGGTGCAATATGTCAGCGATCCCAGCGCGTCACAGGCGGCTGCGCGCCGCCTACTCCCGCGGCGTCACCGCGGGCGTCTCCGGGCCGCCGTTCACCGGCGTCGCCCCGCCGTCCCCGCGCGCCGCCGCCACCCTGTCCTTGAGCTTGCGCACCTGCGTCAACAGCTCGTTCTCGCGTTCGCGGTGCGCCTTCTCCTTCTCCTCCAGCGCGGTGCGCAGCCGCTCTGCCTCCAGCTCCGCCGCCGCGCTCTGCCGCCGCGTCGCCCGCGCGCTCGTCTCGCGCGCCTGCTCCGCCGCCACGCACCGCCGCGACAACTCCTCAATCTTCCCCTCCGCCTGCGCAATCGCCTTCTCGTGCGACGCCAGCGCCGAGCGCGCCCGCGCGAGCTCCGTCTCCAGCGCCGACACCACCACCTCGTTCGCGCCCGTCGACTCAGGGTCGATGTCCATCCCCGTATTCTGTCGCCGGGGCGGCAGCGCGATCCCCCGCGACACCAGCACGTTCTCGAGCGTCCCGATGCGGCTCCGGAGCTTCGCCTGGACGTCCGCGCCGCCGCGCAGCTGCGCCTCGAGGCCCTCCGCCCGCTCGCGCTGCCGCGCCGCCTCGCCCTCGGCGTGCCGCAGCGCCTCCGCGTGCCGCGCCGCGGTCACGACGCCCTCGGGCTTGCTGTTCACGGCCTGCCCGTCCACGCCGCCCTGCATCGCGTCCAGCCCGGCGAGCTCGCGCGTCGCAGCCTCCTGCCGCGCCAGCGCCCGCTTCAGCGCCTTGACCTCGCTGTCGAGCTGGTGCGCGCGCTTCCGCTCCTCGCGAAGCTTCCCCGTCATCTCCTTCGCGTCCGCCTCCGCGCGCGTCTGCAGCTCCGAGGCCTTCTGGCACTCGGCCGCCATCGCCGCGAGCTCCGACAACCGGCGTCGGTCGAGGTCCGCCGCGGCCTTGCCCGCCGCGTGCGCCACCTCGAGCTCGCGCTCGAGCTCTTTCACGCGGCTCCCGAGCCGCCCCGCGGTCGCCGCTGCGCTCTCGCGCTGCGCGGCGGCCTGCGTTTCGAACTTCTGACACTCCCCCCGCAACGACCGCAACTCCCCCCCCAGCCGCTTCACCTCCGCGAGCGCCTCCGCGCGCGCCGCCTCCTCCGCCTTGAGATCGCTCTTCAGCCGCGCGATCTCCGCCGCCGCGTCCGCCGGCACCGCTGGCGGGGGCGTGGCCGCCGCACCGCCGCCGTCCGCCCTCCGCACCGCCGCCGCCAGCTCCCGCTTGAGCCGCGCGACCTCGCGAGAACTCGCCTCCGCCTCGTCCTTCGCCGCGCGCCGCGCCCGCTCCGCCGCGTCCGACGCCGCTCGCACCGCCGCGATCTCGCCGCGCAGCTCATGCACCTCCCGCGCGGCCGCTTCCGTGTCGCGGCGGCCGCGCGTCGCCTCCTTCACGGTCGCGCCGAGCTTCTCCTTCACGCCGTCCAGGTCGCTCCGCAGCGCCTGCAGCTCCGCAGCCCGTTCCGCGAGGGAGCGTTCGGCGGCGTCGCGGCGCGCGCGCTCCTTGCCGAGGTCCTTCCGCGCGTCCTCCAGGAGCGACACGAGGTTGCGCGTGGACGCGTCCGCCGTGCGCGGCGACGTGACGCCGCCTGGACCGGGGATCTGCACCGCGGGGGCGTGGAAGAGTCGTATTGAGTGAACGGGAGTCGGGTTTCGCCGAGTGTCGGCGCGCCGGGGCGCTTGGAGGGCGGCGCGGACCTGGGAGGCGCGCGGGGTACCGGAGCCGTTCGCGCGGGGGGTCACGGGCATCGTCGCGGCGGTCGCAGCTGCCGCTGCCGCCTCAGCAGCCGCGCGGGCTGCCGCTCTGGACGCCTCCACTTCGTCCTTGAGCATCCCGACTGTCGCTTTCTCTCGCTCGAGCTGCAGGGAGGGCCCAGGGAGGCACGCCGTGGGCGTGCGGGCCCGGAGGAGCGCGGGGCGCGTGCAGAGGCCACGCGGGGACACGGCGCGACTGGGGGCCGCTCCTACCTCGCGACGGAGCGACTCGATCTCCTCGGTCGCCTTCGTGTCCTTGCGGGACCCGATCTTGGCGTGCTCGTCCTCGAGCTCGACCGGGAGCGTCGCCCTGCACAGCATGAGGTCGCAAACAGGGTCTGGAGCGCGGGAGAGTCAGGCTGTCCAGGTGGGGGCGAGCGGCGGCTCGCTGCGCACGCACGGTGGGGAGGAAGCGACGCAGCACCGGGAGAGAGGCGAGTTCGGCGCAGCAGTCGGCCGTATGCGGGGTGCGAGGGCTGGAGGTGCCCCTCTGGCGCGTGCTGAGCGCCGCTGCGGCCGCCTGGGTCCGCGCGAGCTCTGGAACCGTCACGCGCTGCGATGCATGAAACTTGGGGCATCGCCCGGGATCGACCGGCGGGCGCGGCGGGCGCCTCAGCGCCGGAACGGCACGCATTGGGCTTTGCAACCAAGCAACGGTCTGAGAGGGCAACGGTGAGGGTAGAAAGCCGCAAGGAGCGGGTTCGCGGTCTGGGCGCGCGTGTTGCGCACCGTTCGTCCTGCGCGTGCGGCCCGTCGTCATCTTTGTGAGCGTGCGGTGCACCATCGCCCTTTCTCGGGCGCAAAAAGTGTGCCCCCAGCACGAGCCCCAGGAGCAGGGTGGCGAGGGCGTCGATCAACGACATCTCCGGAACCTGTGATCGCTGGGTCTGCGCGGCTCTCCCCGGCCCGCCGCGCCTCGAGCGCGCGCGCCCACGGCCCGACTGACGCAAAAAGGGGGTTGTTGCGAACGTGCGGCAACACGAGGCGCGGCCACGTCGCGCACGGGCCACTCCTCGCCCGCTTCGTCTCAGGGCAGACCGGTGGAGCTCGTTTCGCGCAAGTGATCGTCTGGACGCAGAGCGAGAGGGCGTCTCTGTCCGCAGGGGGGCGAGGATCGCGCGTCGCGTGCCGGGCGTGCGCCCGCAGCCGGTCGCATTCGCTCGAGATGGGAGCCGACCGCAGGCCGGAGCACACCAACCCTCCTGAGATCTACTACGGCGACGACGAGGCCCGAAAGTATACTGGCAACAGCCACGTCATCGATGTGCAGACCAGGCTGGCGCGCCGCTCGCTCGAGCTGCTCGCGCTCCCGCCCGACGAGGGACCCATGACGATCCTCGACCTCGGGTGCGGGTCGGGACTCAGCGGGGAGGTACGCGCGCGCCACACGGGGGCCAGGCCCGGCGGCTGCCCGCCGCCGCTCTGGGGCCGCCTGCTGCCTCCTGCGCGCGTGATATCCCCGCAAACCCCGCCCTTCCTCCCCACTTTCAATGCAACATGGCTTCGAAGCGACGGCAGTCCTTGTTGCCCCGCGTGTGCGTCGCTTGGCCCACGAAGCTCCACGCACCCGTCGCCGCAGGTCATCTCCGAGGCCGGGCACCACTGGGTCGGCTGCGACATCGCACCGGCGATGCTCGACGTCGCGCGCGAGCGCGAGGTCGCCGGCGACCTCATGCTTCACGACATGGGCGACGGACTCCCCTTTCGCAGGTGCCGCCAGCAACACGTGCACCCTTTCGACAAACACCGCGCGCCCGCGCCGCCCCGCCCGGCGCGACCCACTCCCGCCCCGCCCTCCTCTCCCGCCTCCGCAGCGGCACGTTCGACGGCGCGATATCGATCTCCGCGGTCCAGTGGCTCTGCAACGCGGACACGTCGTCGGCGAACCCGCGGCGGCGCATCCGGCGGTTCTTCGAGTCGCTGTACCGCGTGCTGAACCGCGGGGCGCGCGCGGCGCTACAGATCTACCCGGAGACGACGGAGCAGGCCGAGATGCTCGCGGCGGCGGCGATGCGGGCGGGGTTTAGCGGAGGGTTGGTGGTGGACTTCCCGCACTCGACACGTGCGAAGAAGTACTTCTTGGTCCTGATGGTGGGGCCGTCGACGTACCAGCCGCAGGCGCGGGGGCTGGACGGGGAGGAGGAGGACGAGGAGGTGGACGCGGAGGGGCTGGAGGTGTACGGCCGGCGGGGGGGAAAGCGGCGCAAGGTGGGCGGGGGTGTTGCGAAGAAGGACAAGGGGTGGATCGTGAAGAAGAAGGAACAGATGCGGAAGAAGGGGTACGAGAACGTGCCCGTGAGCAACAAATTCACGGGACGCAAGCGCAAGGCTAGGTTCTGAGGCTCAGCGGGGCGCGCGGCGGTGTGTGGGTGCGCGGGAGGCGTGCGGCCCGCCAGATGGCCACCTTGGCCGCGCGTGTGACCGTCGCCGGCGCGCGTGCTGGGCTCACAACGAGGCGACGAGTGCTGCGCGTCACGACAGCGTCAACGAGAAAAGGGAGGCGTCCGCGTCCCGCACGTTCCGCGCAATCAGCTCCCCGCGCTCCCACTCGAGGTCCTCTTCGTGCTGCCGCACCGCCTGCGCAGTCCAAGCGACGCCACGGCCGAGCGCATGAGATGCCGAGTCAGCAACAATTGGAAAACCTCGACTCGGAGCGCGGTGGCGCCCACCTGGTTCCAGTCCCCACCGGCCATCTCGAGGTAGTACGCGGCCGTGCAGTCGTCGGTTCCGAGCCGCCGGGCCAACGCCAGTGCGCCCTGCCGTCGCGCGGCTGCCTGCGTGGCGGCGTCCGCCCCCGCCGCCCCGGCACCGCCCACGCCGCGCGCCACCTGTCTGCCCGCGGGGCCGAGCTCTTCCCCGCCCGGCAGGGGGTCTTCGAGGCTGCTGCGAGCTGGGAGACCTGGATCCTCGACTGCAATTACGTCGCGGAGCAGGTGTGCGTCGCGGACGATGCGGCCGCGGGCGCCGACGAGGTCCTCGGGATCTGAGACTGCGGCGACAGCATGGGGACGGGGTTGCGGGGTCAGGAGTGCGCGCTCGAACCACGCGGCGCGGCGGCAGATACGATTCGAAGACTGCGAAAGGAACTCATGTTCAAGAGTGCACGCGCCTGGCACGAAGATGGCGCTCCGGCCCCGCAGCGCCATGTCGGAGTGCAGGTTGTTGACGCGGCGCAGGGCGGCGACGTCGCCCCCCATGTGGCGCAGCGCCAGGCCTGGCATCGTGTCGGTGGGCTGGACGGCGTGGGCGCGCACGAACGTCGTCTTGGTGTCGATCTGCTGCGCCTGCGCGCTCGTGCTCGGGCCGCGGGCGTGCAGGAAGAGCTTCACGGGGTCACCACTGCATGCAAGGTGGGTGCGACCTGAGCGAATGACGCCGGTTTCCGGGGCGTGTTGTTGTGCTGTTCGACGCGTTTCAAGGAAGTGATTCGTGTCAATGCTACGCGGATCGCGTCGTGCCGGCGCAGGCGGCGCGGCGGGCGAGATGCACACAGTGCAGCTGCACCTGGGCTCGCCCGCGATGCTCGACAGCCGCCACATCCTCAGGAAGTTCTTCCGAAGCACGCGTTCCAGCGCGGCGCGCCACCGCCGCGAGACCAGGTACACGGCACAGCACGCGACGTACGCTTCGTAGTTGCCTGGCGCAGCAAGATGCGTCAAGATGGACTCCAGGACGGCCTCATCGAGCACGGCGTCGACGGGCGGGATCTCTGCTAGCGGGTTCCGCTCGCCCGGCATCCCCCCGCGCGTGCGCCCTGCGTAGCCGTGCCCTCAGCGCTGATGCGTGCCCTGCCAGCACAATGTTGTCGCAGGTTGGGAGTGAACTGCCGGAACTAGAAGCTCCTGGCTGGAACTGTGCCGGCCGCGTGTCCCGGGCGCGCCCTCTCGACCCACGGCGGACAGGAGGCCAGTCGGGCCCTGGGACGTGCGGTAGAGCCGCGTCAGGTGGGCCCGCAACGGGCTCCGACCGCGCGAACAATGCGCGGCGAGCAGCGTCGTCGCGCGCACACTTGTCTGGGTTGCCGTTCCGACTGCGTCACGTCGTTGCGTAGCTGTCGTGTCCCATCGAAAGCCACGGTGCTCCTTGAGGGACCGATTCACGGCTGCGCGCAAGCGGGGGCGGCCGGCGGCGGGTGAGGAGGTAGTGGCAGGCCGTCGCGACGACCACGGTAGGCTAGAGAGGAGTCGGACGCCTTTCTAGAGAGGCTGGAAGCCTTGCGCTTCTCCCCTCAGCCGTCGAGGCACCGCATCCGGTCAGGTGGCGGCCAAGATGAGCTCGGAGAAGTTCATTGACGGCCTGGTGCTGGAGCTGAGCAACCCCAACACGCGGGAGCACGCGCTGCTGGAGCTCAGCAAGAAGCGGGAGACCTTCCCGGACCTCGCGCCGTACCTGTGGCACAGCCACGGCACCATAGCGGCGCTGCTGCAGGAAATCGTCAGCATATACCCCATGCTGTCGCCACCGACGCTCAGCGCGCAGGCCAGCAACCGGGTGTGCAATGCGCTCGCGCTGCTGCAGTGCGTCGCCAGCCACCAGGTGCGCGCGGACGCCCGCCTCCACGACGTGCTGCGCGAGCTCCCGCGCGGAAATCCCGCGGGAACGCCTGTGCGGAGCTCGCGCGCCGGATCCGGGCTGCGTCCGCGTGGTCGAGCCCGTCGTTCGTCGCCCTGCGGGGCCCGACGCCCCAGCAGGCTCCTCCGCGCGGCCCACGAGGTCTCTGGCTGTGCGTCGTGCCGCGCAGGACACGCGGGCGCTGTTCCTGAGCGCGCAAATCCCTCTCTTCTTGTATCCCTTCTTGAACACCATGAACCGCTCGCGGCCGTTCGAATACCTGCGGCTGACCTCCCTTGGCGTCATCGGGGCGCTCGTCAAGGTGGACGACCGGGTGGTCATCGACTTCCTCCTCGGCACACAGGCGCGCGCGCGCCCACCCCGCCGCCCGCCCTGCCGCGCCGCCGCCCGCCCGCGCGGCCCGCCCCCCGCCCCGCCACCGCATCCTCGCACGCTCACGCGCGCTCCCACGCCTCGTCCACGCCGCCTCGCGCCCGCAGATGATCCCGCTGTGCCTCCGCACCATGGAGTGTGGCTCGGAGCTGTCGAAAACCGTCGCCACGTTCATCATTCAGAAGATCCTGCTGGACGACTCGGGCCTCTCTTACGTGTGCATGACGGGCGACCGGTTCTTCCGCATCCACCACAACCTCGCGCTCATGCTGTTCGGCCTGCAGCAGCAACCCTCGTCCCGGCTCTTCAAACACATCGTCCGCTGCTATCTCCGGCTCTCCGACAACCACATGGCCACGGAGGCCATGCGGCGCAGCGAGAACTTCGTCGATTACCTCTGCCACCCCGCGCTGCTCGAGGAGACGAAGGAAGACGCCACGACGCGGCGATGGCTGGTGCAGCTCCTGCTGAGCATCGGCGCGCACGACCACGCGCGGAACGTCGGCGCGGAGTTCATCAACGAAGCCATGGCCGCGAACGCCCAGCGGCAACGCGAGCTGCAGCACCAGGCGCAGACCAGCGCAGGCCCCGCAACATCCGGCGCGCCGCAAGCGACGAACGCGTGACGCGGGCGCCGCGGCGCTGCCCGGGCTCACAGTGTGACGCGTGCGGCTGCTCTGGCGGGGCGTCGGCCCTGTTCTACCCTTCAACTCCCCCCCCAGGTGTCCTCCCCCGCGTCAGGGCTCGACTCGTTGTCCGTGAAGTAGTCGTCTCGGTCGTCCTCGTCCTCCGACTGCTCGCGCGCCTTCCCGGCGTTCCGCAGCGCGGCCATCACGACCGCCGCGGTGCTGCCCGGCTTGAACTTCGCCGCCGGCCGCACCGCGCCTGCGCCGCCGCCGGCCTGGGCCGCCGCCCTCTCCCTCCTCGCGTTCTCGTGCCGCCGCCGCGCGATCCTATCTATGTTCCGGTCCGCCACCGCCGCCGCCGCCATCCCCTCCCGCAACCGCCTGTCCGTCTCACCCTGACTCCCCCCCTCGCTCCCGCTGTCCCCCCCCGACACCTCCACCTCCGCACTCGACGCGTCCTCCTCAACGACCCCCCGCCCCGGCACCACGCGCAGACGCTTCGCGGCGCCGCGCTCGTTCGCCGCCCGCTGCCGCCACTGCTCCGACCGCGCCACATTCTTCGCCTGGAACGTCTGCGCGACTTTCGACCGCCGCAGCCCGCGCGTCTCCGCCGCCGTGAGCGCCTCCGCGCCGCCCTCGCCCCGCAGCGCCCCGTCGTACTTCGTGCGCCGCGCCTTCCCTGCGTCAGGCGACCTGACAGCACGGTTATACTCCTCTTGTACCTCTGCAACCGTCCGCGGCGGCACCTTCCGCGCGAGGTCCCGCCAGAACGTCTTGCTCGCGGGGTTCAGCGCCATCGCCGCCGCGTCCAGCGTCCTCCGCTCCGCCTCCGTCCACGGCCGCGCGCCCCCGCCGTCGCCGCGCGCGACACCTGCGGGCCCAGACGCCCCCCCCGATGCCCCGCGCCGCGAACGGCGGCGACGCGGCCTCGCCGTCCGCGTGCGAGGGGTCCGCGCCCGCGGACGGCGCGTACACGCCCGAGTTCCCAGGCTGAGGCGCGGCAGGCACGCTGCGGGGCGACACGTACTGTTGCGAACCGATCCGCTCCTTCGCCGCGCGCGCCGCCGCCCGCTTCGACGCGCCCCGCGGCGACGCCACGTCCGCGCCCGCCCGCGGCGTCGCAGGACTCCGCTGCTCCGCGCCACTCCTCTCCCCACTGTCCGCCTCCGCCGCGTCCCCCGCGCTGCGAGCAGGCGAAGGCTTGCCGCTCGCGGGCCGCCGTTGCGCGCGCGAGCCGCCACGCCCGCCCGTCGACCCCCGGCCCCGCCCTCGGCCGCGCCCCCGCCCCCGGCCGCGCGCCGGAGCCTGGGATGCAACGACGTCTGTTTCCGCGAATTGCAGCTCCTGCAACGCCGCCGCCGCGCCCTTCTCCTGGCTCTGCGCGGCGCGGATCCTCTTCGCCGGCTTCTCCTGCGCCGCCTTCGGCGCCGCCCGCTTCCCCGCCCTCCCGCCGCTCGACTTGTCCCCCGGCGACACAGAGCGCTTCCCTTTGCCGCTCGCCGTCCGCCGCACCTCCCTCTCGTCCTGAACCTTCCACCAGTTGCTGCCCACGCCGTGGCGCTCGCGCCGCGGCCGCTCCCCCGCAGGCTGCCCCGCCGCCGCCTCGACGGACGCTAGGCCCCCCAGCTCCCTGTTTCTACCCGCCGGACGCCCCCTGGCCGCCGGCGCAGGCTTCCGCGCCACCGGTTGCCGCTTCTTCGCGGCCGGCGGCGAGGACTCGCGCCCAGAGTCCCCCTCCGCGCCTGACGCAGGTGGCGTGCCCTGTTCTTCGTCCAGGGGGGGTTCCGCTTCACTCCCCCGGTCCGGGGACGCCGCCGCGCCGAACTCCTCGTCGTCGTCGCCGTCGCCGAACCCGCCCTCCTCCTGCGGCGCCCCGTCGTCCACGGCCACGTCACCGCCGACCGCCTCCACGTCGCGACTGAGGGACCTCCTCGGACTCCCCCCCCCTCCTCGCTCGACGGCTCGCTGCTCTGGGCCGGCGTCGCCGGCGCCCCCGCACCACTCCGCGTCCCCAGCGCCCCCGCCGCGCCCTCCGCAACCTCCTCCCAGTTCTCAGGGAAGCCGTTTGCCCACGCTGCCGCCATGCGCCGCCCGGTGGCGGCGCCGAACCGCGCGACGAGGTCCGCCGCGTCGGGCCCGCCGAGCAGAAAGTACACGCGGCCGCGGACGTCCTGCACGGACGTGCGCGAGATCCGGCACCGCAGCGGCGCCGACCGGAAGGGCCCTAGGTCACTGTCGCCAAACATGGTTGTGGCTGTGCCGCGGACGGCGACGTCCGGGCGCGGAGACGTCGCGTCGGTGCGCGGCGGGTGTACCTCGAGCGTCCACGCCTTGATGTACACGGCCTGGCGCCCGCACGACGCGTCGGACGCGCGGCGGGGGGTCCTGGACGGCGCACGCGCGGCGGGTGACGCGTCGACGGGCTGTGCGGGCGTGGGGACGGTGGCCGGAGACGGGGCGGTCCGCGGGGCCGCCGTGGGCCGGCGCTGGGTTGTGGGAGTATCGCCTGCGAGCGGAGATTCCATGCCGGGACTGTGAGCTGGGGCGGTCAGAGGCGTTGAGGTGGCCCGGGACGTGCGTTGCGTGGCGCGTGAGAGCGGGAGGGGACGTGCGATACCTGGCGCGGCGTCCACGGCGCCGATGGGGCGCCGGCGCGGGAGCGCTGGCGGGGCAGCGGGACGGCCTGTGACCGCGGAGGCGTCTCGCAGGCACCGTGGCGACGGACTTTCACGCACGAGCTTGTGGAAGCTCGCCAGGACGGACTCCCTGCTCTCCAGAGCCCCGGACCTGGCGCGGCTGCCCCCAGGGGGCGCGCCCCCCCCTGCTCCATGTCTATTGCTCGCCCCTGCTGCCCCTGTGGCGGGCGAATTCGACGCCAGCCTGCGCTTTCGGGCAAGAACGTCCACCGGGGAGAGGGCGGCGGGCACCGCGAACCCGTCCGCGTCCGCAGCGGGGCTCCCGCGCCCCTGCGCGCCCCTCACGGTTGCGCTAGCGCCCGCCCTGCCGGGCAGCGAGCGCGCGCCGAGCACGTCGCCCGCGCGCACGGCCTGCGGGCGGTGGAGGACCGGCGGGGACCCGCCATTCGCGCCGGCAGCCCCGCTGGCGCGCCTGGCGCCCACTGCGACAGATGCTGGGCGCTCAAAGATGGTCCCGTCCAGCACGGGATCCTGCGGCATTTTTCACTCCATGAGAAAGGCCCTCTCGAAAGATATCCTAGCGCCCCATCTCCCCGGGCTCTGCGGCGCCGTTCACGCCCTGCTGGTTCACGCACGGGGTCGCCCCCTTCACAACACAAGTGTGTCGCTGCCTCACGACGGCCTGCTGCGCTTGACGACGGCCGGCGGGGCGCGGAGTGTGCCGCGGCGCCAGGCCAGGCCAGCAACGCCCCCACGCGCGACGGTTCAGAACCGTTCTGCAGCACTTCTGTGTCTGTCAGATGCGTGTTATACCTCCGTTGGGCCCCATCCTGCCCTGGCCGGCCCCACCTCGGTGCCTCCGCGCCACCTGCGAAGTGACAGTCCGTGCCTGGTGATCGGTGCCGCCAGTATCGAGGATTCGTGGTCATCGGAGGGTCCCCTGGCTTTGATTCCGCGCTTCTGCTCTACCTACGCACGCCGCAGGACCGCCCTGCCCCCGCACGGCGCCCTCAGCTGCCATGTCCACCGTCACGCACACCCGCACCTCGCCACTCCCCCTCGGCGCGACGCGCCATCATGCCCGTCCTCGGCAACAAACCACGCGGCCGTGCGACGCCCGCTTTACGGCAAGGCCACGCGACGCGGCCGTCACGGCAGCGTACAGGGACAGCATCGACAACGCCGGCGTCGGCAGGGTCACAGATATCGTCCGAACGGATACTGGAGCAAAAGATCTCGGGTGCGTGTTCCCGTCCTTTCCGCCGTCCACCCGGCGCCGGCGGCCCTCCCCGCTCGCACAGCGTGCCCCACTGCACTCATCGTCCTCTATCTCCGCCGATCCCGCTCGGCCGCGACCGCAGCCGCTCTGTCGGGCACTGCCCTGATTCCCCCATCGAGCCCCTCGCGCGGCCCTTCCGGGCCCAGATCCGCGCGTCCTTCCGCCGCTACGCCTCGATCCGTCCGTGTGGTACACGGTCCACCCCGCAGATGCGCGCACGCAGGCCCCTCCGCGGCGCTGTGACATAGGCCCCCCCTCAACGCCCCGTACGGCCCCGGCCGCCCCCGCAGGTCGGCCATGGTGGACCCCGACCTCTGGTACGTCCTCGAGCTCGCCTCGGACGACGACCTCGATAGTTTGCGCGCGATTGTATTCGGATCTTCCCCCTTCTCTCCTCTTCTTAAGTCTTTGATGGCGAAACGGGACGACCCGGGCCCGGCGGCGACGGCGGACCGGCGCGAGCTGATGCTCGCGATCGAGCGGCGCGTGCGGTTCCTCGCGGCGGACGGCGTCGCGATTGCGCGGCGCAGCTGGCCGTCTTACCGCGAGGCCCTCGTGGCCGTACGGGACCGGCTGGGCGTGCAGTGCAGCAAGAAGCTCGCCACGGGGGACCTCGAGGCGGAGCTGTTCCTGTTCATGGCGCACACGCACTACGAGGCCGAGGAGAAGGTGCGCGCGCGCCTTGCGAGCAATGCATGTATACAGAGTGTAGCAGCCGCGGTGTGCGCGGCGGAGGGGCGGAGGGCCTGACGACCCCGCCAACGACGCGCCCGACTACATTGCCGGACGTCGCGTGGCGCACGCGGCGTCCGACGGGCAGCAAGTCGCCTGTACAGCCGTCTCTGTTGGTTGCGCATGGGGTGCCGGGTCCGACTGACTCAGGCGAGTCCGTCGCGGTGCAGGGCCGCGAGGCGATCAGTAACATCAGTCCGTCGTCCGAGGAGGCGACGGCCGGGGACGCCGACGGCTCGGCCCGCCCCCGCACCGGCAGCAAGACTACTGGGTGGCGCGCTGCCGTGACGGAGCCTCTGCGGCACGGCTCGCCCGATATAGTCGACGCGGTGGTGAAGATCGGGGCGGCCACGGCGGTGTCGGGGCTCGGCCGGGAAGCGCTGAAGCGGCTGGCCGGGCAGGTGCTGGCCCGCAGCCTGACGTACGAGCTGGTGCTGGGGGAGGCCGTCAGGAGAGGGGCTAGCGAGGCAGCGCTGCGGGCCGCGGGCGCCGGAGCGTCTGCCGCGGCGGCCAGGTGCGGCGCGCAGACCGGGGAGCTGTGCATGGCGTTTGCGGTGCTAGGTATTATGGTTGGAAGGAGCGCGTGTTGACTGGGGGCTGAGCTTGAGCGTTTGCAGGTACAGCGCGGCGCGTGCGGTGAGCTCGATACTCGGGCCGGCGATGTGGGCGGCGCTGGGCGTCGATCTGGCGCTCAAGGCGTCGGGGACTGACTACGGGCGGCTGACGCGGGCGGTGTTTGTTCTGGCACAGATTCGGCTCGTGAAGACGTACGGCTTCACCGGCCCGGAGGCGTGACGCCGGGGCACGACGCCGGAGCGGCTGGTGGATCTCTGGGTGCAGTATGCAAACATTTCTTGGCAGTAGGGCGCTTTTCAGCAGCTCATTGTACACAACACCTTACTTGCGAACCTCGTTCCTCACTAGACTCTCCTCTGGGCCGCCACAACAATCTTCCCGTGTAAAAATATCGAGTGGCTGTGTCGCATCGAATCCCGCCATCGCGTCAGCTCTCCGGCGATCCGAACGACAACCCCCCCTTCTGTGCGACCAAAGCGCCGCCCTCCTGACGTCGTACCGCCTCGAACGCGGCGTCATCGCACGCCCCTTCACCGCTCCGTCACCTCTCTCCCGCCGCCTCTCCCTCCGACGCCTTCGCCCCACTCAACACTTCCCTCCAAGTCCCCCCCCCCTACTCGCACCACCACGTCGCCCCACCCCCGCCGCCGCGACGCCGCCAGGCGCTCCCGCACGCCCTTCGCCATCAGCGCGCTCAGCGCCCGCGCGGACCTCGCCGCAGCCCCGGCTTCCGCATGCAACGCCCTCAGCCGCGCCCGCGCCTCCCCACGTCGCTTCTCCACCTCCGCGGCCTGCTGCCGGGCGCGCTGAGGGGCGGCCGCACTCCTCCGCAGCTCCACCGCCTTGCTCGCGCGCGCCTCCGCGGACGTCGCGAGCTCCACGGCGTCCAGAAGCTCGCAGGACAGTGCGTCAGTCACAGCCTGCACAGGACGGCGGCGGCGGCGCGAGTCGCTCGCGGATCGCGGCCCAGTTAGCGCGTACCAGAAGGGGTTCTCGTACGCCACCGGGCGGCCGCACCTCGATCATTTTGTCGACCGTCCCGATGTCCAGGTGTTGCACCTCTGGCGGTGCGTGCGGCAGCAGCGACGCAGGCACCTCCGGGTGCCGCTCCATCTCGAACTTGCGCGCGGACAGCCACGCTTCGAGCTCGGCGAGGTCGTTCTCCACGCGCCGCAGCCCCTCCGGCCGCAGCAGCACCGCCGCCGCACACTCCCCCCCCCCGTCGCTCCTTCTACCCACCGACCCCCCCGCGCCCCGGTGCTCCTCGGCGTCCTCGCTGCCTCCCAGCATGTCGCCCCAGTCGATTCCGTCGCCGCCCGCGTCCGCCGCAGCCACACTCCCCCCCCCTGACTCCGTACGCATCGCAACCCCCCCGCTCTCCTCCAGGAGCCGCTCGACCGCCCCCTCCGCCCCCTCCGCCGTCGCCGCCGGCGCGTCCAGCATCGCGCCGAGCGTCTCGCACACGCTGGCCGCCTCCAGCGCCCCACCAGCCCCCCTCGCCCCGCCACCTGCGTCGGCTGCTTCCGCTGCTCGCAGCACAGCCACGAACAGGCCGTACGCCCGCCGGGCTTCACGGATACGCGGCACGCGGATTCGCTCCGCCGCCGAGACCGCGAGCGGCGCGAGGCGCGTGCGAGGCAGCACCGCCGCGGCAACGTCGGGCGACGCTGCCGCATCGATGCCCTGGGCCCTGCACGCGGCTTCGTGGCGCTCAGCCGCTGCGAGCGCGCGGCGCTGGTGCTCACGGAGGCGGCGCTCGAGGTCGGAGAGGGTCTGGTCGGCGCGCCGCGCGCTGTTGCGTAGTTCCGGGAGCAGGAACCTACCGACGCGGTGCAGGTCCTGGCCGGCCTCGCAGACCCACAGCCAGGAGCGCTCGTACTCCCTGACGAGCTCGTCGAGCTTGCCTGGGCACGGGGGGGGGCACAGGAGCGGTCGGCGAGGTCCAAATGTCCTTTCATGTCGTGTTGCTTCCAGACGAGAATTCAGGTCTTGCGGCGCGAGCTGGAACAGGCAGCGCACCTGCGGTGCCTTTGGGGTACCCCAGCCACGTTCTCTCCGCGTCCGGCAAGAGCAGGTCGCGCGCCGCGCGGGCGACCAGGTACCGGGCCAGCGCCGGTTGTGCAGGGCCGTGCGCCGGTTCCGCGCCTGACGGCAAACGCGCGTCCCCCACGCTGTCCACCGCGATCCTCAGGCAATCGACGTCCACGTCCTGGGAGATGGTCGCAAACACGCCGTCCTGCAGCTTAGCAAGGCGCCGTGCCCAACCAGCCTGGACGAGTCCTCGCGATTCCTGCGGTGCGGTTCCACTCAAACGAGACGAGATCATCCGTGCGGATTCCAGCTGCCATGAGCTGCAGGCGTCACGGCCGTGCGACGCCGTTGGCCGGTCGGCGCGCTCCGGCGAACGCCCGGCGAGGTGCGTTGTGTCTGCGCCCTCACCAGCCACTGTCCGACGCCGTCGAACGGAACAGACACCTCTACAGGCATAGTTCGAATGCAGAGGAGTAGGGCGTGCCATCGACGAGAGACGACTATGTCGGTCCCGTCTGCGGCGAAGACGGGGCTCAACTGCAGCGTGAAGCCACCGCCGCAGCGCTGCGTGGGCGCACGAAGCGGCCAAACTACGGCGTTCAGGTGATCCTGAGATGATAGAGAAGCTTGCGAGCGGCATCCGGGCCATGTCACACCGCCCACGCGCCTGGGGGAGTCCCGTTTAATACAGCTGGTAGACCAAACCAGGCCCTGACGGCACATAGGCCCGCGGATACGCGCGCCTGGTCATCTGCTCGCCTACAGGAAGTGTCTGTGCCATCGAGGAGCGCAGTTTCCAACGCCTGTGTCGGCGGAGCTATCCGGCAGCGCCGGGAGTGCGTTCACAGAGGGGCCAACCTCTCGGCGGCGCCTCGCTCGGTGTACAAGCGCCTGTGCCGCTCGAAACGTGCGCCCTCCAGATCGGCCAGCTTCGAAGGTGCATACGCGGCGGCGCTCTCGACCAGGCCTCGCTCCAGGTGCGTCTGGGCTCCGCTGGGGACCGTCCTCGCGTCTGTGCAAGTGCGGCGCACGCGCGAAGCGCTGATACCCCTGCGCGCGCGAAATAAAGAGCACCGTTTACTCGAGATCGCGCGTGGCAGCGCGGGTTCCCGCGCGGGCACGCTTCGCGAGGAATCTAGGTCCGCGACCCGAAGATGCGCTTCGTGGCCCGGTGTGGCGTCGCGATGCGTTGATGATGTGCTCTGCCACGCCACAATCGAATTTCTCGTTCGACCGTCGTCGCCGATGGGCTCGGAGACGCGCGGCGTGCCCGATACGCGGCCGTCATGCAAGTGACCTACGAGTGTGTCACGGCGCCCCACCTCCGGCCCCTCCCTGCCCGCAGACTAGCATCCCCGGATCTTCAGGGCCCACGGACCGTCGTCGCGCCACACAAGCGGTCCCAGTGCGCGGAATTCTCCGGATTCCGCAAGTTGACCTCAGAGCGGGACGGCACGCGTGCAGCGCCGGGTCGCCGCCATGGACAACTCTTGGGTCGATTCCTACCTCGACGCCCTCCTCAGCTATGGCCTCTCCTCAGAAAACACCCAGCCGGCCGCGGAGGGCGACGAGGTCGACGCCGATCGGCAACTGTACAACAGGTGCGCACTCGACCGCGCCGGCGGCCCACGGCCCGCGCGAGCCCCGCTTCGGGCGTGCCGGCGCGCCCGTAGTCCCGGGCTATCCTGCGGGGCCGTCCACACGCGCCGCACGCCGTGTCCGCGCCTCTGACGGCGCCGGTCCTGAGAGCAGGGCATCGCAGGTCGATGCGTCCCGCACGCCGCGTGCGCGATGTCTCTAACGTCTTTGCGTCGAGGGACGCTCCGCAGGTACTACGTTAACCAGATTCTCGGGATGAAAGAGGACGAGATCCAGCGCGCGTGGTCGCGCGCGAACGCCTCTGCCTCAGGCCTTGGCGAGAAGGATCAGCGCCTGGAGCACCTCTCGTGGCGCGTGTGGCACATGATTCGCAAGAAGCAGATCGTCGCTCAACAGATGGTGCGCGCCGCCCCTTCCCCACCCCCCGTACGCCTTCGCCCGCGCCACTTCCCTAGCTCACAAGCCCCCCGCGCCGCCGCGCCCGCCCGCGCAGGAAGCCTCGAAGGCGGAGCGCCAAGAAATCGACGGACTGATCGACTTCGAGGCCCAGGCGACGGACCTCGAGACCGAGACGGAGGATGAGGACCCGGCTGAACTCCTCACCAGCCCCGCAGGACCCGCCGCGGCGGCCTCGCTGTCGCACACGCTGTCCATGCGGCGCATGCTCAAGCACGGGTCGACCGTCGAGGAGGTCGCGGGCGCCGAGCAGGTCTCCGAGATGCTGTCGTCGCGAATCGATGGTTTGTATGTAGTGATGATTTCCATGCACGGCTTGGTCCGCGGGGAGAACATGGAGCTCGGGCGCGACGCGGACACGGGCGGGCAGGTGAAGTACGTCATCGAGGTGGCCAAGGCGCTCGCGCAGCAGCCCAGCGTGCATCGCGTGGACCTCTTGACGCGCCGCATCGCGGACCCCAAGGTCGACGCGACGTACGCCGAGCCGCACGAGGTGCTCTGGCAGCCCGAGATGGCCGCCGACACAGGCGGAGGTGAGTGGTGCCGCGTGCCCCGCACCGTGCACGACGTGATAAATAAATAAACCCACGCTTAGTGATTGTGCACTCTAGGTGGCTTGCACGCGTGTGCGGGCGCCCAGCGCCCCGCTCCTCGCAGGCACGGAGCCCGAGCATCCTCGGCGGGCCGCTCCTCCGCGCGCCGCAGCATCGCACCTGCGTACACGAGCCCACATGTGTTTTGACCACGTTGCGTCAATCAACACCCCACCCCGACGTCGTGCTGAGCCCGCCGCGCGACCCCGGGTCCTCGCAGGCGCGCACCTGGTCCGCATCGACTGCGGCGCGCCCGGGACGTACGTCCACAAGGAGGCGCTGTGGCCGCACGTCCGCGAGTTCGCGGACAGGTCGATCGCCCACATCCGCCACACGCTGCGCGAGCTGGCCGAGATCGGGCGTCCGTGCGAGCTCTACGCGATCCACGGGCACTACGCGGACGCCGCAGAGGCCGCCGCGCTCATCGCGTCCTCGCTCGGGGTCTCCATGGTCATGACGGGTCACTCGCTCGGACGGAACAAGCTCGACCACCTGCTCAAGCAGGGCTCGCAGTCCCGGCAGGAGATCGAGAAGACGTACCAGATCTCGCGGCGCATCGAGGCCGAGGAGCGCGGGCTCGACATGAGTCAGGTCGTCTTTACGTCAACGGCGCAGGAGGTCACCGAGCAGTGGGGGCTGTACGACGGGTTCAACAAGGAGCTCGAGAACGCGCTGCGGTACCGGAAGTACGGCGGGCGGCACATTCCGACGATGCAGGTCATTCCGCCGGGCCTGGACTTCTCTCACATGAACCTGCGCGACGTGCGGCCGTCGCAGGGCGCGCCCGCGGACGACGCGAACGGCGGCGCGCCGGCGCCCGCGGACGAGGAGGAGCCGCAGATCTGGCTCGACATCGCGCGCTTCCTGCGCAACCCGCGCAAGCCGGCCATCCTCGCCATGTCGCGCCCCGACCACAAGAAGAACATCACCACGCTTGTTCGGGCGTTTGGCGAAAACCCGGTGCTGCGCGAGCTGGCGAACCTGGTGCTGGTGATGGGGTGCCGCGACAACATCGACTCGATGAACAAGGGGTCGCAGCAGGTGCTCGACACGGTGCTGCGGATGATCGACAAGCACGACCTGTACGGGTCGGTGGCCTACCCGAAGCGGCACCGAAGTACGGACGTGACGGACATCTACCGGTTCGCGTACGCGACGAAGGGCGTGTTCGTGAACATCGCGCTCCAGGAGCCGTTCGGGCTGACGTTGATCGAGGCGGCGGCGCACGGCGTGCCGATCGTGGCCACCAAGCACGGCGGGCCGGTCGACATCATCAAAACGCTGTCGAACGGGTACCTCGTGGAGCCGACGGACGCGGACGAGGTCGCGGACTGCCTCGTGAAGCTCCTGACGAACCCGCAGGACTGGGACGAGAAGTCCAAGTCTGGTTTGCACAACATCAACTATTACTCGTGGCACAACCACTGCAAGCGCTACATGGAGACGATCGAGGTCGTCAAGCGCGTCAAGGCGTCCGCGAAGGCCCACCTCCGCACGTACACCGGCTCGTTCGACCAGGGCAAGTTCGAGGAGCTCTCGGGCCGCGCCAACGACGGGCCGATGCTGAAGAGGAAACCCTCCGACGACGACGAGGCGGGGCCGAAGATCACCGAGGTCCGCGCATACGACGAGGGCGCGGCCGCGAACGGCGCGCCGATCGACGACAGCTTCGTCGGGCTCACGTCCGAGCACGCCGGGAACGACCTGGACGACGTGTCGCCAGTGGCGCACTACACCTCGCTGCTCTCCGTGGCGCTGGACGGGCCGCACACCGTCGCGCAGACCGCGCAGCTCCTCAAGCTCGCCGTGGCCTTCCGCGTCGCGGCCCGCCTGCGCGGCCGCATGCCGATCGTCGTCAACAGCAACCTGGACTTGGAGTCCACCAAGGTGCTGCTTAAGTCGCAGGGGTGCAACCTCGCGACGGTCGACTACATCATCGCGAACGGCGGCGCGGAGATGTGGCACGTGCACGTCGTGCAGGGCGACGCGTCGCGCGTGCAGGTCGTCGGCGAGGAGGACTACGACAAGCACATCACCTTCCGCTGGGACCGCCAGGCCGTGTTCCGCACCGTCCTGCGCGCCTCCGTCTCGAAGCAGGACGACAAGCGGCAGCTCGAGCCCCTCCGCATCGACCCGTCGAAGCCCGCGCCGATGCACCCGTACCACGTGATGTTCAACGTGCAGCCGAGCGAGGGCACCGACGCGCCGACGCTGGTGAATTTGATGCGGAAGAAGCTCCGGCACCAGGGCCTGCGGTGCAGCATGACGCTGCAGCTCCGCCCCGACGCCCCCGAGGCGACGTACTGCGGGTGCATGAGCCAGGCCAGTGAGGGCATTCTGCACATCACGCCGGTGCGGGCGACGCGGTCGCTGGCGCTGCGCTGGCTCGCGCTGCACCTCGGCATCGACATGCAGAGCGTCGGGCAGCTGCTCCTCGGCGCGCACTCGGGCCACCGCGTCGTCGGGCAGGTGGCCGGCGACGGGTCTCTGCACAGTGCGTGCAACGACCTCGGCGAGCTGGTCGGGGGCGCGCAGCGGACGATCGTGGTGCTGACGGAGGGCGGGTACGGGTCGAAGACGCACAGCGAGAAGATGGCGGTGCCGTGGCTCGGCAGCGACGCGTACGACGGGCGCGTGGTGCTGGCGAAAATCACCGATGCCAACAACATCAAGGAGTGGCTGAAGAAGACGTTCCGCAAGGGGTAGACGGGCCGGACGGCGTGTGCGGCCGGCGGGCCGCGGGTTGACGCGCTGCTGTTGTTGCGAGACACGTGTAGAGGCTGGGTGGCGCGCAGAGCACTGTGCTGCGTGTCGTGCGCCGGTGCTCCGCGCGGCGTTGGCGGCCTGTGAGTCTGGCGGGATGTATGTGTGCTTCCGTCACAGGGAGGTAGACACGACTCGCCACTTCGTCGTCGAATGATCTTTTCAGGTCCCGAAGCCTTATGGCTGACGACGCGCAATACGTGACACCTGGCCTGACCTCATGCGCGCGTGGGGTACCGGGCATGCGTGTGCGAGGCAGCCGCGACAGCAGCACGATCCGTTTGGCGTCAAAACCCGACCCCAGTGTATAGTTGTTATTATTATTATTTCTTCCCGGCAACGTTGTTGTCTTTGATGTGCTGCCTGTTCATGAGCTTCATCATGCGCTTCAGCTCCTTCACGGTCAGGTCCGGCTCCTTGGCTTTCTGCGCCGCGAATGCAGAGGCCCCCCCGAATGATGACACACACACAGCAGCACAGTCCACACGGAGCTACCGGGCAGGCCGCGGCGCGCAGGACGGGGAAGAGCAGCGAGGACACCGCGACGAGCTGCGCGCGTGGGCGTGCTCGCAGGGCCAGGGCGGTGCGGTCGTTCGCCAGCAGAGGGACGCACCAGCTCAGTGAGTGTGGGCTTGGGATCGAGGAGGGTCCACAGCCAGTCGGGGTACTGGTCGTCAGGCAGCAGTTGCGGATTCGGCTCGCCCTTGAGAATGGAGACCGGCGCGTCGGCAGCCGTCTGCCCGAACTCTGCGACCACGGCCGGTCGGGAGACGCAGTGAGGGCTGCAGTGCGATGCTAGACGTCAGTTGAGGGTCCACGTCGCATGGCACGACGCTTGCGTCATGCGAAAGGTACGTGGGTTGCAGAGCGCGTACAAAAACACAGCGCGGGGCCCCGGGACGAGCATGGTTGCGGTGCAAAGAGGCCCGGGCAGCGCTTGTGAGATATTCGCACCCTGCTTCGCCTTCCGGAGGCCCTTCCCCTTGCCGCCACCTCCCACAGCAAACCATCTGCACATCACGCCGGCCGGACCGGCTTCTCGCAGGACGTGCGTGGCTACCGCCCTACATCCCTGTCGCAGCGCTCCCATGCTTCCCCTCGCTCGCCCACTCCGAGACTGCGACCGCGGTCTCCACCACGGCGTGCCACCAGCTTCCGCACACCCGGGGTCGCCTCGCTGTCTCAGCAGGTGTCCGGAGACGGGCCTGAGGGCGCCGAGTGGCACAAACACAGAAAGGTGCCTTTCAGTGCCTGATCCTATGACTGCAAGGGTGAAAGTGGCTCGTACCGCGAATCTACGGTCAGGCGAGCACGCGGGCCGGCCATTTGTCCGCTCGGACGCCCTGGCCTGCGCGGGGCGGGGGGTGGGGTGTCACACCTTTGCCCGGCCACCGCGTCGTCGGCCGTGATCGGTGACGTTGCTGGGCCGAAGCGCAGCACCTCGCACACAGCACGTATCGCAGGGAACGATGTCGGCGTCTCTGACAGGCTCCAGGGTCGCACAGCCCGTGAAGGAGGCTGCTCGCGGCAAGGTCGTTGCGCGTGCGGGCCCCCCGCCGGCGTGGCCGGGGCGCTGCGTCGTCCCTGAGTTGACGAAGAAGACCGACGGGCCGAAGGCAAGTGCGCTGTCCCCGCGTCGTCGCCGTCGGAGGCGGGCGCGGCGCGTCATCGACGGCCCGGCTCATCCGACGAACGCGACCCTCGAGGCCGGTGACATGTCGCTTGAACCGTCCTGATGGAGCGTTTCCCACCGTTCGAGATTTCCGCGATCCACGCACCGCGCGCCAGGCCCTCGTGGCTTCCCCAGAGGCGGAGCGCTGCCCAGAGGCATGGTCCGGAATCCTCCCTTCCGTGGCTACCAGAGATCCTCAATTTGCTTCCTTCTCCGCCTCGACATGTTCAGCGTGACATCGCGCTCGTCTGCGTAGCATTCAAACGCACACATTCGCCACGCAAAGCACCCTAGGTATTCTTCATAGACGCGACCGCCCCTCCTGCGCATATCCAGCCCCGCCACGGCTCAAATCTCAGCCTCGCGGAACACCACAGTCACGTACAAGCTTGCAGCGCCCTCTTCGTGCGCCAGTCGCCTCGCGGTCGACCTGCACCGCCCGCCGAGACAGAGCTACGCCCTCCCTCCCGGCCACGCGGCGCGCAGAAGATCTCCCTCCTGGGCTCGACGGGCTCCATCGGGACGCAGACGCTCGACATCGTCGCCGAGCACCCGGACCGCTTCGAGGTCACCGCCCTCGCCGCGGGGTCGAACGTGGAGCTCCTCGCAGAGCAAGTCAAGCAGTTCCGGCCCGCGCTGGTCGCGATTCAGAACGAGTCCAAGCTCGATGAGCTCCGCGAGGCGCTCTCCGGGCTCGACTACAAGCCGGAGATCATGACCGGCGCGGCGGGCGCGGTGGAGGTCGCGCGGCACGCCCCCTGCGAGGCCGTCGTGACGGGCATCGTGGGGTGCGCGGGCCTGCAGCCGACGATGGCCGCGATCGAGGCCGGCAAGGACATCTGCCTCGCCAACAAGGAGACGCTCATCGCCGGCGGACCCGCCGTGCTGCCCGCCGCCGCTAAGGCCGGGGTCAAGATCCTGCCCGCGGACTCCGAGCACTCGGCCATCTTCCAGTGCATCCAGGTGCGAACGCCGCCCGCGCCACGCACGCCGCCACGCAGCCGCCGCGCCGTCGCGCGCGCGCGCGCGACTCCCGCCACCGCCGCGCGCCCCCACCGCGCCGCGCCGCCGCGCCGCGCGCCGCAGGGGCTCCCCGAGGACGGCCTCCGGCGCATCATCTTGACGGCGAGCGGCGGGGCGTTCCGCGACTGGCCGGTGGAGAAGCTGAAGGAGGTCACTGTTGCCGACGCGCTCAAGCATCCAAACTGGTCGATGGGCAAGAAGATCACGGTCGACTCGGCGACGCTCATGAACAAGGGCCTCGAGGTCATCGAGGCGCACTACCTGTACGGCACGGACTACGACAACATCGAGATCGTCATCCACCCACAGTCGATTATCCACAGCATGGTCGAGACCGCGGATTCCTCCGTCATCGCGCAGCTCGGGTGGCCCGACATGCGCCTCCCGATCCTGTACACGCTCTCGTGGCCCGAGCGCCTCAACACGAGCGAGGAGACGTGGCCGCGGCTGGATTTCATCAAAATGGGGGACCTGACGTTCAAGGAGCCTGACCACGCGAAGTACCCGTCGATGGAGCTGGCGTACGCGGCGGGGCGCGCGGGGGGCACGATGACGGGCGTGCTGTCGGCCGCGAACGAGCAGGCCGTGGAGATGTTTATCGACGAGAAGCTGTCGTATCTGGAGATCATGCAGGTGGTGGAGGCCGCGTGCGACGCGCACCGCGGGGGGGACTTCAAGGAGACGCCGACGCTCGAGGAGATCGTCGAGGCCGACCTCTGGGCGCGGCGGTTCGTCGCCGAGCGCGTCAACGCCAACGTGGCCGCGTAGACTGTGACGCAAGGGATGCGCGTTGTTGTTGCAGGGTACCGGCGCCTGATGTCGCGACTGCGTTGTGGGCTCTCTCGCGGGCGCAGCCGAGCCCCTGCGGGCGCGAATCGTCCGACTCGTCACGCGCGCGCCTTCGCACGGCATGCGCGCACACACGCAAACGTAAATAGCCGCGTCATACGCATACATTTGTTTTGATTGTACTTCGCAGAACGAATCCCTATTTGCTTGGTGTGTAGCCAACGCAACGTCACAGTTGGTAGGTGAGGCGCATCGTGTAGTTCCGATGATCGCACCGGTCGCGCTGCGTCCCGTGCGCCAGACCCCCCCTGCCCCTAGAGCATCATGCGCCGCGACTCCCGTCGCGAGTACCCCCCGAGCTGCCGCCGCGCCGAGGGCCCGGCCAGCTGCCGCCGCGACGTCCCGCTCACCACGCCGGGCCGCCCCCCGCCGGCGCGCATCGACGCGCGGTCCCCGCCGCCGCCGCCGTACCCAAAGCGCGACCCGAACTTACTGCGCCGGCGAGCCGAGCGCACGTGGTTGTCGAGCGCCTGGTTCGACGCGTGGCGGTCCAGCTCCTCCATGATCGCCGCCAGCTCGAGGCCCCGCTCGTAGCACTCGTCCGGAGACTCGCTGTACACAATGTCCTCCAGCAGGCCCGGGATGTCCTCCGCCTCGAGCCGCTGGAACATCACTGCGAGGCACCGGACAACAACATGCGCGGCGTTGCGGTGCGACGGCAGGCGGCGGTCGCACGCTGTCGAGCCTGACTGGCTCGTTGCGCCGTTTTGTGCTGTTACTTCTACGACAGCGCGCGAGGAGCGCGCAGGTCGACGGCACCACGGGCCGCGCAGCAGGCGTGCGTCTGTGCGTCTGTGTGTGTGTGTGTGGGGGTGTTGTGTCATACCGAGTGCGGCGGTGCCCATGAAGTTCATGTCCATGCCCTTGAAGATGGCCTGACGCATGGTGAGGTAGGAGTCTGCGGCGGCGGCGACGATGCCGAAGACCATCTCGGTCTTCTCGAGGTCGACGAGCTGCTCCTTGAGCACCTTGTTGCGCGACACGATGGCGGTCTTCTGCAGGCGCAGCCGCAGGTTGCCCGCGCCGCGCGTCTCCTCGTCCGACGCGTCCGTCTCCTCGATCGACGACAGCGGCGGCTTCTCCTGCGCCTGGTCCTCGATCGAACGCAGCTCCTGCCTGCACACACACAAACACACAACCCCCATGTCAGCCACAACAGTGCACACACACACGCACACACACGCGCACCCCGCCGCGCCGCTGCCGCACCTGTTCTGCGCCATCTCCGTCTTCACGCTCGCGATCTCCGCCTGCACGTCCGCCAGCCGCCGCTGCAGCTCGATCACGTGTTCCTCCAGAATCTGCAACTCCTCCCTCTCCTCCTCCTCCGCCGCCAACCGCTCCTCCTCCTCCTCGTCCACGTACTGCTCCTCGTACTCCGGCCCGTCGCGGTAGTCCCGGTCCCTGTCGTCGCGGTAGTCGCGCTCGCGGTCGTCGCGACGGTAGTCGCGGTCCCTATCATCGCGGTAGTCGCGGTCCCTATCCTCCCGCGGGTCGCGGCGGTAGTCGCGGTCCCTATCCTCCCGCGGGTCGCGGCGGTAGTCGCGGTCCCTGTCATCGCGGTAGTCGCGGTCCCTATCCTCCCGCGGGTCGCGGCGATAATCCCGGTCCCTGTCGTCGCGGTAGTCGCGCTCGCGGTCATCGCGGCGGTAGTCGCGGTCCCTGTCGTCGCGCCCCCGGCGGCTGCGGTCCGCGCCCGGCATCACGTCGATCTCCTCGGGCCGCGCGGGGCTCGGGCTGCGCGACCCGCGGCCCCGGCTGCCCGACTGGCTCTGCCCGTGCTTGACGGCGTCCCTGGCGCGCGAGAGGTTGTTCCGCGCCGCCTCCGCCGCGCCCCGGAGCTTCTCGTTGCGCTTCGCGCCCTCCTGCGCCTTCGCAGTGTCCTCCTCGGTCTCCTCCGACGGCGCGCGGTCCTCCCGTGGCGGCGGCACCTCCTTGTGGTTGCCCGCAGGGGGGGGTGTCACGCCCGCGTCCGCCACGTCGTGCGACTCGATCGTCGTCGGCGGCGAGGGCTCGGGGCCGCCAGTCGCGCTCATGCGCGCCGACGCGCGCGTCTGCTGCGCCTCGCTTGCGATGCCGCGCAGGATCTTGAGGGAGTCGTCAGCCGTCGGGCCGTGCCGGCTCGAGCCGTTCTCGACGGACGAGCCGCGGTGCTTGCTGCCGCGCGACTGCAGGTTGCCGCTGTCGTCCTTGCCCAGGTGGCGCGACGGCGTGCCGCGCGGCCGCGGCACGGGGGCGGGCGCCGCGCGCCGCGGACCGTCGTGTCGGCTCTCCTCCTGCGACGGCACGCGGAACGCGAAGGACAGCGCGTGAGCGACGCGGCCACCGCAGCAGGCCCCGTCCCGGGCACGGGCGTGCAACAACAGTGCTGCGGAGGGGTTGAGGGATCGCACGTATTCTCGAGCCGCTTCTTCAAGGTCGCGCTGCGGCATCGTTTTGCTCGGGCCCTGCCCGCCGAGCATCCGCGACGACTGCCGGCGGGACTGCAGCGTCGTCGTGCGGCGCACCACCGGGCGCTGCGGGCTGTGGTCCGCCGTCTCGTGCGCCTCGCCCGCGAGCATCCGCTGCATGAGCATCCGCCGCTGCGACGCCCCGCCCGCCCCGGCGATCCCGCGCGCCCCGGCGCCGGGCCCAGCGGACTTGGTGTCCCAGTCTGCGGCCGGTCCCGACGCGAGGGCGCGCCCAGAGGGCGCCCCGCGCACGGGGCCTCCGCGGTTGGAGCCGACGTCGTCGGCGTCGCGGTTGCGGATCGACGGCGCCCGCTGGCGCAACGTGGTGGCGCGCCCGGCTTGCAGGTCCTTGATGGAGTTTCCGCGCTGGAGGCGAGCGGCGCCGCCCTGGGACGACGCGTCACCCAGGCGCCGCGTGGACGTCTGTCGGCGCAGCCCGGGGCCGGCCGCGGCCATGTTGGCGTCCGAGCCGCGCCGGGAGGCCGCGCGGGCGAGCTGACGGTGCGAGGGGGCTGCCTTCGCGGTGCCGTTCACGTTCTTCATGTTGTTTCCCTTGGCCCATGGCTCCTTGTGCGCCTCCTTCGAGCCTGCGCAGCCCATGCTGAGCCGGTGCAGCCGCTAGCCAGCGCAGGTTGCGGTGATTTCTGGCCCTCCTTTCTCGGCGCTGTGCCGGCCGCAAGCAGGCCGTTCGGCTCGCGCGTGCACTGCCAGCGCGGGGCGTGCGCAACGGAGGTCCTCCTCGGCCGCGGACGGGACCGCAGAGCCACGCGCGAGGCCGGACCGCGGCGTCGACCTCCACGACTGTGGACAGGCGCTAGCGGTCCGTGCCGAGCGACGCCGTGGGCGCTCGCGCTGCCTGCCGGTCCGAGCGCGAGCTCTGCGCGGCGCCTGCACAGCGCGGCGGTTCCAGCGCGCAGGGAGGGCTCGTGAGCTCGCGGGCGCTGCTGGGCAAGCATTAGCATCAGGTGCACAGGGTCGGGCGGTTGGCGGGCCTTGCCAGCCAGGGTGCGCGCTGCGCGGGCGCGCAGGTGCCGTTGGTGGAGAGCGGGGGAGCGGGAGGTCGTGGTGGCAGCGGGGACGAGGGCCGTTGGTGCGCGAGCAACCAGGACGCGCGGTAGGCGCGTCGTGGTGCGTGATCGGCGCGGAAAGCGTGAGACCTGCACTGATATCTCACCTTCTGGGGCGCCAGACGGGAGGCGGGGCCTGGGACGCCGTGGGACCGCGGTGCAACGGGGACGACGACAAGCCGGCCTCGTCGGCACTGCCCGGGGGGAATTCGGGCTCGCGTGCGGGCTCGTTGGCGAGCACGCGTGAAATGTGGGCGCGGCGTGGCGCGCACGCGGCCCTTTTGCGCCGCGTCGGCCCAACGGACGGGGGGCACATTGCATCAGGGGGGCACGACGTAGGGACGGCCCTTTGCGCCGGCTCGGGGGGGGATCTTTCGCCACCTCTCGCGCCCTGTCCGGCATCGTTCCCGTGGAATCGCAATACTGAGAGGATTAATTACGTGTGTACTTCGGTGGAGGCTAGAACCCGACGTGAGGTTTCACTTGCAGGTAGAGGACAGCGCCGCGTATCAACGGACCTTGCCCGCTTCGATGTCGCATGTTTCATAGCCTGGCTCGCGGAAGCAGCCAGTTTTCGAGGATTCTGAAAACCGCAGTCGCGCCCACGTGGCAAAACCCAGCTCTCAGCAACTCGCGGCCAGGGACGCGCACAGTGCGCAACTGGCAACATCGCTCGGCGTGCACAGCGTCATTGGTGTTCACGATCATGTCAGCGCGTCGCAGCCGGTGCGGACGCCCGGAAGCCCCATGCGGGCGCGCGAGATTTGCCATTGCATTGCAGGGTGCCCTCAGCGCCGCGCGAAGCTCTCGACGCGGCCCCCCGCGCGTCCCTGCCTCGGCCGCCCCTCCCGGAAGCCCGTCGCCGCGCCGATCGATAGCGGGGCGTAGTTGCCCGTGCGGTGCGTGCATGTGCATGCATGTGTGATGACACGTGCGCCTCGCCGGTGCGCGGCCGGGCGGTCACGTCCTCCAGGGCCCCGCTGTTCCTGCCGAGCCCGCGCAGCCGCCGCAGCGCTAGGTCGTCTGCGGCCTATTGGGCTACAGCACTTTGTGTCAACATCGATGACTGGTGAGACAGCGGACAGCCGCGGACGCGACTGTGTACAGGGCACGGTAGCTCCGCCGAGCTGCGTCAGTGATGGGGCAGGTCGGCGGAGACCAGACGGGGCGCGTTGCGACCCCCAGCTCTCTTCAACCCCGCTCAGTTTCACCACCCCCAACGACCCGGTATCGCACCTCCGCGCACGGCCCCGCTCTTGAGGCGTCCGCAGGCCCGTTTCGCGCCACAAACCCCGTCCTCGTCCGCGGCGCGCCACGCAGCGCGCACCAACAGCCTTCGGCCCTCCCTTTCGCGACGCGCTTCTCCGCGACGCCAGCCCGCCTCCCCCGCGGCGAGCCACCTCAGCCACGAGTGTCCAGCGCGCGGCCACGATGCTCTCGCCCGTCCGCGCGCGCCTCTCCACCGTGCTCTGCACGGCTGTGCGCGGCCCCCGCCCTAACCGGGCGCTCTCGCGGTCGGCGCGGGAAGGACGGGCCCGCGCGGCGCACGCGGTCGCTGGCGGCAAGGGCCACGCTAGCGACGAGAAGGTCCGCAACCTCCCTGACGCTCCCGCGCGGCTGCACGGCCGGATCTCCCACGACCAGTGTGCCCTGGGGCCGAGCGCGCCAAAAGCGGCTTCCTGCGCAGCTCGGGCCGCCTGGTCGGTGGCGCGCGCGCGTGGCGCCAGTTCTTGCAGCGTGCATGGTCCTGGGGCGCGGATTCCGCGCCCGCGGCGCCGGGGCGCGTCCGCAGCGGTGCTGGCGGCGCACTTGCACACGGCGCGCGTGTGAACGGCTGCGGCCCGGTTTCTCGCAGAGGAAGATCCTGGAGGACGCAATCGGGCGGATGAACAAGTCCTACGGCCAGAACGCCGTCATGTTCCTCACGGGCGCGCGGTCCCAGGTGGAAACAGTGCCGTCGGGCGTCCTCACGCTCGACATGGCCCTGGGCGGCGGCCTGCCCAAGGGCCGCGTCATCGAGGTGTTCGGGCCGGAGTCCTCCGGCAAGACCACGCTGGCCCTGCAGGCCATCGCCGAGGTCCAGGTGCGCGCCGTGCCCGCCCGTTGCTTCCCGCCCATGCATGCAGGCGCGCGACGGGCGCCCGCGGCGCCGCACGGCCCGCATGCGCCGCGCCGCGGAACCCCACGGGCTCCCCAGCGGCGCCCGGCCGCGCCACCCTCGGCTCCGGCCCGTTCTCTCGCCATTCGTGCTTCCTCGACCTCCGTACGCTCGGCGCTCCACGTCTCGGCCGCAGAAGCGCGGGGGCCTCGCGGCGCTGGTCGACGTGGAGCACGCGGTCGACCCCGTGTACGCCGCGAAGCTCGGCGTCAACCTGGACGACCTCGTCCTGAGTCAGCCGGAGCACGGCGAGGGCGCGCTCAACATCGTCGACGAGCTCGCGCGCACGGGCGTGGTCGACCTCATCGCCGTCGACTCCGTCTCCGCGCTCATCCCGAAGGCCGAGCTCGAGGGCGAGGTCGGCGCCACGCAGGTCGGCGGGCAGGCGCGCCTCATGAGCAGCTCCCTCCGGCGCCTGTCGAAAAACGCCAACATGTTCGGGTGCACGATCATCTTCATCAACCAGCTGCGGCAGAAGATCGGCGTCATGTACGGCAACCCCGAGACGACGTCGGGCGGCCAGGCGCTCAAGTACTACTCCTCGGTCCGCATCGATGTGCGGCGGCGCGAGATCCTCAAGGAGGGCGACAAGAACACGGGCATCCGCGTGCGGACGCGCGTGGTGAAGAACAAGTGCGCGCCGCCGCTGCGCGACGCCGAGTTCGACATCCGGTTCGACTCGGGGATCGACACGGTCGGGTGCGTGATCGACGCCGCGGAGACGTCGGGCCTCGTGAAGCGGCGCGGGGCGTACTACTACTTCGAGGACGCGATGCTGGGGCAGGGGCGCGCGAAGACGGTGGACTTCCTGAAGTCGAACCCGGAGGTGCTCGGGCGGATGGAGGCGCTGGTGCTGGAGAAGCTGCACGCGGGGTTCACGCCGCCGATTGACACGGCCGAGGACGACGCGCTGGCGGTCGCGGAGGAGGCCGGCGCGGTGGACGGCGAGGCGGAGGCCGAGCCCGAGGTCGACATCACGCTCACGCTCGGGGAGGAGGACAAGCCGGAGGAGTAGGGGGTGTGTACAGACTGTATGGGGGGGGTGTACAGCGCGTGCTGGTTCGTTCCGGGGGTTCCTGACGGGGCCCGCGTGAGGCCGAGGGCGGGTGTGGCGGCGGGGCTGTGAGTTGGCCCCGTGGTTGTGTGCGGGGGTGGCCAACTGGCCGCCAGTAACGGGAAGAGGGGGGGGGTGTGTTTGTGGTGTTTTGGCGACCCGTGGGCGCGGGGTACTTCGGCGGCGGGCTGCGCGGGCGCGGGCGCTTGCGTGGCAGCGTGCGGACGATCGTCTGTGCAAAGCGGTGCCATCGAGGACTGAGAAGGCCACGTAAGCGTGAGTGAGTTTCAGAACCTGCAGCTCTGGGGTTTTCGCGGCCGGGCGGCCACGTGAGGCGGCGAGGGAGGCGCGTGGGGCTAGATGGCGGATCAAGGCGGCGAGCAGGCGCAGCCACAGGCGACGGGATACGCGCAGATCCCGGCAGGTGCGCGCGGGAAGTCCGCGGGGACCTTGGCGGGGGGCTAGCGTCCTGGCACCGTCCGACTGGGAGGCACCGACCTGCTCGAAGGTTCGGGTATCATCGGGTTTCGGATGTCGCGCCGTTTCCCGATGAGTTCGCGTCGCTCCGCGCGCGCAAGTCGCGCGCGCGCCTGGCGCTGCTGCAGCGGGGGCGCTCTGGCCGCGGACTGCCGTGGTCTAGCTCGCTTTCTTCTGATCACCGGGAAAGAACGTGGTAGTGCGTTGCGGTGCGTGCCGGAAATTCGACGCCAGGGCCCTCGCACGCGTCTGCACGCAGGCATGAAGGACCTGCGCTGCTGCCGGACGTGCAAGCTCATCAAGACGTACGACCAGTTCGAGGAGCAGGGGTGTGACAACTGCCAATGGGACGGCAACGACGCGCCGGACTACACGACCGCCGAGTTCACGGGGTGCGCGCGCCACCTTGTTGCCGCTACGACAGCACACAACCCCCACCGCGCGGGTCGCGCCCGCCCCGCGCACAGCGACCCGGCAGGGCACTCTGCCGGTCGACGGAGGCCCAGCTGGGCACCGCCGTGCTCGACTCAACACGTTGTGCCCACGTCTACATATGAAAACATGACTGAGCTTCAATCGTTGGTTTCGCAGGATGATATCGGTGATCGATCCGAGCAAGTCCTGGGCGGCCAAGTGGACGCACGTGAGCCGCAGGTTCCCGGGCTGCTACGCGGTGCAAATCACGGAGGATGCCGTCGAGGGGGAGGACGTCTACGAGTAACACACACACACACATTCGCGCCGTGCGTCGCCGCAGCGGTGAGTGTGGCTGTGAGCTTCGGCGCAGAGGCAGCGCTTGCTCGCACGTGGCGTGGAGCCGCGAGTTCGATGTCGCTTGGGTGCGGCCGCGGACGTTGGGTGCTGCGACGCGCACATGGTGCGTCCTGAGCCTGCGCGTCGGGTCGCGGCGGCGACCTGTGATGTGCGGCGAGGTGGGCGCTTTGTGTGGGTGCTTGTGCGGGCCGGGCGGGGACCGCCGTGTGCGCGTGGCGTGTCGCGGAGTGGTGGTGGTTGGGCATGAGCACTGGCAGCGGGCTTGAGAGTGCGCAGACGAGGAGGTGCTTTGGTTTTTCGGGCCGTGATACGGAACGTGTGGGAGAGTACGCCGATAAATATGGGAATGGGTCGAGGGATCGTTCGGGAATCCTCGATCGTCGTCAGCGTGGATGAAGCTGGGCGGTTCCGGCTGGACAGGCCCAACATCGCCGCAGACCGCAGTACCGGCAACCCCGTCGGATGGGAACGCGCAGGCACGCAAGCACTCGAGCGTGAAGTCGAAGGCGAGCGCGCAAGAGGCCACCCTACCAGCAGCCATCTTCGCCGCACAGCGCGCCTTGCGGCCCACATTCCCGCACGAGCCGGCCAGAGCCTGCTCTCACCCACAATCTCTATCCATCCGCGCAACGACAACGGGTGTTCCACGGTACAGCGGTGGCCTGGCTGGATAGAAGCATCTATGCCACGCTGGCCGCGTTGACCGGGCGACGCGCTCAGCGGCGGCGCAGTGGACCGCAGTGCACTCGCTGGTCGTCTCTCAGTGTCTCAGATTCACAGGACGCGCCGCGGGCCAGCGCACGCGCGCTCAGCGCCGCGAGATGGTTGCAGGGCTGGCAGCCGCATACTGGGACGCACTGGCCTGCATGGGCATTATTTCGGCGCCGCGGTGCAGGAGCGGCCGCACGGCGTAGTTCATGAACCTCTCGACGCCCTCATCGATCGGGCCGACGATCAGCGGCACCAAGGAGAGCCCAAACACCGTGGGAAGGAAACGCTTCGTCCTGGGGCCCAGCTGCGAGCGCTCGACCATCCACTGCGCGAGCTTGACAGCGCGGTTGATGGCGAGGCCAGGAATGGCCACCGAGGCCAGGCCCTGCGAGGCACCGAGCGCAACGCGAGGTCACGCACCGCAGCCAGAACAACACGCCGCACACGCAACACGGCGCGCCTCCGCGGCCCGGACCGGCGCGTACGGACTCCTCACCTGCCAAATGAGCGCATCCGTCACCGCGAGCCCGGGTCCAGGCGACGACGGCCCCGCCTCGACCGCCTTGCTGCCCTGGTACACTGCGTCTCCCGCGACGTACGCGCTCGCGAGCGCGTACGTCCCGAGGTACATGGAGCGAGGCAGGAACCTCTTGAATGCTTCCCCGACCTCGTTCGTGTACCCCGCGAACCGCAGCGGCGTCATCCGGAAAGGATCCTGCTCGCCCCCACCCTCCTCCACGCCCCTCGCCGACGGCGCCGCGGTCTCCGCGTCCTCCAAACCGATACCCAGCACGGCAACGCGGTCCGCCGGTGCCGCCAGCCGGTCCAGCGGCCGCTCTGCGGAGCGGAGATTGCCCTCCATGGCTGGCCCTAACTGCCGGGGATAGCCGCGTGCGTGTGTGAGAGCGCAAACGCTGAGCGATGGTGTACTCTGAGCCCTCCTGCGTAGCCCGGCGTCGCTCGGCGTCGCTGCGTCTGCCGCCGCGCCGCGGCGCGCCGCCGGCCTTGCTGCGACGGCTAGGGCTGGCGGGGGGGGGAGTGGGGTGTTTGCTGCGCTGCAGCGCCGGAGCTGCGCTTCGGGGGCGCGCGCGCGCGCGCGGCGGCAGTCGCGCGAGGCGCTGGGGATCGCAGTAGCCGCGCAGGAGCTCCGGACACCGGCGTGGTGCTGCGGTGGTGGTGACAGCGTGTGCTTGCGTGCCAGGTGACGGTTCGGGGAGCTGGCTGCCGCGAGTCGCGGCGCGGAGCATGCGCGCAGAGCGATGAGCCAGGGCAACCCGCAGCAGGGCGGGCCGCCGCCGCCGCGGCCGCCTATGCAACCAGCGCCCCACGGGCCACACCCGGACATGATGGTGCGTTCCCCGCCGCCGCGGACCCTCGCGCGCGCCAAAACGCGCACACGCGCACTCACTGAGCCTGTGTCCGACGAACGTGCCGCGCAGAGGCCGATGATGATGGGTCCTTACCACATGATGCCGCATTTTCACCCAATGGGTCCAATGCATCCCATGTCCGGCCCGCCGCCCGTGGGGTTCTTCCACGTGCACCCCGCGATGCCTCCGCCGATGTACCGCCCGGGAATGCCCCCGCACATGGCGATGCCGCCCCCCGGCGCCGGCCCTCCGCCGATGATGCTGGAGCCAGGTCCCGCGGTGAACCCGTTCGAGCCGCGGCCGCCCGAGCACGCGTACGAGCCGTCCGGCCCGCCACAGCCGCCCCAGGAGCAGGCCGTGGCGCCGCCCGCGGTCCCCGCGCCGCCCCCGGCGCAGGCCGAGCCGGCGACGGTCGAGAGCGACTCGGCTCCGCCTCCGGCCCGCGACGCGGGGGGCAACGAGGGCGCGAGTCGCATATCCGGGGACATCATCGACGACCTGAGCTTGAAGTTCGTGCTGAGCTTGCTCGACGAGGAGCGTGAGGACCTCCTGCGGCTCATGTTTGCGGTGGAGAAGGCCTGGTGGTACTACACCGACTTCATGCGGCGCCAGGACGCCAAGCTGCCGAAGGTCGACCTCACGGTGCGACCCCAAGCGTCCCACCGCGCCTTCCACCGCCTCGCGCGCGCCGGTCGACGCGCAACGCGGCCGCCCGGGCGGCTCTGTGCAACCACCACGCCCTGCTCGCGCCGCCGCGACCGGCCGCGGCGCCGCCACGCAGGATCCGGGCCAGACGCGGCGTCTACGAAGACATATACCCCCGGCTGACGCGCCTCCTGTTCGCGCAGGAGTTTTCCCGGTCGCTTTTCGCCCGATGCCCGGGGCTGCAGCGGCACGCCAAGTCCGCGAACAAGGTCGTGAAGAAGTTCCAGGTCTACAAGGCCACGATCCCCGTCTGCGGCGCCATCCTCGTCTCCCCCGACCTCGACAAGGTCCTGTTGGTGCGCGGCATCTCGAGCGGGTCGTCCTGGATGTTCCCGCGCGGGAAGAAGGAGTTCAACGAGACCGACGAGGACGCAGCGGTCAGGTGCGCGCCCCCGCACGCACGCCGCCCCTCCTCGCCAGCCACACAGGCCTCAACATGCTGCGCAACCTCGCCGCATGCACCGACGCGCTACGGCGCCGCGGAGACGCCGCGCTGCAAGCGGGCGCGCCGAGGCCCTGCTCGCGCCCCGCCCTGCGCCGGCGCTCACCCGCGGAGCGTCCGCGCCGCAATACCCCCCCAGGGAGGTGTTGGAGGAAACGGGGTTCTCCGCGGAGGGCAAATTCGACCCGTCGGACGCGCTGGAGATTCTGAACGGCGAGCAGCGCGTGCGGCTGTTCATCGTCCCGGACGTGAGCGAGGAGACCGCGTTCGAGCCGCGGTGCCGCGGGGAGATCGGAGCGTATGGCTGGATGCCAATCGCGGAGCTGCCGGCGAACCGCGAGCAGGCCGCGGCGCCGTTCGAGGACGCGGCGGGCGTGCGGCACCGGTTTTATCAGGTGTGGCAGTTCATCAAGCCGCTGCGGACGTGGATCAAGCGGCGGAAGGCGGAGGCGAAGGACAGGGAGAAGCGCAAGGGGGGGAGTAAGAAGGGGGGTAAAGGGGCCGCGGAGGGCCCGCCGGTGGTGGTGGCGGTGGGCGGGAAGGCCGAGGAGAAGAAGGCGGAGGAGAAGAAGGTGGCGGTGGTGGCGGGGGAGGCGAAGAAGGGGAAGAAGGTGGCGGCGGGGAGGGACGTGGCGAGTGCGCGGGCGGAGGGGTACGAGGGCGGGACGGAGGAGCAGGGGGCGGCGCGGAGCGAGGGGAAGCGGGGGAAGGCGGCGAAGAGTCGGACGGAGCGCGCTGCGGGGCCGGGGAAGAGGGGGAGTGCGTCGGGGGGGGCTGGGGGGATGTCGGGGGCGTTGGCGGAGCTGGACCGGGCCGTCGAGGGGCTGCGGGCGCTCGCGAAGTTCTCGTTCGACACGGGAGCGATCATGCGCGTGCTGGAGGCGCATGCGTGAATAGAACAGCAGCGTGCTACGGCACTGCAGCTTGGGCTGTGATGAACCCGCGAAAAAGATCGAGCGTCGCTGGTGCGTCCACTGGCAGCGGGCACGCACGTGTCGCGGCCGAAAGCAACGCAGCAGTAGACGCACGACCTTGACGTGACTTGCAAAACACCACTCCTCTGCAGGGGGTGTTCGAGATCGAGACAGTGCCCGCCAGAGACGCCGCCACAGGCAGGCGCTCCGCGGCTCTCGCGCGCGCACTGCGTCGTTCCGCGACACCGGCTCACGTGCACCTCCCGGCAAGCGTGCAGTTTTGTTACATCGCCTCCGCTTCCCAGCCCGTGGTCACCCGACCCAGTCATGTAAACCTCTCCCTCGTCTCGCCTCCGCGGAAATACACCTGCCGCCCTCTGGGCCCCGGACACATCGTCGCCCGACGCACCGCCCACCGCCAGCCGGTGCGGCTGTCTCGGTTGCCCCTCGCCCGTCCACGGCGGCACGCTGCGGCGCACCGTCGCCGGCGCGCACGGGCTGGTGGCAGCCGATTCAGCCGCACCTGCTGGCGGGCAGCGACGTGGTGCGCGGCCCGTCCCCCCACCGTCGCCCTTCGCAGCGCGCGCGTGCTCAGAAGCACCCCACGCCGCTGCAGATCCCGAGGATGACGACGAGCAGGACGATGAGGCAGATCACGGCGACCGCGATCTTCACCTTGACGTTCCCCCAGCACATCTGGTTCCGGACCTGACGGCTCTGCTTCTGGAACCGGTCAGCCTGGTACCGCAGGTTGTCCGTCTTGTCCACCAGCTCCTCTATGCGCTCGCCGCGCTCCAGCACCTTCTCGATGTTGTCCACCATCACGTTGCGCACCTCGTCCACCTGCGCGGGCGTGGGGGTGGGCGGCGTGACACGTGGGAGGGGGCGCGCGCGGCGCGCGGGGGCGCGGGGCGGGGCGCGGGGGGCGGTGGGGGCGCAGAGGGGCTAGAGGAGGGTGCCGGGAGGCCGCGGACGGGGCCGGGGCGGGGTCCCGCGGGGCGGGACCGGCGGTGAGGGGCGCAGGCTGCGTGTGTGTGTGTGAGGGCGGGGCGAGCGCGGGGGTGGAGGCGCGTGGCGGGGCGCAGGGCCGCACGTGGGCTGATGTGGGCGTGCGCGTGCCGCGCAGAGGCCCGGCGGAACAAATGCGGCAGGTAGGCGGGCGGTGCGAGTGCTGAGGGTGCGCGACGCACCTTCTTTTGCACGGCGGCGACCTTGTCGATTTCCTCCGGGTTCATCATGCACCAGTTCATGTGCTCCTTGAGCTTCGGGCTGAACTCCTTGCGGATGCGGTCCGCGGGGACGCCGTCCGCGTCGCCGTAGCGCGTTTGGAAGTCGCTCTTTGCGCGCTCGAGGAAGGCGAACGGGATCTGCCTGCGCGGAACACGGGGCCGCGGGGGGCGCGCGGGGTCGGCGAAGACGCAGCCTCGCGGCGCAGAGGCGCGCCGGGCGCCGGGGCCGCGTGGGGGCGCGGCGCCGCGGCGCTAGGAGGAGGGAGCAGCAGAGGGAGCCCGAACCGCTGCGCGCCGGGGCGCTGCGGGCGTTGCGGGGTGTGGGGATGGGCATGCGCGTCCGGGAGCGTCGCGCGGGCGGCTGCGGAGGCGAGGTCGTGGGCGCGCGGCGCGAGGCGCGGCGCCTGAAGAGCTGAAGACGGTGGGTGCGGGCGGGCGACGCACCTGCCATATTCCTGGTCCGCGACGACGCAGTACGTGAGGCCCTGTTCGGTGAGGTAGTTGAATGTGTGGCGGTCCGCGGTGTAGGTGAAGCGCGGGTTCCCGGGGGGCAACCGTTCTACGCACTTCACGGCGATGGCGCTGAAGTTCCCGGAGTAGCTCGTGTACTCCGCGAGGAGGTCCGTCCCGCGCGACACGAAGGCGTAGATCAGAGGCATGGTCGCTGCTGCGCGGAGGGCCCCTCAGAGCGCCGGCGTGGGCCGGTGCTGTGCCAGCTGGCCGAGGGGAGAGCTCCGTGGGAGCTGAGGCTGCTCGCGCCTCCTGTCGAGGGGAGCCTGGGAACGCGAAGACTAGATCCGACGTGCGCGCCAAACGGAGGCGCGTCGTGCCAGCGCGCGGCTGCCCGGAGGGGGTCGCGAACCGTTCGGAGCTTCGCACGGGGCGGTCGCCAGGCTGCAAAAGAGTCGCGGCGGCAGTCTCGCGGATTCTACGCATTCCACGGAGCGCCTGGAGGCAACCAAGCGCGGGCGCGTCGCCCCACGCAGCCGCTCCGACAGGTTCCAGGGGTACTTTTGATGTTCTTCCCGCGCCCGCCGCCGCCGGTCGTGGCCGAGACGCCGCGGCTCCACGCCCGCCCTGGCCGTCGCGCGGCGCCGGTCGTCCAGCCCGCCGGCGTCAGGCCCGCCATGTGTACACGTCGCACCACAACAAACTGCGACGGCACTCTCCTGCGTCAGGGAGGCCATGTGCTGCACGAAGCGCGAAGCGCGCCGCGTCACGCCCTCTCGCTGTGCTCGCTCGGTGCGGCGCTGCGAGGGGTGACGTGCGAACCGGCGAGGAACAGCCCTGCGCGCTGCCTGCGTCGACATCGCTGTCCGCGGCAACTGAGGGCGCTGCGAGGGCCTGAGGACCTCTTGCCGCGCGGGCCACGAGGACAGCGGGGCGATGCCGCACAGATTCGACACCAACACCGTCTGCGCGAGGACATCATGCACACGCGCGCCCGATGGAACACTTCTTTTGTTGCCAACAGCCAGGCTGCGCCCCCCCGGCTCTACCGATCAGTGCGGGAGCGCACGTGGCTGTCCCGGGCACTGCTGGCGACGCGTAGGTCCCTCGTGTTCGCGCGACAAGTGCGCACCGGGTTCACAGATCACATCACATCACATCGCGCTTCGCACACACAGCGAATCGTGTCTCCCCCTTCGAAACACGACTCTCAAACCTCCGTCCAGCTGTCTGCGTTCACTTCTTGGCCTGGGCCTTGGCCACCTCGCCAGCGACGCCGCCGTTATCCCCGGCCGAGGCAGACGACACCTCGTGATAGCCCAACTTCTTCCCGCCCTCGCCGTTCTGTGCTTTCGGGGGGTCGCCCCGGGCGCCCGCCGGGTCGTTCTGATGCGTGAAGCCGGCCGATGGCCCTGCCTTCGAGCCACCCGCCGGCTGCTGCACCGTCGTCGGCGTAGAGTACCCCGGGGCGATCTCCAGCGCAGACAGCTTGCTCGTGATGCCCTGAGCCAGGCCCCACAGGTTGTTGACCGCATCGATCACCTCCTTCTGCTTGGCGACGGTGCTCGCCGCCTCTTCGGCGCGTGCGCGCTCCTTGTCAAGCTCCTCGCGCAACTTCTTAGCCTCCTCGTCCGCGCGCTCCTTCTGACGCCTCAGCTCGTCGCGCTCCCTCTCCGCCGCCTCGGCGCGCGCGAGCATGTCGCGCATCTCGCGCCGGGACGGCCTGCCGCGCTGGTGCGCCTCCAGAGCGGCGAACACCTCCCGCGCATGCTCTTGGTTCACGCCGTACCTCATGCTGGGCCCCGGCTGCGCCTTCCGACCAGGCCCGTCGAAGCCCGCGCGCCGGTCCTGGTGCAGCATTCCGTCCCTCAGGGCGCCCTCGTGCCCCTCGATGACGACCGCACGCACAAACGCCTCAATCTCGTCCAGAACCACGTCAGGGCCGCGCTCGAACCACGACTTCGTGTGCTCCCGGAGCTGCGCCTCGATGTCGCGTCCTTCGCGCACCGCCTCAATCAGGCCCTCCCTCGAGTCCTTGTCCAAGGCGCACAAAAGAGCTGCCACGCCCTCGCGGCCAGCCGAGAGCGCCCGCAGGCGCGCCCTCTCGGCCTCGCACGCCCTCAGATCCTCATTTCCTGCCGCGGCCTGCGGACCAGATCGAACCGAGCCCTGGCGTCGGCGAGCGGCACGGGACCCTGGGTCGATATGCGACCCCGCGCGGTTCCCGGGATTCCTGGTGCGGCCGTGTACACCGCCAGCGTTGCGCGCACGGCTTAAAATGTCATGCGCATCGCACTGCTCGGCGACCGGATGGACGCCGCCGCGAGCCCAGGACGCGCCTTGCCCTACCCGGCAGGGGCACAGGCACTTAGGGCTCGTTCTACGCGACAGGTGCGGACTTCACCACCACCAACGCTGACGCAGAACGCATGCACATGCACGTGCCGGTCCCCGCTCGCGGTCCGTGGGATCCGGCGCGGCCAGCATCGGGCAGGGCTCCGGAGTCACTGCTCACCATGGTTGACAGAGATGCGGTGCTGGGTCCTTGGACACGAGAAGCAAGATGTCGCGGTGGATTGTTGATACTGGGAAGCTCTGGTGCCGTAGCGCCGCGGCCGGGCCTCATGTGCGCGCAGCGCGCTCGCACAGCCCAGCAAGAGACCTCCTATCATGTCCCTGCCACACATCTCATCGGCCGATCTTGCGTCAGCACGCGCGTCGCGGGGCGCCCCGGCCGCGCGAGCCCCGCGCGAACAGCGTCTTTCGGCGCGTGCACGTGCGGTGGCTCCGCGGCCACGCAAGGATCGGCTGTGCGACCGCGCATCAGTGACCGTGCGTGGTGAACGGTGCCCCTCGCGAACGGGCGGCTGTGGCGGGCCACGCGTCCCCGCAGGAAGACCGCCTGCGTGCTGTGCAACGATCCGTCTCTCGGAGGCACCTCGAGGTCTGCGTCGCGCCCGTTGTCGCAGGCCAGCAACCCTTCGCGGGCAGCAGGTGCACGAATCGACCCGTGGCGCCGCGACACACTCCGCGGGACGCGCACGAGGCAGCGCACCAGGCGGATGCGCGACGGAGAGCGACCAGCCGCTGCGGCACCGCCGCAGCCGTCCCCGGCGAGACACCCCCCCAGCGACAACAGATCGCTTCGCCTGCGTGCCGCAACCACGTCAGCGAGGCCGTCCGTCGCTCGCGGCGCTCCGTATACCTCGTTACAACATCGAGGGCGGGCAAGCGAAGCGGATTCGTCCTGCAGCGCCACGCAATTGACAACTCCTGCCTACATGCGCAACGACTTTGTGAGCCGCATCTGCAACTGCGCGGCCGTGCACCCCGGCGCAGGCTTGTGCGCGTCCTTATACCGCTGCTTCGCCGCCGCGCCGCCCTCCGCGGCCGCCGCCAGCCCCGCCACCGCCTCCGCGGCCGTGCCCGCCTGCGGTGCATTTCCCTTGTTCTTTCCGAAGGATATGGTGCGCGAAGCCGACATCGACGCCCGCATCATCGCGTGCGTGTCCGTCACCGACCGCTGCACGCTGCGCCGGGTCGGACTCGCGTAGTGAGTCCCCCCGCGGGCGTTTCCCGTCGCCGCCGTGCCCGCCCGCCGCGGGCGCCCCGTCAGCGTGCCCCGCGCCGCGGCCGGCGGCGCCGTCCGTGCGCGCTTCCGCTGCGCATCCTTCGCCTGCAGCGCGCGCGGCCCGAGCGAACCGCACAGAGTGAGGAAGCACCGAAGAAAGGCAAATCTCGAATGCCGTTCCCTCGCTTCACTCGAGGGCTGGCGCGCGCGGCGGCTCGCACAGGTCCCGCGTGCATCCCGCGGGGATACGGCGCGACGCAGCGGCGGGGCGCACTCACCCGCAGGTGCTCCGCAAAGGTGATACCAGCACTAACCGGTATCTGGCGCAGGTCCGGCGCGACGGCGACGAACTGGGGCGTGCGGCTCTGGGCCCCCTGCACGGGCAGGTCGCGCCAGGATCCGCTGCAGGGGCACGGACGCGCGGCGTCGGGGCCGTCAGGCACGCAGGCAGCGCCGGGGGGGCGGCTGGCTGCGGCACGGCAGGGCGTCTGCGTGGGCGAGCGTGCCCGGGCCGTGGAGCCAGTCACATGTCTGGCAGGTGCGAGGAGCGTGGCCTCGAATTGACGGCGGACGCGCGAACAGGGATCGAGGTCATGCCAGAGCGTGCGAGAGCGCTGATTCCCGCGCGCACGATGAGGTTCGCGGGCCGCATGGCACGGGCTGACTACCTCTTGTCGATCGCGAAGAGCCCGCACGGGCTCATTCGCTCTCCAGCGCGCAGGACGGTCCCCGTGGACTGGTTGCTGACGCTGCCATCGGGCCGCGCTCCCGTGCTCGCCCGGATGCCCGTCGCCGAGGGGGCGAGCGTCAGGCCCTCAGCGGACCCACGGACGTCCAGCCTGTTGCTATAGGCGCGCCGCGGAGACGGCGGCATCGCGCTTGGGGCGGGCCGCGTGCCACTGGAGTTGCGGGGAGCTGCGACGGCGTCCTAGCGCGCGAAGGTCCTCCGCGGCCTTCGATCGGTTGCGCCCGGACAGACACGCCGGGAAGATTTCTACGACGCGCGTCGAGGCGCGTTGAAGCGTCGGTGCGAGGCGGCACGCGCCGGGTCTGTGTCAAGCAGAGAGCGGGCGACTAGGACGATGCGTGGGCAGCGGAGGGCGCTGTGGATCCGTGCTCGCGCGTGCCAGTGCATGCGGCGTCCAGCGCCGCGCCGCAATGGCGCGCGGGCGGCCGTGCTGGCCGGCGGCCGGGGCGTATGTCATGTCTCTACAGAGTCCTCTTCGCGTCAGTCGCCCGCGGTGGTGGGAGGTCATCTTGCCGCGAAACTGAGCGCGCTGCCCGCAGAACGTTCAGGGCTACCCGTGTACGGAAGAAGGGCGTTTGTTACCGGAGCATCCCACCTCCAGCGGCCCGCGAGCCTCTCTGGAGCACCTCGCGAGGCACCTGCGGCGACTGTCCCCCTCTGGGCCCGTGGAAACCCGCCGGCTTGGCCTGCTGAAGGAGGGGGGAGGCCATGCCGGCCAAGCGCGGCCGAGCCAAAGCGGCGCCGCAGCCCCAGAGGCGCGAGACCGAGCTGGAGGCTGCCAAGGACAGACTTGATCTCTCGAGTGACGAGGAGGTACGATGAACGGGTCCTCGTGAGCCCATTACGCGCCCCTGGACGCAAGCTCCCCGGCAGCGTCGGGATTCAGCCACGAAACCGACTCAATCGCGGCGGGCGGGGGGCCTGCGCAGAGCCGTCCGGCTGCCCGGTGGCCGGATACCTGCGCGCCTGCGACCTGAGCGCGCCTGGCTGCCCCTGCCGCCTCACGACATGAGGGAACGTTGCGATGAGGGAGCCGGAGACGGTTGCCGGGCCGGCCTGAAGACGGGATTCGCGGTGGGCGGATGCGGGACCTCGTTGCGCCCCGTGTGTGCGTCGCGCAGGAGGAGGAGTTCTCCGAGGACGAGCAGGAGCTTGATTCCGAGGAGGAGGAGGACCTGCTGGACTCGGGCACGGACTCCGAGGACGGCGAGGACGAGGCGGGCGGCGGGAGGTTGTCCGCCAGGCAGCTTGGCGACATCGCCAAGGGGCTCCGGGGCCGCGGCGGGGCCGCGAGGGCGCCGTCAGGGTGAGCCCGCGTCGCGCAGCGTGGTTCAGAGCGCGCCTCCGCTGCAATGTCGTGCTTGCAACGCTGTTGTTTGTTTGTTGTTTGTTCGTGTGTGCGCGGCGGTGTTGTGTGCGGGCTCTGATGCGTCTGTGCTGGCGGGGCGCGCGGCGGCGGGCTGAGCGCACGGCGTGTCCCCTACCGCGCAGCGCCTCGACGGAGGACCTCAGCGGGAGCGACACGGAGGAGGCCGCGAGCGGCAGTGACGATGACGATGACGATGACGATGACGATGACAGCGGCTCCGAGGAGGAGGAGGGCGAGGGGGTGGAGGGCGGGGAGGGCGAGGAGGGCGAGGAGGCGGGTGCGGGTGGGAGTGCGCGTCCGAAGCGGAGAGAGCAGGGCAGGGAGCGCGAGATGCCGCCTGCGCCGTACGCGCTGGTGGGGAGCGACAGCGACAGCGAGGAGGACGACGACAAGAACACGATCGGCAAGGTGCCGCTGGAGTGGTACAAGCACGAGGACCACGTGGGGTACGACCGGGAGGGCAAGAAGGTCATCAAGCAGGTGCGGTGGTGTGTCATTTGAGCGCGCGGTGGATGGAGGCGCAGCCCCCTCCGCTACCGCTGCCAGCGTGGGCTTGCGACCAGGGACGTGGATTCAGCAGCACGTCCTCTGCGGACGTGCGCCGGCGCGCGGCGGTAAGCTGTGCGTGTGCAAAAACACACCCCCGGGGTGTTTGTTGTTTGTTGCAGAAGGAGAAGAGCATGATAGAGAAGCTGATGGCGAGGGTGGAGGGCGGGAAGGCGTGGCGCACGCTCTACGACCCGTACAACGGCGAGGAGGTCACGTTGTCGTCGGAGGAGGTCAAGATGCTGATGCGCATTCGCGAGGGCAAGTTCCCGCACGCGTCGGTGGAGATGTACGAGCCGTACGTGGACTGGTTCACCAGGGACGTCATGCAGGGGCCCGTCGTCGACAAGCCCGAGCCCAAGCGCCGCTTCGTCGCATCCAAGCACGAGGAGAAGAAGATCGTCAAGCTCGTGCGCGCCATCCGCAAGTGCGTCCCCGAACGAGACGGCGCGGTTCTTGATGGCTCTGTGGGCGTCGATGCGTGGCTCCGAAGGGCGCGGGTGCGCGGGGCGGCGGCGTGCGGGTCCTGAGCGGTGTGTTGGCCTCGTGCGATGGTGCAGGGGGTGGCTCAAGACGGAGAAGCCCGCGGAGGAGCCCGAGGTGTACTTGATGTGGGGCGACGACGGCCTGACGACGGAGAAGACCCCGACGGGCCTGACGTACATCCCGCCGCCGCGACAGAAGCTTCCTGGCCACGAGGAGTCGTACCGGCCCCCGCCGGAGTACGTCCCCACGGAGGAGGTGAGACCGATACCGCACGTGTCGCGCGCGCATCGAATCATTGGGCGGACGCGACGGCGCAGCGCCACCGCGCGTGCCCCCCGCACACAAACACACACACGTGCCTGCACGCTCGCGCCCTCGGCAATCTCTCATTTTGACGCCACGGCCCCGTTCGGCCGGCGCGATCGCAGGAGAAGGCAGGGCACGAGCTCCTGCCCGAGGAGGAGCGCCCCTCGTTCGTCCCGCGCTCCTTCGACGCGATGCGCAAGGTTCCCGCGTACGAGCGGCTCATCAAGGAGCGCTTCGAGCGGTGCCTGGACCTGTACCTGTGCCCGCGCGTCAAGCACACCCGGCACTTCGTCGACCCCGAGTCGCTCCTCCCGAAGCTCCCGAAGCCGCGCGACCTCGAGCCGTACCCCAAGCACCTGTGCATCCGATACGAGGGCCACGAGGGCCCCGTGCGCGCGCTGCAGTGCGACGCGTCGGGGCAGTGGCTGGCGACCGGCGCGGACGACGGCGCCGTGCGCGTGTGGGAGGTCAGCACGGGGCGCTGCGTGAAGGTGTGGGACCTGGGGGCGGGCGTCGACGGCGTGGCGTGGTGCCCGCACCGCGCCGGGGGCAAGATCCTCGCGGCGGCGTGCGGAAAGACCGTGCGCGTGTTCTGGTCCGGGGTCGGCGGCGCGGCGGCGAAGGCGGCGGCGGAGGCGGACCTGGGCGGCGCGCTGGCGGCGAGCGGGGCGGCGGAGGACGCGGGCGAGGACGCGGAGGAGGGCGGGGCGCCGGCGCGGTGGGCGAGGGACGCCGCGACGGGCGGGCTGCTGATCCGGCAGATGCACGACGTCGAGCGGGTGTCGTGGCACGCGCGCGGCGACTACATGGTCACCGTCGCGCCGACGGGCAACACGCGCGCGGTGCTCGTCCACCAGCTGTCGCGCGGGGCGTCGCAGGTGCGGCCCGCGCGCGCAATGCCAGCCACCGCGCCTCGCATCCTTCCGAGAAGTCTTTCTCGTTTTCTGTTGTTCCTCACGGCTGCGTGCCGCTTCGTGTCTGACTGCGTCCGCAGAACCCGTTCCGGAAGAACCGCGGCCGCGTCGTGGACGCCGTCTTCCACCCCGCGAAGCCCTTCCTGTTCGTGGCGACGGAGGGGTCAGTGCGCGTGTACAACCTGGCCTCGCAATCCCTCGCGAAGAAGCTCACGACGGGCTCGGGGCAGGTCACCGCCATCGCGGTGCACCCCTCCGGCGACCACCTCGTCGTCGGCGCGTCGGACAGCCGCGTCAGGTGGTTCGACATGGACCTGTCGACAAAACCGTACAAGAGCCTGCGGTACCACGAGCTGCCGGTGAGCGACCGCCCCGCGATGCTCTGTGTGCTTGGAGCGCGGTGCAGAGCACGCGCTGGCTCGTCCGGCGGCCCACCCGGCGTGTTGAACGGGCTTCTGTGTGCAGGTGACGTCGGTGGCGTTCCACGGGCGGCATCCGCTGTTCGCGTCGGCGTCGGACGACGGGTCGTGCCACGTGTTCCACGGCATGGTGTACGCGGACCTGATGAAGAACCCGATGATCGTGCCGGTGAAGATCCTGCGCGCGCACGCGGTGACGCGGCTGGAGGGCGTGCAGGCGTGCGCGTTCCACCCGTCGCAGCCGTGGGTGTTCTCCGGCGGCGCGGACGGGCTCGCGATGCTGTTCGTCGAGTGAGTGGGACGCCGGGGCTTTTGGTATAGAGCAAGTCTGGCCAAGACATTATGGTCAATGATCCCCGGTCCCCTGTCAGTCTGGCGGCCGCGCGCGACATGATGTGAAAGAAATCGGCGCAATCGGGCGGGTGCTGTTTACACGGGGCTGTACGCCGAGCAGCGTACGGCGTCGTCGCAGCTGGCTGGAACATGAACACTGGAGCCAAGCACCGATGACGCCGTCACCGCGGCCACTCCCCCTGCGGGCGTCTCCGCATCGTGTGCAGCACGGTTCCATTCCTCACCCACCGCACGAGGCCTTCCTCCGGCCCGTGCACCCTGACCACGCTATCGGACGGCAGAAGCGCATCCAGCCAGTCACTGCCCAGGTCCGTACATCGCGTGACGTCGATCTCCTGCAGGCCCTCGAGCCTCGGCATGTAGCGCATACTGGATTCTTGGGCCTGCAGTCTCCTGACGCAGGACCCGCTGAACGCCGCGACCTGGTGCTCGAGATCAACGCAGCGAGGGTTGTACGACACGTCGAGCAGATCCAGAGCACGCAGCTCGCCGGTCTCGAAAATCTGGTGCTCCGTTGGCTTGACGAGGGACGTCACGGTCAGCGACCTCAGAGCGACCGCGCCGCGCGGTGCGGGCGAAGGGGGCACGAGCTGGCATTGTACGTGGCACGCAATAAGCTCCAGGTGTGTCAAGGCCTGCCACGTCCGGGCGTCCAAGATGTGTCCCGCGACGCGGCAGGTCAGCAGGACCAGCTTCCGCAGCGCCGGCATGCCGTGCACGCACGATTCGTGCAGATCGAAGCCCTCCAGCGTGAGATGTGCGACCTTCGCGCGGCTGCTCGCGGGCAGCCAGTTGTCCTCGAGGATCTGATCCGTGTTCAGGCCGCCTGACATCGTCAGAGTCCTCAGTGCGCCGAGCCCCGGCGGCACCCTGCGCACGTTGCCCCCTTCCAGATGCAAAACGCGCAGCCTCCCGCGGGAGCTCTCCGGCAGCCATGTCTCCTCGTTCGGGAACACGCAATTGGTCAGCTCGAGCTCCTCCAAGGCCCGCATCTCCGGCAAGGCCACCGGTATCTGACCCGGATCGTCACTTGCTAGAGATCCGTGATAAACAGACAGCGTAATGCACAGCTTTCTCAGCCTCCCAAAGTCGATCGCGGCGACGAAGTTGTCCCACAGGTCGTCAGTCAGCTCCAGCGAAAGCTCCTCCAGCAGCGGCAGGGGCGGCACGACGCAGCGCGGCCCCCCCGTCCGTGTTGTATTGTCGATGACCCAGTAGTCCAATGCGCGCAGCACCGTGCCCTCGGGCAATCGCTGGAAGGCAACGGATTCCGCCCGAAGCGTCTGCAACGCCCCTCTCGAGGTCTCCGGCAGCCAGTCCTCTCCGGCGACGTCGAGCTGCCAGCAAATCGACACGTCCAGCACCTCCAGCGCCTGCAGCCCAGGGGGCACGCGGAGAATGCCGGTGCCCCAGGCGTCGATCACCCGCAACGCCCTCCTCGAGCTCTCCGGCAGCCAGTCCTCTGCGTCCAGCTGCGCGCACTCGGAGACCGTCAGCTCCTGCAGCGCATTGAGCCCCGCCGGCACTTGGCGGATGCTGCTGTTATGGGCATCGAACACGCGCAGCGTGGCGCGCACGCCGGCCGGCAGCCAGTCCTCGGAGTCGATCCAGTCCGCATCCACGCCCCGCACGGACACTTCCCGCAGCCCCGTCATGCCCTCCGTGATCGGGGGGCAGGAGTCCGGCCTGTTGGCGGTCGTGTACGGCGACGCAGCGACGCGCACCACCGACTCCTCCAGCGACGGGTCCGCCCCCGCCGCGCAGTACACCAGCCACTCCCCGTACCCCGTCGCGTTCCACCCCACCAGCGACCGCGTCGCAGGCGTGCCTGCGTGCGCGTGGAGCTTCTCGGCGACGCTCCTCCCCGTGACGGTGTCCTCGCTGCACCAGCGGCACGCGCCCGCGCCGTCCAGGGACTCCATCACGCGCCGCATGTACGCCGACGACGTCGCCGCCAGCGCCACGCGGTCGTGCGGGTCGAGGTGCGTGCTGATGACGGTGGCGAGCGGGCCGGCGCCGCTTGAGATGAGATCGCCGAGCGTGGCTCGCGCAGCCCTGCAGGCGAGCGGAAGGTACGCGGCTGTGTGCCGCGGGACTTGGCCGCGCGGCGCAAGGCGCGACGCACCGAGGCGGGCGTGGGTGCGTACCCGGGCCCCGCGCCGGCGCTCGCTCCGACCTCGGTGCTCATTATGGAATGTCCTCCGGTCGTCTGCATGTATCAGAGCGTGCTTGATCCACATCACGCGCGTCGCCCGGCTCGGTCGACGTCGCGAGCGACGAGGCAAGGATGCAACATATGACGCCGGACGTGGGCGTGCGAAGCGATCCAACCGTTCCGTCTCCACGTTCTGACGAACGAAGTCATCTTCTAGAAAGGAAACCGGCCGCTCCAGTCTGCTGTTCTGTCCCGGAAGACGAAGAACGCGAGCTGCTATTGCAGAGACTCACCAGCGCGCTTCCAGCCAACGGCGGCACCCAAGCAGATTGAAGGCACGCACAGCACGCTATTCCTTCGCTGGAGACTCTCGATAGCCACTTGTTGCGACCTCAAAGGGCCCTTAATCTCCAAGGTTCCGGGAGCTGTGCCTTCGAGGCAACGAACCGTCGATGACGCCCGGCAACGCGTCGCTGCTCACCGCGTCACCCCGCACGCCTGCGCGACCGCATCTGTGTGCGAGCTACCCCAAGTGGAGCCCGAAGTAGCGCGCTCGGATGACAGGCTACCTCATCATCGACAGCATCATACCTCGAGGGGGGGTCACGGAACACACACGATCGGTGGACGCGCGCCACGCTGCGTCGGGGTGGGCGAACTTGGGCGAATCCGCCGCCTGGCCGCTCCCGTGGCGGCCATCACGCGGGAGGACAGCGTTCGAGGTGGCACGCGTACGTTGGTGCTCCCCCGCTGTTCCAGGGCCGCGGGTCCGCGCCGCGAGCGGCGGATGCACGCAGGGATGCAGTCCAGCACGAGGCAATTCAGCGTCGGCGGCGGGGAGTTCAGTCGGACGTCAACGTGTCGCGGGGGAAAGAACAGTAACACATTGTTGTCGTCGCGTGTACAAGCACGTGGGCGGCGGTGCCGAGGCGTCGCGACGCGCTCGTGCGGCCGGCTGCATCGGCGGAGGGCGGGGACGTCGCTGACAGAGCGGCGTGCGCGCGACCGGCGTGGGCGGGCCAGCGACGACGCGCATGTGGTCGCAGCGGGGGCCAAGCAGCGCCCTCGGGAGCCGCCTCGCGCCCCGGGCGGCAACAATCCGTCCACCACGACCCGGCACCGAGACGCTGCGGGCGGCGGGCGGGGCAAGCCACCCCAGCGGCGCGCCAGAACGTGCGGCGGCACCTGGGGGCGCCGCCGCACGTTCTGGAGCCGTTGCCGGGCGCCCCTCGCCCCGGGCAGCACGCGCACGCGCAAAACGACGCCATTGCCCGATACGGGACTTGAACCCGTGGCCACGAGGTATCCCCACGCTGTCCGTGCGCATGCAGCGCGCCGATGGGACCCAACAGTCCGACCCCACCGACGCGCCGCACCCACATAGACGACGAGGTCTTAAAAGCCTCGCGCTCTGCCAACTGAGCTAATCGGGCAGCAGCGTTTATACCGGCTTTCGCAACCTCGCTATAGTAATTACGTGTTGTTGCAAACTGCTTTTGTCTTTTGCCACATACTGCGTCTCGAAAGATTCGGAAACATTGGTTGTGAAGCCCCGTGGCGGTCTCCGGCGCGTCCGCCCGCCGCGGTCCCGCCTCCTGCGCGGCACCCCAGGCGGCGCCACAGCCAGGATCGGCCTCGGCGATGCGCCTGCACTTTCACAGCCACGCACCGCGCTGCCGTCGTGTCACTCGACCACGCCCGCGAGCATCGCGGCGGCCCCGCGCCCCGCGAGCCCCCCGGCGCCCGCGCCCGCCTGCAGCGCCCGCACCGCCTCGATGATCCCGTCCAGCTCGGCCCTGTACCGCCCCACTTCGGCGTCCTTGGCCTCCAACTGCACCTCCCACTTCCGCCGCTCCAGCGCCGCCTGCAGCGCGTTCACGCGCCGCGTCTCCTCCAGCAGCGCCGCCCACTCCCTCTCCTTCTCCTGCTGCGCGCGCTCCATGCCGCCGATCCGCCGCTCCAGCGCCAGGAACTCCTGTGCTTTGGGCGAAAAGGGTCCGCGCTCCTTGAGCGCGCGCGCCGCCTCCTCCAGGTCGCGGACGCGCACGTCGAGCTCGCGGCACCGCTCCTCGGCCGCGACCGCGCGCGCGCGCCACTCGCGCGCGGCGTCGGCGGCGGCCTCGGAGCGCGCGGCCGCAACCTTGGCAGCGTGGTCCTCCATGAGGCGCTCGACGCGGCGCTCGTGGTCCGACGTCAGGTGCGCGGCGCGCTCGACCGCGGCGGTGTGCGCGCGCTGCGTGGACTCGAGCGCCATCTCCGCGGCCTCCGCGCGGCGCGCCAGGGCCTCGACGCGCGCGCGCAGGTCCGTGAGCTCCGCGGCGTTGCCCTCGCGCGCGCGGCCCTCGGCGTTGCGCAGCGCCGCGTCCGTCTGCGCCGCGTGCTGCCGGAGGCTCGCGCTCTCGGCCTGCCACCGCTCCACCTCCTTGCGCAGCGTGCCGGCGTGCTCCTCGAGCGCGAGCGCCTGGGACTCGAAGGAGCGCGCCGCGGCCTCGGCGCGCGAAACGCGCGCGCGGAGCTCCTCGCACGCCGCCTGCGTGCGCGCCAGCTCGCCGCGCAGCGCCTCGTCCGCGCCCTTGGCGCCGCGCTCGCGCTCGCGCTCGTCGCCGCTGCCGGCCTTGAGCGCGCGGCCGGACGACGCCGCGCGCAGGGACTTGCCCTCCGCGGCCGCCACGCGCTGCTCGAGCGCGCGGATCTTCTGCGCGTACGTCGTGCGGTTGTCGTCCAGCTGCTTCTCGAGCTCCCGCACCCGCGCCGACGACGCCGCCTGGCGCGCCTGCTGCGCCTCGGCCAGCGCCGCGTCCGCCTCGCGCCGCGCCTCCACCTCCCGCTGCAGCCGCGCCTCCAGACCTGCACTCACACGCCGCGAGGACAAGAAGGACAAAAACACAGTTATTCGAAACAAACAGCACTGCGACGTCGTTCGCATGCAGAGACAGTCAAGCACACCCGCCGCGCGCACGGCGCGCGCGCACCTGCCGCGCGGTCGCGCATCTCCAGGTACGCCCGGTCGCCGTCCCCCTGCGCCGCCCCGCGCACCGCGCCCTGCAGCGCTGCCACCTGCGCCTCGAGCTCCGCGACGCGCGCCGCCGCCGCCCGCTGCGCCTCCAGCGGGCTCCGCTCCTGCAGCCGCCGCTCGAGCTCCGCGATCGTCTCCGCCTGCTCGCGGATCAGCTCCCCGGACTCGCGCAGCCCGTCACCGCCGCCGCCGCCGCCCGCCGCCAGCGCGCCCGCGAGCCGCTCGCGCAGGTCCCGCACCGTCTCCGCGTGCTCCTCGCGCAGGAGCGCGATCTGCTCGCGGAGCAGCACCGCCTCGCGCGCGTCGGCGTCGCCCCGCCGCGCGTCAGAGTCCGCAAGAATGCGCTCGAGCTCCTGCTTCTGCCCACGCAGCGCCTCAACCTCCTGCGCGACGCAGCAGCACAGCGTCGGTCGGTCGCCGGACGGCGGCGGCTCGGAGGACCGGCGGCGCGGCGCGGCTCCCGCGGTGTGCGCGCGCACCTGTTGCAGTTCCTTCTGACGCGTGTAGGCCTCGTCGCGCACGCTGTTGATCTCGGCCTGCATGCGGAGGACCTCCCGGAGGTGCGCGCCCGTCCCGGGCACCTGCCGCTCCTGCGCCATGCTCTGCGCGGCCGCCAACCCCAGCTGAGACACCTGCGTCGCCACCTGCTTGTCCTTCTCCGCGAGCTGCTGCCGCAGCTCCTTCACCTCGCGGATCGCGCGCTCGTTCTCCTCCTGGTACCCCTGCGAGCGAAAAACACCGCGCCACAGCGGCCACAACGCCTCAGACACACGTACGATGGGAGGGGGGGTGCGACGACACGTGGCGAACATGACAGCCAGCAGCGCGCGTCTCGAGCCGCCCCGCGCACCTCGAGCAGCCTCTCCTGCTGCGCCATCTCCGCGCGGATGTCCGCGAGCTCCTGCCGCCCCAGCACCACCTGCTCCTGACTCGACCGCAGCAGAGTCTTCGGGTCCCGCCCCTCGAGCTCCTTGACGCGGTCCGTCGCGCGGTTCAGGTCGAGCTGGAGCTCCCGCACCAGCGCCTCGTAGCGCTCGCGCGTCATCGCGTCGCGGTCGTCGAGCTCGGCCTGCAGCTTGGACGCCTCGGCCTGCGCGGCCTTGCGCGCCGCGGCCTCGTCGGACGCCTTCTTCCGCGCGGCCTCGAGCTCCCCGCGCAGCCGCGAGACCTCGGCGTCGTGCAGGCGCTGCAGGGCCTTGATGTCCGCGGCGTCGCCGGCCGAGTCGAGCCTGCGGGGACACAGACGGCACGCGTAGGCTTGTTGAGGCGCGTGGCCGTGCGTACGGCAGGCAGGACATGGCCGGCGCGTCTACGCACGAGAGAACGCGCGCGGCGCCGCGCGCGCCCACCCATCCCAGCCGCAGCCAGTCGCGAAAGCATACGTAGAAAATACACCAAGCGACGCACCTGCCCTGGAGCTCCTCGTACATGGCGTGGAGCAGGTCCTGCGACAGCTCGACGCTGCTCGTGCTCGCGCGGCCCGCGGCGGCCGCGGCGGACGCCCGCACCGACGACGGCCCCGGCGACCGGGACGTGGAGGTGCGCGCCGGCGACGGCGCGGCGGTCACAACGCGCCCGCCGGCCGCGGACGACGCGCGGCCGGCGTGCCGCGGCCGCGGCCCGCTGCCGCGACGGGCCGCGCGGGGACGCCGCGGGCGACGGCGTCTGCGGCTTCCGGCGGGCGGCGGGCGGTGTGGGCGCGGGGGTCGTGCTGGGTCGCGCGGCGGCGCGGTCGCGGCTCTGGCGCGCCGCGGAGAGCCGCCGCGCGTCCGCGCGCTTCGAGCTCCTGCGCCTTGCGCAGCAGCGGCGATCGGGCTCCGGGGCCTCGCGCCCGCGTCGGAGTCGCCCGGCGCCGGCGCCGGCGCCGGCACGGGCGGCCCCGCAGGTGCCGCCTCGCCGGACGGCTGCCGCGGGATCTTGCTCGCGGAGGTGTCGTGCCCGTGCACGTCCTCGCCCGGGTGCGCGAGGTACCCCTGCGGCGGCTGCGGCAGCGACGACGTCACCCCCGCCGCGCCCTCGCGGCCCTTCTCCAGCGCAGAGATGGCCTCCATCAGCGCGCTGCGCGCCCCGCGACCCTCCTGCGAGTCCAGCACGCCGCCCGCGACCGGCCCGCCCAGCGACTGACCCAGCGACGACTGCTTGTCGCGCAACCTGCGGAAGAACTCCACCTTCGCTGCCTCCTCCGCGCTCGAGTCCGTCGCCAGATCGATCGAGGGGCCGACCGCGGACAGCTCGCCGCCGAAGGACGACAGCGGCGCCGCGCCGCTGCTCGCCCCGGCGCGCCCGCGCGCCTCAGCGGGGGGGAGTGGCAACATGTGAAGTCCCGCGCTCGCGCTGCCGCCGTCGCCGGGGCTGCCGGCGCCGGGGCTCCCGCCGTCGCGCTGCCCGACGTGCGGGTGCAGGGGGGACTCCGACGGGATCGGGCGGCCGATGCTGCCGGATCCGGAGCCGCCTGAGGGGGGGGTGTCTTCCTTGGGCGGTTCCGCGGGCTGGACGGGCGCCGCGGGGGTCGCGGGGTCGTCGCCGGCAGCCCCGGACATCGACGTGCTCGCCAGGGCGTCCACGGCCGAGCGGCGCGGCCGGAACTCCTCCGCTTCGGCCCGCAAAGACAACGCCGTCCCACCTACGTTCTCGCTGCTGATCCCCGTGAGCTCGACGTCTGCGAGTCACGACACGCAGGGCTGGTTCCGGTCGCGTGGTCGCTCGGGGGGGCGAGAAATCGGCGAGCGGGGCCCAGAGGGCCGCGGAGGCGGCGTCGCAAGGATACCAGCAGTGCGCGATAGCTCGAGCGTGCGGCGTATGGGCGCGGGCGGCGGCGCGCGCGCGGGCGGCGGGGCGTGCGTGGCCGGAGCCCCGAGGCGCCGGGGCGGCGCGCGGGCGCGCTGCTGGCCTGCGCGCCGAGGAAACGCGGCCTGTGCGTGCACAGGCTGTTTTGATTCGGTTCGGGCGGGCGGGCGAGGCGAGGGCGCGCGCTGGGCACCTGAGCCGAGGTCGCTCGAGCTCGCGTACAGCTCGTCCTCCGACTCCATCCTCGCGGGGGCCTCGCGCGGGCGCCGGGACGGCCGGAAACCTTCACGTTCCCGCGACGGAGGTGGGCTCGCTCTGGGCGTGTGCTGGAGCGACCCGCCTCGCGCTGCGGCGTGGCAGAGTGCTGCGCGAACGCGCCCCGGTGGGAGCTCTCGACGATCTCCGCGCCGACGCAGCCGCGAATGCCGCGTGCGCGCGCGGGGGAGCGCGTTTCACGGCCCGCAGAGCTGCCCGACGGACTGACCGAGCCTCCCGGGCGCTCGTCGGGCGCCGCGACGCCGCGGACGGGCCAGAGCACGCGAGCTGGTGCTAAATCCATCGCGCGGTTGCATCGCGTTGGCAGGCTCGTGGCGTCACGATGCCGGACGAGGAGGAGACACCGGCCGGGGGGGAGGCCACCGCGCAGGTGCGGGCCGCCGACGCCCCGCTCCGCGACACACGTGCCGCTCGCACCTATCCCGACGCCTCGCGCCAGCTTCTCCGCGTCCAGCACCGCGTGGGCGCCGCCCAGAGGCGCTGACTCTCTCCCGCCAGTGCCCACGCCCTCCACGCCCGATGTACCCCCGGCCTTGATCCTTTCCGATGCGCACGGCAGCGTTCGCGCATAGAGGATGCTGCCCGGGCGCCATCCTGCGCCGAAAACCGCGGTAGGGCCCGCCTAGCCCCGGCGAGGCTGCTTCCTGTGGTTACCCGGCGCGCCGCGGCTGTTGCGCGCCCACCGACGGCCTACCATGCCCCACGGCCGCATAAATAGGGAGGAGAGCGTCTCGCGCGGCCGAACGAGGCCGTTCCTGCCCCGTGAAGCGCCCTTTCTCTCCGTCCGGGCTGCCCAAGGCCCCCGTCGCGGCGCAGAGCGCGCCTCTCACCCTCTTTCTTCTCACGCGAGCGCACACTCTCGTCCTCCGCGCTCAGCGCGCCGCCCCGTCGCCGTGAGACCCGCGCGCAGGAGGCCCCGGCCCAGGAGCCTGCTGCAGGTGGCAGCCCCGACGCTGCCGCGCTCGAGGACAGCGACGACGGCGACGGCGGCGCCGCGGCGCCCGAGCAGCCGGCTGAAGCCCCCGCGAAGGACGAGGCCGCCGAAGACGACGCCGGCGACGCCGCAGGAGGTGGGACTCCTCCTCCTCCGCGCTCCCCTGCCCGCCTACGACGTCACACGCGACGCTGCTGCGCCTTGACGCTCGCATTCAAGACACCCGAGCCTTCCGCAGCCCGCGCGCCCCTCCGCGCGGTCCCTCCCAGCCCGTGCGGCTCGCCTAACAGCAGCGGCGTCACGCGCGCCCCCCGCGCTCGCGCAGACGACGACGCGGTGGCCGCCCTCGAGGACGACGACGAGGGCGGCGAGCCCGCGGGCGACGACGCGGCCGCCGAGGACGCGGAGGCGGAGCGGAAACGCCGGAAGAGGGAGAAGAAGGAGCGTCGCAAACGGAGGCGGAAGAAGAAGCGCGCGGAGTCCGAGGAGCCCGAGGAGGGCGAGGGCGAGGCCGACGAGGACGACCTGCTGCTCCTGCAGGACGCGGGCGTGCAGGTGCGGAAGAAGGGCCTGAAGCGGCTGAAGCGGGCGGGGGGCGACGCGGACGAGGAGGAGGGCCTGGTGGGGCGCACGGCGGAGGAGGTGGAGCGCGAGCTGTTCGGCGCGGGCGGGCTCGAGGACGAGGACGCAGAGGGCGAGGTGCGTGCCTGGCTGCGCCGGCGTGGGAGCGCGCCGAAGGTTGTTGTTGTTGTTGTTGTTGCATGGACGGCCGTCGCGCGCCGTGGGCGCCCGTGCTGCGTTGGAACGCGGCGGAGAGGGCGTGGCTAGGAGCGTCTTGACGGCGCGTGCGTTGTGCGCGGTGCGTGCGGGAGCTGACAGCGACGGGCGGTGTTTTCGTGTGCAGCGGGCCGCGGGGGAGGGCGCGGGCGGCGACGCGCAGCCGGTCGGCGCGGACGAGGACTTCGACGAGGAGGGCGACGACATGGGCGGGTTCATCGAGCACGACATCGACGGCCTGAAGGTGGAGCACGAGGCGGCGCGCAAGGCGCGGGAGCGCATCCGGGGCAACGCATCGCTGCAGGGCGTGGACGAAGAGGCGCTCGCGGACGCGCAGGACATCTTCGGCGGCGCGGACGAGATGCTCATGGAGTTCGAGGCCGCGCAGCGGCAGCAGGCGGAGGCGGAGGCGATGGAGGCCGCGGCGCTCGAGGACGCGGTCGGCGGCGGCGCGGCCGCGCTGTACGGCGACGAGGGGCTCGAGGGGTTCATCGAGGACGACGAGGGCGGAGATCCCGAGGCCGCTGCGGCGCGCCGGGCCGAGGACAAGAAGAAGAAGCGGGAGGCGGCGCTCAAGCGCGCGCGGGAGCGCATCGATCCGGAGACGATGAAGCGGCTGTACCTGACGGACCAGGACGAGGCGGTGCGGCAGAGCAACATGCCGGAGCGCATGCACGAGCGGCCGCTGCCGGAGCTCCCCGCGGGCATGGGTGCCAAGGACGCCGCCGTCGCCGCGTCGTGGTGGGTCAACGACTGGCTGTGCCACCTGCCCGAGTCGGACCCGGTGCTGCGGACGCTGAAGCGCGGCGTGCGGGAGGTGGAGTTCAAGGACTTCGCCCGCGGGGAGCTCGAGGGCGGCGTGTGCGACCTTGGGACCCGCCGCGGGCTGTTCACCCCAAAGGAAGATTACAAGCAGGAGAAGTTTCTGAGAGACAACAAGCTCCCGGCGTCCGACCCCAAGCGCGGCGTGCTCCAGGAGGACGTCTTCCACACGATAGAGCTGCTGTGGGGTCACCGCGAGGTGGGTACCGAGCCGGTGCCGCTGGAGCCGCCGACGATTGGGATGTACCGAAAGGAGCTGGCCGGGGAGCTGATCAACCTGCGCGAGGGCGACGAGCCGAGCTGGACGACCTTCCGCGAGGAGAACGATCGCAGGAACAAGGGGCAGCCGGAGTACGTGGAGGGGACGATTCAGGCGCACCACCGGCGGCTGCGGCGCTGGGACGTGCTGTACGCGGTGGAGGAGGCGGCGCGGCGGTGGCGCGCGCTCGAGGCGCTGCGCGCGCGCGGCGCCGAGGCGTACAGGCGGGCGGCGGAGGCGGCGGCGGACCCGGACGGCGACGACGCGCGCCGGCTGCGCGAGTGCCACTCGCTGCTCGAGATGGTCGCCGGAGCGCCGGAGAGCGGCGAGCTGCGGCGGTCGTGGGGCGTCGCGCTCAGCCAGGCCGTGATCGACGACGTGCAGCTCAAGGCCTCCGCGGTGATGCGCGCCTCGGACGACGTCGGGCTTTCCATGCACGCAACGGGCCTCGACGGCGACGACGGCGGCGGCGACGCCGGGCGCGTCAAGCGCAGCTCGCAGTACAAGGTCCTGCGCGACTCCGGCGCGGCGCCGCTCGCGCGGCGCCTCATCCTGACGCCGCACCAGCTCGCAGAGAACCTCGAGGCAGGCGTAAACCTCCACTACACGCCGACGCCGTTCTGCGGGCTGGACGACCTCGTCGCGGACGAGGCCGCGCAGCCGCAGGCGGTGCTGCGGGACACCGACAATCTCCTCAAGGCCGCGAGGCGGTTGGCGGCGCACGAGCTCGGCATGGAGCCCGCGCTCCTGCAGGACGTCCGCCGGCTGGTGCACAGCTTCGGGCTGCTGTCGACGCACCCGACGGACGAGGGGGAGTCCCGCATCGACGCGTTTCACCTCCTGGGCCCCGTGAAGCGCATCTCGAAGAAGCCGCTGTCGCGGGTGGATGGCGCCACGATGGCGCTGGCCGTGCACGCAGAGCAGCAGGGCCTCATCCGCATCGAGATCGAGCTCTCGCGCGGGCTCCCTGAGGACGAAGAGACCAAGAAGAAGATGACGATCGAGGAGGCCGTCCCCGACATCGACCCGAGCCTGTACGGGGACAAGGAGTATTGCGCCATCATCGAGACCGACGCCCAGGAGAGGGCGATCGCAGAGATGGAGGCAGCGGCCGCGCCGCGCGAGGACGAGATGCGTGAGCTCGGCGAGGAGGCCGCGGAGGAGTACGCGAACCAGCGGCGCGCGATCCTGACGGACGCGCTGGAGCAGCACCTGTTGCCGCGCGCGGTCGCGCAGGTCCGCGCGCGGCTGCTCGAGCAGTCGCACGCGCACATCGCGCAGTGCGTGGGCGACGCGGCGTGGGAGCTCGCGACCGCGCCGCCGCTCGAGATCGTCGGCAAGGAGGACGAGCGCGTGGCGCAGATCAAGCTGCTGGTGCTGACGTGGGGCGACGGGAACCCGGAGCTCACCACGGGCGCCGTCGTGGACTACCGCGGGAACCTCGTCGACCACGCGACGTTCCCGCGGCTCTCCGGGCGCGTGCCGCGCACCCGCGGCTTGGACCGCGCCGCGCTCCTGATGGACGCGCGCAAGGGGCGCGACTGCGAGGCGCTGCTGTCGATGATCCGCGTGCACCAGCCGCACGCCGTGCTCCTCGGCGCGTCGTCCTTCGCGTGCGCCACGCTCCAGGAGGACGTGTCGAACCTGTTACAGTATTTGCTGCTGACGTATCCCACCGAGATGAACGCGGAAGTGGACGGGGTGCCGGAGCTGCGGCTGGTGGACGAGGGCATCGCGCGGGTGTGGTGCGAGAGCGAGGCGGGCGTCACGGAGTTCCCGGAGCACTCGGCGGCGGTGCGCCGCGCGGTGGCCCTGGCGCGGTGCGCGACGGACCAACTGGCGGTCGTGTGCTCGCTCGCCGGGCGCAGCGGCGCGTCGGAGCTCCTAAGCCTCGACCTGCACCCCGCGCAGAACGTCGCCGCCGCGGACGACCGCGCCCTCGCGATCGAGCGCGCGCTGGTCAGCGCCGTCGCACAGGTGGGCGTGGTCATCAACGCCCTGTCGACCTTCCCGTGGCGCCGCGCGACGCTCCGGTTCCTCCCGGGCCTCGGGCCCCGCAAGGCGCGCGCGCTCCTCCAGGCCATCGCGGGCCGCGGCGGCTTCGTGCACTCGCGCCGCGAGCTCCTCGAGCTCCTGGGGAAACACCGCGCGGTGTTTTGGAACTGCTCGGCGAGCGTGCGGATCACGCCGGCCGACGGCGAGGACGGCACGCTGCACACCGTGCTCGACTCGACGCGCGTGCACCCCGAGGCGTACTCGCTCGCCAAGTGGGTGGTCCAGCAGGCGGTGCAATGGGAGCGCGAGGCGGGGGACGGCGCAGGGGGCGGTGCGCGGCGCGGGGGCGCGCGGAAGGCGCGGCGGCGCGGGAGCGGGAGCGGGAGCGGGAGCGAGGGCGGCGACGCGTCGGACGAGGACGCCGGGTCCGAGGAGGACCCTGAGGACGACCCTGAGTCAGTCTTGGAGCACATGCTGGACAGGGTTGGGGGGAAGGAGCGCGCGGAGCGCATCGACATGCGGCGCATGGCGGACCTGATCGACGACATGTGCATGTTGGGCGAGAGGCCGTGCCTGCACCCCCTGTTCCCCCCGGAGTCGCTGGAAGAAAAAGAAAAAAAGAAACACCCGGACGTGAAGGGCCCGTCCTTGGTCGACATTCAGCAGGAGCTCGTGGCGCCGTTCGGGGCGCTCTGGAAGCCGTACCAGCCCATGTCGGACACCGACGGGTACCTCAAGATGGCCGGCCTGACCGCCGCGGACCTGCAGCGCGGGAAGCGGGTCGCGGGGCGTTTGACGAGCGTGCAGCGCAAGGTCTTTATCGCGGTGCTGGACTCCGGGATCGAGGCGCGGGTGGACCCGGAGAAGTTCGCGTCGCGGCTCGCGACGGACGAGGTCACGCGGCGGATCGAGGAGGAGCCCGAGGGCCTGCGGAGCGTCGCCGAGGAGATGGGCATCGTGCCGGGGGTGGCGATCAACGGGCGCGTGCTGGACGGGATGCTGCCGAAGCTGCGCGCGGCGGAGCAGGCCGAGCAGATGGACGGCGACATGATGATGGACGCCAACGGCGGGCGGATGTACTCCCCCGGGCAGCAGCCGTTTGACGTCAGGCTGACGTGCCTGACGGCGGACCTCATGCAGGAGGACCGGTACGAGCGGGAGGTGATGCACAGCAGGCCCGCGACGCACGACATGAGCCGGGCGCCGCGTGCGGGCGAGCAGCGCGGCGCGCTGGAGCCGTTCTTCCGCGTCGTGGATGCAACGCAGCGTGCGCGCGAGAGGGGCCGGAAGGCCGCGGCGCGGCAGCAGCAGTTCGTGCCGCGGCCGATCGCGCACCCGCAGTTCAAGAATCTGTCGGTGGACGCGGCGAACGAGGTCGCGATGGGGCTGAGTCAGGGGGAGTGTCTCTTCCGCCCGTCGACGGCCAAGGCGGAGACCGGGGCCGGGACGGACCGCCTGGTGTGCATGGTCAAGCTGTACGGCGGGCCTGGGGAGGGCGTCGTGTGCTCCGTGCCGATCATCGAGCGCAGGAGCGTGCCGGGGGGGGTCAAGGAAAAGGCCCGCGGGGACCTCACGCTCGGCGACGCGCTGTCCGTCGAGTACCACGGACGCCCGCTCGGGTGCGGCCCCGCCCCACTGACCACCACCGCTCTCACACGCAACCCCTCTGAATCACACCCCCTCTGCGTCTCTTCCACCCCCCCCCGGTTACGGTACCTACCTTCCGTGCAGGACGAACTTCGAGGACCTGGACGAGGTGGTCGCGTCGTTCGTGTCCCCGATGTGCGACGGCGCCACGCAGGTCGTCGACAGTCGCAAGTTCTTCGAGGGATCGGAGTCAGAGGCCAAGGAACACCTGCAGCTCGTGCTGCGCGCCAGCAGCAGCGCCAAGGCGGGCGACTACGTCGTCGGCGTGTCGCGGCGGCAGGAGGGATGGTTCTACCTCGCGATGGGCGTCATGAAGAACGGGACTGTCGGCACCGCGTTTGAATACTTCGAATGGGTGCCCAAGGCGCTCACAAGCAGCAAGGACCGCGTCGGCGAGGGCGGCGGGTTCCGCTTCCGGAAGGCGGTGCACAGGAGCGTCGAGTCGGTGGTGAACGCGTTCAAGCAGGACCCGTTCAAGGCCAAGGAGAAGAAACCCGCGCCGCCCGCAGCGGCGATGCTGGCCAACAGGTATCCCGGACAGCAGGCCGCTGGGGACATGGGGGCGCCGCGGGCGGCGGGCGTGGGTGGGTTCGTGCCTGCGCGGGCGCCGGCGTCGTTCCTGCCGGGGCAGGGCGTGGCGCCGCCGCCGCCGCCGACCGCCGCCGTCGCGCGCCGGCCGCACGCCGGGGCACCGGGGCCGCCGCCGCCGCCACCGCCTGGAGGGGACTATTACCAGGGGGGGTATTACCAGGAGCCCCCCCCGCCCACGAGCGCGTAGCTGTGCGTGCGTGTAACGACTACCGACACTCCGTTCGTTCCTCCGCGCACCGCGCATCACTTGAGGCGCCAATCCACCCAACTGGACTGCTCACGGCACATGGACTGCCTGGTTCAGCGTGTTCATCGGCGAAGCGCCTCTGGCGCGGCGCAGTGGCCGCCGTCCCGTGCGCGATGAGTTCGAGTCTGTTACATCGCGTCCGGCGTCGTCCCCGGCCTACCGCTGCTTCCTGACCGCCAGGAGACTGATATCAAACACAAGCGTGCGGTTGAACGGCTGCAGCGTCGGGTTGTCGTACACGAAGTCCAGCGCCCGCTGCCCGTCGAAGTCGTGCGGCTGGGGCCCGTACCTGCAAGAACGCGGCCCAACCGCCCGTGGAACGCGTGCAAGTGCGTCGCGTGACGCCATGCGTGGCCGAGGGCGGTTCCCTCGCGCTGGACGACGGCGGCGGCACCCCGTACTGGTGGGTTCCGCCCAGCAGTGTGAGCGAGCGCGCGGGGTTCCTCACCGGTAGTGGTTGAAGCCGTCGAACCTCTGGCTTTTGTCTACGGGGTACGTGAGATCGGCCTTCTCGCCGGGCACCTCGATCCGGACGAGCCCGCCCGCCTGCATGCGCTGCACGGCCTCCTCGAAGGCCTTGATCACCGTGCCGTCGCCGATCGTCCACTCGAACGGTTCGTCCCGGACGGAGGTGTTGTCGATGCGCTTGCCCTGGTATCCCGCCGTGAAGCCAGCCCAGTGCACCGACACGCGGTCGCCCTTCTGCGGCGTGTCGCCCTTGCCCTTGCGGACCTCGAGGATCTTCAGACCTGCGGAGCGGGGCCGCAGACCGTGCCTTGTGGGGCGAAGAAGCTGTCACCAAGAGAGAGCGCGACGCAGAGCTCAGGGCCCGCCGTGGCCCGGGCGCGCGGGCGCGCGATGTGCGGAGGTACCTGAGTCGGTGGTGAGGAAGTCCTTGTCGTTGACGTTCGAGGCTGACGCCGCTGGGACGACGACGGAGCTAGGCAGGACCGCTGCAGCGCCCGCGAGTGCAAGCGTCCCCAGCGCAGCTCGCCGCCCCTGCACCGCACGAGGCCCTCGACTCGCTGTTTGCGGAGGCGGTGGCGCGCGCGGACGACGGCTCCGCGCAAGGGAACCACTCGTCCGCAGCTCTAGAGGTTGGGCAGGCACGGCGCGATGCGCGGTCGAGGTCCGGCGCACGCTGGTGGTTCTCACTCCGATGCACGAGAGACGCGCAGATGTATCTTTGCGCACACCTTGAAGCTTGCGTCCGCGCCGTTCACAGTGCGGTCCGGCGCCTCGCTACTGGTGGCCTTAGAGGCCAGGCAGTCCCGACCAGCGCACACAGCCACTCGCGGGCGCGCAGACGGCTGCTCGCAGTGCGCGCTCGTCGCAGGACGCCGGGCGGGCGCGATACCGAACATCTTGGGCAACGACTGGCTCGGTGCGGTGAGGAAGTGCGCTGTGCTCAAATTACGACCTCTGTGCAGCTGGTCGCGCACAAACGCGAATTACTGCTCGAATCTGTGATCAAGTCTTCGACTGGCCGCCCGAACCGCGGCGGCGAGGTCAACACCGCGACCACCGAGGCGCACTGCCCGCATGACTGATGACGCCCCCTGCCATCAGGACCGGACGCAGGCGTCCCCTGCGACCGCTCTGGCACACTCGCCGCCCCACACCGACGCCCCGACGGCCCAGACCGCTGCGCTCGGCGCCACCCACCGACAAACAACAAACCGGACGCGAACCCCATTGCCGCCACGCGCAGCTCGCAGCGCATCGGGTCACAACACAGCGGCCCCGCGACCGCCCGCCCGGCGCGCGCCGGGCGCCACGGTCGCGATTCAATCCACACACCCCCCCAATCACTCCCCCCCCTCACTTCTTCTTCTTCGAATCATCCTGATACGACTCTGGCAAGATGGCCTTGGGCGCCGTTTTCCCGATGCCGTGCTCCCGGAGCAGGTACTCCCTGTTCTTCAGGTACTCCTCCGCGTCCCACATGAGCGACTCGTCCGTCGGGTCGATCGTCAGGTTCTGCCGCAGGTCGAGCCGGTCAAAGCGCGCGTGCCCGATGATCTTCTCGGGCAGCTCGTCGTCCGACTGGCCCTCGATCAGCACGGCCATGTCGATCATGAGCGACTTGGTCGCGTTCTGCACCAGCCGCACCGCCGTGTTCGCGGCCGAGCTCGACGTGACGTCCACGCACACCTCAAGGTAGTTTGGCCCGCGGTAGTAGTGCGTGGTGACCTTGCGCCCGAGCAGGACGGGCGTGGACCCCACGGCCTGCTTGATGATCCAGCTGCCCTGGGGCACGTTCGGAATGAGTTTGAACTTCTTGTTGCGCGCCTCGGCGTCGCCCTCGGCGAACGAGTGGAAGAGCGCGCCGAAGGTGGTGGCCTGGTCGAGGACCTCGGGGCGCTTGCACGCGAACGACATGGTGAGCGCGAGGGGCTTCGGGCGCAGCGGGACGAGGATGTTGACGATCAGAAGGTATTCGAAGGTGTTGGTGGGCAGCCACTTGAGGAACCGCGCGACGTGCTGCGTGGGCTGCGGACACTCGAAGACGTCCACGCACACGAGCTCGAACATCGACTGGCCCGCCTGCGAGCGGCGGGGAAGCGGGGCGGGGCGCTGTGACGACGCACGGCGGCGGAGGCGCACAGGGGCGCGGGGGGTCGGGTGCGGGGTGGTGTTGGAAGGTGATGTGATCGCGAGGCCGTACCGGGTACTTCTTCTTGTCCCTGAGGTAGTTGGCGCCGCGCACGCGCCAGGGCAGGCTCTCTGGCGACGACCACATCTCGTGCGGGCAGCTCGCGTGTTCCCGCGGCTCGAGCACCTCGAAGGGAAACTCCTTCGCCCCCGTCCCGGCCGGTGGCGCGCCCGCCGAGTCCATGCTCGCTTGCCGCGAGTTCGCGGACGCCATGGAATCTTTGCTCGAGACCCGCGGCAGCGCGGCGTGCTCCTGCACCGCGGGGAGCTCGGACACGCCGACCTTGTCCGCGATCGCGTGCGCCTCCTTGCGCACCTGCTCCTCGTCGGCCTCGGACAGGTACATCGTGCCGGAGCGGCTCGCGCCGCGCGTCAGAGGGTTGGTGGCAGCGTTGGGGTTCGTCGAGAGCGCCGGGTCCGTCACGTCGGTCAGGTTGAGGTGCGTGAGCGACACCGTGCGGTACAGCGGCTCGTACTCCTTCCGCGCCTCGCGGTAGTCCCGCCGGAAGGGCAGAATCACGAAGCGATCTTGTTCCACACGGTCCCTGCAACGGACGCCGACGCGCCGGGGGACGCGGAGAGCGTTCGAAGGCGACGCGGAGCTCGTCGCGCAGGCATGTGCGAGGCGGCAAGGGCGGGTGCGGCGGTGCGGAGGAGGGGGGTGGGGTGTTTTGCAGCGTGCGGTACCTGAGGGACAGAATGGACAGGAGGAGGGGCTCCGCCCACATGGCCTCGACGCGCTGCATCATCCCGGGCGCCCAGCGGCACAGCCGCGAGGTCGCGCCCATCCACCCGCCCAGGTCCACCTTGAGAACCATCGTGACAAGGCTTTCTGTGCTGATACCATCCTTCGACAGATACCGGTCCTTGAGCGGCGCGATCGTGTACCCGAGCGCGAAGTAGTCCGCCGGAACGCCCGTCTGCGTCGCGCTGTCGCCCTGCCCGAACTGCGTCGCCCACCGCGCGAACGCGCTGCGCTCCTCGGGGTCCTCCGGACTCTTGCCCGTCGCGCCGCGCACGTTGGCGTGGAACGACGGCGGCTCGTGCCCCGCGGCGTTCGCCTCGTCGTCGTCGCTCGCGCTGCCGTAGTCCGACGCGGTCGGGTCCACCGCGGTGAACAGCACCACGTACGTCCCGTCGGCCTCCTGCCGCCACGTGCGCTGGACGACCGCGCACCGCGGCCGCGCGACGCTCGCGAGGAGGGACCCCGGCGGGAGGAGCTGCCCGGACAGAATCTGCGACTGCGCGTCCACGACGGACAGCACGCAGAGGTTCACCAGCGGCAGGTGCGCCGTGCGCTGCATCTGCCCCGTCTCCATCAGGGACGCGAAGCACGCGTGCGGCTCCCCGCGGACCACCACCGACACCATGTACGCGCCGCCGACCTCGCTCGCGGACCCCTGCGCGCACGTCCACAGGGCGCAATCCACCGCGCTCGCAACGTCGTCCGTGTTCGGGGCGCACAGCTGCGGCGCGCGGCGGGGGGGGGCGCGGGGCGGCGAGGGGGAGCGGCGTACCTCGCCGAGTCCGTCGGACTCCTCGTGGTAGATGTTGATGCCGTGCACGTGCCGGATTGAGGCCCACTTCGCGCCGCCAGTGGCGTACATCGCATCGTCGTCGTGGTCGAAGTCCGGGAGGTCGACGTCCTGGTACATGATGCCGTCGACGTCGACGCTCGACTGGCTCCCGGCGGCGCCCGTGAACGCGCTCGGCGCGCGCCCGTGGCGCGCGGGGGTGGTGGGAAGGTTGGTGCGCACGGGCGGTGCGCCCGGGGGCGTCGCGGAGGGCACGTCGGACGCGCCGCCCATGGAGTTGAGGCGCCGGTAGGCTCCGCGCGACATGGGCGGGAAGCGGAAGGAGCCTGGCGGCTTCACGGGGGACTTCTCGGCCGTGGCGCGGAGGATGGTGGCCCACTCCGTCGCTTCTGCTTCCCCGTCGACGCCGAACGTGAGCGTGAACGGCCCGGCCGCGCTGCCCCGTGGCCACTTGACGCGGACGATCCACTGCGGCGGGCCGGGAGCGCGGGGCGAGGGCGGTGGGCGGGGTTCCCCAGCGGGGCAAAGAGTGCCGCGCGTGAGCCGCACGGGCCGCGGGCGCGGCGTGCGAGGCGGGCGTTCGCGGGGCATGCAGGCGCGGGGCCGGCGTACCAGCGGGCGGCGCTCGTAGTTGCGGAACGCGAGCGAACCCAAGGTGGAGGATCTCCCAGCCTTCACCATGCTGTCCTTCTGGAACGGGCCCTCGACTTCCACGCATGGCTCGAGCGGCCAGACCTTGCTCGGTGCCTTATCATTCGTTTCGCGGAACGTCGCCAGCGAGTCCTTGTACAAGACGCAGTAGCGCTTGTTGAACATGAAGTCCACCACTGAACTGCCCCTGTACACCCAGCCCCGCTTGCCATCTTGCGCGTCCGCGCCCTGCAGCACGCGAGCAGCGCCGCAGGACACATCGTTGCGCCGGCCGCGCCGGATCTGGCCTCGCAGGCCGCGGGAGCGCCCGGGAGGTGCACGGTCGCGCGCAACGGCCTCCAGTGCGGGCGCGGCGCGGACCGGGGCGCCGTCGGGGCGCCACAGGAGCTGCCCTTGATTTATCGGAGCGGGTCTGCCCGCACGGTGCCGCCAGGCGCTCGCCGGCGCGCCAGCGGCGATCGCTCAGCACAACTGGCGCGTGGGGGGCACGGGAGCGACGCACCATCGTGCTGATTCACCTCCCTCGCCGCCTGCCGCGATCCGCCGGTCCCGCGGCACGCTGTATGCGCCAGCGGTGGCCCCGCGGCTGGAAGCTGGCGCACCTCTGCTGTTGCTCCACTACGGAAGAGCCTGCGCCGCTGTGTGCCTCCAAGCAAGCTGCACAGTGGAAACGTGCAGCCAGGATACGAGGGGAGCTCCTCCCTGGCCGTCACGAGTGCGTCCGCCCGCGCGCTCGTGCGGCGCACGAGCTGCGGCGTTGATCAGGCTGCCACCTCAGGCGCCGACTGCCCACGTCAGTCCTGCGGATGACGGACCGCTGCCGCGGCCTTCTCTGCGCCCCGCTGCGCAGCCAGGTGGCGGCTTCCGACTCGTGTGGTTGCTGAGTCGCTCGCCCGGCGGCCCAGGCGAGGGAACGGCATAGGAGCGCCGGGGAGATGATCTGCAAGGTGGCTGACGGGCTGTACCTGGGCGACCACAATGCCCCGTACGAGGTCAAGAACTTACCGTTCTACAATAACCTGACGCACATTCTGGTGAGCGCCGCCTCGCCGAGGAGCTAGCGCCTGTCCCCCAGCCCATTTCGCTCGGCGCCCTCCCGCCCGCATCAAAGCGCCCCTCGCGCCGGCGCGGCCGGCTCCAACTCTCGTTGCTGTGGGCACGCCGCAGAGATTGGGGGAGTACGACGACGAGGGCCTCCACGGCCACTACGCCGTCATGGAGGTCCCCCTGTTGGACGAGGACGAGGCCAACCTGCTCGACGTGCTCGCGCGGTGCATCGCGTTCCTCCAAAAGGGCGCCGGGGTCCCCGGCAAGTGCGCGCTCGTGCACTGCCACGCCGGCGTCAGCAGGTGCGGCCGCTACGCAGCCCTCGTGTCTGACCTCCGTCCTCCACGCGCGCGTGCCGCTCGCGCCGCTGCGCCTCCGACGAACGGTGCGTCCGCGAGCGCCCCACCGCGCCGCGTCTGCGGCGCGCGCGCGCAGGTCCGTGGCGGTGGCGTGTGCGTTTGTGATGTCGACGACGCACTGCTCTCTGCAAGAGGCGCTCGCGGGCGTGCGGCAGGTGCACCCGGGCGCGCAGCCGAACGAGGGGTTCATGGCGCAGCTGGCGCTCTTCGCGGACATGGGCTGCCGCATCGACAACGACCACACCGGATACAGGCACGCTGCATGCGCAAACACACGCATTGCAACTCGCCGCCGCCCTCTTGCCACGACGACACGCAGAAACGGACAGCACAACGCCATTCACGCGCGCTGCGTCGCGCCGGCCCTCCGCTCCCGTCCGCGAAACCCCCCTTCATCAGCGTGATGTTGGCATTCGGGTTTTTAAGACTTGCAGGAAGTTCTGTGCCGAACAGATGTCGTTCGACTTCCAGCAGGCGGGCTACGTCGACGAGGAGCGGCTCGCCGAGGTCGTCGAGGGCGCCGCGGGGGGCTCCGGCACGCTCCGCTGCCGCAAGTGCCGCCGCGTCCTGGCGACGGGCACCAGCATTCTACCCCCACAGGAGGCGGCGGGCGCGGGAGGGGGGGGGTTCCGGTACCGCCGGCGGCCGGCCGCGGACACGGGCCGCGACGAGTCCTCGCTGTTCCTCGAGCCCATGCGGTGGATGGAGGGCATAGTTGGGGAGACGCAGGGCAAGATATGTTGTCCCAAGTGCGGCGCGCGGCTTGGGCACTTCAACTGGGCAGGGCTGCAGAACACCGCGGGGGCGTGGGTGACGCCCGGGTTCCAGATCCACCGCTCGCGCGTGGACTGGGAGCCGCCCGCGGACGCCGCCGGGGCGTTCGCGGGTCCCGTGGTCGCGCAACCACGCACGTTGCCGGCGTCGTCCCCGGGCGCGCTCGAGTTCATCGTCTTCGACTGCGACGGCGTCCTCGTGGACACGGAGCGCGCGTCGTGCGAGTCGCTCCGGCGCGCGATTTTGCAGGTCACGGGCTCCGACATCCCCCACAAGTTCCCGGAGGACTATTACCCGGTGTTCGGGATGGACGTGCGGTCCTGCGTGGAGTTCTACAAGGCGCAGCGGCCGGAGAACGCGTCGTGGGACGTCGACGGCGTGGCCAGCGCGGTGGCGGCGGCGAAGGAGGGGATCTATGAGGAGCTGACGTCAGGGGGTATCACGGCGTGGGACGGGGCGCGGGAGGTCGTCGAGGCGGCGCTGCGGGCCGGCGTTCCCGTCGCGGTCGGGTCGAGCGGGTCGCCGGCGAAGATCAAGCGCAACCTCGAGCTCTCGGGGCTCTCGCCGCTCTTCGACCCCACAAAGGTACTTCAAAACTCACTTCCAGACACGAATCCTCGATCTCCGCGCAGCGACCACGTCCCGAATGCGCCCCCGAACAAAAACGCGCCCGCCGTGCGGCGCGCCGCCTCACCCGCGCGCCTCCGCGCGTCCGTGCAGGTCGTGAGCGCGAAGGAGGTCGGCCGCGGCAAGCCCGCACCGGACGTCTACCTCGAGTGTTTGCGGCGACTAGGGTGCGCCGATGCTTCCCGGGCGCTGGTCGTCGAGGACGCCGTGAACGGGTGCATGGCCGCGAGGGCCGCGGGGTGCTTCGTGGCCGCCGTGACGAACTCGCTGCCGCGGGACAGGCTCGCGGCGCACGCGGACGTGGTGGTGGGAAACATCCGGGAACTGTTGTCGCTCCCGTGGGCCAAGGCGGGCGGTGGACCGCTGCCCAGCTAGGCTCGGGTAGATGTGTACGTCTGCTTCGATCGGTCGAGAACCCCCCGGCGCCGAAGGGCCGCACTGATTGCCTCACCTGCCGCGAGCGCGTAGCGAGTCACGAACGGTGCACGGGGGGGGGGAAGACAGCGGGAAAGTAGCATTCGGTTCGCCCGCGCACGGAAGAATTCAGCCGCACGACCGTGCTCGCAGAAAGATGCGCTGTCGTGACCCTCGGTCCCACACAAACGGCTTGCATTGTTCGTTACAAACAGAGTCAGCAGCGGCTCCGGCACCGCCCCAGCCTGCGCGCGCCGCTCCGTCCTCGCTTATCCGACGGAGCCCTCGAGCTTGAGCGACATCAGCTGGTTCACCTCGGCGGCGAACTCGAGCGGCAGCTCATTGAACACCTCGCGGCAGAACCCAGAGATGATGACGCCGACGGCCTCCTCGGCGTCGATCCCGCGCTGCTGGAAGTAGAACAGCTGGTCCTCGCCGATCTTCGACGTCGACGCCTCGTGCTCGACCTTGGCCGACGGGTGCCGCACCTGGATGTAGGGGTACGTGTTGGCGCCCGCCGTGTCGCCGATGAGCATCGAGTCGCACTGGGAGAAGTTCCGGGCGCCCGAGGCGGTCGGCGCGACCTGCACGAGCCCGCGGTAGGCGTTCCGCGACTTGCCCGCGGAGATGCCCTTGGACACGATGCGCGAGCGGGTGTTCTTGCCGACGTGCACCATCTTGGTGCCCGTGTCGGCCTGCTGCATGTTGTTGGTGAGGGCGACGGAGAAGAACTCGCCGATGGAGTTGTCGCCCTTGAGGACGCACGAGGGGTACTTCCAGGTGATGGCCGAGCCCGTCTCGACCTGCGTCCACGAGATCTTGGAGCGGTCGCCCGCGCAGAGGCCGCGCTTGGTGACGAAGTTGTAGATCCCGCCCTTGCCCTCCTCGTTCCCGGCGTACCAGTTCTGCACCGTGCTGTACTTGATCTCGGCGTCCTTGGCGGCGTACAGCTCCACCACCGCGGCGTGCAGCTGGTTGTCGTCGTACGCCGGCGCGGTGCACCCCTCGAGGTAGCTCACGTACGCGCCCTCCTCGCACACGATCAGCGTCCGCTCGAACTGCCCCGTCTCCTGCGCGTTGATCCGGAAGTAGGTGCTCAGTTCCATCGGGGACTTGACGCCCTTGGGCACGTACACGAACGACCCGTCCGTGAACACCGCGCTGTTCAGCGCCGCGAAGTAGTTGTCCGCGACCGGCACCACGCTCCCCATGTACTTCCGCACGAGGTCCGGGTACTCCTTGACCGCCTCGGAGATGGAGCAGAAGATCACGCCCTGCTTCGCCAGCTCCTCGCGGAACGTCGTCGCGATGGACACCGAGTCGAACACGGCGTCGACCGCGACGTTCGCGAGGCGCTTCTGCTCCGCGAGCGGGATGCCGAGCTTCTCGAAGGTGTCAATGAGCTCAGGGTCGACCTCGTCCATCGATTTCTTCTTCTCCTTGACCTTGGGCTCGGCGTAGTAGGACAGCGCCTGGTAGTCGATGGGCGGGTACTTGTTGTCCGACCAGTTGGGCTCCTCCATGGTGAGCCACTTGCGGTAGGCACGCAGGCGGAAGTCCAGCAGCCACTCGGGCTCCTCCTTCTTCGCGGAAATGAGGCGGATGACGTCCTCGTTGAGGCCCTTCTCGATGATGTCCTGCTGGATGGTCGACTTGAAGCCGTACTTGTACGGCCTGCGCGGGGCGGGGCGGAGAGGGGGCAGCGGTGAGGACGGGGCCGGGGCGCGCGGGGTGGGCCGTGACGCGGGTCCGGGCGAGGGGGGCGCGGAGGGGAGTGCGAATGCGGCGCGGGGGCTGTGCCGAGAGCCGCTGTGGGGAGCCGAGGGCGGCCAGGGGCGGGTGTTGGAGGGGAGGTGGCGACGGGCCAGGGCGCGCACGAGCGCGGCGCGGGCGCCGCTGTGGCGTTCCTTCGGGCGCGCTGTGCGTGAGGGGAGCGGGGAAGCGCCGGTGCGGGGCCAGAAAGGAACGAGGGTGTCGAGGAGGGCGGATGGTATGCACCTGTTCAGCATCTTGCTAATCTGCTCCTTCTCCTCCTCGACCGCCGTCTTCTCCACCTCCGCCGCATTCCTGATCACGCTGTGCCTGCTCCTGCGCGCGCCCCGCGCCCCATTGCCCACCTTGAGGCCGCCGGCCTGGGCCCCCCTCCTGCAAGGGGCGAGCGCCGCGGCGCGAGGCGCATTCAGGGCGTCCGACGCGAAGAAATCGACAGACGAAAGGGAGGAAGGGTGACGGCGGTCCAAAAGAGCGCCCTCGTACGCGCAGGCGAGCAGGGTGGCGGAAACCTTGGCCGCCTCGCGATAGTAGCTTGCCGCAACCGTCCCGCACAGGCACACACAGCCGCGAACGCACGCACAGCAGGGAGCATGCGAATTGTCGGCACCGAGCGCACACACGACATTGCCGCGAGCACCGGTCTTGCGGGACGCACCGGGCCGTTGTGCCAGGGCACGCGGACAGCCGCACGGGCTGCTTGCACTGAAACACCATGGTCGCTCAGCCCGTCCCAGTGACGCAGACTGCCCCCCGCACGCCTCCGCGCCGCCCCAGCACGCCCCCGCGCGCCCCCGCGAGCCACGTCCAACCACCCCGCAGCCTGACCAACACCTCCGGGCTCGACGCTCCGCGGCGCGAGCGCGATGTTTGCGACGCCGGACGCCTGCCCGCGCCACTCACTGCCAGCGACGTCGCTCCGAACCGTAGAAGAGACCGCGGAGCGGCGGAATTCGTGCGGGCTGCAAGATGCGGCGCGGGGCCTTGAAACGCGCGACATAGCGCAGCGCGGCGCCGCGGGCAGGCGGTCGACGGGCCGGGCGCCCGTTTCGGAGCCATGTTCTCCATGGGCGGCGCCTCGCGCGCGTCGCAGCTGTCGTCGAGCCTGGTGGCCGCAGTGCTGGACGGAAACGCGAGCAGCGTCAAGGCGCTGCTCAAGCAGGGCGCGGATCCGTGCACGCGGATCCCGAACGGACCTCCCCTGCCCGTATACGCAGCAGGTGAGGCCGCCTGGGCCCGGTGGTGGCCGGAATCCCGCGCGGAGAGCACAGAGGGGGACGCGTGGTGGACGTGGGCGCCCGGGGCCGGGGGCGCCGCGCCGCTCGTCACGGTGGCCAGAAATCCGACGTCTGCAAGCTCGTATCCCAGATTCCGGCCAGAACCACCCTGGAGCGGGGCGTCACGCCCCGCTGCCCACCCGTGGCAGAACACGGCCACGCCGCGCGCTTGCCAGCGCGACGTCACTCCTCCCGCCGCGCACACGATGCACGTAGCCCGAGGGACCGCCTCGCGCACACGGATCCCGCTCAGCGCCCCGCCACGCAGGGTACGGGAACCTCCAAGTGCTGCAGCTTCTCGCGGAAAACAAGCGCGTCAAGGCGGACAAGCAGCTCGCGCTGGGAATGCTGGTTGCCGCCACTGAACGCAAGCAGGCGCGCCCGCCCGCCATCTGCCCGCGCGGGCCTCCGCGCCCCGCCTACGTGTCTTGCGCCAAGCACACGCCGCACCCGCGCGCCCCTGGCTCTCACCTAGCGCGCCCCGCCCCGCCCCGCCCGCCCCGCAGGTCCAGGTCGTCGAGTGGCTCCTCAAGAAGAAGATCTCGCTCAGCGTCATCAACGGCCTCAACCTCCACGGCAAGCATTCGCTCTTGCTAGCTATCGAGGCGAACGACACGCGCCTCGCGCAGGTCCTCATGACGCACGGCGCCGACACCAACTTCCGCATGTCCGATGGTACGGCCAAGCCCCCCACCTGCGCCACGCCGGACCGTCCAAACACCCCAAGGGCCCGCGCGCAGACACCAAATGGTATCTGTCGACTGCACATCAACGCTCAACTCGGTCCTGGTGCGGCCGCGCAGGTACCACGATGCTGCACTGGGCCGTGCTGGCCGACTCGCGCGAGGTCGTGCGGCTCCTCGCGTCCTGGCCGCGCACGGAGCTCACGCCCGACGCGTCCGGGTTGACGGCCTTGCACATCGCGGCGGGCCAGGGCAACGCGCAGGCGCTGCAGATCCTTCTGGGGAAGTTCGGCGACAAGGTGGACGCGCCGCTGGCGGACGGGCGAACCCCGCTGGCGCTGGCCGTGGCGAACGACCACGCGGAAGCGGCGTGCGTGCTGCTGGCGCACCGCGCCGGCGGCGGGCAGCGCGGCGGGGGGGCGTGCATGCCGGGCGGCCGGACGCCGCTCGCTTTCGCGGTGGAGCGGCGCGCGTGGGACATGGCGATGGCGCTCGTGCAGCGCGGGCGCGCGGACCCTGCGCAGCGCGACGCGCGCGGCAGCACGCCGTTTCACGTCGCGTGCACGGCGGGCCACGCGGCGCTCGCGACGGCGATGATGGCGAGCGCGAAGGGCGTGTGCAAGGTGCTCGACGCGTCCAGCATGACGGGCCTGCACATCGCGGCGAAGCTCGGGCACGCCGAGGTCGTCGCGGCGATCCTCGGAGGCTCCAACTCCCCCGGGGAGGTGGCCAAGCTGCAGGGGCCGGGGGGGCACACGGCCGCGCACTTCGCCGTGGCAGGGGACCACGTGGCGTGCATCGCGCAGCTCGCGAAGGCCGGTCCGAAGGCGTGCAACGTCCCCAACGGGTGCGCAGCCGCCGACACGTCATTTCCGCATCACGCATGAATTGTTTCGGTTTTACAACAGTGTGTTTTACTCTCTCACGTGACTGATTGTTTTTGTTTGATTTTTCATGGTTCGCGCGCCAGCCCCGTGCCCGCAGGTGTGGAGACACCCCCCTGCACTTGGCCGTCCAGCAGGGCCGCCTCGAGTGCGCCAAGGCGCTCGTGCGCACCGCCGGCGTCGACCCCGGCAAGCAGTCGCCGCACCTGCTGGCGACCGCGGTCGCGTCCGACCGCGCCGACGCGGTGGCGTGCGTCGCCGTCGACCTGCAGTGCCCCCTCGCGCCCACGCCCATGACCGGCTCGGGCCTCCCCGTCTGCCATGCCGCCGCCGCGCAGGGCCGCCACGACCTCCTCGCGGGCGTGCCGCTGCCTGCGCTGCAGCGGCTGCTCGCGGCGCGGTCCAAGCCTGACGGCAGCACCGCGCTGCACCTCGCCGCGGAACGCGGGCAGGTCGAGACGGTCGGCTTCCTCGTGCGGCAGTGCGGGCAGGAGGTCGACGCGCGGGACGACCAGAAGCAGACGCCGCTGCACCGTGCGGTCCTGGGATGCCACGCCGGCGTCGTGTATGTACTTGCGGAACTCGGTGCGGGGCTGGAGGCGCGCCGGAAGGACGGACGGACGCCGATCGAGCTCGCGCTGTCGATCTCGCGGCCGGACATCGTGGACGCGATCACGGCGGCCGCGCACGCGCTCCACCGTTCGAGCGCAAGCGGTGCCGCGCCGTCGCCGTCGCCGTCGCGCGGGACGCGCTCGAACCGCTCGACGCGGACGGGGGTCGATGCGAACACGCTGTTTGCGGCCGAAAACGCCGGATCCGCGTCGCTGCGCCACTCCGTGCCCACGGCGCTGCCGGGAATGCGCATGCCCGCGCTCGCGTCCCCCTCCGCACGCCTAGCGTCGCAGGCGACGCTGGACCGCCGCGCAGCACAGATGCACCAAGAGGCGCTGCGCGAGGCCGCGCCGTCCGGGTCCGGCAGCGGCGCCGGCTCCACGCACGCGGCCCCCAGCACCCCGCAGCGCGACGCCGGCGCCGCCTCCCCGCCTGCGGTCGCACCGCCGCTCGCGAACCTCAGGAAGAAGACGCACATCCTACCGAGCGGCTGCGTGCGCCTCGTGCGGCCCTTCGCGCGCGGACACGGCCTCAACACGGAGATGTGGCTCGGGGAGTTGGTCGCCGCTGACGGCGCCCACGAGGTCGCCGTGAAGCGGTTCGACCTCGGCGCGGCCCCCACGGAGGCGGCGCGCTTCCACCGCGAGCTGGCCGCGCTCCGGGACGCGTCGGAGCGCTGCCCGCGCTCGTGCCGCCTCCTCGGGCTAGCGCGCGACGGCAGCCGTATGCTCCTCGTGATGCAGCTGTACGGCGCGTCGGTGCTCGAGGTGCTCGAGGGGCGCGGCGGCGGGCTGCCGGCGGCGCTGTTCCTGCACTACGGCGCCGAGCTCGCGCGCGCCGTTCACGAGCTCCACAGCGTGCATCTGATGCACTTTGACATCAAACCGTCGAACGTGCTGCTGGACGAGCGGGGCCAGCTGGTGCTGTGCGACTTCGGGCTGTGCGTGCGCGACGCGAACGCGCTCCGCGAGAGCGAGGACGTGTGGGGGACTATTGGATACGCCCCCCCGGAGTGTATCGACCTCGACCAGCGACACAAGGCGTGCCAGCGGAGCGACTGCTGGGCGCTCGCGGTCACGCTGCTGCACATGCGCACCGGGAGGGACCCGTGGGCGCCGGAGGGCGGGGCTGCGGCGGCGCAGTGGGGGGATCTGTTGCAGCGAGTCGGACTCAGGAAAGAGAGTCCCCCGATCCCGGCCGGCCTGCCGCCGCGCGTCGAGGACGTGCTCAAGCGCTGCTTCCTCGCCGACCCTTGGGCGCGCCCGAGCGCCGAGGCCGTCGCCGCCGCGTTCGATGACGCCGCTAGGGACCTAGGTGCACGCCCCACGCCCCCCGACCTCAGGGCGCTCGTCGCGCCCGCCAGCATCGCGCCGCCGGCGACGACGCAGCCGCCGCCGCCGCCCAGCGACCAGCGAGCCGGCGCGGCGCCACCGGCGCGGCGCGCGCCCCGTCGGCTCCCCGGTGCCGACGCCGCGCCCGCCGCCATCCGCTCGCGCGCCCGCCCCGGCGCCCGCCGCGGCCAGCGCGCCCCCCGCCGCGCCGGCCACGACCACGCCGGAGGCGCACGACCCCTTCGCGGGGAGCTCCGCGGAGGCAAGCGGCACGGAAGCCACGCAGGGCCTCGCGCCCGACCTCGCAGACCTGATGACGCTGGACGTCCGGAAATCCATCAGGGCGAGGTCCGGACAGGACGAGGGCTCCTCCTCCGCGAGCGCCCGCGCCGGGGACGCGCCGGAGGCGGAGCCGACGGACGTGCCGCAGGTGGAAGAAGACTTCGACGAGGTGCTTGATTGGGCGATCGAGTTGTCTCGAGCTGCGCAGCCGGCGCCGGAGGGCGCCCCGAGCGCCCCGAAGCCGCCGCCGCCGCCGCTGCGGCCGGAGAGCGCGAAGCGGCCGGCCGCGGAGAAGGTCCGCGAGCTGTGTTTGCTGGCGCGATTCGGGGAGGCGGAGGAAGTCGAGAAACGGGCTCTGAAAGATCCCGCGTTGGGCCGGATGCGCGACGCGAGGGGCTGGACGGCGGTGCACCACGCGGCGCACGCCGGGCAGGCAGTGTGCCTGGCGCGGATCCTGGCCGCGTGCCCCGAGGCTGCGACGGGCGCCTCGGCGAAGCTGGGAGACGGGACGACGCCGTTGCACCTGGCGGTGCTGTCAAAGTCGATCCAGACGGTGCGCGCGCTGATCAGCACGGCGCCGTCGCTCGTGACGATGTCGAACGCCGCGGGCTTCGCGCCGGTGCATCTCGCGGCGGACTTGGGGCAAGCGGACATCGTTTTGGCGCTGGCGAGCGCCAAGAGCGAGTGCCTGCTGCTGAGGGACACGAACGGCCGCACGGCGCTGCACTACTGCGCGCAGCGGGCGGAGAGCACGGACGCGCTGATGGCGGTGCTCGAGCGGTTCCGCGGCGCCGGCGCGCAGCGACGGAACATTGCGGCGCTGTTGTCCGCCCGCGACGGCGCTGGTGAGACGGCAGAGGACGTCGCCGCCGCTGCGGGCCGGCAGAACGTTGCGCAGGCGCTGCGTGCGGAGCGCGAAGCGCTCGTGGCGTGAACTCGCCCTTCGCAGCCCTGTTGTTTTTTCGCCGTTGTTGTTTCAACACATGAGATGAGTTGTTTCGAGCCCCCAGAGGGCTCCGAGCTAGGACGCGTGCGCACGCGCCGAGGGTCTTCACAACCATGTGATCCAGACCTTCGCGCGTCGCACCGCGGCGCAGTCTGACGCGTGGTTGCACCAAACACCCCCCCAGGACCCACGCATGCACCCCCGCGCGACAGCCGACGCTCGCTCTTCTCGCCGCGTCACGACTTCACACCCCACCGCGCGATCGCGGACGCCCACGTCAGTCCGGCCCCGAACCCCGCGAACGCCAACACATCCCCCCCCTTGATCCTCCCATCGCGCACAGCCTCGTCCAGCACCAGCGGGATGCTCGCCGCCGATGTGTTGCCGTACCGCTCGAGGTTCGTCACCACGCGCTCCTTCGGGAACTCGAACCGGTCCGCGGTGGAGTCCAGAATGCGCTGGTTCGCCTGGTGCAACACCAGCCAGTCCACGTCGTCCTTGGTAATGCCCGCCGAGTCGAGGGCCTCCTGGATGACGTCCGGCACGGACCGCACCGCGAACCGGAACACCTCGCGTCCGTTCATGTAGAGGTTCTGGAACTCCGCGTGCCGCCCGACATCGGCCCCGCTGGCGGGCTTGTCGACGTTGTGCCCAAACGGCGCGTTGAGCGACTTGTTGCCCTCGCCGTTGCTGTGCATCGCCTGCCCGAGCAGCGCGCAGCTCCCGCCCGCGCCCGCGTCGCCCTGCATCACCACCGCGCCGGCCCCGTCCCCGAACAGGATGCAGGTGTTTCGGTCCCCCCAATCAACGTACCGCGACAGCCCGTCGGCGCCGATGAGGACGATGTTGCGCGCGGCGCCGCAGCGGAGGTACATCGTCGCGGTGATGAGCCCCACGACGAAGCCGGAGCAGGCCGCCGTGAGGTCGAAAGCGACGGCGCCGGTGGCGCCAATCGCGGCCTGGACCTGGCACGCGGAGCCGAAGAGGTCGTCCGGGGAGGACGTGCACATGATGACCATGTCGACGTCCTCGCCGGCGACGCCGGCCATGTCGAGGGCGGCGCGTGCCGCGGCGATGGCGTGGTCGTTGATGGACTCCCCCTCCGCGAGGATGCGGCGGGCGCGGATGCCCGTGCGCGCGGAAATCCACTCGTCGTTGGTCTCCACAAGCTTCCCTAGGTCGTCGTTCGTCATGATCTTCGCCGGCGCGGAGCTGCCAACGCCCGTGAGCCTGCGAAGAGCACGCGCGGCTCGGGGTGGGGACGTCTGCGCCGCGCCTCCGCGGTACGGTACCGCGCTGAAGGCGGTGCCTGACGAGAGATACGATCGGAAAGTATGAGTGGGGAGCAGTCCGGGCCGCAGTGGTCGCTCGGAGGGATGCAAGCGTCCCCATAAGCAGCAGCGGCAAGGGAAACAGCCTGGAGCGCTGGAATCGGTCCCCGATCCCGCTGCGCGCGCAGTGGCGCCTCACCTCATCCCTGCCGCGTACTGCGCGGCCGCGGCGCGCGTCGTCATCCTCAGCTGCTGGCGCTGCTGGCGCTGTTGCACCACAGGCCCTTTTCCGCGCACCCCGCAGCCCAGCATGGCGCTCGTGATCTACTTCTTACTTGGCCTGCTTGTCCTTACCGAACTTCCTCTGCAGCGGAGAGCGGCGGGCGCGGGCGCCGGTCAGCTCACCGCAGGGGCTGCCGAGGTGGCTGTTGCGCTCGGACGGGCTATCACGCCCGCAGCGCCTGTGAAAGCGGCCTCGACGGCGCTGGCGCGCACGAGAAACATGGTGTGGGCTATGTTCCTGTTTACGGGACGCGAGACGCCGGAATGGCGCCCCCGATAGCGCGCTACAGAGGCTGGATGCAGCAAGCAGGGAGGCACCGCTCTGTCAGCCGCGTGGCTCCACGGGCGAGGCGGTACGCGGGCACGATGGCTTGGATTGGATCGGCCATGGCGGTGCCGATGCCAGGCCAGCCTGCTCCGGTCCGCACGAGGAGCGGCGGGGTGGCCGTGGGATATCGTCGACGGAGCCGGTGGCGCTGCGCCTGGCGATGGGGCGCTCGCACCTGCAGCTCGGTCCTAATTGCTTTATGCTGAGTGACCGGGACGAACGCGTGGGTGTCCGGGCAGTAGGTGTAGCAGTCCTGGAGGGATTGCCAAGCTGGGGGAAGGGTGAAGCTCTGCGTGGAGCTCTGCTTTGCTTTGCCGAGAAGGTTGATGAGCCTGCGTCCCTCCAGGTACACCTTCTTCCTAGACATCAGCCGCTGCGTGCGCTCGGCCAGGCGCGGTCCAGGCGCCCAGGTCCGCAGTCCCGCACACACAACAGGAAACGCGCGCTGGAAGCGGAGAGCGGCGCGCAGCAGCCTCGCGACCCCGACACGTCTCTTCTGCCACCTCCGCGCGGCAACGCGCCCCAAAGGCACGCCCCGCGGCCCTTCTGAGCCCCGTCAGCGCGACACCCCCTGCAGTCTGACAGCTGGCGCGCTGCGTACGCCGTCCCGGCCGACCGCGCGCGTCACGCCCCGACGAACGTCACGCCCGGACGAACGTCACGCGCAGGACCGCGCACGGGCTGTGGCGCCGCGGGGCGCGGAGCCGCCACGACCTCGCAGTGCGGTCGGCGCGCAAAAATGACGCACGTCATTAGTCATGGCGGGGGCACGCGCGAACAGCCCGGGCGGGGGCCGCGGGGTGGCGAGCGACGCGCGACTGATGCCCGAGCTGCGCGGGGGGCGCTGTGTCCCGGCGCGCACAGCACGCGGTCGGTGGCGGTCGCGTTGTAGGCGGGGGTGGGTTCGCATGCCACCGTTGACGCCGCTCCGTGTTGCGTTGGCGGTGCCCTGCTGGGTGCAGCCTTGACTGGAGGCGTGCTATCTAGCCGAGCAGTGCAATGTTGCTGTTTCCGTCGCAGGCAGAGCCTGCTTGGTTGCTGTGGCACGTGTGACACGGCCATGGTGCCGGATCGCGGCTTGCTGCGATGCGCGGCGTGGGACAGCGCGGCCGCGACGCTCTGGCCGCGTCCGGGGAGCGGCGGGCCAGTATCGGGAGCGCCGCGGCCGTCTTGGGTGGCGCGTGACGCGAGTGACGCCATCGCCCATCTGTGTCTCGACGTGCGGCCGCGCGTCCCGACGCGGCCTCTCGCTTGAGGTCGCGTCCTGTGCGGCCGATTCGGCGATCGGGACGGGACCGGGCGCGCCGGAGAGGGCACGATGTCGTGGTTTTTTGCCATTGTGCTTTACACACGCACACGCATCGCGGCGCGACGCAGACCGGATCTACGCTGGTTCACGGGAACATGCTTCCGTGCCCGGGCGCGTCGGTCGCGCCGGCCGCGTCGTTCGATGGCGGGGCGGGCGCGGGGGCACATATAACACAGGTGGGGCGGAATGACAACATCCTTGGTCGCAGGAACGCTCGGCAGACGGGTGCGGCTCGCGAGCGTGCACGGCTGGGAGCTCTCGGCCTGCGCGCGCGCGAGGTGGGCGTCAGGTTCGGGGCGTCAGGTGCCGCGTTGCACGGTGTAGGTGGCAGTCGGGCTGCACGAGCACCTGGCGCAGGTTCCCGGGGGGGCGCGCGGCTACGTGGGTGGGCCGGCGGGACGGGTCTGGTATTCGTTTGCATGCGTGTGGCGCGCGTAGAGGGAATAGGAGCGGACGAGCGCGTCGGAGATCGATGTATGCCCTCGTGATGAGGAGCACCTGAGCGGCCTGGTTGGACGCGAGAGGGATAGCCGGAGGCCCCGGGTGCTCGGGAGATATCCTGCGCGATGGCGACGCGGGTGAGCCCCTGGATCCGGCGTCGCAGCGGGATACGCGACCGTCACGCCGGCTCGCAACCGACTCACTGCGTGCCTCGCGGGCGCGCCGGGAGCGGCCGAGGTCGCCCCGTGTTGATCGGCGCGCCATGTACCCGCGGTCTGCTTGCCCCTGGGCACCTGCCGCCACCTCACCCCGCCGGCAGCGCTGCAGCGTAGCCCCGCTGTTGTTGAGCCCACATCTTAGGAGGCCGCTCGCGCTTCGACGTCACCTGACGCGGCAGCCTCAGCGCGGGCAAGCACGAGGATGCCATACGCCATCCCGAGACGCGAATCCAACGCGAATATGTCCTCCAGGGGGTCGAGCAGGCCCTTGGGCTCGACCTTGCACCGGCCTGGGGTCGCTCGTGCGAGCCGCGCGCCGCGCGTCCGCCCTCCGCCCCGGCGCGGGCGCGTCGTCTGCAGCGCGGGGGACGGCGGCTGCCGCCGGGCGCCGCGCTTGCGGTCCCGGAGCTCGAAATTTCGCCCGCCAACTGGCTGGCCCTCCCGCACAGATACCGGGCCGGAACGCGCGCGTCCGCGCCTCCGAGGCCCGCGCGTGCGCCCCGCGTGCTCACCCGACCCACGAGCCCCGCGAGCCGTGCAGGCCCCCTCGGAACAGGACCAATACGATGTGCGCGAGCAAATTGGCCGAGGTGCCTTTGGTTCGGCCTTCCTGGTGGTTCAGCGCGACACGAAGCGCCAATTCGTGCTCAAGAAGATCCGTCTCGCCCGGCAAACTGGTGCGGCGCCCCCCGCGACCCGAACCGCAGCCCCTGCGCCCGCACCGAAGGACGTCGTTGTTCCTGCCCCCACGGTGCCCGGCTCCCGCGCGCGCGTGCTGCGGCCGCGCGCAGCCTGGTCGCGCCGGACGCTCGCCGTCCCCTCCGCCGTCGTCGAGGCATTCCGTCTCGCGCGCGCTGTCGCCGCGCCTGGCAGCAGGGAGGCCGATGGGCAACAGAATGCCCCGCCCGTCTCGACGCGGCCCCCCGAGCGGCTCATTCGCGGCCCGCCGGGTCCCACGTGCGCAGACTGGCAGCGGAAGAGCAGTTTCCAGGAGATGAAGCTCATGAGCGCGCTGAACCACCCGTTCATAGTGCCGCACATCGAGAGCTGGGTCGACCGCGGCCACACGATCAACATCGTGTACGGGTACTGCGACAGCGGCGACCTCAGTTCCTACCTCAACCGCTGCCGGCAGAAGAAGGTCGCGATCCCCGAGGAGCAGCTCAAAATCTGGCTAGTTCAGATGCTCATGGCAATGGAGTACTGCCACGCGCGCAACGTGCTCCACCGCGACATCAAGGCCTCGAACATCTTCCTCACGTCCGAGGGCGACATCCAGATCGGCGACTTCGGCCTCGCCACCTTCCGCGAGGTGCGCCCGCCACGCCCCCGCCCGCGCCGCTGCGTTCCCGCCCGCGCGCACGCCGCGCCGACCCGGGATCGCCCCGCCCGCGCCCCGCGCAGGGAGGGGACTCGGACGACCAGTCCCTCGTCGGCACCCCGCACTACATGTCCCCGGAGCTGCTCTCCAAGAAGCCGTACGGCTTCGCGAGCGACGTATGGTCCCTCGGCTGCGTCATGTACGAGCTGACCGCGCAGCGCCCGCCCTTCACGGCCTTCAACATCCACGGCCTGATCCAGAAGATCAAGAAGGCGCCCCTCCCGCCACTCCCCCCCGGGTATTCCCAGGGCTGGTACTGTACCATCCGTAACATGCTGCGCAAGGCGCCGCGCGACCGGCCGTCCGTGTCGGACGTCCTCGCGGACCCCTGCCTGCGCGACACGTACCTGGCGATGCGCGAGCGCGCCCTGAAGCTCATCCCGGACCTCGACCTGCCGGAGATGCCCGACCCGTGCGAGCTGCCGCCGATGCCGCACACGCCCGGGTGGCCGCGCGGGGAGCCCCTCGACGGCCCGCCGCGGACGCCGCAGCTGCAGACGCGGCGCTCCGCGGGCGTCGCGGGCCGCGCGCTCGCGGCCGCGGGCCTCAAGCGGCCGGGGACGGGCGGCACGGGGAGCGGCGTTGAGGCGAACGGGAGCGCCGCGGCAAGCGGCGGGGGCGGCGCGAGCGGCCGCGCGGGGCGCCCGCCGCGCGACAAGAAGGCGCGCGAGGTCGTGCGGTCCGCGAGCGGCCCGCCCGGCCGCCGCCCGAAGAACCGTCGCCCGAAAGCGCGGCTCACCGGCGCGCGCCCGCGGCCGAACGACCCGCCGCCGGACTTCCACGGCGACCGCGAGCAGGAGATCCTCCTCGGCCCGGGCGGCTCGACCGAGGACGAGGCCCTCCACACGGACTACGACGACAGCGAGGGGCAGATCGACGAGGGCTTCAACGAGGAGCTGGAGTTCGTGCAGGTGGTGCGGCGGAGCGGGACGCGGGACAGCAGCATGCTCGGGGACTCCGAGGCGGACGAGGGCGGCGAGGGGGGGGGTCCGGAGGGGGAGCAGGGGGCCCGGGGCATCCGGTCGTTGCCCGGACGCGCCCCGCTGCCTCCTGGGGACGCGGAGCGGGCGAGGGGGTCGGCGGCGGCGACGCCGACGCGGCGGTCGGGGCCGATTGTGTCGTCGTGGTCGCCGCGGACGGCGGAGGCGCCGGGGGTGGCGGGGTCGGCGGGGTCGGGCGGGGCGGGTGTCGGCGGACTCGGGGGCGCAGCTGGCCGGGGAGCCCGCGACGCCCGCGGCCGAGGGCGGCGGCGGCGTGATCGAGAGCCACGCGATCACGCCGGCGCCGCTGACGCCCGCGCTGTTCGGCGTGCGCGGCGACACGGCGCCTGGGCCTGGCGGCGGGGGCGCGGAGCTGGCGTCGGCGGTGGAGGCGGGCTCGCACGCGGCGACGGACCCGGAGCTGCGCGGGGGGCCGAGCATGGCGGAGCGCGATCCGCAGTCGGCGATGGCGGCGGCGGAGGCGGCGTTGCGAGAGGAAATAGAGGAGGCGCATCACGAGGGGCATCCTGACGAGGGGGGGGAGTACGAGGAGGGCGAGTACGAGGAGGAGTACGACGAGGACGACGACGAGTACTACGACGACGAGGTGCGCGCCCTTGGCTACTCTGTTGTCGGGCTGTTTCTGCACGCATGCTGTTTGCTGTTGCTGAGTCTCAGTCCCGGCCCCGCGCCGCGCCGCTCCGCGCAGGACGAGTACTACTCGGACGAGACGTCGGCGACGGAGCGCGAGAGGGAGCGCGAGCGCCTGCAGCTGCTCGAGCCCGCGCTGGCGCTGTGTTGCCGCCTCTACGACCGCGGGCGGCTCGAGGAGCTCGGCCACATGCTGCACTCGCTCACGGGGCTGTCGGACCCGCCAGGCGTGATCGCGCACGAGTCCGGGAGCCGCCTCCACGCCCTCCACAAAGCGAGAAAAGAGTCGCCCTTCCAACTTGGGGACCAAGTCATCGTAGGCAACCGCCGACGCCTCAAAGCCGTCATCCGGTGCGGCCCCGTCCCAGAAAATCATACCCCACGCACCTCTCGCGGCGCCAGGCGCGCGTGCGGGCCCGTTGGCGGGCCGCACGCTCGTTGATGTCGTCGTCATTCACGCATGATGCTTCGCCGCGTCGCGCCGCGCAGGTACTTCGGGCCGACGGCGTTCGGGCCGGGCGAGTGGGTCGGCATGGAGCTCGAACGTCCGGACGGGAAGAACGACGGCGTCGTGAACGGCGTGCCGTATTTCTCGTGCCCACCGGGATGCGGCTTGTTCGTTCGATCATCCATCCTGCGGCCAGAGGGCCCGCCCGACCACTACACCGGGCCGACGCAGATGTAGCATGCGCCCCGGCGAACGCATACGACGGGCAGCGCCCCGGAACGAACAGCATCATACCCAGTGTGGTCATCATGCGCGCCTGGCACGTGCCATGTGACGACGTGACGCTCCCGCACGCGCCCGCGCCGACCTCACACCGCTCAACTCGCCCCGCCCGCCTGCGCGCGCGTGCGCCCCCGCGTCCTGGGCGGACTCCTCACCGCGTCGCCCCCGCGCGCCGCCGGCGTCGCCTGCTCCGGAATCCCAGGCATGCCCGCCGTCCGCCGGGCCCGGCCGGTCGTCCGCGGCGCGCTCCTCGCCCCCGCCGCGCCCTGCTCCTCCGCGTCCTCCTCCGCGTGCCCCCTGTGCACGCGCTGTGCAATCGTCGTCCCTCCGTCCGCCGCCGCGTCGGAGAGCTCGCTCTCGGAGACGTCGAGGCGGCGCAGGAGGTACGACGGCGAGGCCTGCCGCGCCGAGCGCCGCGTGCGCACCGACCGCCCCGTCGCGGGGGGGACTTCCGTTTCTACCGCAGGGGTCTTTTTCGCCGCGCTGCCGCGCTTCGCTGGCCGCGCCGCACGCGCGCTCGCCGGCGCCGCGTCGCCCACGTCGTCCCCTTCGCCTGCAGCGCGCTTCCGCGACCGCCGCGGCGCAGGCTCCGTCGCCGGCGCCGCTGGCGGCTTTCTCGCCGTCGACGTCTTGCTCCGCGGCCCCGCGGCGGCCCGCCGGCGCGGCGCGGGCGTGACGTCGTCCAGCTCCGCAGCCAGAGCCTCCTCCTGCTCCCTGGCCGCCGCCGCGGCCTCCGCGACCTTCTGCTGCTCCAACAGTTCGTCAAGTTTGTCGTCGTACTCAGCAACTGCCTTCTCCAGATCCGCCTGCATCGCCTCGACCTCCCTCGCCTCCTGCAAAGACGCTCGCGCAACAAACAAACAAACCACAGCCCAGCTCAGCCAGGCAGCGAGCCGCGCCCCGACTGACGCGCACGTTGGCGCGTCAGTCAACGGCAACCAACAGCCTGCGGGGCCGTCGCGCACGCACAGTTCCGCGCGCTGCCGGCGCGTCACCGCTTCTGCTCCCACGCGCGGCGTGCAGGATGCGATGCGGGGCCCTCCGCACCTCTCGCGCCTGCTCCATCATGGCCCTCGCTTCTGCCGTAGTACGCGCGGCCTCCGCCTCCCGCTGCTCGAGCTCCTCCATCGCCGCCCGCACCTCCGCCTCGCGCCGCTCGACCTCCTCGCGCTCCTTCGCGACCAGGCCCTGCCGCTCCCGCACCAGCGCCATCTGTGCCTCCGCTGCAGTGCGCGCGGCGTCGCCTTCCTGCCGGGCCTGCGCCGCGTCCCGCACCGCGCGGTCGCGCTCCGCGTGCGCGGCGCTGCGCTCGCGCTCGGCCGCCTCCTTCGCCTGCGGGCAGTCGAGGAGCACGGAGCCGCCGGGAGATGTGTTTTCAGGTCTGAAATTCGCTCCGTACGCGCTGGCTGGCAGGTGCCGTCGCGGAACGCGCGCGGCGCGGCTCAGACGTAGCAGCGGATCCATCATCAGGGTGCGCGCGGCGCGCGGGACCCCGTGCAGCGCCCTTGCGCAACTTTGAGACTGCAGCTCATCACCGCCGCGCTGCGGCCGGGCGAGGCGCCGGACGCGCTCTCTGCTCCGTGGGCCAACAGGGAGCAGCCGCGCTCTTCGCGTTCCGGGCCACGGACCTCGCGGGCCTCGGCGGCTTCGCGTTGCAGCTTGTCGATGCTGCGTGACAGCGTCTGACGTTCCGCAGCGTGCTGCGCGTCCTTCTCGCGGAGCTGCTCGCGCAGCTCGGACCGTGCGGCGTCCGCTGCCTGCAGCTGCGCCTCGGCGTCGTCCCTGCGCGGCGGTGTGGCGACGTCGCGTGCTGAGCAACTTGAGCGGCCCTCCCGCCACGACGCCACCGCTCGCACAGCCCGTACTTGCGCCCGTCTCGTCCGCGAGTACGGAGGATACGACGTTCCAGCCTTAAGGCGGAGAAACCGCCGCGAAGGGTGGCGTTCGGGGCCGGAATCGCACCTGAGGCGTGCGGTCCGCTCCAGTTCCTCCCGCAGCTGCGCGGCCCGTTGCTCCGCGGCGTGGATGCGCTCCTCGAGCTCCCTCTTGTCGTGTTCCACTTGCGTCAGGGTGGTCTGGACCTTGGTATTCATGCGGTGCTTCCAGTTCTCGTACCAGTTCACTTCGTAGCGCAGCTGCTCAATGATCGCCGCCTGCTCGCGGACCTGCGCGCGGCGACGCGGAGCGCGCGCGCGGACCTGGGGCGCTGTGGCGCGAGGCGGCCCGGCCGGGCATTGCCGTGCAGCAGAACACGCCGTGGCTCCCGCGCGGCCGCCTAGGTCCTGGGAACCTTCGCGGGCGCTGCGGCCACGAGCCGCCTGCTACACAGCGTCCCGCGGCGTTCCCTCGCAGGCACCTCGCAGAGGCACTTGCCGGGCGCCGGAAGCGAATGCGCGGAGGGCGCGTGCCGGCGCGGCGCCGCGGGAGCTTTGTTGACAGCTTGCGGGGCGCACCTGGTCCTCCAGCCGCGCAACCTCCTTCCTTATATGCTCGAACTCCGACCTCGAGATGTGGCTGATGTCGCGGGCATGGCCCTGCAGCCGCTCGCCGAGCCCACTCGGCGAAAACTCCATCGTTGTGCCACCAACGAGCACGCCCGCACGGGCCACAGAGGACGACCACAGGCGGCGCAAGGCCCACCGTGCTTTCTTCTATCCCTGAACCGTCCTGCACGGCCGCCCAACTGCCCGTGGCGCCGCGCCGCGGCCAAGCAATAACAACGACTGTCTCCTGCGCAGCACTCCCCCCAACAACCACGCCGACGCCGTCCGCCGTGGGTGGCACGACGGGCACGCGACACGGACTGCGGCGCCGCGGTCCCGGCTGCCGAGTGCGCTCTCTGCCGCGCCCCGCGTCCGCACCGTAGCTGCAGTGAATTGTGTGTGTGCACACAGCGCATGCTCAGAGGCGTTGTTGCTGCTGTGCCACGCGGCGCTGAGCGCTGCGCGTGCTGCGCCGTCCTCTGTGGCGCGTGGAGGGCGTCGGCCGCGCTGCGCGCGTCCAGGGGCGCCTGTGTCGGACCAGGTGGTGTGTTGACGGGGGGGGGCGTGCGCAGGGTCCTTGGCTGAGGTCCCGGCGTGAAGGGCGCCGGATGAGCTGGTCGGAGGGGACTTGGGACGATGTCCCTGAGCTGATGCGACGCGTCGGGCGGTGAGAGAAGCCCGGACGAGCAGGAGTAAGTTCTGCCGAGTCGCCTTTGAGCGCACGAGCGGCAGTCGAGCTCGGAATCGTTACCGAATAAAGCGAGGAGGCGACGACGATGCGTGCGCTTCACGCACGGCCCGTGTTCGCGGCGTTCGCGGCCGTTTTGTTCCTTGCAGCTCGAGCAGCCGGGCTTTGCGTCGACGTGCCCGCGCGGGAAGCGTGCGAGAAACGGTTCGAGTCGGGCTTCGCGTGTCGGTGGAGCGGGGACTGGCCCTTGTGGCGCACGGGCACCAACGACACGCAACAGGGCATTTGCTTCAAGGACCCGAGTCTCCCCGCGGCAAGCGTCCGAGCGGGTGCGTTCCGGAGCTTGAAAGGCCGCGATTAAAGCATATTACACGCCGACCGACGAAGCGGAGACGCTGGCCCACTGTCGTCACGCAGGGACGCTGAGTGCGCCAACAGTGATCGAAATTCTGCAAAGCGACAGCAACCTGCGCACGTTCGCGACACTCCTGGACCGCGAGGGCCTCACGGACATAATATCCGGCCTCGGGACCCCGCTCACGGTCTTCGCGCCGAGCGAGGCGGCCATGGCGGTCCTGCTGTCCCTCATGCGCACTGCGGGCACGCTCGGCGACCGTCCGCTGCGGCGCATGGCGCTCCTCGCGCACTTCGTCCCCTCCTTCATCCCCGAGCCGGCCCTGGTCGACCAGTCCACCATCGGGACGCTCGCGGGGCCCGGCAGCTGGCTGCGGCCCGCCGTCGCCCTCCCACGCACCGTCCCCCTCACCGCCGCCAACCTCGTCACCGTCAACGCCGCCCCGCTGACCCACGCGGCCCAGCGGGCCTCCGACGGCGTCGTCTACGTGATCGACGAGCCCGTCCTGACTCCAGGGAGGGGACTCCCCACCTCCGAGTCCGCCACTCGCGGGCCGCTCACCGGCCCCTGCAGGGACCTTCTCGCCGCCGTGAAGTCGCAGTGCGAGAGCCAGAAGTGCGGGTCGTGCCACCCGGCGATGTGCGCGGCCGGCGGCGCGATCGCGTGCCACTTTCGCCGCGTGCGCACGGCCGGCGCTGATCGCCGCGGGCGTACGTTCCGCGAGCTGACGTCGGGGTACGGGGTGTGCCGGAAGCCGTGCCCGACGATGCGCGAGAGCCTGGCGATCCTGCGTCGGAGAGACTTGATCGAGGAGTCCACGACGTTCGAGGCTCTCAGGTTCTACCGCAACGCAAGCGAGGGCGCGCGGAGCGAAGGTGCGCCCCGCACGCAGCGCGCGCTCGCAGCACCGCGCGGCCTCGCGCACGCGGTGTGCGGGCAGGCCGGGGACTCGCATGAGAAGCGCGAGACAGTGCGAGACGCCGCGCGCATCGCATCGCGCGACGGTATTCAAAGGAGGTATTTGTTTGCATTCGTATTTCGATAATCATAATTGTTGTGTTCGTGGCCGAGAGCCGCTCGCTGCGGCGTGTGCGCTGCGCGGTGCAGTGTCGGCGTTCGACCAGGACGTGCGGGCCGCGCGCACGGAGCTGCAGCCGTGCGCGGTGGCGTGCGTGGACGTGCCGCCGCCGGACGGCCACGGGTGCGAGCTGCAGCGGGAGTGGGGCAAGTGCGACGCCGTGTGGATGGTCGAGGGCGAGTGGTGCGCCGAGACGTGCGGGCGCTGCCGGGAGGACTGCTTGTCGCTGCCGCTGGGCGCCGCGTGCACCACGACGGCGGTGGAGGGCCTGCGGGTGACGCCGTGCGGCAACGGACTCGTCTGCGAGGTCGCGGACGAGGGCGACGCGGAGGAGGGCGTGCCCAGCCAGGTCTGTTCGTTTTCGCCCAAAAATCCAGCAAGGAGTAGAAGTAAAAGAAAAGTTAGAAAAGAAAAGTTAAAGGGAATCGTGTTTCGGGGTCTTTGCGTGATTCCAATCGAACGACACCCGTGCGCGCCGAGGCCGTTGTCGTGCAGGGAACGTGCGTGCCCATGTCGGACGAGCCCGTCGAGCCAGCCGGCGCGAACAGCGCGGGAGTGCCGGGAGCGGACAATACTACCCCGGGGGAGTGCAGCACTGACGCTGACTGCTGCGAGGGCGCGTGCCTCGTCCCGCGCGGCGGCTCCTCGCGGCGGTGCGTCATGTCCGACGACGGCATCGCGCCGCTCGTCTCCCAGGGGTGCGAGTAGCCCCCCCCGCGGCCTAAACACCCCCCAAAGCCAAGGGGGTGTCTCGAGCGGCGCAGCTCGCCTCACAACAGGGCGACAACTTGCATGTAACACTCACCCTGCGCGCGCTGCGTCCCTCACGCCAGACCTAGGTCTGTGAGCACGTCCGCGGCCTTGGGCGACTTCGCCGGGTTGCTCGCACCGTTGTCGGCGTTGGCGGCGAGGCCGCGTTTCAGGAGGTCGCGCGCCCCAGCGCGGCCGCGGGCGCCGCCGCCGAAGCCGTCCCCGCTGTCGCCGCCGCGCGAGTCGTTCTCGGCGTACACCACCTGCTGCGACATCATCACTCCGCCCGGGAGGTCCGCGTCATCCGGACGTGGCGCCGCGAGCGCGCGCCGCCGCTTCGCCTCCCGCGCGGAGCCCCCGCGCGAGCCCGACCCCGACGTATCCAGCGGCGGCGCGGGCCGCTTCGCCTGGTTCGTGTTCTCCAGAGCCGCAGTCAGTTTGTCCAGTTGGTCCGTCAACTGATTGCCGCCCATCTCCGACACAGCGGCCCGGCCGCGCGCGGCCGCGCCCTCCGAGCCCCCGCTCCTCCCGCTGCCGGCCGCGCTGCGCGGCGGCGGCGCCGGCATCGCGGACGGCGCGGGGGGTGCGACGTTCGCCATCGACGCCAGCGGCACCGTCGGGCGCAGCGCCGTCACGTTCGCCGTGGGCTTCGTCCCGCGCTTCTGCGCGCCGCCCTTGCGCTTCGCGTCCGGCGCCCCTGCCCGCTGCGACGCCGCGGGCGCGCTCGGCTGCGACATCGCGGCGGCCGCGCGCACCGCCGGCTGCAACTGAAGCTTCGAGCCGGCCTGCGACGGCTGCGGCTCGGACGAGTGCGCCGGCACGACGCCCGCCTCCGCGCCTGGGCGGTAACCCCGCGGGTCCGGCAGACGCCAATCCGTCACGGCTCGATATAGCCACTTCAACGTGACGGGCTCAGATTGGAAGCGCGGGCACGCGTCGTACTTGGGCCCCTTCGGCTGCTCGACGATCAGGTGCGTCGTCGACCGCGACATCTGCTCCGAGAAAGACCCCCCCAGGAGCGTCGTCAGGTACCACGCAATCTGCCGTTCTGGCTCGGGGTATCCTGACACGCACGCCTTGACGTCAGGGAAGCCCGGGAGCGGCGGGGGCCGCGAGAGCGGCTGGAACGCCACGCAGCGCGCGGGGTCGACCAGCTTGAGCGCGTGCTTGACGCAGAACTTGAGCCAGAATGTGTTGCCAATGCCCGCAATGCGCAGGCCGCTCTGCGCCCCGGCGGCGTGCTTGAGCGCCTCGCGCTGCGCGGGCGCCATGACCTCGGGGCAGACCGCGTAGTACGACGCCCCGCGCGCGCCGCCGGGCGCCGCGAGGGCGTCGTGCAGCAAAACGCCCCCGCCGCGCCTCACGAGCTCCACTGCGATGTCCATCACGCGGGACGCCTGCTCGTCGAGCGCCCCGAGCGGCGACAGGTCGAACACCGCGCCCGCGAGCGGGCCGTCGCGCGCGGGCGCCGCGTCGACGGCCTCCGCCCGCCGCGGCTCGGTCGCAAGCGTCGCGCCGCCCGCGCGTACCCCGAGCGCCGCCGGCGACACCGTGTACCGCGGGTCCGGCCGCCCGTCCGGGCCCTGGAGCGGCACGACCTCCCCGAGCGCCGCGCACATCGCCATCCACTCCAGCTTCACCAACTCCAAGCGCGGGCCCGCGACGTCACGCAGCCTCCCCACCTCGCGGCGCTCCCGCTCCGTCAGCAACGGGCCCAGGACGGCGTGCGTGACGCGGTCGTCCGGGATCAGGAGCCGCCGCGCCCCCGTCTTGCCGATGAAGTCCGCCAGGTCGCGCAGCTCCGGCTGCGAGAGTCCCGCCGCCCACAGCGTGGCGTGGCCGAGGGCGAACGACGGCGCTGTCGCCGTTTGCGGGGGCGGGCGGACGTCCGGGGCGCTCGTGGTGTGCGAGGGCGGGCCCGGGCGCGCGTCGCTCGCCGCGACCGCGCGCGCGCCGTTGTCCAGGCTCGCGGGACCGCCCCCGGGCAGCGACGACGTCGCCAGGGAGGCGCCGTCGCGGGAGTGCTGCAGCGACGCGCCCGCCGCGGCGGCGACGCGCTGCTGGAGCGTCTGCGCGCGCTCCGCGCGCGCCGCTTCGCCCGTGGTGCGCACGGGGTACCTGCGTTCGTCCACGCGCCGCCCTTCGCGAACACATGCTTCAAGCCAGTCGCGCGTGACGATGTGGATGCGGACGTTCTGCTTCTGCCACTTGACGGCGGCCTCCCACTTCGCGCCGCTCGGGCCGGCGCACACCAGGTGCGTGCAGGTGCCGTCTAGGTTGGAGGCGTAGATTCCGCCCTCTTGTGGAACAGAATGCTCGATTGTGTAGCGCGCGCGGCCCTGGAACCCTGCAGAATCCGCGCGAGGAGGCGCTCTGTGAGCGGCACGGCGGGATGGAGGCGCTTTCGGCGCCGCGCGGGCGCGAGGGAGCCGCGGAGGAGCCGCGGTGGTCATCGGGACAGCGCAACGCCGCGTTTCCCGCGGCTTGAGCCGCTGTGCGAGGCGTTTAGGGGGGCGAGGCGGTGGTTTTGGGCGCGAGGGGGCGTGGCGGGTGCTGGGACGGCGTGGCGCGCCTGTGCACGAGATCTTGACGCCTTCGAAGCATTTGATGCGATGAGACTCGAAAGGAGCGGGCCGCCCGAGGCCCCTGCTCTCTTCGAGCCAGGTCTGGTGCACGCACGGCACGCCTCGCTCGCTGAACATCTGCGCGGGGCCGCAGAACCGGGTCGAGGGGCGCGGTGTGCGTCGGGGGAATCGAGCTCAGGGAAAGCAGCTGGTGGGACACAGCGCGCGACAGCGGCGCCCCGTGGACGCGTTGGCGCGCCGGGACGGGCGCCTCGGGCGCATGCGGTGCGTGGCGGGAAGCGCGAGGCCGTGGGTGGCGCGGCGCCGGCCAGGAGGTGCGGAGTGACGTGGGCAGCAGGAGGAGGCAGAGGGAATTGCCCACCATGTACTTTTCCGACGTTGTGTTCTCCGCGATGAGCACCGTGGGCGCGGAGTTCGTCGTGGCTTCCGCGAGGAACTCCCCGCCGAGCTCGAGGACGGTCCTGCGCACCTCCTCCTTCGCGGTGCGGCCCTTGAGGTTGCCCGCCACCACGCGCTGGCCCTTCAGTGGCTTCTCCATCCCGCTGTGCAGCCTCCCGTCCATATCCTAGCCCGCCATGGCCATCCTCACGCTACTATCTACTCGCAGGCCGCTTCAGCCGCAGTAACGGAATCGCGAACGGAGCACCGCGGCACCGCGAAGCACACTCAACCCTTGTCAGTCGCAAACCACACTCCGCGCCCCGCGCGAGCGTCTATTTCACTCGCGTACGGCCGCGACGTTCGCCCAACTTGCGACGGCGCGCGCCCCGCCGCTCCAAAGAGAAGCACGCGCGCTGGGGAGCCGCATGCCAGACTCGACGCTGAGCGCGCTCCGCCCGACCGGGCACCCGGCGCTCACGGCCGCCTCGGAACGGCCTCGCACGGCCCTGCGCAGCAGGCCTGCGGGTCCGTGCCGGCCGGGACTGCGCCGCAGCACGCGCCTCGGTGCCCTGGCGGGCCTGCGCCTGCGCACTTCCGCAGAGATGCAACGCGGGGGCCGCGACGCGGTGTGCGGGCGTAGGAGAATGCGGCGGAGAGCTGCGGGTACCTGATCGCGTGGTCCGCTGGTATTGAGTTCAGTCGTGGCGGACGAATAATGGAATGTGATCACGGGACCGGCGACCGGTCTGTCAGCGCAGGGCGCTGGACGCCGCGAGGGCGTGGCAGAGGGTGCTCGCGCAGCAGGAACCCGTGGCGCGCGCAATGCGAGCGGGCCGAGCTCGTCGTGCTACGTGGCGTTGAAATCAAGTGGCAACACGCCGGACGACAGCTGCACAGGGTGCCGCGGGCATCGACGCACGGCTTGCGTATCCGCTGGTCTACGAGACGCTCCTGGCCGCGAGGGCGCGCGAGACCGAGGCAAGACGACAGGCGAAAGATGACAAAGGATGGTGAAAAACCGTAAACGAATGCAGTAGTCGAAGGCAGGGATGAAGCTGCGCACGTGCGGGGCGTTTGATTTGATTGTGCGCCGACCTACGGGCATCCTGCGAGCGTTTGTTGTTCGCTGACCTACAAGCGCCCTCGTTGTGTGGCGACGTGCACATGCCGACCGCTACTAAGGCGCATGGGGGCGTAAGGCTCTTTCGGTGCGGGTCCATGTCCCGCCGAGCGTGACACGGGCGCGGGCGACTCCGGCGCGCTGTCGCAACGTGTGTGGATGGCTTGGGTCACAGGCCGAGACTGTGCTGTGCACCGTGGGTGTGTGTGTGTGTGTGTGGGGGTGTGGGACTGCACAGGGACCTGGCACGCAGGGGGCAGGCACCACCGCTTTGTGGAGGCAATTGCTGCCATTGCTGCGTCGTCGCTCGGGCTAAAGGTCCCGCGGCGTGTGCCGTGCGGGGTGGGTGGCGGTGTGCTTACGGCGACGGCGTTGGAGCACAGCAGGGCCAGCGCGCCTTCTCCAAAAGGTGACTGGTTGGTGGATGAGGCCATAGAGGTTCGGGTCTTGGGCTGGGGAACCGTGGGCGGGGCCGCCGTGGCGCGACGGGCGACAGCCAGGGGGCAGTCACGCGATCACGCCGGGCGGAGCGGCGCCGCGCCCACCTTCGCTTCGGCGCCTCGCGCGGCAGGGACGCGGGCGCCGCGACGGGTTGCCAAAATACCAGCGCGTACAAGTACAAAATGGTTGAAAAGACCCCCCGGGGGGTCCGAGCCCCCGGGTGCGACAGTGCCGCGCGGAGGCCGAGGCGCTAGACGGTCAATGTCGTTCGAGGCGTGCGGTACGGCGTGGGCGGGAAAAGGGAGGGGCAGCGGGGGGCAACGGCGACAGCGAGCCATGCACATGTCCCATGGCCATGGGGCACGTGGGGGCCGTATCGGTCGTTGAGCGGAGGCGGGGCGGGGAGGGGTAACAGAAAGAGGGGAGGGGGTGAGCCCGTCATGTAGCACCCGTCATGCGGAGAACGTCCTAGGAGCGTTGGGCTGCTGTGAGGGGGCACCGAAACAGGGGTGCGTCGAAACCGCGGCGGGCGGCGTCCGCCTCGAGGGTGCTTCCGTGTCTAATCGTTCACGGGCGCGCGCAGTGCTGATATCGCAAGAATGATATGCTGATACCGAGTGCTGATATCGAGCACCATGGGCGGGGGACGAGGTTGGACTACAATCACCAACAGGGACGGAAGCCGCTCAGGAATTCGTACAGGAAATGAACGGGGTGCGAGGGCCTTCTTTGCTGCGGGCGTCGGGGTCGCTGGGGTTTCTACGGCGCGCCGCCGCGGCCGGGGGGGCGTCACGGAGGCGCGAGGCCCGTGACGCGGCCCCCGGCCAGCACGCCAAGCCTGCTGCGCAATGCGGCGCGGGAGCCGACGCGCGGCCCCGCGGGTGCCGAGGTGATCTAGGCGCGGACTGGCCGCCCCTCGTCGCGCCTGGCGATCTGCGACTGCGGGGGGCTTCAGCCGCGGTGGGCGGGGGCACCGGACCGAGGTTGGAGCGAGGGGTGTTGAGGGGGGGGTCGGGGGAGCTTCGAGGTGTCGGTGACGGAAAGCAGCGGTGAGGTCCGCCTCGGTTCGGTTCAGTGACGGAGCAACGAGACGGAGGTAGAGTCGAGGGGGGGTTGGGAAAGCGGGCTGGGGGTTTAGAGATGAAGCGCCGGGGAGGTAAGAAGGGAGGGGGGTCATTATTGGGCTGCGTTTTGAGGTGGACACGGAGGAAGGAGAGGAGGGGGGTCGCTGCGCCCGCGACGTCGACGTGCTACCTGCCGGTGGGATGGCAGCCGTGATTTGTTTTGATGAGCCCTGCGGCCGGGTCGCGGGCGACACATGACGTGACGTGAACGCGCAGGCCCGTGTTCTACATCTGAGGGGGTTGCTGGGGTGGGACCAGTACTGCTGTTGCTATGCCTGTGGGCGAGCGCATGCGGGCGGAGACGTCCGGCGCGGTCCGGCGCGTCAAACACCTCCGCCTGGCGATGCGCCGCCTCCTGGGGGGGGGATCCCGCCTGACGCGGGCGGGTACTGCGCGGTCGAGACGGCCGCCAGGCCCTGTGGGGTGGGCGCCCAGCCGCCCGAGACGTCCTGCGCGACGGGCTGGAACGGCACGCTCGCGTGCGGGTGGGGCACCATTCCGTAGGTCATCGCCGGGGCGCTGGGCGCCGGGTACGACCCGGGCGGCAGCGACGCCATCCAGGGCTGCGGCACCTGCGCGCCCGGCATCATCTGCGCTGCCGGTATATTGATGACCTGGGGCAGCATGCCGGGCATCATCATGCCCATCGGCGCCACGCCGCCGCCGTACAGGCCCGGGTTCCCGCGCGCGCCCATGCCCATGCCGCCCTGCGGCGCGCCCATTGGCGGCGCCTGCCCTGCCGGCCCGGGCGCGCCCGACGGCCCGCCGCCGGGCCAGGACGCCTGGTCCGCGGGCCGCGCGCGCCTCCGCGTCCGGCGCTGTCCGCGCGGCTGCGCGGCGGACGCCTGGGAGAGGTAGTGGAGGCACACCGGCGTGGTGAGGTCGCACCACACCTGCGCGACGAGGCCGTAGATGAGGTGGAGGAACTCCGTGGAGAGCCCGTCGTAGTACGAGCGCTCGCGGATCTCGGCGAGGAACGAGTCGAAGTGCACGAGCAGCTGCGCGGGCGCCAGCGCCTGCGCCGTCACGCCCGCGCCCGCGCCGGGGGTCGCTCCGTCCGGTGCGAGCGCCCCGACGCCGGCGGGCTGCCGGCCCTGGTGGTACTGGTACGTCGCCTGTGGCTGCGGAAGCGGCGGGGCGCCCGCGGGCTGCGCGGCCGCGTCCGCTGCGCCCACCGACAGCTGCCGCACGCTCGCGGCGAGGTCCTCGATCGTGGGGTCGCCGGCCGGCTGCGACGGGCCCGCCGCGCCCAGCGCCGCCTTCGGGCCGCCCTCCGCCGGCGCGGCCTGCGGGTCCAGGAGCCGAGACAGCAGGTGCAACTGCTGCCCCGCGGTGGGGTCTATTGCCTCCGCGGGCCCGCGCTCGAAGGCCGGGGCGCCCGCCGAGGGCCGGCGGGTGTCCTCGGGCGTCTGCCCGTCCGCGGGGAGCGGCTTGCTGCTCGGTCCGGGCGGCGCCCCGGGGCCTGGAGGCTGCCAGGCCAACCCGCCAGGCAGAGCCGGCACCGCCGCCGCGAACGCCGGGCTCATCGCGGGCAGCGGGCTCTGTATTCCGGCGAGCACTGCGGAGAGAGAGGGCGCGGCGCGGGTCGCGGGCGTCGGGCGGGCCGTGGCGCGCGCGCGAGCGCTCGAGGCGGGCACGCAACGCCGCGGGCGGCGCGTGCGGGGGCGGCGCGGGGGCGCGGGGGCGCGGGACGGGGGCGTCGTGCGGGCGTGATTCGGGCCGGCGGGGCGCGCACCGTGGGCCTTGATGTGGTGGAGCGCTCGGACGACGAGGTTGTTTTCAAAGCGCATGAGCTTCGCCCACTCGTTCGCCCGGATGAGGCAGAGGGCGAAGTGGGCGTTCATGACGGTGTGTACCCTGCGGAGCGGTCGGGCGCGGGTGCGGCGGGGGCGTCGGGGCCGCGGGTGCGGAAAGCGCCATATCCAGAGCCTACCGACCCGGCTCGGGTGCCAACGAAAGCTGCCGAGCGCGGCTGCGCGGGGCGGGGCGCGCGGGCGCGGCGGGCGGCGGCGGCGCGCAGAGGAAGCGATTTCGTTCGCGGAACGCGGCGGCGCGGGGCGGCGCGGGGCGCGGCGGCCGGTGCGTGCCGTGCCCCGGGGAGAGCGAGCGAGCTCGGGCGCGCGGGCGTCGCTGCGCGCACCAGTGGCGCCGGCCGTTCTCCGTGTCGCACGGAGCGACCTTGGCCCATTCGCCGTACTTGATGAAGTCGCCCTGCGGGCAGCGGGAGCGGGACGCCTTTGGCTCGGAAACAGTTGCCGGACACCGACCGACCGTTAGACCTCGTACGAGCCAGGGCGCGCACGAGGGCCGACGCGGAGATTTCTGCCCCCCGCCGGCGCGCGTCCCGGGCTTACAACGCCCGCGCGGTATCGGAGCCCGCACCGTTGCGTGGGCCCGAACGAAAGGCACCGCGTCGGCGCGCCTGGCGGGGCGGGGCGGGGCGGGGCGGGCGGCACTACCTGATAGTGGACGATGAAGAACAACTGTATGTCCAGGGGCTGCGCCACGAGCAGGGAGGAGAGGCTCCAGCCCTCCTGCCCAGCAATAGGGGCGCTCATCGCGCCCCGCGCCCCTGACGGGTTGAACGCAAACGCAGGAATCAAATGTTGCTCTCGCAATGCGCGGCCATTGAGAACTGCGCGCCCTCCGCGCCGGACCTCAGATCTACCGGAAAGTGTGCCAACGACTGTTCGCTCGTGTCCGGGGCGCCTCGAGGGACTCGCCCTAGGGAAAGTGTGACAATCTAATCGTCACTGCTGCGTATTGCCGCCCGCGCCGCCCGCGCCCGCCCCAACTGCCCGCGCCGGCCTCCGCCCAGCGCCCCTGCTGACGCGAGTGTAGCCGACTCCTAAAGCCGACTCCCCCGCCGCGCCACCGCCCCCGACGCCCGCCCGCGCGGCCCCCCGCGGCGCCCCGTGACCCACGCCGCCGCGCGGCCGCAAGGCTGGCCGGGAAGTCGCCGCACTGCGCCGGCAGCGGCACCGCAGCACAAGATCCAGTTGCCACCCGGCGACGCAGGCGCTCGAGCCGCGCGACGCGTTTCCGATGCGGCACGCCGCAGGCAGCACAGGGGGCGCGCGCGAGCCGCTCCGACTGCGGCAGCCACGCGGGCCGCGACGGCGAGCGGTGTGGTTGCAGCGCGTGACATCAACACCTCGCGGTGCGGGCGGCCGGCCGGTCGGGCGTCACAGCAGCGCGCGTATGAGCAGCCAGAGCAAGACGCCCGCGACGAGCCACCCCGCGGCACCCAGCAGCCCCGCCGTGCCCGGCTGGTCGGCGTCGGACGTCCACGGGTATCGCTCGCCGGATCCGACGTCCCGGGCGATCGCTGCGCGCGCGTTCGTGTTGCCGACGCGGTGCTTCTTCGAGGCGTTGTCGGGCGTCACGACCGCCGCGGTCGGAATGCCCGCCACGCGCCACATGCGGCTCAATGACTGTCGCGCGAACTGGTCCGACCACGGCACCGCCGCCCAGGGCATCTCCGCGTAGTACGACTCGAACTCCGCCGCGGATCGATCTGCGTGGGGTCACCGACGAGCGCCGCGCGGGGTCCGGTCGCGGAGAGCGCCCGCCAGGGCGCCCGCAACAAGAACGCAACGCAACGCACCGCGTGCATCAGCGTGGCGCGCCCGGCCGCCGCGCGGGGCGCGGCGGACGCACCTGAGGAGACGAAGACGACCTCGAACGCGTCGCCGTGCCGGGCGCGCAGCTCCGCGTACAGTTGTGCGAAGCGCGGCGTGAAGGCGCGGCACGGCGGGCACCAGTGCGCGGAGAAGTACCACACCACGGTGCGGTTCGAGATGACGTCGCTCGCGGGCACCTGCGACGGCGCCACCGCGGGCGCGGGCTGCGTCGGAGGCGCGGCGCACCCCGCTGCCGCCGCAACGCTCGCAGGGCCGCATTCGCACGCGCGCGCACGCGGCGTGTCAGGCAGGGAGGCGCGGGGGTCGCGCGGCGCCGTGCCGCGCGCGTGCCGCGCAGGAGCCCACCTCGGTCACCTTTCCGTCCCGTTTCACGAGGATTTTGTCCAGCGAACGAAACTCGACAATGTCGCCGCGCGCGACCATTGCGATCCTGCGGCGTCGTGGCAGGCGGGTCGTTTGTGCAGTGGGCGGGCCGGAACCGGCCGCGAGACAGCGTGTTGTCCCCCAGCGGCGCCCTTACGTGGTGGGGCGGTTGCTGGCTGGGGAGGGAGGCTGGCCGCGGCAGCGCCGCACAGGCCCACGCGGCCCGTCCGTGAGCGTCCGGCGCAGTGGAAGCCCCGAGGTCCCGTGGGGTCGCGCGAGGTCGTTCGCGGGCGTGCAGGTGCGGAGGAGCGCGCGGGAGTGCCAAGGACCGCAGATCGCGGAGCGCATGCACAATTCACGGAGGTTCACGGGTCCTGCGAGCCGGGTTCCCTGCGCCTTGAGAGTCAGGCCACGCACGCGAGACGCGGAGGGCGAAGAGGGGCTGCGCGCGGGGGGGGGTTTGTCACCGTTGGGTGTACTGATGACGTCATGCGGGGCGTGAGGGGCCCCAGCACGACCTCGTTGCCCGCGCGCGGATCGGCCCTCGCGCGAACATTCGTCCGGTGGAGAACGCGAAGCGCCAGCGCCGCGTACGCCCCGCAGCGAGCCGTGTTCAGTGGAGCTCCTCCCTGCCGAGAGACCGCACAGGACCTGCGGCTTGCGCGATTCCAGCGGCTCGGACGAGCATGAACACCATGCACTGCCGCGTGAGCGCGCCTCACGCCGCAGCTCCGAGGATCCGGGCCGCAGCGGCGCGGCGAGCCTCCGTGGTAGCGCAGGCACAGGGCGGGCGGCCCGCGCAGATGCTGGTGAGCCCGCGAAATGCGCCGGAAGTGCCACATTGTGCACGTACAGGCCATCACGGTGCACCGCGCCGTCGCATTCCGGATGTGCCCGACGCGCGGCGCCATCCACGTTGCCCCCCCCGATACATCCTCCGCCCCAGCACGTTCCTGACCGCCGCAATTCCCACACGCGCGCGCCCACGCCGGCAATCCACCTCGCACTGCGCGCTCAGGCGCTTTCCGGCCCCGCCGCGCAGCCCCACTGGTCCCCTCGCACCGCAACTCACCTCCCGCACACCGCCGCCGCCGCCGCCGGGCCGCAGATCTTCGTCCCGCCGCACCCGCTCATCAAGCACTGGCTCGCCGTGTGCCGCAACGTCGGCAGCCCCTCGCCCGTGTTCCGCTCCGCGATGGGGGAGCTTGGGAGGATCCTCATCTACGAGGCGGGCCGCGAGTGGCTGCCCGTGGTCGAGGGCGAGGTCGAGAGCCCCCTCGGCGTCGCCCCCTGCGAGGTCATCGACCCGGCGCAGCCCATCAAGGCACGTGCCCCACCCCAACCGCTGCTGCGCCGCATCGCGTCGCGTCGCCGCGCGCGCGCGGCGGCGTGGCCGCGAGGACGTGCGCGCGCCGCGATGGCGCCCGCGCTGCGTCGCGGCCGGCCGGCCGCCTCGTCGAAGCGCGGGAACAGCAAGAACAACGCGGGTTGTGTTTGCGCGTGAGCGTGTGTGTGCAGGTGGTGCCTGTGCTGCGTGCGGGCATGCTGCTGCTGGAGGACTCCGCGACGGTGCTGCCGCATCAGCAGACGTTCCACGTCGGCGTCGAGCGCGACGAGGACACGCTGCAACCGTCGTGGTATTTGAACAAGCTGCCGGAGAGCTTCGCGCCCACGGACCGCGTGCTGGTGGCGGAGACGATGATCGCGACGGGCGGGACGATTCTGTTGGTGCTGGACGAGATCGTGAAGCGCGGCGCGGACCCGACGAACGTGCGCGTGATCGCGGCGGTGTGTGCGCCGCCAGCGCTGCAAAAGCTGTCCGAGAAGTATCCGGGGATGAAGCTGTACACCGCGATGATCGACGAGGAGCTGAACGACAAGGGGCTCATCGTGCCGGGGCTCGGGGACGCCGGGGACCGCGGGTACGGCACGGAATAGGCGTCAGGCTGTGATGAGGAACTTTGGGCCGCGGCAGTCGAGAAACGTCGAGTGATGGCGTGCGCGCTGTGCGCCCCGCGTGCTGCGGCCGCGAACGATCGCGTGGGGCCCCCACGTGGAGGACAGGTGGGTGTGGACGCCGCTTTCGCGCTCGGAGGAGCGCGCTGGCGGCCGCCCGGGCGGGGCTGCGGCTAGGCAGTTGAGCGGCCGGCTGCAGAGGGCGCGAGTCTCGCCTCCCTGCACATCGTACGAGCTTGGTCGGGCCAGCGCGGGCCGGAACGCGCTCGTGGGGTGAGTACGGCGGAGACCGAGGCACCCCGATGCCGCGCGCTGCCGCGACGGGGCGTGCTCTGACCACCTGAGCTCTCCGGCGGTGGCGCCGTCCGCGGGGGCGCGCGCGCGGGGCGAGGCGCTAGGAGCGCACGCACGATGAATCAACGCCCGTGGTGCGGGTCGTCGGAGCTTCATTACACTTGAGCGGAGCCACGGGGTGTGCCTACGGCCGGGTCGTTCCGATGCGTTCGCGGCCTTGGCACACCTCGGCGTTTTCAGGGGCGCGCCTACAGGCATTTCATCGTATGTACAAGAGACGGTGTCGCGGTGATCCCGCGGCGCTCCGCAGCGCGCGCACGGCCCTCCTGCGCTGGCCTCACCCTCAGTGCTTGTGGCTCGCCTCCACCTCGTCGATGTCCGGCAGGTACCCTGCGATCACGACGACGGCTTCCGTGCTCAGAGCACGCCCCGGGCGTCGGCACAGGTTCTATGACCCCACACATGACGCACAAAGCGACGTGGCCCGCTCCTAGCATGGCCCTTTCCGCTCCCGTCCGCAGCAGCGCGCGGCGCCGCATGGCGCGCAAACACGCTCTCCGACCGCGACCTGATCGTGGCTCGCGTGTGGCCGGCTGCGGCGCGCCGGGGCGCAGCGGTTCGGGGCCCCGCAGCCGCGGCCTGGCGACGGTGCATGCTGGCTGCGCTGCGCTGGCGGGCTCACCTCGCGGGATGGACATGCCGCTGTTGACCGCGAGCAGCGCGTAGGCCCCGCTGATGACCGGGGCGATCGAGAACCGCGCTATCCGCGAGAGGCTGAACGAGAGCGACGCCATGGTGCGTGAACCCTGGTTGGGAGTCCTCGGTGCTTTTCTTCGGATCAAGACTCGCTGCGGCTGGCCGTGGAGCTGCGGGACAGTGCGCTGTGCTTCAGAGTCGAGCCTCGAGCGAATGCGCGGGGCCAACGGCGGCGCGCACCCTCGCAGCGGGCGCCGGCCGGGGTTGTCTCCAAGTCAGCACTGGGTGGTTGTTGAGCCCTTCCAAGGGGGCTCTAGTCTCCAAGGGGGCTCTCTCCCGCTTCGCTGACAACACTTCCCCCCCCCGCCGCCCCCGGCCGCCCCACGCGTCGCGCACCGTCCCCCTGACGTCGCCCGAGCGAGCCCCCGCGCCCCTGCCCCTGCGCGCGCACGGTGGTGGCAACAACACCGGCAGCAACACTGCAAAGGACTCGCCACGTGCCCGCTGCTCCCGCGGCGTCGCGGGCGGCACCGCGCCCGAGCTGCGCCGTCCAGACACGTCCGTTCCCGCATCGAGTCACACACGTACGGAGCTGAGTCTGAGTCTGCGCTGTTGTTGCTGCCTGCTGCGCCCGTCACCGCCACGTGGGCGGCGCGTCGGCGGACACGGCGGCGACGGCGGGGTCCGGGATGCTGCTGTCGCCCCCGCGGTCGGACTCGGCGGCCTTCCCGGGCGTCGCTGCGCCGCCGGGGGTGCCCGCGAAGCCACTCCGGTACTTGTCGATGTTTGCGCGCTCGGCGCGCTGGAAGGGCCGCGGGCCGAGGATCTCCTCGAGCGCGTCGAGCGAGAGGACCTCCTTCTCCAGGAGCGCCTCGGCGAGCTTCGCGACGAGGTCCCTCTTGCTCTCGATCAGCTGCGGCACAACCACGGCGAAACAACCACGCTCAGACACGCAATCACTACGGACGTCCCCCGCGTCCACCACCCCGCACCACGCAGCACGCGCCGCACCCCTGCCCGCGATCGCGCGCGCACTCACCTCCTTCGTCCGCCCGTAGCACCGGTTCACGATCGCCCGCGCCTCCTCGTCAATGAGCTGCGCCGTCTCGGGGGAGTACGGCTTGTCCAGCTGCCCCTCCTGCCCCGGGAAGCTCAGCAGCCCGACCGCCTCGCTGAACCCGTACACCGACACCATCCCGTACGCCATCTGCGTGACCTTCTCGAGGTCGTTCTGCGCGCCGGTCGACACTGCGCCGATCAAGATCTCCTCCGCGGCGCGCCCCCCGAGCGTCATGCACGTCATGTCCTCGAGCTGCTCGCGCGTCTTGAGCACGTCCTCGCTCGGCAGGTACTGCGCGAAGCCCAGCGCGGCGCTCCCGCGCGGCACGATCGACACCTTGAGCAGGGGCTCGGCGTGCTCCATGAACCACCCGACGACGGCGTGGCCGGCCTCGTGGTACGCGACGGTCCGGCGCTCCTTCTTCGAGATCGCGCGGTTCTTCTTCTCCAGCCCGCCGATCACGCGGTCCACCGCAGCCTCGAAGTGCTCCAGGGTCACCAGCGACTTGCCGCGCCGCGCCGCGACGAGCGCCGCCTCGTTGCACACGTTCGCGATGTCCGCGCCCACGAACCCGGGCGTCAGCGCCGCCAGCCGCTCCGAGTAGAACTCGGCGTCCTGGTCCGTGCGCACGTTCTTCAAGTGCACGCGGAAGATCGCCTCGCGCCCCTTCACGTCCGGCCGGTCCACGCCGATCTGCCGGTCGAAGCGCCCCGGCCGCAGCAGCGCCTTGTCGAGGATGTCCGCGCGGTTCGTCCCCGCCAGCACCACGATCCCCTCCTTGGTGTTGAACCCGTCCATCTCCACGAGTAGCTGGTTGAGCGTGGACTCGCGCTCGTCGTTGCCGCCGGCGCGCATGCGGCCGCGCGCGCGCCCGATGGCGTCGATCTCGTCGATGAAGATGATGGACGGCGTGGACTGTCGCGCCTGGCTGAAGAGGTCGCGCACGCGCGACGGCCCCACGCCGACGAACATCTCCATGAAGTCCGAGCCCGAGATCGAGAAGAACGGAACGCCGGCCTCGCCCGCCGTCGCCTTCGCGAGCAGCGTCTTGCCCGTCCCCGGCGGACCCGTCAGCAGCGCACCCTGCAAACGTGTTGCACGCCGCGAGGCCGGTGTGTCGCCGCGTGGCGCGCCGAAGCACGCGCCGAAGCGCGCTGCAAGATACGCGCTCGTGCGGAACGAGACCTTCAAGCCTCGCGCCAACGACGACGGCGTATTACGATTGTAAATGCGCGTACGCTCGGCCGGTCACGGCCCCGCGTGCGCGGCGCGCACCTTGGGGATCTTCGCGCCGAGCTCCTTGTACCGTTCCGGGTCCTTCAGGAACGACACGAACTCCATGATCTCCTCCTTCGCCTCGTCGCACCCGGCCACCTGCGCAAACGTCACCGGGTCCTTCACGCTCTTCGGGTCCCACACCGTGATGTTCGCCTTGCCCATCCCGAACATGCCCCCGGGCCCCCCGCGGCCCCCGCGGCCCATCTGCCCCAGGGACGACCCCAGGGACCGCCCCGCTTGCCGCATCGCGAAGAACCCAAGCCCAAACAGGAGCAGCGTGGGGACGATCGACAGCAGCTCGCCGAGCCAGTCCGTCTCGCGCGTGTACGCAACGGGGATCTGGTCCTCGGGGTGGTACCTGCGCGCAAACCGGCACCGCGATGACGCGATGACGCCCGACAGCAGCAACGCGACGCAACATTCGTGGTGCCGGGCGCCGCTGGCGGGGGCGCAGGGACCGAGCAGGCGGCGCGGGCCGCGCACCCGAGGGTCTCCATGGCCTCTTCGAGGCGGCGCTCGAACGCGTCGACGCTCCCGATGTTGAAGAAGTGCGTGAAGCGGCCGCCCGGGGCGTGGGCGGAGGCTCCGCCGTCGGCGGCCTCGCTGGACGTGTAGACCTTGACCTGGCGCTGGTTGGCGACCTCGAGCCGCACGACCTTGCCCTTGGCGAGCAGGTCTTTGTAAAAGTGTTGGAAGGTGATCTCGGTGCGCTGCTGGCCCTCCATGAGGTGGCTGGCGACGCGGACCGCGACGAAGAGCGCGAGGAGCGCGAGGATGCCCGACGCGTTCGGGCCCACGGGGTCCGGACCCTCGCCCGGCCCCCCGCCGTTGTTGCCGCCGTGCTTCTCCCCCCGATCCTTTTTCGCGCCCTGCTCGCCCTGCGACGACTCCTGCGACGCGCGCGGGGACGGCTCGTGAGGTGTGCGTCGAGGCCGAGCGCGGGACGCGGGCGGTGCGGCCCCTGGCTGCGCGGTGAGGGCTCGGAAGCCCATGTTTGCACGTCAAGGGGAGCTCGGGGACGAAGAGTGGCTCTGTACCTTCTCTGAGGACGGAGAATCGCCCGCGTCGGGGTCGCCCATCGCGCGCTTGAGGCCCTCCTGGAACGCGCCCCACCCTGCGGCCCGGAGCGCGGCGGTGCGCGCGCGTGGGCGAGCGATGCCTAGCGAGGCTCCTGGCCCCGCGTGCCACGCGAAATCGCGCGCACTCGCGCGGCCGGCCGTGGCGCAGGGTAGACAGTGGCGTATCCGCGCGGCCGCGCCGGCGACGGCTGCGAGGATGGCGCGGAGAGGGCGGACCGCGCGGTTTGTGTTCCTGTGGACCCGCACCTTTGTTCATCGACTTTTTCGCGCGAAGAAGCATGTCCTGGGCGCCAGTCTGGGCGTCGTGGAGCTCCGCGGCGATGCTTGTCTGCGTTGTGAGGCGCGCGGGCGTCAGTGAGCGTCGCTCGAGCGAGCTGGCGGGTCTTTCGTGCACCTGAGGAGCTTCAGAGCCGTGGCGCGGGGCGCATGAGCGGACGCGAGGGTCGTACCGCGCCATGGTGCTGCGTGTCGTTATGTAGAAAGCGGTGCTGGTCGGTGATGCTGCGTGGCCCGGCGGACGAGGCGCTCCGCGCGCCTGGGAGGGTGCGTGGCAGTGGCGCAGGTTGCGCGGCGGACGCGACGTCGCGGGTTGGCAGCGCGGAGATGCCTCCCAAGAGCTCTCGTGTCGCGACGCGGTCCTCGAAAAAGCGTAGGAGGTCCCCCGCTGCACCCGGAGCGCGGCGCAAGCGCCGTGCGGCCGGGCACAGCATCGCAAGGGCGCGAGCGCGGCTTTCTGAGACGAGATCTGCCTTCTGGAATTCCGCGGAAGAGAGTCCAGTGGCAATCAGGTCAACGCTCGGCTAGCTGCGTCAGCACCCGCGCCGTCTGGCACGCGTGAGCAGCGTTGGCGGCCCTTGGCGCCAAACCGCCCCGCCCGGGCCCCGCAATCGCGCTGGAGGTGTCCCGCAGACGCGCCCAGGGCAGTCCTCGGCCACCGCGGCACCGAGACGGCGCGTGTCGATGGTCCGATGCGCCGAGCTGGACGGACAATACGGTACGCAGGAACTCAATCGATTCACGCAGCGTCTCTCGATCTCACTCGCGTGGGTCGCCGCACATTCACTGCCTCAGAGACTGGTGCGCTCGAGCCCGAATCGCGCCCACGACCGGCCGGGGAGGCGGACGGGGCGACAGCGGGAGGGCGGTTCTCGCTGGCGGGGGCGCCAGGCGGCGCCCGGGCACGCATCGCACGGTGCCGCCGGCGCGCAGGCTAGGCGCGGCGTGTGCGCGAGACCAGGCGTGAAATGCTGACGAAGCTCGGCGTTTACGTACTAGGGGTCGCAGGACCGCTCGGGCTATCAGGCTGGCTCACTCGTAAGAGCAAGCCCCTGCGCCCGTTCTCCCTCGGCTGCACGTACGCCGCGTGCGTCGGGGCTGTGGTCTCCACTGCGTGCAGCCGGCCCCTGCACCGGCGGACAACGGGCCTTCTCGGCAAGGCGCGTTCCCCGCGACAGAACCAGCACCGAACTCGATCCCGCCGCCTTCGTTCGGCGCTCATCGGCGCCCCACGTGGCACACCTCGCTTGTGCCCCGCGCTCACACATCCACGTCCAGCGCTCGGCGGCGCTCCGCAGACGCGCGATGGCAAGTTCCCGCTCTGGTCCTGGGCCGTCTTCTGGCCGTACCACTTCGGCCTGCGCCTCAAGCTGCACCTCCAGCGCTCGAAACGCAATGCCGAGGACCTGTACAACGAGATCGACGCAGCTCCCGGGTGGTTCATCGGCGGATGGCCATCCAACGCATCGGTGCGCGAAATTCCTCCCCCGCGCCGCCGGTGCCCTCCGCTGCCCGTCCGCCCCTCGTGGCGCCGCCACCGTCGCGATGTTTTGTTGCACAACAACATTGTGGTTGCAGGAGCTCCCCGGGCAGGACGTCGCGGTCGTCGACGTGACGTGCGAGCTCCCGCGCACGCACGCGACGGGGGCGTACTTCGCGGTGCCCACGTGGGACACGACCGGGCCGGACCCGGCCGCGGCCGCCCAGGCCGTCGACTGGGCGCTCACGCAGCGCCAGGCGGGCCGCGCCGTGCTCATCCACTGCGCGCACGGTGCGTCCGCTGCCCACGAGTGCCGCCAGCACCCTCGCCGCGATTCCTGGCCACCGCCGCTCCCACGCTCACTGCTGGCCCGCAACGCACCTCCCTTTTCGAGCGTGTCGCCTCTGGGAGGGCGCGGCACGCGGGCGATCGCAGACGTCTTGCGTGGAGGACGTCGTCGGGCGTCGTGGCGCTCGGCCGGGGCGCGCAAAGCCGCCACGGCGCCCCCCCTGCGCCCACGCAACGTGTGCACGTGGTATGCCCTGCGTTGGACGCCGCAGACCGCTGCCCCCCGCGCGGACGGGCACGGCGCGCGGCGTCGCCGTTCCTTACCTTGGTGCCCTCCTGCGCCGGCCGTTGCGCTGCGCGTGAGGGCCGGACAGGAGGAGACACGTGCTGTTATGTTGCGCGCAAACATCCTCCTGTGTGCGAGCGCTGTGCAGGCCACGGGCGGTCCGCGGCGGTGATGGGCGCAGCGCTGGTGGCGATGGGCCTCGCGGGGGGGGCCGAGGAGGCGCAGGCGCTGATGCGGAGGTCTCGGCCGCTGGTCAGACTCAACTCGGATCAGTTCGCTACTGTTGCGAGCGCGGCGACCGCGCGGGCGCTGTGAACCGGTGCAGCGGCGCTGCGCAGTGTTGCGGTGCAGCAGCCGGGCCGCGGGAGCCGGCGCGCCGTCGCCGTGGGCGGTGGGGCGCTGAGAGCCGGGGGGGTGTGTCATGCGCGTGCGGGGCGTTGCGCCGGGCGGCGTTGTGCCGGGCCGGGTGGAGCTGCGGTGTGTGCGGGATCGGGCGGGGCCGCGGGCGGGACGTTGGGAGTGAGGTGTGGTGCGGAGATGCCATCGTTTGACAAACACAGTGCCGCAACTTCGCTGTGTGCGTGCGGCTACTGGTATGCGTTTGCTCGCGGAAAGAGGGCGGGGCGGCGTGAGGGCGGTGTGAGGGGGGTGTGCCGAGCGTTGCGTGGCGGCGGGTGCCCGCTGCGACGGCTGCGCGCGGCTGCGCGGCTGGCCAGGAGGAAGTCGGTGGGGCGGGTGGGAGTCGGTGAATGGTGGCTGCCAGTCCTCTGGGAGACTTGAGACTGCGGGCGGCGCGGGCGCGGCCACTTCGCAGCGTGGCGCGATCGCGCGAGACCGGCACTGTATCGCACGAGCGATCCGGCGTCCCGGGAGCGTCGCGGGAAGCACCAGCGCGGCGCGAGAGGCAGTCATCCATCCGCAGGCAGCCATGTGTGCGCACGCCTGAGGTGAGCCGATACCCGCCCCTGCTGCGTCGCTCTCTGCGCTTCTGACCGCGTGCAGCTCGGGACGCGCGCCGGCTGCCCGCGGCCGGCCCGGCACGAGCGGAACGAGCACCTTCCTACGCCTGGTTTTCCTCCGCGCTCGCGCGCCGCGTTGCGCCGCGGCAAGTGCCTGGCCCCCGGCGCTCCGATAGGAACAATATGATTTCTGTCCCTCGTGGGCGTCCGGAAGCGAGACGGTATCCGAGCGCGCCGTGAGCGCGTGTTTTCGAGTGAGATGCCGGCCTCTGGACCCGCCCAAGCAGCCCATCCGCGCCGGTGCAGATCTGACGGGGCCCCAGCAGCCGCCTCGGTGCGCGCCCCGGTCCGGACTCGACCATGAGCAAGCAGAAGCAGGGCAAGGGGCGCGGGAAGGGGCCGAAGAAGACCTCGAAGGGTCCAGGCACGCCTGGGCGCGGCTCAGGAGGTCCTAGAGCGCCGCCGAAGGACGTGTTTGTGGTGAGCCTCCCCGCGCGAACGCATGCCTGCCGATCTCCACGTCCCCCGATGGAACGCCCGGCGCCACGGCTGCGGCGCTCGCGCCGCGGGCAGCCGCGAAGCGACTGCTGTGCCTGCGGCAGGCAATGATCGGCGCTCGCGTGGTCTGTCCGCGGCCGCACTGGAGCCGCGGACGCCCGGCCGTCGTTGAGATGGTCAGAAGGCGCCTGGAAAGCGATCGTCCCTGCGTGATGGGCCCGCGAGCCGCGCCCTGCGCTTGCTACCCTGTTGGAGGGATGTGGCAACTTGCGCGGATTCCGGCGGCTCCGGCCGCGTTCCGGGCTCCTCCCAATGCGTACCTCGCGTGCCCATTCCTAATCGATCGCGTACCCCAGAAATCTCGGTAATTCCCCGCTGTGGGACCGAGCACGCGGCCACGGCGACCGACCACGGCCCTCTCCTGGCGCCCGCCCGGCGTTTCGCGACCTCGCGGCCTGTTCGCCCCGTCGATGCGGTCTTTCCCAGGCGCCAGCACGCTCCCGCGCCCGCTCCCTGCGAGCGGGACCCGCGAGCGTCGCGTCCTGGACCCTGCAACCACCATCCTTGTCCTGCCGCCTCTGGCCTCGTCCCCGCCCGACGCGATCCCGCCGCCCGGCCCCCCCCGCGCGTCGCAGGACGACGATCCGGTGACGCTCGACAAGCGCACCCACAATGTCCGCGCGTGGTGGAAGACGCTCACGCCGGAGGAGCGCGCCCGCCGCCTCGCCGTGTCCGTGGCGGACCTCCGCGAGGCCGCCGACCGCAACCGCTACCCCGAGGAGGAAGTCATCGTCGCGGAAGGTACCCTCCGCCCCCAACCCTCCACACACCCCCCCCCACACACCCGCCGCATCACACACAGCACTTGGCCGCCGCTGCCCGGCCCCGCAGGCTCCGAGCTCGTCGACATCGCGGACCGCGACCTCCTCGAGACCGCCCTGAAGCGTTTCGTCACCAAGGGCACCTGGAAGCTGTGGCTGTGGCCACGCGGCACCCCACAACCCCCGGACGTGGAGTTCACCGAGAGCGACGCGTTCCGCACGTGGTACCGCAAGAACGTCGTCGGCCCGACGCACGCCAAGTACCTCCCGGACCTCGACGTCAAGCTCGAGACGGATGACGAAGAGGCGTTCCGTAAACGCATCAGCGCGTTGTACGCGAGGGCGGCGGCGATCCGTTCCGGGACGGAGGAGCCCGCGGCGGCGGCCGCGGGCGACGCGGACGGGAAGCCCGCGGGCGAGGGCAAGCCGCTGGGGCGCGGCGGCGGCGAGGGCAGGGAGCGGGAGGGCGGTGTGCCGCGTGGGCGCGGCGGCGGGCGGGCCGCGCCGCGCGTGCGCGCGACGAGCGAGCAGGTGCAGGCCGCGCGCGACATCATGGCCGTCGGCGCGATCGACCGCGCGCTGCGCGAGGACGAGCACGTTCTGTTGCACCGCGCGGTGTTCCGGCCGGTCGTGCGCGACTTCGTGGAGCGGCTGTCGCAGCAGGGCATCCCGACGCAGAGCTTCGAGGACGCGGACAACAGCGCGCCGGTGCGGTTCGTCCCCGAGGACTTGAGCCTGCTCCCGCCGGAGGAGGTGTCTCAGATTGCAAACTGGATCATCGAGCGGATCGACGCGCTGGGAATGCGCTTGCGCTCGGAGACGAAGGACGAGGCGAAGGAGCAGGACCCGGACGAGACGATGGGCGACGTGGACCTGTTCTGCTTGGAGATTCCGGGCCGACCGAAGCGCGCAGTGCCGCCGCCCGCGCCCGGGGCGGGCCCCGAGGCCGCGACGACGTCCGCGGCCGCGGAGGCGGCTGCGGCGGTCGAGGCGCTGCAGGGCGCGACGGAGGAGGAGATTGCGGGCGGGGAGGTGCGCGTGAACGACAGTTGGTTGTCGCACCTCGCGCGGCGGACGCTCGGCGACGACGGGCAGCCGCGGCTGGTGCGCGACGGCGAGGACGCTGCGGACGTGGGGCTCGTGGTGGAGTGGGTGTACGGCGCGATCGTGTCGACGGCGGAGAAGGGCCGCGAGGCCGCGCGGTCGCTGCTGCTGATGTCGGCCATGACGGCGCGCGAGGCCCATGAACAGCTCATGTCGGTCCTGCAGGAGCTCCACCGGCAGGTGCGTGGCGGCCCGCCGCGGCGCAGCACGCGTGCATCACGACGCTTGCGCTGTTGTCCATGACATCATGCTCGTGTGGTGTTGCGCGCGTTCGATTGACCATTCGATGCGTCCTGCGGGCGCTGGTTGCAGGACTCCATCCTCAACCACGGCAAGCTGCTCCTGTCGACGATGGTCGACTCCCGGCGCTCGAACCGCACGATGATGGCGCAGCACCCGCAGCTCCTGGCGCTGCAGCAGGAGCTCGCGCAGTGCGTGCTCCCGGACAAGACCCGCGACGAGGCCGCGCTCGAGCGCATCGCGGAGCGCGTGCGGGCCGAGGGCCTCGAGGGCAACTGGCCGGCGCCCGACGAGACCATCATTCAGATGCTTCACAGGGAGGGTCTGCTCACGGACGCGAGGGTGTACCACAAGAAGGAGCGGCACATCCAGAAGACCCGCGAGCAGCGCGTGGTGAGTGCGCGCCGCAGGCGCGGTGCTACGATGCCTGCCCCGCACGACGGCGCTGGTGCTGGGCTGCGCGCGGGGGACGGTGGTTCGTGCATGCGCAGCGACCTGGTGCTGTTTCTCCAGCTCTGGTTCGCGCTTTCAACGCGCTGGTCGCCCACGTATCGAACCAGTTGCTCATGGTTGAACAAGTGACTCGTCCATCAAGAAATCCCAACGCGTGTTGCGTCGCAGGTGGAGTTCGAGTTCGTCCTCGCGACGACGGAGCTCAAGCGCCGCCTGCAGCAGTGCGAGAACGCGAAGCAGGCCCCGCGCGCCCTCGACGCCGCCGGCCACCGCGGCGCCACGCGCTCGCAGCTGGCCGACGCCGCCATCGAGGAGCAGGTGGCGGCGCAGAACGCCTACCGCGAGCAGCAGCTCAAGGTCCAGGCCCTCGAGGAGCACCGCATGCGCGTCAAGACCAAGCTCGCGGAGCTCGGCCGCGAGATCGAGCGGCTCGAGGGGTGGGGGCGCAACCTGCTGGTCCTAGTAGACGAGCTCACGAGGGACATTGAGCGGCGGCGCCTGCTGGCGGGCGCGAACGGCGCGGCGGACGTCGAGGAGGGCGGCGGCGCCAACGTGGCGCAGCGCATCGCGATGTATGAGCATCGGTGCAAGTTCTTCACGCGGATCCTGCGCGAGCTGTACACGGACGAGGACGACAGGAACCACTTCAACTGGATCCAGGTGCGCAGTGCGGACCGGCGGCGCGTGCTGCTCGGGGCCTTGCGCGCACCGGCGGTGTGTTGATTGCCGTTGTGGTCTATCTGTCTGTTTCGTACCGTTGCCTGGTCGGCGGCGCGTTGATCCGCTTGTCTACGTGCTGTGTTGGCTCGTGCCGACCACGGAGCCAGCGAGGGCCGCGCGTCGCTGCGGCCCTCCCGGTGTGCGGCACCCTGCACACCGAGCTGCGCCTGGCCTCCCAGAGCACCCTCCAGGCGCTCCGTTTGACCCTTCGCCGCGGGCACCCACGCAGCGCGGGGATAGAAGAGCTCCACAGCACGACACTAGGTCTCCGCATGCCCCCTGCCTCGCATCCCAACACCCCCCACACCTGACTCCACAACCCCCTGCCGCTCTCCCCACAGGACTCCATGCGCGTCATCGAGCACGACTCGCGCGCGCTGTCCGTCATCGCGGCGCACCTCGAGTCCCAGGTCCTCAACCTCGCCTGCGACGACCTCGGCCAGATGGTTTCATCACAAATCACACTCCCGGTCCTGCGTGCGCGGCTGCACGAGGCCGCGATGGAGTACCTCGACCAGCAGGCCAAGGCCGTCGAAGCCGGGTTCCTCGAGGAGGCAGAGGCGCGCGAGCGTGCGGCACGGGAGGAGCGGGAGCGAGCCAAGGCGCGACGCGAAGAGGCGATGCGATTGGCGGAGCGGGAGGCGGAGGAGCGCGCGGAGCGGCAGCGCCAGGCGGAGGCCGCTGCGGAGGCCGAGGCGGAGGCGCGGCGGCAGGAGGAGGCGGCGCGGCGCGCGGCGGAGGCGGCGGCAGCGCGGGAGCGGGAGCTGGAGTTGGAGCGGGCTGCGGCGGAGAAGGCGGCGGCGGCGATGCGGAGGGAGCGGGCGAGGGAGAGTGAGAGGGCGAGGGAGCGGGAGGGGCGGCGTGGGAGCGGGAGGGAGCGGGCGGGGGGCAAGGGGCGTGCGGGGGTGTCGGGGATGGAGGGCGCGGAGGAGCCGCGCGGGGGCGCGCGTGGGCGGGACGCGGCGGGCGGTGGCGCGGAGGGCGATGCGCGGGTGCGGAGCGTGAGTGCTCCGCGGCGGGAGGCGCAGGCACCCCCCCCGAGGGTGTCCCCTGTCAGGGTGGCGGCAAACGGGGGGAGTTGCCCGCACAGCGGCGCGGAGGGCGCGGAGAAGCCGGCTGCGTCCGCGAAGGAGGAGGCCGCGGCGCCGCCGCCGCGGGAGGCGTCTGCGAAGCCGGACGCAGCTGCGGCGGCAGCGGCCGAGCCACCGCCGGCGGGAGCCGCGAAGCGTGTTGAGGACAAGCCGCACGACGAGCGGCAGGAGCGCGCACGCAGTGCGCAGGAGGCAGCGGACGCTCGGCCGCAGCCGCCGCAGCAGCAGCAACAACAACAGCAGCAGCAACTGCCTCCGCAGCACGTGGCGCCCCCTGCGCCGCAGCCGGGGCGCCCGCCACAGAGCGGGCCGATGCCGCTTGTGCCGGGCAACATGCAGCCCGTCCCACCGGCGGGCGCGGGGCGTCCTCCGCACCCTGGCTATCCTATGATGCCACACAACCCTCAACTCATGATGCATCCCCGAATGCATCCGCACCACGGCCCGCCGCAGGTGTCCGGCGCGCCCGCGATGCTCCCGCCGCGCGGCATCCCGCCGCCGCACATCCCGCCGCCGCACGCGGCCACGCACGGCCCCCCACACCCGGGACACGGCCCCCCCCACCTCATGCACATTGTCGCGGCGCCGCACCCGCACATGCGCGCGGGGGTGCCGCCGCCGGTCGTCCACAGCGCCGCCGGCATGTCCGCAGGGCCGGGCATGCCGTACCCGGCCATTCCTGCGTCAGGCGGGTTCGGCGCGGGCATGGGCCCGCCGCCGCCGATGATGGTGCATGGGGGCGTGCACGGCATGCGGCCGAACGCGATGGCGCCGGAGCGCGCGCCGGCGCAGCACGCACCGCGCGGCGCGCCGCCGAGGGGCCCGCCGCGGCCGCCTGCGAAGCTGCTGAACGTGCTCGCCGCGGAGTTCGTACCGTCATTCGCGCCGTCGGCGACGAGCTCTGACGCGACGGAGAAGCAGGGCGGGGCGAGCGCGCCGGGCCAGGGCGCGGGCGCGGCGCCGGACGCAGCTCCTGCGCAGACGGACGCCGCGCCGCAGACGGAGGCTGCGCCGGCGGGCAGCGACCCGCACAAGACCCCGCTCTACGCGCCCGTGACGACGATGCCGCCGGCCGCGCCGCCGCCGCCTCCCCCGCCGCCGCCGCGGCAACCGCAGCAGCAGCAGCAACAACAACCATCGCAAGCGCCCAAGCCTCCGGCGCAGCAACAACTGGCTCCCGACACACCGGACCGCCCTCCGCCGTCGCCGCCGCCGCCCGCGCTGCTCCAGCGCCCGGTGGAGCCGTCTGCCGCGGAGCAGGCGCCCACGTCCGCGGCCGCGGCGCCGCCACCGGCCCCAGCGTCGCGCTCGTGGGCGCAGCTCACCGGGCGAGTGCCGGCCTCCCTGACCCGCGGCCCCGCGCCGCTGCGCCCGCGCGGACTGGTCAACAAGGGAGGGGAGTACAACTGCTTCCTCAACGCCGCGGTGCAAGCCTTGTGCCACATCCCGGTTTTCCGCCACGTGATGCTTGGCTCCAACCTCGAGGCCGTGGAGCGCCGGAAGCCGCGCGCCGAGGACCTCAAGGTCCTGCGCGCGCTCGTCTCGGTCGTGCGCGACATGGCCGCGCCGCCGGCGGCCTCGAACGGCGCCGCTCCCGCCGCGCAGGCCCCGCCGACCGACCCAGTGGCGCTGCGCAGTGCGTTGAGCGAGCTGGGTGCGGGCCACGCGGCGTTCCAGCTGTCGGAGATGCACGACGCGAGCGAGGTCCTCGACGGCATCCTGAACTGCCTGCACCGCGCGGACGCCGGCGTCCTGAAGCACGACCCCACGCTGCCGCACAAGGCCCCCCCCACGGCCATCCCGGCCCGGCATCCGCTCCTGCACGGCGCCCTGCAGCCGTCGTACCAGCAGCTGCCCGGCTGGGCGGCCCCGCAGCGCCGCTCGTTCGTCCAGCAGCTCTTCGGCATCGAGGTGCAGGTCCCGCCCGACACCGCTGGCCCAACGGCGGCAGCGGGGCTGCAGCGGCGGCCGCCGCGCGACGTGCTGCACTTCGTGCGGTTCTTCCACATGGTGCACGTGCGCACGCTGCACAAGGCGCGCCTCGCGATGCCCGACGCGCCGCTCGCGACGCTGCTGCGGGAGGTGGAGTGCAACCCCTTGCTGGAGAGTGCGCCGTTTGCCAAGGGCGGGCGGATCGCGGTGCGCGCGGGGGCGGGGCGGCCGAAGACGACGCTGGTGGAGGTGCCGCTGGTGTTTTCGGTGACGCTAGTGTGGGAGCACACCAAGCCGCTGGCGTGGCTGGTGGAGTCGGTGGTGAGTGCGGTGGCGAGCAGCGTCGAGGGGATGGCGTTGGGCGAGGTGTTCGCGAACGTCGAGGGGAACGGAATGCACGCGCTGCGGAGCGTGCTGTGCTTCTGCGACCACCACTACACGGCGTTCGTGCGGGCGGACACGGAGGGTGGTTGGACGCTGGTTGACGACGAGAATGTCGTCTCGCTCGGGACGTGGGACGCGGCGGCGGCGGAGATGGTCAAGAGGAACCTGGCTCCGCTGGTGCTGTTCTACGCCGCGGCGTGAGGTATCATGGGCATGGATTTGGAAGGTAACACGCAAGTGCCATGCATGCAACGTAAGTAGATGTAGGCGCTGCTTCGACGCGGGGGGTAGCGAGCGCCGGAACGGCAGCGCTCGGTCGCGCCTGGCCGTCGCTGCATTCAAGCGGGTCAGGGCCCGAGAGGCTGTAAGTAGTCCTTGTTGATGTCTCTCTTGCGACGCCGCGCAGCGGCGGCCGCGTCCCTGCGCTCGCGCACCGATCTCGCGAGCTCGCACGGCGCACGATCGCCACTGGCCCCGGGCGGCACAGCAACCCACGTGCGATGTCGGAGGGAGCTACTCCACGTAGCTTGTGGTTTTTTCGCACCAAGTTGGCCGCGCTCCTGCCTAGGATTCGACCGCACACGTGTCAAGCTGCGAGGATCCGCCGCGGCCGGCACGCCGAAACGCTCACCCTCGTCAGCCGGCATGTGCCGGCCGCGTTCCGGGCGTCCCGGGGCCTTCTCGAGCACCGCGCGTGTAGTCGCGGAGCAGCCAGTCCTGTCTCGGCAGGAACGAGTGCCGCGAGAGCGCCGACATCGGCGGTTGCAAGGAGCTTGTCACAAGATGAGATGAGAACGGATTGTGTTTGAAATTAAAAGGGGGAGAATGCGAATCGCCCCGCGCGGGAATGAAGGCGGTCGACCGCAGCTCCCCGGTGGCGGGCCCAAGCACCGCGCGCCTCGAGGCAACGCAAGCCCAGGGGCCCAGTCAGTAGAACGTAATGTTCATAGAACATTAGAGTCAGGCCTGCGAGTCATACCCTCGTTCGGACGCATCAAATTCAAGCAGAAGCAATGCACGGTGATCAAGCAACGAAGCGAAGGGGCGCCGCGACGAGCTAGGGCTCGGATACATCAACGGCGGCCACGTAGTGGGCTGCCAGGACTGTCAGCTGGCATTCCACGCCACCCCTCACTCGTCAGCATTCTCTTCCTCCTCCCCTATTCGCCCGCGCCAAGAGTGATGTTCGGCGCGCGGCTCGCCGGGCACCCCGGTCGACGCCCGCGACAGCCTCTGCGACCCCCCCGCGCGACCCTCCGCTGGCTTCGACGCCGACGTCGCGCCCACGCGCACCGCGCCCTCGAGCGTCTTCTTCATGTTGTCCGCGAACCGCTCGACCGACAGCCCGCCGAGGCTCGGCTGCCCCGGCCGGTGCCGCGACCGCCCTAGGGGTGTCACGGGACCCCTCCAGTCCGACGCGGGGGAGTCCGCGGGCCCGGCGGCCTCGACGTCGAGCCGGCCGCTCATGTGACGGTGCGGCGCGATCGCGCTGCGCGTGGACTGCCGCGCGGACGCCGCGCGCGAGCTCGGCGGCAGTGAGTGTGCGACGCTCTCGCTTTCGACCGACAGAAGGGTGTCCTGCTCGGCCTGTGCGGGCGCGCCGCCGGCGGCGTGCGCCGTCTGGTCGCCGTACCGCGCGAGGGTCTTCTCGAACATGACGTGCACGTCCTCGATCGACAGCTGGGTGTAGTCTGGCGGCGGAAGGAAAAAGTCCTCCGAATACTCCCCCGGCGCGACCGGCGCGAAGCCCGAGAACGCCATCGTCGCGTGCACGGTCAGGATGAGCGGGATCTGCACGCGCAGCGGGAACAGCCCGCCGCGCACGGACCCGCGGATGAAGGCCGACACCCGCTCAAAGGCGGGGTTGCCCGAGCCGAACAGGTCGAGGATCGGCAGCAGCTGCTCGACCTTGAGCGGGAACCCGTCGGCCATCCACCACTTGGACTTGAACGTGCGCACCCTGCGCTTGCGCGGCGCGTCCTTCGTCGCCTTGTCGCGGCTGAGCGGGTCCAACACGTGGTCCTTCACGTCGTCTTCCGGGAGCTGCGCGGGGCGAGGACGCGGGCGCGGACGCAGACGCAGGGTTGGAACGTGCGTGCTGTGCTACTGTGCTCGCGGGTCGTCCCGAGCGCGACTGGCGTGCGAAGGCGCGGCAACAGTGCTGCGCGCGTGGTGGCGTGCCGCGCGGCTCACCTCGAGCTCCGCCAGCTCGTTGTACGTCACGTCCCGCGCCGCGGTGTTCGCCGCCTTCGTGATCTCCTTCCCCACCAGCTGACACGTCATGTCCATCAACGTGCACTCCCAACCATCGACCATGTCGAGCGCCTCGAGGCCGAACAGCGTGCGGCTCGGCCGCAGCGCAACGCCCTCCGCCGCGATCCGCACCCGCGTCGGCCCCTCCCGCATGATCTCGTCCACGTCAGCCTCCACATCCAGGTCCCCCTCGCGCGCCTGCTCGGCGAGCGGCAGCACGCGGCGCTTGAGGTGATCGCACACCAGCACCTTCGGGCGCGTCTCGGACTCCCCCGCGCTGAGCAGGACGGAGAACGGGCCGCGCTTCCACCGCGGGATGATGCCGGACGAACGCTTGTCGATCCCGCGCAGGTTTCCATCGATGCGGATGTAGTGGCCCGACTTGTATATCGTGTACGTGTCGCTCGGAGCGACCTTGCGGAGAATGAGGCCGAAGATCGGCGACCCGAGGTCCCACGAGAGCTGCAGCCGGAAGTCTGGGAGGTTGCGAAGCGCCTCCACGAGCCTGCGGTGCGTGGGGCGCGGCGGGCGGACGCTGTCGACGTCGCCTGACGGGGTCCCTGAGGAAGCGCATGCGCGGGGGGCGCGTTGGCCGGGCTGCGCGGGTCGCCGCGCGTGCGAGCGGGGTGTGCGGTTGTTGTCAGGGGCGCACTTGGGTCGAATTTCGTCGAGCTTCGTGAGCGCGCTGGTGACCCACGCGCGGTACAGCATCTTCGTGATGTCCCTGTCCTCGAGCGCCACGGCCTCGTCCATCGCGGTCCACCCCCGAGCGCACCGCGCCGACACCGGGAACCCCCGCTGGAGAAGCAGACCGAGGCACTGCCGGCGGCGCCCGACCGCCGCCAGGTGGAGCACCGTGAAGCCCTGGGAGTCCACCTGCGTCCATTGCTCCCGCGGCGTCGCGTCCAGCCACGTCGCCAGGCTCAGGAGGTCACCCTCGAGCGCTGCGGCATGCCCGGGAAAACGATCCGTTGCGTCGCCCTCGAAGGCGCCCTGGCCCGCGTCGGACCACCCTCTCGGACTCGTGAACCGGAAGAGCTCCGCTGCGCAGGAAATGGGCCCGCACCGGGCGCGCAGATCTCAGCCAAAGAGCACCACTGGCTGTTCGGCGTCGACGCCTCGCGCGGCGTCAGCAGTGCGCTTCGCGCGGAGGGGCGCGGCGTGCGCGTGCTTGGGGACTGGGGCTCACGTGGGGGCGCGTCGTCCGGGATCGAGACCTCGAGGGCCGGCCGCGCGGGCGTGGTTTCCCACGGGAAGTGCTCGGTGCAGTCGTGCCACTCCTCCTCGCGTTGTCCGTCCCACGCGCCGCTCGTACGCTGCGGCGTTCCCGCGAGCATGTTGTGCGACCCAGGAAGCTTCTTCTCGGGCGGTTCGACCGCCGCCTCGGACGCGCGCGCTCGCGGAATCGGCGCGTCGAGTTGCTGGCAGGCAGCTCGCGCGCCGGCGACTAGAGCGGCGTCACGTCGGAACGCAGCGCATCCTGCGCCGGGGCTAGACGCTGCGCCCCCGCACGACGGGGCGCCCGCGGACAGACGCAGCGGTGGGCGCGGTTTCGCCGAACGATACGCCCAGGGGGACTAGGCGACCGTTCTGGGCCGAAACGCGATCGAACCGAGACGCTGCCCGGCGTGCACTTCGACAAAGAGGTACACGTGCCTACGGACCGGCCGGGAGCGCGATGCGGTCGGTTGCGTCGTCGCGAGGAGCGAACGAGGTGCAGGGCGACGACAGCAGCTCCGGTGCGGCGTTAGCGGCTGGAAGCGCGGCGCTGGTTGTGGAGGGCGGCCTCGGCGACGTGGGCGGGGCGGCCGCGTCCGCCTGCCGAAGTGGGCGCGGGCCGCGTGGGCGGTCCAGCGCAGGAGACATCCTGTCGGGGGAGGAGTCCAGACGCGCTGGACCGACCTGCCGCGGTCGGGCGGGGGATCTTTGGAGCCGGCGGGGAGGCACATGCGGCGAACTTGCCGGGGACGTGCTCGGCCGCGGAGTATCTCGCGTTGTGAGCGCGCCGTCGGTCGGGCGGTGGCGGCGCCAGCAATGGGAGCCCCAGCACTCGCGGTCCTGGACTGCGAGGACGATGTGGACGTGCCTGAGCTACAGTTCGATCTCGGAGCGCCAGTGCAGGGGTTCGACTCGCTGATTTACGACCGCAGCGACGCGGCAGGCGCCGTGTTGGACGTGCAGCCCACCGCGACGGTCCTGGCCGTCGCGGAACCGACCCCTGCGGCGTTGCTTCGCGGCGCAGACGGCGCTCATCTGCAGGACACGCGCGTTGCGAGCGACGAAGAGGGGGGCGGGGCGGAGCGCGTGGCCGGGCAGGGGCAGGAGAGGGCCGCGGCGGCAGACGACTTCATCGAGGTCGCTGCGGTCGACGGCGGCGACGAAGCGGGCTCCGGCGACGACGCGGCGCTGCGGGAAGCGACGCAGCCGAGGTAGGCGCGCCCGGCGTTGCCTCGAGGCATTTTGACTCCGGCGGGCGGTTTGCACGCGTCGCTTTCCGCCGTGCACGCACCTCGTGGGGCCGACGGGGCCGCTGCCGGCGCGCAATAATGTGTTTGGGCCAGGCAGGGGCCGGACGGGTCCTCACCGCGCAACGCGTCGTGCCCGCAGGCAACTCACGAAGGCCTCGGGGAAGATTCGATCTCCGCTCGTGCGGCTGCACTCCGAGATCGTGGAGCTCGCGCGCTTCCTCACGCCGCTCGACGACGAAGTGCGGTGCCGCGAGGAGGCCGTCGAGCGCGTCGCCGCGGCCGTGCAGAGCATCTGGCCGACCTCCCGCTGCGAGGTTTTTGGCTCGTTCGCGGCGGGTCTCTTCCTCCCGACGTCCGACATCGACCTGGTCGTGCTCGAATCCGGGTGCGGGAACGTGCAGAGCGCCCTGCAGGCCCTCGCGAACCTGCTGTCGCGTCAGGGCCTCGCACGAGCCACCCAGGTGAGCGGAGGGCGCTTGGACTGCATCGGCCACGCGTCGCGGCGCGAGCAGCGGGAGGCCGATTCGTCCTGTTTCATTTTTGCGCTCGCAGGTGATCGGGAGGGCGAAGGTGCCGATCGTGAAGTTCACGGAGGTTCGATCCGGGTTCAACTTCGACGTGTCGTTCGACGCCGCGAACGGGCCCGAGGCGGCCTCGATCGTGCGCGGCGTCATGACGCAGCTGCCCATGATGCGGCCGCTCACGCTGACGCTCAAGATCTTCCTGCAGCAGCGCGAGCTGAACGAGGTGCGCAACGAGACGCCTGCCTGCTGCGCTCGCCGGTGTGCCCGCAGCGAGCTCACGACGCGAATTGCGTCGAAAAATAACTGCAAACGCACCGTCACGCTGCTGCGTCGCGCTGCAGGTGTACACGGGCGGCATCGGCTCGTACGCGCTGCTAACGATGGTCGCGTCCTTCCTGCTGACGCACCCCGACACGCGCGACCTCATCAAGCAGGCGCACAGCCGCGCGCCGAAGAAGGAGTCCAAGAAGCGCTCCAGGTCGCGGGACCTCGGCCGCGCCGCCCCGGAGGACGCGCGCAGCGCTGCTCCACAGGCCCCGCAGAGCCAGGCGTGGGGGCTCTGCCTCGGCTCCGTCCTGTGCGACTTCTTCCTCTTCTACGGGCGCCTGCTGAACGTGCAGGAGGTCGGCGTGTCCGCGCGCAAGGGCGGCGCTTTCTTCTCCAAGCGGGCGCGCGGGTTCTTCTCCCACGACCGCCCGTACCTCATCGCGGTGGAGGACCCGAACGACAAGGCGAACGACCTCGGGCGGAACAGCTTCAACTTCGGCCGCGTCCGCGCCGCCTTCGAGTGGGCCTACCAGTGCCTGACGTCGCCAGCGAAACCCACGGAGAGCCTCCTTGGGCGCATCGTCCGGCTGGACCCGGTCAAGGACGAAGCGCTCATCATGCGCAAGATCCACACCGACGCGCTGCGGGGCGTCCCGCCGCCGCGCCCCTCGCGCCCCAAGCGCGAACCCACGGCGGTGGAGGCGATGGATTTCGACGCAGTGTTCCGGGGTGTGCACGAGCGGTTCGGCGCGGGGGGCGGCGGCGAGGAGCGGGGCGGCGCGGGCGGGGATTCGCCGCCGAGGAAGCGCCGGAGAGAGGAGAGGGCGGCGTTCGAGGGCCCGCAGGGAGAGATGACGGTGGGTGTGGGTGCGCGGGGCAAGGAGAAGAAGGGCCGGCACGCGTCCAAGGGCAAGAAGACGTCGCGGGACGGGAAGGAGAAGCGCAGCAAGCGGAAGTGAGGCCGCGGAGCGCTCAGCTGCGCCTGTTACATCTCCAGCTCGATAACGCGCTTTCTTTGTACTTCGCTGACCTACGAGCACCCTCACCGCGAGGATGCCGAGCGACCGAAATGGTACGGCAGGCGAAATGGTTCTGCATCGCCGCGGGCCACGTAGGGACGCGACATCACAAGTCTCGCACGCGCGTGCGTGCACCGCTGCGTGCTGCGTCACGCCGCGGTCCAGGGGTTGTCCTGCGGGTTCTGCAGCCGCCCCATTTGATAGTCCAGGAACGCCTGCTCGATCTCGGCCTCCGTGTTCATCACGAACGGGCCGTACTGCACGATCTTCTCCCCGATCGGCTTCCCGGCGAACAGCAGAAAGCGCATGCCCTCCGCACCCGCGCTCGCCTCCACAAGGTCGCCCTCCCGCGCAAACACCACAGCGTGCTCCTTCGCGACCTTCTGGCCGCTCAGCTTGCCCGCGCCGTCGCACACGTACGCGAACGCGTTGTACTCCGACGGCACGTGCTGCTGGAAGGTCGCGCCCTCCTGCAGCTGCACGTCGAGCATCATGCCGGGGTTGCGCAGCGTGATGACCCCCTTGGTGCCCAGGGCCTCTCCGGCGAGGACGCGCACGGTGACGCCGTCGGCCGTCGCGACGGGGATCTTGTCGGCTTGGATGTCCTGGTACTGCGGCTTGCACATCTGCGCCCGCAGAACAACCCAAAAGCTTACTTGTGGAACTGCTGTTGTCGACACACACTGTCAGGGGGTAGACACCCCTGGCCCCCACAGCACCTCTAGGACAGGTGCGCAAGCAGAGGACAGGGACTTCTTCTGACTGTATTCACTAACACAGGCTACTGGCTCTCGCAGTGAGCCTGCTCCGACAACAGTCAACGCGGATCGGAGGGGCGCGAGGAGGAAGTTACCGACCAGAGCACCCTGGGATCCCCCCATCCTCTGGCTCTCAGGATCAGGGTGCAACTGACTCTGGACGGAAACTTCCTCCTCGCGCCCCTCCGGTGCGCGTCCGCAGAGTGGTTTGATGAGCGGGTAGCGTCGGAGGACGCGTTCTCGCGAGAGCGGGGCATCCAAACCGGCACGTTGCATGGCACACCGCGTGCACGCACACAACGCCGGAGCGCACCTTGTCCTTCGCGGGGAGGTTCTGCCACAGCTGGAACCCCCAGAGCGGCTCGCCGGGCTCCATCTCGGGCATTTCGCTGTGGATGATCCCGCGCCCAGCGGTCATCAGCTGCGGCCGGAGGGGGGGGTATTGGCAAGGTTGGCGCGACGGTCGCGGTCGTGGCCGTGCGTGGAGCGCGACCGCGACGGGGGGTGCGCGCTGCGAGGCGCTGGCGTGGTGGTGTGTTATCATTATAATTCATCGCAGTCAGTCAGACCTGGACGCCGCCGCTCTTGAGGAGGCCCTCGTTGCCGCACGAGTCCTTGTGGCGCATGGAGCCCGTGAACATGATCGTGCAGGTCTCGAAGCCGCGGTGAGGGTGGTCCGGGAAGCCCGCCGCGGCCTGCAGGGCGATGGGCGTAGATAGCTAGCTAGCGTCATTGGCGCACACACACACGCATGTCTCAAGTAAGGTCCTTGATAATGCAGTGGGAGGATGGCCGGCGTTCGAGGTCCGTGGAACGATGGTCTTGCAGGTGCGGTCCGCGTGGCGCGGTTCTGTGCGCGAATGGCGCGCAGTATGTGCGACGAGCGGCGCGTTTGGACCTGCGCAGGTGCTTCTGACCCCGGCCAGGCACCACAGGCCGTGACATGTCACTCTCCGACATCGCGCACAACACAACTACCAGCGAGGACGCGCAGGCATCGCGAACGGCCCGCAAATAGACCTCCCGTGCTCGTCGCGCGCCCTCACTAAGGCCCTCAAGTAAGGCAACACGCGCCCGTCGCGGGGCGCCCGGTGCACGGAACAGTGCGGGCGCGACGCACCTCCTCGGCAGGGCACCTGAGCTCGTCCAGCATGAGGAACGGGTCCAGGTTGCGCAGCGCGGGCGTCCCCACGGTGCGCGTCACCCGCACGCCCGCGCCCTCCATGGTCTTGTGGCCCTTCACGATCTTCGCGACGGCGCGGTGCATACTGAACGTCTTCTCCGACTCGATTCCCGGCGCGGGAGTCGCGAATGCGGGGCCGCGCGCGGCCTGCGGCCCCTCGAGACGCGATGTGCAGCCGACGCGGGGCCGGAACTTATACTGACCGTCAGGTGCGACGGGAGGCCGACGCGTCGTCATGGGGCGCGCGCCGCCCGCCGCGCGGGCAGACGGAGCGTTGGGGCGCCGCGAGGCCGTGTGGCGGAGCACTCCAGGCCCCGTCGTATTACGTGTGGTGTTTCTCCAGATTGTCTGAAGGCCCTGTCTGCCCTGGTGCCCTCGGGAGGCGGCGATGGCGGCTGTGTAGACGTGGTAAGCGGATCAGAGCGCAGAGATGGCGCCGGATTCCGCGGCGACGTCGCGTGGCGTCGGCGGGGGCGCTGGAGGTGAGCGCGAGGGTGCGCCCGTGGCGCGGGGCGACGAGCCGGGGGGCTCAGAGCGCGGGGGGCGTTTGCGGGGCGAGAGCTTGGTGGACACGAACGACGACGACCAGGCAGACGAGGACTTTAGCGAGATGGACATGTCGTCTGGATCGGAGGAAGAGGACAGCGATGAAAGCAAAAGGTGCGCGCGGGCCGGCGGGGGCTCCTTGGCGTCGCACCGGCGCCAACTGGGCGCTTTGGTGGCTCTGCGGGTCGAACTCGCGCCGAAACGATCACATAGTTGGCGTTTGACCGTCGGAGCCGCGAGGAAACGGCGTTCGCGCCACTTGGCCTCTCTGGCGTTGGGTCGCGCGCGCGGCGCGCAGAACGCGCCTCGAAACGCAGCCCGTCACGCGTAATCAGCGGCATATCGAGCGCGCCGTCGTGCCGGCCCGTCGTTCGCCCGCGACCTATCGTCCCGGCCCGCTTCTGCGGCTCCCATCGCACGTCGCAAAGCTCCGCAGCGCGCCGACGCCCGCAACCGCCCGTGCACGCACGCCGCCCTGGCTCCCGAACGCCGCACGCGACAACGACGCGACCTCCCCGTCACGCCGCGCGCCGCAGCACGGACCAGGGCCGCAACCCCAGCGCGACCGATGGCGGCGAGACCTCGGATGACGACGCGGACTACGTGCCCGGACAGCGCTCCCCAGGTGCGACGCGGCGCCGTCCACGAACGGCGCTCCCGTCCAAGCCACCGCGTCTGCGCCCGCGCGGACGGCCGCTGGCGGTAGGAGTAGTCGTGCGTGCAATTGACTTGACACGCTGTCTCGGTCCGCTCGCGGCCGCAGGCGGGCCGCACGCGACGGGCGAGGGCGCGGACGGCGACGACGACAGCGCGAGCGACGACGACGAGGCCGCGGACACCCCCGCCGGGCCGCCCCGCCGCCGCCGGCACAACCACGGCATGCACGAGCCCGAGTTCGAGGAAATGGCTCTCTCGGACGCAGACTCCGACTCCTTTGTGTCCGGGGACGCCGACGCGCTCGCGAGCGGCGCGGACCGCCTCTCCGCCATGCACGGCGGCGCCACGCCGGACCTGGGCGCCCCGGGCGGCGCGTGCGACGATAGCGAGGTCGCGCGGCCGTACCTGACGCGCGGGCGGGCGAGGGACGCGGGCGCGGCGGTCGCCGAGCCCGACGCGGAGCTGGAGCGCATGGAGAGGCAGCTGCCGCTGATTGCCTGCGACGCCGACGCGATGGCTGCTGAGAGGGAGGAGTGGGGCAGGTTTCTGTCTGGACTGGCCGACATTGGGGGGGGAGTCGGGGGCGTTGACGGCGGTGGCGACATGGTGCGTGCGGCGCGCGCGGTCGAGGGTGCGCGCTCGCTGTGCGCGGGGGTGTCGCGCGCGACGTGTCTGACGGCCGGGGGGTGTCTTGTTTTGGTCCTGAGCGCAGGTGGAGCCGCCGGGGATGCCCGGGCAGGACGATGCGGACGATGTCGACTTCGACGTGCGCGTGGAGGAGTATTTGGAGGGGTCGTCTGACGAGGACGACGACAACGAGCGCATGATGCAGCGCTTCCAACGGCACTGGGGCGCGTGGCGGCGCGAGACCGCCGCGGACGACCAGGCCGCGCACGCCGTGCTGCACGACGAGGACGACGCCGTCCTCCAGCCCCCGCTCAACCCCTACTTCGAGCGCCGCGAGGGCGAGGAGGGACTCTCAGACACCCCCGGGGAACTCTTCAGCCCGACGCAGCTCCGGCGGCTCTACCGGCAAGCCGCCAACCACTGCCAGCTGCTCGTGCAGGGCGCGAGCACCGTCGCGCGCGACCCGCGGCTCACGGACATCGCGCAGCGGTACGACTGCATGCTTTCCGAGTTATACCAAGAGTGGAACGGCGCCCTGCTGCGCAGTCAGCTCGAGGGCTGGCCGGCGCTGACCTCGCTGCTCGGGCTGCACCCGGACGTCGGCGTGCACGTGCCGCCCTTCTACGGCGAGTTCGACGAGACGGCGGACGTCCAGCTCGGCGTCGTCGCGGTGCATCCGTTGGGTGCCGTGGACGCGCTGGCCGGGGACGCGGTGCAGCTGCAGCTGGCGCAGGCCGGCGTGGCGAACGTGTCGGACGAGATCCAGACGCGCGCGCGGAAGCTGTCGCAGCGGCGGGGCGTCGCGGGGCCGCCCGGGGTGACGCCGTCGGAGGGCGGTCCGCGGCGCATCGCGGTGGACTTCCAGGTGCAGTGCGCGCTGGACAACGTGTGGCTGCGGCGGCTGTCGGACTTCTGGCAGATGATCCGCGACGCGCCGAACGCGGAGCCCGAGGCGGACGGCGCGGGGGGGGACTCTGCGCCGGCGGTATCGCCGCAGGTGTGGGACGCGCTGCGGAAGACCTACCACGGGTGCTTCGACCGGGCGCTGATGGTGGACAAGCAGAAGCGGCTGAAGCAGAAGTTCCTCGCGAGCTCCGAGGACGCGCTCATCGCGCGGGTGAGCCCCGGCGCGCAGACACACTCCCCGCGCTGTGTGCTGCGATGGGGCTGTACGCGCTCGGCGCGGTCGAGAACCGACGGCGACGCGCCGCCCCCTCCGTCCTCTGCGCGCAGGGTCTGTTGCGGTACGGGTTCCAGTGGGAGTGGATCCAGCAGTGTCTGTTGCCCCCGCACACGCCGGAAGAGATTCAGACGCGGGCGCGGAACAAGGGATCGAGCAAGTACAAGGGCAGCGAGATATACGAGGCCACGCTGGTCGTCAAGGAGCGTCCGCTGACGCCCGAAGAGCTGCACTTCCTCCAGGCTTGCATGCCGAATTTGAAAGGGCAGAACAGATGGAACAACGTCGTTCGCGACGTCGTGTACTGGAGGTGCTCGCGGACGCTGGCCGAGCTCTACCGCAACGCCATCGGGGAGGCCGCGGACCCCATGCGCCGCAACAAGCGGGCGCGGGTCGACCACGAACGGGCGGTGGCCAGCGAGCAGGCGCGCGAGGGGCACGCCACGCCGCCACGGGGGCGCCGGAGGCGCCGGGAGCCGGCGGCGGGCGCGCAGTCGCCGGGCGGGGCGCGGGCGCGGCGCGCCGCGGCCGATCGTCGCCTGCGGCCCGGCGGCGCGTGCGCGGCGAGGACAGCGGCGGCGGCGGCGGTGCCTCGCAAGGCGGCCCGCGGCAAGTCACGGTGTGGATCGAGGCGGGGAGCGAGTGGATCCGCGCGACGATGGGGGAGGAGGAGGCCGCGAAGTACTACAAAGAGCACCCGCGTGCCTACGCGAAGAAAATGGAAGTTGAGGGGGGGACTGTTGCACCCGTCGGGGGGGGGTCCGCGCTGCCGGCCGGGATGCCCCCCGCGGGGATGGTGGACGCTTCGGGCTTCGGGCAGGCGTTCGCGATGGCGCAGATGGCGCCGCAGGGGGGGCTCGCGGACCCAGCAGCGTACTGGCCGGCGTACGGCATGGGGGGGGGTGTCGTTCATGGTATGACTGGCGGCGCGGCAGGGATGATGCCCGGGGAGATGGACGCGTACGGGAACGCGATGGCGGGCGTCGACGGGGGTCTGGCGGCGCAGGGGGGCGTGTGCGTGCCGGGGGGGGTGCATCGCGAGGTCATGGAGATGGGGGATGTGTCGGGCGATGAGGGGGGGTCTGGGCCGGAGCACGCGGGCGGGCGCGGGGCGCGGGGGCTGACTGCGACGAGGCAGCGCGGGAAGGGGGTGCGGGCGGCGATGGACATGCCGGACGACGACAGCGGCAGCGAGGACGAGTCCGGGGGGAGTGAGGGGTTCGAGGTGGCGCGCGAGAGGGCCGAGGGCGAGGTGCGCGGCGGCAAGCGCGCTGCGGCGAAGAAGGCGAGGCGTGTGGGGGCCGAGAATGCAAGCTGACAGTCTTCGTGCGCACTGTGAAAGGATGTTGCAGGCTCGATCTTCTCCTAGACCTCGAGTGAGACGTCGGGAGAGGCGCAGCGGGTGCCTGACGCTGACAGCCGAACGCGTGCGTGGGCGCAAAGCACCGCACGCGCGCGAGCGAGGCGTGTTCGTGTGCATGCAATTCACACGGCCGCACCGCCGCACCCAGCGTCCCTCTCCCGCCCCGCCCGCGCTCGCACGCGCGCCACCTACTCGTCCATGCAACACAACGTCGACTCGCGCGATTAAGTCCGCAGCGGAGTTTGCAAGCCAACGGTAATTCCAAACCGTGCAACACAACACCGAACCCGCGCCCAGGCCGTTCCAGCTCGCCGAAACACCGCCAGGCCCGGCCCGAGGTCGCCCGCCGCCACGCACGCGCCCTGCTCACGTGGACGCGGCCCAGTACCTGACGTCACGTGTCTTGTTCATACCCTTGACGTGGTCCATGAACTTGGTGTCCACGTGGAGCTCGTCCGCGAAGTCGAGCTCGTCGCCGCCGTCCCCGCCGAAGTCGAACGGCTCCGGGTCGCCCGCGCCGTACCGGATGATCTGGGGCAGGCGCGTCGTGAGGTCCACGACGGTCGACTGCACCGACTGTGCGTTGTCGTGGCTGACGATGAAGTCGATGTCGTGCGACTGCGGACGCGAGCACGGCAACGAAGAATCGGTTCAGATCCCGAGGAGGCGGCGCGGTGGTCTCTTGCGCGAAATACGTCGAGAATTCATATCATAAGATCCTCAGCATCAGCAGCAATCGAGTGATCCAAGGCGGCATGCTCGAAGCGTCATGGCGTGGGGCGGGGAGGCGCTCACGTCCTCGCAGAAGGCGGCGTAGTCGACCTCGTCCTCGTTGTCCACCGGTACGGACGAGCACAGCAGCACGCCGCCAAACGACTCCAGGACCCCCGTGACGATGGGGTCGTCCGGGATGCGGACGCCGACGGTCTTGCGGTTCGCGCGCTTCCGCGACGCGCTGTCCATCACCTGCGGGGGCGAGCGGCCGCGGCGCGCCGCCGTCAGCGACACAGACCGAACGAAGAGCAACCAGACCTGCTTTCTTGATTCAAAGCACGTCGGCGAGGAGTATGTCTGCGCGTGATGGCCCGCGAGGTGCGCCGGCGAGCCAGGAGGTGGGTTTCCGTTCGCACCTGCCGCGGCATCTCCTTGCTCGCCTGCAAAATGAAAGTATAGGGTCCAGGGAGGGCGGCACGGGCGGCTTTGAAGGCGTTGAACTCGGGACTCTGCGGGAACCCGACGGTGTACTGCGCGATGTCCTTCATGTCGCGACAGAGGATCGACAGGGGCTTCTTCGGGTCCGCCTCCTTCGCCCTGCAGCGCGCGCAGCCCGGTCAGAGACGTTGGCAGCCGCGCGTGGTCCCGTGGAGCGACGTGCGGGGCTCCCAGGGTCCGTGCTCTCGCGCACAGCATGGCATAGTCCAGAGAGGGCCCCTGCTGGGAGGTCCGACCCATGGCGTGGCCGTCCAGGCGCGCGTGCGTCCGATAGAGGTGGGTGCTGTTGGGCCGCGCTGCGGCGCCGTGGGGCGCGGCGCGGGGCGGAATGGCGTCGCGCCGGGCTGCGGCGCACCTGTAGAGCCTGTCGACGGCCTCGCGGTTGTGGAGGTCGCACACAAAGGCCGGGTTGGTGTCGGTCTGGATGATGCCCACTGCTCCCTGCTGGAGCATCTGTCCAATCTGCGCGAGCTTCCACGCGGTGCCCTCATGGACGCGCAGGTACAGCGGCTCCTCCCTCCTGACCTTCATCTTCTCCTCGCGGTACTTCGTGCGCCGCGCCGCGGGGTGAGCGCGCGTCGCGCTGCGGGCAAGCACACAGGTTGGGGCGAGCTCAGATCGGTCCGAAAGCTTCGATTCCTGGATCCGACGGCGCGGCCTGCTCGAGTGCTGTACGCGCGTTCTGTCCCGGGGAAGCCCGGGCATGAGTCAGGTCTGGGGGCGGCAGGGCGGAGGAGGGTCAATCCAACCGCCCGGAGTGCGGGCCCGCGGCGCGGTGGGGCGTACCAGCGGCGCGAGGGAGGCTTGGGGCGGCTGCTTCGCGCGAGGTTGTATGTCAGGGGCCGGCACTGGGCGACGGGGCCCCGGAGCGTCTGCACCGGCATCGTTGCGGGCGCCCCTAGGCTTCAGTTGAGGTCTAGGTCGATTGTGGAAATCAGAGCTCGATCGAAGGAGGCTGTGAGGGCACGGAAACGACGAGCCGGCGAGCGTTGCGACAGTTGCTCGGGCGCGCGAGCCGGTCGAGCGAAGGGTCGCGGGCGAGGCAGGGAGTTGGCCCCACTGACTCAGTCCGAGGCTGGAGTTGGACGCGAGGCCCCTGGCATGGCAACGAAGCGACGACCCGAGGCGGGCGATCCTCACGCCGCCGCCAGTACGCCCTCGCGATCGCCACGGCAGGCTCGGCGCACAATCGTGATGTTTCCAGACAACAGGTTTCAGGTTACAATCAATGCCGATCGACGGAGACAAACAGGTCGTATGCTGACAGGCGAGCCCGCGCTTCGTGTTGCTCGCTCAGCTGCCGGCGCGGGGCGTCCCCGCGAACGCAAGCAGGGCGAGGAGGCACACCAGGAGCACCGTCGACGCTGCGGGGGCCGCGCCGTCGCCGGGGCGGCGCGCCTCGCCCTCGCGCTGCACGCCCTGCTGCTTCTCGAACAGCCCGAGCGCGACGGACCACGCGAAGAAGATCCCCAACACGTCCGGCATCGACGACATCCCCGGAACACCCTCCGCAAGAGCGCCAAGCCGCAGGCCCTGCTTGTTGCGCGGCGGCGGGTACGCGCCGCTGACGTACTGCGTCTGCAGCGACTTGAACGCCCACGAGGCCGCCTCGAGCGCCGCCGCCGCCAAGACCACCGCGCCTCCGATCTGCATCGCCGTCGCGTCGCCGTTGGGCGCACCGTCCGCGAACGGCACCTTCTCGAGCGCAACGATGGCCCCGGCAGCCGCGGCGAGCGCCGTGGCCGCGCCGTGCGCGACGGCCTGCCCGCGCACCAGCCGCTGGTGCGCCCCGCGGCACGATTTGCAGTGTTTCGTGTGCGAGTGGAAACGGTCCATCAAGTCCTTGCGAGACAGCTCCGGGCCGAGGCGGTCGATGTACGAGGCGTCCGGGCGCTGGAAGGGCCCGCCGTTGCCGACCGTGCTGAGCCACTCGCGGTACGCCAGGGTGTAGGCGTCCGCCGTGGAGGGCATGTAGTACAGGCGCGCGATGCTCGGCTCCGTCACCGAACTGCTGAAGAGCCGCCGCTCGCCGATGTGCAGGAAGACCTGCGGCCGCGGCGGACGGGGGCCGTGGCGTCGCGGACAGGCGCGGCTTGAAACTTGCAGTTGAAATACAAAAGGGTTTGTTAGGTTGATCTGTGCCCACCTGGTCGTCCTCGAGCACGCCGTTCGCGCCGGGGTGCAGCCAGGCGTCCGGCACGGCGCGGAAGATCCACCGCAGCGGCGCGAAGTCGAACCAGAAGGGGAAGCGCACGACCACGCGGCTGCGGCCCGGCGCCATGGGCGTGGCGTACACGACGGTCTTCGCGGCGAACCCGCGCGCCCGGCAGTCGAGCGCCTGCACGGTCAGGCCTGGCGCGTAGAACGCCGTGCTCTGCGGGCCGTACGCGCCCTGCATCGGCCCGCTGTCCCACGACCCTTTGAAACCCCATCGGCCCTTCTCCACGACCTGCAGGGGCGAGGCACCGGGTCCGGCGTTGTGCGTTGGTGAGAGGACGTTTTTTGGGTTTGAAACGGGGCGTTCGCTGTGTTTTTGGGAGCGGGGGAGCGCACCCGCAGGTCCACGACGCATGCATCCTTCCTGTCCCCGACGGTGCCGTGATGGGTCCACGGAACGTGGCTGCGGGCGACGGGGAGCCGTGAATTGTAAGGTGCGTCACGTCCGCGTGGATTCGTTCGCCGTTGCGCGGACGGTGCACGCCTTCGGTGTGTGAGATTCACCATGCAGGCACACGCGCACGGCGACGAGGCGCGCTCACCTGACGTCCATCACGTTCTCCATCAGCGTGCTGTAGTCGTACGGCAGGTCCCGGACCAGCGTGGTCATCACCCAGCCCTCCTCGTCCAGCTCCGGCAGCACAGGCACGTCCGACGTGTCGCACGGCACGCCGGGGACGGCGGGCGCCAGCTTGACCCACAGGAGCCCCTGCGCGACAGTGCTCTGGAAGACCTGCACGTGGGAGCGCCGGCACGCGCAGCCCACGCTCGCGACGGCGTCCGCGGCCTGCGGGATCGCGGTGCATGCGCCGTCGGGCGAGAAAGTCCACCCGTGGTACCCGCACTCGAGGAGGCCGTCTTCGTTGATGCGGCCCTCGCTGAGAGGGACGAGTCTGTGCGGGCAGAGGTCCCGCATCACGCGCCACGTGCCCTGCAGACGCCGCGACTCGCAGCGCGACGTGCGAAAGTCAGGCTGCGCGGACAGCGGCGGCGACGCACGACGTGCGTGCGCGTGCGGCGGCTGGCGCGTATCGGCAGGTGCGTTGAGGGGCTCGCAGTGTCGCTGGCGCGTGTGTGTTGAATGGGGGGGTGTTCTTGCCTGTTGGTCTTTCCAGATAACGATCTCCTCCGAAAGGAGCGTGAACGGCGTTGGGACGGCCTCATCCAGGTCGTTCTCCTGGCACACCGGCCACCAGTGCGCCTTCCAGTCGAAGTCCTGCCCATCCTGCGCCCGCAGACGTGCCTAGGGGCGCGTTATCAATGGTTCAAACCACCACCTGGCTCCGCCCGTATTGCGCCGAAACTCCGCTCTATGCACAATGCAACGCCTAAACCGCGTCGGAACATCTCATATCACTCCGAATCGGGGTGTAAAACGTCGATTTACGCGTCGGATTTCGCAGAAACGCGCCCGATGGTGTGATTGGGCAGGACAACTCACCTGGGCCTGGCCCTCGATCTTTCCGCACGCGAAGACGGCCTCGCGCACGCCGCCGACGTCGCCGTCGTCGATGGCGTCCTCGACCTCGAAGCGCGGCTGCGGCTCGCTTCCGTTGCCTGCCGGGCACGCCGTCGGTCGGCGACGCGGCCGCGCGGGCCGCACCGTCGTGGGCCCGCCCCGCCTCGGCGGGACCAGCGCCAAGGAGGCCTTGAAATTCGCGCCCTCGGCGCCGGCGGGCTCGGCGCAGCGGGCGTCCCCCGGCGCGCAAGGCCGCCCGGGACAAAAGCCCTTGGCGGCGGTTATGTTGGCTGCCCTCATGCCGTCGGGAGCGCGTCGATCACGAAGCGGACGGCAAGGACGACGGCCGAACAGAGCAGGGCAAACAGGGACTTGGTCTGGCGGGTGTCGAACCGCCGGCTAGTTGTTAGCTCGGGCCTATGTTGCGTAGGCCCAGAGTCGACCTCAGTTGGCATCCTCCCGCATCGGGGCGCCGGGGTAGGCGCGGTTTCGGCCGCTGTCTGGACAGTTGACGGGGCGAGGGCTCCTGAGTGACGCGCACGGGCCGCCTCGAACGGCCTTGGCGACCGCACTGCGGCTTGGTGTGCGCTGACAGGGCGGGGGGATGTCATCGGTTCTACTGAACGACGACCGGCGTCGGACCTCAGCTATGCAGCGCGGACATGTCCGTACAGGCTCAGAGAGCGCTGCGTGTGCGTTGAGGAGGCGAAACGGCTCGCACAGGTGCGCGTCTGAGGCTTCGACGCACCATCGGAGAGCACGAGGCACCCTTCGATGGGCGGCGCCGGGCCCCGGTGCCGACGCCCACTTCGGCGGGGTCGACTGGCAGGCGCTCGCGGCGCGGAGGCCATCGCCCCGGCCGATCGATCGCGTGAAGCGCCAGCGCGCGCACAGGCATGCATGAGCAACTCAGCGGTCCAGCCCGGCACCGGAGCGCGCCGTGCGGCGCAGCCAGCGCGCTGCAACGCCCAGACGCGCGCGGTCCGGGGCAGCGGCACGCGCGTCGCAAGGCCCGGGTGCGTTCAATTACACCCACCTTGTACACCACCGCGCCCACGCGCCTACTCGAGCTCGTAGAGTTTCCGGATGCCGGTCGCGGCGTCGGTCTGCTTCACGAGCGACTCGCCCACGAGCGCGGCGCCGCACCCGGCGTCGTGGATGAACTTGAGGTGGTCGGGCGTAAAGATCCCCGACTCCCCCACCACCATCACGCCCTGCTCCTGCGCCCGCCGCCCGCTCTCGCTCTCCATGATCCGCGCCGTGTTCTCCAGGTCCACCTGCGCGCCACCACCACGTCGCACCACACGAATCTTCGCACCGTCACTCGCGCAATCTCAAACATCAGCTCAGCGCTCCCGCGCCGCGCAGGCACGCCCCGCGCCGCCCGCGCGCGCACCTCGAACGTCCCCAGGTCCCTGTTGTTGATGCCGAGGATGCACCCCTCGAGACTCGGGAGCGCCATCATGCGATCCATCTCCTGCACCGTGTGCACCTCGAGCAGGCACTGCAGCTTGAGCGTGCGCGCGACCTTGATCAGGTACTCCAGGTCCTTGTTCGGGAGCACCGCGGCGATGAGGAGCACGGCGTCCGCGCCGTGCGCGCGCGCCATCATGAGCTGGTAGGCGTCGACGATGAACTCCTTGCACAGCAGCGGGCACGTCACGCCGGCCTCGCGGATCATCTTGAGGTTCTCGAAGCCGCCCTGGAAGTACTTGACGTCGGTGAGCACGGAGAGGCATGCCGCGCCGCCAGCCTCGTAGGCCTGGGCGATGCGCACGGGGTCGAAGTCCGGCTGGATGACGCCCTTGGAGGGGGACGCCTTCTTGACCTCGGCGATGAGGCCCGGCTTGCCGAGGCGCGCCTGCATGTCCCGGAGCGCGCCGGAGAAGTCGCGCGAGGGCTTGGCCGTCTCGTTGGCCTTGATCATGGCCTGGAGGAGCGGCGGGGGCAGGCGCTCGCGGTAGTCGCGGATCTCCTTGTCCTTGTACCACACGATTTCCTCCAGGATGTTGCGCGGCTCGTTGTCCTTGTCCAGCGGAACCTGCGCAGAGGGAGCGGGGCGCGGGGGTGGGCGCGGGCGGGCGGCGAGGGGGGTGGGTGATGAGGGGGCGAGCTGGCGGGGGCGAGGACGCGGTGTTTGGCGCCGCATCGAGGGCGTGGTGGAGAGGTCGAGGAGCAGGAGGGAGGGCCTGGATCGTGCCTTGAAGTCCACGGGGCCGCACGGCTGCGTGCCCACGCCCTGCGGGGGCCTACGACGGATCATGACGCCCTGCGAGCGATCGAGGAGGGCCGCGCGGCGAGCGTCAGGCGCGCAGAGTAGGCAAGCAGACAACCTGCGTGCGTACGGGCGGAGACGGCGGCGAACCCGCGCGGTCCTGGTCGCATAATGCGACCAGAAACGTCAGGCGCAGTTCACGGGACGCGACCTCCGCGGAAAACGCCCTCGCGCGCCGCAGCGAGGAGCATTCATCCAGTGCAGCAAAAACCCGGTGCCGCGGCGCGGCTGGTGGACGGACTGGCGCCTCTATGGCCCCAAAGCAGACCACAAGTAGCAAAGAGAGCGGGAAGGTGGTGCTGGCGATCTGCGGGGGGCCGCCGGAGCGCGGCGGCCGTGCCCTGCAGCGCGGCGGTGCTCTGCAGTGCCGTTGTCGCAGGCTGCAGGGCGACGCGCGGGGCTCTCACCTCGGCAGGGGCGTCCGCAGCAGCGGCACGGGTCGACACGGACGCCGCGCGGGGCCGCGTGTGCGTCTGGGGCGCCGCGGTCCGCAGCTGGGCTGTGCCGGCCCGGGCGCAAGCGGCGTGCATGGCGCAGGCTGTTCGTTCCGCTGCGCAAACGAGTGCCGCGAATTAATGTTGCGACAACGACACGACTGTCGCGGCTCCCGGCCCCGGACAGCAATGTCGCTGCGCCCTAGACGCGCCGAGGACGCCCCAGTCCCCTTTACGCCGTGCGCCGCTACGGCGCGACCGACTCACGAGCGCGCCCCGCCGCGCGGCGCCGGCAAATTGCAACAATTATTGTCCGCCTGTCCCCGCGGTCGATTGCTCCAGCAGCGACACGAGTGCGCCGCGGGCAGCACCTAGGTCTGGAGCTCCAACGCGTCCTCCGCGTCCCGTCCCGCGCGGGCTCGTGATTTTGAGCCGCCCTTTGGCTCGCACACGATCTCTCCTCGCCCCGTACGCACCCCTCGCGGCCTGAAGGGACGAGCAGCACGCCCGCGGGCCTCTCGCCCAGCTCTGGGCCAGCCTACCATTGCTTCGCCCCCGCGGCACGTAGCCTGCGCTCCGCAAGGTCGCGCACGCGGCGAGCGAGGCCGCCATGACTAGGGACTCGCTCAGGAAGCGCGCGGGGTCCTCCCTGGACGCCCAGCGCGTCGGGAGCGATGCCTCTCCACCAAAGCCCAAGCGAGTGCTGCCACTCACGAGCATCTCACAGCTGGTGCGCTCCATCCCACGCCATGCCGCTCCGCGAGGAGACCGTCGCTGTCCCTGCACGCCGTATGCGGCCGCCTGCTGCGCCGCGCCACGGCTGTGCGCGCTGTGCGAGCCCGAGTTGGCTTCATGCAAGTGGCCTTTCGGCTTTGTGGCGGATTGCGTGGCGGTCTTGCGCGGACGTGTGCCTCAGCGCGCGCGGGATCGTAGGGACGAACGTGACGGACGCCGGCCGCGCGTTTCGAGGGCACGTCCGTCCTCGTGCGCGCACTGTCGTCGCTCTGGAGCTGGCACACTTGCAGGCACCCCGCGTGCACTGTCCGCGGCTTGGTCCGCGTCCACGCCGCTCACGAGGGTGTCTGTTGTCCGCTCTGACGTGCAGCTGATCCGGAGGACCCACAAATACCAGTTTGAGGAGCTCTGGCCCGCCCTGAGCCACTTTGGCTCCGTCGTGTTGATTCTGCTGCTCGCGTACGGCGTGCTGGCGTTCGTTGCGGGCGAGATCATGATCCCGCTCGGCGGCCCGATGTTCGCGGTCTGCATTCTGTGGGCGCTCGCGCACGCGTTCGCCTTCGCCTGCACGCACGTCGGCCTTCCACCGCTGCTCGGAATGCTCCTCGCCGGAATGGTGCTCAGGAACATCCCCGGAGACCCCGTGCAAGGCCTGGACGACGACTGGTCCACGAAGATCCGCGAAGCCGGTGCGCCGCCCGCGCCCCCGCCCGCGCCCCCTGCGCAGCGCGGCGGTCACCCGCCCTGCGCACACCAGCCGCGCGCGTCCCCATGCGCCCGCGCAACCCCCCGCCCGCAGGCCTGTCGATCATCCTGCTTCGCTCCGGCCTGGAACTGGACTACCGCGCGATCAAGAAGGCCGGGTGGATCGCGGCGCGGCTCACAGCAATGCCCGGTGTCACTGAGGCGTTTGTGGCCGGCGGGCTGGCGACCGTCATCCTCGGCGTGCCCGTCCTCCTCGGCTTCTCCCTCGGCTTCATCCTCGCGGCCGTGTCGCCCGCCGTCGTCGTCGGCTCGATGTTTGAGATGCAGAAACGAGGGTACGGCATCAAGCAAGGCATCCCGTCGCTCATCGTGGCCGCCGCCTCGTTCGACGACGTCCTCGCGATCACGGGCTACGAGATCTTCATCGGCCTCGCCATCCCCGCGGAGGGGTCTCTCGCCTTCTCCATCGCAAAAGGACCCCTCTCTGTCGTCGTCGGCATCACCACGGGCGTCCTCATGGGCTTCGTCCTCTCCGCAACCAAGGTCCGCCACCCGCATCCAGCGCCTGCGCCTACCCGCTGATCCGCCGCGCCGTCGCCGCTGACGACCCCCCCCCCCCGCCTGTGCGCGTGATGCAGTTCTTTGACAAGCCCTGGAAGCGTCTGTTCGCCACGTTCGGGATCGCGCAGTTCGCGATGTTCGGCTACGCAGCCCTGGGCTTCAAGGGCGCGGGCGCCATGGTGGCGGTCGCGGGCGGCCTCACCGCGATGATCCTGTGGGGCAAGGGCGCGCCGCGCAAGGTCTCCTCGGGCCCCGCGAGCCGCTACGCCCACGAGGTCGAGTCCGGGCTCGCGCTCATCTGGCGCTGGCTCGCGCAGCCGCTGCTGTTCAGCGTGATCGGCGCGGCGGTCGATTTCCGGGAGACGAACGCCGCGACCATCCCCAAGGCCATCGGGCTGGTGCTGCTCGGCCTCGGCGTGCGCGTCGCCGTGGCCTTCTGCGCGGTCATGGGCGGCGGGCTCACGCTGAAAGAGCGCACCTTCATCGCGCTGGCCTGGATGCCGAAAGCGACCGTGCAGGCGGCGCGCGCGAGCGCGCCGCTCGACCTGGTGCTGAGCCAGATGGATCCGGCGGACAGCGAGTACGAGGACTACCTCGACTGGGGCCGCCAGATCCTGACCACGGTGGTGTTCAGCATTATTCTTACGGCGCCGATCGGACTCATTTGGATCAATTCGATGGGGCCGCGGTGGCTCGAGAAGGCGGACCCCGCGGACCTGCTCGGGCTGGTCGACAAGGAGGAGTCGAAGACGGGGTCCGTCGCGAGCCAGCGGATGGCGGACGTGACGGTGCACGGCGACGCGGGGACCGACGACGGTGACAGCGAGTCGCCCAAGGCCGAGCACCCGGCGTCGGTGATGCTGCGCGGCGTGACGTGGATCGTGCGCGAGGGGGAGCGCGCCGAGGAGGGGCCCGTGGTGTCGGACGCGGACGGGCGGCACGTGGTCTCGGATGCCGAGTCGCTGCAGCGGCACAACAAAGTGAGTCAGCGGAGCCTTCTCGGGCGCGCGGGGTCGACGGTGGTGGGGCGGCAGAGCCTGGAGGAGGCGCGCGCGGTGCTCGAGGACGGCGACACGGGCCCTGCGCCGCCGTGGCTGGTGACGCTGGTTCACGAGAGCACCGTGGCGATGGAGGCGCTCAGTCAGGTGGAGGAGGTGTGCAGGGAGGTGGAGTACCACGCGGGGCAGGCGGAGGGGCGGCCGCACGAAGAGGGCGCGCCGGACCTGGCCGGGATGGCCAAGCGCCTCAAGAAGGCTCAGCGCACCGCCGCCAAGGCGCTCTCCAAGGCCGCGAAAGCCGGCATTTCCGCGGGCCTGGAGTCGACGTCGCTGTACAAGGACGCGGACACGGCAGGGAACTTCTGGACGCTGCTGCGGTACCACCGCGAGCTCGCGACGGCGCGGGCGGCGGCGGCGGGGTCGACGCTCGCTGGGCGCGACTCGCGGCTCTCGTGGCGGGACTCGCGGATGTCCGCGATGGGGCAGGTGACGCCCGGGGCGACGCCGAAGCTGGGGCTGGCGCGGCGGTCCGTGGGGCCGTCGCAGGGCGTGGCGGCGCGGGAGGCGGAACAGCGGACGCGAGCAGGACAGTTCGGGCGGGGCGTCTCGAGCCCGCGGCGGCTCGGGCGGCGGTCGTTCGACCCGTCGAAGCGCGTGGTGGAGGAGGCGGACGAGAAGGAGGACCCGAACAGGGTGTGAACTTGGTGGACGCGAAGATGGCGTTGTGACATGAGTCGGGAATCTTTGTGCCGTTCGTTTACTCCCCCCTGTTGCGCCGTGAGCGCCTGCGGGGTCGCTCGCGGCCAGGGCGGTGCCGCGGACGAGCGGAGGCGCCGCTCTGCTGCTGCTGTCCGCTGGCGTGCCGGGGAGTGTTGTGTTAAAGGGGGGGGGGTATGATACAGTATCTCATTCGGTGCTCGGCGCGCTGGGACGTGAGGGCAGCCGCTCGTCACAGCAGCCGGCAGATCTTGTACGGAAACCGAGTCGCGCGCGTTCCTGCGGGAGACTTTCGCTGCTGCGCCCTGCCACACACACACGGCCACACTTGTGCCTTTGGGGGACTTCTCGCGGCCTGTAGGTGGGGCCTTCACCGGGAACAGGTTGTGGATCATCGTAGCCACGTAACCGGCTGCGTCTGGGTGGTTTCCGCGCCGCGGCGGGGAGGCAAGCATGGACCTTGAAGTGACCATAACCAAGTACCCGGAGCACGGAACGGTGCGCGCCGCTCCCGCCGTCCACTGTCGCGCCCCGCGCCCTCCGTGCTCCGGTCCACCAGGCTGTTGCTAGCTGGCGGGGCGGCGCGCCACGACGGGAGCGCGGGGCGCTGATTCCCGGGCACCTGTGCGCAGAGAGCTACATGCCTCGCGCTGCGTCGCTGCCACGCGGCGTCTGAGCGGCTCCTAGTGGGCGCAGAAAGCGGCAAGGATGTGTTTGAGCCGGCCTGGAGGGAGGCGCTGCGTTGTCGTGCCCGTGAGGGCTGCGGCGAGCTCGCGCGAGAGCGAGAGCACCAACGAGCGCGTCGGTTGTCCGCGCAGGTGACGTGCGACTCGATGGGCCTCTACCGGCTCGTGTCTCCGGTGTCTGGCGCCACGCTCGTGACGACGGACCCGAACGAGCTCATGAGGGACCCAGTCTCCGGCGCCCATCTCATGGTCCAGGCTGGAAAAGTGGTTGTGGTGAACCCCGCGGAGTACCAAAAGTTCAACCGAAACCGGGAGTTCTACGCCTTCCGTGAACCAGACGTCACCATGCAGGTACGGCGCCGCGGCGCCCGCTGGACACGCGCCGTGGCAATCACATGCGCCCTCCCGAGGCCCCCCACGCCGCGCGCTCTCCACGCAACGCCCTCAAATCCGCCGCGGGTCCATGAAACACGCACGCGCGCGCGGTACGGCCTCAGCGGGCGCGGTCGCCACGCTTGCCCCGGCGTGCAGACCCTTCGGAAGACTACGAAGGTGACCAAGTGCACGAACGAGAAGATAGGCACCGCGGGGACGGTGACGGGCGCGGAGGAGGAGAGCTACGCGGAGACGCTGGCGCGCACGATGGCCAAGCCGCGGACCGGGACCGCGCACGAGGAGCCGCTCTCGATCCAAGGCAGTCAGATTGATGCCGCGAAGCCACCACCAGCGCAGGCCGCGGAGGCGCCCAAGTCGGACGCGGCCGCGTCGCAGTGACGCGGGGTCACAGGATCATGTTATCTCCTAGATTCCAGTCGCCGTCGTCGCGCAGCCAGCTGTCAACGTACCAGTACCCGTCGTCCCGCCCGCCGACGCGACGCACGAGCGTCACCTGGAACGTTCCGCCCTCCCCGCCCCGCCCCTGCGCACTCAGGACGCTCGCGGGCCAGCTCGGCACCACGGCGCGTCGCCAGAGACCCACCGCGGCGCGCGATTGCAAACGGGGCGGGCGTGAGTGCGCCGCGCGGCGGGCGCGCACCTCGACGGCCATGCGCGTGACGACGCGGTCCGCGTCCTCGCCGTCCGCGATCGTCGACAGGTCCGTGCGCGACACCCACCCCAGCAGGGGCCGATAGTACGGCGACGAGAATATCCTTCGGAAGCGTTCGAACTGGCCGAGGTCCATGCTGCGGCCGAAGTACGTGCTCCGCGACCACGGGTCGAACGCCGCGAACCTGTAGCACACCTCGATGCCTGCGGGCGCGCGGCGCGGGTGGTGCGTTGCAGGGGCGGGCGCGCGGGGCCGTGGGCGCGGCTGCGGGCGGCGCGGGCGCGCACCGTGGTCGTGGTACGGCTGGTCGTTGTCCTGGAGGGCTTTCATCTGGATGTCGAGCACGTCCTGCCACGTGTATCCGAAAGTTGGGTGCATGGTTTTGTCGTCCCCCGGGTCTCCGGAGGGCGGCCCGGCGGGCCCGGGCGGGTGCGCGCGACACGAGAGGCGCGGGGGCCGCCGCCGCGAGCCGCCGCGAGGGGTCGGACGGACGCTCGCGTGCGCGTGTGCGGAAGTGCTGCGGAGGGTGTGGCGGGCCGCTGGGGCTGTGTGCTGCAGCGGATGCGCCCGGAGCTCTGCGGCGACGAAGTTCATGATGCGTAGATTCTGTGCGCTCGCGTGGAGGTAGGCTGAGTGCCTGCGAGGGTCGTGATCGCCTGTTGAGGGCCGCTGGAAGGAAGCGGTGCCTTCGCGGCTGGATACGCGCAGCTAGAGCGTCTCGATGCTGCTGAGCGAAAGGTACGTGTGAATTCGAGCGATGAAGCTCGTGGATCGATTCGTTTGGCGGAGGTCTCCGCAGCGAGAGGCCTACTGGTTCCACAATAAGTGACGCAGCCGGAAAAGGCCTCGATTCGCGTCCCCAAGCGTCCAAGATGTGCGGACGAGTGACTTCCACTTCGCAGCTGTGCCACAGGCGCTTAAGACGGGGCCCCGGCCGAGGGGGGACGTCCCGGAATCATACCTCCCTTGTATCCTCGCGTCAGCCATGCAGGGCTGCGCCGAGCTCCACAGTGGGCCGGGCGGGCCCGCCGCGACGGCACATTCCCGGAACTTGCCATCCCGCATTGCTGTTGGCGCATTCACGTCCGCACGCCCCCTGCACAGGCCGATCCACCTCCCGGGCTCCTTCCTGCCGCGCACAGCGCCTTCTCCGGCAGTCGCGGGTTGTACATTAGGCGCACAGACAGCCGGACATGGGCCTGCTATCGAAGAAGGCCAAGGCGGATGCGGACGGAGACGTCTTCCACGACGTTCAGGAGGTGAGGTCACCTCATGCACAGGTCGCCGCGGGGCCTCCGCCGGGCCGCACGCGGGGCCGTTCCGTGCCGGGCCGCGCGCGTCTAGGCCTTTCCGTCCGAGCTAGGGCGAAATGGCGGCGCCCTAGGTCCGTCGAGAGTGCGTGTCGCCCCATCTCATCTCCGCCTTCCGCCCGCCCGCACCGCCATCACCGCCCGCGGTTCGTCTCAAGCGCCGCCGCACTAGCCCATCATCGAGCGTTGCATCTCCTGACGGCTCTTGAAGGCCCGTTTGCGGGCGAGCCGTGCCCGCGCCACCGCACCTGACCTCTCCTCTGGACCTTAGGCTGCGTGCGCCCGTCTTGCGGGCTGGGCGGGCGAAAAGCCACGGCACCCGATGAGCTCTCTCTGCAAGCCACCACGGGCCCGCGGTGACAGGCGGCTTTCGCCCCGGCTCGCGCGCGTCTGTTGAGGCCTGTGCTGCCCCTGGCTCGCCCTACGCGTGGAGGGAGTGGGAAACGTTCAACCGGCAGTGCCGGACCCAGGACATGTGCGAGGGCATGGCTTCTCGGCCACGGCTCCGCACCGGGCGCGGCCCTCGCGCGCCGTTCGCGTGCCCTGGACCTCCACCACCCCCGCCCGGCCCGCGCGCCTGACAGTCGGCGCCGGCCTCTGTCGCGCGCCCTGCAGGCATGGCTCCACGATGCGGCGTCGGACGAGGGCGGGTACGCCTGCAAGGACAAGGAGACGCTCGAGAGGCAGCGGTCAGCCATCTTTGAGTTCGTCAAGGAGGTCGGGAAGAAGATTATTCTGGGCGGGGGCAACCTCATGAACATGTCCATGCCCGTGAAGATGTTCGAGCCGCGCAGTTACCTCCAGAAACTCACCGACGTGTGGGTGCACCCACGGCTCCTGGACCGTGCAGCCGAGGTGCGTGCCCTCCCGCCCGCACGGCTCCGCCTCGCACCGCCCGCGCCGCCCGCGCGCGACCTCCGCGCCAGGGCCATTCGCGGCCGCATCGCCTCGCGCGGCATCGCGCCCGCGCCAGCCCGCAAGCGCCCGCGCTCTCAGGCCGCTGACACGCCCCGCGCCCGCCGCCCCGCCCGCCGCAGACGCGCGACCCCGTGGAGCGCATGCGGCTCGTGGTCGCGTGGTTCCTCTCCGGCATGCAGTACGCGTTCGACCAGTGGGCGAAGCCCTTCAACCCTCTGCTGGGGGAGACCTTCCAGGGCGAGCTCGACGACGGCTCGAAGATCTTCATCGAACAGGTCTCGCACCACCCGCCGATCTCCGTCTTCGAGTACGTCGGTACGCCGCCCGCGCCCCCGCCCCCGCGCGCACGTGCGTGAGCTGTCGTCGCGGCCAGGGCGTCACCGCGGGCCCGGTCCGACGCCGCGCAGGGAAGAACGGGCGGTACAAGTTCTCCGGGTCGTCGCAGCCCGACGTCAAGTACAAGACGTCGCAGAACGCGCTGCAGACCTTCGCCCACGGCGCGCGCGTCGTCACCTTCCACGACGGCACCAAGATCGACATCAAGTACCCCACGTACTACCTCAAGGGCCTCGTCTACGTCCCCGAGCCCCGCGCCGAGCTCATCGGCGACGCCACCTTCACCGACGCCCGCAACGGCCTCGAATGCAAAGTCCAGTTTGGACCCATCAAAACCGCCCCGGACCCGCTCCTGCGCCGCACGGTGCGCCCCGCCCTTGCACGCCCTCCCCGCGCCCCACGCGTGCACCGGACGTCCGGACGTCACCGCGCCGCCCCCGGCCGGCGTTGTGTGCCCGCAGGACACCGTGCACGGGGCGATCGTGTCGACGGCGCCCACGTCCGACCCGGAGGACGTCGTCGCGGGCCGGCACCGCTTCATCAAGGCGTTCCACGGCGGCAAGGGCATCAACCTGCACGGGATGAAGGTCATGTCGGTGCTGACGGGCAACTGGTTGTCGCACGTCGACTGGGACGACACGCGCTACTGGACGCTCCAGGAGGAGGAGGGCGACGAGTTCGTCAAGGACCCGATCCGGCGGTACCACTGGAAGTCGGTCAAGAGCCCGCTCCCGTCGGACAGCCAGTTCCGCGAGGATTTGGCGCGCCTGCGTGACGGCGACAAGAAGGACAGCCAGAAGTGGAAGGAGATCATGGAGAACCGGCAGCGCGCGGACAAGAAGCACCGCGTCAAGTACTGGGAGAGCAAGGGCCTCAAGTACAAGCACTGAGCCGTAGTGGGGGTGCCGCGGGGGGGGTGTTGCCTGCTGTTGTGTGGCCGGTCGCGGCGCCGCGGCGGCAGAGCGGATGTGAGAGAGTGATGCGCGTGGTGCGCGGGTGTGCTTCGCGAGCCGCGGGTGACACGCACCGCGACGCGCACGTGTGCCATCTTCGGTGCTTGCGGCCGTGCTTGCAGCCCCGCACAAACGGCGCGGCACCACCACCATCCGCCGCACGCGCGTTCCGCTCGCCACGCCCCCGCCGCCGCTACCTCATCGTGTATCCCGACGGCACACGCCGCCTGAATCAGCCCGTGCTCCTCTGGTCGGCAGCACGCACACCAAGCACCCTTGCCTTCCTCGCGCCCAGCACTCCCCCAGCTCCGACACGTCAGAACACGACCTACTTGAAGTCCCTCTCTCACACCAGCCCAAAGGCTTCCTTGAGCGCCAACAACTGCGAGCCCTTCAGCTCCAGGTGCTCCACCACCTCCCGCAGCTCCGCGTGCAGCCCCGCGCTGTCCAGCTCGCTGTCCGGCGTCAGACCGTACCGCCGCACTCGCTTCACCAATGCGTTATACCTCGCTTGGAGGTCGGCATACTCCGCCTCCAGTTCCGTCAGCACCTGGCTGGCCTCGCGCTCCGCCGCGGCCCTCGCGGACCGCACGGGTCCCGGCGGGGCGCCCGCGCCGCCGCGCCGCCCGCGCACGCCGGCGGCCCCGAACGGGAGACCCCGTGTTACACCCCCACGCACTTGTCCGTCCTGCAATAACACCCCCCGTAGCGCTTCCGCGCGCCGGCCATCCGCTCGACGAACGCCTCCTCGGCCTCCTCGCGCCGCAGCGCCACGGCGTCGGCGTCCAGCGCGGACGGCTCGGCGGCGGTGGTGAGCGACGCACTCACGCGCAGCCCCAGCGCCGCGTGATTGGGCAGGCTGCGCCGAAGGCTGCTCGCGGTCGGCGCCTGCGCGCCCGGACCCGTCGGGCCGGGCCGCCGCGGCGCCGCGGACCGCGGCCGGTACGCGCCCGGCGCGTGCGCCAGTGCTGCACTGCCGCTGGGCTCAGGGCGCGCCCTGCCGGCGCTGGCCGCGCGTCTAGGAGCGCCGGAGGGTCTCCCGGGAGCAGCCGCGGCCGCAGGCTTCTTCCTCGGGGCTGCGTCGGGCCGGGGGGGGTCTCCGGCCCCGGCTGACAGCAGGGCGTCAAGTCTGACCTGCAGACGCTCGTTGGCTGCCGTCAGCGAGCGCACGGTGGCCTCGAGGCCCGCGCACTTCTCCCGCAGCTTCTCCTCTCCCTCCGCGCGCTCCTTCACCTCCTGCAAAGCACCGCCACGCACCCGGATGCACATGGCGTCAGCGGCACGACAACAAACACACCCTCAACAGCACCGGGCGGCGCGCACGGGCGCTGCCCGCACCATCTCGAGCTGCGCGGCCGCGGCCTTCAGCACCGCCTCGCGCGCCGCCCCGCCCTGCGCCTCCTGACTCAGGCGCCGTCTGTCATCCAGCAAGTCCTCTCTCTCCCGCTGCGCCTCCCGCAGCTCCGCCCGCGCGTCCTTGAGCTCCCTGCGCGACTCCCGCACCGCCTCCGCGACCGCCTCGCGCACCACGGCCTCCGCGTCGCCCTGCCGCCGCGCGTCGTGCGCCCGCATGGCCTCCGCCGTGCCCTGCGCCTCCCGCAGCTGCATCGCCTGCGTCTCGAGCTGCAGCATGTGCGCCTCGCACGCGCTCCTGGCCGCCGCGAGCTCCGCCTGCGACGACGCCAGACGCGCCTCGGCCTCCGCCCTCTGACCCCGCTCGCGCGCCACTCTCTCTGCGAGCTCGTTGCGTTCCGCCGCCGCGGCCTCGAGGTCCCCCGTGCGGCGCTCCTCGCTCGCCAGCCGCGACTTGAGCTCCGCGTGCGCGACCTGGAGCTTCTGGTGCTCCGTCTGCAGCGAACGCAGGGATGACGCCGCCTGCTCGCCCCTGCGCGTGCCCTCCGCCGCGTCCTTCTGCAGCCGCTTCGCGTCCGCCTCGAGCCCCTGGATCTGTGATCGATGAAGTACATGGGGAGAGCGTTGTTCGGGTGAGGGGGTCGGCGAGGTGGCCGCGGAGGCGGCCGCGACACGGACAGCTGGGCATGGGTTCAAGTGAGAGTGCGCGGAGAGAGGGGCCGGGCGCGGACCTTGGACTCGAGCTGCGCGCGCTTGTTCGTGAGGTACCGGGCCTCCTCTTCGGCGGCGTTCGCGGCCTCGTCGCGCGCCTTGGCGCGAGCCTCGGCCCGCTTTTGTTCCGCAGCGGCCCGCGCGGCGTGGGCTTTGGCGTCTTCGAGGCGCTTCGCGAGGTCGGAGCGCTCGTGTTCCGTGGCCTGTAGCTTCTTCGATAGGTCGTTGACCTGCAGGGGCGACGGGGCGGGCTCGTTGGCGACGTGCGCGTGGCATTCGGCGGCGTGCGGTTGGTTGTTGCCTGGTGCTTCGCGGGCGTGGCACGCGGTGCGCAGAGCCGCTGAAACGGTCGCGGTGTGCTCATTTCGTCCTTTCGGATAGATACGAGGCATCGAGAGTCAAAACGAGCCGAGCGGGGCCCTGTCGTGCCTGGGAAGACAGCATGTTGATGGCCTTCTGGACCAGGTCGTTTCGCGGGTCCTTGAGGGGACATATGCGCGTCATGACGGACGCTGCCGGGTCGCTCGAGCTAGAGTTCGGACAGGACGCGGTGTTCGTGGCGTCGGCGAGGGCCGACGGCTCGCCCGGGTCGCCCATCCTGCAGTATGCCAGCAGTGCCCGCGGAAACCGGGCCGCCGAGGGCGCAGTCGCTTCGCGAGAGCAAGGCGCGGACTGCGCGTGCGGGGCTGGCGCGGGCGCGATGTGCCCGCCGCGGGGAACTGCCCTGACGCCAGGCGGACGCTGCATTGATGATGCCCAGGGGGCGTTCCGGCGCGGGCTGAACGGTGCGCGCTCGGCGCGTGCGAGCGCAGTTACTGTAGATTTGAGGGGTACTGGACAGACTGGGCGGCAGAACATGAGTGGACGGGCGGCATCGGTCGCGCAGTCGTGGGGCTTTCTTGCATAGACAGGGATTTCCGACTGCTGTTGGACTTATACAATAGTACTATAGCTGCGCTTGAAGCACGGGGAACGGAGGATAGCTAGCGAGGATGTCGAACGCGCCGGGACGTCCGAAGATCGACTTTAATTCGCTCCCGGTCCCCAGAGGCTATGTGCCGGGCCTGGGACGCGGCGCCACGGGCTTCACGACCCGGTCGGACATCGGTCCCGCGAAGTTCACCCCGGGACAGGGCGCCGGACAAGATGGCGGCGCGCAGGAAGGCGCCCAGGAGGCGAGCGCCCTCCCAGCACCTCACCAGGCCCCACGCGCTCGCTCAGCCGCACAGACGCCCACAGACCCGCGCTCGCGCCCGAAACGCAACGAGCACGTACATGTCATCGCGGCACGTGCGTCAGACCTCTGAGGGGGGGGTGTTGTCGGCGGTGTGCAGGCCCAGAAGCCCATGGTGCAGTCCAACAAGTTCGAGGAGCAGGACGCCGGGATGTTCGCCGGCGGGGCGTACGAGGACGACGACAAGGAGGCCGACCAGGTGTGGGAGAAGATCGACGAGCACATGGACGAGCGCCGGCGCGAACAGCGGGAAAAACGCCTCCAGGTGCGCCCCCGCGTCGCCGCTGCTGCTCGCCCGCCGCAGGACAGTGGTGCCGACGCCGGGGGGGAGCGTTGCGAGCGCTCCGTCCCGGACGCGCTCTCAGTTCCGGCTCCGGTCGGACACAGCGACGCGCTTGCTCTGTCGACGGACGCGCGTCCCAGAGAGAGGCGCCCGCGACCTCGCACGCACGGTCCGGCGCGCCCGCGACGCAGGAGGACCTCGAGAAGTACCGGAAGGAGAACCCGAAGATCACGGAGCAGTTCAAGGACCTCAAACGCAAGCTCGCAGAGGTGATTTCCCAACCTCGCTTCACGCCGTCGTATCGAGCCGCGCCTGCCCGTTCTGGCCGCGCGAACCACCGCCCGCGCCGCGCGCTCGGCCCGCGCCCCCGCAGGTGAGCTACGAGGAGTGGGACGCGATTCCCGAGATAGGGGATTACACGATTAAAAAGCAAAAGAAGTTCGAGTCTTTCGCGCCCGTGTCTGACAAGCTGCTGACGGGCGCGGCCTCCGCGGCCGCGGGCGCGACGGGCAAGGTTGCGGACGACGGCCTGACCACGCCGGCGGGCACGATGACCAACCTGACAGCAGTCGGACAGGGTAGGAGCACGGTGTTGTCCTTGAAGCTGGACCGGATGGCCGACAGCGTGGACGGGCAGACGTCGGTGGACCCGAAGGGCTTCCTGACGGCGATGGGGAGCCAGAAGGTCTCGTCGGACATGGAGATATCCGACCTGAAGCGCGCGAGACTTCTTTTCAAGTCTATCATTCAAACCAACCCCACCAACTACACGGGCTGGATCGGCGCCGCGCGGCTCGAGGTGCAGGCCGGGAACCCGCAGGCCGCGCGCAACCTCATCATGAAGGGCTGCGAGGCCTGCCCGGGCTCCGAGGACGTCTGGCTCGAGGCGGCGCGCCTCCAGCAGGGCGAAAACGCCAAGGCGGTGTTGGCGCGGGGCGTCGCGGCGAACCCCGAGTCCGTCAACCTGTGGCTCGAGGCCGCGCAGCTCGAGACGGACGACGCCGCGAAGTCCCGCGTGCTGCGCAAGGCCCTCGAGCGCGTGCCGACGTCCGTGCGGCTCTGGAAGGCTGCGGTGGAGCTGGCGAGCGAGGAGGACGCCAAGGTGCTGCTGTCGCGGGCGGTGGAGTGCTGCCCGCAGCACCCGGAGCTGTGGCTCGCGCTCGCGCGCCTCGAGACGTACGAGAACGCGCGGAAGGTCCTGAACAAGGCGCGGCAGAGCATTCCCACGGAGGTGTCCATCTGGCTGCACGCGGCGAAGCTGGAGGAGACGCACGGGTCGGACGCGATGCCGGGGAAGATCATTCCGCGCGCGATCAAGTCGCTCCAGGCGAACGGCGTCGTGATCGACCGCGACGCGTGGCTGAAGGAGGCGGAAGCTTGCGAGCGGCTCGACCCGCCGCTGCGGCACACGTGCCGGGCGATCGTGGCGGCGGTCGTCGGGCTCGGCGTCGAGGACACGGACCGGAAGCGCACGTGGATCGCGGACGCGGAGGAGTTCCAGCGCGCCGGGAGCTTCGAGACGGCGCGCGCGATCTTCGCTGCCGCCCTGGAGGTGTACCCGCACAAGAAGGGGGTGTGGCGGCGCGCGGCGATGCTCGAGAAGGCCGCGGGCGACGTCGAGGCGATGGACGAGCTCCTGCGGCGCGGCGTGCAGCACTGCCCGCAGGCGGAGGTGTTGTGGCTCATCGCGGCACGCGAGAAGTGGCGCACGACGCACGACGTGGCCGCGGCGCGGCTGGTCCTGAGCGAGGCGTTCAAGGCGAACCCGAGCAGCGAGGAGATCTGGCTCGCGGCGTTCAAGCTCGAATTCGAGTCCGGGGAGTTGGACCGGGCGCGCGCCATCCTGGCCAAGGCCCGCGAGAGCGAGGCGGCGCGCACCGCGCGCGTGTGGATGAAGGCTGCGATCGTCGAGCGCGCGGCGGGCGACGCCGCGGCGGAGCGCGAGGTCCTCAAGCAGGGTCTCGACGCGTTCCCGGACTTCCCCAAGCTCTGGCTCATGCTCGCGCAGCTCGAGGTGCGGTGCGGGCACCGCGACGCGGCGCGGCGGACGCTGGCGGCGGCGGTCGCGAAGTGCCCGCAGAGCGTCCCCGTGTGGCGCGAGTACGCGGCGTTGGAGGCCGCGGAGGGCAACTTCGGCAAGGCGCGCGCGATCCTCGAGCAAGCGCGGCTGAAGAACCCCGCGCAGGAGGCGCTGTGGGTGGCGGCGGTGCGGGTCGAGCTGCGGGCGAACAACGCGAAGGCGGCGGAGGTCACGCTCGCCAAGGGCCTGCAGCAGTGCCCCAAGTCCGGGCGGCTGTGGGCGATCGCGACGCAGCTCGCCCCGCAGAAGCAGCGCCGCGGGAAGTGCTCCGAGGGCCTGAAGCGGTGCGACCAGGACCCGTACATCGTGGTGGAGGCGGCGAAGCTGTTCTGGGCGGAACGCAAGGTCGACAAAGCGCGGCAGTGGATGTCGCGGGCGGTGGCGGCGGCGCCGGACAACGGGGACATCTGGGCGCAGCTGTACAAGCTCGAGCTGCAGCACGGGGACGAGACGACGCAGCGGGCGGTGGTGGAGAAGTGCGCGCAGGCAGCGCCGCGGTACGGGGAGTGCTGGATCCGCGTCGCGAAGGACCCCGCCGCGCATGGGCTCTCGGAGGAGACGATCCTCGCGCGCGTGGTGCCGCTGTTGGACCAGGACCCGCCGATTTGACGAGGCGGTGTGAGGCGTGAGTGGTGGGCGCGGCTGGCTTGCTGGGGGTTGGTCTGGTGTGCAAGGAAGGGGGGTGTTGTTGGCGGTAGGCGGGGTGTGTCGGGCGGCGTGGCGGCGTGGGAGCGGTGGCTTCTGGAGTCACAGTGCACGCGGGGGCTGCGTGGTGGTACGAACTTGCAAATAGTACTTGAGATATCGCGACTTCGGGCGTCTTCACTCTTCCGTCTTCTCAGAGAGCCCCTGGTTCACCTGGTCGATGTCCTTCTGCGCCGCCCCGCCGAGGAACGTGGCCGCGGCGATCCGAATCATCTTCTGGAACCAGTACAGGTTGAGCCCGCAGAGCAGCACGTTGAACGAGCGCGCCACCTGCGTCAGCGCAGGGCCCGCGGGGTTCTCCACCTCCCCGCGCAAACTCAGCGCGGACTCCCGCCAGAAGTACGCCGACGCGTACAGCCCCCACACGATGCGCACGAGGAAGAACGCCACGATCAGCGCCACGCCGTTGCGGCGGTAGAGCGGCGTGCGCTTCTGCCCCGCGCGGTGCAGCGCCCAGCGGAGGTGCACGAAGGGCGTCGAGAGCTCCCACGTGAAGAAGACCATGCCCCAGAAGTGCCACGCGGACGTCGCGACGCCGCCGACGTACAGCATGGCCGCGAGCGCGCCGTGCAGGAACATCTGGACGCCGTCGTACTGGATGTCGCGCCAGCAGATCCACGTGTCGTGCAGGAAGTACCCTGCGGGCGAGGCGACGCGGGCGGAACGGAAGCGCTGCGTTGCGATGTCGTTGCGGGCGTGCGTGTGTCGGGGGGGGTCGCGGCGGCGAGTGGCGCGGTGGGTGGGGCGAGCGTGGTCGGGGCGCACCTGCGACGGAGACCATGAAGCACTTGGACAGCGGCGTCGCGTGAGAAAAGGGGTGGTCCCAAAAGGTCTTGTCGGTGGCCAGGAGCGCGATGGCGACGGGGAGCTGCACCGCGTGGTGGGCCAGGGCGACCACGCGCGTGGACGTTCCGCGCACGACCTCCCTTGCGTCCTGCGCGGGCGGGCCGCGGTGGCCGACGGTTGAGAGAGGGGGGGGTGTCGAGCACGTGGTGGCTGCGCGGGCCGGCACGCTGGCTCCCGGGCCGCGTGCGTGGGGCTGGCTGGCACCGTGTGCTCCCAGCGAGGGATGCGTCAGCAGGATGCGCGGTGTGCAGGGCGCGGTCAAGGCGAGTGCAGGGAAGGTGCTGCGGGGGGGCGAAATTGGCCGGGAACGGAAGGCACAGGTGCACATTCCAGTCGCGATGCTTCGGAGGTGATCATAAAGTCCGTTGTGGTGGAATAGCCGGGCCTGAACCGGGAGGGCAAGCGCGGTGCGGGCCGCGTGCGTGGCGTCTTCAGCCAGAGCACTAGGGCCGGTGTGTCTCACCCCCTGTGACATGTCTGGATTGTGGCGCCTGAACGTGTTCTCTATGTACTGCGCCACGCGTCCACGCGACAGGTACGCCTCCACCGCCGTCAGACCGACCCCGACACCGACCGAAGCTGCGATCATGGTCCATGCCGAGTCCGACTCGGTCAGCCTGTCCCACACCCTGCTGGCTGCGTCGAACAGCCCCATTGCGTACATGGAAACGGCTGCGCGCCCTCGCGCCGCAGAAAGAGGCGCGAGCGCCGCCCGAGCGGGCCCGCTTGCCAGCACCAGGCTTGGATGAGCAGCCTGCTTCCAGCGCTGGTTTCGCGCACGAGGCAGGGACTCGCTCGCTCGCGACACGTCCTGTCAGCGGGGCCCGAGCGCTTGCGGGCCCTTGAGGCGCCGCGGCTGCGGAGAGGGGGACTCGGGCCCGCGCGAAGTATTAGCCTTCACAGAGGGGGGGGTCCAGGGAATGCGTGGTCGACTAGTGCCTGACGCGGACCACCAGCCTGTCACAAGCTGCCAGCCGAGAGCTCAGAAAGCCACGACACCGCGATCCTGCAGCGTGACGCCGCGCAGTGCGTTTCCACCCCTTCACCACGCCGCGCCGCCGCTGTCGCGAACGCTTCGTAGGGACGCGCCCGGTCCGTGAAGTGGGAGCCCGTATCCGGCGGGGGCTGACCGGGAGATGCTGCTGGTTGCCCTCCCGGGCCCTGGAGAGCGAACCGTTCGCACACGTAGGTGCACGGAAGCGCCAGCGCGGCCCTGAGCCTCGATTTCGGCGCGGGTGAAGGGCGCTCGAGGACACCGTTGCTGGTCCTCCAACTGCAGCCGGCCTAGAGCGCCCCGCTCGCCCCGCGCGAAGCTGTCGAGAGGGGTGCGGCGGCGGGCGCTGCGGGCACGGGGGCCATGGGGAAGGACCGGCGCGTGTGCTATTTCTACGATAGCAGCATAGGCAACCACTACTTCGGGCCCAACCACCCGATGAAGCCGCACCGCGTCACAATGGCGCACCACCTCGTCCTGGCCTACGACCTGGACCGCGACATGGACTGCTACCGCCCGCGCCTCGCGGGCGGGTCCGAGATGGCCGCGTTCCACTCCGAGGACTACGTCGACTTCCTCCGCCGCGTCACCCCGGGGAACCAGGCAAGCCGCAGCCCAGCGTGACGCCGCCCAACCCCGCGACGTCGTCATTGCGCGCAAAGTGCCGCGCGGCGCCCGCGCCGACGCCCCCGTTCCGGCCGCGCGCCCCTGCAGGAGCAGCTGCTGTCGCAGATGCAGCGGTTCAGCGTGGGCGAGGACTGTCCGGTGTTCGACGGCGTGTGGCGGTTCTGCCAGAGCTACACGGGCGCGAGCATCGACGCCGCGACGAAGCTCAACTACGGGCAGTACGACGTGGCGATTAACTGGTCCGGCGGGCTCCACCACGCGAAGAAGGCCGAGGCCTCGGGGTTCTGCTACGTCAACGACCTCGTGCTGTGCATCCTCGAGCTTCTCAAATACCACCCGAGGTGCGCTCGGAGACCTGGTTCCTCGACTGGAAAAACACGACGAAACCTCTGGCTCTCGCCGCGCAGCCCGCGGCGCCCGCGTCGCCGCAGTACCGGCCGCGGTCTGGTTCGTTCGTTTGCACTGGCACGACGTCCTGCACTGGCGCGTCGCCGAGCGTGCCGCCGCGACCGCGTCCCGCGCAGGGTCCTGTATATCGACATCGACATCCACCACGGCGACGGCGTCGAGGAGGCGTTCTACGCCACGGACCGCGTCATGTGTGTGTCCTTCCACAAATACGGCGACAACTTCTTCCCCGGGACGGGCGCGCTGCGCGACATCGGGCACAGTCGCGGGAAACATTACAGCGTGAACGTTCCGCTCAAGGACGGCATCGACGACGACGACTTCCTCGCGCTGTTCAAGCCGATCATCAACAAGACCATGGAGATGTACCGCCCGGGCGCCGTCGTGCTGCAGTGCGGGGCCGACTCGCTCGCGAACGACCGCCTCGGATGTTTCTCCCTCTCGCTCCAGGGCCACGCCGAGTGCGTGCGCCACGTGCGCTCCTTCGGCGTCCCGCTCGTGGTCACCGGCGGCGGCGGCTACACCAAGTCCAACGTCGCGCGCTGCTGGGCGTACGAGACCGCCGTCCTCCTCGGCAAGGACGTTCCCGAGGAATTACCCCCCAACGACTACTACGAGTATTTCGCCCCGACGTACTCCCTGCGCGTGCCCCCGCCCTACATCAAGAACTTCAACGCGCCGCAGGACCTCGACCACATCCGCGCGACCTGCCTCGAGTCCCTCCGCCAGCTCCAGCACGCCCCGGGCGTCGCCATGGACGTCATGCCGCCGGACTGGATGCTGCCGGAGAACGAGATGGACGGCGGGGAGGTCGACCCGTACGCAGGGCAAACGGCCGCGCAGCGCCGGGCCGCGCTGAGGGACCCCAACGCGGACGTGTACTGACGCGCGGGCGCGCTGTGACGCTCCGCCGAACCGATGCGTCGCGGGGGGGGGGGGTTGGCGCCGCGCAGTGCAGCGCAGTGCGCGGCGGTGTGCGGTTGTGGGACCGCTGCCTCGCGTTGTGTTCGGCCGTGCGGTGCGCTGTCGCGTGGGGGCGTTGTCGCTGCTCGCCGGCGGGCTGCGGTCCCGCCTGAGTCATGTTGTGCGCTGCGTGTCTGACAGCCGCGGGGGCGGCGTGGGCGTGGAGCGCCGCGGTCTGCGGCGCGCAGGGGCATTCGGGAGGTCGCGAGGAGGCGTCGCTGGAGCGCAGGCTTGCGCTGTGAGCGTCCTGGGCCGTGGCGCCGAGCTAGAGCGTTTGGGTGCTGAGAGGTGCAGAGGCGCGCGAACGAGCGGCGGACATACGGGCACGTCGCAGGCTGCCGGCCGCGGGAGGGGGAGAGTCGTCGCGATGCATATCGACCAGCCTCCCATCCACCTGTGCGTTACCCTGGGCGCGACGCTTCTCTTGCCACATTGCGTTCGAGGCTGCTGCGCGTCGCGGGGAGACCGCGGCCGCGAACCTGCGCGATTCCCGCGCTGATATCTGCCGCCTCTCTCGTTTCCCTCCGTGATGCGTCTGCCTCGAGTGCTCATCTGAGCGCTGGCCTGCTCGCTCGTCCTCCCCAAGGAGCGCGTCGCTTCGCGGCGCCAGAGCGACACCGTATCGCCGGGATAAAACGAAGACGATACTTGTTCCGCGCCCTGTTCACGCGCTGTCTTTCGACGCATCCCGCCCCGCCTCGAGCTTCGCGCGCGGAACCTGAAACGAGCTTGCGGTGCCTCCCCGCGCGGGCCACGCTCCTTCTGCCCGCTCCCCGCACGACAGCCACGTCCCGCTCCCCCAGGGCCGTCCCCTCGCGCCCTCCGCTGCCTGGATTCGCGCGGCCGCAACCCAGAACGCCTCGTGTCGTTTCTGCTTCAGGGAGGAGGGCTGGAAGCTGATCGAGGAGACGATTCAGAAGATCCAGCGCAACCTAGAGGGCGATCCGAACGAGTCCCCGATCAACACCACGCAGTGGTCCCTCACCTACACCCGGTGCGGCCCCCACCGGACCTGTCCTGCGCCCCGTGCTCCCCGCCCCGCTTCCCGCCCCTCGCGGCTCCTCCGCCCCCGTTCGCGCCCCGGCGTTCCCGCCCGCGCCCCGCGCTCCCGCCGGGTGCCGCCGGAGCGCCAGTCTGACCCGCAGCGACCCCCGTCTGGCCACAGGGTGTACAACCTATGCACTCAGAAGCCGCCGCACGACTACTCCGACCAGCTGTACCTTCGCTACGGCCAGGTCTTCAAGGAGTACATCCGCGACAAGGTCATGCCGGCGCTCGAGAAGGACTTCGAGTCCGGTACGCGCCCCCCGCCCTTTCCAGCTCCCGCACGTGCCTCTCCCCGTCGCGTCCCGGCCTCCCCACGCGCCCCGCGCCCCGCCCCCGCGCGCCGCAGACGAGGACTTCCTGAACGAGATGATCGGCCGGTGGCGCAACCACACCAACATGACGCGCATGATGGCCAAGTTCTTTGATTATCTGGACCGGTACTACATCAAGCGGCACCAGCTCGACAAGCTGCAGATCGTGCCCATGAAGATCTTCTGCGAGCAGGTGTACGGGCACATCAAGGAGCGCGCGCGCACGGCGATGCTCACGCGCGTGGCCCTGGAGCGCGACGGCGAGGTCATTGACAAGAGCGCCATCCGCGCCATGGTCGACATCTTCATCCAGATGGGCATGGACAGCATGGACCACTACGAGAACGACTTCGAGCGCGAGCTCCTCAACCAGACGGCCGCCTACTACAAACTCAAGGCCGCCGACTGGCTCGAGACGAGCAGCACGCCGGGGTACCTCGAGAAGGCCGAGGAGTACCTGCGGCAGGAGGAGCAGCGCGTGGACTCGTACCTCCACCACTCCTCCAAGGTCAAGATCCTCGGGAAGGTGCAGGCGGAGCTCCTGGAGGCCAACTGCCTGGCGCTGCTGGAGAAGGAGGGGTCGGGGCTGACGGTGCTGCTGCGCGACGACCGGCAGGCGGACCTGCAGCGCATGTTCCGGCTGTTCAAGCGGATCGGCGACAAGGGCCTGGACCCGATGGCGCGTGTGTTCAAGCGCCACGTGGAGACGCAGGGCGTGAACCTGGTCCTGCAGGCGAGCCAGGCGGTCGAGCAGCGCCAGGCGGACGCCAAGGGCAAGGCCGCGCGCGACGCGGCCGCGGCGGTCGAGCAGGGGCTGGTGCGGAGCGTCATCGCGCTGCACCGGCAGTACCACGGGTACGTGTCGGAGTGCTTCGAGGGGCACCAGGCGCTGCGGCGCGCGATGAAGGACGCGTTCGAGGTGTTCTGCAACCGCAAGGTGGACGGCGCGACGTTCGCGGAGCTCATGGCCAAGTACTGCGACGTGGTGCTGCGCAAGGGCGGCGGCGAGAAGATGTCGGACGCGGAGATCGAGGAGCAGCTGCGCAACGTGGTGCAGCTCATGGACTTCGTGTCGGACAAGGACATCTTCGGGGAGTTCTACCGGAAGCAGCTGTCGAACCGGCTCCTGCAGGACAAGTCGACCAGCGACGACCTGGAGCGCGTGGTGCTGACGCGGCTGAAGGAGGAGTGCGGGCACCAGTTCACGAGCAAGATGGAGGGCATGCTCAAGGACCTGCAGCTGGCGCGCGAGAAGCAGCAGGAGTTCGAGGACTGGCGGCGGACCACGGGGCGCGAGGGCGGCGTGCAGCTGGGCGTGCAGGTGCTCACGACGGGCTTCTGGCCCAACAGCGACAGCGCGCTGGGCAACTCGGGGCAGCAGCGCGAGGAGATGACGCTGCCGCGGGAGCTCGCGGCCTGCGTGGACACCTACAAGGAGTTCTTCACCAACTCGCGGCAGGGCGCGCACCGCAAGCTCGAGTGGCGCCACGGGATGGGCACGGCGACGGTCAAGGCCCACTTCGGCGGGCGCAGCTACGACCTCGTGGTCAAGACGGCCCAGTGCGTCGTGCTCTGCCTGCTCGGCGACGCCGAGGGCGAGCGGCTGTCGTACGCGCAGATCAAGACGGGGTCCGGCATGGCCGACGACGACCTCGAACGCACGCTCCACTCGCTGGCGTGCGCCAAGTACAAGCTGCTGTGCAAGACCGGCCACGAGAAGCGCATCGGGCGCGACGACGAGTTCTGGGTGAACGATGGCTTCAAGGACAAGATGAAGCGCATCCGCGTGCCGCTCGCGGTGCCGGAGGACCGCAAGCGCGCGATCAAGGAGGTGGAGAGCGACCGGAAGCCCGCGATCCAGGCGGCGATCGTGCGGACGATGAAGGCGCGGAAGGTGTACCCGCACAACGAGCTGGTCGTCGAGGTGAGCAGCCAGCTCGCCAAGATGTTCCGGCCCGACATGAAGGCTATCAAGCAGGCGATCGAGCAGCTCATCGAGAAGGCGTACTTGGAGCGGGACAAGGACAACAACAACCTGTTCCGGTACGTGGCGTGAGGCGCGTGGAGCCTCCGCTGTAGGATGAGTGTGGTGGGCAAGGGGTGAGGGGTTTGGGGGGCGCGCGCAGGCTGTGTGACGCGACGCAGGACGTGGGATCGGCGTGTCGAGTGCAAGGACGCGGGTCTCGGCGCTGGGCGCGACGGCTGCTCAGGACCTGCGCCGCCACCCGTCACGTCACGATGTGCTTTCACGCAGCCCCAGGCAGCGCATGCGGCTCACAACGCGTGCGCGATCGCGCGCAGTCCGACAGGTTCGTGTTTAGAACGGCTGTCCCCGGTCCGCAACCGCCGTCTGCGACGTGCTGAGCAGCCCAGGTGTCGCCAGGTCCAACCTGTGTCCGAACCGCCCGGCCCACATGTCCTGCAGCTCCTCCACCGTCTTCGCCATCTCCATATCCAGCAGCAGCCGCACCGCCTCCACCCCGCCGTCCTCCGGCACCCGCAGCGCGTACGACTCGAGCGGCATCGTCAACGGCGGCACCGACAGCCCACAGTGGATCGTCACGAGCTCGCGCGACAGCCGCGCGGCGTGCCGGCCCTCGGGGCTCGTGAGAACCTCGCACAGCCGCTTCGGCTTGAGCTCCCCGCGTTCCGCGGCGGCGATGGCACCCTCCACGTCGCCGTACTCCCCCACCCACTTCATCGCGGTCTTCGGCCCGACGCCGCGCACGCCCGGGACGTTGTCCGTGCTGTCGCCCATGAGCGCCTGCAGCTCGACGAACTGCGCGGGCGAGAGACCCCCCCACTGCGCACGAAAGTCCTCCTCGTGGTATGCCTCAAAGAACCCCGGCGCGCCACGTGGCGACGAGCGCAGCGCGCGCACGCCCGGCTGGAGCAGCTGGTGCAGGTCCTTGTCGTTCGAGACGATCGTGACGCCGACGCCGTCCGCGAGGAACCGCGAGGCGAGCGTCGCGATGCAGTCGTCGGCTTCGACTCCCGGCACCGAGACGACGGGGACGCCGATCATCGGGAGGAGGACCTGCGAGGGGCGGGGCGGTCGGTGCGTGCGGTGAGGTGGCGCCGTGAGGGCCTGGCGGCGGTCGGGTGCGTGGGCGGAGTGTGAGAGAGCGTACCATGAGCATAGAGACAGCCTCGCTGACTTGGGGCGGCGTGGGGGCGCGGTGGTTCTTGTAGTCGCTGTAGATCTCGTTGCGGAACGTGACGCCCGAGCGGATCGCGTGGCTGCCCGCGGGGGCGTCGAAACACGCCACGACGTGAGTGGGGGGGGGCTGCTCCCGCAGCGCCGCGAACAGGTACCGCATGAAGCCGTACGCGGCCGTCGTGTCGAGCGCTCCATCGGAAGTCGTCAGGCGGCGCGAAGGATCCGACCCAAACGCGAAGTGCGCGCGGTATACCAGCCCAAGGCAGTCGAGGAGGCAGGCGTGCCGTGCGTCGCCCCCGCTCGGCTGGCGCGTCGCGGACGCGACGAGACGGCGGTGGAGGGCCGTGGATCTCGTCCGGCAACGGTCCCCGGGCGCGTGACGCTCGCTGTGCGCCGCGCGGGCGGTCCGTGCTTGCCGCGCGCACCCAGAGATGCTCGCGCCGCGCCGCACGAGCGACGTCACGGCGAGGCGCAGCGGCCGCCGGCAGCAGAAGAGAGCGGACATCGCCGGGGCGGCGGCCGTCGGTGCAGCCGGGGCCTCGGCGCAACGCAACACCCCAAACGACCCGTGCCAACTAATGCCGTCAGCTGTGGCCGGACCGCACGGGGGGCGACAGGCACACGAGCGATCTGCGTGCACGCCAGTGGCGGTGCGGCGGCCTGCGCGGGCTTCATCTGTCCTGGAGGCCCCTGGGAACCCCCCCGGTGCCACACACGCCGTGACGTCCCTGCTGGAGAGCAGGGCTGGTCGGGCGGGCGCGGCGCACGGCGCGCGCAGATGCGAGAGCAGATGGTAGGTTCATGCGGCGGTGACTGCGGATCGTGACGGCCCCCCCTCAGGCCCGCAGCGCCCTGTGGCTCGCCCACCGCCGGGCAGCTCGAGCGCCGCGATGGAGGCGGCCCCGCTGGAGAGATGGGAGGACCTGAACACCATATTGGAGGAGGGGAACGCCCTGTTCAAGGAGCGGCGCGCGCCGGACCAGGATGACTCCGTGCCGTGCGTGCCCACCTTGCACTGGCTGATTGCGCGCGTCGCCAAGCGCCCTGCGCCCAAGCGCGCCTCGTTCCGGTGTTTCTCGCGATGTGCTGTTCTTGAGTTCCTGCCAGTCGCATAGTTCATGAGCTTCCTGCGCTCTAGATGCCGTGGAGAGGGAGGCATGTTGCTGTGGCCCCAGGCGCTCCGCGGCCCGCTGGGGCATGGCTCAGCCCTCGCATGCGCGAGTTCCTCACGCTTACTTCGCAAGACAGTGATCTGTGTCATCCGTTCGGCTTGAGAGCGCTGGAGGGCGCGCAGACGGCCCCCGAGGATCTCCGTGACTGCAGGATGGGTCTCCTGCGGGAGATGAGAGGGGATGTGGAGCGACCGCACCAGGGCAAGCAGTACCAGTGGCCCGAAATCGACCACACGTACGCGTTTTCCATGCGCTGGTGGGCCAAGGAGGATCCGTCGGCAGAAGTCATGTGCTGGTGCGCGCCCGCGCGTGCGCCCCTGCGGCACCGTCGTGGCACCGCCGCCGGAAAATCAGCTCGCTTCGGCGATGAACTCGGCCCCGGGCCGCCTTGTTCGCGATGTCGCAGGCAGAGAGGCGTGGAGTTCGACCACAAGCGGCCAGTTGGCGCAGGCATGTACAAGTGGTGCGTCGAGCACGGGTACGGCAAGCGGCGCGACGTCACCATGGTCGCCACAAAGGACACCCTCAAGGGCGAGTTCTCGCGCGACGCCCGCCACTGGAGCGCCGTGTGCACGTCGAACGACCCCGAAGTGAGGGCGATGGATGCCAAACGCGCCATCACGCACGCACAGAAGCCAGACATGGCGCCGTGGACGCGCGACCTCATGGTTCCGACTGCGATGGAGTCCGACAAGCCTCTCCGGAGCCCGCGGCGCCGCGGGCGCGGCTGGCTGCCCCCCATGGCGTCCAAGCACAGCGGCGAAGCCTTCCGCAAGTCAGCGGCGAACACGCTCGCGGACGGCGAAGGGCTGCGCGCGCGGCCGCGGCACGGACGCACCGAGCACAAGCCGGAGTTCGCGCACCTCGCGAGCGCGGCCGCCTCGCTCGCGGGCACCATCCCGCGCGGCGAGCGCTGGCGGCCCGTCATGGTCGACGAGTCGCGCGAGCGGCGCGCGCGGAGCCGAGCGAACCTGCGGATGGAACTTCCGCAGGTCTCGGTGTCTCTCCCGCGCGCGATCTCGACGCGCGTCGGCCCGGCGACCCCGCAGCGCGCCTCGCCAGCGCCCACGGACTCCCCGCGCCGCAGCCCGCGGACGTCGCGTTCGATTCCCTCGCCGCCGCGCGGACACGAAGAGGCGCCGGAGCTGCCGCCGGTGCGCGGCGGCAGCCCGACGCCGCGGCGCGTGGCGTCGGAGACGCTGCGGCGGCTGCGCACTGGTGTTTTGGCGCCCACGTGGGTGCTAGACGAGCGGGACGTGGGCGGGAGCGCGCGGCCGGCGGAGACGGAGCCACGCAGGATACTGCACGTGCGCAGCCTGGAGCTGGCGAGGGAGGGGAGTGTTGCGTTGTCAGTAGAGGGTTCGGAGCAGCTGCGGTCGGAGTTCTCGGTGCGCGTGGACGAGGTGCTGGACGCGTTTCGGCCGCCGAAGGGCGGCGGGCGGGCGAAGCGCGCGGTGGACGTGCTCGGGCCGGCGGCGTTGCGGGAGGCGAGCGAGGGGGGGAGTGAGGAGGGGGAGGGGAGTGAGGGGGGAGGGGGTATTGACTGGCGGGACATGGGCGTGGGCACGGGCAGCCCGCCGCGGAGAACGGCCGAGGCGACGGTCTTCGCGGCCGCGGCCGTCCCGGGCACGCCTTCGTCGGGGACGTCCGGCGAGGAGGAGCAACCGGCGGAGCAGGGGGGGGCGTCGCCACCGCAGTCGACCGCCTCGACGGCGGACGATGGGCCAGGGGGCGGCGAGCCGGCGGCGGAGCAGCCCGAGGCCCCGGTCGAGCTGACGTCGAGCCAGGAGCAGAGCCCGCGGGCCTCCTCCAGCAGCGACGCGCCCGGGGGCGCTGGCGAGGCGTCAGGGCAGGGGGGCGTCTCGGCTCCCGCGTCCGACGCAGCGCCGAGCCCCGTGCCGGCCGCGTTGGAGGGCGCTGTTGAGGGGGCGGAGCGGGAGGGGCCGGCGGGCGCCGCGGAGGACGCTGCGGCGGACGCGGCAGCGGCGGAGGGGGCGGAGGCGAGACGCAACACGTTTCTCGGCGACGACGGGACGGGGGAGAGCGCCGCGGTGCGGAGCTCGCGCGCGGACGCGTCGGAGGCGAGTGCGGAGCCGTGGTGGCTGGAGGCGGGGGCGTTCCTCGAGAGGGAGCTGCCACCGCCGGAGGGCGCGCTTCCAGATCGGGAAAAGATATCTCTGATCAACCGCGGAGCCAAGGTCTCCCGCCCGGGCCCGAGCAAGTCCTTCGTGCGCCGCACGGCGCCGCCGCCGCCGAAGGAGGTGCCGCCGACGGTCGCCATCGCGCCCCCGAAGGGCTCCCGCATGCTCGAACAGCTCGTGTCCCTGGCGCGCCTCCCTGTGCCCAGCGCCATCCCAGAGCAGCACGACACGAGCGGCGACGAGGCCGCGGCCGCGCCGGGGCCGCTCGCGCCCGCGCCGTCCCTCATGAACTTCACTGCGCGCGACGACCCGCTCGCGGCGGCGCTCGGGTACGCGCAGGCGGCGGCGGGCAAGGAGGTGGTGGCACCAGCGCAGCGGTGGGGCTGGGGGCAGGGGACCGGGCAGCTGGCGCCGCGGTCGAGGCGCGGAGGCTCTGGCGCGGACAGCGGGCGCTCGCGGCACGCGCGGGCGGTCGTGCGGGGGTCCCTGCGCGAGGCTGCGACGGCCCGACCAGAGGCAGCGTCTCAGGAGACGGCAGTCGTGCCCAAGTTTGTGGGCCAGCCGGTGGCCAAGGTGGCGCACCGGGACAAGGCGTACTTCGGCGGCATTGCGCGCAGCAAGCTGACGGTGGCCGGCCTTGATTCGCGCGGGCAGGGGCCTCTGGCTGGTGTGCATCCCAACAGCCTGTCGTGGCAGCCGGAGACGGGGCACCTGGGGGCGATCGAGCCGTCCCGCAGCCCGCGGCCGCACCACTCGGGCTCGGTCCGGGCGTTTGAGAAGAGCGATCTGAGCGTAGGCTCGTTGCCAAGATGAGGACGTGTTTCATAGATATGCGAATTGTAAGGCACTCCTGACGCATTGCAGGACACGCCTGACGCCTCCGCGCGCCCGCTGTCACTGGCGCCGGGTCTGGTCGACGCGCGAGCTACTCTCTGGCAGCGGCCTGCCCTCAGCGGGGATCTGCAGGCTCCGCACCCGCGAGCACTGCTGCACCGGCGCCCTGCAAGGTCCGGAATCCAAGTTGCGGGTTCGAGGGGGCGCAATGCGCCACATTGTGGCCTGTGTGCGTCCTGCGCTGCGCGCGTCGGTGTCGGGCGCTGCCCACGCACGCCGCGGCCCCAGATGCTCGCACATGTTGGGCCTGGCCGCGTCCGAGCTGTTCGAGCACGGTGCGCGCCAGAGAATGCGTGCGTAGGGCACGACATGATGAAACTATGTCGCGTCTTGCTGCACTGTCTGATGCAGATGCGTCTGCACGCACGACAGCGTCGTGCCCCTGCTCGAGTCCACGCCCCCGGAACCTACTCACGGCCGGTTGGAAGCCCTGCGAGGAGCGAGGGGCATATCGAGCGGCGAACGGGTAGTACAGGGCAGTATGTGCAGCGGCTGCGTGCCAGGCGCGTCACGGCATCGGCGCTGACGCGCCTGCGGAGCCCACGATCCCGCGCGCCAGAAACGCCCCGTCGTGACAGCGTCCCCAGGGGCCCAACCGCCGTTCCACCTCTCAGGCCGCTGATCCAGTGCATGAACACACGCCAGCCGCGATGAGGTGCGCTAGAAATCTTTGTTGGGCTGCGGAGCGCTCGATCCCCCGCACCTGCAGCGACTACATCCGATGCGACAGGGGGAATCTCCTCACATTAGTTGCCATACGCGATTTTCATGCCTGAGGAACGCCCGTGTGCGTCACAGATTCTCGATACATCGACTCGTCGGGGCGCTTTCGGCGGTGTGTCTCCTGGCCTGCCCTCACGGGACGCGCGCCTTCTGTGAGGCGACTGACCGCGCGGGCTACGACTGTCGGCGCTTCATAGGGCCCTTCGAGGTGTTCTGGAGGCGCCCCACTCCCGACGAAGCGTCCAGGCAAGCCCGCGTCCTCGATGCCCCATAATGTGCCCTTTTCGCGACTCGCGCGCCATTGCGGCTCGAAGATCCGTATTTGACCATGCTTTCGCGCATGACGCAACACCTTCGCGGGAATTAGTCCAAATATACGGCCGAAAACGACCAAGATTCAACGCCGCCGCCGTGAAGCTACTGTTAGTCACCATCGACGCCCCCCCGCTGCGCCCGCCGCCGATTGCAGCCCGGACCCCTACGTCGACATGGGTTTTGTCGGCCCGGCCGACCGATCGTACGTCGCGGTCGGCTGGAGCGAGACCGGCGACATGGTCGGCGGGTGCGTGATACAAGCCTAGCACCGACCCCGCGTCCCGCGCGACCACGACGGCGCCCAGGCTGCACCCAAGCTGGCGTGTCGTTGACGTGCCGCGTCGCCATCGCCCGTTCGTGCACGGCTCGGACGCATGCCCACCCTGGGGCCCGAGATGCTTGCCCAGCCACACCCAGGCTGCCCTCTGTCCCCACAGGTTCGCGCTCGTCGGCTGGGCGGGCGACGGCGGCGACCTCGGCATCTACCGCCTGTCCTCGAGGAACGCGGACGGCAGCGGCGTGCAGCGCACGGACGAAGTTGGGCTGCGTAACAAAGAGATCACGGTGTCGGGGGGGAACGTCGAGTTCCGCTTCGCCCTGCAGGTCCGAGGGACGCAGAACCAGCAAAAAGGCATCCCGCTCCTGTCGCCGGAGCCCGGGGTGAACAACCGCATGATATGGTCCCGTGGCTCCGCCAAAAACAACCCTGGACAGCTCTCCGAGGGAGAGGTGAAAGGATTCGGAACGCTGGACTTCGACACGCAGGTGCGGGCAGGCGGCAGCGCTCTCCCTCGCTCGCCTGACCGCGGAGCAACACGGGCAGACACGGTGTTCGCCGTCATGGTGTGTGTCGCAGGCGTCCTCCACGACAACGATCCCGAGCGCGACGACGACGCTTCCGCGCACACCAGCTCCGACACAGGCAGCCTCGCCTCCTGCACAGCCCAGAACTGCGGCGCCGACCCAAGCTCCCCCCGACGAGGAGGATGCCCCCGCCGGGGGAGGAGCCGAAGCCCGCGCGGTGGCCGGCAGTGCCGGTGCATCCACGCTGGCCGCTGCGCTCGCACTTGCACCCGCGGTTGTCGCACTGTTCGCGTAGAAGCGACGGCAGTTCGACCACCGCTCACCTCGCGCACCGCGCCCCGGTCGACACGGCCGCGGTTCGTTCCCGACGCATGCTTGGGGCCGCCGCGGACGCGCACGCTCTCCCTCCGCGCCCCTTCGTCGCTGAGCTCCGTGCTACGACGACGCACGTACACGCACACGCCCTTCGGGCCTCCCAAGTGCACACGATCGACCAGTGGCGAATGCCCGCCGGTGGACGCCTCGTTCCGCATCGCGCGATGGTGACCCGCTCTCGGCCCAGGCTGACTCAAGCGCGGTTGCAATTTGCACCCGACCCGACCCGACCTGTCTGCTGCCCCGTTCTGCGCAGCGATGCACATGCTCTCCCACCCACCCCCGCGGTGGCGACCTGGGCGCAGCAGATCTGCTCCCTGCCTCCGCCTCGCGCCCTCCCCTGACGTGCGACCTCCTCCAGAGGAGGTCATGGCTCTGGAAAGAGTCACAACTCTACAGAGAGTCATGCCTTTGTTTCGCGTCTTGCTGTTTTTTTTGCCCTTGTGATCCTGCCCTCCTACAGCGCGTACTGGCCGCGCGCGGGTGCGAGCGTCTGAACGTGCAGCCTGCGAATGCCCTGGGCGGTGCACGGACCAAGGCCCGACTTCGTCGATGATGCTGTTAGTAGAACGTATTTATATATATACTGGTCGTTGGAATCGATCCGGAACGGCCGAAACATCGCGTGTCGACTGTCTGCCAGCCCCCGGACCAGTGGAACGTCCCTGCGCTTCGCTCAGTCTCTCGATTGCCGAAGCCGAGCACTGGCAGCATAAACACATCTCCTGGAACGGCGTGGCATCAATGCCGCCCACACACCGTGGTGCCGTCGTCGTCACACGCACTCCGCACCCAATCCACGCCACGATCCCCATCGAGCGTTCCCCGCTCACCCTTCGGGCTTCGCGCCCTTGTGCGGTGGCGTCTGCTCCTCCGACGCTGTCGATGCGTCATCATGCAGCAACCCGCGCCCTTCCGGGCTGTGGGGCGCCTCGCGCTTGTCACGCCCCGCGCGTCCCCACGCATCGCGCTGCGGCGTGCCCGGCGTGCCCCAGCCGGCGTGAGGGATCGCTGCGTACCCGCCGCGGCTTGCGAGCGGCTGCCCGACGCTCTGGGAGAAATCAGGCGCCGCGTTGTCGGCCTCGAGGTCGTCGAGACCCCGCTCGTATGCCCGCGGCCTGCACGTTGCGGTGGGCGGGGAGCCTGCGAGTTGAGCGGGTGCCCGCACTCCGGTTCTCCTTGATTCGAAAAAACATCCTTCATATTTGATATTCGAGGAATGCTTCGGCGTGCGCTGAGCGGTCCCGCGGGCATGTGCTCGCACCTGCGCATGTCCCGGGCCGTCCGCGAGGCCCACCGTGCGAGATCCGAGCACGCGTCACGAGCGCCATTCACCGCCGCCCTCCCGCAACCCCCAGCGACGGCAACGAACACCGCCAACCCCGCGACGATCACCAGCGCGGCCACGAGCAAGAAGCGGCGCGACCCCGCGTGCCCGTGACCCGCACCGCCGTCCTCGTCGTCGCTGTCGTCGTCCGTGTCCGTGTCGTCGCCCGCAGCGCCTTTGAAGCACACGCTGGGGTGGTCGCCCACACACCACCAGCCCGAGCGGACGCGGCAGCGCTCGTCGCACCCGCCGGTCGCGTCGAGCCCCGTGTCGCACTCCTCGCTTCCCTGCCGCACGCCGTCCCCGCAGATTGAGAACCAGCGCGTCACCACCCAGCGCGGCTCCGAGGCCATGCGCAGGTCGTGCCCGTGGCCCGTGACGTCGCGCACGACGTAGCCCTCGCCCTCGTCCATCCGCCAGTACGCAACCAGGCCCTTGCTGCTCGGATCCACGCCCGGCTTGGAAAAATTGGAACCCGCAGTCCTGCGGAATCAAACAAGCATAAAACCAGGTGTTTCGGGCCTTCGCAACAGACCACGGCGCCCGCAACCGGCCGCTGCGTCAGCGAACGGGCAGATCTCTCACCGCGCTTCGTCCAACGCGACGTTGTCGAGGATCTCCTGGTGGGACAGTGCACGACTCCACAGCCGCATCTGATCGACGCTGCCGACGAGGTCCTGCGAGCCCCACTCCGCCGCCCCGGACGACGTGTCACCCTCCGCGCCCGGCCCGCTGTCGAAGCACCCCCCGCGGCAGTCCTGCTCCCGCCCCACCACGAGCGTGCCGTCCGAGGGGATGGTCCTGCCCTTGCCGCGCAGCACGCTCCACACGAGCCGGCCGTTGTCGTAGAGGTAGACGCGGCCCGAGGCAGACTCCCACGTCACCGCGATGTGGTGCCACGCCCCGTCGTTGGCCCCGATGCCCGCGGTGTGGTCCGCAAAAGTGCCCTCGTCCTCCATGACAGACACGCCCCTGCAAGCACGAACCACATGCACACGAGTGTCTGGCAGCACGCCGACGATGCACACGGCAGTTTCCAGGGCGAGCAGCGAAGGACACTCGGCGGAGGACTCGAACGACAACAAGAGGAGTGTACAAGGATACTGGGGGTCGCACCAGTCCCGGTGGTTGAACAACAGGAACGAGTTATCGTCCTTGCCGTACTCGTCCCCCGTCGCGTACGAGAACACCGCGCCCATCGAGCACCGCGACGCACTCTTGATGAAGAACTCCAGCGTCAGCGCCGTCGCGGGGAACCCGACGAACCGCGGCAGCATCAGCGCCTGTCTGCCCGACAACGCAAGCGCGTGGCCCGCGCCGCCGGCGACCGGCATCGGCGCCGCCCCGCCGCCGTCCTCGGCGTCGAGCGGAGCGGTGGAGTACTCCCAGGTGGGGCCGGGCGACGTGAGCGTGAGGTGCATCGCGGAGGCGCCGGAGTCCCTGAGGAGCTCGGTGCCGCGCACGTCGACCGGGTCCATGTCGTACGAGAGGGCTCTGGCCGTCAGGATCGCCTTGGGCAGGTCCTGGGTGTCGGTGCGCAGAGCGCTGGCGACTTCTTCGGCCGAGAGGACCGTGCCGAAGATGCGGACGCGGCCGAGGGCGCCGTGGAGGGCCTGGCGCGGCGCGAAGCAGCCTCCGAAGCAGTCCTGGTCCTGTCCGAGCGCGAGGGAGCCGGTGCGGTCGCGCTCGGTGCCCGCGCTGATGCTGCTCTCGACGCCGGGCTTGACGTCGGTCGCGCCGTCCTTCGACCGCCAGAAGGCCTGCTTCTCCTCGCCGTCGAAGTACAGCTTTGTCATCCCTGCAGCAGCAACAACAAACCTTCGCTCTCAACATATACACTCATCTTGAAAAAGGAGCTCATGCGCACGACGCTGCAGCAGGCGCTGCACCCGCGAGCGCATCCTGCAGGTACGTGACGTACCCGTCTGCTTCTGCCACGTCACCGCGACGTGGTGCCAGGCTCCGTCGAGCCACCGCGTCTCGAAAGCGACCCAGTTCTTGTTGCGCCCGCCGTGGCCGTCCGCGTTGGAGTTGATGTGCACGTACACGCTGCCCGCCGTCTGCACCGCCCGCGCTTGCGCAAAGTCGCTCGTGGCGTTGTATTCTGCGGCGAGAAGGCGGACACAACACACCCAAGGTTGATGCGCTGCTTGCTTAGCGTAACGCCGGTGGTGTGCCCGCGGGAACGCAGGCGCGGTCCAGGGCACGCACCGGTGTCTTTCCTCACGATCAGGATGGCGTCGTCGGCGAACATGGACATGTCGGGGTCCAGGGCTGCGTTCGGGTCGTGGCGGTCGCGCCGCACCGTGGTCGCGTACGACAGCATCGCGTGGCGCGCTTCCAGGCGATCCCGCTGCACAGCAGCACACACAAGCGCGCAGGCTCTCCACTGCCGACGCTAGGCTCACGGGGCGGCTCTGTCCACGCAACGAAACACTTCAAAACATATTTGATTGTCATTTGGTCATTCAACTCGATTTTCTTCGCGAGCGCGTGTTCATCCGTCTCGAACTGGCGCACCCGGCAACAAACTCAATATTATGTACGGCATTGGCGAGTGGGTTCAGAGCGCGCTCACCGTGCTGATCGTCCTGACAGCCTCGTGGTTCTCGACCCCGGGGATCTTCGCCCAAAACTCCACCGACACGTCCCCGCGCGGCACCACGCCGTCGTGCGCCGCCCCGCTCAGCGCGAGCGAGTTGTCGAACCGCGCGTGCCGCGCCAGCGTGCCCCCGCCGTTCGGCAGCGCCACCGCCACGTTAGACAGCTGCGGCGGCCTCACCAGCGGGAGGTCGTTGCCGCGGCCGCTGCTGTCCGCCGCGGCCGCGTGCGCGACGTAGATGCCGCCGTCGTTGTCCGGGTCGTTGAACTTCCAGTACGCGACGAGGTCGTGTTGCCCGGCCACCCCAGCGCCGCCGCGCATGTTCTGCCAGATCTCATCCTGCGATCGGACGGTCCTCCAGATGCGCACTTCGTCCAGCTGCCCGAAGAAGGCCTGCTTCTCCTCCGTGCAGCCCCCGTAACAGTCCTGTTCGCCGCCGAGGACGAGCGAGCCCCCCGGAGGGAGGCTGTCAGTGTGCCCGCTCTCTGCGTGCGCCACGCGCAGGCCGTTGACGAAGATCTGCGTCGTGCCGTTGCGGTCGGCGTCCCACGTGACCGCGACGTGCTTCCACGCGCCTTCCTGGTCCACCAGGCTCGCCGTGTCTGCACGACACGACACGACGGACCGACGCATGCTGGGGCTGCCTTGTGCGTCGCGCGAGCGTGCGATGGCCGCGGTGGGCGTGTCGGACGGGAGCGGAAGTTCGCGCGGTGGGAGCGGTGCGGGGCGGGGACTCACGGACGGTCGCGGTGTCTCCGTACTGAGCCCGGCACGACTGTTGGTTGACGTCAGGCACCAGGTTGAGGTACGAGAAGTGCGGGCACACGGCGAGGTTCGTCACGTCCCACACGACGAAGCTGTTCATGTCCGCAGACCTCTTCTGCGACCAAACAGACCGATCGGTGGCCGCGGCGTTCGCGGGGCGCCCTTGGAGTCAAATGTGACGAGGGCGCGAACGGCGCGGGTGCCGCGCGAGGCGCGAGCCGCAGCTGCTCGAGGAGCAAGGTGACGCGAAGGTGCGTGCGTGTGTTGCTCGAGGCGGGCACGCACCAGCCGGTCCTTCTCGTTCGACGGCACCGCGTACGACAAGAGCGTGCCGGACTTGCAGCCATCGGTCGTCGACACCCAAGCCTCGAACGTGAGCTTACGGTCCGGCATGTCCTTGAAGGGCTCGAGCTTGAGGGGCGTGTCGTGCAAGAGGATCGCGTGCCCTGCGGAACGGCACGAAACGACTGCGTGTGCGGGTGAGCGGGTGTATCTCTGCGTCAGTGGCGTTTCAGGTCAAAAATATTGGCGCACGGTCGTTGTCGAGAATCGTTTCAAAAGCAGAGCTGGCAGTCGTCTCGCGAGGCGCTGCCACGGTCCCGTGAGGGAGCCAGAATTGTTTCTTGGAAACAACACCGCGTCGAAGGCGCAACGTGGAGGCGTTTCGAGCCTTTTCACGGGACCAGAACGATTCAACCACGATACATCTATCGGGAAAACGGCGAGACAGGACCTGCACCGCCCGGCTGGCTCGCGTTGCCCGCAGTGAGGACAACGAGGCCCAACAGCAGCAGGGCTGCCGTGAGCGGCCACATCGTCACCATCGGCGCGTCCCAGTGGTCAGCCCCCCCCTCGCCCCCCTCACTTTGACGCCTCCAGCAGCGCCTTGACAACATGTTGTGTCTGTCCGTCGCTCAGTCGGACCACTCCACCGCGGAGCGGGCGTCAAATCGCCGACAGCAGCACGCCCACGCGCAGACCCAGCCACACATTATCGAGATCGATATTCAACGTACCGTTTCAGGCCCGAATCCACACCGTCTTCGACGCCAGTGACTCTCCTCGCGCTCCTTCCAGGGCCCGGCGCACGCGCCTCCGCACGCGCCTTCGCTCGCGCGACCTGACGCCATGCCCCACGTCGCGGCATCCGCGGCCCGCTTGGCGGCGCCCCCCGCGGCCAGCAAGCACGCTCGCTCGCCGCAGCTCCCCGCTCGCGCCTCGGGCGCCCCCGGCGGTGCGTCCGCGCTCTCCCGCCGGCAAGCGGGCGCCGCCGTCGTCGGTTCGATCTTCCTCTTCGCGCTGGACCGGCCCCAGGCTGCGCAGGTGCGCTCTGCGCCACACCGCAGCGACCCTAACCCAACACGCCGCCCCAGCAGTCCGTGCGTCATTTCCGCACCCGAATTGCGATGCAAACCGTCTCCCGCGCCCTGGATGGAATGTTTCTGCCTCTTCCACCCTATTTCGGCGCCGATCACGATCCGTCGGTCCGCGTGCGGCCCGCACAGCCGCCCGAGGCAGTGTGCGGGGAGGATCGACCGGCGTCCACGTGGGGTGTCATGGCTCCTCCGCCCGCGCAGGCCAGCCAGACGGGCAAGCTCGGGGTGGACACGGAGCTGGCGCCCGTCGACGACGAGTACGGCCGCGCCACGCTGGAGCTGGGCGAGCTCATGAGGTTCTACCTTACCACGACCGACCTGTACGACCCCAAGCGGTTCGAGGCGTACAAGAACATGAAGCCCGCGATCAAGACGTGGACGTCCAAGTACGCCCCGGGCGGCAGCACGCGCCGGGAGAGCCAGCGCAAGATGTACATCCTTGGCGACGCCTTCCTCGGCCAGTTCAACAGGTGCGCCGCGCACGCGCGGACCAGCGACGCCCGTGACGTGCAGCGCCCGTGCGAGGAGGTTCGCGCGCGGGCGCGCTATCGTCGTGAACGGTGTGGCGTCGTGCTGGGAGGGCTTGCGCACAAGCGTGCGCGCACCCCCGCGCCCGGACGCTGCGCTCACGACGCTGGCTCGGCTCGGCGCTCCCTGCAGCAACGGCGTCGCGCCGTTCCCGCGCAAGAAGGCGGAGCAGATGCTGAACGACCTGCAGACGATCGAGACGATGATTGCTGCGGGGCAGTGAGGCCCTGACGTCGCAGCAGCGAAGACCCGGTGCGGGCGGGGCTGCCACGACCGGCCCGGCGGCGCGAGCGACGTCGCGTTTCGTGCTCTCCATGACCTGCCCGACGACAGAAGTAGCAACCGCAACAAGCGCTGTGCTGATACATCTTTTTCGCGCGTCACGGCCCTGCCGCCAGCGCTTTCGCGATCGCCGCTTCACAGCGATCCACGGCGGCGAGCTCCTGCGCCCGCGGCCAGCCGTTGGCTGCCCGTCCACCCAGCTGCGCGCGTCGCCGTGGCCTCACTTGTGGTACAGCATGACGCTGGTCATCGCGAGGAACGCGCCGATCATCGAGAACGCCGCGGTGTAGTACGGGTACGCCTGCGTCAGGAAGCGGGGGTACTCGTCATGCCGGAACGGCCGCACCCCCTGCACGTGCTCCAAGTCGACGGCCGAGAACCCGGGGTCGCGGTGCCGCACGACGTACTTGAACACGCCGTACACGTCCGGCACCTTGAACTCCAGCTTGAAGTTGCCCTTGCCGTCGTGCGACAGCGTGCGGCGCACGTACGGGTCGAGCATGACGAACGACGCCTGCACCGCGTCGGACGCGTACGGCTGCCACTGCCCCGACACCAGCCGCTCCATCCGCACCGTGAGCGTCACGTCGTCGCTGACGCGGTACTGCTCGGGGTTGCGCGGGACGCCCGGGCGGTTGGTCACCACGTGGTCGAACCGCGTCATGCGCAGGACGCCGTTGCGCTGGAACGCCCACTCCGCGAGCGCGCGCGCGAGCCGCGCGTTCCCGGGCGCGTCCCACCGCCCCCGCCCCGGCACCTCGACCGGGGACCCCATCACGGTGTTGCTCAGCATGTCCGTCGATCCCAGCACGACCGCGCGCGCGTTGTTGCGCGCCTGCACGAGCGTCGCGAGCGAGCACAGCTGCCCCGCGACGGGCGCGCGCCGCGCGTGGCTCCGCCCCTCGCGGAAGGAGTAGCCCGTGTCCTCGGCCCAGAGCGCGGGCAGCAGGGTGTCGGACTGCGCCGGGAGGACGGAGCAGACGCCGCGGAAGAGCACGGGGGCGGCGAGGGGCTCCTCGAGGAGCGCCTGCGTGGGGTAGACGCCCGTGGTGGCCAGGAGCGCGGAGGGCCCGCGGTCGGCCTTTTTGGATGGAGTCGACGGGGCGAGCGTGGCGTTGTGGGAGGTGTGGTCGACGGCGATCGCGCCCTTCTCGTCGAGTCCGACGCCGAGGGCCGACGTGATGGACTGGATCGGCGAGGAGAAGCCGTGGTCTGCGGGCGCGGCGCGAGGGGCGGTGGCGGGGAGAGGGTCGGAGGCTCGCAGGGGCGGGCGGAGCGCTGGGGGCGGGGTTTCGCGCTCGAAAGCGCGCGGAGAGGACTGGACGGGTCCGGCAGCGCGAGCATCTGTGTCGGAGAGGGCGTGGGGCGGCGGGGAACGCAGCGTGCCCTGCTTGGAGAGGCGTTCGGGGCGAGAGCGCGGCGGGGGGGCGCCCTGGGCGCGCGGTCTCGCCGCGGGGCGCATGGTTCGAAGTGAGGGAGCTCGCGGGGCGCACCGGCAGTGATGAAGACGTTGCCGCCCTTCTCCAGGAAGGCCGTGAGGCCGCGGGCGGAGACGTCCGGCGACGCGAACGACGACACGCGCGGCGCCAGGATCACGACGTTATCGTACTGCCTGTCGCCGTACTTCATGAGGCTGAACCCCTCGCTCGCCTCCACCACCTCCACGCTCGACTGCACCTCCGCCAACATGGTGAGGAACGCGCTGTACGTAGCCCGCTGCTTGGCCGTCCCTAGCACCACCAGCGCCCTCGCGGCCCCCGTGGCCCCCGCGGCCCCCGCAATCACGCCATCCGCCGCATCGGCGCCCCCGCGCAGCACGAGGCTGGCGCACAGCAACAGGGCCAGCAGGGTAGCCCAGGCGCCCCGGCGCTGCCTGCTCATCGTCCCCGCTCCGCGCTCCCCCGATCCCGCCAGCGGTTCAAATCGTTCCGGCAACGCGACCGACGGTGGGCCCGGGAAAGAGTGCCGCGCGACGCGGGCGCGGGCGGCCACAGATCCCGCGGTCGTTGAGTACCCACTTCAGGCCTCCCGCGCGCGGCACGGGCGGCTACATGCGGGCCCGCCGCGCGAACCAATCGCGAAAATACATTCTCGAGGTCTGGGCGTCGTGGATGGATCGCCAGGCCGCGCGTGGACCTCCGTGCGTGCCGGGGGGCGTCGAGCATTGCTGAGGGCGCTGGCGAGCACTGCTGGGTGCGAGCGCATGCCCGTTCAGGCGACCCCAGCATGCTAAGGAAGGGGCTCAGGCAGACGGCAGCGAGTTCAACGCACTGGGTCGACCTGACAGTTGTTGCGGAGGGCTGGGCGCACAGCATGGCTTCTCTCTTCGCCCCCTGCCGTCAGGGAGGGGTCTCCGGGGATCTCGTCAGACGGAGTCGCTTCACCGTGGCAAGCTCGGCGTTCAACGGCGGATATGTACCGCGGTTCGCCGCCAGGGACGGCGGCAGCGCGGGAGACCCTTGTCGCCTCGTTGGGCGGTCAATGCGGTCGCAACTGGCGCGCATGACGGCGCCCGGCGCCCGGGGCGGACACTACGAGTCGTCGCGCGACTTGCGAAATAGCGACGCGCGCTCGCGGGCCCGCACGGAGCGCGAGGCTGCGTCTGGACGAGGGCAACATAATCGCGGGGGCGCGAACAGGGCCGCTCGGACGTACGTTTCCACGGCACACCCCAGCTCAGACGTAGACGAGGCAGCGGACGCCCCCGGGGGCGCGCAGACGGAGCGCCGCAGGGGCGACCGGAGGCGCCTGCCCCGGTCGCAACGTCGCAGAGGGAAGTACGCGCGTGGCAGCGAAGGGCAAGACACGCGGATCCCGGTCTGGACGTACAAGCACAAGTCCGACGACGAGACCGTTCTGCAGACTCTCATGGTGAGCCCCCGCACGTCGCGCGCCCCGCCCGCGCCCCGCGCCGCCCGCCACGCGTGGCCTGCGCCAGGGGAGCGCTCGCGGCTGAGTCACCCGCCTCGGACGGCTGCGCGGCGCAGAGGGAACTGCCGAACCGGTTCCGCACGGTGACGTCCGCGCGGAAGGCGTGTCGGGGGGACTTCGTGCGAGTGAATGGGGATCTCGTCGCGCAGGACGACGTGGTGCGCGCCGGCGACGAAGTGACGCTGTTCGAGGTGCGGCGCCCTCCACGCGCGCTCCCGCGTCGTCCTCGACGCGAGTCCCCCGCGCCCGCGACCACGGGTGCGTTGGTGGTGTCCCCCGCCCCGCAGAAGGTGCTGACTGTGCCGGAGGTGATCAAAGTGGGCAAGGACGTCGCGATCCCGGGCCACGGCACGCCGGAGCTCAGCGGGGTGGAGCGCCACGCGCCGGACGAGGGCGCGACCGCGGCGCAGTTCCACTACGAGGATGGCGAGGTGGCGTGGAGCGGGACGACGAACGAGGGCTTCCGGATCCTGTACGAGGACCGGGACCTCGTGGTCGTAGAGAAGCCGCGCGGCATGCGCGCGTCGCCCAAGCACGGCCCGCGGCCCCAGGGCGCGCCGCGAGCGCACGAGCACACCGCCACGCGGGCGTACGTGTTGGCCAAGTGCCTGGAGTCGAGGCGGGAGACCGAGTCCGGCGTGGCGGTGGACCTGGACGAGTTCGTGCGGACGCAGGCGGACCGCATCCGGGGGCAGGTGCCCGACTCGGCGCGCCCGTTGTGGATCCCAGAGGCGGTGCTGGGCGCCGACACGTGGGCGGGCGGGCTGTTGGTGCTCGCGAAGACGAGCGAGGCGCGCGACGCGCTGCGGCAAGTCTTCGCGGAGGACCACCCGCTGCGCGTGGAATCCAAGTGGGTCTGCGTGACTACGCGCAGCGTGCCGCAGGCGGGCCGGCAGGTTCGGATTCGGCTCGACGGGCGCTTGGCGGCGTCGTGGGTGACGCCGCTGCGGCGCGTGCGGTCGGCGAAGCCGCAGCTGACGGACGGGAAGCCCGAGGTTGAGGTCGTGGCGGTCACCACGTCAACGCTCCGCAGACGCCAGGTCCGCCGACACATGGCGTACGCGGGGTACCCGGTGCTGGGCGACGAGCAGGTGCGGACCGCGGACGCGGGGCGGGGGGGCCGAGCGATCGGGTGCACGCGTGGGAGCGCCGCGCGAGGGAGTCGAGGACATGCGTGTCACTTTCGATCCTGGTTTCTCGATCGGTTGTCCCTCGCAGACGCGGTACTTGGTGAAGAAGCGCGGACGGTACTCCTCCTCGGCGCGCGGGCTCGTGTACGACCCGAACCTCGGCGTCCACGTGGACCCCGTCACGCGCCAGCCCGTTGCCGACGCCATCCTCGGCAGCGCGCGGGAGGCGCGGGTCCGGTCGCGCGCGGACCTGCAGCGGGAGCGCGGGCAGCGCAAGACCGTCGTGTCGCGCGCGGTGGAGGTGCGCCTCCCCGCCAGAGCCCGACAGCGCGCCTTGCCTGACTGACAGGCGTGAAAGCGGCAGGGGGGGTCCTGACGTCTCGTGGCGGCGCCATGTTTGTTTGCGACGCAGGACCTGAACAGGATGCACCTGGAGTCGCCGTCTCGCGCGGAGTACGAGGCGCAGTTGCAGCGCCCGGAGCCAGTGTCGGACAGGGGCGGCCTGACTGACGGCGAGACGTTTGACGACGAGGGGCGCGGCGCGGCGGTGCAGCGGGCGCGGCGGGAGCTCCTGTCGGACCGCCGGAGCCGCTCGGGCGTCGCCGGGGACGGCCCGGCGGCTTCGCCGGACGTGTCGGGGGCGGAGCGACGGGGGTTGGATGCGCCGCGCGTCATGCGGCACGCGCACGGGGCGAGGAGCCCCCCGCTGGCGCTGTGGTGCGTGGGGCTGCGGATCGAGCACCCGGTGACGGGGAAGATAGTGCGCGTGCAGACGGGCCTGCCGCCCGAGGTGCGCCACGCGCTGGAGTCGGACGAATGGTACGACGGTGTGTTTGAGCAGTGGGCCAAGGTGAAGCCGCCCGGGACGGAGCAGCGGGAGCAGGACTGGCGGCGGCGCAGCGGGCCGGAGTTCGCGCGTAGTGCCAGGCAGGAGTGGGAGGACGCAGACCTGAATTAGCGCGATGTCGTCGATGGCGGGGCAGCGGGCGCACAAACGCACGGGTCTCTGGTCGTCCGCGCTGGCAGCGTGTGTAGGCGCTGCGCGTGAAACAAGGGTGTGCGTGCCTCTGACTGTGAGGGTTGGTTCTGATCTGGCTCACCGACCGGCACGCGTGCACGGAGGGGGGGCGGGAAGAGGGGGAGGGGTGGCTGTCGGAGCACGCTGTAGGGGCAGTGCGACGCTGCGAAGGTCGAACCTCGTTCGCAACGAACGGGACAGTCTCACAGCGCAGTCTGAGCACGAGCCGCGGCGGTGAGAGCCATGGACGCGCACGCGCGGACAGGAGCATCTAGCGAGTCCCAACGGCCCACGACGCGCTGCGCAGCCACGGAGCGCCCCTCCTCCGGCTGCGCGGCCCGCGCGCGTCCCCAGCGTCAGCTCGACACCTCGGGGGACTCTACGAAGCCGACGCGGCGCGCCTTTCGTTCCTTCGCGCGACGGTTCGACTTCTTCAGGATGCCCCGCGGCGCGCGCAGGGCCTCGGTGCCGGGGCGCGCGCCCCGCTGCGCCCGCTCGAACGCCGCGATGCGCTCGCCCTTCACCTTGGCCCACTCCGCATCGCATGCCGCCATGAGCTCCGACAGGTCCGCGCCCAGCAGCGAGCGCGCCTCGGCGATCAGGTCCGGCCACATCGCGTCGTAGCGCTCCCGCGACTCTGCACGCGGTCGCGGCGGGGACGTACGTACGGGCGGTGAGGTAGGGGGGGGTGGCGGAAGCGCGCAGCGTGGGGGAGAGTGGTGCGCTGCGGGGATGGCGCGCGGGAGCGTCGCCGCACCTTGGTCGAGCTCGGTGCCGCTCCAGTCGCACCGCGCCCACGGGAGCCCGTCGGCCCACTTCTGCGCCAGCTTTCTGTTCACGTACACCTCGCGCACCATCACGAGCGCCTCCACCATCGGCGCGCCCTCGTGCGTCGGGGGCTCGGCCCACGTCGCGGCGGCCGCGCCGCCCTCGCGGCCCGCGGGCGACGGCAGGAGGTCCCACGCGGGCAGGGGTGGCGGGGGCCGCGCCGCCGAGGTCGGGCTGATGTCCCGCGCGGGCGCGCCGCTGAGTTCGGGCGACCCCGAGGGCGTCGACGTCGGCGTGACGTCGATCCCCAGGCCGCGGCGGGGCGCCCTAGTCTTGCGGCGGGCCGCCCCGCCGCTGCCCGGCGGGCGCTGGGCGGGCGCCTGGCCAGTCGGACCGGCGCGGTGGGTAGGGGACAGATTCGGGGTGTCCGGGGCGTCGTCGGGCGCGGCGGCGTCGCGCGTGTCCTCCGTTCCTCGCACCATGCTGGGTGCCGCTGGCGCAGTTGACTGCAGGCCCCCCGCCACGGAGTCCCCGGGGGGGGTCTTGGCCAGGGCGCGCGCGTCGTGGCGCCCGAAGAGGTCCGGGAGGCCGGCGGCGGGCCGCGGGAGTCCGTCCGTCGCGGCCATCGCGCGTGGCACGAGGCGCGTGCAGCGAGGAGCGCCTGGGCCAGGGGCGGCGCGGACGGGGGTTGTCGAGGGCTCGCGCGGGCGGGCGCGGCCTCGAGCGGGATGATCCGTGCGGGGTCGGCGAGCTAGGACCTGGGCGGGCGCCTGATGGCGTCGAGCAGGTCGCTCCCGGCCTCGAGAGTGCTGTCTCCGGCCTTGAGCTGCAGTCCAAAGTTGGAGGGCCGGCGCGGGCCGGTGACGCCGGGGGGCGATGCGCAGGCGCGGATACGGGAATGTAATGAGCGCGTTGCGGCGGGGCGGGCCGGCCGGGACCGCGCGTCGGCGCGGCGCGGGCGCCTCGCTGGTCACGGGAGGATGGCGCTGCGGGGCGCGCACCGCGAATTCGAAGAGCTCGCGCGCCGTCCGGTTGGGGATGGCTCGAGGTGAGACACTGCGTGGGCGCGGAGGGGGCGCGAAAACGCGGTCGGCGACGCGCTGTGGGCCCACGTTGGAGCCGTCGATTCAATGACCGAGGGGCAGCTCGGCGGGGCCGTCAAGCGATCTGGATTCGAGAGCGAGGGGCGAGGATGTGGACACAGAGGCGGCGGCGGGCGCAGGCAGGGCGAAGCGACGCCAGGCGGGCGCGGAGCGGCACTGATCCATGTCGCCCGAAGCGGCAGCCCCCGAGCGCCGCCGCAGCGCAGGGACCACACCGAATCATCGCGGCCGCGGGTGATTTCGGCACGAACCCGGACCCTGAACGCGGCGCACAGCGCGCGGACGCGCGGTCGCGCCCCGGCATCGCCAGGTGGTTTGCAGCCTGGAAAACGCGCGGCCGGCGCACCTGATGACTCCTTCTCGCTTCAGGTAGGAGATGCAGAGAGTCGTGATCGCGAGCTGTTTGACGACAGCGCCAATCCAGTTGGACATGAGCCCCAGTCGAGGGCAGCAGCAGCAGCACACCAGCCTTGGCTGCAAAGCACTCCGCCTCGCACGCGCTCGTACCGCGGCTCGCTCGCCGTTTGTTGCGCGACAGGACCCCGCCAGCGACGCAACGATGCCACTCCCTCGCGCGCCCGGGCGGCCAAGGCCGCGGAAACGCCGCGCGCGGACCTTGACTGAGACCCCGCACTGACACCTCTGCTGGCGCGCCACGCGCCGCCCCGACCGCTGACGAGGCGCGCGCGCGGCGCGCGGCGGCCCGGGTAGTTGCGGGGCGGCTGTCGGCGCGTGCGCGAGGGCGGTGTGCGCGGGGCCTTTTCCCGAGGCGTTGTATGCAGCGAACGTCGCGGTGTGTCGCCGGGCGCGGGGGGCCGTGGCGCGGCGGCGCGGCGCGGTGCGCGACGCGTCGTCACAATACCTTCGAACGTGCCGGGCGCGAGGCTCGACACGCGAAGACCGCCGCGCTCCCGGCGCGGCAGCGAGCCCAGCTGTTGGCCAGGTTCCCGCGCGCTGCCGCCCTCAGCGAGCGCAAGCTGCGCGCGCCGCCGCAGCCGATCGCCACTGCGGAAGTGCCGGCGCCTCAAAGCACGCCTCCACGCGACCCCGCAGCGCGCGTCACGCCCCCCGGTACTTGGCAGCCTCTGGCACGTGCATGCGGGCGAAACGCGCCGCGCACTTCTCCGGCGGGACCAGCGCCCGCACGCGCGCGACGTACGCAGCGAGGCGCTTGCTCCGCAACACCGCTGGCGTCGTTTGGGGGGAGTACCACGGCGCGTGGAAGTACTGCTCGAGCGCGGAGTATGTCATGCAGTCGTGCGCGCACGGCGTGTCCCCGCCGAAGAACTCCTCGCCCCTGCGACGGCAAACCGTGCGCGCGCGCAGCGGTGGGCCTCGTCGGGGCGCCGGCGTCGCGCGTGCGGGCGTGGGCGCTGCCGGCATGCGTGAGGGTAGGGCGGCGCAGGCACGCGGCGGGCGGCGCACCCCAGGAGCCCCTCGAGCGTCGCGATGATCTCCTCGACCTCCGCGGCGATGTCGGTCTGACTGAACCGCGCCGTTCCGACCTGCGAGCGTCAAACCAAACCACGTGAGTGCGTCGCACCAGTGCGGGGTGACGGCCGCATGCTAGCGTGCGCCGCGAGCCACCTCGCGCGCGGCCCTGGTGAACGCGAGGGGCGAGCGGGGCCTAGCTGAGCCGCAAGCTGTCATGTACGTACTGTTTCTGATTATATATGAAGATTATATGTAAAAGATTATATCTATGAAGATTATATGTATGTAAGATTGTATATATGCAAGTGATGTCGCTCACCCGGTACATCGACTCCTTGAGGTCGTTGCGCACCATCGTGCTGATCAGCGGCCGGATCGGCCCCGGCACGCCCGCGAAGAGGCTCTTCGTGACGTCCCACGCGCCCGGGCCCGGCCGCACCCACCGCTGGTGCAGCTCGAAGAAGTACAGGCTCTCGTTGCACAGGCGCGCGGCCGCAGCGGCGCACGCCCAGCGCCGCGGGTCCCGCGCCTCGCACTCGAACAGCGCCTGGACGCCGCGGTGGTGCGGCAGGACCTTCCGCAGGTACCTGCGCGCCGCGGCGGTGTGGCAAGCACAGGTAGGTGGTAGTTGGTATTTCATATCTCTCAGTTCATTCTTCGACAGTGGATACGTCGGAGGGGTGGCCAACGTGGGCGCGCGGCGTCCCAGGCGCCCCACCCGTCGCGCCGGCGCCGAAACCACGCCGACGAAGCACGCCGTTGGCAGGTGCACGGCGCCGTTGCAGCACGACACCGCCGCCACACTGACCTGATGATGAACCCCGAGTCCGTCACCGTCCTGCCGCGGTGCTCGATCCACGGCATCTTGTGCTTCGGCCCCTTGTCCGGGAGCGCCTCGACGCACCGTTTCTCGAGGCCGGCCAGCTCCAGGAAGCAACACACTCTACTGACCGCCCAACTGACGCTGAAGTGCGCCTCGCCCAGCCTGCCGCCGCCGTACACCGTGACGACGCCCGGGTCCTCGTCCGCTCCGACGACGCCGCCGTCGCCCAGCTCGGGAACGCACGGCGCGGGGTCGTGCCAGCTCCACAGGAAGTTGCGTCGGACCGCACGCACGACGGCCACGGCGCCGACCGCGGCCGCGCCCAGTGCGAACGACTGGACGTCGACGTACATTGTTCGCTGGTGGCCTTCGCTCTTCGAGCGCGCTGGCGAGGAGCGAGGGGCGCGCTCCCGCCGCGGCTCAGTCCAGGTCGCTGCGCCGCGTGCAGGACCCTTGCAGTTGGTGCGAGATCGGTCCAACGCGATGCCTTGGGAATGGTGGTCGCGTGCGCGCCCCGTCATCTCGCGATGAACCCCTGCAGGAGGCCTGCGGCGGGTACTCCCCCCGGATGCCGCTCCTGCGCCGGACACACGTCGTAAATGCACATATCCTGCTGATCTTTGAATCTCCAGTTGCATGACAATCACGGACATCTCACAAACTGGCCGGAAACAACTATGACGACGCCCTGGGGGGTGCGGTAGCAAGGTGGTGGTGGTTGGTCCCACGAGACGCTACCCACCTCGCCTTTCCCGACGACGTCCCCGTCCATCCAGCGACGGCACGTCCACTCTGCTTCGGGCAGCCCCGCGCGCACGCCGTCACGTCGCGTCGCATCACACCAGGGGCTGACGTCGCCGACGCCGCGCCACCGCAGCCCGCGCCAGCCTCAGCCCCGCAGCCGCCCCATGCGCACCACGCCGCCAGCAACAGTCTTCTTGTTCTGCTCCCCCTGCGCCGCCTGCCCCGCCTCCTCCCCTCGCGCGTACCCCAGCCCCTGCGCGCGCCCCGCCTGCCCTGCAAAGGACCCATCTGCGCGGTGACCCGCGCCCGCGGCCTTGTCCTTGTCCTTCTCCTTGCCCCCCGTGCGCCGCTCGCCCATCCCGGCGTGCAGCAGCAACGCCCCAGCGTCCAGCTGCGCACCGCGGCCAATGACGGCGCCCGACTTCTTCGGCGCCGCCTGCGCGCCCGCCGCCGCCTGCGCGCCGCCGCCCGCCTCCACGGCCTCCCCCGTGTCCGCCCACTCGTACCTGCGCGCACCCGCACACGTCCACTCTCGCGCCTGGCGCAGTACCAATGCGCAGCACGCGGCAAACCACCGTGAGTCCGCGCCGCGCGCACCTCGTCGTCGTGGGGTTGTAGCGCATCCACCGCGCCTGCTCCGCGTGGAAGTAGCACTGGGACTTCTTATCGTATAGCATGCCGGTGGTGTGGTCGTGGTAGTACCCCGACGCCGCGTCAAACGTCATCCCGGGCACGTCCGCGTCGTCCTCCAGCTTCTCCGCCTTGTCCGCCGCCCCGCCCGCGTCCGCCGCGCCCAGGGCCGCGCTCTCGTCGAACTGCAGCGGCTGCCACCCCGACGCCGCCTCGCCGGCCGCACCGTGCGCCCGCGGCGCCGCCGCCGCAGGAGCGGCGTCCCCGCCGACGCCCGCCTCCTTCCCGCGCGCGAAGTGCAGCCTGACCGGCGTCGCCTGCGTCGGCGGCACTGCGCCCTGCAGGCCGTTGATGGCGCGCGTGGCCTCCGCGACGGACCCGAACTCGCAGTACGCGAACCCGCGCGGGCGGCCCGTGAACTTGTCGCAGATCACGCGCACGTCCACGACGCCGTACGGCCGCATCCACTGCAGAAGCACCACCTCCCCGGTCTCCGCCGCCAGGCCCGTGGCGCGCACGACGTGCGACGGCTCGTTCATCAGGGAGCTGTCGACGTTGTCGGGGACCGGCTCGCCGGACCGCGGCGCCCCGCACCGGAAGCAGGCGTCCCTGCGCGCGAAGTTGTTGCACTGGCAGCGCGTGCACATCCAGTCCGAGTACGCCGCCGCGCCGCCGGACCGCGCGTCCGTGGGCGCCGGGGCGTACGCGATCGGTACGGCGTAGTCCATCGCCAGCCTGCGGAGGAAGAAAGCCGCCGCATGGACACGTCGGGCTCCCCGGATGGCGCGAACCGCCCCGTGATCGCTTGGCGATCGAAATCGTGCGCGCGAGCTTCGCGGCAGGATGTGGGAGCATCGCAGGGCCGCCGGCGACGTGCTTGTCGGCGGAGGCGCGCGGGGCCGCTGTGTGTTGGCGGCGGGAGCGTACGTGGCCTCGTTGACGCGCAGGGGCTCCATCTTGTGCGTTTCGATCGCCTTGATCGCAGCGTCGATGCTCTCGAACTCCAAGTAGCCGTATCCGCGCGATTCCTCGGCGCGGTCCCGCACGACGCGCACGCGCTCCAGCGCAGCGCGGCACTCGGCGGGGAGGCTCGTGCGCACCGCCGACTCGATCTGGGCGTCGCCGGCCTGCCGCGGGAGACGCCACATGTACACGCGGTTCGACGGCTGCGCCGCGCTGCCTGGTTCGCGGGCCGCGGCGGCGCGGGGCGCCTCGCACTTGCGGCACACGTCGCTCCTGTCGTAGTTGTCCTGCGTGCACGCGCAGCACGTCCAGTCCGGACCGTCGCTGCAGCACAACGAGAAACAAAGCGATCCGCGCGTGAGGCGGCGCAGCGGAGCCGTCGCCCGGGCGGCATCTTCGCATCATAAAAAACACATCTTGCAAATAGTGCGGTTTCTTCCGCGCGATTGCTGCGCCGGCGGCGTCCGGACGGCGATGGCGACGCGGCGATTTCGCGCACCTGTGGCGCCGGCGCCCGCGCGACGGGCTGCGCGACCAGCTGCGCCGGCGGCGTGGCGCCGCGTCGTAGCTGGGACTCCGCCGGTGGTGGCTGCGCCTGCGGTGGCGCTCGCGGCTCGAGCTACGGCTGCGCCGATAGCGGTCGTCGCTGCGGCTCCGGCGACGGTACCGCTCGGGGCTGTGCCGCGTGCCGCCGCGGCGAGGAGGCGTGCCGCGCCTGCGGTGATCCCCGTCGCGGTCGTCCCTGCGGCGCTCGCGGTCCCGGCTGCGGCTCCGGCTGCGGCGCCACTCCCGCGATGCCCCGCGCTCGTCGTAGTCCAGGTCCGCGTAGCTCACGAGCTGCCTGCGGTGGCCGATGCGAGGCGGGAAGGTTGAGAGCGGGCGGCTGGGCCGGGGCGGCTTGCTCTCGGAAGCGACCTGCCGCTGTCGCGCGAGAGACACACAGAGGTGTCCCGCACCTGCGTCGGCTGCCGCGGTCGTCTCTCTCCCTCTCGTCGCGGCGCCTGCCATCCCTCTCTCTGTCGTGCCCTTCAGGGCTCCGGCGCCTGCCGTCCTCCCTCCCCTCTCCCATCGCGGCCTTGGGCTAGCTCGTCTCGTCCGGGGGGCGCCGCGCTCCACCTCGCGCGAGGCAGCGTCCGCGCGGGACGGCGTGGTGATCCGGAACAGAACGAGGCCCTGTTTCCTGCGGTGTCTGCCGAACGTGGCCGTGGCGCGCGCCGTGTCAATACACACGTCATCCGGTGCTGCGCCGGCGCCACCACGTCAACGTCTCCAAGCACGCGACACCCCTCAAGCAAGCAGACGTGCTGCTGCTCGTGTCTCTCGCCCGCAGGCCCCGCCCCCGCAGGGGCCGCGGCCTCTCAAGGCATCGAGGCTCAGGTCACGTCACACAAGCGAGCACAGGGCGCGGGCTCCACGAGGACATACGCCAAGATCTCGTCCAGACGGCCGCTGCACCTCCGTCCATGCAGGTCGCGCTCACGCCTCCTCCGCAGGCCAACACGGTGCCGAGAACCCCCGGGCAGTGACGCGTGCGCGCGCGTGCAGCGGGCCCTGAGCCGCGCGCTGGCGCCGTGCGACGGGGATGTGAGCGCCGGACGTCCCCCCCGCCCGTCTGGAGGGCGCGCGGGACATGGCCGCACACGGCGCTGCGCGGGACGCATAAAGGCCGTCGAAGGCCTCTCGTGGGCGCGGCGTCGTCGCGGTAGAGCAGCGCGTCGAGGCGCTACGGTGTTGCCAGTGCGCCGGGCGAGAGGATGGCCGAGGAGGTGACTTACACGGAAACGTACCGCAACCAGGATGGAAAGAAGGTGCGGAGGAAGGTCCGCCAGGTGGTCGTGAAGAAGAAGAAGCGGGGGAACGAGGACGTGGACGTGGCTGGCGTGGGAACGCTCGCGGCCACTCTGCTCGCCGCTACCGCCGTCCTCGGCGCCGTGGCGTTCCGGCTCCTGCGGCGGAGGAAACAACCATCAGACAGCGCGCCGAAAAAGCCAGGTAACTCAACACGGCGGTCCCAGCTCCACGCAGGGGATGCACTTCGGCGTCGCTGGAACCCGTCACCGCTCCGCTCACGCCCCGCACGCGCCCTTGCGACCCGCGCCGCTGCGCAGGGACCTCGGCAGGCACCGCCGCGAGCAGTCTGCCGCGCAACAGGCAGAACAAGAAGAAGAAGCAGGACAGCAAAGCACGCAGGAGGCAGGAGGGGGCCGCGGGCGCGGGGCCGAGCGCGGGCGTGCCGCAGGGGAGCCTGGAGAACTGCGGCATCTGCGGCGGGCAGGCCACGAAGAACAAGGGCGGGTTCGTGCGCGCGAAGCTGAACGGCGTGGAGGGGGTGTTTCACAACTCCTGCTTCAAGTGCCAGGGGTGTGGGAAGCAGCTGTCAGGTGCGTTCGGCCCGTCACGGAGGTGCCGCAGCGTGGTGCGCGTGTGCGGCGGGAGAATGCGTGACGCGGGCGGCGTTCTTCGGCCGTTGCGTGCGCGTGCGCTGCCTGGGAGGCTCATCGCGGTGCGGGCGCTGCTGCCTCTGTCGCGACGCGCAGGCCGGGGGACGTCGAAGTCGTACTACGAGCACGGCAAGCGGCCGTGGTGCAAGGAGTGCTTCGGAGAGCAGGTGGCGCCCAGGTGAGCGCCACACACACTCACACGCCTGGAACACGTGCACAGCGCCGCCGCAGTGCGCCGTGGGCCGCCCGCTGTCCGGAGGGGGCCCGCGGTCACGGCGCGATGCCTGCTTCGCGGTCCCGTGGCGCTGGGGGTTACTGCGGACGAAAGAAAGGCGCTGAGACTATACAAGGTATCTCACGTTGCGCGGGGGAGGGTTCCGGTGCGTGCAGGTGCTCGGGCTGCGGGAAGCCGTGCATGGGCGGCGAGGGTCTGAACCGCCGCGAGATGACCACCATCGAGGCGATCGGGCGGCACTGGCACGCGTCGTGCTTCAAGTGTCGCTCCTGCGGCACGCGGCTGCAGGGGACGTTCGTGGAGTCGATGGGGATGCCGCTGTGCAAGCGGTGCGGCGGGGCGCGGTGACGCGGGCGCGTGGCGGGCGGCACTGGGCTACCACGCGGCGGGGGTGTGCCTGTAACTCGAAAGGTTCATTTCAATCGACCGATTTCAAATCAATCGAGCAAACAGTGATTGCAGCAGCGGGAGGGCCATGGAGCGCGCCCGTGGCGGCGGAGGGGGCTGCGGAGCCGGGCCCGCGTGCCTGGCCAGCTCTGCGTGAAGCTGCCAGCGAGCACGTGGGCGCCCCGCGGTGCGAGCGAGCGTGCCTGTGCCCCGCACTCATCGTGTCGGTGTGTGCGTACGGAGACGGTTGGCCGCCGCGGTGGGGCCGGACGGCCAGGCGCCCAGCGAGCGAGACGCGGCCGACGGCGACGGGGGCGGCCGTATGGGCGGGGCCCCGCTGTGCCGGTGCGGGCGGAGGAGCAACGGACTCGTGTGCAGCGTTGTGGTGTTCCAGTGGTGCTGTTGGTGGGCTGCTTCTCTCGGGTGCGACGCCGAGGCCATCGGGAGTTGCGGCCGGGCACCGGGGTGCGGTGCGCAGCCGGTGTCTCGGCGCCGGGCGCGAGGGCACCCGCCAACGTTGGCATGAGGGCTAGGCGCAGGGGCGGGACGTGGCGCGCGGTGCGGAGCGGCGTCCGGCGACATTGTGCGTGTACGCGTGAATGACGCGTCCGTTTGGGCAGTGGTGCGCGCGCTGGACGACGGCGTCGCGGCCCTGGTTTCGATCGGGAAAGCGCATTCGCCGATTTGCCGTCTGTCGCGGCCCCGCGACGTTCGTCGACCAGGCCGTGCTCCGCCCGCGCGACGCCGGACGTATACGCCGTGTGCGTGAGCCGTGCGCCGCTCGGGCGGGGCGTTTCTTCGGCCCTGTCCGTGACCAACCGAGTCGGACGCCGCAGTCTGCCTGCCTGCCTCTGCGTGGCGCCGCGCGGGCGCATGAGGGGAGCGCCTGCGCGCACGTCTGGCCCACAATCAACGCCTCGGATCTGACTGCAGTGGTATTCTCGCCGAAAGCTTCCGCGCGTGGCTGTTGGAGCTGCGTCGTTGCCCCGAGCGCGGCGTTGCCAGCCCGTGCGCGCACCTCTCCGCGGTGGACCCCGCGGGCGGCGCGAGGTCGGTGATTTTTCCGCCCGGTCGCATCGGCGCAGTCATGTCGAGCCCACCGGACGGCGAGGCACCCCCTAGTGCCCAGGTGCCCCAACCAGCCCCGGGAAGCGCCCCCGCGGACGCTGCGGCGGCACCGACGCCCGCAGATGCCTCACCCGTCGTCGAGGACATCGACCAGAACGACGAGTCCGCGGAGGACGACCAGAGCGGCTCGGGGCTGGCAGAGAGCCTTCACACAAACCACGCCCACAGCGGCTCCGCCGGGCGGCGGCGTCCGGGCGAGGTGCGCATCGTCGCCTCCCAGAGCCCCGACGCGTCGACCCGGGCACGCTGCTCTGACTGCACGACCGCCTGTGCGGCGCCCGCGCGCCGCGCTCGTGTTGCCCTGACAGTTTGTTCCTGCGGGCCGCTCAGCGCCCACCCGCGCCCCGCCCGGCCCCCTAACACGCAGTCGCGCGGCAAGAAGTCCAGCAGCTCCTCCCTGGAGCTGCGCGCGGGGCCCGTCACGCGCGAGAGAGCCCTGGTGCGCCCCCGGACCAAAACCGAGCACGCAAACTGGAGGCACGCCGAATGCGCCGCGCGTGCCCCGCGCTTTGGCGTGCCTCGCGCGGCGCCGCGCCCACCGCGCGGGGACCTGCTCGGCGGCGGCGCGGGGGCGGCCCCTGCGGCCCCCCGGGCGCGCTCGCGCCGGCGCGGGTAACTGCCTGGCAGAGGGCATAACCGCCTCGAGGGCGGCCGCCGCGCTCGGTCGCGTGGCTCGCGGAATAACCCTGCCTTGCTTGCGCCCGGGCGACGCGGGTCTACTTTTCTCGCGGCCCGCACCGGCGGGGCCCGAGCTCGCGCCGGTTGGCCCCTCCCTCGCGCGCCGGCGGCGGGTCCCCGCGGGGAGCGCGCCGTTTCCTGCCGTCGGGAACGATCCCTCTTCGCTCGATGGCACGTCACGCCCTCGCTCCGCGCACCGTGCGGCGCGGGCTTTGCGCCACGGACCGCGCGGACCGGTTGCCTTTCCGCTCGCCCAGGCGCCGTGCACGCGCAGGGCGACCCGCCCACTCGAATGTCCATGGCTGATTCCAACCCGTGCGGCGCGCGCGCCCCCCCCTGCCGCGCGCACCGCCCCGGCGCCGGCGCCCTCCCGCTGCAACGATCGAGGCCGTCCTCCCTCGCGCTCCCGGGTCGTGCGCGCCGCGCCGAGGCCCCCGCCCCCGCGTCGCGATCCCCTCACTTCCCAACCTCGCGATTCCCGCGCGCACCTCCCCCCCGCAGGAGCTCCTGGAGCGGCTCGGAGTCAAGGGGGAGCTGGCAACATGCAGGGCGTCCCTCGCGCCCGCCTCCTCGCAGGCCAACTACATGGGCAAGTACAAGATCGCCTCGAGGTCCGCACCGCCGCCCGCCGCCGCCCCGCCCGCGCCGCCCCGCCCCCCCCGCGCCCGCGCCCCCGCCCAAGACCGCCCGTCCCGCCCACCCCACCCCGACCCCCGCACGCGTGCGCAGGGGCCGCGAGTCCTCCCGGACCGCGCACTACATCTTCTGCCACTGCTCGGAGTGCCGCTGCGCCGAGGGCTGCCTCCTCGAGCCCGCGAGCGGCAAGAAGGGCCGCGTGTTTGCCGCCGGGTCGTTCAAGCTGCACGAGACCGGCACGCGGTCGCGGTCGAGCCCCGGGCGCGACGTGCTGCTCTGGGTGGACGAGGACAACGAGTGGCGCTCGATCGAGGAGCTCAAGGGCCGCGAGGCGCGCGTGCCGTCGTACCTGATCGGCGCGACGGAGGCGATTGGCGCGCTCGAGGGTTCCAAGGGGATCGTGACGCGGCGCACGGCGCGGAAGCAGCGCGGGGAGGACAGCGTGGAGGTGACGGCGTCGCAGCTGCTGTCCGGGTCCGGCGGGAGCGAGCCGCCGTCGCGCAAGCGCGCGCGCACCGGGGCGGGCGCCGGCACGGGCAACGGCAGCGGGAGCGGGAACACGCCCGCGGCGAGCGGGCGCACGAACGGCGCGTCGACCGTGCACGGCGCGCGCGGGACCGCCAACGCGCAGGGCCCCGCGCAGGCCGGCGAGGTGGGCGACGAGGGCGCGGAGGCAATGGCCATCGACACGCTGCAGGCGCTCCTGGGCGGGGGCGGCGGCGGCGGGGGCGGCGCGAGCACGTCGCCGGACGAGGGCTCCTCGATGGGCAAGGCGGCCGCGGGCGGCGCGGCGGCGGCGGCGGCGGCGGCCGCGATCGCGCCCGGCGGCGGCGTGGCGTCGGACCTGGAGGCCTACATGGGCTCGCTGCACCGGTCCGTCGCGGAGGAGGGCCACCAGCTGAGCAAGATCCGGGACCGCAAGGCGCAGGTGGACCGCGAGATCCAGCGCGTGCAGCGGCAGATGGAGGACCTCGGGCGCAAGATGCAGAGCCTGGACACGGAGCGCGGCGCGCTGGATGTCGACATCCAGGAGCGGATGGTGAAGCAGGAGCAGCTGCGGCTGTGGCTGTCGGGGATCTACTCGTCCGTGCAGGCGGCGCAGCAGCACGGCGGGGACGCGGGGCAGCGGACGGCGGCGGCGCAGGCGGTTTGACGACGCGCGACGACGGCGCTGTTCGCGCGCGCAGTGCGCGGCGGGCGACCGCCCGGGCCGCCCCCCGCCGACGGTGCATTGCTGCACGATTGCATAACACGTCCCTGTCATTCGCAGACGACCCGGCCGTGCCTGCGTGCCCGGACCGGCCCAGTGCCCGCAGCAATGCGCAAGCGCCGCCCCTGCCGCCGCGTTGGCGGCGGTGCGGCGCCGGGCGCGGACGCTGCGGGCGGGCGGAGGCCCCGCCCCGCGCAGGCATGCAACGCACGCGGAGCACCGCACGCAGCATGTATGTCGCACTAGTTTCAGGACTCCCCCCCACGGCATTTCTCTTGTACTACAAGGACTCCCCCCCCCTCCTCCCCCGCCCCCCGCGCGCCACGCACGTCGTCCACCCCCTCCCCAACAGGCCAACTCAATCAGTGTCGGGGACCCCACCCACTTCAGGGACCCCTGACGAGTATTTGTCCTCACCTGCACGGCGCAAAGTGCCCCGTGGCCCCTAGCTCACGGCCTCTGCCACTGTAAGCGACCACAGTGCACTCCAGCTGTGAGGGTGTCGCGCCACCGGTGCCGCGTGATCCTCATCACGACTGTGCTGTCCTGCTGCGTGAAGCGTTGTGCGGGACGTTTCCCACCGTAGCGACCACGCGCATGGCCGGTGCCGTACTGGCCTGACCGCGATACCGGCACGCCAGGAATGCGAGCGGCGGCCTCGCATGGCAGTGTGCCGGTGCGGCCCCACCCGGAAGGCTGACGTCATCCCCGGCCTGTATGAGCAGAGGACGGCCTCCCCCGCTGTAACGAGCGCGGCGCCGCGATGTCCGGGCGCAGTAGCGATCGCGTGCGCATGCAGCAGCGATACCTCGCTGTTTCAGACGTCTAGACCGAGCGTCGGGCCTCCAGGCGCGCGCAGCCACCCGTCCGAGGACAGGACAACTGCCGCGTCCGGCCGGCCTTTCGCGGCCCGTTCACGCGCGCAGCGAATCCCCTGAGCGGCGGGAGACCCGCATTCACGGCGGCAGGGATGCTCGACGACAAGGGCGCAGGCGCGCGGTGCGCGCTGCGCAAGTGCAGCACTTGGCGAGAGCAGTCTGGCGAGTCCTTGGGTACGTCGAACATTCCGCGTGCGCCCGGTTCCAGGTGCCTGGGCCACCGCGCGCGCGCCTTTGATGTCCAGGCTGCGTGTTTCCGGATCGAAACGCCGCAGAATGCCAGCCTGCGCGACGGCACGGCGCGCGTGCCCTTGCGCGGCCGGTCGAGCGTTTCCCGGCGCTCCACGCGCGCTCGCGCTCGTTCCGTGCCCCGCAGGCGTCCCCTCCCAGCGAACAAGGTCGTACGTGCCCGGCGACGCCGACCCGGCCGCGCAGCAACCGCCTCCCCAGGCGCAGGGCCTCGCGGCGCCGCGCAACACAGCACCTGCCACCGTCGTGGAGGCGCTGCACACCGCCGACGAGCACACGCTCAGAGCCATCAACACCATCTGCAGGTACGCGCGCCGCCAGCGGCCGCGGCGCTCTCCCGCGCTGCGCCCGCGCGCCCCGCAGCGCCCGGCTCCTGCATGACATAAGATGGCGCAAGCATGACCTACCGCGGCGCGGCGCGCGCATCGCAGAATCAGCTTGATTGCGTGCGTCCTCCCGGTCCCCGCCGCAGGGAAGCCAGTCGGACTCCGGGACGCGCGACGATCCCGGGGTTGTCGGAGATTTGCAACGCCTCGCAGCAGATCGCTCAACAGCGCGACGCGCCGCGCCTGTCGCGCAACTGCCTCGCCGCCGGCACGGCGAAGCTGGCCCTGGTGCTGGCGTCGTCGGCGGTGGTGCTGTCGCGCCCGGTGCTGGTGGTGGCGGCGTTCGCGGTGGCGTTCCACGTCGCGCCTGCGGTGCTGCGCGCGGCGCGGACGCTGCCGAGGGAGCGGCCGGCGGCGGCGGACTTTCTGAGCTTCGTGGCGGAGGTCCTGTGGCGCAGCATGGTGTGGGCGGCGGCGACGCCGGGCACGCCCGCGGCGGCGATGGTGCCGGCGCTGGAGCTGCTGGCGTTCGCTGCCATCAACAGCAGGGACGGCGGGGCGTGGCGGGAGCGGGCGTTCGCGGGCGCGCCGGCGTGGATGGCGGAGGTGGCGCAGGGCGCGTCGCCGCTCGCGCGGCTCGCGGGCGCCAGCCTGGACGCGGCGCCGGCGTGGCTGCTGCTGCGAAACGCCCTGGCGCGCGGGGCGCTGCCCGGGGCGCTGACGGCGGGCCCGCTGGCGGCGGCGGCGGTGCGCGTGGCGCTGTCGCGGGAGGTGGGCGGGCTGCTGCTGGCGGGGCGCGTGGTGGGCGGGGCGGTGGAGGCGTGGGTGCTGTGCACGTTCGTGCAGCACCTCCTCGCGACCGACAACGGCGAACCCGGGACGACGGCGGTCCGCAAAGCCGAACAGCGTTATCGGTCGACCTCGCACGTGCAAGTGCGCCCCGCGAACAAGCTCTGGACCCCGGCCACGGCACTGCGCGGCAGCCGCACCGCGACACACCCCCCCTCGCAGTCCCTCCACGTTGAGATCCCGGCCACGCCGAGCAGGAAGCGCAGCAGCCCCCCGCGCGTGCTGCGCCAGCGCCTCACGTCCCCGGACGGCGAGGTCACGTTCCTCGGGCCGAAGAAGCCCAGCGCGCTGCGGCGCCTGTTCTCGCGGAACAGCAAGCGGAAGCTGGGCGGGTCGTCGGTCGACGAGAAGAGCCCGTCGCAGAGCTGACTGCGGTCCGGGTGACGGCGCTGGCGTCGACGCGGGTTCCCGCGACACCTGCCCCTCAGGCGCAGCTGCGTGGGTGCCTCGCCGGGAGTGGACGTGAGGGAGGGAGACGTGGGTCGGCAGCGCATGTACATCCAAGTCGAGGATCCCGCGCGCATTGCGCGGCGACCGCGGCGCCAGCCCCAGCCACGGACTTCTCTTCGTTCATAGTCTTGTTTTTTTGTTTCTATTTCGTTTTATCTGAAACGTGTGCTTTGCTGCGTGTGTGCCAGCCCGCGTGTACCAGCGCCTCCGTGCATCCGTCGGTATCGGCGTCCAATGCGCCGGCGACCGGCAGCGGCTGATTCGAGCCAACGCTGCTCAAAACGCTGACCAGGTGCCATGCCCTCGCGCTCACGGCCCGACAGCGTGGGTGGCGCTGCAAGGGTACCACATGCAGTGACACTGTCGTCCTGTGATCCCAAATTCAACTCACTTTCGTTCCTGCCCCCCGTCTCGCGAGTGCTGAGGTGGCAGAGCGGCGCCACGGACTCACCGCGACGGCGGCGCCTGACACGTCCGGCGCTGAGACCCGACGTTGAGGTGAGGTGTCACATTCTTCGCGTCGTCAGCCATAAGGCTTTGGGACCTGAAAAGATCATTCGACTAGGTGGCGAGTCATGCTAACCCCCCACCGTTATGGTAGCAACAGGTTCGGCAGCTGTGACAGAGTCGGCCTGGAGCAGATCCTCGATGCCACGAGCAAAGATCGCCATGCCTCGCTGATTCGGGAGGTTCAGGAGATAACGCACTGCAGCGTTGGCAGCGGCTTCCGAGTCGAGTGTTGCAGCGCCGTACAGGTCCTCGAGGTGCTGGCGTAGCCGGCGGTTGAGAGCGAAGCGGCGGCGCTGTCCAACAGTTGCCGTGGACGACAGGGGCGCATCGGCAGCGGGCGGGGGTGGCAGCGTGAGGTGCCCAGACGAGTCCATGGCCAGGCCCGCTCGTTCCCGGAGAGAGCGTACCGCTGGGGCGCAGCAGTCCAGCAGCAGGTGGCGGAGGTCCTCCGGGGCGGGCGATGCCGCCACGTCCACGCAGAAGCGGCAGACTTTCGACGGGTGCGACAGCGGTGTGTGTTGCCACTGCTGCTCCTGGTCCGCCATGGCCATCGTGGAGGTGCGCAGCCTCGTAGCTCCCACGCGCAGACGGGACAGGGCACGGCGGTCCGCGTGGTAGATCGCGGTGTCGAGCAGGTTGTGACGCACACACACAGGATCCGACAGAGCGCGCAATGCATATTCGCGCTCCGGCACTGCTCCGTGCGTCATATTGAGCCCGTGACCAAACTCACGTCAAACGAGACACGAACACGCCATCTCACGTATCCCCTGCCTCGGACTATCCTGCCCGGCAGCCTCGCCGAAGCAACGGAACTCCCCCCTCCCCCCGACGAGCCTGGCTCGAACACATGTTGCACCCAATGATCAGCAGCGCTTGTCCAGGCCGGTCGCCGCCACCAGCTCCGCCGCCCCCGCCACCTTGAGCGTCCAGTCCCACAGCCACTGCCCCACGCCCTCGTCGAGCGCCACGCGCGAGGGCTTCTCCGGCGCGCAGTACGACGAAAAGTACCCCCCGGTCCCTGACATGGCAGCCTCCGCGGGGGCCTCGCGGCTGGTCGCGCAGTACACGGTGGCGCGCGCGCCCTCGGAGGCCGTGATGTTCGTCATCGGCACGACCAGCCTGCACGCGCGAAGCGGAAAGCGAAATCAACGCCGTGAGTTCAGGTTTCAGGTTCAGTGTTTTGAACCCGCGCGAGACGGGCCCTGGCGGCTGCGTGCGGCGTGGGCGCACTTGTACAGGAGCTGGATGATCCTCGGGGACGTCCGGATGATGCCGGTCATGATGTTGCCCGGGTGGAGCGACATGCAGTGCACGTTCCACGACTCGGGCACGCGCCGCCGCAGCTCCACGTTGTACACCACGTCCATGAGCTTGCTCACGGCGTACGCCTTGAGCCACCCCCACGCGCCGGGCTGCTCCAGACCCGGGTCGTCCCGGTAAATACTCCCGATCTGCGGCGCAGCGATCCTAGTGATTCATAAGTGTATGATTAAAGAACTGCCCGACGATCGCATGGCTCCGATTTCGCACTACCGAGGTGCGCCCGGTGCGATGGAGCATGACGTTGAGGCGGACGAGGCCGTGGGCGGGCCCGGGGGGGCGCGGCGCGTTGTATGGCGGCTGTGCGGTGGGTTGCGGCGCACCTTGTGGAGGACGGACGACACGTTCACGACGCGTGCGCCGCGCTTGTACATCTCCCCGGCCTTGCGCAGGTACGGCATCATGAGCAGCGTCAGGAGCGCCGGCCCGACGTGGTTGGTGCCCACGTGCGACTCGAGGCCGTCCACGGTGGTGGCGCGCGTCGTGCTGCCGAGCTCCAGGATCCCCGCGTTGTTGATCAGCACGTGCAGGGGCTCCGCGCCCTTCTTCTCCCACTGCGCCGCGAAGTCCCTCACCTGCGGCCCGCCGCGCGCCACGGTCTGTCCTGACGTGCGCGACACGTACAACATGCGACAAGTACCACGTGCGACGCGTCCTGGGGGCGAGCCGCCGGCGCTCAGCCTCCGTCGACCCGCAGGCTGTGTAGTCGGGGGCCGGGCCGTTGCGGCGGTTCGTCGCAGGGACTGTTCGCGCAACGGACAGCACCAGGCGCGAGGAATCTGCGGGCGGGGCGCCCGGGTGCGCACCGACTTGAGCGAGGACAGGTCGAGCTTCATGACTTCGATGCGCGGGTCCGTGACTCCGCCGTCGACCGCCTCTGCCTTCAACTTGTCGCGCAGCTTGCGCCCGCGGTTGGTGTCGCGGCACGCAAGGAACACGTTCGCGCCGCGCAGGACCAGCGCGCGCGCCGTCTCAGTGCCGATTCCGGATGTCGGACCTGCGAGTGCGGGGCCGAGGGGTCGTTGGGACAGTGCCGCTCGACCGACAGCGCGCATGCACGGAAGATGTGCCTCCTGCATCCCCGTCCCAGAAAATGGCCGTCTCGGGCCCGTAACGCGCGGTCTTGACCACAATACGCATGTTGAGATCCGTAGTAACATTGTTCGAGCATGAACTTCGCGAGGCAGCGGTCGAGGTGTCGGCCAGCTGGACGTTGCCCACCCAGGCAGCTCGAGGCGCTCACCCGTGACGATGATGTTCAGAGCAGACACGTCGTCCGTCCCGACGTCTTCGAGACGCGGTACTCTCCACAGCCAGAGCTTCTGGAACATGATGTCCGTCAGCGCGGCCCGGCATCCTTCGGCGAACTCCAGCCAGCTCAAGAGATCGCCCGACATGACGCCAATATCACGCAAACACGACGTTCGACGGCGGGGACGCCAAGATCCTGCTTGAGCGCGTCGCAGGCACGCGAGAGAACCGCTTGATTCGCAACCCTGTTGGCGGGTGGCTCGATAGAGAGGTGCTGGCACGCGATGGAGCCAATGCAGCCCGAAAGGCAGACGAGGCGGTGGATGCAAGTGCAGCGTGCCGCGCCAGACGGCCCACAAGCGCGCCCGACGCCCCCGCCGCTCCGAGCATGTCGGACGCTCCGACCAGGTCAGCCTAACATCACACACCCCCCTGTCCAGCTTCCGACACAGGAATAGCACGCGCACCCCACGCCACCCCGAACTCGCGCACCGACCGGGTCCAAGCACCCTTGCGAACCTTCCTCGAGCGCCAATCCGCCGCGCCGCACGTCCCGTCGCCGTCTCCCAGGCAGCCCCACGTCGCACCTCGGCAGAGTCGAACCCGCCAGTTCCCGGGACAGCGCTCCCCCGCCGGGCCGGCGCGCACACTGCTCGCGCGCAGCAACTGCGTGCAAGCACCGGGCCGTTCCTTCGCGGCGTCCGACGCGTCCGATGGTGTACTTTCTGGACGCTGCACAGCTGTCGTCGCACATCGGCCGCGGGGACGGGTTCAACACGATGTGGGCCAGCTCGGTGGTGCGGACGGCGCCGTCGCCGCAGCTGCCGCCGCGCGTGCGCAGCGAGCGCGACCGGGAGCTCGACGACGTGGAGCTGGCCTTCATGCGAGTTGTGCAGCCCTTGGACAACTTGATACTGTCCCCTGACACCGAGTACCTCAACAAGATGCTCAGCGAGGCGGCGCAGAGGCGCGCGAGGGGGCTGCAGCGCCCAGCGCGGGCGCTGCTGGATGCAGGTGGGCCGCGCGTGCCGAGCGGCGTGGGTTTGGAAGACTGTGGTTGCTATGTGTTTCTAGTCGACACCGTGTGCGTGTCCGGGCGATCTCTGACTGCGACATTTGGAAACGTGTGGCCCTTTTTGACGTTGCAGGGTACCTCGTAGTGGCCCCGGGGCCGCATCGTGCAGGCGACGGGCGCGGCAGGTGGCACACGCGTCGCGATCGAAGCGTGCTGGGCATGGCGCGTTCCAGGCGCGAGATCGCCACGAGCGACGCCGGACACGACGCTGCGGTCGAGCTCATCGAGCACCCGATCCAGCTGGCACCGACGATTGAGCGGCTGGCCGCCGCAGTGGAGCGCCGCGTGTCAGTCAACTCGCAGGCATCGTCACAGGCGACGGGCCGCTTCGACGCGCCCTGCGACCACGACGCGGTTTCGATTCAGGGCGCTCCGGCGGTGCGCGTGGCCGGGCGGAAACGCGGCGCCTCGAAGCTGTTTGGCAGCGGCGGTGACGCCTACGACCTCTTCCCGCGCGAGGGCTGCGTGCGGCGGTGCAACACGTAGCCGCGCGACGTGTGCTCTTCGGCGGCCTCAGTCCTGCAGCCACTGCGTGGGGTTCCGCCTGTCCCGCGCACGCCGGCGGTTCGCCCGCCCACCGTCCCGCCTGTCCTGCGCCCGCTCCTGCGCCTGCGGGAACGAACACGGAGAAGCCAGCACGACCACCTGTGATACGACACACATCGGCCCGACGCGCGGCGGTGCTTCTCCCCTGTCCGCGACACCGCGCACCTGCTGCGCCCACGCCCGCCTCCGCTGCGCGCCGCGACCCAGCACCTCCTCCTCCTCCTCCTCTTCTTCTTCCTGTGCTTCCGCGATGAGCGCCGCTCGCACCGCCCGCCTCTCCTCCCGCTCCCCGTCGGACCCCCCAGCATCACTCCCCCCTCCCACAACCCCCCCCGCCCCCGCCCCCGCAGCCGCCTCCGCGCCGGCGCCCGCCGCTGCCGCCCCAGCACCGTCCGCGACCTCCGCAGCGCCTGCAGCCCCGCGCGCCCCCTCGCTCGCCTCCCCACCCTCCTCCTCGTTACCGTCGTCGTCGTTGCCATCGTAGTCCTCGTCGTCGCTGCCCTCGCTCGCAGAGTACAGCTCCTCGAACGTGAACCCCTGCCCATCGCGCGGCTCCCGCCCCTGCGCCTCGGCCAGCATCTGCAGCACATGGCGGATGTGCTGCCGCCGCAGGTTGGCCAGCAGCGACACGGGCGGGAGCTGCCGGTTCCGCACATTCCGCACGCGAACCTCCTCCTCGCGCTCCCCCGGCACCGTCGGCTCCTCCGCGGTCGGCGCCCAGATCTTGACGCTGTCGTCGATGCCGCTCGTCGCCATGGTCATTGGCAGGACCGGGTGCTGCTCAAGGCAGTTCACCACGTCGTTGTCGCCGCGCCGGACGGCCTGAATCGCCCCGTCGCGCTTCGACCACACGAACAGCCGCCCGCAGTCCGACCCGCTGACCACGTACTCCGCGTTGGGCCCCGCGAACGCGCACCCTTTGACCGTCTGCTGGTTGCGGTGGCCCCAGTAGCACTGCACGACGCGCGACCACTCCTCCCCGGTCCCGACCACGTCTTCCGCGCGCAGCTCGCGCCCCGCTCCGCCGCCCTCGTCGTCCGTGCGGTCGTCGCTGTCGCCCTCGTCTGCGTCGCTGCACGCCTCCTCCACGGAGTCCTCCTCCTCGTCGGAGGGGTCGCGCGGGGCTGCCGCGCGCAGGATCCTGCGGCGCTGGCGGCGGGGCTGGCGGGGGCTCGGGGGCTCGGGCGGCGGCGGCGGCGGCGGCGGCGGCAGCGAGAGCGCCGCGTATCTGTTGGCGACCGACGCCTCGGTGGCGCCGTCGGGGGCGAAGAGGTAGAGGTCGTCGTCGTGGTACGTGGCGAGGAGCTCGCCGGAGGGCGAGTACTGGACGCAGGTGACGTGGTAGGGCCCCCGGGGTGGTCCTGGCAGGTGGACGCGCAGATGCAGCGGACACAGCGTCCCCACGGGCTGTCCGATGGGCGCGTCGCCGACGCGCGGCTCCGGCGGCATCCGAATCATCTGCGCAGCGGACGAGCGGCGCTCGGGGGTCGGACACGGCCCACAGCACGCAGCACCGCATCAAACAAGCGTCATCATTTGTTGCCCTTCCGATTGGTTGTTGAGCCGCTGCACGCCGCGCGAGCGCCGGCGAGCCGCACGCACCCCGAACCGCATCGCGAAGTCCATGTCCGAATCGTCGTCCTCGTCGTCCCCGTCGCTCGATCCCACCATCTGCGACCCGCTCTGCGCCGACCGGCGTGGGCTGCCTCCCGCCGCCCCCGCGCGGCCCGTGTCGAGCTTCCTCATGTCGTATATCTGCACGTACTCGTCGTCGCCGCCGAGCGCGAACTTCGTGGGGTCAATCGGGTTGTGGTGCACCGCGTTGATGCCCAGCGCTGACATCGAGCCCGGCCGAGGCGGCTGCCCGCCGGGCAGGATGGCGTACGCGGCGAACAGGACTCTGTTGCCGGCGCGGGGCTCGCGGAGGTCGAAGTGCCGCACGATGCCGTCCTCTCCGCAGGACAGAAAGCACTGGTGCGCGCCCGGGTCGACCGAGAGCTTGTGCGCGCGCCCGTAGTGCTGCGCGAGCAGCGTCGACGTGACGCCGCCGTCGGACTGGAGGTGGTGGCTCCGGACCTGGAACGGAGCGCGAGCGGGGGGGGGGAGTGAGGCGTGGGGACAAAAACACTTTTTTTTTAGTTTGAGGGGGTGTGACGTGGCTCGCGTCGTCGGCGCTGAGGTTTCGGCGCTGTCTGTGTTATCGGGGGCGTGGTGTGGATCGAGGCGTGCGGCTGTGCGAGCACAGGCGTGGGCGCGGAGGTGCTTGCCTGGCCGTCGGCCGCGCAGCTGATGAGGACGCGATCGCCGCTGTGCGCGACGATGCGCGCCTGGAAGACGTTGTTGCGGTGCTTCGAGTTGAAGGCGAGCCTCTGTTGTCCCGTGGCGAAGTCCCACAAGATGATGCGCTGGTCGTCAGAGCCGCTGACGAGGGTCTCGCCCGTCGGACTGAAGCACACGGTGTTCACGCACCCCATGTGCCCCTCGAGGACGCGAACTCGCGCGAACCTGCGGCCGAGAGGGCGCGTGAGGGTCGCGAGTTGGTTGGCCTGGGACTGGATGCGCCGACAGTGCGTACGCACGCGGGGCTTGCGCCGCCTCTCGGACGCGGACGATCCCTGACAGGCCGGAGGTGGAGCTCGTGCCTCAAGACGGCGGTGCCAGTGGATCGCCGCGGCGCGAGGCGTCCGTGTGGGGCAGATGAGACGTGCCGCGCACCTATGGGCCAGGTCATGGTTCCGAACGATCGCTTCGTTAAACAGAGACTGTCTGTGAAGGTAGAAGCCGCTCCTGCGGTCGTGAAGCGCTCCGTAGATCATCCTGGGCGCCGTAGTTCGTCCTAGAAGCCGGCACGGAGATGCTCTCGGCCTACAGCGCGGTGCTCCGGAACCCTGGCGCACCAGTGCCACCACGGCGACGCAGATTCCGACGTATCTGTATCAGACCCTCCCGTTCCTGCTACAGCAGAGCCTCGTCACGGCAGCGCTTCACCGCAGCTGGGCGTGCTGATCAGAACATCTCAACGTGATGGTTGCGATGCCTCCCGCGCTGCCAGCGATCGAGTCCGACTGCGAGCGCGTCCCACTAGCCGAGTGCTGCTGGCCCGCGGGCTCCGGACCACTGTCCCGCCCGACAGCGTTCCCTGTGTCAAGTTGAAGCGACTCGGTCTGTCTGGTGTTGCGGGGCGCCCAACGTGAACGCCAGAGCGAGGACGCGACGCGGCACACTCCGCGCCAGCTCCCGACCGCACTCCGCTCTCTGCGCTGGGTGAACGGCGTAGTGTCACACGGCGCTGCACGCTCTTACTTCACGCAAACCTAGGACCGCACCAGCGCCGCTCCTTCTCGCAAGCGCACGCCACCGCCGCCATGGCGCTGCGCGGGAGCCATAGAGGCGCGGGGATGGCGGGAAGGTGGCTCGGAGCCCTGGTCGAGCGCTCCACGCAGAGCCCCGGGTCGTGCGCTCCGCTCCCAGCCTCCGCCCTCGCGCGGCATAGCGGCGCCGAGCCGTCCGCGCGCCACACGGCCACGCTCGTGCACCAGGGAGCCTGCTCGTGGGCGCACGCGGCCAGCACGCCGCGCCACGCCCCCTGTATTCCCGCGCGGGGAGTCGCCTGGCTCTCTGGGGCCCATAGGGGAGCGCCAAGTGCGTCCCCGCTGAGGACTCCCGCCGCGCAATCCCCGCCCCACCGCGCGACAGACATCGCGAGGCATCCAGCGCTCCAGTCACCGTCCCTGTTCGCTGCCGCCAGGCCGCACAGCAGCGGCCCGTTGGGGCCTGGACCAGCACGTCCGAGCCGCACGCGCGTCTCGACGCGCGTCACCGCCGAGGAGATCCACCAGCAGGTTCGCCACACGGCGCCCTCCCTCCCGCGCCCGTACTCTCGCGTTCTCTCGCACACCCGCTCGCGTTCCCGCGCCATACCTCACCTGGCGCACGCGTGTCCTGCCGCACCGCCCGCGCAGCTGGGGGAGATCGCACAGCAGGGCCAGACGGCGCAGCGGCGGCGCGACGCGATGCTGTACGCGCTGTCCGCGGCGGCCCTGATGTTCGGCGTGTCCTTCTTGGCGGTGCCGATTTACCAGATGTTCTGCCAGGCGACGGGGTACGGCGGCACGACGCAGGACGACGGGCGCACGATCGAGGACAAGATGCGCAACCGGCTGCTGAACCCGAACGAGGAGATCGAGGCCGCGGCCGCGCAGCGGCAGGTCCGCGTGTCGTTCGACTCGTACGTGTCGCCGGGGATGCCGTGGACGTTCGAGCCGTGCCAGCGCGAGCTGTGGGTGCGGCCGGGGCAGAGCGCGCTCGCGTTCTTCAACGCGACGAACCGCAGCGGGCGCGACGTGGTCGGGGTGTCGACGTACAACGTCGTCCCGAACAAGGCGGGGGTGTATTTCAACAAGATCCAGTGCTTCTGCTTCGAGGAGCAGCGGCTCAAGGCCGGGGAGTCCATCGACATGCCGGTCTTCTTCTACCTCGACCCGGAGCTCGCGACGGACGCGCGCATGAACGACGTGAAGGACATCATTCTGTCGTACACGTTCTTTGAGGTGGAGGAGGAGGGGCAGGGGCTGGAGCTGGCCAACCAGCTGCGGAACGAGGAGGAGGCGCGGTTCCGCGCCGCGCTGGACGCCGCGGGCGCGGGCGCGCAGGGGCGCACCGTTGGCGACGTGAACAAGACGGCTGGGGATGACTGCGAGGACTGCGCGGACGCGGTGGTGCGCGGGGCGGTGGGGAAGTGACTGCTGTGATGTGGCGGGGAGGGGCTGCCGCGGTCGTCACAGGCGCTGTTGAATTTCGGAGCGGGGCGCGCGGGGGGTGTGCGACGGCGGCGCGCAGGCAGGTCCGCATGGCGGCCGCGGGGCGTGAGCGTCGCGGGTCGCGACTAGCGCATCCGGTATTCCATCTTGTGTGCGACCGCCTGGCCCTTCGCGCCCCTGCAGCTCACCACGTCGCCCAGTCAGGCAGCCAGTCAGTCGCTGCAGCTCTGTTGGCACGCAGCAGCCGGCACGGGGCCGAGCGCGCGGGCCTCTTCGACACGATCTAGCGCGCGGCTCGCCGCTGCGGGTAGCCCGCGTGTGGAGGCGGCTTGCAGCGGCGCGCGGGCGTGGTCGCGGCAGGTGGGCGTTGTTGTTTGTCTGCGTGCGATCACTTACTTGAATTCGTAGGAGAGCGCGATGTCGAGGTCGCGGGGGTTGTCGGCGTTCGGCGCGCAGGAGATGGTTCCTTGGATGACGTCCCCCGGGGACACGTCGAGGGTGTGTTCGAGGTAGAACACGGTCTGCTTCCAGTGCGTCGGGCGGTTGCGCGGCGACGTGGAGAAGTACACGTCCTGCCCGCCCTGCGGCGTCCCGAACGTGATGTCGAAGAACCCGACGAACGCGTGCATGTAGTCCTGCTGCTTCACCTCCATCCGGAACGGCACGCTGAAGGTCGCCTGCTCCTTCCTCATCGCGTATATGTCGATCTCGAGTAGCGTGGCCTCGGAAGTCACGATCTGGTCCGGCTCGACGCAGTCCACGAGCGGCTCCATCAGCGCGAGCGTCCGGATGCACGACATGTTGAACCCGTACACGTTCTCCCAGAAGTCGATCTTGTCCGACTTGTACTCGGCGTCCTGGATGCCGCACAGCGACAGCGAGGCGCGGTCCGGGAGGATGAGCCCGCCCTCGACGAGCCACTTGTCGCGCGCGTACAGGACCGTATCGAGCATGGACTCGTAGAACAGGAAGTAGCCCATCCACTCGGAGATGATGATGTCGACCTTGGGCACCGGGAGCTCGATCTCCTCGATCTTGCCCTTGATGATCGTGACCGAGCCCTCGCGCCCGTTGTCGCGCACGATCTGCGCCGCCTGGTCCGCGATCTCCGAGCACTCCACGCCGTACACGTGCGCCGCGCCGGCCTTGGCCGCAAACAGCGACAGAATGCCTGCAGGGCGCCCGCACGCGACGCGCGCCGCTGACGGACCGCGCAGGGGCCGCCGCGGCGTCCTCGTGAGCAGGGCGCGCGCGGGGGGGGGTGTCACCTGTGCCGCAGCCCACGTCCAGGACAACCTTATCTTTGAACAGGGGGGTGTTGCGCAGGATGGCAGTCATGTAGGAGCGGGTGCGCACGGAGTCCTTGAGCATCTCCTCGTGGATGCCGAAGTGCGCGTACGAGTCGAAGTAGTAGTCCTTCGACGTCTTGTCCTTCTGCGGCGGCGGGAGACGGCAGCAGTGTGAGCGCGTGGTGGTGGGGCTGCGAGGGGGTCGCGGGGCGGGCGGCGGACACCAGGGCGGCCGCCGCGGGGCGTGGCTGGAACCGTTGGGGCCCTGGAACCGCGCGGCGGCGCTCCCGTGGGGCGCGGCGGCGCGCGGGGGTGCAGGCCGTGAGCAGGAGAGCGCTTGTGCCGCACTTGCGGCCTTGGAAGGGCGTGACAAGCGCCGTTTCAGCGATATCTCGACGCATACATATGGTAGGAAGGTGTTCGCAAGCAGGAGCGCGCAAGTCGCGCCGCGGGTCCGTCGAGAGGCCTTTTAGGGTGCCAGTGCACTGGACGCCGCGCGCATCCGTCGTGCGTCCGCGCGGCGCCGTGAGCGCGCGGGAAACGGCGCCGCACCTGCATCACGGCGTCCTTCGCGCCCCCCGCAGCCCCCGCCGTCTCATCCCCGGACCCCATGGCTCGATGCCGGGAAGGCAGGCTGCGGCGTCTCGCCCTAGCCCGCCGGTCCGAAATACGCCCGTCCCGGCGCCACTCGCGGGTGGGATATCGACCGCGCTGTAGAGCTAGGTTGTGAGGTCCTTGTCGCGAGACCGGAGCTGCCGAGCGCCGCGCAGGTCGCCAGGAGCGGAGCCCAGGCACAGGTGCTGGGCGCGGCAACTGCGACGGTGCCGGCAATCGATGTAGCCGATCCGTGGATGGGCGGTCGTGCTTCGAACGCAGCGCCCCGCGCGCGCCGGGCCCATGTGTCCCCGCGCTCGCACCGCGCCCGCAGGACCCGGGGTTGCGGCCCAGGCCTGACGTCAGCCGGTTGCACGGCCTCCCAGCGACGAGGGGGCGCCCTGCGACGACCCCGCGCACTGCTCTGCGACGTCGTCCCCGCAGCGGTGCTCGGACCTCGGTCTCGCCCTCGCAGCCCGGCGCACACCGCGGCAGAGCTCGCCCAGCAGCAGCACCCGCCCCCGAGGCCCGCGCTCACGCCGCGGCCGTCCGAGCCAGGGCAGCGCTCGCGAAGACCTGATCCTCGACGGCAGATATGAAGTACGGGCGGTACCTGAAGGAGAACCAGAGGCCTGAGTGGAAGGTAGTTGATGCACACGCCGCCCCCGCCCTCCCGCCCCGGGGTTTCGTTTCCGCCGCCTCGCTCCACGCGCCCGCTGTGGTACACGGCCGCTCTGGGTGCCGACCGTGAGCGCGGAGGGCGCGAGCGGAGCGGTGCGGCCTCGATACCCAAGCCCTGGCAGCCGGCGCCCCCGTCGTTTCGCACGCCCGCGAGGTGCCGGGGTGGCGGCGGGAGCGGGACTGCCCGGTACTGACGTCGCCTGCGTCGTGGCTGCCGCCGGATCCGCGCGACTCCCCGCCGCGTGCGTCGCCTCGTTGCACCTGCCTCCAGGCGCCGGCGTCCCGGCGCCCACGGGCCATTCTTGCTCGGCCCAGTCCGTCCCCAGCATCCCTCACATCTAACCCGCGCTGCCCCGTGCCGAACCGCCCCGCGATTCCCCGCAACCTCCCCGGCGCGGCCCTCCCTTGCCCCCAGCATCCACCGCGGGCCCGCACCGCACGCGCCGCACGCGCCGCGGCCGCGCCCGCCCCGCGCGCATGCACCCCGTCCACCGCCACGCCGCCCGCGCGCAACACGCCGAACGATCGCGCCCCGCCCCGTCCGCGCGCAGAGGTTTTACCTCGACTACTCAGGCCTCAAAGACCTCATCAAGGAGTGCGCGGACAACAACTCCCTCAGCTCCTTCACCCCCAGGTACGCCCCGGGCACCCCGCGCGCACGCACGCGCGCCCGTTCCGCCGCGGCCGCGCCAGCACCGCAGCCCCTCTGCAGATCCTCCCGACGTTACACGCCGCCCCGCCCGCTCCCGCGCGACCCGCTCCGCGATCGCGGCCCCGCGGCGACGAACCGACCGTCTGCGACGCCCCGGAGCGCTCGCCCGCGCCGCGCACCGCCCGCGCCGCCACCGGCCGCACCCAACCACCGCCCCGCTATGCGCCCCGCGCGCAGGGTCACGTCGCTCTCGGTCCAGCGCCCGGACCTGAAGGACCTGGCGCCGGAGGAGAAGTTCTACAAGTGCCTGGACGACGAGCTGAGCAAGATCGGTGACTTCACCGGGAAGCAGATGGCGACGCTGCGGGAGCGGCTGAACAAGCTGATGGACGACAGCGAGGCGTACCTGAGCAAGGCCGGGGGCAGCAAGGGCATCGACAAGGAGAGCGCCGCGCACAGGGCGCTGATGGAGGCCGCGAAGAAGATCGGGGACGAGTACCTGGCGATGGAGAAGTACGTCAACCTGAACTACATGGGGTTCCACAAGATCCTGAAGAAGCACGACAAGAACTGCCCGAACAACGCGATCAAGCCGTTCTACATCTCGCGGCTGCACCAGCAGCCGTGGGTGCAGGGCAACTTCAGCGACGTGCTGGTCAGCCTGTCGTCGATCTACAGCCTCCTGCGCGGGGACGCGTCGGGGCAGAAGAACGAGGACAGCGCGCAGGGGTTCGTCCGCAGCACGACCAAGTACTGGGTCCGCACGTCGGACGTGTCGCTGGTCAAACACTTCATCCTGCAGCACCTCCCCGTGTTCCAGTTCGACAAGAACAACTTCTCCGGGGACGCGCAGCTGATCAACTCGGTCTACTTCGACAACAGCAACCTCGAGCTGTACCACGGGCGGCTCGACAAGCGCCCCGGCGCCATCGCGCTGCGCCTGCGGTGGTACGGCAACGGCGAGCCGGAGCAGGTCTTCGTCGAGCGGAAGACGCACAAGGAGTCGTGGAAGGGCGAGGAGTCGGTCAAGGAGCGCTTCATCATCCCCGAGGAGAAGGTGATGCCCTTCCTCAAGGGCGGGTGGACGCTGGAGATGGCGCAGCAGGAGCTGCGCGACGCGGGGAAGAACGAGAAGGAGATCGCGAAGTTCTCCGAGCTCTTCCGCGAGGTCCACCAGGCCGTCGACGCCAAGCAGCTCACGCCCATGGTCCGCACGCAGTACATGCGCACGGCCTTCCAGATCCCGTTCGACGCGACGGTGCGCGTGTCGCTCGACACCAACATGTGCATGATCAAGGAGAACCCGGACGACGGCCCCACGTGCCTCGACTCGGACCGCTGGTACCGCGACCCCAACATCGCGCCCACGCGGACGGAGATCACGCGGTTCCCGCACGCGATCCTGGAGATCAAGCTGAGCCTGCCGGACGGCGAGCAGCCGCCGCAGTGGGTCCAGGAGCTCCTCGCGTCGGGCTACCTGACGGAGGTCCACAAGTTCAGCAAGTTCATCCACGGGACGGCGACGCTGCTGCCCGACATGGTGCAGGCGGTGCCGTACTGGATCGACGACGAGTCGCTGCGGCCGTCGATCCAGGCGTGCGCGCCGGACGTGCCGGCGTCGGCCACGAACACCCCGCAGCCGCGCGTGCTGGGCCCGCAGGTCGACGAGGCGGGCCCGAGCCAGACCGCCGGCATCGCGATGCCGCAGGCCGGCGGCGCGAGCGGGGAGCAGGCGGTGATCCCGAACAAGCCGCGCAGGAAGCCGCGCGACGACGGCGACCTGCGGCACCCGCTGCTCGGGTCGACGCCCACGCTGCAGCTCATCCACGGCCGGCCGCCGCAGGTGGGCGCGCAGGGCGGGTCGCGCGAGAACCCCGGGCTCACGCAGTTCTTCACGCAGCTGCTCACGTGCTGCGGGCTGTGCGCCGCCGCGGACGTCCCCGCCGCCGCGGGCCCCGCGCACGACAAGCCCCGGAAGATCCCGATGCGCATCGAGCCGAAGACGTACTTCGCGAACGAGCGGACCTTCCTGAACTGGATCCACATGTCGATCGTGGTCGGCACGATCGCGTCCGCGCTGCTCGGGCTGTCGGGCCAGGCGGAGGGCGGCGCGGAGGGGCAGCTCAACTGGAGCGTGGCGCTCATCTCCATGGTGATGCTCCCGGTGGCCATCATGATCGCCGTGTACGCGCTCTACACGTTCTACTGGCGCATGGCGATGATCCGCCGGCGGGAGGTGTCGTTCTTCGACGACAAGTACGGCCCGCTGGTGCTCGCCGGCGTCATCGTGTTTGCGCTCTCCATCATCTTCGTCGTGTCGCTGATCGACTTCGTCCAGATGCTGTCGTGACGCGCGGACGACGGCGGTGGAGCCGGCGATCGCGGGGCTGCCGCGGACGAAGCGCGGACGCTGCGTGCGCGGTGACGTACACCCACTAGTGTGTGAAGCCGATCTGGGCGTGGGGGCCGACGTGACGCGGCGCGGCTGCTGCCAGCGGTCAGTGTGTGCGGGTAGTGCCGTCCCGCGCAATGTCATGATGCGTGCGGGGCGCCGATTGCGAGGTGCGGCAGCGCGCAAGGCTGACTGCTGCATGGATGGCGCGCGGGAGACAGACGTAGCGATTCTCGGGTGCTGTCGACCCGCAACCCACCACATGTGTCCACGCCGTCGCTCCGAGCGGGTCCTCCGCCCGCCGGCACCGCCGCCGCCGTTGGGGGGCTGTTTCACAATAGGCCCCTTCACTCCCCCGGTGTGCAGGCGCATCACTGGCGCGCCGCGCGGCACCGCCCGCCCACAGTCGTCGTCGCCCGACGACATCGATCGACCACAACCGGCCCTGCGCGCAACAGCAAGCACCCCTCGGACTGCTGAGCCGCGTCAACGACCCGCCAAGGGAGACGCGCCTCCCTCCTCGTGCGGCACGTCCCGGGGCCGGCCTTGCCCAAAGCGGGCTCTATCCGTACTGAAGCACTGTGTAAGGTGCGCGCGGTCCGCGCTGCGCGCATCGCCGAGAACGTGCCCACGAGGCGCTTGGGGGTGCCCTGGGCGCGTCCATCCCGCGTGCTTCAGCCCTGAAAAGCGGTCTTCTCGCGTGTCATTGTAGTGCTGACGCCGGTAGCACGCGGAAACCCGAAATTTTCTCCCGTGCACTCGTTCTCGTGCGCCCTGACGAGTCAAAGCCAGCAATTATCCGGACCAGGCTTGCTCTGCGCGCCATTCGTCGCTCCAGCCGGCTCCCGCTTGCCACGAGGAGGCCCGCACGCGCCCCTGACCACGCATACTCCGCGCCCCGCGACAGCTGGACGCCAGCTCTAGCAGCGAAATTCACCTCGCGCCAGCGCGGCTCCCACGCGGCGCGGCGGCTTTCCCTGGACCGGGGCGCGACGGCATCCTGAGCCCGGACCTTCTGTCTGGATGACGTGCAGGCCATGTCGCGATGACGAGCGGGTCGGGGCCGAGTCCAATGGAGCCCGCGGGCACCCTCGCGGAGCAGGAAGTGACGCCTGAGATCATCGACGCCGCGCTCCAGGAGTGGCAAGAGACCCTCCATGGGCACGTGTCTGCTTTCAAAGAGCTCGGACAGATCGCCAAGGACGCTCTGAGCGTAAACGCGGCCCTGAAGCGGGACGTGCGGAGACTCCGCAAGCGGCTGCACGAGAGGGAGGCGGACGTGTCGGCCAAGTCGCGGCGCATCGTGGAGCTCGAGACGGTCGTTGCGGAGCTGCGGGCCGCCCTCGAGACGCAGCGCGGGGCGGGCACTGAGCTCCAGGAGATGCAGACGCAACTCGCCCGGAAGGACCACAGGATCCGCAAACTCAAGCGGAGCCGCGACGACGCCGACGCGGCCCACAAGGCGGAGATCGAGGCGCTGCACCGCGAGCGGGACGCCGAGGTGCGGCGGCGCATCGAGGAGGGGCTGCGGCGGGGGTTCCCCGGCATGAGCGACGCGCTCGCGCTGACGCCCGCCGCGACGCAGCCGCAGCAGAGCCGGGAGATCGGCGCCGCGATGTCCGTCGGAGCAACGCAGAACGCGGCGCAGCAGCTCGCGGCCTTCCGGGCGGAGTGGGTGGCGCACGACGGGCCGGCCGCTGCCGACGACGGGGGCGGCGCCCCGCCGGAGCCTGAAGTGCGCGAACCGCGCGCCCAGGTGCGCAAGACGAAGAGGAAGCCGATGTGGGTGCGCGTGCTCGACTACGACCTCCTGGCACGCCTGCTGTCGGCCGCGATCGACAAGGGCTTCGAATGGAAGGGGATGTCGGCGCTCGTGAACCACACGACGTACTCGGAGGTGCCCGACTCGGCCTGGACGTCGCCCGGCGAGTTCGAGGAGGAGTACCCGTGCGGGCGCACGCGTCTGCCGTGCCTGGTGAAGTGCGCGGCGTGCCAGTGGCGCAGCGCTCCGCTGTGCTTCCACCCGCCGACGGTCGACGAGCCCTGGCGGCTGCCCGACCTGCTCGGCGACGACGACGTCGTGAAGGACTCGAGCGACCGGAGCCTCGACCCGCGGGAGGGTGACGGGCGGAAACACAACATCGAGAGGCTGGCGCTCGATGCGATCGAGCAGGGGTGGCTGGAGCAGGCGGACCTCGACGAGGCCACGAGCCTGGTCGACGCAGACAGCGGCGCGCCGCGCGACGCGCTCGACATGTGGTACGCGGGGGCTGTGTACAGGCGCGTGGCCGAGGCGTTTTCGGGCCCCGGCGTGGTCGAGATCGAGGGCAGCCTCCGCTACACCGACGGCTACGACCTGGCCTGAGGAGCTCGCGGCGTGCGGAGGGGCTCAGAGACGGCGGCGGCGTGGCACGCGATGTACATATTTGACGTTGATGGCATCGAGCTTTTTGACTGAGCGGGTGCTGACTTGGACGGCGCCGAGGCTCAAGGAGACGTGTCCTGCGTGGCCCAGAGACTGTGATCTGTTCAGAGATGCGCGGCGGTCAGGGTCGAGGCACTCTGAGGCGCCCGGCACTCCTGCTGCGCCCACGAGCGGGCGCCCCCCGCGCTGGATCCGTTCGAGTGACTGACTGGAGCTCGCGCCGCGGACCTCGAGGACGCGCACGGAGCGGCGCCGGCGACTCAGGGCGAGTCTGCCTCGGCGACGCTGATGCGAGGCACCTCGGCAGCAGCACGCGACCGAGTGATGTTGTGGACCACGGCCGCCAGGTGGCAGGACTCGGTCCGACCTTCGCACGCGCCCTGGCGCGTCCGCATCGCCGTGGGAGCGGGGGGACAGCCTGCTTCGTGCGTCTGTGCCCCCGCGGAGCCGCCCTCGGCCAGGACGCGCACACTGTCTGACGCGTGGAGGCGGTCACTCGACGATAATTGGGTGACGCTAACCCGCAGAACAGCACTTTACATGTTTGTACTATCGTTTGACGGGAGCTGATGGCCCGCCGGTGCGCCCGGTGCCACGTCAGGGGGGCGTTTCCATTTTATTTTATTTTATTTTTCCTCACCACCCGTCTCCGGGCGCCTCATTGGCGCGCCGCGCGGCGGAGCCGGCCCACAAATCTCTGCTGTCGCTCGCGCACGTTTGTTTACATTGGAGCACCCAACAAGCAGCTCTTGGGAGAACCGGACGAGAGGGACGCACCTCTGTCCTCGCGCGGCGCGTACTGGGACCCGCCTGGTCTAATGATCGTTCCAAACGGAGTCATTGTACAAGGTGAGCGCGAAACGCACTGCGATTACCGCCAAGTATGTGTTCACGGGCCGTTTGCGGGGCTCGTTGGCGCTCCGTGACGCGCAGTGGCCTGGGCCCATGCACAGCGCATTCTCGACCACACAGAGCCATGGTTTCGCGTGTATGTGTACGAAAGACGCCGCGTTCGCGCGACGAGCTCCGTTGAGCGTCCAACGCACGCATTCGAGCGCCCCCTCATCATGAGAGGAGGGCCAACTGCGCCGCGCGTGGCTCGTTCCGCGCGTCGGAGGAGCCGGATAGCGCTCAGCGCGGCCTTCACTTGCCACGAGGGCGCGTGCGACGCGCGCGGCTCCCCGATTCTGCGGGATCCGTGCACCGCAACGGACGGCGTCACATCGCGTCGGGCGAGTCGCCTCTGGGCCGCAACGCTCCCCCGGGGCGCCGCGGCCCGTCCCGAGACGCGACGCAGTCGTTCTCCATCTGACCTTGGCCGCGCTGTGTCGATGACGCGCAGACATTGTCGGGAAGACGAACGGCGCGGCGCCCGGTGGCGCGATGCAGGGAAACGTTGCGCGCGCGGCGGGCGCGGACGTGACGCCTGCGATGATAGACAGGGCGTACGCGAGTATGCTTCAGATGGAGGCCGCTGCTGGCGCGAATGCTAAAGTCCTGCTGCTCGCAAGAACCCAAACCGAGCGGCTGCAGAAGGTCAACGAGAGGCTCCGCAAGCAGCTGCGCGAGAGGGACGCGGCCGAGAAGCGCATCATGGACGACGCCGCGAGGCAGCAGGCCGACCTGAAGGCGCAGCTCGCCCGCAAGGACGACGAGATCCGCAGCCTGAAGCGCAGGCGCGACGACGCCGACGCAGCGCACAAGGCGGAGATCGAGGCGGAGCGGCGCGAGCGGGACGCGCACGTGCGGCGCCGGGTCGACGAGGAAGTGCGGCGGCGTGTCCAGGAGGGACTGCGGCGCGGGTTCGAGTCTGACTACCCCGGGATCTCAGACGGGCTGCGCATGCTGACGCCCGCAGTGTCGCAGCCGCAGCAGAGCCCGCGGAACGGCGCCGCGCAGTCCCTCGGGGCGACGCACGACGCGGCGCAGCAGCTCGCGGCCTTCCGGGCGGAGCGCGTCGCCAACAACGAGCACGCGGCAGGTGCCGCCGGGCCGCGCCCGGGCCGCGCCTCGCCGGGGCCCCCGGGGGAGTCCGGCGGCGCCCGCGACGCGCCTGTCCAGCTGGACTCGGCCGAGAAGAAGGACTGGTTGCGCGTGCTCGACTACGGTCTGCTGGCGCGTCTGTTGTCCCTGGCGGTCAAGAACGCGTTCACATGGAAGGGGAAGTCGGCGCTCGTGAACCGCACCCAGTACTCGGAGGTGCCCGACGCAGCCTGGACGTCGGCGGTCCACTTCGCCGAGGAGTACCCGCACGGGCGCACGCGCCTCCCTTGCCTGGTCAAGTGCCTGCGCTGCCAGTGGCGGAACGCCGAGCTGTGCTTCCACCCGCCGACGGAGGACGAGCCCTGGCGGCTGCCCGGGCTCCTCGGCGACGACGCGGTCGTCACCGACCCCCACGACCGGGCCCTCGTCCCGCGGGACAGCGACGGGAGGAAACACGACGTCAGGAAGCTGCTGCTCGACGCGATCAAGGAGGGCAAGCTCGGGCAGGCGGACCTCAACGAGGCCACGGCCGTCATCCTCCGTGGCAGCGAGGCGCCGCAGGAGGCCCTCGACAGGTGGATCGGGGGGAGCTTGTACCTGAAGATGCTGGAGGCGTTCACGGACCCCAGTGCGATCGCGGGGGAGGGCAGCCCGCGCTCCAGCGACGGCGACTGCGCGTGCTGAGCTCGCGGCGCGCCGCGAGACGGGGCTGGCACGTCATGCGATGGACGCGTCGAGCAACAACGCGCCGCTGGGCGCCGAGCCGTTCGTGGACGGTGCCGCGCTTGAAATAGACGTGCCCTACGCGGGCGAGCATTGTGATCTGTCTGAAGACGCGCGGCAGCGACGGTCGAGTCACCCGGCACTCGCCCGCTGCGCTGCCTCTTGATGTCGACACACAGGCCGCGCAGGTGCTTTCTCTCAACCCTTGAGCGACGTGTCCGAACGCGACTCGTCGTTTCGACCGTGTCCAAATATATCAATTCGAGCGCGAACCTCGGAAAGGTCAAGCGTTCCCCAGCAGCCCCGCGGCGCCGCCTGCACGAACTGCTGACCACAGGTTTGAGGTCCCGCTGCGCTCCACCTACTTGAGCGTGTTCGACGGGCAGTCGACATCACAAGTCCGTCGCCAATAGGGCCTCCGAGCCGTTTAGTGTTCGTCGGCAGTCCGCGCACGTAGGACCGACGCGGGGCAGGTTCTGGAACTGGCATCACACACAGGGCAACGACAGCCTTGACGGGCGGACACCCTGCGTAGACGTCGCCTCAGGAGAACGCCTTGGTCGCCATGATCGCTGGTACGGCGCTGACTGAACGACCTGCGTACAGACGGTCTCGCGGCAGGACGTGACCTTCTCAAACACGTCCTGGTCGCAAAGTGGCACGGCCGCGCACGCGGTGCCGCTCCAGCGTCGTCCGAGCATTGGTCTGAAACATTCATCTGCTTCCGAATGTCGCACACACCCTGGGACCTAGGCGCGACGCCCGAATCGCGACATCGTGTTCGAGGACCACTTTTGACCGAACCGAGCGCATCTGGACGCTGCTCGCTTGCGCCCTCCGCCCCTGAAGCCCCCTTTGCCTTGATATGCCGATGTGCTGTGGGACATGCCCTCGCGGGCCCGGAACGGCGCTCCTCCGATCACGCGGGAAAAGTTTGTCCTCGAGAACGCTCACCACGACGCAGAGGCGGCCTGCTCTCAGACGGAACCGACCTGTGTCGCACCGAATTCGCAGATCCGGCGTCGCACGCGGGCGGTCGCGACCCGCCCTGCGCGGACGTGCACGCGGAGGCGGCTTTGACGACGGAGGTCGCCTCCGCCTTCGGTCACTTCACGCCGAAGCTCCTCGACCTGGCCGAGCTCGGGGAACACGGCTCGCGCAAACGGTCGAGCGAGCACGTCGAGGCCTCCGACCCGGAGCGTCTGTCCAAGCGAAGCCGCGGCGTCTCGTGGCAGGAGATGCTCAGCGTGCATGAGGGCGCCGGAGAGCCGTCTCCGGCGGATACGGCCGAGTGGCAGAGCCATCTCGAGCAGGCACTCACGGGCCGCGGCGGGCAGCAGCCAGCGGAGACGCGTGGCCTTGACGCAGCCCCGCAACACCCCCCCCGCAACGCCTCCTCGGCCCCGACGCACCGCGACCCGCACGGACCCGACGACGCGCACGCTGCCGAGGCGCAGGACGTCGCGCACCAGCTCGCGAGCATGAAGCACGGCCCCGCGGCTGCGCTCGCGTGCAACCACGACGACGACTACGTCCTGGACTTGTTCCTGCCGGAGCCAGCCCCGACCGCCCCGACGGAGCCGGCCCTGTGCGCACTGTGCACACAGTACGACCTGCCCATGTGCGGCACGAGGTTTGCCGCGCCGGAGTGCCTGAGGGTCCAGGAACTCCTCCTGCGGTGTCAGGATGACGAACTCCCCCCCCCGCCGCCGGTCCCCGCCGCGGCGACAGCGCCTCCGCGCGCCCCAGCTGCGCCGTCGGAGTCCGCGCTCCCCCAGGATCCTGCGCCGCCTCCGATGCCCGCCGCGGCGCCAGCGCCGCCGGAGCTGCAGCCGCACATAGCACCCCTGCTGCAGGGCGTGGAAGCCGCCGGAGCGGCCGCCGTCGCGCTTGCGCCGCGCGACCCGCGCCCGAACGCAAACACCGTCGTCCTCGACGGCCCACCGACGGGCTGCGGCGGCGAGGCGCGCGACCACGTCGGTTGCAACAACAACAACGCCGACGTGCTCGATATATTCAACGACCGTGACTTGGCGCTCCTGTACCGCCGGCTCGACCACTGGCTGCTCGCGGGCCTCCTCAGCCAGGCCGTGGACGGCGGGTTCACGTTCCGGGCGCGCGGGGTGTCCCCTCTGCGCATCGAGCTGGCGCCGTACCACACCGACGCGAAGGTGCACCTGGGCCGCAACGTGGCCAAGAACTACCCGGAGGGCCGGACGCGGCTGCCCTGCCTCGTGCCCTGCGCGGACTGCGTGGACGCGGGCGCCGCGCGCCCCCTGTGTTTCCACCCTCCCGCGCGCGACGACCGCTGGCGCCTCGGGCACCTCCTGGACCAGCAGCGCGACGTCGTGCGGAACCCGCTGGACACGTCGATGTGGCTGCTCGGCGGCGAGCGGCCCGAGGTCGCGCGCAGGAGAGGCGTCAATAGGCAGTCTGTCATGGGGAGCCGGGTCGAGGCGCTGGTGACGGAGGCGGTTCGCGCCGGCAAGGCGGGGCTCGCGGAGCTCGACGCCACGCTGGGCGCGCTCTGCGCGGACCCCGAGCTGCCGTTCGCGGCCGTGGAGGCGTGGATGGCGGGGGGGGTGTTCCAGAAAGTCCTCGGGGAAATGAAGCTGTGCAAGTACCTCGCCGCAACCCCGGTATAAATCCCCAGCGCGAAACGTAAATCGCCGGCAGTGTGGAACATAAGACGGACCGGGTGCGCCAGGGACGCGTCGTGTGAGAAGGCTTCACTCCGCGTGGAATACTACTCCGCGTGCCTCCCGGTGCCGGGCGCCCCGTGCCCGAACACGAGCCGCGCGACGTCGACGACCGTCAGCGCCTTCTCCTCCGCGCGCCGCCCCGCCCCCGCCGCCGACAGATCCTGCCCCGCCGCCCTCCGCCGCGCCATCGCATGTACCCCCTCCTCCACCGTCGCCTCCACCACAAACCGATGCACCTGCGTCTCGCGCGTCTGCCCGATCCGATGCACGCGCCCCACCGCCTGCGCCTCCACCGCGGGGTCCAGCAACGGCTCGACGAACACCACGTGTTGAGCTTCCGTGATGTTGAGCCCGTTCGCACCCACGCGGAGCGGCAGCAGCGCCACCTGCGCGGCGCCCCCCGCGCCGCGGAGCCCCTTCCGGCCGCCGCGCGACCACGGCAGCGCGCCGCCTCGCCGCCGCTTGCTCGCCCTCGTGCTGTGTGCAGCCTTGCGCGGCCTTGCGGGGGTCGCGCCGGCGTTCTGCGCGTGCAGCTGCGCGACGGACGGGGCGGCGGCGCTATCGTCGGGCGCGACCGGAGCCGCGTCGTCCTCCGGGGTGGCGCGCAGGGCGCGCAGTGCGTCCTGGAGCCCCTTGCCCCCGCCGCGGGCCAGGGCGTGGGGGACGCGGTTGGTCGTGAGCGCGTGCGACACGAGCTCGAGGACGCCCATCCACTCGGAGAAGACAATGATGCGGCACGAGGGGTCCCGGCGCGTCAGCGCGAGGATGCGCCGCACGACCGCCTCGAGTTTGGTCCCGTAGCTCCCCGCGACGACGATGGTCGCCTCGAGGTCCGCGGTGCCGCCCGACGGCCCGGCCGCGGCGCCGTCGATGGTGTGCGCGTCGCGGGCGCCTGCGCGAGGAGCGGGAGGTGTCGTTCGGGCGCCCGCGGGGCAGGGTGTTGTTTTGCAAGTGTGTTTGTTGTTGTACCGGGAGGGGGGTGTTGCGTCTTACGTTCGTCGATGTACGCGATGTCCCCCGCGCGCGTCTTCTTCCGGCACACGGGGCACTTGATCTGCCGGTCCGCCGCGACGCCCCCCGCGGCCCCCGCGCGCTCCACCCACTTCAGCGAGCACTGCGTGCACAGCACGTGCCCGCACCGCATCACCGCCAGCTCCAACTGCAGCGCCTCCTGGCAGATCGGACACACCTCGCCCTCCTCCCCGCCCTGCCCAGCACCATCCGCCCCCGCGGCCTCCTGCGCCTTGTCGCCCGCGGGCTCCTGGGTGCGCGGCGCCGCGTCGCCCGCCGCTCCCGCCTCGCGCCGCGCCCGGCGCTTCTTCGCCTGCTGCAGCGTCAGGAGGTAGCGGAGCGTGGACAAGGAGGCCCCGAGGTCGTGCTCCGCGGCCGCCCGGTCCATCTCGAGCTCGCGCTTGCGCACTGGCACGTCGCTCGGCAGCAGCTTGAACAGCGCCTCGATGGGCTGCGTGATGATCTGCGCGCCAGGCGGGGAGGGAAGAAAATGCCCGCGTTAGGCTGATACGGAGCACACGCTCAGTCGCGGCAGGGATCGGCGCTGGATCGCGTGAGGGGTTGTGTGTTTTACCTCGTGAGGTCCGCGCAGGTGGATGCGCATGAGGCACATGTCGACCTCGTCGCACGCGTACAGCGCCTCGCGCTGCGCCTTCGCGAGGCTCCGCGCCCGCAGAAACTCCGTTCGTTGCAGCTCCATCGCCTTGAGGTGTTCCTGGGCGGTGTCGATCATCCCCTGGACGTCGTGCACGCGCCCGAACGCCGCGACGCGCCCCATGTGCTTCCCGATCGCCTTCCGCAGGTGGTCCAGAAGCAGCCGCAGCGCGCGCTCAACCTCGCTCGGGTGGCGCACGACGTTGGATCGCGTGACCGCTGCGTCCCGCGCAGTCGTGCCGCCCCGGACGGCCCCCGCCGCGAGCCTCACGTTCGTCCCGAGGATGCCCCCGCGCTCCATGCGGTCCTCGAACACGCCCTCCTCGTGCGACAGGGCCGCGTCGATGTCGACGGCGCCGCCGCCAACCGCGCGGGTCTGCAGGGTGTAAAGCCGCCCCTCCCACCGCCGCAGGAGCACGTCCAGCCCGCAGTGCCGGCACTTGACCCCCTCGACCCCCAGGTCCGCCCGACACAGCTTGCACTGCCCCGCCTCGGACACCAGCTCGCGCGGAGGGCCGCCGTCGCGCCCGCACAGCTCCCCGAGCCCGTCCAGCTCCCGCAGCGCCCTGCACCGCGCCTCCCACTGCGCGTCCGCCGCGGACGCGAGCAGCAGCTTCAGCGTCGCGAGCGACGTGATCTGCGACGCGATGCTGACCGAATTCGCCGTCTGCCAGTACTGATCGGCCTCGCCGAGCTTCGTCCGGATGTCCTGTGCGGCGTCGTACCCGCCGTCGGGCAGCCGCGCCGCCAGGACGTCCACGGCGTCCAGCCACCACCCCTCGCGGCCCGCTGCGCCCTCGGCGACCTTGCGGCTCGTGTCGCGATACTGCGCCTCCGCCGCGCGCATGTTCGTGATCGCCGCAGCCACGTACCCCTGGCGGAGCTCGCGGGCCTCCTCGGCGAGCGTCGCGTCGCGCAGGGTGTGGGGGACCCCCGGAACACCCCCAGGAACTGACGTCAGGACCTCGTGCAGGTTGTGGAGCGTGTGCAGCCGCTGCAGCTTGTCTGTGCGAACCTGCGGGGAGCCGCGAGCAACGCAACGAGCGTCGGTGACCTGCCAGCAACGCGCGCGCGGCGCCGCAACATCACGCGGGTTCTCGGCGCCAACTCACGTGTGCCTTGTTCTGCTCGATGGTCCGCAGGGACTCCCGGTACAGCTCCACCGCGCCCGCGTTGCTCTCCTCCAGCAGCGCGACTGCCGCGAGCCCGTTCAGCGCCGCCACCAGCAGCCGCTGCGCCTCCTCGGCTTCCGTCTTCGCACGCACGATCAGCGCGGCGAGCACGTCGTCCATCGACATCAGCGCGCCGTTCGCCCCGCCCGCCGCGCGCAGGCCCGACTGCCCCACCTGCGGGTGGCAGCACGCCTGCCGCAGCAACAAAAGGGGCCGCAGCAGCCTGTCCGCCTCCTTGTGCGACAGCGCGCGGTCCTCGTGCCCGTCGACAACGACGACGTCCTCCTCGTCGCCCGCCTGCGCCGGCACGCGCGCAGCCCACGCCGGCAGCAGCCCGCGCGCCTGCGACTGCAGCTTGCGGTGCTGCTGGTTGTAAAAGTGCCGTTCCACCGCCGACAGGTGGAGCTTGGAGAGGAGCTGCTGCATGCCGGGCAGCTGGAGCTCGTGCGCAACGGACGCCTTCGAGGACCGCCAGAGCAGCCCGCCTGACGCGGGGCGGAGCAGCGCGAGGAGTCTCTCGCGCGCGTGCCGACACCCGGCCTCGCAGCCGTCCTGGATCGCGCGGCGCCACCAGAACGGGGTGTCGTACGGCTGGACGCGGAGGAACGCGAAGAGGCCCTGGAGATCCTCGAGGCCGCGGTTGATCGGCGTGCCGGTGACGCACCAGCGGTGCACTGCCGGGATCTGTAGCGCCATCTGCGCGGCCTTCGCGGTGGTGCTCTCGACGGCCTGGGCCTCGTCGAGGCACACGCGCCACCACGTGAGCCGCGTGAGCGGCGTCGGGAACGCCGCGTACCGCTGCCTGCGGCGCCGCGACCGGCTGTCTGCGGCGGCGTCACCGGAGTCAGGTTTGCGGTGCAGCTCGCGGCGGAGGGTCTCGTACGTGACGAGCACGATGTCGCTGCTCGAGAGGTCCGCTGGCGTGGTCGACGTGGAGTAGTCGTCGCCCTGGCCCTCGAACACCCGCACCTGCAGCGGTGCGACATCCGAACCACCACCACGTTGACAGCAACGAGGCGCTGAGCGCACCGACGTAGCACGTGCAGGCGCCGACAGCTAGCTCGGCGTCCCACATAGCCGCACTGGACAGGACCCCGCGTGTTGGAAACGAAACAGCGCGCCGAAAGAATCATAGGGCTTGCCTGGACGCCGCGGGTGTGCCGCTGGATCTCCTCGCACCACTGCGGGAGCAGCGGCGCGGGCACGACGATGAGCGTCGCGGGCGAGACGCCCTCGAGCTGCCTCCCGCACTCCGCGGCCCGTTCCTCGGTGCACACGGGGCAGTGCCACGTGCGCGGCGGACGGCCCTCCACGTCCACGCACGGACTGTGCATCCACCGCGAGCACCTGTCGCATGCAATCCACAGCCTGCAGGTCCACAACGAGCCCCGCACAACGCCCGTCAGAACTGCGAGGTGGTTGCGGGTGCCTGTACGCGCGGGCCGGGAGCGTACGCACCCGGCGTAGTTCGCGTCGTCCGTCGCCCCGCACACGCAGTCCACCGGCCCGTCGCTGTTCTCCTCGAGACTCCCCCCCTCCTCCGCCTTGGGTTGTTTGGGCACACCCCCCTCGACCAAACGGTGGGCCAGGATGCACGCCAGGACCTCGACCGTCTTCCCGAGACCCATCTCCTCGCAGATCGCACCCCCGCGCACGCCCCAGTCCGCGCGGAACTCCGTCAGCGCCACCAGCCCCGTCAGGCGGTTGACCCACAGCGCAGGGTGCGGCCCGCCAGGCATGCACTCCACGCGGCGCCACAGCGGGTGCTCGCGCTCCCGCCCCGCGCCGGACGTGCCGAGCATGTCGCACGCCTCGCGCTGCGTCGCAGCCAGCCCGTCGCGCGGCAAGTCCCCGAGCGAGGCGATCCCGCGCTCGCGTTTCACCATCCACGCGACGGCGCGCCGCTGGTAGCCGCGGAGCGTCGGCCTGCAGCGCAGATGGGGGGAGAACACGCACGCTGTGGGGAGGGGAAGGCTGGGCCGCGGCTGGGCGGCCGCGTGGCGAGACGAGGGGCAGCGGGATGTGTTGAGGTAGGAGAGGGGGAGTGTCGGTGCGTGCCTGAGAGACTCGGGGTGGAGGTGGTCCGGGAGGGCCTCCTCGTCGCCCGCGGGGCGCACGGCCGCGAAGATGCTGACTGCGTCGAGTTTCTCGTCCTCCGCCGCGGCCGCGTCGCTGTCGGGCGGGGGGGGGTCTTCTGCGTCCGGGCAGCTCGCGTCCACGACGGTCCGCACGCTGGCGTTCCACGCACGCACGCCGCGGTGCTCGGGGTCCGTCACGGCGGCCGCCTGTGCCACAGCGGGCCCGCTCAGTCCGACCAGGAGGCAAAAGTCCCCCTCCGACGCCCCGAGGTGCAGCCGGGCCCACTGCGGGGCGCGGGCGGCCACGTCCGCGCGCGCACAGAGAGCGAACGACCCGCTCCCGCTGGACGCGAGGTGCATCACGGCGGCGGCGACGTCCTCGTCGGCCACCACCGCGAAGGATGCCGAGACGTCGTCGGCGGCGGCAACGAGCTCCAGGTGCGCGCCCGCGGCGACGCTGGCGTCGGAGGGGGCGCGCCGCGCTAGGGACACTTCGCGGAAGTCGGCGTTCGGGTCCAGCGGCGCGTCGGCGCCGTTCCGCAGCGCCGCTCGCGTGTGGAGTGGCAGTGCAGCGAAACACGCGCTCGGGCCGCCCTCGTCCACCAGCCTGCGCGGGACGAGCGCCACGGTGACGGGCCTAGATACAGAGGACGTGGCCCGCCCGTCGCTGCCGACCTTGCGGGCTTTCGCGCGGAGTGCCGGGGAGATGCACTGTGCGTCAGCGTCCAGCTCCTCGAACCGTTGCAGGGCCGCCTGGAGGGCCGTGGGGTTCGTGGACCCCTTCCGCGACGCCGCGACTCCCTGCAGGACCCGGCCCGCCGTCCGCAGCACCGCGCACGGCCCGCCACGGCGGGAGGGCTCGGCCTTGCGCTTGCGGCCAGTAGGCGCGGTGGCGGCGTCCTGCGTCGCGGCGAGGTCCGTCGCGGCGTCCCCGTCGGCGCATCGCGAGACGTGCTGCGTCGCGATGACCTCCTCGCACTCGGACGCGGCCCCCTTGTGCGCCCCCGGGGGCCCCGTGCTGCCGTGCGTGAGTGTTACCTCGTCCGTGGCCGTTGCAGGGCCGGTCGACGGCGCCTCGGGCTGCCTGGGGCGCTGGCCTCGCCGCTGCGGTCACGAGGCAGGTCGTGGGGCTGAGGCTGGCTGCGGTAGGCGGCGTGGCAGGGCGCGGAAGGTCCGAGCCTCTCGCTGTGGGCAACGGGGCGTCGCGGCCTCCGAAGAGGACCTGGCGGTGTCTTTCGGTCGCGGCGTACCTTGGGCGCGGCCTTCGTTCTCGGCATGCTACTTCGTCATCGAACCACCCGCGGACGTGTCCGTTTGCACGGCCTCTTTCCCAGCAACCCATGCACGCCCACGCGCGCCTCTGGTGGTTCGTTCGCCGGGTTACGCGGCCTGCGTGTGCAGGTTCAGCCCTCTCAAGGAGTGCACGTGGGCACCAGGGGCCCGGGACCAAGACTCCGCGCGCCACGCGCAGGAGGTGCAATAGTAAGTCTCTGAGGACTCCCGCTGCGTCGTTGCCGTCGCGCAGGTGCTCGAGGGCGCGCCTCGCCAGCGGCAGCGCGAGCTCCGCGAGTCGCACGACCAGCACAGCCACGAGCACGCGTTCGAGAAGCCGCGTCGCGTCGAGCACGGCTGTCCGCGACGCAGGAGCTACCCATCACCGCGCCGAGCAGGCGCGTCGCGGGCGCAGCCGCCCCCTCGCCGCGCCGACGCGCGGGCGTGCATTGAGATGAGCGAGAACAACGTGTTTCGCGGCAGCCCGGGCATCCCGCACGTCAGCGAGGAGTTCTTCAAGGCCCTGCTGTGCGGGTCCCTCGTAGCCACGACGCTCGTCTCGCTCCCCGGGCGCTTCTTCGTCCCGGAGGTGAGGCCGAGGCCGGGCCTGCGGATGTCGCGGGACCACATGCGGATGGTCACGGAGCAAGCGGCACAGGTGCGGACCTGGCGGCTCGGACGCTATCCAAGCCGCGTGGGCGCGGTGCGCGGGCGGCTGGGGGCGTTCCCGCGACGGAATCGTCCCCAACAGTGCTCGAATGTCGCATCCGAGCGGCTCGCAACTCCTGCACGTCGAACTACAGCCGCTCTGCGCCGGTTTCAACCTCCATGGCCCCAAACACGGCCGCGCCGTCGCTCTTCGGCGCGTCTCGCGGGCTCGCATCGCCCGCGTTCCCCAAATCATGCCTGCCGCCCGCCTGTCACCGCGTTTCGTTCCGCGCGCCCGCGCCGGTGGCTGTTGGCTGCCTCACAGTGCGGCGCGTGTTCCCCCGGCGTGCAGCGGAGGGAGGAGAAGGCCGGGAAGGCCCCGACCGTGGCCCTGCACAAGCCCGTGGACACGTCCGACAGCCACGAGAAGCGGTGGCACCGGCACTTTTGGTGGCGGCGCTGGCACCTCCACCGCTCAGGGCCAGCCTACCCGTCCCTGTGACCCCAGCGCCTGGCACCGCCTCACAACAGCGCGTCACGCGGCCGCGTCGCCGGCCGTGCGGTGCCGCCGGCACACCTCCGCGGCCAGCTGCGCCCACTCGTCGCCCGCAGCTGCAGCCGCCTCCGCCGCCTGCAGCACGCCCGCCAGGACCTGCGGCTCCTCGTGCACGTCCAGCCAGGACGAGTACTGCCCCGCCGTCAGCCCGCGCACCTGCACACGCGCACACGCGTCACGAATCACGAATAACCCCCCCCCCAAAAAAACAAAACACCACCCCTTCGCGGCGCACGCACAGACGGCGGCGCAGCATACCTTGTGCGGGAGCTCCGCCCGCGGCCCCGCCCGGCACAGGAACAGGTGCGCGAGCACCACGGGCGGCAGCGCGGCCCCGCCGCTGGCCGCCAGCGCGGCACGCGCGTCCCCCGCCGACTGGAACAGCGCGGGGCGGAGGGCGCGGAGGTAGCGGTACGCGGGGCCGATGGCGTCGGTCCCGAGCCCGGCCTCCCGGACCGCCACGTCGACTTCCCCGAGGTCTTTTGCCAGCTCCAGTCGGACTGACTCAGCGGTGCACTTGACGAGGGTGGCGTGGCGGCAGACGAGGAGGATGGTGCGGGAGAGGAGCTGGCGCGCGAGGAGCGCGCCGACGCTCGGGAGCGCGCCGTGCGAGGACCGCACCGACGGCGACAGCCGGTCCAGGAGCTCGGTACGCACGTGCTGCAGGCGCCTGGTCAGGCCGTCGACGAAGGGCGACGTCTGCGGGGCGGGGGGCGGGGGGGCCGCGCAGAGGAGTGAGGCCACGTGCAGCCCGGGGAGTGCGAGCGCGCGTGTCAACGTGTGGACGTGGACGGGGGGAGTTAGGGTTGTGTGTTCGGGGTGTGTTTCACCTTGGTGACGCCGTCGGGCGGCGCGGAGGACCCGGGGACGTGCGTGTGGATCGTCGCGACCTCGGCCTCGAGCGCCGCGGCGTGCGCGTCGACGAGCGGCGCCAGGATCGCGGCGGCCTCGCACTGCAGGTAGTGCAGCGTGCCCTGCACGGCGCCCTGCGCGGACGCGCTGAGCTGCGTCGTGCTCCGCGCGAGGCCGAAGTGCAGCGCCTGCAGCGCGTTGAACAGCGCGATCACGCGCGACTGCGGGCCCGAGCACGGCCCGTCCACGTCCCGCAACGCCGCCGCGCCCTCCGCCCTCTGCGCCGCAGCACAACGCTCGACCGCCGCGCGCACGACGCCGTCCACGACCGCGCTCGCGTCCACCAGCAGCCACCGGCTCGCCGACGCGGCCTGCAGCTGCGAGTGCACCAGCCCCGACAGTGTCTGCACGTCCGCGGGGCTCGGCAGCTGGCCGGGCGGGAACGCCGCGTGGAGCGCGCCGGAGAGCTCCGACGACGTGTTCAGGATGTACGGCTGCTTCACGGGCAGCAGCGCGTCCTGCAGCGCGACCTCGCCCGCCAGCAGGGGCTCCTCGAGTTGGAACTGGCGCGCGAGGGGCTGCGCGCGCAAGTCGTCGAAGGCCGCTTCGAGCAGCTTGAGCGTCCGCGGGAGCAGCTGGACGAGCGCCTCGGCCATGAGGGACCCGGCGGGCTCCGAGGCCGAGGCCACGCGGCGGGCCGCGGCCGCCGCGGTGCCGGCCAGGAGCCACGCGACGGGGCCGGCGTTCGACGCAGGCGGGGGGGTGTCGGGCTGCGGCGCGCTCGGGTCGGTCGCGGGGAGCAGAGAGAGGAGCTGCGCGCCCGTCGCGGTGTCGCGGCGGCGCGCGAGAGCCGCGTGGAGGGCCAGGTGGCGCTTCGCGGCGTCCTTGAGCTGAGCCGCAAACGCCTCCAGCTGCGGCCAGATCGCAGATACCATCTGCTCGACCGCGGCGCCCTGCACGTGGGTCGAGTGCCGTGTGTGGGTGAGGGCGTTGCGTTGGCTGGGCGCGGGGGGGGGGAGGGTTGCGTACCTTGCCACTGCGACTGACCGTGGCCAAAAGGCCCCCGCCGATGCCCGCCGCGGCCGCCTGGCGCGGATCGAGCGCGCCGCGCAGCACCGCGTCGAGCGGGCCCACGTCCGCCGCCACCATCTCGGACACCCCCCCTGCCAGGTCGGACAGGATGCTCAGGACCTGCAGCGCCTCGCCCACGGCGCCCTGCCGCCCCCCCGCGGCCAGCCCCGCGCGCATCTGCTCCCACGCCGCCGCCCGCGCCTCGTCCCGCGCCGCCGCCACCACGCGCACCCGCTCCGCCACCACGCGCACCCGCCGCACGTCGCCCCCTTCCACCAGCTTGCCCGCCTCGGCCACGAGCCGCGCGAGCGGCGCAACGTCCACGTCGCCGCCCCCGCCGCCCTCCCGCAGCCGCGCGCGCTCCTCCTCGACGCGCCCAGCGAGCTTCAGGTACCGCGTTGCTCTCTGGACGAGGTCCACCGCCGCGTACAGCCCGCGGAGGGCGCGCGTGCTGTCGGCCATCTCCTGCATCGGGGCTTCGACGGACTGCCGCGCGGACCGCAGCGACGCGCGCAGGGACCGCACCGCGAGGTCGATGGTGTGCAGGGGGGACTCTTGCCGCTGCGTCGCGTCAGGGGGGGAGTCAGGGGGTCCGCGGCGCCGTAAACGCGAGAAGGAAGCGCGGGGAAGCTGTCTGGCCGGGTTCGTGCCTGCATGGCGCGCGCGTGGTCCAGGAGCGGCTCTCGGTGTGCGCTGACTTCGTTCCGCAGGCGCTGGCCGAGATCCGAGATGCCTTGGGCGAGCTCGGCGATCTGGGCGGCGACCTCTGAGGATCCTCCGTCGCCCGCGGCCGGCGAGCGCAGGATGGCCGCCGCGTGCGCCGTGGCGTCGAAGCCCTCCTGCGTTGACAGCGCCACCGGCCGGCCGCGTCGCACCAGGCCACGGCCGGCCCGATTCGTGCAAGCCACGCGTCGGTCACGCAGGCCGCATGTCGCCAAGCCGCACATCTGTCCCTGGGGGGCCGCAACGGCTCGGGAGGGCCCGCGCTGGTGTGCGGAGGTCTCACCTGCAGGTACGGGGCGTACACTGCCTCCTCGCGCCAGTCATCCTGGCGGCGCGACGGTTCCATCGCCGACGACGCGCGCGCGAAGTGGCAGCGCCTGGCGTCCCCCGCGCAGCCCTCCGCGCCCGACCACCTGCCCGGCCCAGCTGAACGTTGCTGCTCCTGCCGCTGGTCTGGCGACGCGGCGCGTGACAGCACGCCCCGTTCGGCGCATACACGGTTGTGGAGCGGCTGCGCGTCGTCGAAGCGCAGTAACTCGGCCGCTCCTGCCCGCGCGGAGGTGTCTCCGTTGCACGCGGAGGTATAAGGGCCCCGGAAAGGAGCCGGCGGCGCGAGATCTCACGCCTCGGGCCGGCAGAGCGTTGCCACTACCTGGACCGTGCGAGCACTCCGCAGTACACCCTGTGCACGGCGTGCGTTCGTCCTGTGTTGCGCGACAAACCACGTGCAGCATCTGCCCCGCCACGTGGCTGGAGCGGGAGTGACGCGGCCATGCCGACGCTCGGCGGGACGTTCACGGAGGGAGAGCGGTGGAGCCGCGGGTGCGGCAACGGCATCGGGCTCTCTGCGCACAAGACAGGATACAGGTCGGTGACGCCACTCGTGCGCCCCGTTGCGGGCCCCGCGCCCGTCGCACCAGCGCCTCGCGTGCCGACGCGCCAAGCAGCAGCTATCGCACGTCCGCCCCGCCGGACGAACCTGCGCGTTCGCCACGTCCCGGGCGTCCCGGGGCGCATTCTTCTTCTTTTACAGGCTCCGCGCTGCCTGCAACCCCGCGTGGCCCCCAGAGGGCTCTGGGCGGGGATCGACCGGCGCGCCTGGCAACGTTCGGTGCAGGAATGTCGTGCTGTGCGGCGACCAGTGGGTGGAGAGTCAGGAGGCGGACAAGAACCCGCTCCCACCCCTCAACATGAAGCACTCCCCGCGGTGGGTCTCGACGATGCAGGACGGGTACAAGCCGGACGGCAAGTACGGCCCGTCGATCATGGAGCACAAGGGAATGGCGGAGGAGACCAAGTTCCTCCTCGGCGGAGTGCCGGCGCACCGCTTGTTCCGGTGCGCACCCGGGCATGCGCCGGCGGACACGCCCTGCGCGACGCGCGCCGCTCGCTGATATGCGCGCCGCTGCCTTGAGAGTACTCGAAACGGCACCCTCGCTGCCTCTCAGCTGCGTTTCACGCCCGGTTTCGCTGCGGCGGGTCGCTGCACACACAACGTCGCCATCGTGCGCCGGTCCGGCGCGCCCCCCGCGCCCGGCGTGGCGTGCGAGCGTCCGTGCTCGTTCGGTGACGTCACCGGTCGCCGCGTGGGCGCGTGTGCGCAGGCACGGGAGCGACGTCGGCCCCCTGGACACGTCGTTTGTGTCGACGGCGGAGCTAGCGTTCGCCGAGCCTGAGCTCGAGAAGCCGCGGGTGCAGAGCCATCTCTGGGAGGGCACGCACAAGCACGACAAGAAGGTCTCGATGGGCACGCTCCGTACAGGGCAGGTGCGCGGCCCGGCCGCCTGCCGCTGCCGACAACGTCACCTGTGTTCGCCCGCGCTCCCTCGCTCACCCGCAGCGCCGCGGACCGCCCCGTGCTCCGCGCAGTCGACCGCGTTGCGCGCCAAGGCCGGGGGCATCAACGGCGAGGAGCCATTCGTGTACGAGACGACTACGGAGGCGACGTTGGGGGCCACCGCGCGGCGGGTGGCGGCGGGGGAGGCCGAGCCCCGGGAGGTCGTGGGAGGCACGGGGACGTCGGAGTTCACAAAGTCCTGCAACAGCGTCCACCGCGCCATGCGCCTGCGCACCTGACGCGGCCAAACAGCCCCCGCACCCCGCACAGCGTGTGAGCCGCAGGGCAGGGACGTCGCGCCGGCCTCGCGGCCACGCTAGCTGCGCACCGGCGGTCACAGCATGCCTCCGCGGCCCCGCCCGACCCTGTCATACGCCAGAGAGATCTTGTCAGACAGGCTGTTGATGCCCCCCGCCTGCTCGGCGAGCCCCGCGAGGAGCTCCGTCATCAGCACGTCGACGCGGTCCTGCTTGTCGGCCTCGGCGAACCCGGGCACGTCCCCCGGCGGCGGGCGCGAGAGCAGCGCATTGACCTCCCGCAACACGGCGTGGTCGACCGGGGCGCGCCCTGCGCGGAGCGCGCGCGGCGCTGTGGGTCAGGGCGCGGCGCGCACGCCCGCTGGCCGGGTTTCCGCGCCAGCGGCGGCCCGCAGCGATGAACACACTCGTGTGTGTCGGAGGGGGGGGGGTCGTGCGCTCACCGTCGCGGGCGTCCTTGAGGTACTGCAGGATCTTCTCGACCTGCGTGCGCATCATCGCGACCGCGGGCTGCAGCTGCTGCGCGTGCGACGCGACCTGCAGGCTCGGGTGCTCCCCCGCGGCGGGCAGCAGCCGCGCGGCCTGCTCGACCGCGATCCGCTCCGCCTCCTCCGCGTGCAGCGTGAACTGCGTCTCCGACAGCTCCACGCGCGCGCCGCCCTCGCCGATGTGCAGCAGCGGCTCGAACAACCGCGCGGGCACTGCTTGCGCTCCCTGCACACACACACACACACACGCACACGCGCAAGTGGAGGCCGGCCGGCGTCGCAGGGGGCGCGGGGGTGCGCGTGGGGTCCGGCGCGCACCGCTTCGACGTTGGTGTCGAGCAGGAGCAGGACAGGGTTGTCCGTGAGGCCGGCGAGGACGGCGTGGACGCGGTGGTGGCCGTCCGTGGGCTGCGAGGCGGGGCGGGGGCGCGCGGAGGGGTGGGAGGCGTGCGGGCGGGGCGCGGGCGGGGCGCGGGGGCGCGCGGCGGCGGTGCGGGGCGCGGGGAGGTGCATGCGTGCCTTGGTGCCGAGGGAGTAGTAGCCGACGAGCTCGAGGTCCGGGTAGACCTTCTTGTACTGCTCCTGTCGCATGACGAGGAAGCCTTCGTCGAGCTCCGGGGCGCCCGCGCTGCCGCCGGAGCACGCGGCCTCGAAGGAGTTGCTGATCTCGAGCACCCGGCCCTCCTGCGTGCCGAGGAGGCACCCCACGACGTCCCCGACGGGCCGCTCGCCTTGCACGCGGTACCGGTTGTGGTGGTCGCTGATGTTGATCAGCACCAGCTGCACGCACGCCGTGGCAACGCGCTCGCACGGTCACGCAACCTCAAGCGGCGCCCTGGCGTCGCGCCGACGCGAGATACAGCCGGAGCGCGCCGCGAGCGATCAGCGCGGTGACGTGGCAGTCGCGGCGAGCCGGGCCGGGGCGTCCTCACCGGATGCAGGCGGTACTCGAGCCCCACTTGGGACTGCGCGCCCCGCGACGGCCCCGCCCCCGCGTTCTCGACCTCCATCGTTCCCGCTGTCGGTCGGCGCCTGTCGTAGCTCACTGCCCGCTCCGTTCCCCAGGCAGCTCGCGCCCCAGCGGAGTCTCGCGCGACGCACAGAGCCGTGACCGTTGCCACCGGCGTCCGCGCCGCTGAAAGAGAGCGCCCGCGAGCCCCGGCGCGCGCGAACGGGCGGCTGTTCGGGCGCAGGACCGCTTCTCTGGCCCTTGAGCGACCGGAGGGAGCCTGCTGTGCGGTGGGTGGGTTCGCGCGGAGGCGGGTGCGGGCGTGGAGCCTCAGGGACAGGGACCGCGCTCCACGGCTCCGTGCGGATTGAGCCTGAGGTCGCGCGCGTCGCGTCTTGCCTGGGCCGTTGTTCCGCGGAGGCCACGTTTCGGTCCGCTGCGTGGTGGCCGACGGAGTTTGGAACCCCCCCCAACTTGGTCGGTCGCGTGGCGCCGTGTGACGGGGCGCGCGCGCTCAAGGGGGCCGCGGGCGATGCGGTCTGGTGCTTTTCCTCAGCCTGACAGGACCAGAGAAGCAACATGCAGGCCACGCAGACCAGGTGCGTGCCCCTGGTGCCTCGACACGGCTCTTGCTGCGTCGCGCCGCGCCCTGCGCCCTCCTGCGCCTCCTTTCCCGCGCCCGCTCGAAGAGTTTACATCTGATTCGAGTCTCGGGGGCGGCGATCGGCGTCGAATTGGCCGCACGGGCCGCGTAGCCCGTGTTGCTTGCCATCGATGGTCCGGTACCCGCTCGCAGCGGCACGGGGCATCCGCCGCCGTTGATGCCGCGCACAACGCGGCCCGTGCGATGTCCCTCGACCGTGGCGATGCCCTCCATGGCGCGCGCGGGTCCGGAGGCGGCCCCCCCGCGGTGCTCGGATATTGCCCCGGCCGGACATCCGAGCGCTCCTCGCCTGCACGCCATTCTGACGCAAGTGCAGGATGCACGCTGTGTAGAGCGATCCCTGACGTCCCCAAATCGTCGCTCGGGACACCTCGCCCGACTCGCCGTGACCCGGCTGGCCGCCCCTGAACGCTCACTTGCAGGTCGTTCAAGTCCTCCGTCGCCGGGGCCACGGTGCCCCGCACCGCGGCGCGCAAGGTACGTTCATCCACGACGCCCGCACCGATCCGCGCTGCGCGCCCCGAACTCGCGGAGCCCCTGTAGCCCCCCGCTCGGCGCCCCAGGCATCCGCCCGCGGCGTCGCGCCGGGTCGCCCGCGCGCCCCCGCGCCCCACCCGCACGCATCCCTCACAGCGCTCCGGCGCATCGCGCCGGCTCCCCTCGCTCCACGACCAGCGCGCCGCCTCCCAACGGCCCACGCTCGCGACTTCACCCGCCCCCTCCGCGCGCCCCGCGGCCGCAACGCCCCGCACGCCCCGCCGGCCCCGACCGCCCGCCCCCCCGCGCCGCAGGGTGTGCGCTCGGCCGCGCCCCGCGCCGTGCAGGTCCAGGCCAAGGCCAAGACTGTGGTCATCGGCCTCGCGGCCGACTCCGGCTGCGGCAAGTCGACCTTCATGCGCCGCGTGACGGGCGTGTTCGGCGGCAAGGCCGAGCCCCCGGCGGGCGGCAACCCGGACTCGAACACGCTGATCTCGGACATGGCGACGGTGATCTGCCTGGACGACTACCACCTGCACGACCGCCAGGGGCGCAAGGAGGCGCAGGTGACGGCGCTGGACGAGAAGGCGCAGAACTGGGAGATGATGTACGAGCAGATCCGGGACCTGAAGGACGGCAAGGCGGTGGACAAGCAGATTTACAACCACGTGACGGGCGTCATGGACCCGCCGGAGCGCATCGAGTCGCCCGAGGTGCTGATCATCGAGGGCCTGCACCCCTTCTACGACGAGCGCGTGCGCGAGATGTGCGACTTCAAGATTTACCTGGACATTTCGGACGAGATCAAGTTTGCGTGGAAGCTGCAGCGCGACATGGCGGAGCGCGGGCACTCGGAGGAGACGATCAAGGCGTCGATCGAGGCGCGCAAGCCGGACTTCGACAAGTTCGTCGACCCGCAGAAGGAGTACGCGGACGTGGTGCTGCAGGTGCTGCCCACGCAGCTCATCCCGGACGAGAAGGAGGGGAAGATCCTGCGCGTGCGCATGATCCAGAAGGAGGGCGTGGAGGGCTTCGAGCCCGTGCACCTGTTCGACTCGGGCTCGACGATCAGCTGGGTGCCGTGCGGCCGCAAGCTCTCGTGCTCGTTCCCGGGGATCAAGATGTTCTACGGGCCCGACACGTGGTACGGCGAGGAGGTCTCCGTGCTCGAGATGGACGGCCAGTTCGACAAGCTCGAGGAGCTCATCTACGTCGAGAGCCACCTCTCGAACACCTCGGCCAAGTTCTACGGCGAGGTGACGCAGCAGATGCTGGCCAACTCGCGCTTCCCGGGGTCGCAGAACGGCACGGGCCTCTTCCAGACGCTCATCGCGCTCAAGGTGCGCGAGCTCTACGAGAAGAAGGCGAAGAAGACCGTCGCCGCCTAAGAGGCGTGTGTGTTGCGGGCAGGGCGCGGGCGCGGGCGGCGGCGGCGCGCGCGGGATAGTGTCGCAGCGCCGCACGGCGCCCTGCGCCCCCTGTGAGGCTGAGGAATGTGTGCGAGCAGGCGCCTCGCGAGTCACCGCGTGCGAGCGCTCGCCGGTCCGACGCGACCCGACGCCGCGTGCGCCGTTGCTGGCTGTCTGTGGCTGTCCGGGTCGATGTCGACGACTGGGGCTTAGGAGCGCTCCGGCGGCTGTGCGTCGTGCGAGTGGCGGGGGCCCGTGCGGCTCGGTTTCCGGGCGCGTGTGCGGGGCTGCGCATCGTCGCGACTGTCATGTCAAGGGGGGGGGTTTTGCCGGAGTACTCCCCCTCCTTGAGCCGCACGGTCGACATCGCGGACGGCCCCCCGCCCGTGGTGCCATTCTCGCACGGAGTCCCAGCTCGCTGCGTCGACCCACCGCCGCTGGTTGGCCACCGACAGCTGCCGCCATGCACCGCGCCCTCGCAAACGCCACGGGAGTGGCTCACGCGAAGGCTGCGCCCGTCCGCCGGAGACCACTGGCAGTGTCCATGCGATCCGCGCTCGCGCGCCGCGCGCAGCGAGCGTGCATGTCGTGCGCGGCGGCCGCCAAGCCCGGGCAGGTGCAGGTGAGGCCCGAGGGCGACATCGAGGGGATGACGGCGTTCCTGGACAGCCTCAAGTACGACGCAAACGGTCTTGTTGCGGCGATAGTTCAGGTGAGGTGCCGCGTCGAGGACCCCGGGCGGCGCAGGCCCGGGTCTGCTTGCACTTGGGGGACCATCGTCCCGCGGCGGCCGTTTCAGACAGTTCTTACGGCCGAATTCGTCCTGAAACGATCGTTCTACGCCCGAACATCGTCGCCGCCATCGCGGCAGTGGAGATTATACCGTGAGGCACGCAGCGAGTGGGCCAGCTCGCAGCGACACACACTACCGCAGTGTCACCGGTGGACGCGCGCCCGCGCGGCCCCCTCGCAGGACGTGGACACCGGGGACCTCCTGATGCAGGGCTTCGCGAACCGCGACGCGATCTGCGAGACCATGCAGACGAAGCTGGCCACGTTTTGGAGCCGGTCGCGCCAGGAGCGCTGGTGCAAGGGCGAGACCTCGAACAACTACCTCGTCGTGCACGGCGTGCACTACGACTGCGACCGCGACTCCCTCGTCTACCTCTCCGAGCCCATGGGCCCCGCCTGCCACACCAACGCACGCACGTGCTGGTTCTCCGAAGCAGGCGTCGACGCGGCGGCCTCGCGCGTCGTCGACGTCGGCGCGCACGACTCCGACGCGCACGTCCCGCGGTCCACGCTGTACGCCCTCGAGCACACCATCAAGCAGCGGCGCGCTGCGATGGCGCATGCGGCGCCGGGGGAGAAGCCGTCGTGGACCGCGCGGCTGCTCGCGGACCCCGAGCTGCTGTGCAAGAAGGTGCGCGAGGAGGCCGGGGAGCTGTGCGAGACGCTCGAGAAGGACGAGGGCCGGGAGCGGGCGGCGAGCGAGGCCGCGGACCTCCTGTACCACGCCATGGTGTTGCTCGAGCTGCAGGGCGTGGGGATGGCGGACGTGATGGCGGTGCTGCGGTCGAGGTGCGGGCGTGCGTGCGCGTGTGGGCGTGCGGGGCGCGGGGGGGGGTTGCGCGGGCTGACGGATGCGGTGTGCGTGGGTGCGTGCGGCGCAGGTTTGGCGTGTCGGGGATCGAGGAGAAGGCGAGCCGGTCGAAGTGAGCGGGGCGGGAGCCTGTGAGGCGCGCGTGCGTGTTCGAGCCCCGGTGTCACGCCACGCCAGTTGACTGAAGGGGGGGGTCCCTGGACTGTCCAGGCGCGGCACGAGGGGCGCGTGGCGTGGGGCGGCGCGGCAGTCCGGAGCCACGTACTGCTGTGTCGGTGCGCTGTAGGTTGATTGCGTGGCGGCTCTGTTCAACGGCACTGGCCGCGTTGCTCCCACGCCCTGGGTTCCTTCCTGTGGGCCCGCGCCGAGGCGGTTACAGGTGTAGACGGGTTACAGCGGGGACGTTCGTGCCATGAGCGCGTGCCAGGCGCGCTGCGTTGCGGCGCGGGGGACCGCACAGCGCCCCTGCGGCCCCCTGCCTAAAGCATCAGCGCGGGCAGCGCGCTGCCGCGTCGCGGCCCGTCCTAGCCTCCACGACGCCTGCGACGGACGCGATGACTTGACGGAGGGGCAAGGCCTGTTCGGGGTGGGCCGGCGCGGGGTGATGGTGTCGTCAGCGGCCGCAGCGGCAGCGTTGCTTGGAGGCCACAACCCAGCCCAGGTACAGCAGGGCGCGCGCGGCAGCGCGGGGCCGCACGGGCGGCGAGTCGCGCCGCGACGCGTGGGCGATGTACGGTGCTCTCGCTCGGCGCGGAGGGCGCGGTCGTTCGTGTGACGGGCGGCGCGGGGGGCGCGTTGCTGTGCAGGCGTCCAAGATTGGTCCGGCGGGCGACGCGCTGTGGGAGAGGATAGGCGGGGGTCCCCCGGATCTGTTCTACCCGGAAGCGTTCTTCGGGGAGTGGGTGTGCACGTCCGCGCTGATCAAGGTCGAGACCCCGCAGGGCGAGGAGATGGTCCCCGACATGAAGGTGCGCCTCGCAGCGCGCCGCCCCGCGAACCTGCGCGAACCTGATCCAGTTGCGAGCTCACTGGTCCCCCCGCGGGGTCCCGGGCTTCCACGGGCCTCGCGCGCCGTGCAGCTCGTGCGTTGACGCCTCGATGTGTGTGTTGTGCTGGGAACACCCTAGTCGGTTCGCTCGCGGCGTTCCGGCGCAGGTCGTGGAGCGGGCGCGGCAGCAGGACCTGGACCGGCGCATCCGGTACCCGATGTTCTTCATCCGCAACAGCCAGGGCCGCGTCATCAGCGACCGCCGCGCCAACACGGCGTCGCTGCTCGAGGTGTACAACGGGCCGCAGCCGGGCCTCCGCGACCGCATCACCTGGAACAAGGACGACCCGAACGTCCTGCGCGTCAGCCTCGGCGGCGGCCGCTCCGTCATCACGCGCGTCACGCGGCGCTCCCAGACCGAGGACCTGCCCGCGAAGAAGTTGGACACGAGCGAGTACGTGCAGCTCGTGATCGAGGACAGCGGCGCGGGGAACCAGCCCAAGGTCAAGGGCAGCCAGTGCTTCACCAAGTACCGCTGGCGCGACCCGGGCGAGGCCGCGGGCGGCCCGGAAGTCGTGGCTACGCAAATCGTGTCGGACTACCTCAGCGGTGAGTGCCTGCCCCGCGGACGCGACCGGCGGCCTGGCTGCGCGCCGCGAGCCCTGTGCGCGCGTGACGGCGGTGCGCGTGTGTGTGTTGGGCTGCAGCGATGGATGTGCAGGACGGGGACTTCTCGCGGGGCGCGGCGGCGCTCGCGGGGAAGCCGGTGGTGACGTACCAGTACCGCATGACGTTCGCGCGGCCGCAGAAGGCGTGACCGTCCGCCGCGTGTGACTGCACTGCACCGCGACGTAGCGCCGCAAGGGTCGCTCGCCGCCCGCCGCTCCGTGGCTCGCGTGACGTGCGCCCTGCGTCCGCGCAGCGAGCTTTTTGTACCGTGGACCGGCGCCAGAGGCGCGCGTTGCCCCTGTGCGTGGCCCGTGGAGGCGGAATTCCTGCCCTGGTGCCACCAGCCATCAACAACCAGGTCGTACTGCATCAAGGCGGGGGGTTCCGTCCAGCCGTGCGCGCTCGACGGGCCGCGGGGGCGCCGCGCGACGCCACGTTCCTCAGAGGCTCGGCAGCGGTGCCCCCCGGACCCCACGCGACGTCTGCGACGCAACAGCACCGCGGTGGTTCCAGGACCAACACCCAGCACGCGCGCCGTCCGCGCACCGGGCCTCAGGTCGGCGTCCCGTGGCGTCGCGGCGCTGTTCCGGTCAGAGAGCTCGCGGGACCGTGGCTCGCAGGGGACGACGTCGCGCCTGCGGCCCGGGAAAGCACCTCGGCTGTGGGCCCTGGTCCAGGAGCCCCGGCAGCGCGCTGGTGGGCGTGAGAGCCGGTGTTAGGTCGCGTTGAGTCGGAAGAGTCCGTAGTGGCGCGTTGAGGCGACCATGCCGAAGAAGGGTTCGAAGAAGAAGAAGAGCGCCAAGCCGGCATGGATGTCGGATGAGCACTGGGCGCTCTCCCAGAACGCCATCCAGCTCGCAGAGGTCATGAAGGGGCAGACCCTCGACCTCCCTGGCCCGCCCGTCACCCGCGTCCAGGTGCGAGCCCCGCGAACGCCGCCGTGACGTGGGAACGCGGCCCCTGCACCGCTCCCGCGGCGGACCTTGATTCCGGCCCACGGCGCCCGAGCCGGCCCGGCCCTCCGACAACGACACCGCGAGGCCTTGCCCCTGCGAACAGCTCCCTGTTCCGGGCGCTATTTCGACCACCATCTCACCAGACAGCGCAGTCGCAGCGCCCTTGGCATCTGCTGCGTGCATGGACCTCCCTCGCGGCGCGCGGTGGGCAGTCTCCGTCGCGAGCATGCCCGCTCGGCGGCCCCTGCTTCCGGGTCTTGCCGCGTCGCCGGTTCCGCGACATCCCACCGCCGCGGCCGCGCTCCGCCCTCCACGACAGCACGGCACCTTGTGCCACGCGCCCCAGTTCCCGGAACGCCGCGCCCCCGCCTGCGCGGTCCGTGATCGACGACACTGCGACTGATGCGGCGCTTGGTAGCGACAACACCCCCCGGCCCCCCGCCCGTCGCGGCCTAGCCCGCCCGAAACCATACACGGCATGTGCTGCTCCTTTGCCAACCTGCGCGCCGCGGCGCCCCGAACGCTGCGTTTCTGCGCTGCCCTCGCCTTCCCAGTTCCACATCGACGTACACACACCTCCCGCGGCGCGCGCGCTCCACCCCTCGCGGCGAGGCACCCGCGACCCTCCTGCGCACGCGCACCAATGCCGTCCCCGTGCGGCCCCCCCTCGCGCATCCCTCGCCGCTCGCTCCCGGCGCGGCGCGCTGCTCGAAGGCGCGTGCGCCGACCAGCCCTCCCCGCGCGTCGTGTCCCCGCAGGCCGCGATCTGGCTGCGCCAGCTGTGTTCTCCGTCGAAAAACGGGTCCAAGCGCGACGAGGCGATCCAGAACGGCGTCGTCGAGGTGTGCGTGAAGATGCTCAAGGACGACAGCCTCGAGTCCGCCACGACCCGCGGCGTCGCGGCCGGTCTCCTGGCCGACCTTGCGCAAATGGATGCCGGGCGCGACCTCCTCCTCGGAATGCGCCCCACGCCGCTCATGTGGAACTGCATCCTCAAAGGCACGCCCCCGCCACCCACACCCCGCTCCCAAAGGCCTAACCCCTGCCCCAGCCCCGCATCGAATGAAACCCCCCCCCTCGCCTCACGCGGACCCGCCCGCGACCCCCCGCCCTCCCGCCCCTGCAGGGAGCACCGCGGTGCGCGACGGCGCGTTCGGGTGTCTCAAGCAGCTGATGCTGCTCGCGGGCGGCAAGGACCCGAACGTGGAGTTCCGCCGCGCCCTGACCAAGTTCCTGTGCGCGCAGTCGTGGGAGCCGCTCGTGGACGCGCTCACGCAGGCCGACACCATGCCGCTCTGCGGCGGGAAGCAGGTCTCGCTCGCCTGCGCGAGCTTCCTGGCCACGCTGGCGGGCCCGCCGCCGCCCGAGGCGCTCGGCGGCTTGCCGGTCGACCGGACGTACCGCGACCGCGTGCACGAGTGCTTGCTCGCGGCCAAGGCGCTCGAGGTGATGATTCAGTTGTCGGCGTCAATGGAGGTGCTGCCGGAGGTGCGCGACTGCTGCGTGTCGATTCTGTGGCACCTCATGAGCCGGGGGCCTGTCGCAGTGCACGACGACTTCATTCGGAAGGGGGGCATTCAGTGCGCGATGGCTGTCATGGGGGACAAGACGCTCGGGCTGCCCACGCGCGCGGCGGCCGCCGGGTGCCTGCGAGTGGCGATGAGCCCGTGCAAGGAGCGCGCCGCCGCGCTCGCGCGTGCGCGCGCGGAGCTCGAGACGCGCGAGGCCGCGCAGCTACGTGAGAACCCCCCCACCCCCCCTCGCACGCGCATCGCCCCGTCTCGTTGCTCATGCCTGACAGGCAGCGTCGCCTCACACCCCCCCTCTCCCCCCAACCGCCTCTGCAGCGCCGGACGTGTACAGCACGCTGCGCCCGCGCTCCGCCTTCACCCCGGCGTACCGCCAGGCGCCCCCCAAGACGGCCCCGGGGGAGTACAGCGACGACCCCGAGGGCCTCGTGCCGGCCATCCGCGGCCTGGACTCCGCGTCGATGCGCCCGCTCTCCGTCCAGATCAACCTCACGCCGCGCCCGAACTCCACAGCGGGCTCCGCCGGGTTCGGCGGCCTCGGCCCCGCGGGGCCCATCACGGTGACACAGACGGGCGACGGCTGGGCGGGGTTCCTGGGGACCATCTCCGAGAGCGGGCACGCGCGGCCGATGGACGAGTTCGCCGGCACGGGCGCGACCGCGATGATGGAGATGCTGGAGCTCGACGAGGCGCTGCGGGAGTACACGCTACAGCGCGCGGCGCTGGTGGCGGGGGCCGGGGCGGTGCCGCTGCTTGTGGAGCTGGCGGCGCCGCCGGAGGGCCCGCTGCCGGACAAGGAGGGGCAGCCTGCGGAGGAGGTGGCGGGCGCGGGGGGCAAGAAGAAGAAAGGCAAGGGGAAGAAGGGGAAGAAAGCTCCGATGCTGCCTGGGATGGAGGAGGCGCAGGTGAACGCGACGTCGTGTCTGCGGATCTTCTCGCTGGACGACGAGATGCGGGAGATGATGATGCGCGCGGGCGTGGTGCGGTACCTGGCGCCGCTGCTGATGGTCAAGCAGGACCGGCAGCGGTGGCACGCGCGGAACATCCTGCTCAGCCTGGCGCAGAACCCGCAGTACCGCAAGGTCATGGAGCTGTACGAGGTGCCGAACTTCGTCACCAACGCCAACGTGCCCGCCGTGGTCGTGCGCCCCTCGACGGCGCCCTCGAGCCTGTACGGGTCCCTGCACCCGCTCGCGCAGGCCGCGCAGGCGGTCCGAGAGGTAAGATGCCTCACGCTCAAGCGCGTGATCGGCTGCGACATCACGGGCGCCGGCGTTCCGAGGGTCGTGACATGCGCTGACGGGCGTGGCTTGCTTCGCATCCTGGAACGCAGGGGTTCGGGGGCCGAAGGCGGCACGGTTCGGGGCGCAAGGGTGCCGGCGGGCAGGCCGAGGGGGGTGGGCCCGCGGGGCAGGCGACCAGCAAGGCACCCACGCGGCGGTCGTCGCAGGCAGTCCTGGACCAGACGCGCGGTGGGCACGCCGGGGCGACCCCGATGCCGCAGCCGATCGCCGCGTGATATGTGACTGCTCGCGATCCGCACGCACCCTCCGTCTCACACGCGCGCGTCTGTCAGACGGGCCCGGAGTCTTGGCGCTGCGCTGCCGCGATGGACGCGAGCGACAGAGAGTGGAGCACGCGCTGCCCGGAGGTGTTCCTGGTGAGGCCGGACTGCGTGAGGGAGGAGGCCTCGAGCGAGAGCGACACGCCGAGCGCCGACGGGGCCGCCGGCGACGCGCACATGTCGTTGCCGGGCGACGCGGGCGGGGGGGTCTGCGCGCGATTCCTGCGGGCGGCGTACGGGTCGTCGGCGCTGCTGGACGGCGCGCAGACGGACGGGGACGGCGCGCCGCCGGCCGCCTGCAGAGCAGCGGACCGCGGGGGGGCCGTCAGCGCACGCCGAGACCGAGCCCCTATCAAGCACGCGCTCGAACTCGAGGTTCCTCGACTCACCTGCCCCAACGAAGGGCTCGACGCGTGCCCGGCGGCCGCGAACGAGACCCGCGCGCGGCCCCCGCCGGTCACCGAGCTCGCCCGCTCCTCCGCGTCCACCGCCCCCTCCGGCTCCAGCAGCTCCATCGCCGCGTGCACGGCAACCCCCCCCTGCGGTGACGCCGGGGCACCAGGACCCTGCGAGGAGCCCTCGGCGATCGCGTCGAAGGCCGGGCCCTGCACCGGCGGCGCGTCGAGGCCCTGCGTCCTCCGCTGCGCCCTGCTGTTGGCCCCTTGCAGCTGCACGGCACGGAGGTGTGCGTGTTGGGGGTGGTGTGCATATAGTGGTGTGCGCTCCCGTGCTGACAGCGCGGCCGGCGGTGCGCGGACCTTCCGCCCGCCCTTCCAGAGCTTGCCCACCGCGAACGCCCCGCCCGGCCGGGAGTCGAGGAGGTAGGTGATGGAGGTGTGCAGGCCCGTGGAGAGGAGCCAGAGGGAGGTGAGCGCGAGAGCGCACTCCATGTACATCAGGTTCCACTCCTCGACCGCCGAGCGCACGGAGCCGAGCAGGATCGCGATCTCCACGGCCTGCGCGCACCCGCGGCCAGCAGCCGCGTTCAACGAAAACAACTTGGAGACCTGCGTGGTGCTTTGATTGTTTCGCCGGGCACGGCAGTGGGTGCTGAGCGGGGCCGGTGTGCGCGGGGTGCTCGCCTGGACGCAGAGGTAGATCGGGTAGTAGATGATGGCGTTGAAGGAGTTGAGACTCGAGAATCGCCTTCTGCCGCACTGCTTCGAGTTCCACCAAAACGTGCCCGCGGGGTCCGTGGCGTCCGACACGAACCCGGCCGGCGGCATGAGCATCGAGAGCAGCAGCACGCACGCGTCCGTCGGCACCGGCAGCCCGCGCGCCCACCGCACGAACCGCTGCCACCGCCCGTGACGCGCCAGGTGCGCGGGCGGGCGCGGCGTCGTGGTGGTGCCCGCCGCGACCTTCCCGCGCGGCGACGCGTCCCCCGCAGCCACCGCCGGCCGCTCCTGGTCGCGCGTGAGCTTCCGCCAGAACCTCGCGTGGTGGTGCATGGGGCACACCGCGCTCTGTCGCCAGAAGCGCAGGATTAGGAGGATGGCGGCGGCGTGCGCGACGAGGATGAGGAAGATGTACCCGCCGAGCGAGGCCGCGAAGAGCGCGACGGCGACGGTGCGCGCGCCGATCTCGAGGATGCGCCACGTGAAGTAGGAGCACACCCACAGGAGGTGCACGGGGGACCGCGAGCGCCCCGTGATCTCCTCGAACATCCGCCGGTCGTTCAGGTCCAGGCTGACGTAGCACAGCGTCGCCGCGACCTGCGACGGCGCGCCGGGGACACGAATGGTGGCGGGTCGGTTGCGGTGTGGCGGGGCGGCGGACGTACGACGTCACGCGGTGTGGGCAGGGGCGCGCACCATGGACGCGGAGATGCCGAGGCCGAGCAGGACGTCGACGCCGGTGCGCCCCGCGCACTCCACGTCGGGCGACCGGCACGCCATGCCGATGTACGTCTGCAGCACCGCCACGGGCATGGTCAGCAGGACGGTGTCCGCGAACCGCATGCCCTTGACCTCGAACGCAGAGTGGCGCTGCGCGACGTCGCTGGCGCGCAGCGCGGACGCCGCGGCGAACAGCGTCCCGAAGCCGCACACGGCGCAGGCGGTGCCCAGCAGCTTGATGAGCTTGCGGTCGTCGGCGCGCGTGAGGCCCATCCAGCCGAGGACCTTGGAGCGCGTGCGGCCGTCCTCGGGGTGCGTGTCGTAGAAGGTGTAGTGCGAGCGCCAGTACAGGGCGTTGATGGTGCACGCCGTGACCAGGAAGATGAGCAGCATCGCGAACCAGCCGCCGTGGCCGTTCGAGAGCATCCGGTGCATCTCGCGGAACAGCGACGCCTTCGAGACCAGGTCCAGCACGATGCCCGCCCACAGCAGCACCTTGCCCACCCGCGCCATCTGCAACCATACACACACACAGAGAACGACGCTTTGCATCGCGCAGCTCACGACGGGGGCCTCGGCGACGCAAACCCACGCCAGCGCGAGGGAGTCCCGGCGTGCGCACCTGCGGTCCCAGCACCAAGATGCGCTCCTCGAGGCCCGAGTTCATCTTCAGAGGGGCCTCGAACACCTCCCTCCCTGACGCGGACTGGCGGCCCTCCGCGGGCTGCTCGGGTGTCGGTGCGAGCCCGCAGCCCCCCCGCGCCCCGCGCGCCGTCGTCGCGGGGCTCGCGGCGATCCCGAACGCCTTGTTCAGGCCAGAGTCAAGCGACGAGTGCGGGACCCCCCGGGGAGTGCGGCGCTTGTTCGCAACGCCCCCCGTGATGTCGCCGAGCGGCGAGCGCGCCGCGGGCGGCGCCGTGCCGCCGCCGACGTGCCCCACGGGCGGGCTCAGCTGCAGCGGCGGCACGCCCGCCGCGGACCTGCCCACCGCGGATGACGCGGCGGGCCCGATGGCGCGGCTCCGGGCGGCCTCCTCCGCGGCCTCGTACAGACGGAAGTCGTCCATCGCGATGTCGTCCCCGAACTCCACGCTCGCGGCCAACGCCCCCGGGGAGTCCCGGCGACCCCCCCCCTCCCTGGCCCCGCCCGACCCCCCGCGGCCGCTGCCGTCGGTCGCCTCGCGGGCAGCCTCCTCGGCCTGCCTCGCGACGTCCGCGGAGAACGTCAGCTCCCTCGCCACGCCGCGCGCCCGGCCCTCGGCCGCCACCACCGCCGCGGGCGTGCTGCCGCCGGTGCCGTTCGTCGGGACCGGCGACGCGATGCACGGCCCCGCCGTGCTCGCCCTGCTGCCGGACCCCACCGTCTCCGCCACGCCGTACCGCGTCTGCCCCGGGTCCACCGGCCCCCCCGCCACCGCCGTCCGCCCCGACGCAGCCAGCTTCCGTGGCACCGTCCAAAACCCCCCCCCGGGCGGTCCGGCGGGGCTGGCCGCCGGCGGCGTCCCCGGCGGACGCGCGGCGGGGGCGGCGTTGCGGCGGTACGAGGGCGAGGGCACGAACGAGTGCCACGACGACGCGGCGGTGTGGCCGCTCTGCGAATCCGGCGGCGTCGAGGTGAGGCCGATCGAAATCGAGCGCTCGGAGCCGAGAACGTTGCTCGTCCGTCCCCCATGGGGCTCCCAGGAGTCCCCCGGCGCCTGCAGGGGCCGGAGAGCGCGGCACCGTCAGTGGTGAGTTGCGGGTAGCGCTCTGCGGCTGCCGCGGAGCCCTGCGCGCGTGGGGCGCGGCGTTACCTTGTCGCGCGAGATGAACCCGTTCGACGAGGCCGTTTGCCCCGCAGTGCCCGTGGAGCGGACCAGCGGTCGCGCGTCCCGCAGAGCCGCGGCATCAGCGCTGGTGCCCACCGGCGCGGCGAGCCGCTGCGGGCTTGGTGAGGGCGGCCAGTCCGCGGAGTTGGCCGTGACGGCGCGGGACGGGGCGCGCACGGCCGGGGACTGCGCGGCGCCGGGGCTCGCGAGGTCCCCCAGGTGCCGGCCGCCCAGGGAGTTGCGCAGCTGGGTCGCCAGGCGCGCCCCGGCTGGCGTGTCCCCGCCCGGGTGCGGGGCCGCCGCGCTCGAGTCCCAGCTGGGAATGTTGGTCAGATCGCAGGGCCTCGCGGGCCCGTGGCCTGCGCGAGAGGGTGGGCGGCGGGGGAGCGCGCTGGACGTGCCAGCTGGCTGTGGCTTGCTGATTCGAAATACACGTCGCCGTGGGGCGCGTTCGATCCTCGATTGTATGCGACACTGTACGTTTGTGGCATGGTAGATCGTGTCCGTCACTGAAACGTGCCGGTAACGGAAGCGGGTCGTCGCGGGAGGGGCTGTCCTGAGGCTCGTGGCCAAGCCCGCGGGGGACCCACCTGCGCCGTTCTGTCCAGCCCTGTGCATCCTGGACGCGTCTACTGGTATCTACCTAGCGTGTGCGGCGCTCCCCCGCGCAGACTCTCCGCCGATGCGCTGTGCGTGGCCTGCCCTGCTACGCTGCTGGTCGCACAGGTGCACGCCGGCCGCGATGGGCCTCGAAACCACAGTCTGCCGCGAGCAGGCATTCACCTAGCCAAGTGGCATCGAGCAGAGCCTCTACCGCGCCATGTGGGCCGCACGGCCCGCCGCTCGCTGCACCTTTGACACACCTCTCTGGTAGAATACCATCACAGCGGCTCCCGAACCACCCTACGGACCAAGGCCGCAGAAGCGCTCCCGACTGCGCTCGTCGGCGGGGCGTCGTTTCCGCGCTCCGTCGGCCGACGACACGGCGCCCCTCCCCCGGCGCGCCAGAGGCAGTGACGCGCCCGAGGGCCGTGACAAGGCGAGGCAGAGGCGCGCGGGGCCCGCACGGGGCCAGGGGAGGCCGGCCCGGCGGCGGGCGGCGGCGTGTGTCCTCGCTCACAGGCGCCGTTCACGTCAGGAGAGCAGGCTGGACGCAGGCGGCCACGGCCGCGTGACGTCGTCCATGTGGTCGTCGAGGTCGTGGAAGTCGCGGTGCCGGCCGTCCCTGACCAGCTGGGCCAGCAGCTGGTGCACGCCCCCCGGGAGCGTGGGCGGCGCTGCGCTGCGCTGCAACTCGCTGCTGGTGCTCCCGCGCGGTGGGTGCCACAGGTCGAACGGAACGGGCGAGCCCTTGCTGTAGAACTGCTCGAGGGACGACGGATCCACCACCAGGCAGCACGCGCCCTGCGAGGAGCGCCCGGAGGCGGCCGTTCAGCGTCGCGGCGGCGCATGTGTTTGTGTGGGGCTGCGGGGGCCGGGCGTGCTGCGTGTGTGGGGCCAGGCGCGCACCTTGCCGGCCGAGGCTATCCGCTCCGCGATGGCGCGCGCGGCGGGCGCGGGCTGGCTGCGCGCGCGCCCCTCGCTCCACTGGTACACTCCAACCATCTCGGCGCCCTTCCCGGACGCCCCCTCGCGGATGAGCTGCAGGCCGACGTCCGGGACGAGGCTCGTTCCGATCTTGACGTGCTGCAGCGGCACCGCGTCCGCAACCACCGTGCCTCCCTCGCCTGCAGACCAGGGGGTTGCAGGGCAGCCGTCAGCGCTCCTGACGGATGCATACGAAGAACGCGGTGCCCGCATGCGTCGATGGCGCAGTGCTGGACGCGGGCGTGGCGGAAGAAAGAACGGAGCGGCCATGATGGCGCGATCACGGCGCGTTTTGTTGCAGAGCAGCGAGGCTTCGCGCTGTGCCGGGCGGGCGCAACGGCCGCGTGGCGCCGTACCTGACTGGCCCAGTAGAACACCTATACAGTACCCATGCGGGTGCTTGATTCCGTGTAGAAGTATCTTCAGCGCGGCATTCTGCTCCACAGAGCAGTCGGCCATCCTGCAGATGGGCCGCAACCACCGTCCTCGCCACTACCTCACTACTGCGTCCACGAACTACCTCTGTACCACTCCGCACAGGCGCCGGGGCCGTCGGTCTGACCGCACGCCCCTCGTACCGCCGGCAATCCGGGCCCGACCAGCTCCGCGCCACCCACGTCCCGGGAGGCCTTCCCCAGCGGAATTCTCCCCCCCAGGAGCACCGCGCCCGCCCATGGGCCTCCCGCGCGTCCCCCGCGGGCCAGTCCCTCCACCCACGCTTCCGTATATCTACTCGCGGCCCCGCAACGCAGGACTGCCGAACCCAGCGACGCGACAGAAGCAATGGGAGCCCTCACCGTCCGGCCCGTGACGACCTGCGTCGCCAGGGCGCCGGCTAGGCACCACGCAGGTACTGCGCACCAAGCGCCCGCGCTGCGCCGCTGCGCGCCTTCTCGCGGCGAGCGTGCGTGTCCCCCGCTGAGCTTGCTGCCTGGAGAGCGGGCAGCGCCGCAGGTGGAGGCGGCGCCCTCGATGAGGGCCCGCGCGCGGAAGAGCGTCTCATCCGCGAGGCATCCGTGCCGCTTTCGGCGTGTGTGCGTGCGTGCTCGAGAGCAGGCTGAGTGTTGCTCGTTGCCTCCCATCCACCGCGCTGCAGCACTGCGCACCGCCAACGCGGCGCGGCGGCCACTCTGCAAGCCCGTGCGGAGCATCCCCATCTCCGGCCCGCCCGGAAACTCCCAGGACGACAAGCCGGAGATCCCCGAGGCGGTGCGCAAGGAGAGCGCCGCGCTGTGCGAGGTGGGCCCCCGCGCCGCGACCACCGCCGCTCCCGCGCCCCGCTCGTGGCCCCGCGAATCCACAATCGACACGAACCTCGCGCCCGCGGGATCGCACGTGCGTGGACGGCGGGTCGAGCGCCCAACGGGAGGCGCGACGTGCTGTCGCACACCAGCACGGCACCTGCCTGCGACGCGTGGTCCGAACGAGGCGTCGCGAGGCCCCGAGCCCCCGCAGGCGATGAAGGGGAAGATCGGCGAGGCGCTGAAGACGGACCTGGTGTCCGTGCAGGACGTGTACGGCGACGCGCGGCACGTCAGCATCGTCGTCGTGTCGCAGGAGTTCGAGGGACTGCGGTCGATGCAGGTGCGCGCCGCGACACGAACGCCTGCTGTGCGGCGGTGCCGTGGCGCCGCGGCGCGTGACCGGGGGCGTGCGGTGCGCGGTGTGCGTGCAGCGTCAGCGCAAAGTCTTCAAGGCGATTTGGGAGGAGCTGCAGGAGCGCGTGCACGCCGTGGACGACATGATGTGCAAGACGCCCGCGGAGGCCGCGGAGGCGACCAAGTGATTCCCGCCCGCACCCGCTGCTGTCGCGATGATCGTCGTTTCACAACGAGAGGTTCATGTCGCGCCGCACCGCCCCCGCAGCCGCCGGCACGCTCGCCACGCGGCAATACCCGCATCACGGTATAACGTTCGGTGTCCGTCGGTCGGTTCCGAGCGCTAGTTGGTCTCGGCGCGCGTTGAAACGCCTGACAGGCCACATGACGCGCTCGCGAGCTGCACGAGGGTCAGCGCGCGCGTCACGGAGTCCGGGGACTGGTCCTGCGCCGCCTCGCTCTCGACGTCCTGCGAGGAGTCGGGCACGCGCGATGTTGTCCGCGGCGGCACATGCTTGCAGCGGCGCCTTGCTTTGGCCTCGAGACGCGTCCGCGCACCTCCACGCATTGCAGATAGTATCTCAGAGCCGCTGCGTTCTCGAGCAGAATCTGTTCCTGCCCCCTCGCCACGCGCTCCTGCCCCTGCGCGTCCCACAGCACGTCCAGCAGCTCGGCCAGCTCCGCCACCGCGCGCCCGTCGTCCCGCGCCGCCTCGCGGACCTTGCGCTCCAGCTTGATCCGGAGGAAGTCCACCTCCATCTCCGTCTTCCCGAACGCCTTGTCGTACTCGGACGTGCGCCTGCGCGTCGCCGCGATGCCATCCTGCACGTCCACGGCGCCTGCCGCGCTCTGTTGCGGAGGACAGCGCGCGCCCACTGGCGGCGGCACCTCGCACTGCGACGCCGTGCGCCCGCGCACCTTGAGCGACGCGATGGCGCGGAACACGGCCGCCCTGCTGTCAGCGAGCGCGTCGCGCCCCTCGGAACGGTGCGCGCGGGTCCCGCGAGACGTCACGCACGCGACGCGGAACCCCTCGGCGCTGGAAGCACGCTGGCAGCTCGCGTCCTGCCGCGGCTGCGTCGCGGTCGGGCCGGGGGCGTCCGCAAGGACGGCACTGGCGCCGCGAGGGTTCTCCTCCGCTTTCGCGAGCAGGCTGCGGAACAGACCCATGATCGGCCCGTAGTTCGACGTCCCTGCGCCGCTCTCGCCCCCGCTCGACTCGCCGGGTCCTGCGGGCGCGTCCCCGCCCCTGAGCGGCGGCTCGAACACCAGCTCGATATCCCCGTCGTCATGCGCGTCATGCCGCGCAGACTCCCTGCACACCAGCGCCAGACCTTCGTTCAGTGAGCCGCTGGGACGAGACGCGATGGTTCAGGAAGGCGGGCTTCGCGGTGGCCGCCAGCGACCAGGGTGTTGTTTGAAGCCATCCGACTGCTGCGTCGCACGCACTGACGGTAATTTAGGGCGCGGAACCTCGCGCACCCGAGCTCTATCTCCCGCAGCGCCTCCTGGAGCTTGTGGATGATGGACCTGCGCGGCGTGACGGCGCCCGGGTGCGAGGCGCTGATGTCCATGAGCGCACGCTCCACCTCCCTGAGAGCCTCGCCCCCGTGCACGGCTGTCACCTTGCTATCATCATCCGCCTGTCTACAGGCCAGCGGGTGGTCATCTCCGGCCGCGCCGAGCCCACCCAGCCGCTCCAGGTGCATGTGGATCGACAACACAGCTGGAGAGCAGCGCCCGCAGAGAGCTTGCCCTGGCCGAGGGACGTCGGTGATGCCTGACTGTTGGTCGCGGTTCGGAGAGAGTGCAGGGGCGGCTGCTGCGGTCCCGAAGTAGGCCTCGGGCCGCATCCTCGTGGGTCACGCACCCTCGATGTTCGGTCGCACCCTCGGGCGTTGTACCCTCGGTGACATCGAACGGCGCTCGCGGCCGGATCTTTGCCGCTTCCGGGGTCCGCGCCGTTTCAGTTGCGATACTACGTTCCTTTGCGCACCGACTGGCTCAAGTACGGCGCGCAGCTCCGCAACATTGGACGCGAGACGAATCCCAGCAAGGATGGGTGCACCTGCCGTGGCCGCGCCCGTGGCCGCGACGTGGACCACGGACGAGCTCGAGAGCCTCAAATGCGAGCCCGCGGAAGACGTCAACGTCGCTGCCTACCTCCCAGAGGCGACGCGCTTCAACCCGACGCCAGGTGCGTCAAACGTGTCCGGGCCGAGGCCCGGCGCGATCCGGCGGGTGCTGCAGCGCGTCCGGCCTCCTGACGCACGTCGCAGCCAGCCTGTGAGTGTGCGTGCTGACAGCGTGTCAGCGAGTCCCGAAGTTCCACGTCGCCGGAAGAAACTGAGCTCGTGACCAAGATTGACCAACATCATTCGATCTTGGCCACAAGCTCAGAGTCGTTCCGATGAGCGTGCAACTCCGTGACTCTCTGACACGCAAGCAGCACGCACGCACGCACGCTGGCCGTGATGCGCGGTCGGCGGGGCGGAACACGCTGCCCAATGACGTGTCACTCAACGTGTTGTCGGCGCCGCTGCGAGCAGGGACCGGGAAGACAGGGATCAGCGACGTGCCCCCGAACAGCTACCCGTTCTACTCCGAGGACGAGAAGTATGTGCCGAACATGCAAAGCGACGGCGGCCACGTGTCAGGTGCGCCTTACAAACCACACTGAAACGAGCCGCGGAGCAGATCCCCGCTGCCCAGCCGCCACCACACGCCCCCTGCAACATTCACACCGCACAGAGTGGAAGCCGATGTACCAGGCGACGCCCGAGCAGGAGGAGAAGGACCGGCAGGCCGCCTTTGCTAGCGGCATCCCCCACGGGTGCGCACGACACGGCACGGCACGGCGCCCGCGACGAACGCCCCTGCCAGGTGCACTGCCGCCGCCGTGTGTCCATCGCTCGTCGTCGCATGCGTTCCGGCGCGCGCAGGTACGTGGCCGCGCACGACAAGCACGACGGTCCCAAGATCTGTCTGCTGCTGCGGTCGGACCTGCACTCTGACGACGAGTACGGGGAGAGCGTCGACGAGGCCGGGAACCACTCGGGCGGCCCGTTCTGGATCGAGGTGTCCCCGAAGATGCGCATCGAGGAGCTGAGACTCGTCATTCGCGTACGCGCCCTTATTTCACAACCCCCCCCATGCCGGCCTCCCGCGCCGCTGCTGCGCCCTCGAAGTGCGGAACTATACGCTTGCGTCTGGGTCGTCGTGGCGCGCAGGACAAGGGCGGGATCCCCCCCGCGCTGCTGCGGCTGTCGTACGCGGGGAAACGCATGGCGGACTCCCAGCGCACGCTCGAACACTACGGAGTGGTGCGACCCCGTCCGCGCCCCTACCACCGCCGACCCCGCCACTCGCTCCCGCCGCCCAGCCCCAACAACACCCCTCCCTGACCACAGAAGTACTGGAACGCCAAGTTCCCGCACTGGCCCCTCGTGGTCCTGCGGCAGTGAGCCCCCGGCCCGCTAGCTGTCCGTCGCGAACGCGCCGCTCTCCGCGAGTCTCTTCGCGGTCTCTTTCGCTGCCTGCGTGGTGGCCATCACGTGGATGCCAGCGACGCCGTCCTGACGCAGCATGTCGCGCGCAAGGTCCCCGGCCCAGCGTTCCCGCAGCGCCTGCAAGCCGCGGAGCGACGCACGCCGCGCCAGCAGCCCGTGAGAGCGCGGTGCGGTGCGGTGCGTTGTGACATGGCACAAGTGGCACGAGTGACCGCCCGTGGCGAACGGCCCGCGCTGCGCACCTTGACGGCCGCGGGCCCCTCGCCCGCCGCGTCCGCGAACGCCTCGACGTTCCTCGCGTACCCCGGCAGCGACTGCGCGCCGCACAGGAACCCCCAGAACCGCATGTTGGCCGTCGACGACACCACCGGGACGCCCGCCAGCACCCTGGCGCGCTCCGTCGCGCCCAGATCGCGCGCCCCGGACAGCCACCGCGCGAACCGGTCCCTGTCGAGCGCGGGCTGCGTCAGGATCACCTCCGCGCCTGCACCGCACACGCAACGGCGAACACGAGGGGCTCACGGCGCTGCCGTCCGCCGCGAACGCCGTGCGGACGGTACACGAGTGCCGGGCGGCGCGCCTGCGTCCAGCTTCGGCAGCAGCGACTTGGGGTCGTCGCGCATGGGGTTGGCGACCGCCCACAGCTGGAGCGTGGCGGGGAGCTCCCCGCGGGTCCGCATCTCCGCGGCCATCGCGAGCAGCTGCGGCGACGACGTCTTCTGCACGAGGAAGCTCGGCAGCAGCCGCCCCGGGTCGCTGCCCGACAGGATGAGCAGGGCGCCCGCCGCCTGCGTGCCAGCCTCGGCCGCGCCGGCCGCCTGGAGCAGGCAGCTGCGCAGCTCGTCGCGCGTGCGCGACTGGCACGCGACCGTGCGCACCAGCGTCCCCGAGCCCGGCTCGATCAGCTGCCGCGCGCCCCAGTGGGCGTGCCACTGCTCGCCGTCAGCCCCGCCGTCCTCGCGGTCGTGCGCGCCGAAGACGGCCTGCACGCGGTGCCGCGCCCAGTCCGTCAGGGTCATCGCCGCGGGCAGGTCCGGGTACACGGACGCCGCGAACGCCCCCGTGCGCCACAAGGCGTCGTCCGCGCCCAGGTTCGACCCGACCGCTCGCTCCAGCGTGACCATCTTGCGCCCTGACGCATGGCTCGACACGAGCCTCTGGAAGGTAGCGATGCAGCGGGACCGGTCGTGCGCCGGCTGGAGGCCCGTGCGGAGCGGGAGACGGGAAGTGTGTTGCTGGGGAGGGCGGTGGCCGCTCGACGCCGCTCGGCGCAGCGTGGCGCCGTGCGAGCCCTTGTGCTGGAGGCAGCGCATCGCCCCAAGCGGGCAGGCCAGGCGAGCCATCGTGCCAGCCCCTGAGGGGCGCGACTCGGACTGCCAAAGCCCTCCAACGATATCTCCGGCCAGCGCGTCAGCTGAGGACTCTAGGTCCCCTCGTCAGCGACAACCGAGTCCTTGCGCCCGGATTGAGGCGGTCCCGTCGCAGAATACGCCGATAGCGGCCCGTGCGTCGCACACGGCCCCAGGCGGACCGCACCCGCAGCGTCCGGGTCTGACGGGCCGCTGGGGGCAGCGCGGGCAGCGGCTCAGGGGCGGCAAGGGCGTCCCGGCGTGTCCACTTCGCGGTTGTTCGTCTCGCGACATCGAGCATCGTTTTCGTTCCGCGACATTCGAAAGGCGGGGGCTGTTTGGGTTGCAACCATGGGCGTCCCGAAACCGTTGATGCGGGTCAGGAAGATGGAGGACGAAGAGGTGGCGAAGATCGACGACCAAATGACCTTCTTGCTGAACATGAAGTACGCCTGCAATCTCCCCAGCGGCCCGCGCCCGGCGCCCAGTGCTACTGCCACACAGCCCTTGGTCGTTCCGCACCCTCACGCCCGCGCGCGCCTTCGAGCGTGTGCGAAATCGATAGCTGGTACGATGCGGAAGCGCCGCGGTGTGCGCGCAGGACGGGTCGGGAGCGCGCGGGGAAGATGGTGCGGCTGTGCTGTCCGCCGGAAATCCAAAATGCCGTCTCGAAGCAGGTGCTTCTGATGCAAATGATGACCCGCGCGGACGAGAAGTGGGTCTGCTACGTCAAGGGCCTCTACAAGAAGATGGACGAGCTCAAGGAGGAAGCCGAGCAGGTGCGGGCGCCGCGCTCTCACACCGGCACTCCACGCCCGCGCTTCCGCGCACGGACCCGCGCGACACGCGCCCGCGTCGCCCCCGCGGTGCCCGCAGTCCCACATGGCGGAGCTCGAGGCCAAGCGCGAGGCCCTGGAGGCGCGGGAGAAGCTCGCTGCGGCGGAAGTGGAGCGCTCGCGTCAGGCCACCGAGGCCCAGGCGCTCCTGGCGCAGAAGAACGACATCCAGGTGCGGCGCGAGCGCGCGCGCAGGACCAGGCCGCGCGCCGGACGCGGCCGTCGCTCCGTCTCGTCGCGTCGCGCGAGTTCGTGTGCGTGTGTGTGCGTGTGCGGTGCAGTCGTCGTTGGTGCAGGCGGAGCAGATCCAGGCGGCGACGGCGGAGGAGACGTTCCGGCTGCAGCAGGAGCTTGCGATGCTGGGGACGAAGCACACGAAGTGGGAGAACGACCGGGCGCGGGAGACGCACCGGCTGGCTGAGGAGCTGCGGCGGGCGCGGGAGGCGGTGCGCCGGCTGTCCAAGGAGGGGCGGAGCAAGGAGCTCTGCTCCCTGCGGCTCAAGTCGCAGGTGCGTGCCCGCGCCCCCGCCGCACGCGCCGCGGGGGGTGTCTTGCGGTGCGTTTGTTGGGGGACTCAGGGGTGTTGGGTGTTTGGCGTGGTGCGCAGTTGGACGCGGCGGAGAGGGTGGCGAGGGACGCGGCGGCGGCGAGCGCGGGGCGCGTGGTGGACCCGGAGCTCCGCGCGGGCCACGACGGCGGCGGCGTGGCGGAGGCCGTGCGCGGGCCGGGCGCAATCTTCTCGCACCAGCCGAAGCGCAAGGCGCGGTTCTCGCAGGAGGGCGGCGCGCCGCCCGGGACGAGCAAGGCGGCGCACGCGGTGAGCGCGGCGCACGCCTCTGCGGCGAGACTCGACCTGTGCGTGGCGCGACGTGTGTTGACGTGTCGCGCGCCGCGATGTGCGTGCAGGGGGCGCGGAGGAGCCTGATGGGCGAGGAGGGCATGAAGAGCGCGGCGGAGCGGACGGGCCGGAAGGGTTCCGACGGGGCCCTGCGGCCGTCGACGGCGTCGAAGGCGGCGCGCGGCAGGGGGGCGTCGCTGGCCCCGCGGGACATGAACCACGAGGGGAGCATGGCGTCGCTGGGCGGCGCGCTGTGATGCGTCGCGGGGCGCGGGTGCCGTTCTACGTCACACTGCGCGCTCGAAGCGAGATGGGGTTTGGCGCCAGCACGGTGGCGCGCTCTGCCAAGGACGCACTCGGTCCCGAATGCGGGTCGTTCAAAAACTGCGAGGGGAATGGGCTATGGGGCGGGGCGGAGCTGTGGTGAAGCGATTTGTCCGTCCGGGGACGGGCGGCCACGTTTGTCGTAGGTGTGTGTGTGTGCAGGTAGTGTCCTCATGCCGACAGGAAGTTCAGCGCCCTCTGCAGGTCGAACAAGTAGCTGTTGGCCACCAGGCAGCACGCCGTGAGCGCCAGCGACACCCCCGAGACCTGCGTTCGGGGCGCAACGGTCGCCGTCGGGCGCGTGCCACGAGGTGCGCGTAGTAGCTGTTGGAGGTCACGTGCGGCGGTGTGGGAGGCCGGCGGAGCGCGGGTGCGGGGCGGCCTCACCGTCGCCTGCGGGTTCTTGATGCTCCGGTACATGCTGAAGAGCGAGTAGAGCGTCATCGGCACCAGCAGGAGCGCGACGTCGCTGGGCGACACCGTGCGGCCCAGCGCCGCGGCGTGCGGCGCCTGCGCGGCCGCCTCGGCGTTGGCGTACGAGCTGTTCGCGTCCAGCGCGGACGTCGCGAGCGCGAACGCCGTCGCGAGCGGCAGCGACCGCACGGCGCTCGGAAGCTCCACGCCGCCATCAGAGCTCGGAGCCGCGCCCGCGCCGGCCTTGCGCTGCGCCAGCGCTGCCTTCATGCTGCCCTTCGCGCCCTTGCTCGACGCCGTGACGACGCGCCCCGTCGCGGGCCCGCCGGTGGGCGCTGACGTCGCCCCCGCCGCCCCTGCATCCAAGCCGCGCCCGCGCACCCTCATTGGCTCCCGCGCGCAGACCGCGCGCGTCGCGCGGGAACGCGCTCGCGGCCCCCACACGGCGCGTCATGTGCGGGAGGGGCCGTCGAGGGCCCTCGTGCGCGCTTCCCGCGCCCTTACGGCGGCCCGCCGGGACGATCGCCTATGGTGATACGCTCCATCGAGGGGCGGCCGCGGACCGCCCGGGAGCGAGAATGCGGGCCTGGGAGCGCGCGGAGGCGTAGACTGGCGTGAATGCGAGCCGCCCGCGCGGTCGGGCGCTGCGGGCGGCCGCGTGGGGGCCGGGGCAACTGGACCGGTGGGCACGCCGCCCAGCTGTGTGTGCCGCTGGGGAGGTTGCCCGGGGACGGAAACGCACGTTGGACTGGTGGAGGCGGGCTGCGCGGGCCGTACCTGGCAGGCAGCCCATGAGACGCGCCGTGTGGGCGTCGGGATGCAGCGATTCGCGGCGCCCTGTTCGAGGTGCGAGTCAGCGCGGTCCGTTCCGCCCTGCTCGGGGTGCCAGGACGCGCGCTCGTTGGCCTGGCGATCGGCGGATACGCACCGTGCCCGCCGGCGACGCCTTTCGCGTTGGTCGCGCGCTCGGCGACGCCGCTCGTCGGAGGTGCCGAGATTCGTCACCCGGGCGGGCCGCAGCGCTCTGTGCGCGGCCTGTTCGACAGCTGCGAGGACTCGCGGCCGCAGTGGGTTTTTGTGTGCCCGGTGCGCGCGCCGGCCGCGGCCCTCGAGCCCGGCGCGCGCGGGCGCGGACCTGACTGTGGCGGGGCGTCAGGAGCAGAAACGGCCCTGGGAACGCCGCGCGTTCCAGGGCGCGTCGGGGCGCGGAGTGTGGCCAGACCCGCTCGAAAAACCCAGGCTTGGCTCCCTCGACACCAGGCCAGGGTGATGAAGCCTGCGACACTCCCCCAGCGCGCGTCGTCGCGTTTCGTAGGGCACTGCTCAGGAGGGAACGCCCGCTCGCACGCCGCCCGGCCCGCCCCGTGCCGCGCGCAGCCCACGGACGGCAACTCCACTCCCAAGAGGTGCGGCCCGCCGCGCCCGCCCCCGCCTCGCGCCCCCGCCCGCCCGCCGCGCCGCACGTCCCCGCCCCGCACCGCGCGACGACAGCAGCGCCGCCCCGCGCGGGCGCCGCGGCCCCCGGCAATCCGAGCGCCCGCGCGCCGCCCTACCGGCGATGTGGGGACGCGCGTCGCGCCCCGCGCCCCGGCGGGCCCCGCGCGGTACAGCGGCGCCCCGCCGGCACGCCGGGCGTGGGCGAGCGGCCCGTGCGCGCCCGGGACGCGCGATGCGTGCGCGGGGCCGTGACGCGGCCGCTGCGGAGCTGGTGACGGCCCGGCCCGCGGCGCTCGGGCGCCCATCGGGGCCGGGGCGCTGCGGGGTGCCAGCGGGCGAACAGGAGTGCCAGGAGCGGCCCGTCGCGCGGAGGCGCGAGGGCGCGATGTGCGCATCCGACCGGTTCCGTGGCCGGCTGAATTCTCAGATTCGCTCGGGAGCCGGTCGCGGGGCGCGGTGCGTGCGCGGCGAGGCCGGGACGCCGCGAGTCGCTGTCCCAACCATGGGCCAGGCGGGGCCGGGACCGAGCAGCCCCGCGGTGCGACGTGCCTGCAGGATCGAGGGCCACTTCGCGGGCCAGACCCAGCACCGCTCCTCGGCGGAACGCCTGTCGGCTTCGAAGGCAGTCATGGTGCGCGGCGCCCGTCCCCTGAAGCCAGCCAACTGTTCGCACGCCGCACGCGCCCGCGGACGCGCGATCGACCGCTCCGGGCCGTGCTCCGCGCAGATCCGCGCCCGTACATGCACGGCGTGCGCGCGCTGCGCGCGCTGCCGCCACACACGCCCCGCGCCGACCGCCCTGCCATCCGTGAGCGCTTGCAGCCGTCCTCGTCTAAGGGCGTCCCGTCAAAGCGGGGGATCTCGGAGTCCAAGGCGTGGGAGGCGCTCCAGATGCACGTCAACGACATCGAGCGCACGTGAGGACCCCCCCCCGCGTCCCCGCAGCGCCTGCTCTCTTACAGGCCGGCCCCCTGGGCGCGCTGCCCCCTCCGCGCGTGCGTCGCAGCGCCCCGATCCGCCCGCGCGACGCGCCCACGCCCAGCTCCGCCGTGCAAGGGCCCCGGAATTCCCGAGCCGCGCGCGAGCGCCCGCCCCGCGCGCCCGGGACGCGCGCGCCTGCTGGGCGGCGCCCAACCGCCTGCTCACGCCCGCTCCCGCGCGGCGAACCCGCGTGCGGCGCAGGCACCTGAAGGACCTCCTGAACGACGAGGCCCGCGTGGAGTCGCTGATCAAGGAGAAGGAGGGCGTGTACTGCGACTTCTCCCGCCAGCGCGTCACCGAGCAGACCATCGACCTACTGATGAACCTCGCCGAGGTGCGAACGCGCGTCCGCGCGGCCCGCGAGCACGCACGCGACGCGCCGCGCGGCCGCCGCGGGCCGCGCGGCCCCGTGCTTCCCCCTCGAGGCGCTGCGCACGGCAACCGCCTGGGCCTGGCCGGGCGCTGCGGGCGCCGACGGCGCGCCGCGCCCGCGTGCGTTTGTTGCAGGAGGCGGGTCTGAAGGAGAAGATCGACAACATGTTCAACGGCGAGCACATCAACGCGACGGAGGACCGGTCGGTGCTGCACGTGGCCACGCGGGCGGCGCGCGACGACAAGATTCTGTCGGACGGCAAGGACGTGGTGCCGGAGGTGTGGGAGGTGCTCGACAAGATCAAGGCGTTCTCGGAGAAGGTCCGGAGCGGCGAGTGGAAGGGCGCGACGGGCAAGGAGCTGAAGAACGTGGTGGCGATTGGCATCGGGGGGTCGTACCTGGGCCCGCTGTTCGTGCACACGGCGCTGCGGACGGAGCAGGAGACGGCGGAGGCGGCCAAGGGCCGGCAGCTGCGGTTCCTCGCGAACGTGGACCCGGTGGACGTGGCGCGTGCGCTGAACGGGCTGGACGCGGAGGAGACGCTGGTGGTGGTGATCAGCAAGACGTTCACGACGGCGGAGACGATGCTGAACGCGCGCACGGTGCGGCAGTGGCTCATCAGCGAGCTCGACGGCGCGGGCGTGGAGGCCAAGGAGGCGGTCGCGCGGCACATGGTGGCCGTGAGCACCAACCTCAAGCTGGTCAAGGAGTTCGGGATCGACCCGGAGAACGCGTTCGGGTTCTGGGACTGGGTCGGGGGGCGGTACAGCGTGTGCTCGGCGGTGGGCATCGTGCCGCTCGCGCTGCAGTACGGGTTCGACCACGCCGAGCAGTTCCTGGCGGGCGCGCGCTCGATCGACAAGCACTTCCGGTCGGCGCCGTTCCGGGAGAACCTGCCCGTGCTGCTCGGGCTCTTCTCGATCTGGAACGTGTCGTTCCTCGGGTACCCCGCGCGCGCGATCCTGCCCTACTGCCAGGCGCTGGGCAAGCTGCCCGCGCACATCCAGCAGGTGTCGATGGAGAGCAACGGGAAGGGCGTGGACATCGACGGCAAGCGCCTGCCGTACGACTCGGGCGAGATCGACTTCGGCGAGCCCGGCACGAACGGCCAGCACTCGTTCTACCAGCTCGTGCACCAGGGCCGCGTGGTGCCCGCGGACTTCATCGGGACGGTCAAGTCGCAGTGCAGCGTGTACCTCAAGGGCGAGATCGTGTCCAACCACGACGAGCTCATGTGCAACTTCTTCGCGCAGGCCGACGCGCTCGCGTACGGCAAGAGCGCCGCCGAGCTGCGCGCGGAGGGCATCCCGGACTTCCTCATCCCGCACCGCACCTTCACGGGGAACCGGCCGTCGCTGAGCATCCTCGTCCCCGAGCTCAACGCGTACACCGTCGGGCAGATCCTCGCGCTGTACGAGCACCGCGTCGCCGTGCAGGGCTTCATCTGGAACGTGAACTCGTTCGACCAGTGGGGCGTCGAGCTGGGGAAGAAGCTGGCGTCCAACGTGCGCACGAGCATCAACAAGTGCCGCACGGCCAACAAGAAGATCCGCCCGCAGGACGGGTACAACGTGTCGACCATGAAGATGATCAACAAGTACCTCGAGGGCAAGGCCACGCTGCTGTACCCGGAGCCGCGCGACGTGTTCCCCAAGGGCATGATCCACGAACACGAGCCGCCCGCGGAACCGCCCGTGTAGGCGGGTGCGGCGCGGCGGGCGCGCGGTGGGGCGGGGGGCTGTGAGGGGTGTTGGAGCGTTACATGCCCGCGCGTCACTTGCCGAGCTGCGCCTTGAGCTGTTTGAGCTCGGCCTCGAGCGCGGAGATCTGCCCCGGCCCGTCCTGGCAGTCCTCGTCCGGCACGTAGGCGTTCATGAGGTGCTGGCTGAAGGCGCGCAGGCGGTCGGCGCCGCGCACCTCCTCCATCAGCAGCGGCATGCGCACGATGTGGAAGTCCTCGTACAGCTCGTAGAACTGGTCCAGGTACTTCTGCTGCATCCGCACGCGCGCCTCGAGCAGCCGCGACCTGTGGTTCTTCTCCGGGAAGATCACCTGGTTGATGACGATGTTCTGGCAGTCGATCTCGAACCGCGCCAGCTCCTGCGCGCGACGCACGGCGACAAGCGTGGGCGAGCGGCGCCGGGCGCGGGGCGGCCGCTGCTGCCGCGGCGGTGCGTGCGGGCGCGCACCTGCACCAGGCGCTCCGTCTCGTACAGCGAGAGGAACTCGGGGATGCACACGCAGACGAAGGTGGTCAGGTCCGGGTTCTTGAACTGGCTGTTGACCTTCTCCACCACCTTCTTCAGCTCCTCGAACCGCCCCATGAGCTGCACGCACAGCAGCGCGCGCAGGTGCACATCAGAGCAGCACGACAACGCCGCGGTCGCGCGCCCGCGGCACCGCGCGCCCGCGCGCGAGCTGGCGTGCGAGGCCGGGTGCGCACCGCGCCCTCGTCCGCGTCCGCGCCGCCGCCCAGCATCCCGGCGAGCTTCCCGAAGAGGCCCCCAAAGGACCCCTTGAGTGACGTCAGCTTCTCGAGCGCCTTCTGGAGCGTGGTGGGGAACTGCAGGAGGCGCAGCGTGTGGCCCGTGGGCGCGGTGTCGAACACGATGCAGTCGTAGTCCATCGTCTGGACCTGCTTCATGACCTCGGCGAAAGACACCGCCTCGTCGATGCCGGGGATGGACGACGTGAGGTCCGCGAGGAACCCCGCGCCGGCCTCGTCCATCTGCCCCAGCTCGTTGTCGCCGGCCTCGGGGTCGACCTCCTGCGGAGCGGGGACGACGCGGGGCGCGCGGGGCCGTGGGCGGTGCGAGGGCGGGCGCGGCGCGCGGTGGGGCTGCGTTCGAGAGCATCGCCACGGCGCGCGGCGTTGACTGAACAGCACGCGATCACCGGGGTGCATTGAGACGGCCGTTCGTGGACTACGCAGCGCGGATTCCGACCGTTGCACTCCCCAGGAAGCAGAGGGCCCGGCGCGCTGCGTGTTCACGGGGCGCCGCTGGCGGCCAGGCGCGCGGGCGCGGCGCTTGCGGTATGGAGAGCGGGCGGGGCGGGCGCAGGGGCCGCGTTGGCGCGGGAGCCGGCACGCGCGGCCGCGGCCGAGTGTGCGCGCTGGCTGTCCGCGGGGGCGGCTCCGGAGCCACGATGTCGCGCGGCCGCACGCACCATGGCGTAGAGGTTGGTGAAGCCGTTGATGAGCGACGGATGCCGGTTGAACTTCTGGCGGAAGGCGTCCGAGAGGTTGTGCGCAGGGTCTGTGGAGATGATGAGGACCTTGTCACGCGTCTGCGCGAGCTGCACCGCGAGCGAACACGACGTGGTCGTCTTCCCGACGCCGCCCTTGCCCCCCACGAAGATCCATTTCAGCTCCTTGTGGTTCGCGATGTCCCGCAACGTCGGGTCCTCCATCCTCCCGCCAAGCGCGCCGACCCCGCGTGCTGCCCAGAACACAGACGCCGATGAAGTGCCGCGCTCCTGATGCCCACCGTGCGACCGACCAGCCCTGCGAACTGCCCGCGCGCCCCCCGCGCCCCGCCCATCGCACGCGGGCGCTTTCCTGGGACCCGACGCACCCACACAACACGCCCCCGCACCGGCACTCATCGAGGCTCGCGGGCGCCGCGCCGCCGGCGCAGTGGCCGCGCACAGCGTGACGTCCCGGCACATTCCGTCCCTCCCTCGGCGCGCCCCCGCGCTCTCCTGCGACCTCAGACGCGCCCCGCACCATGAGCCCGGCCCCCGCGCCCCACGTCCCCGCGCCGCCCCCGAGGCATTGCGCGCGGCGAGCTGCCGCAGGGTGCGGACCGGCGCCCGCTCGACGCGCGCTCGTGTGGCCGAGCGCCGCGAGGACGGATCGGCGGGCGACCTGCGTGCGCGCCAGGCGCCCCCCCGAGGTGCGCCGCGGACCCCTGCCGCTGCGTGCAGCGCGCGGTGACTGCCTCGCGCGAAGAAGAGCTTTCTGTTCGATCGCTCGGCGCGGTGATCGCCCGGCTGCGTCCCTCGACGCCCCTCCGCGGTGTGTGGTGCGCGTGCAGCCAGAGGAGGAGCATCCGGCCGTGAAGGCGGTGTACGACGGGCTGAAGGGGGCGGCGTGGGCGCTCAGTGCCCTCGGAGACGCCGTGTCGGACCAGTCCGAGAGCTTCGTCGAGGCGCGCGAGGTGGGTTTCCCCGCCCGGCCTGGCGCCGCACCCCCGCTCGTGCGCGGTCCTCTCAATCCACGCCGCGCGACGACCGCGCCGTCCCGCGGTCGCCTCTCCATGCGTGTTCCGGGCCGCACAGCCGCGCCCGCGCGCCCCGGACGCGCCGGTGTCGCGGTGCGGCTGGAAACCCTACGCGGCGCGACGCGCTGCCTGCACGCCCGGCGCGCCCCGCGCAGGAACAGCAGCGCGCGCGCGAGCGCGAGGACCGTCTGCGCAGGGAGGCCACCACCGCGGACCCGGAGCTCGACCGCAAGTTCCTCACCCTCCTCCGCCAGCTCCAACCACCGGTGCGCCACACCCCCCCTCTCGCGGCGGAACCAGCGGACCGCGACGCTCCGGCGCGGCCCGCACAGCCACGTGCGCGACCTCTGCCTGTTCGCCGCGGCGCAGGTCGAGCTCGGGCAGCCGCTGGAGGAGGTGGAGGAGCGGTTGGGACGCAACAAGGTGTTCCGCGCGGTGCCGGAGGGGCGGCGCGCGGCGCTGTACCTGACGTTCCAGGAGGTGCTGCAGGAGGTGGCGGAGGAGGAGCGGGAGCGCGCGGAGGCCGAGCGGGCCGCGGCGGAGCGGGCGCGGGCCGAGCGGGTGCGCGCTGCGGAAGACGCGTTCGTGCAGGCGATGCGGGAGCTGCGGGGGGCGGAGCGCGTGCGGCCGGACACGCCGCTGAACGACATCTGGGCGGCGATCGGCGGCGCGCAGGAGCACCCGGAGGTGCCGGAGTCGCGGCAGTGGGAGCTGCTGATTGATTTCAGGTGGGGCATGTGTCTTTGTTGTTGTTGATTGTGGGAGGGGTCGTTGGGGAGCGCGGAGCATGGCGTGTGGCGTGGCTGCGGGCGTGGTGCGCCCTGGTCGGGCGTGCGAGCGCACGCGCACTGACGGCGGCGTTGGCGCTGGAGTGGAGTGTGTTGTGCAGGGCGAAGGTGCCGCCGTTCGACGACAGCGTGGCGGGCGAGGACGCGGAGGCGGAGGCGGAGGCGGAGGTCGTGAACGCGGAGGCGGAGGCGGCTCTGGTGGAGGCGCTGCACGGGCTGTATGCGCAGGGGCGCCTGGGTGACGACACGCCGCTGAACGACATCTGGGAGGAGCTGGGGGGCGCCGAGGCGCACCCGGACGTGCCGACGAACCGGCAGTGGGTGATCATGGCGGAGTTCAGGTGCGTGCTGCCGAGACCCATGCCCTTCCGCACGTGCGCGGGCGCCGCAGTGCCGCGAACGCACCGGCCCACGTCCCGCGATCCTCTTGGTGACGCGCAGGGTCTCGCTGCTGTCGTGAGGCACGTTCGGCGCTCCGCCACGCAGCGGAGACAGCATGGCTCATGTGTACATAGCAAGCCGCCGATGTGTGTGTGTGATTGCGGGGCACCTGTCGACGCGACTCACCCCTGCGGCCCGTGTACTCGCTGCGTCACTCGGGCTGCGATGACGCGTCGGACGCGGCCCACGCAACGTGGGTGCGTGTGTCAGGTGGGAGGTGTGCGAGGGAGCAGCGTTCCCCGCACAGGGAGGCCCGGAGTCTTCGGGGGACATGACCTGAGCTGCGTTGCAGTGCAACGGTTGCCGGGATATCGAGTGTCTGTGGCAACGTCCAGATGCAGTAGATGCACGCCCTCGCGCACCAGCGCTGCTGTCCCTCCAGGGCCAGGCGACGCCCGGGCGACTCGACGTGATCGATGATTCATCTCCTCTTCCTGTTCTTGATCCCGACGGTCGTTTTCACGGCAGTGAGGCGCAGAAAACACAACACGTACGACGCGGCTGACGATGAACCGGCAGCGACAGCATCCGACGCGCGCGGCGCCGGCCTCCGGGCGACTACACCACGATCGTCCTCATCGATTGTGCTGATCGGCGCATGGTGCTGCCTGCTGGGCGTCGTGGCGCTGTTAGCGGCGCGGTACGGCGCGGATGCGCTGGAGTGGGCATTGCTCCGGCCCACCGGCAGGCACCAGGACGGTTCCGCGCGCACCGGTGCGTTCGAATGCCGCGCGGAGTTCGCCGTCGACGCGGAGATCTCCTGGAGCTCGGCCAGCCAGCTGCTCCGCGGATACGCCGAGGCGTCCAAGGCGTCCGCGTACACACCGCACATCAACTCCTGGGGACAGCCCAGCCTCACGGGCGACAAGGAGTCCGCGCTCAAGGTGCGCAGCCGAGCGATGCTCCCGCGCGGCGGCCCCTCCCGCGCCGATCTGCGCGGCGCGCGCCCCCTCCACGTCCCTGCACGTGTCGCTTTCCCAACCCCCCGCCGTATCGGATCCGTTCCCCGTCGGGGTTCGAACTCCCTCGCGGCGCGCCGTGCCCCCGCAGGAGCTCCTCAGCGTTGGTCTCTGGCAGCTGTGGGCGTTCAACACGCGCGAGGCGGCGCGGGCGCTGCGGCTGGCCGCGGCCCTGGAGCCGCGGTGCCTGTTGTGCCACGCGGGGCATGTCCTCGCGCTCGGACCGTTCCCGAACCGCGTCGGCGCCGCGCAGGCAGTCGACTGGCCACACTTCGGGCCGAGCGAGCTGCGTGAGGCCCGCGACGTCGTCCGGCGGGGCCTGCGTGCCACGGCGTCGCTCACCCGCGCCGCCGCCGACTGCGCGTTCGCCCTCGAGGGGTCCCCCGCAGCCAGCGACGCGCCCTGCGAGCAGCGCTGCGGGGTCCACTGGGCCTCGGTGCGCCTCATGACCGCGCTGGAGGCTCGCTTCGCTGTGCCGCTGCCCGCCGGTGTGGCGCACGCGGAGGCGGAGGCGGCGTTCGCGCGCGGCCTGCACGAGGTCGGACGGTCGGTCGCGAAGTGCGCGAAGGCTGGGAGCGCGTGGGCGCGGCCGTGGGCGGCGTGGCTCCTGGGCACGTCGGCAGCGGCGCACCTGTCGACCACCCCGTGGGACTACCACGAGCGGCGGGGGCCGAAGGCGCTCTGGAGGGGCGAAGGGCGCGAAGCGTATGCGGCCGCTGCGGCGCTGCTGCGTCCCGCGGGCGCGGCGCGGCTGAGGACGGAGGCTGCCCAGGCGGGCGCGCTGGCGGCGGCGGCGCTGGTGATGCAGCCGGGGCACCCTCTCGCGCTGCACCTGCTGATCCACCTGCGCGAGAGCGCCGAGCCTGCCCCGTTGCCGCGCCTGCGCGACGTTCTGGCCGACGACGAGGTACGCGAACAACACCACTTGCTTGTTTTGCATTCTTCTTTGCGCGTGTTGGCAAAACAAGAGCGAGCGTGGACCGCACGGCGTTCGAACGCGTGCGCCCAGCGCCCTCCAGGTCGCGCAGCGCGGTCGCGCGAGACCTGTCGTTCGTGGTCGGCCGGGGCCCTCGATGCGGACGTCGTGGCCGCTGTGCGTGTGGTGCTGTGCAGGGGGCCGGGAACGTGGACGAGGTGGTCGGCGCGGACGTTGAGGGCCAGAGCCGGCGGAACAGCGACATCATGGGCGTGGCGTACGCGCACGACCTGGCCCGCTCGGACGCCGAGCAGGGCCACCTCGTGCACATGCCCAGCCACGCGTTCGTTCGCGCGGGGAAGTGGGCGGAAGCGGTGGAGGCGGACGCGCGCTCCCACGCGGCCGACTTACGCGAAGCGCAGAAGTGCAGGTGCGCCGCTCGCCGCGCCGCCGGGCGTCGCCGCCGCACACGAGCCAGCGCACCTGCGCCCCACCAAGGCTGTTGTGTGCGCGCCCGCGCCGCAGGGTCCCCTACCTGCCGGAGCACAACATCAACATGAGGGTGTACGCCGCGTCGGCGTCGGGCAACGCCACCGCCGCGCTCCAGGCGGTCGCGCAGAAGATGCGCGTCGCACGGGACTTCCCGCCCGAGGCCCTCGGCGCCAAGGGCGGCCAGGCGTCCGGCGACGGGGCGTCCCTGCCGCTCGTCCTCCTGCGGTTCGGGATGTGGGCCGACATCCTCGCCCTCGAGCCCCCCGCGGGGGACGCGCGCGGGCCGGTCGCGAGCCACGGCGGGGCCGAGTTCGCACGCGCCGCGCACGCGTTCGCGCAGGCGGCGGCCCGCCTCGCGCTCGAGCATGGCGGGGACGAGGCGCACCGCGCGCTGCACCGCGCAGCGGCGGCGCTGTCGTCCGTGCCCGCCGACGTGGGCACCGCGCCGGGGGACGGCAACGGCATCTACTCCGGCGAGCACGTGCGCCTGGCGGGCTTCCTGGACCTCCTCGTCCGAGCCGCCTACATCGTGCGCGGCAGCACGGCGCTCCCGAGGGCCCAGGGCCCCGCGCTCGAGGCGTCGGCGGCCGCCCTGCCCAGCCCTGCCCACGTTGCCGAAGCGCTGCAGCTGCCGACCGACGGGTGCCTGCGCCAGGGCGGGGAGCGGAGCGGCGACCTCGCGCTCGCGCTCGCGATGCTCGCCCGCGCGACGGTCCTCGAGGACGAGATCGGATACCGGGAGCCACCCGCGCTGCTGATTTCCCCCATGCAGTGCCTCGCACGGGCCCTCGAGGTGCGCCTGCGCCGTCGCCCGCCGCTAAGCTCGCACCAGACACCGGCGGCCCGCGAGGCGGCCCCCTCGGCGGCACTCGCGCCTCGCCGACGACTGCTGTGCGTTCTCCTGTCGTCGACGTTGCAGATCGCCGGGTGCGGGGTCGCGGCCGCACAGGTGTACGTCCGCGACCTCGAGCTGCATCCCCGCAACGCCTGGTCGGCGAGCGGCCTGGCTGCGGTGCTCCGCGGCCTCGGGCGGGAGAGCGCCGCTCGCGCGCTGGACCGTGCCCTGGGGGCGTCGGGGGGGCTGGCGGCCTGCGCGGCGCTCGGCTGAGCACGTGACGGACGGCCGGCGCAGAAGCTGGGCCTCGGACAGGTGCGGGCCTTGACCTGCGCGCGCGACATGATGTCATCGGCTTTCGACTGTACTTGCCATGCACTGTGTCGCAAACATCAAACTTAGCTCCGCATGCGTCGGAAATTCCTTCCGTGCATGGCGATTTTTTATGCCCGGCGCATGTCAACCAGTGCGGAGACGCGCGCAGGTTCAAGTCCTGCCGGCCGCGGGCAGGCGCAATCCGGATCGTCCGTATTCGCGCGACGCGGCGGCCGTGCCCGAGTGGTCTAAGGGGCTGGTCTTGAAGCTAAATTCAAGGTTCCGGGCGCGATTTATTGCACCGCAGCGGCCCACGGCGCGGCCCGGCGGCGGCGCCGCGTCCACCCGTGCCGCGCGTGCGCCCGCAACGGCGAAGATGCGCTGCCTGCACGCACACAGTTGGCGACGCGGCCCGGCGGCCTGCGCGCCGCGGCGTCGCCGCTCGGGCCGGCCCTTTCGAGGTGCGTTTGCGCGGCCCGCGCGCGGCCCGAGGATGTCGTCCCGCAGCGACGACGCCAGCGGTGCGGGGTGCTGCCTGGCGACCCCCCCTCCCTCGGTCGCGCGGGGGCGAAGGCCCTCGTGTGCCGGCGCGTGCGGGCCGCCGCGGCAGTCCAACGACGGTCTCGTGGCGGGAGGTTGCGTCGCACGCCGATCGGCCCGTCCGCCGCCCGCCGGATCCCGCCCTGTGTCTGTTGGGCTTCTCGTCTCCGACGCGGCCGGTGACGCCATTTGAGCCCCGCAGACACGCCGATTCGCGTCGTCTCTGTCCAGGATATCGCGTTCGTTCGAGGTGAGCCCCCGTTCGCGACGTGTGCGACGCGCGCTGCGATCCTCGAGCCACTCGGCGGCGCTCGCTCTGATCGCCGCCCTGGCCGGCACGCACGCGACGTGCGCCGCGAATTCCGCGAATTTCGGGCTCTCTGTACGTCAGTCGCTGTCAGCGCCCTGCCTCGTAAGCATCATCGCGGCCGCACCTGCGCGCCCGCGGAGTGCGCCCGTTGGCCTAGTCCCATCAGACGACCCGCGCTCCACCGCGCACGCCCCCCGCCGAACCGACCGCCGCTCGCCGCGAAACCCCTCCATCTTCCACCTCCGTTCGCAGGGCGTGCGTTCAGCCCGCCACAACCGCGCGATGGACCGCACCATGAAGGACACCTTTGCGCAGTACGTGAAGCGCCTCCCGCTGCTCTTGACGGCCGCGGCGGGCGACGCGAGCGCCAGCGACCGGCCCGACCCCGCGAGCGGGCTCGCGGTGCTCGAGCGCACGGACCCGCCCCTCGGCCAGAGCCTCCCGGACCCCGACCGCCTGATCGCCCTCAAGACGAGCCTCGGTCCCGCGGACGGGGGGCCCTCCCCGCTGTTCGTCAACACGTTCAGGGCCGTCGACGCCCCGCGCAGCGAGAGGGAGCGCGCGGCAGGTGAGTCGCCCCCGCGCGCCGCGCCGCCCCGCACACGATGGCACGTCAGGTCAGGTCGCACCGCGCGCGTCCCGTGCACCGATCCCGCGCTGCCGCTCGGCGTGCTGTGCCGCGCAGGCGCTGCGCCGTCGAGCGGGACGAACACGCCGACGGCGGCGCGGTACCACGTCCCGACGGGGGCGTGCAGCAGCGTGGGCCTGCGGTTCCCGCCCGGGTGGCAGACCGCGGCGTGGTCGCTGATGGACTCGCCGCCCCGGCACGCGGCCAGCGACGCGCCCGCGGAGCGCCAGGCGCAGCAGGCGGGCCAGGACGACCCGGACTGGCTGTCGGACGACGCCCTGCAGGTACGACGCCGCGCACAGCGTGACGCGCGGGTCGGCCGACACGCGTGCTCGTTGCGCGAGGCCGACACGCGCGCCCGCCGCGTTCGTGTCGTGCGCAGGAGCTTCGTGCGCGTGCCGGCGAGCTGCTGGCGGGTGGGTCCCAGGAGGCCGTTGCTGACGTCAGGAAGCAGCTCGAAGGGCTGCGGACGAGGGTGCGGCGCGCGCTCCAGGACAAGACGTCCAGCGCGCGGGCCCAGGTCCTCCCGCACCGGCACCGCAGGGTCCTGAGCGAGGCCGTGACGCGCAAGCTGCAGCGCATGGCGGACTTCCTGACGGAGCTCTCCTACATGCTGCGGCCCAAGACGGAGAAGGGGCGGCCCGCGGGCGGCGCCAAGCGCAAGGCAAACAGCGGCGCCGAGGCCGGGCCGGCGAAGCGCGGCCGCGCGAACAGCGCGGGCAGTCCCTCGCCGCGCGCGGACGACGCGCGCGGGGCCGACACGGAGCAGGACGACAGGTGCGACTCTACGCCGGCGATTCCTGCTGCGAATGCGTCGCCGTCTCCGCCCGCGCGGGTCGATGTCCCCAGCGCGCTTGTGCGTTCGCCGACCCGTGCCCGCAGCCTCGAGTACTGGGAGGGCGTCGCGGCGACGGCGGCGGACAGCAAGGAGGTGCTCATGGCGTGGATGATCAGGAACTTCACGCAGCCGTTCCCGAGCAACGAGCAGAAGGACATCCTGACCAAGGTGAGCGACACCCCCCCCCCGGGCGGAGAACACGCAGCCCCGCGGCGCGGCGACCCGACCACCGCGGCGCCGGTCCCCGCGCGCAGGTCACCGGCATGTCGCGCGAGCAGGTCGGCCACTGGTTCATCAACGCGCGGGGCAGGTTCTGGAAGCCGCTCGTGCTGAAGATGGCCAAGGAAATCGACCCCGAGTTCTCCAGCCGCTGACCGCTGTGATCCCCGATCGCCGCGCCCGGTCGCCCCGCGTCCCCCGGCCGCGCGGACGTGGTCGTCGCGCGCGCGCACCGTGCTGCGTCACCAGGACGCGCCGCCCACACCGGGCCGCTCGCGAACCTGCTGCATCTCCTGGCGCGGCAGCGCAGGCGCGCGGCTCGCGCGGAGCGGTCGCGGGCGGGCCCTCGCGTGCGCGGCGCGGTCCCGGGGCGCGCCCTGGCACGACTGGCGGCTCCGCAGCGGGCGGCCCCCGCCCTGGGCGACCGATACGCGTGTTCCGCGGCCCCGAACGGCACGGCCGAGTTCTCGTGGACGACGTGTGGCCGGCGCGCCAGTAACTCTCCCGGCCTCGCCCCTCGCGCGCGCCCTGTCCGCCGGGCACAGGCTGGGACCCTCCTCCTACCTGCGTGCGTGCCCCCCCGCGCGCTGCGGGCTTTGGGGCCTCCGCGCGCCGCCCCCGACGCACGCCCAGTTGCTGTTGCATTCACACACAGGTCGCGCTGCCTGAGCGGAGAGTCATCGGCACCCGGCGGGCACTGCGTGAGAGAGCGAGGCGCCATGGGGTGCGGCGCGTCCAAGGACGGGGCGGTCGAGGCGGTGAAGCCGACGGAGATCCAGAAGGGGCCGAGCGCCGTCGCTCCGGAGGGCTCGGAGGGGTGGAAGTCCAAGCCTGCGCCGGAGTGGTCGCTCGATGAAGTCCAGGTGCGCCTGTTGGTTGGCACATGCCGACCTGCGCGGCCGCCGCCGCGACGCACGCGCGCGCCGACGCGCACCGTCGGATACCCTCCCGGCCACCCGCGGACCGCGCCAGCCGCGCGGCGGAAAGCGCTGCCTGGCGCGTGCCGGGCCAGGGTGCGCAAACTTCAGCATCGCCGTTCTCGCCACGGAGGTTGCGAGCGCCGGAACACGCGCCAGGAAATCGCGCTCCTTTCCGCCCCCCTACGTTCGCGTCACTCTTCGCGGGGGACCCTGCGCCCGTGCGCTCGCAACGCGCGCCCGCTGCATGCCACGCGTGCCCTGCCGCTCCCGTGGCCGCGCCGCCGCACGGATCTCCCCGTCCGACGCCCCGGAGCGCTTCGTGGGCTCGCAGCCATCGCGATCGTGCCCAGCACGGCGCCGCTCGACCCCGCATGCCCGCGCTGCTGAATATGGAACCCTGCATGTGGGAGCGCCCGCCGCCCGGGGCCGCCCCGCCGCGCCCGAGGCTGTCCCAGCGTCCCGCTGCGGATGGATCCGACAGCGAGATCGTTTCCGGGAGCGCACCCGCGCCAGACCCCCCGGATGGCCGCGCGCGCCGCGACCGACCTGCCGGCAGTGCCCGCGCCCCCTCCCGCCCGCGCCGACCCCGCGCTGCCCTCGGAAGCGCACGCGCCGCGCCCACCGCTCGACGGCAACGAGCCCCGCTCCCCGCGCTGGTTCCGCCGCAGGGCTGGATGGCCTGGGCCGACTTCTCGGCCGCGGATGCCGCTGCCGTCGCCGCGGCCAAGGTGGACGGCGCGGCCCTCAAGGACATCGTCGGACAGGACGGCGGGTGAGAGCCCGCGCTTGCGTCGCCCCGCGGACGCCGCGCGGGTCGGGGGAGCGCCTGTCTGTTTGCTGCCACGTGCCCACCACCTGGCGTGGGTGTGTTGCCGCCGCTCGCAGGCACCTCAAGGCGGGCATCGCGGACCCGGTGTCGTCGTCGGTGTTCGCGGTGTGCGCGAAGGTGGCGTGCGCGTACTCCCCCGACGAGGAGGACAAGAAGCGCGCGTCGGAGCTGTTCAGCGCCGCGGTGGAGCTGGACGACGCGGGCAAGCGCACGGAGGCGATGCTGGTGTACGAGAAGGTGCTCGCGGTGCAGGAGAGGTGTCTGGGCGCGGGCGACGTGGAGATGGCCTTCACGCTGAACAACATGGCGGCGCTGTACGAGCTGGAGGGCGAGGACCAGAAGGCGCTCGACCACTACCGGCGCGCGCTGCCGATCCAGGAGAAGGCGCAGGGGCCGGAGCACGCGGACGTGGCGGTGGTGCTGAACAACATGGCGGCGCTGCTCGAGCGGCTGGGGAAGCAGGGGGAGGCGCTGGAGCTGAACCGGCGGGCGCTGGCGATCGACGAGAAGGCGCTCGGGGGCGACCACCCGAAGCTGGCGGTGACGCTGAACAACATGGCGGCGACGCTGGACGACATGGGCAAGCAGGACGAGGCGCTCGAGCTGTACACGCGCGCGCTGGGCATCGAGAAGGCGCACCACGGGGAGGGGCACGCGGACGTCGCGGCGACGCTGAACAACATGGCGCGCGTGCTGTACCGGCAGCAGAAGCCCGACGAGGCCCTCGAGACGTACCGCGGCGCGCTCGCGATCCTCGAGAAGACGCTGGGCGACGACCACCCCGACGTGGCGAGCACGGCGCACAACATCGCGCGCGTGCTGGCGCGGCAGGACGGGCGGCAGGAGGAGGCGCTGGAGGCGTACAAGCGCGTGCTCGCGCTGCAGGAGAGCACGCTGGGCGAGTGGAACGTCAAGGTCGCCGGCGTGCTCACCAAGATGGGCGCGCTCTACAAGGCCACGGGCAACGCCGAGGAGGCCGTCGGCGCCTACCAGCGCGCCCTCGCGATCGAGGAGAAGGCCGGGGACGCCAAGGCCGCCGCCACGCGCGCCGAACTCGAGAAACTCAAGGCCGAGGCAGCCGCGCCGCCCGAGCAGGAGGCTCCTGCCGCGGAGGAGGAGGCGCCAGCGCCGGCGGACGAGGCGTCCGCCGCTGAGGAGGCCCCAGCGCCGGCGGAGGAGGCCCCAGCGCCGGCGGAGGAGGCGCCCGCTGCTGAGGAGGCGGCCCCTGCGGAGGAGGCGGCCCCTGCGGAGGAGGCGGCCCCTGCGGAGGAGGCGGCCCCTGCGGAGGAGGCAGCGCCTGCGGAGGAGGCGGCCCCTGCGGAGGAGGCAGCGCCTGCGGAGGAGGCGCCGACGGACGACGCGGCGCCCCCGGCCGAGGGCGAGGCGCCGGCCGACGGGGAGGCGAAGGAGGAGGCGCCTGCGGAGTAGTAGAAGTAGGCAGCGCACGTGTGCCCTCCCGCGCACAAATGTAATGGACCTGAAGCTCAAGCCGGAGGTTACGTTGACCAAGGGGTGGTCGAGAGCAACGACGAACGGCGGCCGGTGTCGCGCGATGCGACGGTGCACGGTGTATCACAGCCTGCGCGGGCGCAGGTCCTCGTCACTTCGCGCTGTGTTTCCCCCACGCGGTTTTGAGCACGTCGAAGATCATGTCTGCCAGGACAATCTGGTCGACGTTCCCGCCGCGCATCTTGACCTTGTCCGGGTGCACGATCAGCAGCGCCTTCTGGTACCCCTTCTTCAACTTGGCATCGTCCACGAGCTCCGTGATCGACAGCGGCTTCCAGTTGGCGCCCTGCGCACGCACACAAGGGGGCCCCGCGACGAGTGAGCGGGCGCGACACAACCACACGCGGGGCCAGCTCGGCGCCACATCGGCGCCCGTCGGTGTGTGGCGCGCGCGCACCTCCCACACCACGTCCTGCAGGCTCGCGAGGAGCGCGCGCACGTTCCCCTTGCCCTTCTTGGACCACGCAGTGACCTTCTGCAGGTGCACCTCCTTGCGGTCGTGCTTCTCCGCCTGCAGCACCGCCTCGCGCATGTCGCGCTCCTGCTTCTCGCGCAGCGCCGCCTCCATCTGCGCGCGCTTCTTCGCCAGCCGCTCCTGCAACACAATTGGGACGCGCAATTGGGACGCCGGTGGGGAACACGGCGCCGCGCCGCCGCACGTCGCGGGCGAGCTCGGCGTGCGCGCCGCGCGTACCTGGCGGAGGCGCTTGCGGTCCTCGGGCTCGTTGGGGTCCGCGGGGCCCTCCTCGTCGTCGACCTGCACCGACGAGGTGGGCACCGACACGCCGAACAGCTCGCCCAGACCCGACGGCATCCCAGCCTGCCCCGCGGGCCTCGCCGCGGCCGGCTGCTGCGCCGGCGCCGCGGGCTTGGGCTTGTGCGGCGCCGCGGCTGGCCCGGAAAAGCCTATGAGGTCGTCGGCGGGGGCGCTGGTGGGCGCGGGGCCGGGGGGGCGCGGCTTCTGCGGCTGTTGCTGGCGGGCGTGATCCGCCGAGGGGCGCTGCGGGGTCGACGGCGCGCTGGAGCGCTCCTGGTCGCGCGGGTGCGGGGGGGCGTGCTGCGCGGGTGGGCGGGCGCCGTCGGGCTGCTGCTGCGGCCCGCTGTCGCGCACGTGCTGCGGCCGGTGGTGGTCGCGGCGGCTCTCGTGCGACGCGCGGCTCCGGTGCTGCTCGTGGCTGTCCCGCACGGCCTGCTCGTACGACGGCGGCCGCGGGTCGCCGCCGTCCCCGCCGTGCGCATCCAGGTCCTGCGCGCTGATCGGCACCTGCCCGCCGGACACCACGATCTGGTCCATGATGTGCTGCACGACCGCCGCGTCGCCCTCGGGCATCGCCTGCAGCGCCGCCGCGCGGTCCGCGTCGCCCATGTCGAGCAGCGACGCCGCCATGGCAATCAGGCGCGGGTCCACGTCCATCACCACGCGCTGCGTGCGCGCGCGCCGCTGGTTGCGCTCCTCCACCTTGTGCTCCACCCGCCGCTTCACCTCCTGCGCACGCCGCCCCACGCGAAACGCAAGCACTCAACACCCATGACCACACAGCAAACACTCGCAAACGCAAATGGGGCCGTCGCTGGGGCCCGAGCGGAAGCGCACGCGATGGCGGCGCGCGTGCGGCGGCGGCGTGGTGCGCGCGGACCTGCGTGAGTTCCTGGGCGCGCTCCCGCGCCACGCTGTATGCAGCGCGTGCCTCCGCGGCGGCCTTCCTGCCCCAGCTGGCCAGATTCGACATCAGCCCGCGCGACGAGGAGGACGCCTGGGGCTGCGGGCTGCTTTCGGGGGCGCGGCGCGCCGCTCCGCTGCTCCCGGGGCGCGCGGCGCGGCCGCTGGAGGGGCGGTCGCCGCCGCTGCGCGCCTGGGGCCCGCGGCCGGGGTCGCCGCGCCCGACCTCCACCGGCACGACGTCCGGGTCCATGCCCCTCCCGCTGAGCTCGGAGGGGCTCCGCGGCATCTCGCGCCCGCCCGGCGCGGGGCTGTAGCTCCCCGTATCTGGCGGGGTGGGGCCCGCGCGCGCGTCGGGACGCGGCTCCCGCGCGGGCTGGCCGGCGGGGGCCGGCTTGCCGAAGAGGTCGTCCCAGGATTCGTCGTTCGCGGGCGCCTGCGCGGGGGCCTGCTGCGCGGCGGGCACCGAGAGGCCCGCAAAGGGGTCGTCGTTGGCCGCGTTGCTGCCCGCGTGGGGCTGGGCGGGGCCGCCGACCGCGGCGCCGAGCCCGAAGATGTCGTCGTCGTCGTGGCTCTGATGGAACCGCGACTTCCCGTTCTCGGAGCGGCCCGTGGCAGCGCCTCCCAGATGCACCGCAGGCATCGGGGACGCAGGGGCCGAGGCGAGGCCGCCCTCCATGTGCAGCCCGTCCCCGACGCTCGACGCCGCGCTGAAGGCCGTCGACCTGCGACGCGGGGCGCGATGCGGGGCGTGCGCGTTCAGCCGCGGCGTGAGGTTGCCCCCAGGTGGGGCACGCCCTGCGGCGCGGCGCCTGGCCCGCGAGGAGCCGCGAGCGGCGGCCGCGCGACTGCCCAATGCGTGCGGCACGCGCGCCCCGGCGCCACTCCGCACGATCGGCGGCGCGCGCTCCGCTGGCCGCGGGCGTGCACCGATGGCCTGATCGAGTGCCACCGGGCCGCAGCGCCCGGGACACGACGGGCGCGCGGGACGCGGCGGGGCGCACGCCAGTGCGGGGTACGTACTTGTTGTTCCGGTGCGCTTGCGACTTGAGCTCGGAGACGGACCCATTGCGCTCCCTGGGCCGCGCCTCGGCTTGCGTCGCGTCCCGCGCGCCCGTGCGGCCCATCGCGCGCGCGTCCCCGAGCCCGCCGAAGGGGTCCCCGCCGAGCTTCGACTGCCCCGTCGCGCTCTCGCGTCCGGTGTTCCGCGCGCCGGCGCCGGGCTCCTTGAGGCCCGGTGCCGAGCCCCTGTGCCCCGCCGCGCGCGTCATCGCCGCCATCGGCTTGCCGCCGCGCCCGGTCTGCCCGAGCGTGAGCTTGTCCAGGGAGCTCCCGACGAGGTCGTCGAACGCCTTTGATTTCGACATCTCGCCCCTGCCCGCGCTCCCACGCAGCGCACCCTGCCCACCTCCACGACCCGACACCAGATCACGTCAGGCGTGTCGCCCGCGAAGAGAGGGTCGTCCGTACACTCGGGACCAGAGTGCGCCGCGCGGATCGCGCGGGGTCGCTTGGCGCCCCAGATGGGGCCTCGAATGGGAGGGGTGGTCTGGCCACCCTCGCTGCAGCTGACCGGCCCTGACGTGGCGCTGGCGGCCGCGCAGCCGGCGCACGAGCGACCGGCGGCGCGAGGCTGCGTCCGACTACGCTCCGAGGGGCTGCGCGCGGCACCGGGGTGCGTTGTGGCGTCGGGTGCGGCGCTGCGGTGCTGAGGGGGAAGATGACAGCGGGCGCGGCGGGGTGGCGGTCGTGGGCCTGTCCGCACCGGACGCGCGCGACGCCGGGGTGTGTGCGCGTGCGCCCTGCAGCGGGCCGCGGCGACGAGGGGCGCGCGGTGCCGCGGGGGCCCCCGGGAGCCCCGCGCTGCGTGGGCGGAGCGACGCGGTCGCGGTTGCGGGCGGGAGGGGCGAGAGCGAAGTCGGGCGACGGGACCGGGGCGCTGTTCGAGACGCTGGACGGGTTGTCGGACGCAGAGGGCGTGAGGCTCCCGGCGCCGCCCCCCATCAGCGGCGGAGACCCACGGCGGAGGTGGAACGCGGTGCGAAGCCCCCTGACGACGCGCCGACGCCGTGTTTCGAAGGCTGCAACGGCCCTGTTTCGCTTGTAGCGTCTCAATGGGGATGCGGGGGCCCGTGTTCCGCGAGCGAGACGCTGCCCGGGGCCGCCCAATGTGGTGCTTGCAGGTGTCGCTCGCATTCCTCGGCGATTCCGTCTGGGAGCTGTACGCCCGCACGCACCACTTCTTCCCGCCCTCGCGCGTCAAGTCGTACCACAAACGAGTCGTCGCAGACGTCAGGTGCGCCCTCCGCCCAGGTTGTGGTGAAATCACACACGCAGCGCGCACGGCGACCAGCGCAGCCGCGCCCGACGCGCCCCGACGCCCCCCCCGCCTCCGCCCCTCGCTGCACCTGCCCGCAGGGCGGAGCGGCAAGCCAGGCTGTGCGAGGAGCTGGACAGGGGCACGTGGCTGTCGGACGCCGAGCGCGAGGTCCTCGCGTGGGGGCGGAACGCCAACGTCAAGCCGCCGCGGAACCTCTCGGCCAAGTGAGTCGCAGCGGCCAGGGCGGTCGCGCCTGCCCGCGCGCGCCAGTTCTCGCAGCTTCCCAGTTCATGTTGCTGCCAAGAAGTGCGTGCCGCGCGCATCCGTCGCTCGCAGGGAGTACAAGGACGCGACGGCGGTGGAGGTCCTGTGCGCGTACTTGTATCTGACGGACCCGGAGGGCAGGTTCCCGCAGCTGATGGAGCACGCGTTTCCCCCAGCGCGTGCGGACGCGTGAGGCGACGCGGGCGCCCGCAGCGGGCGGGCGGACCGGACCAGGTCACAGCTGCTGCGTGTGAGAACGAGGTCCATCGGCCCCGGCCACGTGAGAAACAAACGCGGCGCCCCGCGCGTCCCGCCGGCGTCAATCGTCGCCGCTGGTGGCCATCTTGATCGCGCTGATGATCTCGCGGCTCGCGGCGAGGTCGCAGCCCTCGAACAGCTCCCAGCGGAGCAGCACCATGTCCGCGCCCGCCTCGCGCGCCGCGACGGCCTCCTGGACGTCCCTGGCGGACATGAGGGACAGACACCCGTGCGGGAGCTTGCCGATGAGGCTCGAGGCGACCTGCTCCTTGAACCCCGGCAGACTGACGGACAGCCCGATCGAGGTGCTGAACGCGAACAGCGCCACCTGCGCAACGGCCGGCGCACGGGCGGGCTGGCAGACCTGGATTCCTGAGTGTGGGGTGGCGCGTCAGGGCACGGAACGCGCGGGACGAGCGTGCGCCGCGCGGCGGTGGCGGGGCGCGCACCCCGGCTTCGATCATCGCCTCGGTCTCCTGCAGGTTGACCACCTCGACGGGGCAGTCCATGCCCATCCGCGCCGCGAAGGCACTCACGACCGCCGTGCCCCTGGCCCCCGACACCTGCGTCACGAGCCCGATGCCGCCCCCGGCGCCCACCTTCTTCGCCTGAATCAGCTGGTACGGGTGCAGAATCCAGTCCTTCATCAGCACGGGCACCTGCGCGGCACCGACACACACACCAACCTCGAGGGTCGCGCGGGGCGGATGCACGCGCGGCGGCGCACGGGGGCGTGCCTGCCGCGTCCGCCCCGCGCACCTTGCGGCCCAGGCGCGGCTCGACCTCCCTGGCGGCGACGCACGCCGCCTCCAGGTCCGCCAGCCCGTCGGGGGTGTCCTCGAGGTCCGTCGGCACCGCCACCGCGTCCGCGCCAGCCGTCGCCATGTCCCTGACGGCCGTCGCGACGTCCTCCGGCGTCGGGCCCGTGCGCCGCACTTCGACGATCAGCGCGGGGCCGCCCTGCAACGCAACGCAACCAACCCGCTTTGCTCGCTCGTCGACGCGGCACGCAGGGCCGCGCGCAGCGCGACGCGGCGCGCGGGGTGCGCGGCTCGTGCTGCTGACGTGCGCGGCGCGGCGGCGGGTCGGGCGCGCGCGTCGCACCCGCTGTTCCAGTTCGATGACGTTGCTGACGGTCATCGACAGCGGGAAGGGCGCGGCGCTCTCGTCGACGGGCAGGTTGGCGAGCTCCTCGTCGAGCTTCTCCATGCCCAGCTCCTCGAGGAGGTCCTGCACCTCCTTCGACTTGCGCTGAATGACGCGCGCCAGCTCCGTGCTGGGGCCTTTGCTCGCCTCGTCCTCCTCCTCCGAAGCGCGCAACCGCACGCTCGAGCGTCGGCTCGGGTATGAAGCTCCCGGCCACGGCCCGCCAGGTCCGTTGGTGTGCGGTCTGTGGGCCGCAGAGCCCCGCGAGGGGAGCTGCAAGACAAACGCAGAGCTGCGAGTGCTGGGCGCGAGACCGAGCACGTGCGAGCCGCGCATCGTGGGCTCTGTCGTTTCCCATTGCGCGCGTCGCAGCGTGCCCGGACTCCACGTCGCCGGCGGTGCGCGGCGCGGCGTGGAACAGTCCGATACAGGTTGACGCACCGTGAGAGGCCCGACGCGCGGAACGAGGCACTTCATCCTCCCCCACGTGCTCCTTGCTTCAGTGAGCGTCCGATTCGGTCGAGCCAAGTGGTATCCGAAGCCCTCTGTGCGGCGGGCAACGCGTGTGGAGCAAGCGCCAATTGCACCCTGCGGTTGACAACTCTCGCCCGCGTCTCCCTCCGTACAGCCTGGTCGGACGTGTTCAGCTGCTGGTGTCCATGCACGCGCGCGTGGCGCCGCAACCTCAGACGCGCGCTGCAACGTGCTGACGGGCGTGGAGGAGTGGGGACCGGCACCCGAAGGACCTGCCGACGGGAGCTTGATGGTCCTCGACGAGCGCCGCCGCGAGCACACCCCGCTGGTCTGGCCCGAGCCCTTCGCGGCGGCCCAACGTTTGCTGCGTCTGTGTCCGCCCGAGAGAGCGGGCGTCTTTTAGTTGGCGCCGGTCAGGGGCCAGCCGCGCCGCGCAGAGACGACACGCCGCGATATTGCTGCGCGTGATCCGACGCTGTTGTAGGACGGACCGACACCCGCCATCGTGGCCGTCGCTGCTCTGAGGCGGCGGGCGCGCCCCAGGTGTGCCGGGTGAACACCGCGGTGCCAAGCGCCACACCTGCGGCGAGCGGGCCCCAGGCAATATTGAGGGCGACGTAGACTTGGTATCACCATTTCGGCCGCAGCCATGGTGAGCAACGATCGTCTCTGACGAGCCCGGGGTGCCGTGAAGACCACACAGAGTGAAGTGGCGCGCTTTGCTGCCCCTGGACTGGCTGCGAAGCAACACCTACCTGCGAACAGCACACCGGAAGACATGACAGGTGCGGCTCTCGACCACGTGGCGAAGTGGCCCACAGTGCTGACGTTGGGCCGGGTTCGATCCCAGCTGCAGCGCACGAGGCTGTGCGCCGCGCCCGTCGCCGCCGTTCACTGCGCACCGATGGGCGCCGCGAAGCCTGAGATGTCAGCGCTGCATGTGGCGCAAGCCAGGGCGCGCGTGGGCTCTCTCCGGCGCAGCGCGGTGCACTCCACCTCCATGAGCGACGCGAGCGTTGGCCGGGTGCCTCTCTCTCGGCCCCGCCCTGCGCCAGCAGTTCCGGGGACGAGCGGCCACGGCGACGCCATGCAGCCCCACGGCGCGACCCCCACGCAGCGCCCTCGCCTCTGCACCGACCCGCACCCCCCGTCCCGCCAACGGTCCCGCAGAGCAGCAGCCCGCCAAGCAGGAGGCCGCGCCCGCGGGCCGCTCCCTCGCGCGCGTGCTCGTCGTCCTGGAGCGCTCGATGGTGATGGCGCAGGCGCTGCCGCTCATGCTGGAGCGCCCGCTGTTCCAGAAGCTGGAGGTGGCCATGGACTCCGACAAAGAGACCCTCTTCCGCACGGGCATCCTGGTCGAGCAGTGCCCGGAGATGGGCGTCGCGCCGGAGCCGGCGTTCCTGGGCTGGCAGGACTCGCCCGCGCTCAAGGACCGGCTGCTGGAGGCGGTGCGGGGCGGGCGCGGGGGGTTCCTGGGCCCGCTCTCGCTCGCGACGGCCCTGGCCGACGCGGCCGAGCTGTTCGAAGAGACGCGGCGGGCCGACTTCGGGACGGGCCAGGGCCAGGCGTCCACGGACCACGTGCTGCTCGTGTGCGCGGGGGACGACAACGGGACGAGCGCGCCCGCGGTCCCGATGTCGTTGGGCGGCGGCGAGCCGGCGCTCCTCGACGCCGCGGGGTGCGCTGCCGAGCTGTCCGCGCTGCGCGTCTCCCTGAGCGTGTTCCCGCTGAGCCTTCGCGACGAGCGGTCCGACGGGTTCCGGGTGTTTCTGCGCGGGATGCACGCGTGGCGGGAGCGGGCACAGCGGACAGGGAACGCGGCTCTCGCGGCGGACATTGCACGGGTGCGCGCGCCCTGCAGCGAGCGCGCGTGGGAAGGGGCGACGGTGCTGTCGTGGGCGGCTGGGGCCGCGGGCGCGCGAGCGAGCGGTGACCCTGACCTTGTTGTGCGGCTCGCTACGTGTCGGTGCAGGAGGCGGAGCGGTACAGGGCGCTGGTGCGGAGGAACCAAGTGCCTGCGCAGCTGTGCGCCAGCAAGCTGTTCAAGTGGGGTTTCGCGGTAGTGGATGCGGCGGCGCCCAAGGTGCCGGAGGCCGCCGTCGCGCCCCCCGCCGAGGAGCAGAAGCCGGTCGTCAAGACCCAGCCTGGACCGGCGGGGCCAGGACCGCTGCCCCTGCGGCCAGGTGCGCCGCCGCGCTAGCGGCCGACACCTCCGCCATGCGTGCACGGGAGCGCGCGGCCCCTGCGTGGCCCCTCTGCCGACTCTGACCTCTCGCGCGTGGCTGTTCGCGTCCCGGGGCTCGCAGGGACCGCCGCGGCGTCGGGCGCTGCCGTGCGTCCGAAGGCCGAGGGCGCGCAGGTGGGGATGTCCACCATGCCGGCACGGGTCGCTGCGCCCCCGCGGCCTCAGGCAGCCGTGTCTGGCGGGCAATACGCGGGCCGGCCGATCGCCAGCCAGGCCATGCAAGTGCAGCGCTCGGCGACGGCACAGCAAGGCCAGCAGCAACAGCCTCCAGTGCAGCAGCAACAGCAACAGAGGCCCCAGATGCAGCAACAGCAACAGCAGAGGCCCATGCAGCAGCAGCAGCAGCAGCAGCAGCAGCAGCAGCAGCAGCAGCAGCAGATGCTGATGATGCAGCAACAGCAAGCAGCAGCAGCTCAGCAGATGATGCTGGTGCAGCAAATGAGAGCGATGGGGTATCAAGGCCAGATCACTCAACAACAAATGATCGCGTTCCAACAGCATCAGATGGCGCAGATGCAGAGGGCGGGCATGATGTCCGGGATGGCGCCTGGGATGCAAGCGCGAGTGCCCATGAGCCAACCGCCGGCATCGCGGCCCGCTCAGGCGCCGCAGCATGGGCAGCCGCAGGCAGTAGCGTGGCCTGATGCTCCACAGGGCGCGCAGAGGTGGTGGTCGGGGACCGTTTTCACGCAGCAGCAGGGCGCCGCATCCCCGATGATGCTGGCCACGCTTCACGACGCGGCCCCCCCGGAGCGTCTGCCGGCTCTACATAACGTCACCGGTGCAGCTTGGGCGGGCAAATGGGCCATTCAGGACCTGCAGAAGAATCTGGAGAGCGCTGCGACGCGCGGGCAGATGACCAAGTTCAAGTTCGTGGGCAGGGTGCCGCTGGGCTTCCAGCAGACGATCCAGGAGCTGGAGAAGAAAGCGGCCATGATCTGTGCGCTGCCCCCGAACCCGCACGCGCGGCTCGTGCTGGTCCTCACCGGCAGCGAGCAGGAACAAGGCTCTGCTTCGCTGCTGGTCAACGGGTTCGGACGGTTCTTCCCCCAGGGCTGTTGATGCGGCCCGTGCGCGTTGTGAGAGATCCGGGAAGAAGCGGACTCGCTTTTGTTTGTACTTCGCTGACCTACAAGCACCCTCGCCGCGAGGACGCTTGAACGACCGAAATGGTAGTTCTTTGCTGACCTACGAGCACCCTCACCGCGAGGATAGTTCTTCGCTGACCTACGAGCACCCTCACCGCGAGGATGCCGGAGCGACCGAAATGGTACGGCACGCTTTCATGTTTCCGAACGCTCGGATGGGGTTTGAGTTACATTTGTCGGAGAGGCTACGCAGGCGCCGAGAGCGCAGAGCTCCGCGCTGCACTCCCCCTGCGTGCCAGAGACTGATCTCTGACGACGCAGGTCGAGGGATGGGCGCCGTCACTGACATCGGAACGAAGTCCACGGCGGCTGCCGGGCCTTCATAGCGTGCTGGCCCCCCTTATGTATGATGAGGTGCTGTCTGACGGGTGGAACTGGACTGCCATGCGTCCGTGGCGGTGCCGAGGGGGGGGCGCGTCGGCCGACCACCGACGGCCGCCCCGGGACGGAGCAGCGAACTAGGGGCGGGTAGGTTGCGAGAATCTGCGCGGAGGGGCCTCCGCTGGTGGGGGGGGGGGGAGGTGCGCTTCGGCCTCCATGACGGGCTGCAGTCCGCCGAGCTGGTTGGCGCCGCGCATGGTGCGGTCGAGGAGGTCCTCGATGCGCGTCGTCTGCCGGTCGTCGTAGATGTCGAGGTTGTCGAGCGCGTCGGCCGAGGGGGAGTGCATCATGCGCGCAAAGTCCTCGAAGTTCATGTGGCGCTGCTCGCGGCACCCCGCGTCGACGAGCGCGTGCTCCACCGCGTGCTCCAGCTCCTGCGGCGGCAGCTTGTTCCGCAGCACCTTGAGCATGTCCTCCACCCAGATGCACCCGTCGCCGTCCTGGTCCATCTCCGCGAAGGCCCGCTTCAGGTGCTCGAGCCACTGGTCCGTGCAGTTGCGCTGGAACGCCTTCCAGTCGATCAGCGACGCCGCGAACGCCCCGCGGTTGACCTCGCCCACGTGCGCGCCGTCGAGGATGCACATCAGGTGCTGCAGCTCCTGGTCCGCGAGGTCGTACCCGAGCTGCTGCAGCGTCCGGCCGAGGTCCTCGCGCGAGATGGCCGCGCGCCGGTCGAAGTTGAACGCCCGCAGCACCTTGTGCACCGAGCGGTCCAGCAGCAGGCAGTCCTCGCACATGCACTGCCGGCTGTGGCCCAGCCGACGGTACTTGACGCTCCCGGAGCCGCCCTCCGAGCTGCCGCCCTCGGCGAACGGCGTCGCGGTGTCGCCCTCCTCGGCGACGGACAGCGGCCCCGAGCCGTACATGAGCGCGTTGCCGCTGGGGGCGTGGGTGTTGCTGGCGAGCTTGTCCTGGACCTGGCGCGGGATGTCGATGTCGTCGGGGTTCTTCGCGGGCGTGCAGAGGATCTCCTCGGCGATGTGCTCGAGCACGGTCCGCTTGAGCACCGCGCGGTGCGAGTACCGCTGGATGCGCGACACGATGCTGCTGCTGATGGGCTTCTCCTTCCGGTCGTGCCGCGCCGTCACGTCGTCCTGCGCGAGCCACGGGTGCTGCAGCGCCTCCTTCGCCGTCAGGCGGTCCCCGGGCTCCTTCTGCAGCAGCCGCCGCACGAAGTCCTTGCCCTCGTCCGAGATGTCGGCCCAGTACGGCTTGTTGAACGACAGCTCGTCCATCAGGATGGACCGCCACACCAGGCTCAGGCTCGGGCTCATCGGGTTCTTGCGGTCGTTGAACGGGAACCGCCCCGTGAGCAGCTGGTGCGCCATCACGCCCGCCGCCCACACGTCCGTGGCCGGCACCACCTCCGACCGCAGCATCTCCGGCGCCATGAACCACGGCGTGCCGTCGAAGCCCAGGTTGTCCAGCGGCAGGTCCTCGTCCTCGAACGGCACGGCCAGCCCGAAGTCGATCGCCTTGACGCGCGCGTGGTCTGCGGGAGCCAGTGCGGGGGGCAGCGCGGCGGTGAGGCGGCGCGGGGCGGCGCGGGGCTGCGCGGCGGGGCGCGGCGTCGCGCGGGCGCGTGCGCGGCGCACCTGAGTCGTCGAGGAACATGAAGTTGCCCGGCTTGACGTCGCGGTGGATGATGTTGTTGGCGTGGCACTGCGCGAGCGTCCGCAGCACGGCGCGCATGAACGACGCGACCGTGCGCTCCGTGTACGGCCGCTCCCCGATGCGGTGCAGCATCTCGCCGCCGCGGCACATCTCCGTCACGAGGTACACGTTCTCGTCGTCCTCGAACGCCCCTGCGGACATCAGCACGCAGAGTTCAGCGATCAGCGATCAGCGCCCGGGGGGGGGGAGACGAGGCGGCGCGCGTGCTGCCGGGTCGGGCGCGGCGCTCACCGTACAGGTGCACGACGTTGAGCGTCCCGCGCAGGCGCAGGAGCGCGGTGACCTCGTTCCGGATGGAGGCCATGTGCTTCGCCTGCCGCTCGGGCCCCGCGCCGTCGCCGGTGTACTCCTTCGCGATCACCTTGACCGCCACCTGCATCCCCGTCACGCGGTCGATCGCCGCGAACACCTTCCCGAACCCGCCCGTGCCCACCACGTCCTGCAGCTCGTACTGCGCGCTAAAGTCCCGCCGGTACCCGAACGCGCGCTCGTCGCGCCGCGCGTCCGCCCGGGCCTGCGCGAGGTCCGCGAGGTCGTCTGCGGGGGGCGCGGGGCGCTCGCGGGCGGGTCCGTCGTCGAGCGGAACAGCGGCCAGGGCGGGCGACGGGTGCGCGGGGGGCGCGTGGGGTTGCGCACCTTTCGCCTTGTGGGGGTCGTGCGCCTCGCTCGCGGCCACGGGCGGCGGCAGGGAGCACCGGCGGAGGTCGGGGCGCTTGTGCCCGGGCCCGTGCCCGTGCTCCGCCCCGCGCTCGTTGTCGCTGTTGCGGCACCCCGGGTGCACCACGCGGATGTGCCCCTGCCGCCCGGACCCGCCCGTCATGCCGCCTCCCGCGCCGCGCGGAGCCACCTGCGGACACGCCGAACGCAATGTGGGACGTGAGCGGGCCCGGGCGGGCGGCGGGCGCGGCGGGCGCGGCGGGCGCGGCGGCGCGTCCTGGCGGCGCGGGCCAAGGGGCGGGCCCCGGCGATGCGGTCGTCCCGGGTCCCGCGCGCCCACAAGGCCGTCCCGCGCCCCTGGTCGCGGCCATGGCGGCGGGCGTGGCCGGTCGAGGGCCCTCTTGCGGCCTCCCGGGGCGCCGGGTGGCGACGTGTGCCCGCGCTGCACGCTCACCTGGGACTTGCGCACGCTCCTCGTGCCGTTCGAGGTGGCCACCTCGAGGCCTCGCATGACGCACTGATCGCGACTATGCTCCTTCGACCTCGGCGCGCCGCCGTCCGTCGGTCCTGGGCCGCCCTGCAGCGCGAGCGCGAGGGGCCGCGAGGTGGTTAGTGGTTGACGCCGCAGTGCGCGCCGCGCGAGGCAGTGGGGCGCGCGGGCGGCCGCGGCGGCGCAGGGGCGGCCGGTCGCGAGCGCGGCGCGCGTGAGGCGCGCCCCGGGGCGGGGTCTGCCGCGAGGGCGGGAGCGGCTCCAACGTGCGAGGCATCTGGGGAGCATCGCGGACGCAGCGGCAGGCATTCGCGATACCTGCGCCGCCCGGACGCGCACCGCGCCAAGGGTAGGGCGGGAGAGGGGGGGGCGCGCGGCGCAAGGGGGCCGGGGGCCGCGCAGCCGCCGTGATAGGCGCACAGGCGGCTCTGGCGCGGGGGCGCGCGGCTGGGCCGCGCACGACGCGCGGCGGCGACGCAATTTCGTATTTCAGATCGATCGGAGCACCGTGCGATCGGCGTCCGGCGCGCCCGGAAGCGCCGGGCGCCGCGGCGCCAGGCTGACGAGGACGGCTACGAATGCCTCGCGGGCCGCCGGGGCCGCTGGGGGGCCGGGCGGCCGGCGGGCCGGTGTTCCGGGCGGTTCATGCCGCCGGTGGCCGCCTCGTCGGACGGCGGGGCGCGGGGGTGGGGCGGCTTGCCTCTCGGAGTCGGTGGATGTCGAGAAACTGCCGTGTCGACAAGGGACGCTGGGTGCCTTTCGTGGTCTTTCCGTCGTTCGTGGCTGAACACTGGTATTACTGTCCCCGGTGGTGCGCGCGGCGGGCCCCTGGAGCGCCGGACCGCGACGGATTCGCTTCCAGAGCGTCGGACGCACCTGTGCTGGCACACTGACGTGGCGCGGCGAATCGCGCGCGAGACGGCCGCGAGAAACGCATTGCGGCGGCGCGAGGGGGGCGCTTGCACACTGCGCACCGTCGGACGGTTCGTTCGCTGCACCCCCGCGCCGAGAGCGACCCCAGCGCCCGCGTCCGGCACCGCTGCACGTGTGGAGCGCGTGCGCGCGCGAGGTGGTCGTGCGGGCGGCCGGAAGGAGGCCGAGACGCTTACGACGGGGATCGAGAGCCGACCCGTCGGGAGAACGGCGGCACGAGGGGGCCAGCGCGCGCCGGCGAGGCTGGTCGGTGCTGCCCGCCAACAACGACCCGTGGGCAGGAGGCCCGGGCGCGCGACAGCGGGCGCGAGAGACCGACGGCGCCCTTCGACGGGGACGGAAACATCGCAGGCACGCGATGAGTGACGGGGAGTCTGGCGGGGAGAGCCCGTGTGTGGCTGGCAACGGGAGGGAGTCGCTGCTCCAGCCCAGGTGCGTGCACGGACGCGCGTGCGACCCCTGTGTCGCGATGTCTTCCACGTGACGGGGCTCTCTCGTGGTACAGTAGCCCCGCGGTGCAAAATGCGCCGCGTGTGCGACGGGGATCGCCGGGAAAACGACCTTGGCGCTGCATGCTGTGCGGCGCTGAGCGCGCGACGTCCCGCGCGGCGTGTGCTTGCAGGAAGCTCGCCGGGATCTTCTCTCCCCTGAACGACGCCCATGCCGAGCCGGAGGGCCCTGCTATCGATGTCAAGCGGGCCGCGAACGGGGCGCCGTGCTCCGCGGCGGGTCCGAAGCAGGCGGGCAGGGGGGCGCGCAAGGGGAAGCGCAAGGCGCCCCTGGGCCACGCCGGAGACGCGCCCGGCACGGAACGCATCAAGGCGCGCACCGCGGCCCCGCAGCCCGCCGTCGGCGCCCCCGCCCGGCCGCCCGGCGCGCGCCCAGCTGTTGTTGCGCGATTCGACGACGGCCGCGTCGCTCCCTGGACGCCGACGGCCCCTCTCCCCGCGCGGCCGCCCCGCAGGTCCTCGTGCGACTGAAGCCCGACGCGGACGGCGAGCCCGCGGCCCCCGCGGGCGCGCGCGCGTGCTTCTGTGCGGTGGACGACACCACCCTGGTGGCGCGCGCGCCGGAGAACGTCCGCAAGACCACCCAGGCGTGGCGCGACAAGGCCGAGCGGAAGATCAAGTTCGACAGGTGGGCGTCGAGCTCGTTCCGCCCGCTCGCCCCCGGCGCGGCTCGCCTGGGACGGCACTGCCGACGCCGCACCCGCCGCCTCCCGGTCCCCGCGCAGGGTGTTCGGCCCGGAGTGCTCGCAGCAGGACGTGTTCGACGGCTCGGGCGTGTCGGACATGGTGCGGAGCCTCGTGGAGAGCGCGTACGAGTGCGCCGACTCCGGGGCCACGCCGCAGCACATGTGCGTGGCCGCGTACGGAATCACCGGCTCAGGTGCGTCGGAGGGCCGCTCCTTCCCCCTGCCGCGGCGCGCCGCCTGCCTGGCGCGTCGTCGACCCCCGCGGCCCCACCCGTGCGCGCGTTGTCGCCACCCGTGCGCGTTGTCTCACGCGGGCTTCGGGTCCGCGCCGGCGCAGGCAAGACGTTCACGATGGACGGACTCCGCGACGAGGACGGTGCGATGGTGCACGGCCAGCGCGGCCTGCTCCCGCGCGCCCTGGAGGCCCTGTTCGGCGCGCTGGAGGAGGAGCACGCGCGGCGGGGGGCGGGCGCGCCGTTCCGCGTGGTGGTGTCCATCTGCGAGGTGTACAACGAGGCCGTGTACGACCTTCAGGACAGCAAGCCGTTCCGGAACGTCGACGGGAGGAGCAAGCGGCACAGGGCCCTGGGCCCCCGCCGCGCGCTGGAAGTGACGTGAGTGCGCGACGCGACGCGACGCGACGCGACGCGACGCGCGCTCCGCTCGCAGTGCCCCGTGCCGTGCGCGCGCTCACGATGCGGCGCGCCGTGCGGCGTGCGTGCAGGATCGGCAACGGCACGCGGGCGCACGTGGCGGGGCTGCGGGCCACGGCGGTGTCCGGGGCGCGCGACGCCCTGCAGTGCCTCGCGGTCGGCGCGCGGAACCGCGAGACCGCGCCCACGCAGCTCAACCAGGCGTCGTCCCGCTCGCACGCCATCTTCACCGCCACGATCGTCCTCCCGGGCCCCGCGAGCGGCCCCGGCCTCGAGATGGGGAAGCTGTCGTTCGTGGACCTCGCGGGGTCGGAGCGGCAGGGGGACGCGGGCAACATGGAGCGGGACAACGCGGAGCGGTTCGAGGAGGCGCGCGGCATCAACAAGTCGCTGTTCGCCCTCGAGAACTGCTTCCGGTCGCTGCGGCAGAACCAGGGGGCGGCGGGGGGCGCGCGGGGCGCGGGGCGCGAGCAGGTGCGCGAGGAGGAGGAGGGGGTGGCGTGCGCACGCGGCCTCGTCGCTCGACGCGTGCCGGACCGTCGCTCGCTCACGGAGCGCGGTGCTTGGGTGCGCGTGCGTGTGGTGCAGGGGCACGTGCCGTTCCGGGAGTCCACGCTGACGAAGATCCTGTGCGACGCGCTGCAAGGCCACGGGCGCATCTTGATGGTCCTGAACATCGCGACGACCGCGCGGTTCTTCCTCAAGACCATGGCCAACCTGGAGCACGGCGGGACCATCCGCGAGAACTACACCAGCAGGGCGCTCGCGCCCGCGCACGGAGGAGCGGAGAAGCAGCCCGCGAAGAAGATGCGCCTCGAGCTGCGCGCCGAGGAGCGCGCCGCCAGGAAGGCGCAGCGCGAGGCCCCCGCCGTCGTGGCCATGTTCGACGAAGACGCGCTCCACGGCGAGGCGGGTGCGGGTGCAGGTGCAGGTGCGCCCCTTTTGCCTGCGTGCGTGCGTGCGTGCGTCGCGTCCGCGCGTGTGCCGGGCCGAGCGTTGCGGCCCCCGCTGCGGTGCGCTGTGTGCAGGTGCGGGGAGCGGGGCGCAGGAGGAGGTGCGGGCGCTGCGCGGGCGCGTGCAGGAGCTGGAGGAGGCGCTGGAGGACGCGGTGCTGGAGTGCCGGGGTCTCCGGGAGCAGTTGGTGGCGAAGGAGGCGGAGGTGGTGCTGGTGGAGCAGCGGGTGCGGGAGGAGACGGTGCGGGACCTGGACGGGCTGATGGAGGACATGATCGCGCAGCGGGAGCGCGCGCACGCGGGCGAGGAGGTGGACAGCGCGGGGCGCCGCCGCAGGACGCGCGGGCGGCTCACCAAGAGCGCCGCGGGGAGCGACCGCGCGGAGGAGGAGGAGGAGGAGGAGGAGTCCGAGGGTGCGTGGGCCGCGGCGACGGTTGCGTCCGTGCGTGTGCGGTCGCGAGGCGTGCAGCGTCACGGCCCCGCCGCCTCCCCCGTTGCGTGCAGAGGAGGACGGCACCGACGATGAGGAGATGAGCTGCGGAGAGGACGAGGTGGGGGGCGCGGCGCCTCGAACGAAGGCCGTCGACGTCGAGGTGGAGACGCTGAAGGCGCGCGTCGAGGAGCTGTCCCGGGACCTGCGTGCCTGCAACGACGCCAAGTCCATTGCGCAGGCAAGCGCGCGCTCCCCGTGCCCGACCGCCGTGAGGGTACGCGGCCCCGCTCCGTCGCACAACCGTGCGGTTCGCGTCCGGTCCACCGCAGGCCAATCTGAGGCGCATGGAGCAGCGCGCGGAGGACGCGGAGCTGGCGGCAGAAAACGCGCAGGGCAGGGCGCGCGCGGCGGAGGAGGCGCTCGCGGCGCAGCGGGAGGCCGCGGTCCAGGAGCGCGCGAACCACGCCGCCGAGCGGGACGCTCTGCGCGCGGACCTGGATCAGGCCGAGCGCGCGACCGTCGGGCAAGAGGAGCGCGTGCAACAGCTGCTGCGGCTGTGCCAGGCGCTGCAGAAGGCCGGGGCGAAGGCGGGCGTGAAGCTCACCGTAGACAAGGAGGACCTCCTGCCCGAGGGGGAGCACGTGCCGGGCCACACGCCGCACGCGCTGGCCCTGGCGTTCGCGCGCTCGTCCCCCGCGGGCGAGCAGGACGACAGCGACGCGGAGGAGGGGCCGATGCAGGACCTGCCCGCGGCCGAGGCAGTGCGCCTGTCGATGGACGCAGCCGACGAGCCGGCCGCGTTGTCGCCCCAGCAGGCCGATGCCATCGACATGGGGGGCCCGGGGGCGGCCGCGGACGAGCAGGACGAGGAGGTTCCGGGCGAGGGCGGCGCAGGAGCGGCCCCGGAGGAGGCGCGCGCGGAGCCGTGCGAGCCCGCGGGGGCCCCGTCGCGGTGGGTGGTGCAGTACGTGGGCGACAGCAGCGAGGAGGACACGCCGGAGCGCGGGGGCGCGGGGGACCTCCCGGAGCGTCCGATCGACGGCGACGCCTTCGGGGCCGCGGACGAGGTGGCGCTGGCTCTGCGCGCGCGGTTCCGTGCGGAGCGGGGCGACGCGCGGAAGATGACGGTCAGGGTGCTGCGCGGGCGGCTGGCGGAGTGCGGCTTCATCGCGGAGCTGGACGGGCTGCCGGCGCGCGCGAAGAAGTGCGAGGTCGTCGCGCTGTACGAGCGCCTCGTGCTGGGGGAGGGCCGGAGCCCGGAGCAGGGCGGCGCGCAGGCGGCGGTGACGCAGGTTGTGGGGTGCTCGCGCGAGGCGCGGACGCCGCGGCGCAACGACGCGCGGCCGAGCGGGACGCGCGCGGCGCTGTCGCCCATCAACGGCGGCGCGGAGGTGCGCGCGGACGAGGCCAAGCGGTCGCCCCTGGCGCGCGCAGTTCCTCCCGCGGCGGGGCCAGAGAACGGCCCGACGGCGAGCAAGCGCAGGAGGCTCGGGAAGCGGATGGCGCGCGAGGACGTTCGGACGAACGCGCACCTGCAGGTGAGGCGCGCAGCGCGACGCTCTGCGGCCGCACGCGTCTGAGGGTGCGCGCGTGTGCTGAACGTGTTGTGCCTGTGTGGGGGCGGCTGGCGTGCAGGGCGGGCGGGGGCTGACTGCGGCGCTCGAGAAGTACGCGTCGATGCAATCGTCGGACACGCTGGCGATCGCGTCGAAGCGGAAGTGCGTGCGGTGATGGTCGCTTGCTATCTTGCGTGGCGCTGAGGTGCGGGGGCGGGTCACACGATCATGCCACCTCCTTGCAGACGAACGAGTCCCTGATGGTCGTGAGGTCCTTCCGGTCCATGTCAGCCGACGTAGACTGCAAGGTCGCGCCAGGAAGGGCCTGGCATCCGTCTGTGCACGTGTGCGTGTGCGTGTGACTGCGAGCGTGCGCAGTCGCGCGACGAGGGCGCGTCACCGTCGCGGCGGCAGCGGCGCCTCACCTGTAGGCGCAGCGAGTACAGTCGGCGGTTGGCCGTCCCGAGCGTCGTCAGGCAGCTGCGCTCCCACTCCAGGACCTGCTCGCGGTCCTCGGGCATCACCGACAGCTGGTTGCGCGTCGCGTACGAGCGAATCACCACCTCCACGTCGTAGTACGGGTTGCCGTCCCGCCCGACGCGCTCCTTGGCCTCCACGACCGCCCCCTCCCTGCGGACGACAGCAGCGCGCAAGACCAGCGCGGTGAGGACCCGCGTGGGCGGGCGCCGCGCTCGGCGTCGCGCGCGGGGCTGGCGCGGGCACGGACCGCTTGACTCCGATCCGGGTGGACATGAACTCCTCGAGGTAGGCCTTGAGGAGCTTCTGCGCGGCCTGGTCGGGCGTGCCCAGGTCGCGGACGCTCTTGAACCGCGACGACGACGGCGACGTGATGTCGACGAACAGGTTCTCCTCGAGCTTGCTAGGGTTCCTATAGAAGACGTCGTTGCCCGACGTGGTCACCACGTACCTGCACGTACGCGCAACGGTGGTTGATGGCCGGGAACCTCGGCGTGCGACGTCTCTCGACGCGGACGAAGGGACGCCAACATGGTGCTGGCACCGGGCTTGCACGCGGGACGAGAGACGGCCGCGGGGACCGCGTGGCAGCGCGAGGGGCGTGGACGCGACGGCCTACAACGCGGGGAGGGACCAGGCGCGCCGGGCCGCCGACCAGGCAGACACACACGCGTCGGGAACCTTCACGCGGCCGCTTCCGCACACCATGGAGTGTGCGTGGCGCTGGTCGAGCATCGGCGCCGGGCAGCTGCGGGGCGTGCAGAGCGCACCCCTGCACATCCGCGGCGGGGGCGCTGCGGGCCGCCGGAGGCGCTGTTCCAGACGGGGCGGGATGCGCACCAGCTCTCAGGGTAGATGAACTCGTAGCCATCGATCTTGTCCACGTGCCGGCTGAACCCCGACGGCGGCGCGGTGAAGGCCCTGGAGGGTCCCGCGGCGCTGATGGATAGCAGGGCCGCTGCAGCCGCCGCCAAGCCCGCATGCCGCCTACCAGTGACGCCCAGGTCACGAACAACATCGACGCTCTGCCCGTGGGCCGCCGTCCGCGCCGAGCTCCGCGCCTCGCGCCGCGGACGGCACGCTGCCGCCAGCGGCGCGGAGGGCGCGCACAGGGCCGGCATCTACGCGCGCACAGGTGCCCCGGGAACAGTCGATCCGTGCCGCGTTCGAAGGTCCGCGTGCGCAGCGCTGCGTTGTCGGCGCGTCGCGGCGGCGGACGTCGGCCTCGAGCCCCCGTCGCTCCGGGGGGGTTGCTTCCAGTGGGAAAGACACACCCGGTCCGTGCACGGTCCTGGCCCCCGCATGCTCGGCGGTCGGGCTCCTCGCAGCAGGCCGGCTCGCCGCCACGGACGGCGCGCGGCGACCGGGAGGGACCAGAACGCGCCCGTCTTGCTGCGTCGATGGTGGTGGTGGTGTTTGGCATCTACGGCACGCGAACGAGCGCGTCCCTCGCGCCCCGTGGCACCTCACTGCGTCGCGCGACACCGCACGATCAACTCGGCACAGGGCCCTCCTTCGATTCCGGCTCACAAGGTCTGGCCCGTCATCCCCGGCGACGCCGGGTGGCGGCGCCCTTGCCAGCCCCGCCCTTGGCCGCCTCGGCCCGTGCCTTCCTGGCCTGGAGGATGCCGTTATCGTCCAGCTTGTCCGCGTCCGGGCCCATCGGGTAGTTCTCCTGCGTGGCGGCGAGCGGGCAGTGCGCGCCACTTGGTTGCCAGCGGTCGGAAGCCCAAGGGGCGCAGCACGCGACGCGCTCGCCGGCGCGCGGCGAACGTGACCGAGCACGTCCCCCCCACCGCAGGACGTGGGGACACTCTCGCGCACGTGCGCGGGCGTCTGGTGCGCAGGCGAAGGCACGCGCGCACCTTGGACACGCGCGAGATGATGGGGGTGTTGACGCCGTTCACGCACGCCATGAGGTGGCCGTTGCGGTAGACCAGGAACCGCGGTTCGCTCTTCCCCCTCCGCTCCGCGACCAGCTCGTTGCACTCCACCTTCTGCGCGGGGTCCTCCGCCGCCTTGCACGTCTCCGCCTTGATCTTGAAGAACTGCGCACGGGCGCGGCGGGGGCGGGGTCGGACGCGGGCGGGGCGGGGCGGGGCGGGGGTGCGTCGCGGGCGCGCTGCGGGTCCTGCGCGCACCGTGAGGGACTGTTCGTCGTCGAGCTCCTGCCTGATGCTCTTCAGGCTGGGGATCACCGCGAGGCACGGGCCGGCCCACTCGGAGTACACCTCGATCACTGCGCGGGGCGGGGGCGGCGCGCGGGGGGGTTCGCGGCGCGCTGAGCGGGTGGCGGGAGCGCGGCGCGGTGGGCTCCGTGGTGCCGACGCGCGCGAGGCACGCGGGGCGGCGACGTCGCGCCCTGCTGTGCGGGCACGACGGGATGTCGCTCCCACCGCAGCGTCCCCGGCCGCGGCCTCGTCGCGGCTGCCACGGCCAGCGCAGTGCGGGCGTGGACCGTCGCGCGGACGGGGCCCCGCGTGACCGGGAGGGGGGGGGAGCGGTCGCTGAACACGTGATACATCGATGATGGGGCAGGAATCTCTCCAGGACGCCGCTGCAGGGGCGCCCAGCGCGGCGAGGCGCCTCCCTCGAGCGTGGCATGCCCGGCAAAGACGGCACCGCTGGGCGACGCCCGCGACGCCCCCAGGCCGCTCGGACACCCGCGCTGCACCCCACGAGCGTGTTCCAGGTGCCGCAATGCGTGGGCGGGGTCCTGAGCGCGGGGCGCGTTCCCGGGCGCGACGTGCAGGTGGGCGCCATGTTGCGGGGGGGCGTGCTCTCGGGTCCGGGCCCACGCAGGGCCCGCGGGCGGCCGGCGCGGGAGAACGGGTCACTCGGAGTCCCGGGGGCGCACCCTTCAGCCCCGTCTGCGCGAGGAGGCTCTCCAGTTCCTGCCCCCCTTCAATCTCAGTCTGCACCAGCTTCACCACCATCCTGCCGGCGCTCGAAGTTCAGTCTGACAGGCCCGCGTTGCTCCTAACGCCGTGCTCCGGCTCGCGAACGTGCCCCGCGCCCGTGCGCGGCGCAGTCCAAGTGCCCCGGCCCACCCGAGGTGTGGGACCTGTTGCGCGGGGCCTGAACGGCCTCTGCCGGGCGCCCTGGGGGACAAGGCCGGCGCAGACGGCGCGAGCGGCGGCACTGTCACGCAGGGGTCTCGTTGATCGACGCAATCCCCGGAAATAACGTTTGTGGTGGGGGCGCTGCTGCTCCGTGTCCTTCCGCACAGCGCACGGTGCCGGTCGGTGGCTCTGGAGCGACAGTAGCGCCCAGCCTGTGGGCCGGCAGGCGTCGTCGGGCACCATGAGCCTTCTGGGGTCGGGCAGCATACACATGTCCGCGCGGAACCGGGTGCGTGGCGCGCGCCCACCCGCCCCGCTCTTTCACCGCAGCGCCTGCCCGCGACAGCCGCGGACAAGCGAACGCGTCTCGTGCCACGTGTTCCTTGCTGGGTCAACGAAGGCCGCGCGCCGTCATCGCGCCTGTTCGTTGCCGGGGAGCCGGCGCCGCAGCCGTCTCGTGTGTGGCGAGACGCACTCCGCCTCCGGCGCGCGGGCGCGCCCGGGGAGGCGCGTCCGGCCTCGAGCTGCTCGCCGAGGGCAGCACAATGGTCAGCCTGGGAGGTCACGCACGCACGCCGCGGCGGGAGCGGGTGCGGGCCGCGACCTCTCAGGCACACCATTGTGCTGCCCTCGGCGAGCAGCTCGAGGCCGGACGCGCGCAATGCTATGCTGCTCTCGCACGGCGACGGCGTCGGTCCGGCGGCTGCTGCACCGCGCTGCGGGCGACCGGTGGATCTCCGACCGTGCCGCGCGGACGGACACGCGTGCGCCGCAGCCTCCGCGGCGCTGTGGCGTGGCCGAGCTCACGCGGTCCGTTTCCGCGCGTGTCTGCAGGTCCCTGGAGGGGGCCGCGGGCGGGACAAGGAGCGCGGTCCGCCGAAGTGTCAGAAGTGTTTGCAGGAGGGCCACTGGACGTACGAGTGCAAGAACGAGCGCGCCTACATCCCGCGGCCGACGCGGACGCAGCAGCTGAAGAACCCCAAGAAGCGCACCTTCCTCGACCCCTCCGAGGTCCCCGAGGAGTTCAAGTGCGCGCCCCGCACGTGCACGTCCCGCGCGACGCGATGCGCAGCTCTCGCCGAGCCCCGGAACGCGCGCCGCACGTGCGACGAGGATGCACCGCCAGTGTCCGAGCCCCCCTGCCCCCGCGCGGCGCTGTCGACGCAGGTCCAAGAAGGCGCGGCAGGCGGCCGCAGACGCGCGCGACGGGGACCGCGGCCGGTCCCGGTCCAGGTCCCCGCGCTCGTCGTCGAGCAGCTCGAGCGGGTCCAGCACGAGCCGCAGCACGAGTCGCAGCACGAGCCGCAGCACGAGTCGCAGCACTGGCTCCAGCCGGAGCACGAGCAGCAGCCGCAGCACGAGCAGCAGCCGCAGCACGAGCAGCAGTCGGAGCACCGGGAGCAGCCGGAGCACAGGGAGCAGCGACAGTTCGGGGTCCAGCGGGAGTCGCGGTCGGAGTCGCAGTCGGAGTCGCAGCAGGGGCCGCGGGAGGGCGAGGGCGGGCACGAGGAGCAGGAGCAGGAGCCGCGGGAGCAGGAGCCGCTCGCGCTCGGCCGACTCCAGGTGCGGTGACCGCGCGAACGCTGGGGCCAGGAGCGCAGCTGCAGCGCTGGTTGTGGTTGGTTGCCTCCGCTTGCTGGCCGGGTGCCCTGTGGCGGGACGCGACCGCCCCGCGTCCCACCGATCGGTGCGCAGGTCGCCATCGAGGTCGCGATCCCGGGGCCGCCGGCGCAGTCCTTCTCCGCGCCGCACGCCCCCGCGCTCGCCACGAGCCCCCCGCGAGCGCGTCGACGACGACCGCCGCGCGGCGCGGCGACGGTCGCCGGAGCCGCGGGCGCCGCGCGGGGACGCCCGCGACGAGCCGGCGGGGCCCAGCAAGCTGGACGAGCTGCGGGAGCGCGCGCGGGAGGCGGCGCGGCCGAAGAAGCCAGCGGGGCGCGCGCGGGTCAGGTCGGTGGTGGTCGCGCCCCCGCGGCGGACGTCCGCGTCCCCCGACCGGGGCCGCTAGCCGCGCCGACGCCGCGGCCGTCACGGGCGGGCTCTGCGCGGACGCCGACGCGGCGGGCGACGGCGCTGGGAGTGCGCGGCAGCCCCCCGTGTGGCGGGGGCGGGCCGTCGGGCGCGGCGCCACGTACGCGCGCGCGGCGCTCGTGTCGGGGCGGGGTCGCCCCGCGGAGGTGCCTGGCAGGGCCGACGGAGTACCGCGTGGGCGACTTCGCGCGGAGTGGGGTGCAGCGCGGCTAGAGGGGCAATTTTGTCGTGCAGCGCATGTGAAACTACAAGTTCTGTCCCGGGTGGCATCGAAATTCTCCTTAACGATGCTGCTAAAGTGCCCAGGAGGCCCGGGTTCAATTCCCGGTGGGGGAAATCGCGTCGACAGTCGAGATTTCTCGACTCGCGGCGCCGCGCAAGTGCGATATCTGCGAGGAAGTGGCACCACATGCGTGGTGCCGCCCCGCTCCCCTATAGTCTAGAGGTTAGGATACCTGGCTTTCAAGGTACCCTTATTGCTGCGCTACACCCTTATGCGCGCCACCGGGCGCCCCCACGCCGGCGGCAGCAGCGCCGCACCCGACAACAGACGGCGCGCACGCGTGGTGCCGCACCCGCTGCCTCGCCAAGCGCGACCGCAGGCTGGCCCCGCCGCCGCTGCGGGACGCCACAGCGCCGCGTGCACCGCCGGGCTGCTCGGCCCCGGCACCACGGCGTGGCGGGCCACCAGACACACAGCCTCGCGACGTGCAGTGTCCACTTTCGCGTGTCACGTGGCCCAGTGGCGGTGCTGAGGCGCTTTCCGCGCGCGGGAGCTCGGGCCCTCGCTGCTGCTGGCGGGGGCCACGCGCGTGGCGCCGGCCGCAGCGGCGGAACCGCGCCCGACCGGAGCCAGCTCAGGCAAGTACGGCTCGCGCTGGAGGTCCGCCGTGCGTCGAGGGGGCGGCGGGACGGCCGGCTCCGGCACACCCACGCGTTACGTGCACGCGAATCGTGCGCGGCATTCCCGAATAGTCGCAGAGGCGACCGAACAGGCCGAGGCCGAAGCTCGAGGTGCGTCCAGGCGCCGGCCGTGGGGCCCGTCCCGCGCCTCGCCGTCCGCGAGGGGCTTCGTCGTTCCGAATTCATCGCGTTCCGTCGGCCCGACAGGCACGCTGCGCGGCTGACGTCGACGTTCCCGGCGAGCGTGCTGCCTGCAGGTCTCTCTGCGTCATGGCTGGGCGGGGCCTGCTCGTGCAGGACCGCGGAGGTCTGTTGGCGAACCAGATTGCCGGCTTCGTCGCGGGCTTCGTCGTCTGGTTCTTCTTCTTCGCCATGCACGTCGTGTACAGCTTCAAGCTCACCGGCGACGTGAACAGGCTCACCGAGAGGGTCGACTTCCTGGAGCACGAGTACGAGAAGGAGAAGGCCGCGCGGGACAAGGCGGCCCTCTGAGCCGGCGGGCCAGGAACGCGCGCGTCAGGGCCGCACCCCGGCACTCCGTGGCGAGGCGTGCGGTCCCCCGGGCCTCCAGGCGCCGCCCGGACGACGCGCCCCGCTTCACCGCATGCAGAAGCGGTTCTGCGCCACGCCGCCCCGCGCGACGCGGCCGCAGGGCGCCAGCAGGTGGGCGCGGTGCGGGGCACCTCGCGGCTGTGGCAGCCGAGTGCGCCCACGCGCCCTGTGAGGACGTACTGTACAGGTCGCCAAGGTGCCGCCGACGTCGACGCAACGACCGTCCCGCTGTGCGCCTCCCTGTCCCCGCCCGCGGCCCCCCCAGCGCGCGCGGCGTGGGCCCCCAGCACGTCCCTCGCTGATGCTCGCCCAGCAGCCCGCGCCGCGCGCCGCAACCCACGTCGCCGCCGACGTGCGCGCTGGGCCGGCGGCGAGTGCCGCTGCGGCCTCCACTCGGGCTGCGACGTGCTCCTGCATCCTCGCTGCGGTGTCACTGTGTGTGTGTGTCTGTGTGCCCGGCCCGCACACTTGTGGGCAAGCTGGGCGAGCCACTCGCTTGCCACGCCCGCGTCGACCTCCGGAGACATGCGTGAGTCCCTCTCTGCAGAGGAACTCCCACGCGCGGCGCTCCTCCTCTTGTCATGCAACACAACACATGATGTTGCGTGGTGCCATGCCGTCTCACCGGGATGGACGCTCGCGGGGCGCGCCGCGTCGCACAGCTCAGGCGGCGCCGACGCCGGGCCCCCGTCGCCGCGGGCGTCGTCGCCACGTCGCGAGGGGGGGTCCCACGTCGTCCCGCGCGCGGGAGGGGGAGCGGCGCGCCAGCAGAGCGCCCGGCGCTGTGGCCGCGCGGCGCCGCCCCCGGACGCATTCATCCGAAGCAGCGGGCGCGTGGGCGGATGCCGTGGGGCGTTCGCGGGCGGCACCGGGCGACCACGACGGTTGCAGCGAGGCGCACAGGAGGAGGCGGGCGCGCGCCCCGGCAGGTCGCGTGGAGCTGACGCGGACCCATGGACGGGCCCCACACGTACCGTACCGCTTAGGTTCCTCGAGCAACGCGGGCTGGCGCCCCCCCCGGGCTGCGTGGGCGGGGGGTGGAGCTCCCAGGTGCCACGATGGACCGCACCGTGGACGTGGTAGAGCACGTCGAGCAGTTCTATGGGGAGGCCATTCAGTCGAGAAACAAGTCCATCGCAAGGTGCGCGCGTCGGCGGCCTGACCACGGCGCGCGCGGCGCTCGTGGCCTGAACGCATGCTGTTGCGCGGCCACGCGGCGCGCTGGACGCGAAGCATCTCCGCTCGCTCGCCGCTGACGCGTGCACCAGCGCTGTACGTTGCGTTCCGGGAAGAGCGGAGCGCGGAGGGCGCCGCCCTGCTCGGCGCGCGACGTCTGGCGCCCTTCTCAGCACGCTTCCGCGCCTGGCTGCCCGCCACGCGCCCTCCATTCCCGCTCGCGGGGCTGCGTCGGGATCCGCGATGCGACAGCCGCGACCGTCCGTCCCGCGAACGGCATCGTCGACGTGCAGGCTCGGCGAGAGGCGCGGCATAGGTCCCCCGGACCTGGTGTGGCTCACCAAGGTGCAGTACGGGCCCAAGGGGCAGCCGCAGACGGACCCGACGGGGTACTACCACTGGGTCCTCGGCCGGCTGGTCGGCGGCGAGGCGGAGGCGGCCGCGTACTTCATGGACGTCCTCCACGCGCAGGTCCGCGTGGCCCCCGCCCGCGAACGCCGGCGCGGGCATGCGAGCCGCGCGCCGCTGCAGGTGCCCGGCGGGACGGGCTGCGCGCTGCCCGGACCGCTGGGGAAGGACGTGCGCGCGACGACGACGCTGCTGCAAGGATCGTACGTGCGTGCGTCGCGCTGCTCCACGCATGGACCGACGGCGTTCCCACCGCTGCCCCCGCCCTGGAACGCACCGTCCGCAGGAGAAGCCCGGCGCCACGATATCGGGCCTGGTCAGCCTGACGGGCATCGCCACGGCTCTCGGCCAGACGCAGTGGCGCATCACGCAGGGCGTGTACTGCCTGTACGACGCGCTGCACCGCATCGACATCCGCGTGCGCATGGCCATCCCCGGCGGCGTGACCGTGGAGGTGAGCGCCACCCCCGCGCCCCGCGCACGCGACCAGCGCCCGCGCCCGCGCCCGTGGCCCTGCGCTGCGAGCATCGCCCAACGCCGACGCTCGCGCGACGAGTGAACCCCCCTCGCAGGCGGTCGGTCCGGACCTGTCCCCGGTGGCGGTGACGGAGGAGCTGTGGCAGGGCGCCCTGGTGTGCGGCATGGTGCGCGCCACGCTGATGGACCCCGCGATCGTCGCCCTGCCCGAGAGCGCCGGCCAGGACCGGTCGTGGCTGCTCAACGCGCTGCGGATCGTGGACTTCGTTCGCTCCCCGACGGACGAGCGGCGCGTCGAGGTGCGCATCCTCCCCGCTTCCGTCGCGCAGCCGCGGTCCCCCGCGCCCGCGCGCGACCCGACGTCGCATGCGCCCCGGCCGGTGCTCCGCAGGCGGCGCTGAAGGAGCTCGCCGCGGCGGGCCACCTGTCGGCGCTGGCGTCGTGGGTGCAGGTCCCCTGGGACCGCGGGGGCGGGACGACCGCCGAGGACCTCAACCCCCTGGGCTGCGCCCTCAACTTCAGCCTCCACCGCATGCAGCGCGCGCAGAGGGCCGCGCAGCTGTTCGAGAGCCTCACGTACGACTGGCCCGTCGCCGCCACGTACGCCTCCTTCGCGCTGCGCGTGCTCGGCGAGCACACCAAGGCCGCCGGCGTCCTGCGCGCCGCCCTAGCACGCATCGAGGTACGCGCCACGAAGCCGTTCCCCGGGCCGTTGCACCCGCGCCCCGCACTGCGACGCGCCCCCGCGCGTGCCTGCTCTGCTCCGCACGCGGCGCTGCGAGCGATCCCCGCCCGCTCCGACGGCGCCCGCGTTCCATCGGTCGCGCAGAAGCTGCTCGGCGGCGAGGAGCCCCCCGAGGGCGTCCTGCGGCCCGCGGCGCAGCAGCTGGTGGAGATGCGGCAGCAGCTGCACGTGGCGCTGGGGTGGAGCATGCTCGAGTGCCAGGAGCCCAAACAGGCCCTCGCGTACGCCGAGGACGCCCTGGAGGACGCGGAGTTCCTCGGCAACCCGTGCCGGCCCGCGTGGGTGCTGGCGGCGCGCGCCAACGTCGCCCTCGGCATGCCCGCCGCCGCGCTGCTGTGCCTGAACGCCGCGCCCGGCACGTGGAAGGCCCCGGCATCCGTGCTCTCCGTGCTCGTCGTGGAGCCCCCGGAGCCGTTCGACACGACCAGGTGCGCGCCGCGCACGAACGGCACGGCACGGCTCACGGCGGCGTGGCTGGAGCGCCGCCGGCAGGCGCGCTCACGGACCGCCCCTCACGCACGTCCCCCTGGTGCTGCAGTCCTCGCGTGGACGCGGCGTCCCCCGAGAAGGTGCTGGCGGAGCGCATCGACCGCGAGATGGAGTGGGCAGGCGACGACGAGCTCGCCACGCTGCCCGCGCTGGGGTACCTGTCGCCCCGTGCCCTGTCGCTCAAAGCTGGCCCCGGGATCTGCCTCTCGAACTCACAGGTACGGCGGCTCCTGGCGGCGCACCCCCACCCCCACTGGAGCAGCTCCGCCGTTCTGCAGAGCCCGGGGTCGACCTGCAGATCACTGCGCACACAACACACGACCTCGCTGCGAGCGACGGCGCTCCGACGGCGCGCCGCCCGCCCGCCCCTCTCCCCTGGCTGCAGGCGTCCGTGTACGCGGCGCTGTACGAGATCCTCGTGGCGCTGGTGCAGGACCTCGGGTGGGACCAGACGCTGGAGTGGCGGTCCAAGGTGTTTTTGATGGAGTCGCAGCGGGCGGCGCACGACGCGGAGGAGGAGGTGCGCGCGGACGTGCGGACGTCCGCGGAGACCTCCCCGGACGAGGAGGAGGCGTCGCTCGAGGAGGACGCGGGCGGCGGCGACGCAGCGCTTGCGCGTGCACGTGGTGCGGGGGTCGGGGGGGCGGCGGGTCCCGGGCAGGGCGGTGCGGACGGCGACGATGCGGCGGACGACGAGGACGACGGCGTGGTGGTGCAGCATCGACACGAGGCGCTCGCGGCGAACGAGAGGTTCTCGCCCAGCGCTGCGGAGCGGGCGGGGCGCGGGGGGGCGAGTGGGGTGCAGGCGACCGGAGGAGCGCCCTGGCGGGATCAGGGCGGGCACGCGACGAGCGGCGAGGGAGTCGGCGGGGCGGTGCAGCGGCCGCGACGGCCGGGAGCGCGGCAGGCGGGCGACGGCGACGCAGGCGGCGCTGGGGGCGCGGTTGGCGACGGGGACGGTGCGGCGAGAGTCGGTTCGGGAGATCGCGGGTCTCGAGACCACGCCTTCGTCGAGGCGGAGGACGTCGAGTCGCCAGGGCGCGCGGACGCCCGCATCGCGGACGCCGCGGAGCAGCACGACGACGGGGGCGAGCACGACTACGGTTCGCGCGAGGACGAGGACGTCGAGGCCGCCGATGATGTCGCCGGCGGCGGAGGGGCGGGTCCGAAGCGAGCGTGGGGCGAGGGCGAGGAGGAGGGCGAGGAGGGTGCCGGGCGCGCGGAGGACAGTGCGGGGCCCGGGGGCGACCTGCAGGCGCGTGCGGCCGAGGCGACTGCGGACGTCGACGGTGGCGAGGGCGGCGCCGGGTCGGACGCCGAGCGCGAGGCGGCGGGGGCCGACTCTGCGGAGGAGGAGGCGGTCAGCGACGGGGAGGACGAGTCGGTGGGCCGCGAGGGCTCCGTGGGGTCGCAGTACGACGCGGACTACAGCAGCAGCGAGGGCAGCGTACGCGGGGGGCAGACCGTCCTCGACCCCCGCCTGCCGGCCGCGGGCAGCGGCGCCGCGGCCGTGGCGTACGTCGGGAGCCGCCCGATCGACAGCGACGCGCCGCTGCGGCCCATGACGACGTCCGCGGCGGACGGAGACGGGCGCGGCGGCCACCGCTCGCACGGATCCAGCAAGACGCCGGCGGCGCTGCGGCAGGGCGCGTGGAAGGGGGCGCCCGTGAACCGCGGGGTCACGGACGCCGCCGGGCCGTCCGCGGGGCCGCGGCAGCGGCGGGTCCGGGGGAAGCTGTCCTGGCGCGAGACGCTGTACGGCGAGAACACGCGGGAGGTGGAGGGCGAGGACGGCGGGGCGGAGGTGGTGATCACGCAGGTGGAGTGCCAGCTGTGGCTGGACGACCTGATCCTGGCGCTGTACCACGACATCGACGCGCTGACGTCGTGGCTGAACGCCGAGGCCAAGCTGCGGTCGTGGTGGGAGCGCGAGCGCGTCATGGCCGCGGGGGCCTCGGACTCGGACGACGAGAACATGGTCCCGGGGGCGGGCGGACCCGCCGTGCCGACCTTCTCGCAGGTGCGCGGGGGGCGGCGCTCGAAGCAGCAGCACGCGGTGACGTCGCGCGGGGGGGCGCGTGCGACCTCGCGCGGCCGCGCACCGGCGCTGACTCGCGACGCAGATCGGGTGGCGCGCTGACGGACCGCGCTCCCTCCTCGCGACGCAGATCGGGTGGCTGAGCCTCGGGCTCCTGAGCGAGCGGCTGAAGCGGGTGCCCGACGCAGAGAGGGCGCTGCGGACGGCCACGCACCCGAGCATGTTCTCCAGGTCCGAGCGACGCTGCGGGGCCGGCGACGACCTCGTTGCCTCGGCCCGCCGCGCCCCCGGCCTCGCACACGCCGCCGGGCCGCGCGCGCTGGAGACCAATGCGTGTCCGCGACCGCCTCCACGTCCGCAGGTTCTCGATCGTCGGCGTGCTGGGCCTCCTGCGGCTGTACGCGCGGCTGGGCTGGGCGCGGGAGACGGCCGACTGCCTCGTCGAGGCCCTCAAGCGCGTGCACGAGCTCGCGGGCGCCAGCGTGCTCGCGCGGCCGCCGATGGCGGTCACGCAGGCGTTCTGCGAGATCGTGGTGCAGGTCCGCGACTCGCACGCACTCGTTGCCTCGTCGTTCCCCTGCCTCCGCGATGCCTGCTGCCCGTGCCTGACGAGCAGCGCCGGCCGCTCTGCGCTGCAGTGCGGGCTCGAGGACGTGGAGACGTTCATCGCGCAGCACCTCGCCACCTCGAGCGGCTCCAGGAGCTCGCGCGCGCTGACGAGCCTGTGGAGCCTCGTGGGCAAGCCGGTCGCGACCGGGCAGACGCCGTCCTGGAAGATCGACGTCGACACGCTGATGCGCGAGGCCGTGCGGTGGCACGTCGACGGCTACGACGGGTGACGCAGCGAGTGATTCCTTTGCATGCGCATGTCGTCATGGGGGTGTTCGTGGGGGTGTGCGTGGCAGCCGCGCCGAATCGTGGCACGGCCGTCCGCGGACCACGCGTCTGTGAGCCGCCTTTGCGTCGTTGCGACGCGGCGCGAGCCTGAGCGGCGGAGGAATGTGTGCATTCCGTGGTGTTCCCGCGCCCGCAGATGGCGTCGACGAAGGAGACGGCGCCCGGCTGGCGGATGGGGAGCGCGGACCGCTTCCGGTACGACCACGTGCGCGTCGCCGCGGAGGTCCCCGGCGCGGGCCAGTACCGGAATGCCTCGGCTGTCGGGCGGCAGGCTCTGTCCACGAAGAAGACGCTCCCGACGTGCCGCTTCGGCACCTCGACGCGCGACAAGGCGAACAAGATCTTCATCAGTGCAGAGCACGAGAAGGACTCGTTCGGCGAGCTCTCCCCGGGCCCCACCACCGCCATGGGCCACCCCGCGATCGGCAAGCAGACCGTGTCGCGAAAGAAGTCCAACCCGAGCTGGGGCTTCGGGACCGCGCGGCGGCAAACCGTGCAGGTCACCGACACCCCCGGCCCAGGCACGTACTGGGCGTGACGCGCGGTGCGGGCCGCCACGCACCACAGGCAGACACCTCGCGGCCCGGGCCGGCGCAGCGCGCGGGGGAGGCGCTTGCGCGGCGCCGCGGCGCGCGGCGCGTGTCTGCGCCGGCTGACGGCCGCCTAGGAGCCGCTAGAACCACGTTTGGCAGTTGTGACAGCACTGGACGGCACTGACCGCGTGCGTCACGAGCCGCGGCGCGAGCGGGCCGCTCGATCCTCGGCGGACAGCGCGCAGAGGCGCGCCGGGACGCGAGCTCCGTCCCGGTAGGTCAGCAAAGTACTGTCCCAGCGGCGCCCGCGTGGGCCGCCAGCGCCGCCTGGGCGCGTGACGGGCACCGCCGCCGGGGCCGCCGCTCCGCACGAGCGTCTCATGCACGGGCGTCACACGCGGTGTCGTTTCTGCAGCCCGAGCGAGTTCATCGCCTGCGGGAGAATGTCCTCCTTCTTCCGGATGAGGAACTTGAAGATGCGCATGGCGACAGTCCGACCAGCGCCGCCGACTCCCCCCCCCGCGGCGCCGCCCGTGTACGCGAGCCCCGCGCCGCCCGGCTCCCCCTTGCTCCCGGCCGGCGGCACGTACGGCGACGCCCCCCCTGCGCAGCAGGAGCAACACCGCGGCGAGTGCGAAACACGGTTGGCGCGCGGCGGGCGCGTGCGAGGGCGCGCGGCGCTCTGGAGGCGGCCCGCTGACCTGGCAGGAAGCTCTCGTTCGAAGATATCGAGAGGAAGAAGGCGAACGGAATCAACCACACCATCACCGCGTTGAAGCAGACCAGGAATTCCAGACTGTAGCCCTTCCCTGCAGCTCGCCGGCGCGCACGGCCTCGGCGGTGAGTCAGCGAGCGTGCGGGGCAGGCGTCGTCCGTGCGCCCGGGCGCGGGCCGCTCGCCTGCGAAGTGCTTGTACCAGAGTAGCTGGTCGACGACGACGAGGCCGGCGGCGCCCGCGAAGTCCGGGGAGCTGAGCTCGATGAAGGGGAACTTTTTGAGGTTCCGGTGGAAGAGCGCCTGCGGGCGTGCGGGGGTCCGGGGCGTTGCGCCCGCACAAGACAGGCAGGGCGTCCACAGGGCCGCTGTCCGCGCACCATCGCGCTTCCCCGCGAGTTCCGGCAACGAGGCGTTGCTCAGTTCCGCAGCGGTCCAGCGCGCGGAGCGCGACGGCATCTACTGCCCGGATCAGAGCATGGCGGGCGAACAAAGCGGGCGCGCTCTGCTTCTAGGGCGCGGGCTTTCCGGCGCGTGTGCGCGCGGCAGGGACCTCCGGAACCGCTTGCAGCGCGAATTCGTACCGCCGTCGGTCCGCTCGGCGCGCACCTGGCAGCCCAGGCCGACGGCGATGGGCAGGAACGGCAATCTGTCCCAGACCCAGCACAGGACGTGCATCACTGCCACGGCCTGGATGGCGTGCGTGATGACGCGTTTCGTCAGACGCGTGTACTCCTCGATCAGCTCGGCGATGTAGTACAGGCCCGTCGCGAGGCTGACCGCCGTGAGCAGCAACAACAAGTACAGGCCTGCGTAGACAACGAGCGTCTGAAAGAAATGCGACGCCATCGCTGGCTCCGGGCCCGCCACGGCGCGGCGACGATCTAGGACTATGGGGCTAGAGGGGGCCTGGCCTCTGTGAGCGCAGGGGCCGGAGCGGAGGCCGCAGGACACGGGGAGGTATGGAACAAATAGGCAGTGTTGAGTGAAAACCCCTCGTTGGGTTGGTGTGGCATGCCAAGTGCGACGGGCTGCGTGCTGAGCGGTTCTGCGCGACGGCGGGTGCGTGCCGGCCCGTCGCCCGCGGCACGGCGGCCCGCAAGTGTCGGACACTCCCCCCGCGCGACGAGTCATGAGCAAGTTGTTGTTTTACTGAAAGGGGAGCCGCCGGGCCGCTGGAGGCGTGGAGTGCCGCTGCTTGCGCCGCGGTTGGGCACTCAGACGTCGTGACAGGGCCTGGCGGCTGTGGCGGCGACCAGGGGCCGTTGTTCGGCGGCGGACCGGGGCCGTTTGGTCATTAGCCAGTGCATACAGCCCCCGCCCGGGCTACGGGGCGGATGCGACGGTAGGGACTGTGCGCGGCGGGATGCGGTAGTCACGCAGCAAGGCGGTGCCGGGCGTGTTTGCGAGAAATGTCGGGCTACAGGCCGACGGTGGCCTTCACGGGCACAATGCCGGTGCCGTTCGTGGAGACGCGTCGCGCGCCGGGCAACGACGGGAGCGACGACGATGGTGATGACCCAGACGCGTCGCTCCGTGTGGACCAGAACATCGTCTCGACGGCCAACCGCGCACAAAAGAAGATGGCTGATACTGGGAGGTACGTCCACCTGCGAGGCTCTCCGCGGCCGCTGCGATCGCCAACGCAGGAGCAAAACAGGCCGAATCGATACTCCGTGGTATTTCGTCACGTTTCAGCGATAGAAAGTTGCGATCATATTTGTCTGCGCGCCTGGAGAGGAGCCCAAGGGTGGGAGCTCCTCTCACGGCTGCGCACCAGCACGGGGGTGATTCGCAGGAAGCCGGCGACGAAGTGGAAGCCCGACTTCGAGCGCCTCAGATGGTACATCAAGGAGGCCATTCGGCGCAAGGACTGGTCGGGGGCGGAGTCGTTTTGCTCAACGGCGCTGGCGCACGACCGGTCCAACCCAATATGGCTTTGTCTCCGCGGTGCGACCCACCTCACATCGCTACCTGTGCACTCGTGATCCTATCCCTGCCTGACCATCGCCGGAAATCCATCAGCTGCCTCGCGGCCCTACAGGCGCTCACGCTGCGCCTTGGCCGGCCGTCCCCGCAGCGCGCGTCCGGAACATGCAGGGGAAGTACGGCGCGGCGCTGAGGGACGCGGAGGCGTGCTTGTTCACGCACCCGTCGTACGCCACGGCCCACTACAGGAAGGCCCAGGCCTACCTCCTGATGGGTGACGCGCAGGGCGCGATGGGCGCCCTCGGCGAGGCCCTGTCGCTGCACACGCTCGGCCGCCTCGTCGGCCCTCTCCCGGGCGACAGCACCATGGAAGAGTCCGTCGAGAGGCTCAGGTGCACCCCCGCGCGCACCCCCTGCGCCGACCGCACACGTCCCTGCAGCCAGCGCCGCGGCCGCACCTGCACACCGGACGCGGAGGTCCAGCGGAGCCGCGCTCGTCCTGCACAGCGCGGGCGCGACCACGGCACCCGCGCGCGTGTGTGCTCGACGCAACAGCGGCATGAACGATCAGGCGCCGCCCCGCCGCCCCGCAGGTCGATGCTGGAGCGCTGCCAGGACGAGGCCAGTGTCGCTGCGCTCGCGCCTCCGGGGGAGTCCCGCAAGGTCTTTTCGGACCAGGACGGCAACTCCCAATTGATGTGTTTGGTGCCAGAGATTCACTGGGCCGGGGTAGACCCCGAGGAGCTCGTTTCCGAGTACACGCGCGGCGTGGCGGGCACGAACGCGCTCTCGAAGGCCTCGCACGCGCGCGCGGCGATGCAGGCCGCGGAGGACGCCCGCCTGGGGTGCCCCAAGTGCGCGGCGCGCATCACGCAGGCGGCGGAGAGCGCGTACGCGGGCCCGCCCCCGACGGCGCGCGACGACCGGCTGCGCGCGGCGATCGACCGCGCGGACGTGGACACCGCGCTCGCGCTCCTGCACGACCCGAGGCTTGACCCGCTGGCGGTGAACCTGGACGGGCTGACGCCGCTGCACGCGGCCGCGAACGGCGTCGCGATGGACGCCGCGATGATGGAGGAGGCGAGGCTCGTCGCGACGGGCAAGGTGCGCGCCACGGCCGGACGCGGAGGTGCCCGCTCTGGGGGTGTTTCTCGCAGCACTCCCCCCCGTCGCAGTACGTCGCGCTGTCCGTCCCTCTGCGTCGCCGAGCGGCGAACGTGCCCGCCGTGCTGCGCAGGCGAGCCCGAGGGACTCGGAGGCGTCGGCGCATGCTGAGTCAGTCACACTGGCCATCCTCGAGTCCCTCCTCGGGCTCGGTGTTCCCGTGGACCTGCGCGCGCCCCTGGGGGGCACCGCGGGCGTGACTCCGCTGCAGACCGCCATGGTCGCGCTGCACCCGTCCGTCGTCCACAGGCTGCTCGAGCACGGTGCCGACCCTGCGTTGGTGCAACCGCACGCCCGACGCCCCGCGCAGGCGCTGCGGGCCCAGCACGCGCGCGAGCTGCGCGGCGACGACTACTCCGCGATCGACAAGGCGCTCCTGCGGTCGCGCATCGCCCGCGGACAGGCCTGCGAGTCGGTGTATCTGAAAGCACTCGCGGACGCAGAGGCGGCCCCGCGCGAGGCCAGCCCGCACCGGCGCCGGCGGCAAGAGCTCGGCGTGAACCGGCCGACGTCGTTGTCGCGGCGGCGGCTGCTGGAAGCGCAGGCGCAGGCGCAGCGGGCCGCGGAAAAGGCGGCGACGCCCAAGTGGAAACCGTGTTCGATTGGGCACTTGTCGGGGTACGGACGGAGAGCATCGTCTGCGGGGACGTTCGGGCAAGCAAGGGGCGGGGCGTCGCGGCCGCAGACGGCGCCGTCGCAGCGGAAGCGGGGGGTTCCGGGGGGGGGCGTTGCGTCGGGGGACAAGGGGGCGCTCCGGGCGCCGACGGAGGTGACGAGCAGGTCGATGTCGATCTTCGCGCGGGACTCGTTCGTGAGCGAGGCGGAGGGCGCGCAGACGACGGCGTTCGGGCGGTTCGCGCTGGACGGCCTGCTCGTGTCGCATGTCGAGGAGGTGGCCCCGGAGCGGCCCGCAACGGCGATGCTGACGACGGCGGAGCGCGCGGACCTCGAGAAGATGATGCGGGAGATGCAGCACCGCGGAGGGGTGGCGAGCTGGCGGGAAATCAGCCACGAGCGTCTCGGGGCAGACGCGCACAGCAACACGGCAGCCGGTGTGGGGGCCGCGGGGGCGCAGGACGGCAAGTCCGGGACGTCTGCGGCGGTCGACTCGGTTCTGAACGGCATCGTGGACGCCGCTGCGGGCGGGCCGGGGCCCGAGGGGAAGCGGGCCGTCGCCAACGCGCTTGCGCTGTCGATGATGTCGCTGCCAGCGGGGCCGCGGGAATCGGTCAGGGAGGAGAGCGGGCACGGACAGGCCGAGCATATGCGGTCGAAGCGCGTGAGCATCGCGCTGTCCTGCGCCACGGAGGCCCACATGGAGCGAGGATACGTGACCAACGCGGTGACCGACTCGGTGGCTCCGGAGCAGCTCGGGGTCCGCCAGGACTACCAAGACCGCGTGGCAAGGTCGCTGAACATCTTCAAGGGTGTGCCGGGCATGCTCGGCGGCGTCGCGAGCCTCCCGCGCTGCCTGCGTGCCGTGATGGCGGCCGCGCAACAGGGGCGGTACCCGTACTCCGCAACCACGCCGTCGTGCGCGTGCTGCGGGCGGGAGTGGGGCCGGAACGATCACGAGCGCAAGGCGGCGGGCGGGGCGCGGCGGCCGGATTCGGCGTGGGTCCGGTGCTCGGCGTGCCGGCTGGCGTGCTACTGCTGCGAGCGGCACCGCGTGGAGGACTGGCCGCGGCACGAGGACCGGTGCCGGCTCATCAAGGCGCAGCAGGTGGCGCTGGACACGATCGCGCGGCCCAACGCCACCGTCGAGGAGCTCAGTCGGGCCAAGATCGCACTTCTGTCCGACTCCTACGTCGCGGTGTGCATCGGGACGGTGGAGACGTGCGTGCAGGCGATCGACGCGCTCGCGACGGTAAGACCGGCCCCCGCGCCGCGCCCTCGACGCGCCCTCTCGGTCAATACCTGTCCTTGATCGCACTTCTGCGCCGTATCTGATCGCACTTCCGTGCCGTATCTGATCGCCTCCGTCTGCCCCTCCTCCCCCCCAACTCGATGCAGGACCACACGGTGCTCAAGGCGGACCTGCGGGAGTTCGACCTCGAGGCGAAGCGCCGCCAGGAGGCCGAAAGGCAGCGCCGCCGCTCCAGCTACGGCGGGCTCATCGGCGCGCAGTACGGTTTCAAGACAGCCTTTTTCCGCGGCGAGCTCGGGCTGGACGAGAACGAGGTCGCGCGCCAGCAAGCCATCGAGGTGCACCGCTCGTCGCTTAAATCTCGCATGTTCCACATCCTCGACCTTCTGTCGTCGCTGATGCGTCCGCCGGCGGGGTTCCGGTCCGCGGAGCCCGAGGCCGAGGACGATGACCCCGGCCACGAGGCCGACGTCGCGTCGATGCTCCGCGACTCGAGCGGAGGCTACGCCGCGGGCGGGCGCGCTGTGCGGCGCGTGTCGATCCCCGCCGCGATGGAGCCCCGGCGCTGCCCGCTGCTCTGGGAGCCCCGGCACGCGCTCGCGGACGCGCAGACCGCGACGCCCGGCGCCGTCGCGGGACAAGCCTCCGTCCGCTTCTTCGGCTCCTCCGCCCCCGAGTCGCTCATCCAGGGGTCCCTCCTGGCGCTGCTGGAGCCGACGATCGGCGACGGCGACCTGCTCGCGATGTCCTCGCAGTTCCTCTCCGACCACCTCTTCCCGGCGTTCGACGCGCCCGTGCCCGACGCCGGCGCGACTGAAACCTTCTACCGGCACCTGGTGTATCCGTGCGCGTCGGAGCTGATGGAGCTGCGCCGGCGGCTGTTCACGCGCGGGTGTCCGGGGCTCACGGACCTGCTCGCGCCGCTCGCGATCAACATGCTGGACTCGCGGGAGGAGGAGAAGATCCCGCCCTTTGTCGCGCCGCAGAGCGCGCTGATGCTGGCGCTGTTCGCGCGGGTGTCGCCCGGGGACGCGTCGCGCGTGCTCTCGGCGCTGGCGCTGGGACAGAACGACGACGTGTGCGCGCCGCTGGTGAAGTGCCTGCGCAGTGCCTACATGGCGGCAATGATGCTGCAGCGGATGCACCCGACGGCGGCGCGGCGCGCGGGCGGGGACCACTCGTGCGTGGTGCCGCACGCGGGGCTGGCGGGGGCGCAGGAGCTCGAGGCCGTCACGGAGCTGTGCCTGGCCATCTTCGGGCACAGCGGGGTACGCATGATGCACGAGGACTCCCGGGCGTACCGGTCGATGATCCGGTACGCCGCGGCGCTGCTGTGGGACGACTGGGAGGAGCAGCTCGGGCTGATGCGGTTCACGCGCGGGACGCGGCTGGCGCTCGTGAACCAGCTGACTCAGCACTCGGAGGTGTTTTGGAACGAGGTCGCGGCGACGCGGCTCGGCGTCCCTGGGCGCGACCAGCGGTGCGTGCCTGTTCGAAACGACGCTCCCGGGTCGCCCGGGCCCGTGCCGCGCCCACCCTCGATGCGCAGACAACGCCCATGTGGGCCGCATTGCTTGCTGGTTCGTCCTGCGTACCTGGCGCGCTGGCCTCCGCGCGGACCGCCTTGCATCCACGCGACGCACAGACGCTCCCGCCGTGCTGTGGACATGGAGGGAAAGTGGCCTCATCCTTCCCGGAGCGCTGTGTTTGTGTCAATGGTGTGCAGGACAGAGATTCTCAGCACGAGCCCGTTCGCGATGTTCGGCTCCGGCGTGCTGTCCATGGGCGCGCCGGCGATGCTGCTCAGCATGGCGAAAGCGGCCATCTGGGCCGTCGAGCACGACCGACCCACGGTGAGTCCTGAAGTCCCATTTCGTTTTCAACACGACCTCATGCACGGCGCGCAGCCGCTTCTCCGCCCCCCGCCCACCTCCAGCAGGCGCTATCAGCCCGCAACCCACCTCAGTGCCCCGGCCCCGCGTCACGCGCGCCGCAGGTCACCACACGCATGGGAGCACAGATGCACCACTTGACGGCGGCGCGCCTGCTGCGACGCATCTTCGAGTTCACGCCCCCGGACATCCAGAAGATCCTCACGCGCGCCCTCGAGTCGGACATGCGCGGCCTCCTCGCGCCGCGCACCGGCATCGAGATCAACGCGAGCGCGGTCGACCCCGTAGCGCAGGCCGCCGCGAAGGAGGTGCGGCAGGTGCTCCAGCAGGCGCTCGGGCACCTCATGCGCGGCACGCACGAGCTGCACACGGCGGGGTGGGTCGCGGCGGTGGCGGCCGCGGCACCGGAGCTGGGCCTTGTGCAAAAGATCGCGCGACGCAAGGCGGTGGACATGCAGCAGGCGAAGGGGTCGGCGGAGGCGGGCGCGGGGGGCGCGTGAGTGCGCTGTTCGTGTGCGTGGCTGCGCAGGAGGAGAGTGTGGGGGTGTATTTAGTCGCAGGTGGTTGATTGTGGGGGGGTGTGCTGTAAGTGGACCCGCGGTGCTCCGCGGTCAGTGTTTCGTCGGTGAGCGGGCGTGAGCTGCGGCGGTCGAGGGCCGAAGAGGCAGGCAGCGGCTCGCAGAGAGCGTTCACGAATGGCGGGGTCGGGCTGACGGAAGGGGGGTGTTGCGCTGCGTCAGGCCGCCTGAGGCGGCACGCGCGCAGGCGGGGCCAAGGGAAGACGACGGCAGGCACAGCTGGGACGACCTAGCTGCCGTGCCCGTTGAGGTCAGACACACTGTGGGGTGACTCTGTTTCGGTAGACTTTGAGAGTCTTCCTGGTCCGTGGCAGTCTGCATCGCTGTGGTTCCGCCCTTAGAAGGAGCCACGCCGCAGCGGTTCGAGCTGTACATGCTCCAAGCAGCACGTCGAGCCGCGGGACGCGCTCAGACAGGCAGTGTTCCGGCGCTTTGTGCCACGATGGCCTCGCTGCACAAGTCGCCCGCTGGGGGCATCACAGAGCTCATTGGGAACACGCCCGTCGTCAAGCTGAAGAAGCTGTCTCCCGAGGTGGGTTGGCGCACATGCCCGAAGAGCACAAGCACGCCCGGAAGGCGTGCGCGGGTGAGCAGTTGGTTGCCTCCGCTCGACGCAGGGCCGCGAGGTGTTCGTGAAGCTCGAGAACCAGAACCCGGGCGGCAGTGTCAAAGATCGCCTCGCCCTCGGCGTGATCAAGGACGCCATCGCGAAGGGCGAGCTCAAGCCGGGGCAGACCGTCGTAGAGGCCACCTCGGGGAACACCGGAATCGGTCTTGCGCTCGTTTGCGCCGAATACGGCCACCCGCTCGTCGTCACGATGGCCGAGATCTTCTCGATCGAGCGGCGCAAGGTGCGCAGAGCCCCCAGCGCAGCCCACGGAGCGCCAACTTTGCACCGGGCACCAACCACCACCGCTTGATTCGCGTCCCGCAGCTGATGCGCGCGATGGGCGCGAAGGTCGTGCTCACCCCCGCGTACGCACGGGCCGCGGGGATGGTCGACAAGGCCACCGAGCTCGCGGAGAAGCACGGGTGGTTCCTCACGCGCCAGTTCTTCAATGATGCCAAGTACGCCCCCCGCCGCCGGCTGCCAGTCCGACGCAGAGCCCGCAACCGAGCAGGCGGACCAGCGGCCAGCAGCGCTGCGTCGGCGCGGCGTTGCGGGCCGGTGCTGACCTGCGCGCGAACTTCAGAGCCGCGTCTCTTCCTGATGTTTGTTTGTTCTTCTCCCTGCGATGGTTCCGCAGCTGGAAGTACCACTACGACACCACGGGCGTCGAGATCTGCGACATGTTCGAGAAGGACGGCCTGGACTACTTCCTCGCGGGCTGGGGCACCGGCGGCACCATCCGCGGGTGCGCCAAGCGCATCAAGGAGCGCATGCCGGCCACGAAGGTCGTGGCCTCGGAGCCCGAGAACGCCGCGCTGCTGTCGAGCGGGATCAAGTCCGAGTGGGACGGCGAGCAGCTCCGCGCGCCGCACCCGACCTTCATGCCGCACCCGCTACAGGGGTGGGTCCCGGTGCGTGCACGCCGAGGCGAGCGCTGCTTGGACGCGTGCGCGGAGCCCAGCGCTTCCGATCTGTGCGGGGCGCTCGCGGGGCGCCCCGCAAGGACCCGGACGACCGCCGGCGGCTCCGGCTGCCCGCGTTAGTTAGTTTGTTGGTTTCGTTCTGGAGACGAGAAACAGTCGTTCGCGACTCCGTGCGGCGCAGGACTTCATTCCGCCGGTGGTCGAGGGCGCGCGCTCCGAGGGCCTCATCGACATGGTCCGGACCGTCAAGGGCGCCGCCGCCATCGAGTACGCCAAGCTCCTGGCGCAGCAGGAGGGGATTTTTTCCGGCATCTCCGGGGGCGGGAACGTCGCCTGCGCCATCGAGCTGGCCAAGGCGAGCCCGCCGGGCACGCGCGTCCTGACCGTCATCCCCGACACGGGCGAGCGGTACCTGTCGACGCCGCTCTGCAGCGACATCCCCGAGGGCATGACGGACGAGGAAAAGGCGATTTCCGAGTCCACGCCGCTCGCGGTGTTTGGCAAACCGCCGCCGCCGCCCAAGCCCGCGGCGGCCGCGGCGGCCGCGGCCGCGGCGCCGGACGACCCGAGCTACGACGCGGCGGCGTTTTGCAGGGAGGCGGCGGCGTCGGCGCCGCTGGTGATATTCTCCCTCGAATGGTGCGAGTTCTGCTGGTCGGTGAAGAACTTTTTGAAGGCGGTGGGCGTCGAGTACAAGGCGGTGAACCTCGACAGCGTGGAGAACAAGCCGCACTTCAAACAGAACCGCGCGGCGCTCAAGGAGCTCGCCAACAGCGGGACGGTGCCGCAGATCTTCATCGGCGGGCAGGTCGTCGAGGGGGGCTGCACGGGGACGCTCGACAGCTACACGACGGGCGAGATGCAGGAGCGGCTGGGGAAGCTCGGCGTCGCGGTGCACAAGGTCGACGGCATCGACCCGCGCAGCTTCCTGCCGCAGTGGGCGCGGCACAAGGGGTGAGCGACGTCGGCGGTCGACTCGGCTCTTGCCCGGGGAGTTGGGGGGGCTGAGGGTTGAGTGCGGTGGGGAGGACGCAGCCGGGCTGGCCGAGGTGGAGCTGCGGTGCAGCGGGCGCCCGGAGGATAGAGGTTGCGGATCTCGGTAGCGCGCGGGCGTTGCGAGCCGCGTGCCTCTGTTACGCTGATCGTCTCCTGTGCGTTGGCGCAACACCTCACCGACATGGTTCAGCCTTGTTCGAGCATGCTCACACAAATGCAAAGCGGAGCAGGAACCTCCCGCCGCGCCTCGTTCGCACGACCACCACCCGGCCTGCGCAACACGCCACAGCGCAGCAAGAACAACAATAACACCCCCCCGCGCGCGGCCCCGCCCGGCCGCCGACCCGCCGCGCCCGGGCGCGCCGACCACGGCCCCGCTCACTCGGCCGTGACCAGCGCGTGCGGCTTGTCCTTGTGGTGGCTGACGTGATCCTTCTTGGATTGCACAGGGTGGCAGATGCGGCACGAGTGCACGCCGTGCTCGCAGGCCTCGGACGGGACGTGCGCGGCCTTCTTCTGCGCGTCGCGGGCGTCCGCGCGCGCCCGTTTCGAGTCCGAGTCGCGCATCATGCGCTCCTCCTTGGCCAACCTCTTCATCTCGAGCTCATGCTGCGGAGGCGGAGCGGGGTGGGTCTGCGTGTGATGGCTTGCGGTTGAGGGGTAGATGCGATTTGGCGGTCGAACGATGGGTTGGCGTCGCGCTCGGGCGCAGGCGGAGCGGGCAGTGGTGCGCTGACGCACGCGCACCGGGCCGCGCGGGGTCACGGCGCGGCTCGCGTGGAAAGCGTCGCGCGGAGATGCAAAGGAGCGTTGGTGTCCGGAACAAGGCTCGCGGCGCGAGTGGTGCGCGGTCGAGGAAGCAGCACGCATCACTGCCTCGGGCGCAACACCAGTCGCGCAAACCGCTCGCTCACGGGCGCGCGCGACGCGGGACTCCCGCGACAGCGACGTAGATGTCGTGAAATGACAGGCGCGCCGGCCAATCTACGGCGCGAGCGGCGGTGCGGCGCCGGGACGCTGTCCGGACGTGTCCGTGGCGGTTGAGACGGGAGCGCGTGCAGCGCGCGGGGCACGGCCGCACCTGCTTCTTCTCCTCCTTCTTCGCGGCGCGCTCCTCCTTCGCCAGCTCCTTCCGCAGCTTCTCGCCGTCCTTGTCCTTGTGGGAGCCTGCGGCGCGGCGCGGTGAGGACATCGCAACGCAGATGATGAGCACACGCAACCGAACGCACGAGACGTCGACGACGTGGGCGCGCTCGCGTCCCGCGGTGCGCGCACGCGCCCAGGCACGCGACGCGGCGTGCATCGCGGGACGGCACGCGGAGCAGGCGGCGTGTTGGCAGGCGCACACGTACCAGCCAGGTTGTGCGGGTTCTTGTCCATGTTTGGTCTTCCTCTCGTGAACGGTCGGATGTTTCTTGCCGGGACACGCGCCTGGGAGCCGCCTCGTCGCCGTGCGCGCCGTTTGCCCGCTTGCGTGGCCCGTGGGAGAGTCCAGAGGTATGAAGATGTCGCTCCTGGCTCTCAATGCGACGCGCAACGTGACCCCGACGACGCACAGCTGCAGTCCAGCCCGGCGTTACGCAGGGCTCGCGCGAGACGACGACCAGCGCGCCCCGCCGAAGGGGTCGCACGTGCCCTGCGCGAGAGGGACCAGCAGGCAAATCGCGCCCGCTGCGTGCATCGACGGGCTGTCTACCGGCGTGTAGGATCCTCTCTAGATATTGTGCCCATCTTAAGGGACACGGTGCGCGGGAAGTGCTTGAGCGCGGGGTTTCGGGCTGCTCACTGCTGCCTACCTAGGACGCGAACTGCTACACGTTCCTCGCGCAGCACAGATCGTCTCGAAGCGTCCAAAGGTGCTCAGCGAGTTGGCCATCACGGCCGTCGCGGGGTTCCTGCACAACACGCCCCCTGACTCAGCAGCGGGACCCCACATCGCACCAGACGTTTCTGCGACGCGCAGCCATGCACGACGACGACCGCACGAGGGACCAGCTGCCGTCCTTCCGCAAGGTCGACCCCGGCTCGCGCGCGTACACCATGGACGAGGTCCGGAAGCACGCCACGAAGGACGACGCCTGGATCGTGGTGCACAACAAGGTGCGTGTGCGCCCGGACATCGACGGACATCGACGCCGCGCCCGCTGCGCCGCCAGGGCCGTGCCTTGCGCTCCTCCCTGGGCCGGGGACGGCGGGGGCGTCCGTCGGTCAGACAGACAGACGGTCTTGCGTGCAGGTGTACAATATCACGGATTTCATACTGCACCATCCGGGCTGGAAGCACGGCGGCCAGGCGAGCACGATCCAGTCCATCCTCGGGGGCCTGGGTCGCGACTGCACCGACGACTTCGTCGCGATCCACTCCCCCAACGCCTGGAGGCAGCTGCCCGACTACTACATCGGGGACCTGATTCAGGACAGTACTGCCCCCGCGGGGGGGTAGTGGAGGAGCCGGGGAGCGGGAGTTGCGCCAGGGGAAGAGCAGAGCTCGCTCGGAGGGAGACGCGCTTCGTCCAGGACGATTCGCATCGGAGCGACGCTGAAGCGGCGGGTTGCCGGTGGCGCAGCGGGGCGGGGCGCTGCGCTGCGAGACAGCGTCGATCGTGCTTGCACGTACTCCCCGCGAGGAGCAACGGAGGTGCTGCGAGCTCCACCGCACCGTTCGAGCCCAAGGGCATCATGCAGGCGACTGCACAGAGACATGATGCTATAGTTCTTCGCTGACCTACAAGCACCCTCACCGCGAGGACGCTTGAGCGACCGAAATGGTACGGCAGGCGAGACTCACACAGCAGACAGGGTAGACAATGTGAGCAGTCATGCATGTCGTACACACACCTGCACGACGGTGAGACAATGCTGTTGTTATCGATGACGTCTGCGTAGCACCGGCTGTCGGGGCCAACGCGGACGCCTGTGACGCTTTCGAGCGGATCCGATCGCAAAATAATTTACAGAATCAGAAGCGCGGCGACGAGCGGCCCGCGCCCGCTCCCGTCAGTCCGCGAGCCGCAGCTTCCTGGCGAGCTCGGACCGCAGCTCGGACGGGTCCCGCGCGGCCTCGCCGTTGTACAGCCGCTCGAGGCGCTCGCGCATCACCGCGCGCCCCTCCGCGCCGGCGTACTTCTTGGTCTGAGTCAGCGGAGTCAGGTACTTGGCCTCCATCTTCGCCTCCGTCTTCCGCCGCTTCTCCTCGCACCGCTCCGCCAGCTCCCGCAGCGCCTGCAGCCACCGACAACGACCCGCGCACGTCGGGCGACACCCAACACAAAACCAGCACTTTCAAGCACACTTCCTGTGTCTCCATCTCTCTGCAACGCAACCCGTGCGAGATCCGGCTCCGCTCCCGCGCGTCCGCGCACCGCCGCGCACACCCCGGGGGGTGCGTGCACCGCCGCGCACCTGCGTCTGCTGCTCGTCGGTGCGCTGCGGCAGCGGCACCAGGACCTCCTCCCACTTCCCCGTGTTCGGGTTCGGCCGGTACTGCAGCCGCCCGGACACCGGCCGCCGCGGCGCCTTCTTCGGCGGCACCTCGGTCAGGCGCTCGATCATCTCCTCCTGCTCGTTGCGCGTGAGGCGCCGCCGCTGCCCGCCCCACTCCGGCGGCAGCCGAATGAGCCCGTTCTCGTCGCGGTCCGACGTCGTGATGTCCAGCCCGGCCGCCTCCGCGGCCTTGAGCGCCGCCTGCTGCGCCGCGGCGGCCACGTCAGGCTCTGCGTCAATCAGCTCCATCGCCCTGCGCGCAGCGCGCTCGGCGTCCTTCCTGGCCCGCGCGATCACCATCGCCTCGTCGATCTCCTTCCGAATGACCTCGGCGTCGCCGTTCGCGGCGCGCAGCCGCGTGAGCAGCTGCTTGGACGGCAACGTTGACGCGTACGCCTCGCCGCCCTCCGCGCCGAGGCGCGCCTCCATGGCCGTCTTCGACAGGCGGGTCACCGAGGCCCGCAGCTGCTTAGGCGTGAGCACGACGGCCCGCTTGCGCATCTCACGCTGCGTGACGATCTCACGGTATATGCCGCCCACGGTGATGTCGCGCTCGGGCCGCGACGGCCTCCCGGCGCCCGCGGGGGCCGTCTTGGGGCGAGCGCTCTTCTTGCCCTTCTTCTTCTTCTTCCCCTTCTTGCCTGCGCCGGGGGAGCCGCCGTCGGCGGACCGCGTGGCGTCACGCGACGTCGCACTGTGCGGCGCCCTGCTGCCCGCTGTCCCGGGCAGCGTGCGCTGCTTGTCCTCGTCACGCGTCTCCCACGGACCCTCCGCGGGCTTCCCGTCCACCTCGTCCGACGTCATCGTCGAGAATCGCCCTCAGCGGCCCTCCTGCGGCGGTGCGACGGAAGCAGACATGGTGCTCAGCACGCGGAGCACGGCGGCCGGGCGGGACGTTCTTGCGTCCCAAGCAGATCGAAGCCATGAGTTCTTTCGCGTCGGCGCCGCGACGGCCCCCCGCGGGGCCAGCAGGGTCGTCGAGGTGCGATCTGATCGTCAGCCCCCACCTGGGCGACGCCGGGCACCCCGCGGCCGCGTTTCGGGGCCCATCAAGCCGCGAAGCGAGCCGCAGCAACTCGAACAACCGCGAGACGTATGTGTCAACCCTCGTGAGGGGCGCGGGCTCCGTCCGAGGGACAAAAACAACATGCGGCACACCTCCGAGGTCCGTGGGGGTAGGTGCCGCCTTCTGCGCGCCGTACCTGCGAAAATGCCACCTCTTCCTCCCCTGATCGTGCGTGGCTCGGCCCCTCGCGCCTTCTGGTCGCGGCCACAGGTGTGCTAGGATGCTGCAGTTCTGCGTGCGAGCGGGCGCTGAGCCGATGGGCCCCAGCCCGCCCTTCGATGCCAGAACAAATCCCCTGGACGCCCAGCTGCAGCTGACGTGCCGGACACTGCGCACCGCTGGCCAGGGGGGCCGGAGCCCTCCTCGACGAGCGATACAGCCACGAGTGAGCGCCCGCGCTGCGCCCACCGTGCTTCAAGCACTCCCTCTCCCGACAGGCTCGAATATCTCGTGCCCAAAGGTGCGAAAGTAGCCGCGCGGGCGCCCTCGCGAGCCCCCATCACGCCGCAGGCGCCCTGAGACCTTCTCGGGAGACCAAACCTCGGTGACCGACCGCCTGTTGTGCACACCCCCCCTCACGCCGCGCCGCCTTGGGCGCACCGCTCGGCGCGGTTTGGCCCAGATTGTGCATCCGCGTCGCCCTGCACTTCCACGGTCGCGCCAGGAGCCGCAGTCGCGCAGTGCATCTGGTGGGGCAGCAGGTGACCGGCCTGCGGGCCAGGGCGGCTGCACGAGGCGCTTGGGAATGGACAGGTTCCAGCGCATCAATGAGCTGCTCAGCGGGGCAGAAGCGCCGGTCCCGGGCGCGCAGCTGGACGCGGGCCCCAAGGATGGGGGCGCGGCGCACGAAATGGGCGACGGTGACGCGCGCCGGGGCTCCGGAGGCGCAGACGAAGGGCCCGGAACGCCTTCCGAGCGCTGGATAGTGCGGCACAAGATCACAGCCGGAGACACCATCGCCGGTGCGCGCCCCGCTCCCCAAGCGAGGCACTCGCAGCAGCTTCACGCGCCAAGCGCGCTGCTCGCGACTCCCCTCGACCCCGCGCTCCGGGGACCGAGCCAAACTGCCCTGCACCGCGCGCTCGTGCGCGGGGCCGTCGTCTACCGCCCGCACAGCGCCGAACGGCAGCGCTTCCTGTGCGCTTGTGCGAGCGTCGTGCGCCGAGCCCGTTGCCTCGCGCCCCGCCACGTCCCGCGCAGGCCTCGCTGTGCGCTACGACTGCTCGGTCAACCACATCAAGCGGATAAATGGGCTCTTCTGCGACCGCTGCCTAGGTGCGCTCCTCTGCGGCCAAGTCGTGCCGCGCCGCGCAGCGCACAGGCGCCCCGAAGCCGCCTCGCGCCGAGCGCACGCTGCGGGATTCCACCCCGCACCGCTCCGTCGGTTTGCGAGGCACCCCACGTCGCGGCCCGCGCCCGCCGCGGCCCTCTGTGTGCCTTGCCTCGGGCCTGACGGCGCTCGCCCGCCGTCTCCGCCGCGCACGCAGGAATCAAGTCCTTCCTCTTCATTCCCACGCCATCGTGTCCGCCCGAGATCACGCGCGTCCCCAACCTGCGCGCCCTGCGGCGCGCTCTCGAGCGGCGCGACCCTGCGAGCCCTCTCCTGGCGGACCTGCCCACCGCTGGGACGTCCCGCGGCGCCAGCGCAGGGCTCACGGGCAGCGACGGCCGCACCGCGCCCATGAGCCCGCACGCCCCGCCCTTCGAGGCGTACATGGGCAATGCCGCCGCCGCCGCCGCTGCGAGCGGCAGCGGACACGTCATGCCGCTGATTTCCGACGAGCCGACCCTGGTGCGTCCCTCACCACCCCGCGCACGCCCGCGACCGCACCGCCGCCGTTGCCGCGCCGGCACCGCAACATGTGTGCATCACATGCATTGACTCTTGTCCGGTCGCGACGCGGCCGCCGCGACGCTCCCTCGCGCGCAGGTGCGGTCCGGCGGCGGCACGCGGCAGCCGGAGCTCGAGCTCATCGCGCAGCGGACGGTGGCGGCGCAGACGGAGCGCGAACTGCAGCAGCTGTCGTCGTACCTGCCGGGGGGTTCTTGCAGCGACGGGCTGCGCGCCGTGATCGGGCAGTGGGCGGGCGTCGGCGCCGCGCCGGGCCCGGGGGGGGGTTCCGGCCAGGAGTTCGACGACCCATTACTCCCCCCCGCGCCTGTCAGGGTCGGGCAGGGCGGCCCGCAGGCGCCCCCGCGGATCTGGTCGGGCGGCGGCGCGTCGGAGGCGGGGTTCCGGCGGTCGCGGAGCCAGGCGACGCTGCGCGGGATGGGATCGAAGCTGGTGTCGGCTGCTGCGGGGTGGGCGTCGGGCCTCGTGTCGGGGACGGGCGCGCCCGGGGGTGTGCGCGGGGCGCGGCACTCGCGCGGGACGGGGTCGTCTGGGAGCATCAGGGGCGGCGCGTTCGCGCCGCTTGCGGCTGCTAGGGACAAGGACACAAAGCACGATTGATGATCCTCAAATGACAGTTGATTATATATATCTGATGTTGATTAGATGTCGCATAGCTTCTGTGAAGCACAGCTCTCAGCAGAGCGAACGTGTCTGATGAGCGTCATAGAGAAAGGACGAAGAAACGATCGACGACAGCGGTGGAGTTTTCACGGCATGCGCGTGCCATGGTGCTGCGAGCTTGGTATCGAGGAATGCCGCGGGCTGAGTGAGTTCCCTGCTCGCGCGGCGGCCCTGGCAGCGCCATGCGCTGTTGTATTCTATCCACGACGTGAACACGATCGAGGAGTTCGCTGCGCGCCAGCAGCGCAGCGCACCAACAAGTTTCAGTGCCAGGCTGTGCGGAGCGTCCGCGCGGCGGCCCCTCGCGCTCGGCGATCGTGTCAGATCGCGGCCGCGACCGGCATACACCCGCATCGAGCACGCCCAGACGGCCCCGGGGCCAGGAAGCTCCACGCCCAGGTGGTGGCGTCGCATCCGCCAGCGCGTCACATGCGGTCCGTCAAATTAATATACCCCTTCCCGGACCCCTCCTTCTTCTCCTCGATCCCCGGCGCCCGGGCGTCCTCCGCCCCCTCTGGCCGCCACGCAGAAGACACCCCCCCCATCGCCTTTTGTTTCCGCGCCTCGTCCGCCGCGGCGGCCGCCGCCGCCGCCGCCGCCTCCGCCGTGGGCGACGGCACCGCGCCGTCGCAGCCGTCGTCCGCCCCGGACGGCGCCGCGGGGCGCCGCGCGACGTCAGCTGACTCAGGGGGCTTATTGACCTCCAGCTCGAATACCGGGTCGAAGATCATGCGCCCGCCCATGAGGAAGAGGCCTGCGGGGCGCGGGGAGGCGGGCCGGAGACGCGGGGATTCGAGAAATGCCGTCTGTGGATGGCTGCTTCGCCAGAGTCTATCCCGGGGCCCACCGCACGGCGCTGGCGACGTGTTCGACGTAAACAGCGGCGCGGAGGACCCACCGGTGAGCTGGAGAAGCACGGGCGATCGTGCGACGTTGCGGGCGCGGCCCAACAAACAGCCAGCGAGGGTTGGTTCACGGAAAGGCGAAAATGACGCGTGTGTATGTATGTGTGTATGTATGTGGAGGAATGGACGCACCGACTCCGTTCGCCCCGAAGATGCACGTCATGAGGTACGCGAGGCCGACGACGATCGTCTTGATGGTGATCGCGATCTGCTGGACGGTCTCCTGGTCGGAGATCAGCGACGGCTGCTTGGTCATGAACTCGTCCAGTCTAACTGAGACCTGCCACAGCACCGCCGACACAGCGAGGCAGAACACGGCCGTCACCAGCGCCTGCTGCCCTGCGGGGAGCGAGGGGCGGCCGCGGCACGCCGGTGAGGCAGCGCACGGACAGGCGCGGCGAAGAGGGTGCCGGTCGGGGCCGCGTGCGCACCTGTGATGGGCTTGTCGCGCGGCGCGGACGCCTCCGAGTCTGGGTCGAAGTCCGGGTCGCTGCGCGAGGCGATCCGCGTCGACGTCGCGAACTTGGCCCGCTTCGAGAAGAGACGTACAAAGAAGAAGGCGACCAGGCAAAAGTAGCCCACGCCGCCGAAGACCTTGACGAAGTTGCCCTTCTCGGCCTGGTAGGTCACCGTCTCGACCGTGTCGGCGACCGCCGGGTCCGCGAGCAGCGCGAAAAGGGCGGCCGTGGGCGCTGCGAGGCCCGCCAGCGGAACGTCATCCTGTCCCGTGGGCTCCCGGGACCATGTGATGGCCGTTTGCCGCCGCCTCGCGCCACATAGGGTGCACGGCGCGCGCTGGGTCGCGCGAAGCAGGCGGTTGAGCCCTGGGGGAGGCCGCACGGCGAGCGCTGAGACGTGCACAGCCATCTGCGCGTCCTTCGTGGACACAGCCGCGCTGTCGACCCGCGCGTCGTAGCCTTGAGACGCTGAATGTACCCCGAGGAGCGGGAAACTTTGTCGCACCACGCCCGCGCCGCACCGCACGCCTCCCTTGCTGCTGCTCGGCTGCTCTTCACGCCCTCCTGAAGCCACACCGCGCGTTGAATCAAGTCCCGACACTGCGCCACCGGCATCAGCACTCCTCCGCCAGCGTCCCGCGCCCGCACATTCACATCACGCGGCCTCACCAGCCGTCCACGCCCCCCCTTACTCAGCACCCGCCCTCACGTTGCCCCGGATCTCCCAGCCCAGCCCGTCGCGCCCCCGCTCTTCGGCGCCCAGGGGCAGCCCGCCCCCGCACTAGCGCAGCGCCCTCACCGTTGCCGCGACAACCCCCGATCGAACCGCCCCTCGCGGTGTTTCCCTCTGCTCCCACCAGAAGCCTCTAGGACGCGCTGCTGCCCCGCTCGGGCGCCGGCTGCGCGAACCCACCGACGTCGCGCGCGCACAAGGCCTTCGTCGAGGTGGTCGGGAAGTAGTTCTGGCATCTGAAAGATGATTGACGCGCTGCAGAGTCGCCCGCCGCGCGGGGATCCTCGGCGCCTGGCGCGCTTCCCGACGTTTTCCGGCCCCACGCGGACGGCCGGCCTGGGCGGCCTGACGATGGAGGAGATCGCCCGCATGCCGTTCGACGACCTCAGCGCCCGGGCGGCGCGGCCACCGCCCAGCGCCTCGCCGCAGCTGCCACTGCGCGCCCCGACAGGGCCCGTGGACGCACTCGACGCGCTGATTGGCGGGAGCCCACGCGCGACAGACTACAGGAGGCTCCAGTCGTTGCCTGCGCGGCCGGAGCGCGTGAGCAGGCTGCGCGGAAGGAGCGAGAATCACGACCTGTTCTTGGCTCACGCCGTCCGGCCGCCGTCGCCGCCCGACGCGCTCGCGCGCGCTGTTGCGGCGTCCATGCTGGAGTCACGACGACTCCCGGACCAGAGATTCGCGGAATCAGTGCTCGGAACGCCTTCACGAACGCTGCGAGCACAACCTTCACCGTCGTCGGCGCGCCCGCAAACGGGGCTGTCTTACGAGGAGATGCTCCGCCTGGACCAGGACAACGTCAAGATCGGCATCAAGGAGTCGGCGTTCGCGCGGCTCGAGCGCGTACCAGTCAGGTACGGCCCCCGAACCTCTCGTGACCTACGCAACGTGAGACGCCGCCGCCCGCGCGGGACACGCTCGAAAAGCCGTACCTCGCGGCGCGATGCCCCCGTCAGTTCAAAGGCCGTCGCAGCGCAGTGTCTCCGTGCAAGGTCCCGCCACGCGCGCCGCCCTGGGCCACGGCTGCTGCGCCATGACACGCAATGCTCGCTCTCTGCGACGCCTCTCACCGCGTGCGCGGCGTGCGCGGCCTCCCGCAGGCGGACGGGCGCGCTGAAGTGCGCGGTGTGCATGGAGGACGTCCAGCGCGGCGAGCGCGCCCTGCGGCTCCCGTGCTGCCACGCCTTCTGCGAGGAGTGCATCCGCCCGTGGCTCCGGGAGAATCGCACGTGCCCGACGTGCCGCTGGGAGTTCCCGGCCGCGGACTGCACGCGCGTGAGCTGAGGCACCGGGCCACGCAGGAGGCGACAGAAGCACATGTCCAGCCGGTCGCGCGCTTGGGGCGACGGGTCATCCGCACGATCACGCGGGCGGTACGGGCGGGCAGACGTGGCCGCACGGACGCGCGAGCCGTTTCGGCTGCGCAGGCAGACATGCGCGATCATCACCATCACTATCATCATTTTTCCAATACTCACTATCATGATTTTTCAGACATACGGACGAGAGAGAAAGAGAGCACGCCGTGAAGCGCGCCGCTGCCGAGTCCTTTACATTCCCGGCCGTGATCCGCCCCTATGGCACAGCCCACGTAGACCCGCATCACTCCCCGCCACCCGCAACGTGACATTCGATTTTTTACACAACCTAACACCCCCCCCCCACCGTCCGCCCCCACGCCGGGCGCGCGCGCGCGCGGAACTGTCCACACGCCGAGCCCCCCAGCGCACCCACCACCGAACTCCGACCCCCGCCTCGGCGGCGGGCCGTCACAGCCACAAAACATCACATATGTTTTCCCGCCTTCTCACGAACGACTGTGATCCTGCATCTGCACTTCCACCGCGCGCCCCCGCGCCCGCGTCCCCCGCGTCCGCCCTAGTCGTACAAGCCGTCCTCGACCCAGCAGTCGACCAGAAACTCTACCATCTCCGGCAACGGCACCGGGCGCGGGAACGGGCGCGAACTCAACAGCAGCCCCTCGTACGTCGCGTCGCTCGGCAGCACCGGCCGTGGCGCCGACTGCTTCCGGTACCCCTGCGGCGCGCGTGCGTGGCGGGCGCCGACCGTTGGCGGGCAGGGTGCGAGGCGACGTAGAAGGGGTCGCGGCGCTGCGTACCTCTGGGCGCTTGGTCCACTCCGCGCGGATCGCCTCCCACTGCGAGAGACCGTGCGTGGCCGCCGGCTCAGCCGCACCGCTGCCCTCGCCCCCGCCGCTGGGCGGCATGTTCCCTGTACCCTGCAGGCGCACGGGGCGGTGGGCGCGGGGTTGAGTGAGCGGGTTCGCGGCTGCTCCATGGAGCGAGTGGTCGCGGTGCGGCGTCGGAAGCTCGGTCCGCGCCGTGCGGGGCGACGCATGGCGCGCGGGCTCAGCGCTGGAACGAACGGGAGCTCGCGCGCCGCCGTGCGCGACCCTCAGAGCAGCTAGCGTGGAGTCGAGAGTGTATTGGAAGTATGGCGTCAATATCGGCCGCACGTCGACGCCTTTGGGCGCGCTCGCCGCGCCCAGGCGGCCTCGAGGCGTGAACCGCAGCAGCTCGACGTTGCGTCGCTGCGCCGCCCTACCGGGACGTGTATCTCCCACGAAACCGCACGTGCACGATCGCCAGGAGCGTTTCCCGTCCTCTGGCCACGTTTCCGGGGCTGCAGCTGTCTGCACGCGTGCATAGCGCCTGCCTCAGGGCCAGGTCATATTTCTCGGCTCCGGCGCGGGGCGCTCACCCCGGCTCCCGTGGCTCCCTCCCCGTCGCCGAACTCTCTCTGCTGCGCGTGCACCGCGGGTGACACCGCGTCCATCCGCGCCTGGAACGCACCGAACGGCGCGCTGTTGCCTCCAAGTGTTCTGCTCTCGGGCCGCGCCCCGCGCCCGCCGCCCACCGCACGCAAGGATCTTCCCGCCCGCTGCACGCACGACGCTGCTCGCAGCCGGTGCATCGCGAATGTGCCCCGCTCCGCCACCGCCGCCCCCCCTTTCCGCACGAGACGAGCGCTGCTCCGAGCAGCTCGCCCACGGCCCCCAGACACCCCGCCACGTGCGGCCGCACACAGAGTAGTAATTGACCACCCGCGCACGAAACGAAATGCGGGTGTGCTATCGTCCTGATCAAGGCGTCAACACCATCGTTCCCCGATTTAACGTTCACACCGCTCATCGAGTTGCCACCGCGGGCTCCACGCCGCCCGGGGCGCCGTCACCGCTGCTGCGCGAGCCCCGCGCGGTACGCGTAGCCGTCCCGGGACAGCACCTTCGTCGCCTTCGCCTTCACGTCGCCCTCCCGCGCCCCCGCAACGTCAACGTCCTCGCTGCCAGTGTGCCGCCTGCTGCCGCCCGCGGCCGACCCGCGCGACCCGGGCGCGAGCGGCGGCCGCGCGCGCTGTCCGCCGGAGCCGACGCCGCCGACGAGGCTGTCGCCGCGGCCGCCTGCGTCAGCAACGCTGCTGGTCAGCCACTCCTCAATACGCCCCCCCGACGTGTGCGTGCTGACGTCGGCGTGCGCCGGCGCGGGCGCGATCTCCGCGGGGGTCGAGAGCGACGTGTTGAGCGCGCCTTGACGGGCCTGCTGCTTGGCGGGGGACTCGGCGCGGACCCCCCCGGCGGCGTCGCGCGTGGACGAGCCCTGTGCGCTGGCAGCGGGGTCGGCCGTCGCGCGGCTCTGCATGTCGGTGCGCACGTTGCTCGCATACGTCGAGCGCGGCGGACCGCGCTGCGAGAGCGGCACCACCGTCCACGAGACCCGCCGATCGTGACCTGCACACACACGACGACAACGAAACTCAGGAATTCCACGACAAGCAACGAATTCATATCCTCGCGAGCACCAGACCGACCGAGCGCGGCAACAGAACGACCGCTGTGCGAGCGCGAAGGACGTCCTGTATGCATAACGCGCGCTGCGACAGCAAGCGCCTCACCTTTGCCGTCCCGCGTCCGCGCGGTGCCGTGGTTCGTGATGTCCTGGCTCCCGAACACCTGGTCCGGCCGCGCGTGCGCGAACCCCCCGCGGCCGGGCGACACGTTCACGCCCGTGCCCGGGGAAAACGACATGCGCTGCTTCAGGCAGAACAGCCGCCACTCCGAGAACGCCTGGTACAGCAGCAGGTGCTTCCGCGCGCCGATCTTCGACTCCGCGAACGCCCGCGCCGCCTTGTGCACCTTGCCGTCCAGCAGCCCCATCCGGCGCTGCGTCTCGTCGCGGTAGCGTTGCAGCAGGATCACGAGGCGCGCGTTCTCGGCCTGCTGCTCCTCGAGCTTCCGCTGCATCCGGATCAGCTGGTTCGCGAGCACCGCGTTCCCGGCCGCCGCCTTCCCCGGCGTCCCCGCCGCCGACCGCGCCGCGCCGCCCTCCCGCTGCGGAGTGACGGCGCTGCGGCCGTCCGCCGACCCGGCGCGCGCCCGCAGCGCCTGCACGCGCCACGCGGCGAACACCAAGTACGCCAGCGCTTTCCCGCGCAGCTCCTGCCCCAGCGGCCCGCCCGGCCCCTCCGCGTTCGACTCTGGCTGCAACGCGTCGAGCGACTCCACGCTGGCGATGCTGCGACGCGTGCGCCCGCGCTGCAGCGGCGCGGTGCGCGCGGCCCGCGCCTGTCGCGCCCAGGCGTGCAGCACGCGGTACAGCTTCCCCCGCCGCGTCTGCTGCGCCAGGAGGTGCTCGTGCCACAGCGCGCGCTGACGCGACTCCAGCACCGACTTCCACGCCCCGAAGCACCGCCGGAGCAGCGCGAGCTCGGCGCGCGTCTGCAGCGACTGCCAGCGCCGCCGCCAGCTCCCCGGGTCCCCCGCCTGGGCGTGCCACGTCAGGAGGACGGACCGCATCATGCCGGTTTCGCGCGCGTCCGCCCGGGCCTCCGCGGCCTCGCGCGCCACCGCGGCCGCCTCCGTGATGTCGCTCCACGCGAGCAGCACCGCGCTCGCGCGCCGCCGCGCCGCCGCGTCGCTGCTCGCCCGCAGCCGCCTCCGCAGCGCCGTGCGGCGCTCGGCGCCGCCGCCCACGCGGCAAAGGCCCGCCGCATCACGCCCTCCTGCCGCATCCGCGTCGCCGCAGCCCGCTGCTGCACGTACGCGCGCCACGCGCGCAGCGCCCGCGCGCCCCCGCGCCGCTCCCGCCGCTCCGCCAGCACCCCCGCCTGCCGACTCAGCTGCCGCGTATGCTGCACCGCGAAGGCCCACGCGTGCAGCGCGCGCTGCCGCGACTGCCGCGCCACCAGCGTCGCGATTCTCTCGTTCAGTTGCCGCACCTGCTGCGCCCCCGCGTTCTCCCGGGCCTCGCGCAGCTTCTCCTGTACCCGCTCCGCCTTGCTTTCGCGCGCAAACATCTGCCAGCGAAACAGCGCGGCGCGCAGCGTCCGCGCGTTGCGCATCGCGCCGAGCGCGCCGCAGATGCGCTCCGCGAGCGCCCACGTGCGGTCCGTCTCGCTCCGGTGCGAGTGCTTGAGCCCCTCCACAAACGACGCGTGCGCCGACTCGGCGCGGCCGATGGCCTCCTTCGCGGAGGTCTCCGCGGAGCGCAGCAGCGCGGAGTGGCGCTCCTCGAGCTTCTGGAGCGCGGCGCGGTGCTCGGCGTCGCGCTGCGAGAGGTCGCGCGCGTGCCGCACGGCGGCGTCGTTGGCCTCGCGCTGCTCCTGGCGAAGGCGCTGCTCGAGCGCGGCGTACTCGGCGTCGTGGCGCTTGCGCGCCTCCACGAGGCGCTGCTCCGCGCGGAGGACCTCGCGCTCGAAGACGCGCATCGAGCGGATGATGGCCTGGCGGATGTGCTGGTCCTGCGGGCAACGGGGGGCGGCGCCGCGAGGGCGTGAGAGGTGCGCCGGTACGCGGGGAACGTGGGATGTAATTTTGGGATTTGGGCGTGTGGGTGCGCGGGCGGAGGTGGCGGGCCGCGGCGTGCCCGGGAGCGGAGCAGCTTGCATCGTGGTGTGCAAGAGCCGTCGCCGGGTCGCTGCGGGCGTCGCCGAAGTTGGCGGGCCAGGCGGCGCGGCGAAAAAAATCGAATTCGCGGTTTCTGCTCTCGTCTGCTGCGCGGGCGCGACGCGTCGCCCTCAGCCGAGCGCGCACGGCAAGCCCCACCTGCTGTCGCGAACCCGTCGAGATCCGCACCCCCGGCAGCGTGCCGTACGACGCCGCCGCGCGCCGGTCGAACGAGCGCGCAAACCAGTCGCCCTCCTCCGCTCCAAGCGTCACCATCGACGCTGACGTCGGATTCAACGCCCACGCGGGCGACACCCCCCCCGGGCCCGCACGGGACTGCGGCCCGAGCTCCGACGCCGCCCGCAGACCCGCAATCAACGACGCGTGCTCGGGCTCGCGCGGGGTGTGCCCCACGGAGCCGGCCTGCCCTGCCCCGTGATCTATTGATTGTGGCACCGGCGTGCTCTGCTCCAGCGCGGCGCGTATCGTGCTCAGGGCCTTCTGCACCGAGTCGAGCGAGGGCGACTCCGCCGCCGGCACGCCCGGCATCGGCGACGGCGCCGGCGACGGCGGTTCCGGCGCCGCTGCAGGCGACGGCGCATCACTGCTGCCCGCCACACTCGACGCCGAAGACGTTTCGCTCGCCGTGCCGTCGCGCGGCTGGTGCACCGATCCGAACGGCTCCTTGCGGCCCGAAGACGACGCCCCGGACGACGCTGCTCCGTCCTGCGAGCCCGCAACACTGTCCTGCGGCGCCGTCGCCGTCGTCGCTCGCGCCGCGGCCCCCGCGTCCCCGAGGGCCTCGCACAGCACGTCACGGATGAACGACGCGACGTTGCTGGCCTCTCCGTCCGGCTGCGCCGCCCCTGGCAGGAACAGCCGCGCTGCCTGCGCGTGCCCTGCCTCCTCTGCATCCCCCCCGCTGCTGCTCGCCGAATCGTCCCCCTGCGGCCGCCCCGGCGTGAATAGCTGCGAGTTCGACGCCGCAGCGAGCGCCTCGAGGCCCTCGGGCGGCCCGCGCGGCGCCGGGGCGTCCGCGCCGTGAGCCGTCGTCGGCGCGGGGGCGACGGGCGACCCGAGCAGCACGCTGCTCGACACCAGCTCCCGCGAGGACGCCTCAGAGCGCGGCGTCGCGTCCGCGGCGGCCCCGCCGCCCCCCGCGGCCCCCCGCGGCAGCGCGCGCGACGAGCTGTCCATCTCCATCTCCTCAGACGACACTGAGTCAGTGTCAGTCAGACCGGCCACGCCGGACGCGACGGCGGTGTGCACGCCGTCCAGGGCGCCCCAGGCTGCGTCGCGGCCGCCGGCGGGGGCGTCGCTGCTGTGCTGCGCGTCCGCCGGTGCGCCCACGTGTACCGCGCGCGACGTGGACGGTATCGCCTCGCTGTCGGCCGCGTCTGTCCCGGCCAGGGCGGCGCCGTGGTCGCGGTGCGCTGCGGCGGCGTCGCGCTGCGCGGCCGGGGCGTGCGCGGGCGCTGCTTGCAGCGCCGAGGGCGCAGCGGGGCCGCCCGGCGTGAAGGGCGCGGCTTCCGCGTTGAGCTCCGGGCTCCTTGGGGACGTGTGAGCTTCGGGAGCGACGCCGGGGGCGACGCGCGGCGAGGACGCGGCGCCGGCGCCGCGTTGCGGAGGTCCGTGTGCTTGCGACGAGGCTGCCGAAGAGCCGCGTGGCCCATCGCTAGCTTGCTGTGCGCCCAGCGGAGGTCCGCTCCGAGACCCGACCTTGGGCGCCATGGCCCCCTGCGGGTCGAGCCTCGCTGCCTGGGATGGCTTCCTGGATCCTGCCACTCTGCCTGGCGCGCTCGCGTCGCGGGTCGCGCGGATTTCCTCGCCGTGCCCGCGACTGAACGCTCCTGCTGCACCCTGCGAGACTCACGCGGGCGCCCGAGGTCGGGTCTCGCCCGGGGGGGGTTGGAGCAGCCCGTCAGCCGTGCACGACACTCGTTCCACAACAACGACGTACGACGCGGATATCTTCGCCCGCACGCAGCGCCAACGAGATGTCGTGATCTGGGAGAACGTCCACGGTGCGCTCGTATGCGCTTCGGGGGCCGTCACAGCCAGAAAAGCAGGACAAAGATCAACGCACACCATCAACGGGTCCGTTTCGCACCGTCAGCGCTGCCTTGAGCTCGCTCAGGGCAACCTCCTTGCTCGCCGTGTCCCTTGGCTTGCCCATGGCGCGCGCTCGGCGGCGCCGGCCCCCCTGCCGCGACTCTACGCCCGTGCCAAGCTGCAGCCCAGGAGCAGCCGGGCTCCGAGCTCGAAACTCCGATCCGGGCAGGTTCACATAAGCCGCGTGTGGCCACGAGCGGTGCTCAAGTCGCGCTTGGCCCGCCGAATCGGCCGCGAGGGGCGTATTGATCCTGGCGAGTGGAGTCCCCACCTCCCCCGCGCTCTCGCCGTCTCAGCCCCGCCCCAAGGGCCCCGCCGCGCTGTACGCAGCGACACACGCTGTCCCGACAGCCCTGTTCCGTCGCGGTCTCGGAAAAGCGCGGCACGCAGCTGGAACGGCGCGTTTCATCGTTGACACACCTTCCAACGCGTCCCTCCGTTGCCGTGTTGCCCAGCCTTCTCGCACCTCTGACACGCACCAGCAAGCCTCCAGATGTTGCGGCCGCGGCAGTCGTAGGCCCCTGCTCGCGGCGCGCGCCACAGTTGTCTCAGCAAGGGGAGCACGGGCCGTGAGGCCGCTCCTGGCATACGCGGCGGCGGCGGCGCGACGCCCCGCATAGCTGACCTCGCAGCGGCCTGGGACGTCGGCCACGGGCCGCGACAAGCGCGATGCAAGACACAAATGCAGGCCGCTTTGTCTTTGACATCATTTCCGCCGTCCTGCTGCTCGTTGCGGGCGTCGGCGGCGCCTACCTGGCGCTGTACCTCAGCAGGAAGCACCGGGACGGGTCGAAGAGCCTCGCCTTTCAGCTGGGCAACTGCCTCAGCGGCGGAGGTAGGCACCCACACGGTCCACGAGCCTGCCCGCGATTCCCCCGCCCGCAGACGACCATGCTGCGCATCCCGCAGCGTGCCCTCGTGCCACACCGTGCCCTGCCCGCCACCCCACGCTCCCCCGGACGCCCCCGGGCCCTCGTCCGACGCCCACACAGCGGCAGGCTTGCACGCGCCACCACGCCTCCCGCGGCGCCCCCGCCGGCGGCTGCCGCCGTGAGCCTGCATGTGTACGCACAAGCTCCCCGCGGCCCGCCGTTGCGGCCCCGCAGCACGCCGCGTCGTCGAGCCGCTGCCTCCCGCCCGGCACACGCCCTGCTGGCCCTGACCGCTCGCCGCCCCGTCGCCGCTCGCCCGCAGTGATGCTCGGCGCGGGCTTCTGCCATCTCCTCGGGGAGGCGGATCGCGAGATGGGGCACCGCAACTACCCCGTCCCAGAGCTCCTGGCCGCCGTGGTGCGCACACGCCCCAGCCACTGCAGCCACCCCGCCCCGCCCGGGCCCTGCTCGCCCCCAATCCGCCCCGCTCAGCGCATGCCTCCTCCACATAATGGCTGCGCGGCCCACTCCGAGCCCGCAGCGCCTCTTCCTGCGCACTCCACAGCGCCCCCCCCCCCGCCCGCTGCCTGTGCCGACGTCCGCCGCCGGCCGTGACCGCCGCAGGGCTTCCTCATCACGCTCCTGGCCGACCAGGTCGTGTCGGCGTACTCGAGCGACATGGGGAGCTGCGAGTCGCTCACGACGATTGTGCGTCGCGTGCGGCCCCCGACGCAGCCCATCCCCACGGGGCCCGACCAGGCGGCGAGCAACCCCCTCGCGATGCGCGCGATCCAGGAGGTGACGAACGGCCTCGGCGCGCAGTGCGCCCCGGATCACGACGGGCACCACAAGCGCGACTCTGGCCCCGACAGCGGCAGCGCGTCGCCGACGCATCACACCCCCCAGCACCCGCACGGGCGGCCCGCCCGCAGGGACGAGCACGCGCGCGTCGCCGGCGGATCGAGCCGCTCCTGGCACGAACAGGAGCGCGAGCAGGACCCCGGCACCAGCGGCCGCAAGGCGCCGAACGTGCCGCTGCTCCCCGTGGGCGCGCCGCGGAGCAACGCCCCGGCGTACACGTACGAGTCCGTCCCGGGCGTCGACGGCCTCGACGGCACGCGGTATCGCGCGGGCGCAGACGCGCAGGCGGCGGCGGCGAACGGCCACGCCGGGGCTGGAGCCGCGCACAAGCGCCCGCGCGGGGTCATGGCGACCGAGTCGGACTACGACACGGAGGAGACGTCGCCGCGGCCGAGCGTGAGCTTCGCGACGGCACTCATCCTCGCCGTCGCGCTCTCGATCCACTCGGTCCTCGAGGGCGCGGCGATGGGCGCGCAGCGGACCGTGGAGCAGTCGGTGGACGTGTTCATCGCGATCGTGGCGCACAAGGGCCTGGCGTCGTACGCGCTGGGGAGCAGCCTGGTCGAGAGCGGCACGCGGCTGACGCGGTTCGCGGCGGTCACGTGGTTCTTCGCGGCCGCGACCCCGCTGGGTATTTTCATGGGGTTCGTGCTCAGCGAGGTGGCGAGCACGGGGCTGAGCGCGGGGATCACGGCGCTGGCGGCGGGAACCTTTATATACGTCGCGGTGATGGAGGTCATTCCGAAGGAGCTGCGCACGCGCAAGCACAAGACCGCCAAGGTGGCCATGCTGCTCGCGGGCTTCTCGATCATGGCCGTCGTGGCGTACTGGGTGTGACGGAAGACTAGTGAGACGAAAACGATTGTTCTCCCCCCCATAGTCGAATGAGCTCCTCCTGCGTCGTCGGGCTCGTATCGCCGTGCTCGTCGGGGGTGGTCGGAAAGTTCCAGCCGAGAAGCGGTCGTGCACAGTCCCCGGTTGTCGAGAAAGGTCCCTATCGGACCAACAACCCCTCGAACCGCATCTGTTGAGGATTCATGAGCGGGTGAGGCCGCTTCCGGTCCGGTGTCGGCCGTACTCGAGCGAACGTAATTCATTTGCATCGACTCACTTCGCGAAGCCCTCGAATACGCACGCTCGACGTCGAGCTGTTGCCAACTACACACTACGACGAAAATCCCTCGCGCCCGGGGGGAAAACCCCGGCCTCGCGTGCCTCCGTCCGCAGGTCGCACTCCTGGGTGCCGATCAACGCCAGCGTGATGGACACGTTTCACCAGTACGCGAAACAGGCCGTCGCCGAGTTCGTCGGGACGGCCCTCTTCGGGTTTCTGGGTTCAACTGCCTGCTCGAGCCCGCTCGGTCCGAACCCGCGACCCCATCAACTTCCGTCGCATATCGCGCACCGAACGGGACGTGCTGAATGCCGCACAGCACGGCATCCTGCCTTCGTTGCACTTCGCCACCCAGATCACGTCGCCGGGCCCGCCGGACCGCACCTGCGCATCGACGCCACGATCGCGATGATATGACCGTCGCCCGCTCCATCCCGAGGCGGTCCACGCCGATCCTGCGTCGCGCCACCGCTCGTGCGTTTCGCGCTCAACAAGGATCCGCGCGGGCGGGGCTTAGGACGCTTGGCGTTCGATCTACCCATCGAGATCGCGCGTATCATGTCCTCGTCGTAGACCGGCCCTCCGGGCCCGGGCTGGACAACTCAACGTATTGATCCCGAGCACGTCTCGCGCCCCCGCACCAGTGCGCCACATTCCGCCGCCCCGGCTCCCCCGCCGCGCAGGAAACGGCCTGGCCCTCGCCGCGTGCACCTTCATGACGCGCGGCATCTCCGGCGGCCACCTCAACCCCTCGGTGTCCCTCGCGGCGGCCCTCACCAACAAAATGTCCTGGTCGCTGGCGTGCATCTACGCGACGATGCAGGTCGCGGGCGCCGTCGCCGGGAGCCTCCTGGTCGCGCTCGCGACGCCCGGCGTGCGCATCGGCGCCGGACCGGACCACGCCGGGCTCGCTGCGGGGTGTTACGTGCCAGCGCATGAGGCGTCGATGATCAACGTCCTGGCCAGCGAGTGGATACTGGTGCGCCACCGACCGCGCCCCGCCTCACGCCCGCGTGCTCGCTTCTGGTCTGCGCGTAACATGCCGCGTCTTGGAAGTGAGCTTCACTTTTTGCGGAGGATCCTTTTGTTCGCAGACGGGCGTGCTGGTCACGACCTGGTACGCCGTGCACCTCGGTCGCCCGGGCTTCTTCGAGGTCGGCCCGCTCGCCGTAGGGCTCGCCCTGTCCGCCGCCATGCAGGGGGCCACAACGACGGGCGGCGCCGCCAACCCCGCCCGTCTCATCGCCCCCGCGCTGGTCTTCATGTGCCCCGGCCGCAAGTTCCTCTGGGCGTACATCGCCGGCCAGCTCGCCGCGTCCGTCTGCGTCGCCGTCGGCGCGTGGTGGTGGCATGAGGCCCCCTGGAGCGACAGCGCGCGCGACACGTTCGTGTCCGATACCGACCGGTCTTTCGACGCCGTGACGGTGCGGCGCCAGATGCAACAGCGCGAGCGGGATGCTGCCGGTGCGGGCGTCACGGAGCCACTGCTGACCTCGGCCGGGCCCGGAATCAACCCCGCCTGACCTGACAGGGGGGGAGTGCATGAGCGTTGGACTGGCTGGTTCGGGGCGACCGGGCGCGTGCAGGGCAGCCTAGGAGCGGTGTCGGCTGCACGGGTGGAGGAACGTGCGCGCCGATACTTCAGCTTGTTTTAAACCCAACATTATATATTGTTCGTAATGAAAGAGAACCGTGGTGTTCTCGATCACCCTCGTCACTTCCCCCGCATGGTCAGGACATGGACAGCTGTGCCTTGCACGTATCCGCCAGACCTTCACACGCACCGCCCACGCTCACCTCACGCGCCGATCGGCGGCAGGTGCTCCTCGCGCGACGCTGCGTCCGACAGAGCGTCCATCGGCCGCAGGGAGTTGTCCGCAGTCGACGGCAGCCCCAGGTCGTCTTCGCTGAAGTCCGCCAGCAGCCCGTCGACCATCCCGTCCACGTGGAACGAGCCCTGCGAGTCCTGAGCTTCCAGAATGCCCGCGAGCTGCGCCACGGGCGGGGGACCTTCCCGCGGCCGGAACGCCGACAGCGGCCGCGAGCTCGCCACCGCGCCGAGGTCCTCGAGCAGCGCGGCCCGCAGCGCCGCCGTCTTCTGCGCCGCGCGCAGCAGCGGGTTGGCCTCGCTCTGAACGCGCGCCTGCAGCCGCAGCGGCCGCGACAGCATCGCGGGGCCGCGCGGCGCCGCCCCGTGCGGCGCCCGGCGCGCCGCGGACGCGGCCGCGACGTGCCCGGACGTCTCGAGCTTCAACGACGCCGTCTGCGCCTCGGCCTGCTGCGCCAGCATCACCCCGAAGGCCACCTTCTGCCGCGCGTCCTTCATCCGCTGCGAGCGCTCCACGATCTTCGTGATCTTCAAGCTGTCCCTCGCATCGCGCGATCCCGGCCGCTGCGGCGTCGCCGGCTTGGCGTCTGGCTCCACCGCAGGCTGCGCGGCCCCGACATCGTCCGCGACCCAGCGCTCCGCGTCCGCCGTCCACGGGTTCGGGATCGCGGCGTTGCCGGAGAGGTCCGGCCCCGCGGGCTGCTGCGGCGGGGCCGTCAGCGGCGGCTGGCGCGGGTCACTCCCCCGGGGGTATGTGTCGGAAAAAGCAAGATTGGGGGTGTTTCGTGCGCGCTCGCGGTCGGCGAGGACGCGCTCCATGGCGGAGTCGTCGACGTCCGGGGTGTCGCGCAGCCTGAGCCACGAGGCCTTGCGGGAGGGTTGGCGTTGCGGCGGCCTGACGTCATCCTCAGAGTCCTCCGCGTCAGACGGGTCGTGGTCGCGGGGGGGGGTTCCGTGGATGTACGCGATGTTCGTCACGGGGGACTGAGCGTGCGTGCGCTTCGTCGGGGCCCCGGGGAGGTTCCAGCCCCCGCCCGTGCGCGGGCGAGGGGGGGGTTTCACGATTGTCAGGTCCCGCGTCGGGATAAGGCTGCACTTCGGACACTGCCACCTCCTGCGACGACCGTGGTGGTATCACGACAGCAATCACGACGCTGCCAGCAAGCAGGTTCAAGACACCAAGAGCCTTTCGCGGTCGATGATGCGCGAATCAATCAATGCTGCATGATTAGCGCTCCGTTCTGTTGTCGTCCTGCATCGTGTACGTTCGCGCTCTCGGCGCTCGAGGCACTCACCCGTGCAGCCGTCCTCCGACGCACTTCTCGTGGTACGCGTCGTTGCACGAGTCGCACAGCACGATCGACCCCAGCGCCACGCGCCCACAATTCCTGCAGCACGCCTCCCCGCGCAGCGCCGCCGCCTCCTTCCGCCCCAAGTGCCCCCTCCAGCACCGCTGTATCGTCCGCGTCGCCTCCTCCCGCCGCCGCGCGTTCTCGATCTCCCGAATCGCCGCCGCGTACCGCCGCCCCTCAAACCCGCGCCAGTAGCGCTGAATCGTCGTGGCGGCCGCGGTGCGCCGCAGGTGCCGCAGCGTCCGCCGCGCCACGAAGCACCGCACCGCGCACTGCACCGCGCGCGCCCCGAGGAACCGCAGGTACTTCTTGCGAGCGTCGTACCCCCGGAAGCGCGTCTGCACCACCGTCGCGGCGTGCCGCTGCTCCTCCTCGATCGCGGGGATGAGCTCGTCGAGCATGTCCTCCAGGGCGTCCGCGGACCCCACGTCGACGTCGCGCTCCTCCTTGATGCGCGCAAACATCTGCAGCGTCGCCGTCGCCTCCGCGCGCTCCGCAGCCTTCTCCTCGGCGTACCGCAGCGCCGACTCCAGCAGCACCTGCGCAGCCACGCCGCCGGACGCACGTCAGAACGCAACGGTCTCCGGCCACGCAAATCAACGCCACAACGCTGCGAGCGCCGCGGAAGCGACACAGAGAAGCGCGACGGTCGCGCCGTGCAGACGCCCGCCCGTACCTGGATCGCGGCCTCGCGCTCCGCCCGCTCCGCCCGGTCCGCCTCCACGACCGCCTCTACGAGCGGCCGCACCAGCCCCGCCACCGCCGCCAACCTCTCCACCTCCTCCTCCGCAGCCGCCCACGCCGCCGCCTCCACCGCCGCCGACAGAGCCTCCTCCGCCCCGACCTCCACGCTCCGCGTCCGGACGTACTCCTGCTCCTCCGGCGTCAGCTGGAACCCGTCTGGCGCTGTGCGAGCTTTGCTGCCCTTCGCGCCCTTCTTCTTCTTCCCGCCGCCCTCGGCGCCCTCGGCCTTCTTCTTCTTCGCGCCCTTCTTCTTCTCCTCCGGCGCCTTCTTCGCGTCCCCCCACTCGACGCCCGGCAGCGCGCCCGCCGGCGCCGTGGCCGCCAGCGGCCGCTTCGACGACGACGACGCCTTCTTCAGCTTGCGCGACGACCCCGCCTTCCCCGCAGCCGGCGCGTCGAGCGCGCCCGTGGCCGCCAGGGACGTCCGCGACGACGTCGGCCCTGCTTTCCTGGACGAACCCTTCTTCGACAGTTTGGTCGACGAAGAGGAGCGGGCTGGGAGCGTCATGGACGCGGACCTGCTCGGACTGAGGCCCCCCGCGTCGGAGTCGTAGCTGTTGGGGACGTCGGGGGTCCCGGCGGCCGAGTTGCGCGTCGCTGGAGCGTCGCTCTCATACCCCGTCGCGCCGCGGAGGTTGCTCGAGGCCTGCGTGGTGTCCGGGGAGGAAGTTAGGAGGTCAGATGATCCGATGAGGCAGAATTTCGCGCGGAAATCGGGGCACGGCGACTGGGACGGGCCACAAGGCACCGGGAGAGTGCAGGCGCAGCGAGGCGTCCTGTGGGGTGCGCCGGCTGGGGAGAGCGGCGCGAACGACACGGTTCGGGATGGTCGACACCCGCCCGCGGACCCCGTCAGAGGAGTAGCGGGCGTTCGAGCGCCACAGGCGCTCACAGGCCGCGCAGGTCAACCGAGACGCATCGCGCGTTTCCCTCGGCCTCAGAGCGCACGAGAGCGTTTCTGCGCGCGCACGCGCTAGAACACATCAGTTTCTATCCAGTCTCACCTTTCTACTCGCTTTTTTCGCCCCGAGCTTGCCGGTGCGGCCCTTGCTGGACTCCTTTGCTTCCAGGGCTCTCTCCCGCTGTTTGAGGCTCGAGGGACTGCGCGTTGGCGACGCCCCGGCGGCGGCCTTCCCGGACGGCCGCTTGCGCGTCACCGAGCCGGCGCGCTTCGGCGCGGGCATCCCGCAGGTGGCGCACGCGGTGGTGCTCCCCCCGCACTGGGCGCCCCTCCTGCCGCCGCTGCGGGCAGCGACCTGCGCGAATTCCTCCCTTGTAACACGCGCACACGCGTTCTCGCGCCCTACGCAGCGTCAGACGGGTACGTGCGTCCTCGCACGGCGCGCGGACGGCAACATTAATTGCTGAATATGCCTAGAGCTCGCGCCAGAGGCCCTGTCGACGAGCCAGGTGCCAAATCGCGACCAAGCGGCGACCACTTGCCTCCGCCTCGCAGAGGCGCTTGCCATTGGCGCAGCGGAGCCCTGTCGGGCACAGCAACGTCGGGGGAGCACGTCGGGTGCTGGACAGACGACAGCCACGTGGCCTGGACGGATGTGTTGCGGCCGGTCCTCGTCTGTGCGGCGCCGCGCTCGTACAGGCACTGTCGTGCGGTCGATATCCAAGTGTCAGAACGCGTCAGCAGCGCGTGCGGGGCTAAGGCGTGTAGGTGTCTCGTTCAGTGGAGACGCGTTCTGGAGGACCTGCGCTGGCTATTCCGCCTGGCCCAGGGTTCAGAAGCGCGAGTTCCACGTAGGCGTGCGTATCTGGGGACAAGCTGGACCCCGTGCGGCGGGGGCTGGGGCCTTGAGCGGCTGGAGTCGCCTTCTAGGCGGGGTGCCGCGATGGCGCAGCGGCAGGGCGCTGCCATCGACCGAGATGAGATCATTAGACGGCGGTTCGACACGCAGGCCGCCTCGGTCAGGTGCGAGGCAGCCTGGGGTGCACTTCGCTTGGGTTGCCAGCTACAGGTGCCTCGTTCAGCCACAGCTCAGGCCATCAAGTTGTTTTGACGGACAAAGCGCTATGTTTGCTCAACGTTCCGTGCACAGACGCCGAATTCAGCGGCACAGGCGCACCCAGTGCGTCCTCGAGAGATGAAGAGCGCGCCCACTGCTGGCACCCTCCCGCCCGCTCGCAGGGGCCCCGGTGCGATCAAGCGCTTGCTGAGGTCCTTCCTGGACATGTCGGCCGCCGCGCAGGCGGGCGACCAGGCCCGTCTCGCCGAGGCCGGCAACCGCACGGTCCGTGAAGTGTGGCACTGGGAGGAGGACGCGAAGCGCCGCGCGATCACGTCCACGGCGACCGAGCGCGAGCTCGAGCACTACAGGACGCTCAAGGAGGAGAAGGAGGCCGCCGTGCAGGCCGTGCGCGCGACCGTGGCCACCAGGAAGCGCGAGCTCGAGGAGGCGCAGGCGTGGCGCCAGCGGCAGGAGGAGTACGAGGCGAAGCGGAAGAAGATCGTCGCGGTGCCGGGGAGGGCGTCGACGATCAAGAAGATCCAGGACACACACGCGAAGATCGACGCGATCCGGCAGCGCGAGGTGCGCTGCACGCAACGCGCAACCGACGTCGCTGCCTCGCGTTGCGTCCGTGCGGGTGGTCGCGTCCGCGACGCTCCGTTCCTGCGTTGCTGAGATGCTGCTCGGTGCCGTGGTGCCCTGCTGCAGCTCGCGGTGGAGGCCGCTATCGCGTTGCGCAAGCGGCAAGTGCAGCTGCTTGTGGCCGCGGCTGCGGACCTGCGGCGGTCGGTGGAGGAGGACGACCTGGTCGTGTCGATGGACGAGGCGGCGCTCGAGCGCCTGCGCGTCCTCGAGGGTCAGGCGAGACCCCCCCTGCCCCATTCAATTGTCACACCGCCGCGGGCGCGCGCTCCTGCCGGTTTTGTGCGCGTGCGATGCTTGCTTGCTCATCATGGCGAAGCGCTGGGCGCAGCGTGCTGCTGCTCGGAACGATGACGAGTCGTTGCACGACGGCGGCGGTGTGCGGCGACGCCGCGTTGGTGCTCAGGCGGTGTTCTTGTTGTGGTGCGTGTGTTCGCAGCGGAACGTGCGTGCGCTGGCGGGGGAGAACGACGCGGAGGAGGGCGAGGCGGACGGCGGCGGCGAGGGCCGCACGGAGGAGGCGCGGGGCGACGCGGGCGACGCCGAGGCGGGGGGGGCTGGTGGTGAACGGTCAGAGCAGCAGCAGACGCGGTCCGGGCAGGACACTCGCGGGGGCAGTCAGGCCGGGGAGATGGAGGAGGGCGAGCTCTAGCCGTCGCTGTGAGGTCGTGCTGACTGCTGCTCGCTGACTCAGGAGGGGGGGGGTGGCTCCAGGACGAGGCGAGCGGGAACCGCGAGCACGCGGATGACTGGAGGGCTGGAGACGGGGGTGTCTGACCCCCCGCCGATGCTGCGCGGTGAAGGCGGGCGGTGCGTGCACTTCGCATCCACACCTGCGCTGGTACGACTCTGCAGCAGGCAAGTGGGCTCAGCTGCACGTCAACGGCAGATCACGGCCACGTATGGGCTCTCGACACCCTGTGCTACGCGTTGTCACACTGCCTGGTGGTTCGTTGCGCTGTCTTCCGGAACGAGCGCATGCGTCAGCGCTGAGCAAGGTCGTGCGTTGCGACGCCGATGTCAGGCAACGCAGACCCACACATGCGAAAGCAGCAGGATGCATCCACGAAAGCATCGTGCACATCGGCGAGCCCTCGTGGTCTCAGAAGGCAAGGGCGAGACCCGCAGCGACGGCAGCGAGCGCGGCCGACGCGACAGCGACTCCCGCAGCGCCCGTGCCCCCGGTAGCCACGACCTGCGCGGCATTGACCGTCTCGACCCTCGCAGTCGCGCTCGCAGACGTCGGAGGGACCGTCCCGAGCGCTTGCAGCGCCTGAACCAGCGCCGTGCCGCCGCCAGCGCCGAGCGAGCTGATGCTTGCCTCCAGCGCCGCGGCCTCTGCGGGGTCCGCAACGACGAGCGATCCGTCCGTCGTGTACTCCACGCCCTGCTGCAGGCGCCGCGTGATCTCCGCGTCGGTCTCCGAAAGGGCGCGCCGGTCGGAGCGGCGCGAGCACGGCCCGCTGGTCGCCAGCGTCAGGATCTCCGCCGCCAGGTACTCCAGCACGACCGCCCGCGTCGCGATGTTGAACAGCACCTGCCCGAGGGCGAGGCGCAGCTCCTCGCGCTGCGCGCACGTGAGCTGCGTGTCGTACGTGGTCGACGTCGACGCCTGCGCGCGCCGCACGGTGCCGCCTTGTGCGGCGACATCGCGAATGCGTTCGATCTCGGCCCGCGCCTCCTCGACCGTTGCGAGCTTCGGGGGAAGCGTGGGGGCGAGCGTCGTGGCCTGCGGCGGGGAGATGCCTGCGACGGGGTTGTTGTTCACGGGCGGATTGTTGTTGATGGACCCCGCCGGGGGGGGGTTGGTGGGCCCGGCGATCCCCGCCTCCGTCACTGGCTGGGACATTGAAATGCTGAGCGAAGAGAAGGAGAAGGCCGACGTACTGAACGTGGGGCTCCTGGACATCTCCGAATACAACAGCCCGCTGTTCGCGATCTGAGTGATGCGTGCGGCCAGCGCGGTCGCCAGGGCGTCCGTGGCGAGGAACGAGAAGCCCGTGAAGTTCGCGACGCCGGGCGGGGCAGTAGCGTTGGCCTGCTCCGCGCAGCCGAACGGCTTGCTGCCACGCGCCAGGAGAGTCTGCCCGTTCACGCTGGCCGCCGCGGCCTGCGCCACGCTGGGCTCCGTGAAGTTGAACAGCGCCACGGCGAGAGCGTCGTAGACGGCGTCGACCTGAGGACAGTCCCATGAGCTGAAAGACTTCTCGAACGCAACCCAAGGCACCGTCACGCGGGTGCCCGTGCCGCCCGTCAGCGCGGAGCGGATCGTGCTGACCGTCGACGCCGACACGTCCCCGAGCGGCCCAGGCGCAGCACCGATCGACGTGAGAAGCTCGAGCGCACCCACCGTAGTTCTGCTCCATGTATTCAGAGACGCCGACGAGGGGGAGCGGAAGAAGATTTGCGACAGCTCCGACCGAAACCTGGGGCTGCCAAAGATGTTGAAAAGCGACCAGATCACCCCTGGGGGATCAGTTCTGAGGAACAAAGCGGCCGTGTCACCGTCCGTGAGGTGATACTGGAACGTCGAGACGTACGAGAAGGTCGCCTGCATCTCCCGCTCGTCGACCAGCATGCGCAGCCGCGTGCACTCCCCCAGGGTCTCCCCCTGTAGCAGCCCAGCGGCGGTGTACACGTCCAGGACGGGCTGCGAGCCCAGGTTGAAGAGCACGCGGGCGGTGGCGTTGCCGAGCCTGTCGCGGTCCTCGCAGCTCAGCGCAGAGGAGAAGGACGTGGTGACCTGCACACGTACACGGTAGACTCGACGGCCGTCCGGGCCGCACGGCGCCAGCCCGCCGCACACTGCGCGCTCCCCGATCGCCCGCAGCTCTGCGTTCACTGCGGCCTGGGCTTGCGAAACGAAGTCTACGTTCGGGATCAAGGTCGGGGGTGGCGTCGTGGGAGGGTTGGTGGGCCCTGCCGTGGGAGGGTTGGTGGGCCCTGCCGTGGGAGGGTTGGTGGGCCCTGCCGTGGGAGGGTTGGTTTTGTTTTGTGGCAGGTCGATTGCCACGTCTGTCTTGGTGGGCGCAGAAAAGACGCTGATCGTAGCTTCGTAGATTCTTGGAAAAAATCCCCGCACCGTGGGGTCCCGCGCCAGCTCCTCCACCAGGTCGATTGTGCCGTTGGCGATCTGCTGTACACGCGCCAGGAGCTGGTCGCCGAGGGCAGGTGTCGTTAGAAAAGCGAAGTTGGTGTACACGTTGTCCACTTCAACTCCTGGAATAAGTCTGTTGAAAGAGTCATCATGACACTGCGAGTTGCCGCGCGTCAGCAAAGCCTGACCGGTAATCGCTCGTTCTTCGGCCGCAGCCACGACTGTGGTGTTCACGAGGTTGAAGAGGGCCACTGCAATGCCGTCCGACAGTGCCAAGCAAGATCCAGGCCGATCGAACCTCACCGCATAATCCAAGATACTCCTGCGTTTCCTGAACGCGATTTGACTGACATTGACCAGCGTGGCAGTCTCACCGGCGATCGCCGCGCGAATGTCGCTGATGTCCGCCACCGAGATCCCGCCCGGGTTGACGACCGGGTCGAGGAGCGACACCTTCGCAACGAAAGGTGCGGAGACGTTGGTATGCATCGTCGCGATGTCGGGGATCGCCAGCCTGACCTTCCAGTCCCGCGCCAGCTCTGCCGCGAGGTCGATGGTGCCGTTGGAGATCTGCTGCAAGCGAGTCAGCAGCTGCACGTTGAGGGAATATCCGTCCGCAAGCCCATAGTCGGCGAACACAGCTGCCCCGGTGCTCTGCATCGACCGCCGCATCCCCGTGCAGCTGAACGGCTTCGGCCCGCGTGTCAGCGGAACCACTCGCAGCCGTTTGATATCTTCTGAGCCCCTCGCCTCTGCGTCGGCCAAGATGCTGTAGTCCCTGAACTTGAACAGCGCCACCGCGATGCCGTCGTACAGTGTCGAGATCTGCTTGCACGTCCAGGTCGACGTCGAGTTGCCGATGGCGACAAACGGCACACTAAACCGTCGTGTGGTGGGAAAAAATTTGGCCCATAGTAGAAAGTTCTGAAAATCCGCACCGCCTGGATTGATGCGCTGAAGTTCACCGACATCTGACGACGCAGTGGGTGCAGATACCGTGACTGTTGTGGCTTCAGTGATGTCCGGCAGCTCCGCCCGCACCTCGGGAATCCGCGCGAGCTCATGCGCCAGGTTGATTGTGCCGTTCGCGATCTGCCGCACGCGCGTCAGGAGCTGGTCGGCGACGGCAGGCGAAGCCAGGAATTCGATGTTCGTTTGGCGAACCTCTATCCGTCTCGAGTTGGGGTTTGAAGGGTTGTAACTGGGAAAATCCGAACAGGACGACAAACCGTACTGCAGAAGATGCTGGCTGCCGATTGTCTCGACTCTATCTCTGGCTGCATCGATGACTGCGCTGTTCACGAGGTTGAAGAGGGCCACCGGAAGGTGTTCGCGCAGCGCAGAGTACTGATTCTGGCACCGGAGACCTGTGTACTCAAGCTTCACCGAGCCGACGGAAACCCGCGTGGCGTTCTCACCGGCGATCGCCGCGCGAATGTCGCTGATGTCCGCCACCGAGATCCCGCCCGGGTTGACGACCCGGTCGCGGAGCGAAACCTCCGCGTCGACGGGTGCGGAGACGTTGGTGTGCATCGTCGCGATGTCGGGGATCGCCAGCCTGACCTTCCAGTCCCGCGCCAGCTCTGCCGCGAGGTCGATGGTGCCGTTGGAGATCTGCTGCAGCCGTGCGCTGGTCTGCCTCGTCGTGAGGTCAGAGCTGGCACCAGGTACGAACCCATAGGCCGTAAACACGGCGGCCCCGGTGCTCTGCTGCATCGACCGCATCTGCGCGCAGCTGAACGGCTTCGGCCCGCGTGTCAGCAGACTCGCGCCGTCGACCACGATGCCGTGGTCCCTGAAGTTGAAGAGTGCCACTGCGAGGCCGTCGTACAGCGTCGAGATCTGCCCGCACGTCCAGGACGTCGTCGCGTTGCCGATGGCGACGAGCGGCACGTCAAGCCGTAGCCTGGTTCGCGAAAAGTCTGTCCACCAGAGTCCTGACCCGAACGTAAGCATGCTAGTGATGGTAGAAGAATCCACACCGTTTCGGTTGATGATTTGATGTGCGCCGACCACCGACGAAGTAGTGAATGATCCGACTTCGATGCGAAACGAAGCGACGTCAGGGTGCGCGGCAAGCACTACCGGGTCCCGTGCCAGCTCCGCCTTGAGGTCGATGGTGCGGTTGGCGATGAGCTGCACGCGTGTCAGGAGCTGCGCGCCGAGTGCAGGTGTGGCCAGGAATCTGAAATCCCCGGTGAAGCCATTTTGTATAGCCCCACAACAAACAACGCCCGAGCCCATGCCGGAGCCGGAGCCCATGCCGGAGCCGGAGCCCGATCCCATGCCAGGGCCGGAGCCCATGCCAGAGCCCGAGCCCATGCCGGAGCCCGAGCCCATGCCGGAGCCGGAGCCCATGCGAGCCCGATCATGCCAGGGCCGGAGCCCATGCCGGAGCCCGAGCCCATGCCGGAGCCGCCCATGCCGGAGCCGGAGCCCATGCCGGAGCCGCCCATGCCGGAGCCGGAGCCCATGCCGGAGCCCGAGCCCATGCCGGAGCCGGAGCCCGAGCCCATGCCGGAGCCGGCCGGAGCCCATGCCGGGCCGGAGCCGGGCCATGCCGGAGCCGGGCCGAGCCCATGCCGGGCCCGAGCCCATGCGGGCCAGGCCATGCGGCCCGAGCCCGTGCCGGAGCCGGAGCCATAGATCCCATGCCAGGGCCGGAGCCCATGCCAGAGCCCGAGCCCATGCCGGAGCCGGGCCGGGCCATGCCGAGCCCCCATGCCGGGCGGGCGGGCCCATGCGGAGCCGGAGCCCGATGCCATGCCGGGCCGGAGCCCGAGCCCATGCCGGAGCCCGAGCCCATGCCGGGCCGAGCCCATGAGAGCCGGAGCCCATGCCGGAGCCGGGCCGGGCCATGCCCGAGCCCATGCCGGAGCCGAGCCCATGCCGGGCCGAGCCCATGCCAGAGCCGGGCCCATGCCAGAGCCCGAGCCCATGCCAGCCATGCCGAGCCCATGCCGGGCCCGAGCCCGTGCGGGCGGAGCCCGTGCCGGAGCCCGAGCCCATGCCGGAGCCGGAGCCACCAGTCGGCTGCAGCCGCCTGACGGAGCCGGAGCCCATGCCGGAGCCCGAGCCCATGCCGGTGCCCGAGCAGTTTTCCCGCCGTCGCGTCAGCAGAGCCTGGCCGGAAATCGCCGTGTCTTTGGCCGCGGCAGCGACTGTTGTGTTGACAAGGTTGAAGAGGGTCACCGCGACGCCATCGAGCAGTATCTCTTCCTCACTGCTGCACCCCGCAATCGGGCGATCGTAATAGATGAGGACGCGGGTGCTGATCTGCATGGCGTTCTGACCGGCGATCGCCGCGCGAATGTCGCTGATGTCCGCCACCGAGATCCCACCGGGGTTGACGATCGGACTCAGGGTCGCGGTGACGTTCTGCTGCACGTTGCGTCCCACCGCCAGCGGCCTGTGCGCCACGTTGGCCAGACGCGTGCACTTGTGCTGCTCCTCCATCGCGAGCGCGGATCGGCCCTCGCCGAACGCAGCGCCCAGCACGACGCCGTCGCCCGTGCCCACCACGCGCAGCACGGCCGCGCGGTCGAAGTCCGCGGTGAGCTTCCCGCAGCCGGACAGCACGACCGCATCGCCGTCGCCCAGCTGCAACGACCTGGCGCCGGCCACGAGGATCTCGCCGGAGACCGAGCTCAGCGGCGGGATGATGGTCACCTCGCACGTCTCCCCGGCGGGCACGTCGACGGTGGTCGTGATCGCGAGGGCGTGAAAGGACAGCGGCGCGCCGTCACCGCACGTCACGGGCTGCGTCTCGGCGGGCTCGTACGACATGGAGAAGCCGGAGCCCTGGACGTCCGAGTCCGACTCGAACGTCACCTCGACGTCGCCGCGCACCACGAGCGGCGCCGAAGCGTGCGTGCCGGAGAAGCGCCCGACGACGTTGCCGTTGGCTCGCACCGTGACCTCGTCGAAGAGGAGCTCGGTGTCGATGGAGTCGAGGGAGAGCGCGGTGGGGCGGTCGGCCCTGAGGCGCCAGGAGCACTTGGAGCTGCGCGCAGAGGCACAAGAGCAAGATGTGTGTGTGATGGGGCCTCGAGCCGCCAGATGCGTGGAGAGGGAGAAAGACAGATCAAATGCGCGCTCCCGGCATGCGCGTGCGCTGACATGCGACCTTGCGCGGGCTCGACGCGGGAGGCCCGCAGCCGGGGCCGTACAGCGACGCGATTGCGCTGCGCTGGCTGAGTGGAGGCTGCGGCGCGCGAACGGCGCAAAAAGGCTGATGTACGCGGCGGCAGTGCCACCGATCTCGCGTGAATAGCCATTTTTCGCAGCGCGTCGCGGGGATGGGGCGGAAAAGCCTCCGGGATTGGCTGTAGTAATTGGGAGATCAGTGTGCCCCGGGAGCCCGCAGCGCCGGAATGCTCGCACGCCATCCAACACGTGCAGCATGAGGCGTCTCTACGGCAGCGGAGATTCTCGAAATGCAGGATTTGGTGCTCACCTGGCCTCATATTCGGACAGGCCAAACGAGCCAGCAGCCCCATCGAGGACCGCGCCTTCGGGGCACGCTTTGGCCACGGCGAGGCCAGCGGCCAGCAAAATCAATGCCACAGCTCGCAGCATCGCTCCCGGCCGGAGCATGGCGGGTACCTGCGCGCGCGAGCCGGGGACGGCATGGTGTCGGAAGGCGAGGGCTCCTGGAAAGAAAGCATACGCCTCGATCGAGAACGCGCGCAAAACATAGGTTGCCAATGCTCCAAGGTAGGGCAAAGGGGCCGCGAGCTCGCGGCCGCGAGCGGCGCCGCGCCCGCGCTGCGGCGAGGGCCGAAGCTCAATGCAGGACCTCACCTGTGCACGACCAGTCGAGGAAATCCGACTGTCCTTCGTAATGCTTCATGGAATTGGCCCGTGTCCGCAACGACTCCCGCGCAGCGCGGCCCGCACGCCGCGCGCGCGGGGCCATTGGGCCCTGAGGGCCCGTGTCAGACAGGCAGGCTGGCCAATCAAAGACTGCTCTGCCTCTCGAGTGGGAATCCGCGCCAGACGGTGTCTCGAGGGTCCCGAGCAGCAGTCCGGCCGGATGCGGTGACGACGGCGGCGGAGACGCGGCGAGCGCGGGCGCCACGACGCAGCTCGCGCGCAGGTCCAGCGGATAGGCCTGTCTGTGGACTGGAACAGGCTGCTGCGTGTACGTCGCGTTGCCTCCCTGGTCGCGTCCAGCGCGGACGTGCCGCGGCCTGCCGGCACGCGCAGCGCAGCCCCGGCGCCGCCCGCGGCCCACGTCGTCTCGCTCGCGTCCAGCGTCCCGTGGATCAGCATCACACCGTCAGACAGGCCTCCTCGATCTTCAGTGTGCGCGCCTGCCGGCTCTCAGTCGCCCAGATCCGACTCTCCCTGCGCCTTGAAGTCCCGCCACGACCGCCCCGCGCGCCGCCGCAGCCGCGCCGCCGCCCCCGGAGACCCCCACGTCTCTTTCGTCGGACTGGAGGCCTGAGACACCACCGGGGACCCAAACGCGCCCGACGCGCGCGGACCGCCCGCGCCCGACGGCCCGGCCTCCCCGCGCCGCGCGTCGGCGCGCTCGACCGGCATCTGCGCCTGCGCGGTCGCCACGGCGAGGTCGAGGAGGAGCTTCGCAGACGCGGTGCGCTCGGGCGGCATCCTGTGGGCCGCGCTGGGGAGGTCGAGCGCCTCCTCGTCGCCCACGTCGGCCTCGAAGAAGGCCCCGCGGTACGCGTACGTCACGCGCAGGCGCTTGTTGTCCTCGTACGGCGCGGGGTCCGCAAAGCCGAAAAGCCCTCTCTTCTTCACTCCGGACGCTATGGCGAGACGCCCGTCCCTGATCATGTACTGCGTCGCGACCGTGACGTCCACGGTCGCCGCGGCCCCGGCCTCGCCGTCGTCTCCGGGCCCGGGCTCCCCCTCGCCTGCTTCCGCGTGCGCGCCGTACGTCGCTTCCAGGATCACGAGGCCCGCGCCGCCTGGCCGCTCGAGCTCCTCGCGGATCGCCCGCCGCGTGACCGGCATCAGCAGCTCCGCCGCCGCCGCGACCTTCGCGGCAGCCGCCGCCTCCTCCTCGGCGTGCGCCTGCCGCGCCCGCGCGCGCCGCGCTGCCGCAACGCGGTCCCGGAACGGCCGCCAGAAGCAGAAGTACCCCGCGGCTGCGACGACGGGCGGGAGCAGCGCGCACAGCACGCCGTCGCCCACGCGCTCAGCCACGTCGTCGCCGACAAACTTGATTGGGATTGTAAGTCTGTGGCCCCCGCGCTTGACCCCGAGCTTCCAAGTGACGCCCTTGGTGCCGACGCTGACGCCGAGGACCGCGGACGTCGCGGCCGTCACGCGCTGCTCCGCGATCGCGTCCACGGAGCCCCCGGCCAGCGTCAGCTTGCCTTCCAGCTTCATCGAGGTGGACGCCGACAGCGTGCGCACGTACGCCCCTGCGCGGCGCACGTCAAGACCGGGGACGTGAGCGGCTGTCTCGCCCCGGAATCTCACCGGAGGCGCAGGAGATGTAACGCGGAAAATCAAGATCAATCACGAAGGACTAATTGTTGCATTGAAGCGTGCGTCGTGTCGGCCCGCCGCCGCCGCCGCGCACCTGACACGCCGATCATCGTGCCCAGGTCCATGCGCGCCTGCCACGCCTGCACCTCGTCCCCGCGCCCCAGCGCCACGCTCAGCGCAGGCACCGGGCCCAGCACCGCGCTCGCCTCGCCGCTGTACCCGCCCCCGAGCTGCCGCTGCGACGTGATCGCCATGCCCATCGAGCCCCGCCCTGGCTCGTCCTCCACGCCCATCGCGGCCAAGAGTCCCCCCCCCGACTCCGCGGGGGGCTCCCACGTGACGAGCACCGTCGCCGTGTCGTGCGGGGAGAGCTGCCGCGTCGACGCCGCCGTCACCATCGTCCGCATGCCGAGCGTCGCGCCCAGCTCGATGCTGTCGTGCGCCGTCAGCTGCTGCTTGAGGCCCGCGCTGAAGTTGCCGCGTCCCGCGCCGTCGCTACGGAACGCGCCCGAGCCGCCCGCGATGATCGCGCCGGACGCGCCGGCGGGCACCGACGCCGAGCTCGACATCGTGAGCGCGCGAATCTGCACGCAGCACACCAGCGTCGCCGATCACGCCCGCTGCCGGCAGTTGGAGCAACGCAGAACACCAGCAATCGGGAAAACGAAGACTGCGACGGATCTCGGGATTCGGGACGCGGAGAGAGGGCGCGCACCGAGGGCAGCTCGCGCCTGGTGCCGCCGCCGACCGGTGCGCCCCGGACGGTGCGCGTGGCGTCCACGTGGAGGCTGAACGCGCTCTTGGAGGTCACTTGGCGGCGCAGGCGGGCCTCCTCGCGCTCGATCCGGAAGCGCTCCCACTCCCGCTTGATGTCGTCGAGGGTGTCGTCGCGCGTGGTGATCTCCAGACCGGACTTCAGGCCCGCCACGCCGTACACGTCGTAGATGCGCCGCCTCTCTTCGTTCGACAGCACCTCGTACGCCTCGACGACCTGCGCACGACGCGTCCCGGATGCGCCGTGGTCTTCTTCTTCGCGCCCTTCTTCTTCTTCTCCGGCGCCTTCTTCGCGTCCCCCCACTCGACGCCCGGCAGCGCGCCCGCCGGCGCCGTGGCCGCCAGCGGCCGCTTCGACGACGACGACGCCTTCTTCAGCTTGCGCGACGACCCCGCCTTCCCCGCAGCCGGCGCGTCGAGCGCGCCCGTGGCCGCCAGGGACGTCCGCGACGACGTCGGCGCTGCTTTCCTGGACGAACCCTTCTTCGACAGTTTGGTCGACGAAGAGGAGCGGGCTGGGAGCGTCATGGACGCGGACCTGCTCGGACTGAGGCCCCCCGCGTCGGAGTCGTAGCTGTTTGGGACGTCGGGGGTCCCGGCGGCCGAGTTGCGCGTCACCACGGCATCGCTCTCATACCCCGTCGCGCCGCGGAGGTTGCTCGAGGCCTGCGTGGTAATCGACAAGGAAGCCTTGAGATCATACGATTGGTAGGGGTGGGATTTCCGCGCGGAAAGCGGGGCACGGCGACTGAGACGCGCCACAAGGCACCGGGAGAGTGCAGGCGCAGCGAGGCGTCCTGTGGGGTGCGCCGGCTGGGGAGAGCGGCGCGAACGACACGGTTCGGAATGGCAAATACCCGCCCGCGGACCCCGTCAGAGGAGTAGCGGGCGTTCGAGCGCCACAGGCGCTCACAGGCCGCGCAGGTCAACCGAGACGCATCGCGCGTTTCCCGCGGTCTGAGAGCGTACGAGAGCGTTTCTGTGCGCGCACGCGCTAGAACACATCAGTTTCTATCCAGGCTTACCTTTCTACTCGCTTTTTTCGCCCCGAGCTTGCCGGTGCGGCCCTTGCTGGACTCCTTTGCTTCCAGGGCTCTCTCCCGCTGTTTGAGGCTCGAGGGACTGCGCGTTGGCGACGCCCCGGCGGCGGCCTTCCCGGACGGCCGCTTGCGCGTCACCGAGCCGGCGCGCTTCGGCGCGGGCATCCCGCAGGTGGCGCACGCGGTGGTGCTCCCCCCGCACTGGGCGCCCCTCCTGCCGCCGCTGCGGGCAGCGACCTGCGCGGATTTCTCCCTTGTAACACGCGCACACGCGTTCTCGCGCCCTACGCAGCGTCAGACGGGTACGTGCGTCCTCGCACGGCGCACGGACGTCAACATTAATTGCTGAATATGCCTAGAGCTCGCGCCAGGGGCCCTGTCTACGAGCAGGGGTGCCGAATCGCGACCAAGCGGCGGCTACTTGCCTCCGCCTCGCAGAGGCGCTTGCCATTGGCGCAGCGGAGCCCTGTCGGGCACAGCAACGTCGGGGGAGCACGTCGGGTGCTGGACAGACGACAGCCACGTGGCCTGGACGGATGTGTTGCGGCCGGTCCTCGTCTGCGCGGCGCCGCGCGCGTACAGGCACTGTCGTGCGGTCGAGATCCAAGTGTCAGAACGCGTCAGCAGCGCGTGCGGGGCTAAGGCGTGTAGGTCTCTCGTTCAGTGGAGACGCGTTCTGGAGGACCTGCGCTGGCTCTTCCGCCTGGCCCAGGGTTCAGAAGCGCGAGTTCCACGTAGGCGTGCGTATCTGGGGACAAGCTGGACCCCGTGCGGCGGGGGCTGGGGCCTTGAGCGGCTGGAGTCGCCTTCTAGGCGGGGTGCCGCGATGGCGCAGCGGCAGGGCGCTGCCATCGACCGAGATGAGATCATTAGACGGCGGTTCGACACGCAGGCCGCCTCGGTCAGGTGCGAGGCAGACTGGGGTGCACTTCGCTTGGGTTGCCAGCTACAGGTGGCTCGTCCAGCGACAGCTCAGGCCATCAAGTTGTTTCGACGGACAAAGCGCTATGTTTGCTCAACGTTGCGGGCACAGACGCCGAATTCAGCGGCACAGGCGCACCCAGTGCGTCCGCGAGAGGTGAAGAGAGCGCCCACTGCTGGCACCCTCCCGCCCGCTCGCAGGGGCCCCGGTGCGATCAAGCGCTTGCTGAGGTCCTTCCTGGACATGTCAGCCGCCGCGCAGGCGGGCGACCAGGCCCGTCTCGCCGAGGCCGGCAACCGCACGGTCCGCGAAGTGTGGCACTGGGAGGAGGACGCAAAGCGCCGCGCGATCACGTCCACGGCGACCGAGCGCGAGCTCGAGCACTACAGGACGCTCAAGGAGGAGAAGGAGGCCGCCGTGCAGGCCGTGCGCGCGACCGTGGCCACCAGGAAGCGCGACCTCGAGGAGGCGCAGGCGTGGCGCCAGCGGCAGGAGGAGTACGAGGCGAAGCGGAAGAAGATCGTCGCGGTGCCGGGGAGGGCGTCGACGATCAAGAAGATCCAGGACACACACGCGAAGATCGACGCGATCCGGCAGCGCGAGGTGCGCTGCACGCAACGCGCAACCGACGTCGCTGGCTCGCGTTGCGTCCGTGCGGGTGGTCGCGTCCGCGGCGCTCCGTTCCTGCGTTGCTGAGATGCTGCTCGGTGCCGTGGTGCCCTGCTGCAGCTCGCGGTGGAGGCCGCTATCGCGTTGCGCAAGCGGCAAGTGCAGCTGCTTGTGGCTGCGGCTGCGGACCTGCGGCGGTCGGTGGAGGAGGACGACCTGGTCGTGTCGATGGACGAGGCGGCGCTCGAGCGCCTGCGCGTCTCGAGGGTCAGGTGAGACCCCCCCTGCCCCATTCAATTGTCACACCGCCGCGGGCGCGCGCTCCTGCCGGTTTTGTGCGCGTGCGATGCTTGCTTGCTCATCATGGCGAAGCGCTGGGCGCAGCGTGCTGCTGCTCGGAACGATGACGAGTCGTTGCACGATGGCGGCGGTGTGCGGCGACGCCGCGTTGGTGCTCAGGGGGTGTTATTGTTGTGGTGCGTGTGTTCGCAGCGGAACGTGCGTGCGCTGGCGGGGGAGAACGACGCGGAGGAGGGCGAGGCGGACGGCGGCGGCGAGGGCCGCACGGAGGAGGCGCGGGGCGACGCGGGCGACGCCGAGGCGGGGGGGGCTGGTGGTGAACGGTCAGAGCAGCAGCAGACGCGGTCCGGGCAGGACACTCGCGGGGGCAGTCAGGCCGGGGAGATGGAGGAGGGCGAGCTCTAGCCGTCGCTGTGAGGTCGTGCTGACTGCTGCTCGCTGACTCAGGAGGGGGGGGGTGGCTCCAGGACGTGGCGACCAGGAACCGCGAGCACGCGGATGGCTGGAGGGTGCAGAGACGGGGTTGTCTGACCCCCCGCCGATGCTGCGCGGTGAAGGCGGGCGGTGCGTGCACTTCGCATCCACACCTGCGCTGGTACGCCTCTGCAGCAGGCAAGTGGGCTCAGCTGCACGTCAACGGCAGATCACGGCCACGTATGGGCTCTCGACACCCTGTGCTACGCGTTGTCACACTGCCTGGTGGTTCGTTGCGCTGTCTTCCGGAACGAGCGCATGCGTCAGCGCTGAGCAAGGTCGTGCGTTGCGACGCCGATGTCAGGCAACGCAGACCCACACATGCGAAAGCAGCAGGATGCATCCACGAAAGCATCGTGCACATCGGCGAGCCCTCGTGGTCTCAGAAGGCAAGGGCGAGACCCGCAGCGACGGCAGCGAGCGCGGCCGACGCGACAGCGACTCCCGCAGCGCCCGTGCCCCCGGTAGCCACGACCTGCGCGGCATTGACCGTCTCGACCCTCGCAGTCGCGCTCGCAGACGTCGGAGGGACCGTCCCGAGCGCTTGCAGCGCCTGAACCAGCGCCGTGCCGCCGCCAGCGCCGAGCGAGCTGATGCTTGCCTCCAGCGCCGCGGCCTCTGCGGGGTCCGCAACGACGAGCGATCCGTCCGTCGTGTACTCCACGCCCTGCTGCAGGCGCCGCGTGATCTCCGCGTCGGTCTCCGAAAGGGCGCGCCGGTCGGAGCGGCGCGCGCACGGCCCGCTGGTCGCCAGCGTCAGGATCTCCGCCGCCAGGTACTCCAGCACGACCGCCCGCGTCGCGATGTTGAACAGCACCTGCCCGAGGGCGAGGCGCAGCTCCTCGCGCTGCGCGCACGTGAGCTGCGTGTCGTACGTGGTCGACGTCGACGCCTGCGCGCGCCGCACGGTGCCGCCTTGTGCGGCGACATCGCGAATGCGTTCGATCTCGGCCCGCGCCTCCTCGACCGTTGCGAGCTTCGGGGGAAGCGTGGGGGCGAGCGTCGTGGCCTGCGGCGGGGAGGTGCCTGTGACGGGGTTGTTGTTCACGGGAGGGTTGTTGTTGGTGGAGCCCGCCGAGGGGGGGTTGGTGGGCCCGGCGATCCCCGCCTCCGTCACTGGCTGGGACATTGAAATGCCGAGCGAGATGGAGGAGGAGAAGAAGGCCGACGTCCTGAACGTGGGGCTCCTGGACATCTCCGAGAACAACAGCCCGCTGTTCGCGATCTGAGTGATGCGTGCGGCCAGCTCGGTCGCCAGGGCGTCAGTAGCGAGGAACGAAAAGCCCGTGAAGTTTGCGACGCCGGGCGGGGCAGTAGCGTTGGCCTGCTCCGCGCAGCCGAACGGCTTGCTGCCACGCGCCAGGAGAGTCTGCCCGTTCACGCTGGCCGCCGCGGCCTGCGCCACGCTGGGCTCCGTGAAGTTGAACAGTGCCACGGCGAGAGCGTCGTAGACGGCGTCGACCTGAGGACAGTCCCATGAGCTGAAAGACTTCTCGAACGCAACCCAAGGCACTGTCACGCGGGTGCCCGTGCCGCCCGTCAGCGCGGAGCGTATCGTGCTGACCGTCGACACCGACACGTCCCCGAGCGGCCCAGGCGCAGCACCGATGGACGTGAGAAGTTCGAGCGCACCCACCGTAGTTCCGCTGAGCGAACTGAGAGACGCCGACCTGGGGAAGCGGAAGATTCGAGCCAGCTCCGACCGGAATCTGGAGCCGCCGGAAGAGTACAGCGACCAGATTACCCCTGGAGGACTTGTTCTGAGGAACAAATTGGTCGTTTCTAGGTCTGTGAGGTGATACTGGAACGTCGAGACGTACGAGAAGGTCGCCTGCATCTCCCGCTCGTCGACCAGCATGCGCAGCCGCGTGCACTCCCCCAGGGTCTCCCCCTGTAGCAGCCCAGCGGCCGTGTACACGTCCAGGACGGATTGCGAGCCCAGGTTGAAGAGCACGCGGGCGGTGGCGTTGCCGAGCCTGTCGCGGTCCTCGCAGCTCAGCGCAGAGGAGAAGGACGTGGTGACCTGCACACGTACACGGTAGACTCGATTGCCTTCCGGACCGCACGACGCCAGCCCGCCGCACACTGCGCGCTCGCCGATCACCTGCAGCTCTGCGTTCACTGCGGCCTGAGCTTGCGAAACGAAGTCTACGTTCGGGATCAAGGTCGGGGGTGGCGTCGTCGGTCGCGGCGACTGTGTCGTCACCGGTGGGGCAGTCGCTCCAATAAACGACACCGACGTGACCGTGGAGATGTTGGTCTGGACCGACGCAATGTCGGGAATCGCGGCCCTGACGATCGGGTCCCGTGCCAGCTCCGCCGCCAGGTCGACAGTGCCGTTGGCGATGAGCTGCAAGCGAGTCAGCAGCTGCGCGCCGAGGAAGGTGGTGGCTTTGAAACTGTAGGAGGTGAACTCAGCCGTGCCGTTGCCAATCTGCTGCAGCGACCGCCGCATCCTCGCGCAGCTGAAGGGCTTTGGCCCGCGGCTCAGCAGGGCGCCTTCGGGGCCGATCTCCGGAGCGGATACAAGAGTGGCGACTTCCACGACGTCGATGTCCGTGAAGTTGAACAGCGCCACCGCGAGGCCGTCGTACAGCGTCGAGACCTGGCTGCATGTCCAGCGCGACGTCACGTTGCCGACACTGATGGATGGAACGATAACCTGTGTCCCTTGGGCGCCAATAAGGAGAGGGCGGATGCCGAAGAGAATGGCGCCGGCAGACACGCCGCCTGGGTTGATGATCGGATGTTCGCCGACCACTGAGGAAGTAGTGGGTGAAGTGACACTGATGCCGAACGAAGCGATGTTAGGGTGCGCTTCAAGCACCACGGGGTCCCGCGCCAGCTCCGCCTTGAGGTCGATGGTGCCGTTGACGATGAGCTGCACGCGCGTCAGGAGCTGCGCGCCGAGTACAGGTGTGGCCAGGAATCTGAAATCCCCGGTGTAGCCATTTTGCAAATCCCCACAACGAACAATGCCGAACCGCCGTCGCGTCAGCAGAGCCTGGCCGGAAATCGCCGTGTCTTTGGCCGCGGCAGCGACTGTTGTGTTGACGAGGTTGAAGAGGGTCACCGCGATGCCATCGAGCAGTATCTCTTCTTCATTGCTGCACGCCGCAATCGGGGCAGCATTGTAATTGATGATGACACGGGTGCTGATCAGCATGGCGTCCTGACCGGCGATCGCCGCGCGAATGTCGCTGATGTCCGCCACCGAGATCCCGCCGGGGTTGACGATCGGACTCAGGGTCGCGGTGACGTTCTGCTGCACGTTGCGTCCCACCGCCAGCGGCCTGTGCGCCACGGTGGTCAGACGCGTGCACTTGTGCTGCTCCTCCATCGCGAGCGCGGATCGGCCCTCGCCGAACGCAGCGCCCAGCACGACGCCGTCGCCCGTGCCCACCACGCGCAGCACGGCCGCGCGGTCGAAGTCCGCGGTGAGCTTCCCGCAGCCGGACAGCACGACGGCGTCGCCGTCGCCCAGCTGCACCGACCTGGCGCCGGCCACGAGGATGTCGCCGGAGACCGAGCTCAGCGGCGGGATGATGGTCACCTCGCACGTCTCCCCGGCGGGCACGTCGATGGTGGTCGTGATCGCGAGGGCGTGAAAGGACAGCGGCGCGCCGTCGCCGCACGTCACGGGCTGCGTCTCGGCGGGCTCGTACGACATGGAGAAGCCGGAGCCCTGGACGTCCGAGTCCGACTCGAACGTCACCTCCACGTCGCCGCGCACCACGAGCGGCGCCGACGCGTGCGTGCCGGAGAAGCGCCCGACGACGTTGCCGTTGGCTCGCACCGTGACCTCGTCGAAGAGGAGCTCGGTGTCGATGGAGTCGAGGGAGAGCGCGGTGGGGCGGTCGGCCCTGAGGCGCCAGGAGCACTTGGAGCTGCGCGCAGAGGCACAAGAGCAAGATGTGTGTGTGATGGGGCCTCGAGCCGCCAGGTGCGTGGAGAGGGAGAAAGACAGATCAAATGCGCGCTCCCGGCATGGCGTGTGCGCTGACATGCGACCTCGCGCGGACTCGACGCGGGAGGCCCGCAGCCGGGGCCGTACGCGACGTGATTGCGCTGCGCTGGCTGAGTGGAGGCTGCGGCGCGCGAACGGCGCAAGGAGGCTGATGTACGCGGCGGCAGTGCCACCGATCTCGCATGAATAGCCATTTTTCGCAGCGCGTCGCGGGGATGGGGCGGAAAAGCCTCCGGAATTGGCTGTAGTAATTGGGAGATCAGTGTGCCCCGGGAGCCCGCAGCGCCGGAATGCTCGCGCGCCATCCAACACGTGCACCATGAGGCGTCTCTACGGCAGCGGAGATTCTCGAAATGCAGGAATTGCAGGGTTTGGTGCTCACCTGGCCTCATATTCGGACAGGCCAAACGAGCCAGCAGCCCCATGGAGGACCGCGCCTTCGGGGCACGCTTTGGCCACGGCGAGGCCAGCGGCCAACAGAATCAATGCCGCAGCTCGCAGCATCGCTCCCGGCCGGAGCATGGCGGGTACCTGCGCGCGCGAGCCGGGGACGGCATGGTGTCGGGAGGCGAGGGCTCCTGGAAAGAAAGCATACGCCTCGATCGAGAACGCGCGCAAAACATAGGTTGCCAATGCTCCAAGGTAGGGCAAAGGGGCCGCGAGCTCGCGGCCGCGAGCGGCGCCGCGCCCGCGCTGCGGCGAGGGCCGAAGCTCAATGCAGGACCTCACCTGTGCACGACCAGTCGAGGAAATCCGACTGCCCTTCGTAATGCTTCGTGGAATTGGCCCGTGTCCGCAACGACTCCCGCGCAGCGCGGCCCGCACGCCGCGCGCGCGGGGCCACTGGGCCCTGAGGGCCCGTGTCAGACAGGCAGGCTGGCCAATCAAAGACTGCTCTGCCTCTCGAGTGGGAATCCGCGCCAGACGGTGTCTCGAGGGTCCCGAGCAGCAGTCCGGCCGGATGCGGTGACGACGGCGGCGGAGCCGCGGCGAGCGCGGGCGCCAAGACGCAGCTCGCGCGCAGGTCCAGCGGATAGGCCTGTCTGTGGACTGGAACAGGCTGCTGCGTGTACGTCGCGTTGCCCTCCTGGTCGCGTCCAGCGCGGACGTGCCGCGGCCTGCCGGCACGCGCAGCGTAGCCCCGGCGCCGCCCGCGGCCCACGTCGTCTCGCTCGCGTCCAGCGTCCCGTGGATCAGCGTCACACCGTCAGACAGGCCTCCTCGATCTTCAGTGTGCGCGCCTGCCGGCGCTCAGTCGCCCAGATCCGACTCTCCCTGCGCCTTGAAGTCCCGCCACGACCGCCCCGCGCGCCGCCGCAGCCGCGCCGCCGCCCCCGGAGACCCCCACGTCTCTTTCGTCGGACTGGAGGCCTGAGACACCACCGGGGACCCAAACGCGCCCGACGCGCGCGGACCGCCCGCGCCCGACGGCCCGGCCTCCCCGCGCCGCGCGTCGGCGCGCTCGACCGGCATCTGCGCCTGCGCGGTCGCCACGGCGAGGTCGAGGAGGAGCTTCGCAGACGCGGTGCGCTCGGGCGGCATCCTGTGGGCCGCGCTGGGGAGGTCGAGCGCCTCCTCGTCGCCCACGTCGGCCTCGAAGAAGGCCCCGCGGTACGCGTACGTCACGCGCAGGCGCTTGTTGTCCTCGTACGGCGCGGGGTCCGCAAAGCCGAAAAGCCCTCTCTTCTTCACTCCGGACGCTATGGCGAGACGCCCGTCCCTGATCATGTACTGCGTCGCGACCGTGACGTCCACGGTCGCCGCGGCCCCGGCCTCGCCGTCGTCTCCGGGCCCGGGCTCCCCCTCGCCTGCTTCCGCGTGCGCGCCGTACGTCGCTTCCAGGATCACGAGGCCCGCGCCGCCTGGCCGCTCGAGCTCCTCGCGGATCGCCCGCCGCGTGACCGGCATCAGCAGCTCCGCCGCCGCCGCGACCTTCGCGGCAGCCGCCGCCTCCTCCTCGGCGTGCGCCTGCCGCGCCCGCGCGCGCCGCGCTGCCGCAACGCGGTCCCGGAACGGCCGCCAGAAGCAGAAGTACCCCGCGGCTGCGACGACGGGCGGGAGCAGCGCGCACAGCACGCCGTCGCCCACGCGCTCAGCCACGTCGTCGCCGACAAACTTGATTGGGATTGTAAGTCTGTGGCCCCCGCGCTTGACCCCGAGCTTCCAAGTGACGCCCTTGGTGCCGACGCTGACGCCGAGGACCGCGGACGTCGCGGCCGTCACGCGCTGCTCCGCGACCGCGTCCACGGAGCCCCCGGCCAGCGTCAGCTTGCCTTCCAGCTTCATCGAGGTGGACGCCGACAGCGTGCGCACGTACGCCCCTGCGCGGCACACGTCAAGACCGGGGATGTGAGAGGCTGTCTGGCCCCGGAATCTCACCGGAAGCGCAGGAGATATAAAGCGGGAAATCAAGATCAATCACGAAAGACTAATTGTTGCATTGAAGCGTGCGTCGTGTCGGCCCGCCGCCGCCGCCGCGCACCTGACACGCCGATCATCGTGCCCAGGTCCATGCGCGCCTGCCACGCCTGCACCTCGTCCCCGCGCCCCAGCGCCACGCTCAGCGCAGGCACCGGGCCCAGCACCGCGCGCGCCTCGCCGCTGTACCCGCCCCCGAGCTGCCGCTGCGACGTGATCGCCATCCCCATCGAGCCCCACCCTGGCTCGTCCTCCACGCCCATCGCGGCCAACAGTCCCCCCCCTGACTCCGCGGGGGGCTCCCACGTGACGAGCACCGTCGCCGTGTCGTGCGGCGAGAGCTGCCGCGTCGACGCCGCCGTCACCATCGTCCGCATGCCGAGCGTCGCGCCCAGCTCGATGCTGTCGTGCGCCGTCAGCTGCTGCTTGAGGCCCGCGCTGAAGTTGCCGCGTCCCGCGCCGTCGCTACGGAACGCGCCCGAGCCGCCCGCGGTGATCGCGCCGGACGCGCCGGCGGGCGCCGACGCCGAGCTCGACATCGTGAGCGCGCGAATCTGCACGCAGCACACCAGCGTCGCCGATCACGCCCGCTGCCGGCAGCTGGAGCTACGCAGAACACCAATCGGGAAAACGGAGACTGCGACGGATCTCGGGATTCGGGACGCGGCGAGAGGGCGCGCACCGAGGGCAGCTCGCGCCTGGTGCCTCCGCCGACCGGTGCGCCCCGGACGGTGCGCGTGGCGTCCACGTGGAGGCTGAAGGCGCTCTTGGAGGTCACTTGGCGGCGCAGGCGGGCCTCCTCGCGCTCGATCCGGAAGCGCTCCCACTCCCGCTTGATGTCGTCGAGGGTGTCGTCGCGCGTGGTGATCTCCAGACCGGACTTCAGGCCCGCCACGCCGTACACGTCGTAGATGCGCCGCTTCTCTTCGTTCGACAGCACCTCGTACGCCTCGACGACCTGCGCACGACGCGTCCCGGATGCGCCGTGGGATTCTCCGTCACGCGAGCATGCCAGACCGAGGCTGGCAGGGCGCGCGGGGTCCGGCACGGCGCCGAGACACGGGGCAGCGCGTGCTTGCGGAGGCTCGTGTTCGTGCCGCCGCACCTGGTGGAACAGCTCCGCGGCCTGCTGCTTCAGCTCGGGGTCTGTGACCTTGTCCGGGTGGCACGCCATCGATAGGCGGCGGTAGGCCGCCTTGACCTCCGCGGGCCTTGCATCCCTGCGGGGCAACACGGCGCCGCACGCGCGTCGCTGCGTCGATCGCCGCCGGCCTGATCAGCGCGCGCCGCAACTGAGCAGGGGGAGGCAGTGGGGTCACGCAGCGACGCAGTCGCGCCCGCGGGGCCGAGTTGCGGCACGAGCAGCCGTGCCAAGTGCTCCGCACGCGCACCTCGAGATGTTTAGCGCGGCGTAGTAGTTGGTGTTGTCATCCTCTATGTCGTCCATGGCTACCTCCGGCCCCGACCAACCGTTCTCGAAAGCCACGCGCCCTCACCAGCCGTCTCCTGCGCAGCACAAGACGACGCCCGTCCACGGCAGGCCGTGCGCCGAACACGCAACGCCTCTTCCTGTACACGTTCAGCAGCGCTCCCCGCGGGCCCGGTGCCTGTGCGATCCGGCACCGCGGGCCCATGTGCGCAGCCGTCGCAGGTATGAGCCATCACGCAACACACCACCATCAACTGCGTCAGGTTCGACGGCGGGGCGAGGAACACGGCTGCGCGCGGTCGACCTGCCGCGATGGGGCAGCCTGGTCTGAGCGCTGGGGCGTTCCGGCCCGTTGCGCGCCGGTCATATGTGAGGACGCCCACGACAAGTCATGAAATGCCGAATGCAGCGGCGCCCGAGCAGTCGAGACTGGCCCCGGCCCTCGCAGCGCCGTGCGCGGCGGTGCCCACGCGGCGGTGCTGCCCGCGCGACGTCGGGCCCCCGCTGGAGCCGGTAGAAGCCACGTCAGTGGGGGCGTGTAGGGCAGCTGCGCTGAATCTCCCGTTCCTGTGCGTGCGGTGGCGCGCCGCGCCGTCACTGCGTTGCCGCCACGTCCAGCGAGCGTACGGGAACGGATTTCGCGTACGGGGAGCGCGGCAGAGCTCAGCGGCGGGCGAGAAGTGGGTCGGGGAGGGCGGCGGCTCGCGCCGGTGGGCCGAGATGGCCAAGTCGCTGCGTAGTAATATCAAGCGGAAGCTCCGGCGGTTGAAACGGGGCAAGCTCGCCACGACCGTGCAGGAAAAGGAGCGGGAGGACAAGAAGCAGGTGCGCACGGCGGCGGCGCGTGGGCCCAGGGCGGCACGCAGCGAGCACGCGCCCCTGCGGCCTCTCCGTGGTGCTCCGTCGCCTTCTTGCGGGGAATCTTGGCAGATCTGATGTTTCTCGAGCCCCCAGGCGGCCCAGAGCCGCTCGTTCCCCACGAGCAAGCTGCTGCTGCGCTCCTCTGCTCGCTGTGCCCAGCCTGGTGTGGACCGGCCGTTGTGGCGCCGCAGGACGTCCTGGCGGCCATTCTGGCGGGCCCGAAGGAGAAGGTGTACGACCCCCTGGACGACCAGGACCTGTCGAAGTTCAAGCGACCGGAGCGCATGGAGGAGGAGGTGAGCGCACGCACCCTCCGTCCCACGCGACCGCCGGCACCCGCTCGGCCCCCGCGCCACTCTCCCCGCTTCACAAAGAGCGTCGCGGCGCCCGACGACGCCCAGCAGCCCGCGTTCTGCTCGCAAGCGCCTCGAAACTCGCTCCACGAGACTTGCTGCACGCTTGCCCGGACGACGTGCGCGCGCTTCGCACCCGCCGCCCCCTCCAGGGCGCCGAGGGCGAGTCGGACGACGGCGCGAAGTACACCAAGGGCCTCCGCGGCCTCAACCTGCGGCTTGCCAAGCGCGCCATCAGCAAGAAGGTGCGCAAGAGCGCGGTGAGCGCGAAGCGGGCCGCGAAGCTCGGGCCGGTCGGCCAGCCCTCGTGGCGGACGGTGCCGGGCGTGGGCAAGCGCGGGCGGCGCGGCGGACGCATGCAGGTCGACTGAAGGGGCGTCGTTCGCGCGTGGCGCAGCAGGGGACGGCGGGGTACACCGCTGATGTAAGCAGCAGTGCTGGCGGTGGCGCGCGAGCCGCGGGTCCACAGCGAATCACATCCGTCCTGCTCTGCTGCGCGGCGCGGCGGCCTCACGCGCCGTTGGCCTCGGCGGCGACGGGCATGGGCTCCACGTTGACGAGCTTGCGCTCCTCCGCGTCCTTGACCATCGCGACCGCCTCGTCGACGCCGACCGTGCCGATGTCCCCGACCTTGTACCCCCGGAGCGTCACCTGGCGCGCCTCCTCCTCCTTGCGCCCCACGACGGCCATCACCGGCACCTTGGACGTCTCCGCGTTGCGGATGAGCTTCGCGATGCGCTCCCCGGCCGCCACCTCCGCGCGGATGCCCCGCTTCTTGAACTCCGCGACGACCTCCTCCGCGTACTCCCGCTGGTAGTCCGTCACGGCCAGCACGCGCACCTGCGTCGGCGCCAGCCAGAGCGGGAACGCGCCGGCGTAGTTCTCCGTCAGGATGCCGAAGAACCGCTCGATCGACCCGAAGATCGCGCGGTGGATCATGATCGGCCGCTGCTTCTTGTTGTCCTCGTCGACGTACTCCAGGTCGAACCGCTCGGGGAGGTTGAAGTCGAGCTGGATCGTCGAGCACTGCCACTTCCGGCCGATCGCGTCGAGGATCTTGATGTCGATCTTCGGGCCGTAGAACGCGCCGCCGCCCTCGTCGATGTCGTACTCCCACCCCTTGGTCGCCAGCGCCGCCGTCAGGCCGGCCTCCGCGCGCTCCCAGATGTCGTCCGACCCGACGGACTTCTCCGGGCGCGTCGAGAGGTTGATCTCGTAGTCCGAGAACCCGAACGTCGACAGCGTCTCCTCGACCAGGTCCAGCACGCCCACGATCTCCCCCTCGATTTGCTCGGGCAGGCAGAAGATGTGCGCGTCGTCCTGGGTGAACCCGCGCACGCGGAACAGACCGTGCATCGTGCCGGACTTCTCGTACCGGTACACCGTGCCCAGCTCCGCGTACCGCACCGGCAGCTGCAACACGAACGAACACACAAAATGAGTACATGTCTGACGACCCACTGACGGGCAGACGGCAGGGCTGGATCTCTGCGCCGTGCGCTGCCTGGCTGCTGCGCGCACCTGGCGGTAGGAGCGGTAGCCGTTCTTGTAGGTGGTGACGTGGAAGGGGCAGTTCATGGGCTTGAGCTGGTAGCTCTCGTCCTCGACCTGGATCCGCTGGAACATGGACTCGGCGTAGAACTGGAGGTGCCCGGACGTGTGCCACAGGTCGGTCTTGGCGATGTGGGGGGAGTACAGCAGGTCGTACCCCTTGCTCATGTGCAGGTCCTTCCAGTACGACTCGATGATGTGCCGCACGAGCGAGCCGCGCGGGTGCCAGAACACCAGCCCGCCGCCCGCCGCCTCCTGGATCGAAAACAGGTCCAGCTCCTGCCCCAGCTTCCGGTGGTCGCGCTTCTTCGCCTGCAACGCGGCCACTCGGTGCCACGCCGCGCGGTTGGGCCGAACAGCGCCACGGGCGCGGCTCGACGCCGCAAGGGACACGGAATCGGCGCCGCAGGACGTGCGGTCCGGCGCCGCAACGGCGAACAAGAACAAGAACAAGAGTGGAAAGAACAAATAAGACGTTGGTTGGGCGGTGGCGGGGGGCGCGCACCTCCTCCTTGACGTGCTCGTAGTACGCGAGCTGCTCGGCCGTCTCCCACGCCGTGCCGTACACGCGCTGCAGCATCTGCCGGGACTCGTCGCCGCGCCAGTACGCGCCCGCCACCGACTCGAGCTTCAGCGCGTCCGTGTTGATCTTGCCCGTGGACTCCACGTGCGGCCCCGCGCACAGGTCCCACCAGTGGTTCTGCGCGACACGGGGGCTCGCTCCGGCGCCGTGAGGCGCCCTGCACGCCAACGCACGCACACACGCACACACGCCCCACGTTCGTTCGCGCGCACCTTGTCGCCCTGCTCGCCGATGTGGTAGATCGTGATGGGTGCGTCCGGGTCGCGTTCGAGGATCGAGTCGAGGATCTCGATCTTGTACGGCTCGTTGATCTCCTCGATGCGGCGCCGGGCCTCCTCCGCGGAGAGCTCCTCGCGCACGAAGGGGAGGTTCAGGCGGCAGATGCGGCGCATCTCCTTCTGGATCTTCCGCAGCTCCTTGTCCGTCAGCGGCGTGGGGATGTCGAAGTCGTAGTAGAAGCCGCGCTCGACCCAGGGGCCGATGGTGACCTGGGCGTCCTTGAACAGGCGCTGCACGGCCATCGCCATGATGTGCGCTGCGGCGGGGGGCGTGGGGGTTGCCGTGAGGAACTCGGGTTGGCCGGGAGGGGCGGTGGCGCGCGCGGTGGCGCTGGCGGGCTAGGGTGTGGGGGCGCCGCGGGCGCGCCAGGCGCTCGCGCGCGTCTTCTCGCGCGAATCTCGGTGCTGTGTGCGCGAGCTAGGCGGCGCGGATCGCTCGGCGCTCGTGTCTCGGGCCGCCGCGGCCGGGGTCGCGCGATGAGGGTCAGGGCGCAACTCACCGCTGCTGTGGCGAATGCGCAGGAGCTGGTCGCTCTCGTCGCTCGTGGGCAGCGGCACCTGCACCACCTCGGCCTCCGCGCCGTTCCCGTTGCCGCCCTGCTTCTTGCCACCGCCCTTCTTGCTCTGCTTCTCCGCGGCCTCCGCAGCCGCGGCCCAGACCGTTCCGGGCCGCCGCTGCGCGAACTGCGGCCAAGAGAAGAGCAGACGCGCCTCCAATGAGCGGGAAGCGCGAGGCGGGGCGGCGCACGCTCGAGCGGCGAGCGCTCCTCGCTCGCTGACCGGCCCAGGTGCCAGTGGCCCGCGGCGGGACGCGTTCCGCGGCTGCACCGCTTCAGCGACCCTTTCGGACGTCGCTCCCGGCTCTGAGGAGCCCAGATGGCGAACGTGCACCCGCAGACGCCCCCGGGGGAGTCCAGCGTGGCGCGTACCACCAAGGCACCACAGGATCGCGTCGGGGCCCCGCATGCCGGCGCGGGCGCGCGACCGGGGCCGCCCCGCGGCGGGCGGGCGGCAGACAGCGAGGCGGACCGCCAGGGCGTCGCGGCGGGCCCGCGGGCCCGCGTGGCGTCGCGTGCGAGCCGCTCACCTTGGCAGCGGAAGCAGGCGCGCTCGAGCGCAGGCGCACGAGGGCCTGCGCGTGCCGTCCCGCGGGCGGGAGCGCGCGCACGGCGTTGGAGTACTGCATCGCGGCCCGCATCGTCGCCAGAGCTCTCAAGGCGTGGCCCCGGAGAGCAATGGCGCTATCCAGCGGGGGCAAGACGGGCGATCGCTGAGCGCTGCGGCCGGGATTCGCGCGCAGAGGGACGCTGGCAGGGGCGCGGGGGACGAGACAACACTGCGGCGTGCCGCGCGGGGGCGGCGCCGATGGCAGGGGGACTCGCGACCTCGGCCTGAGCACGGCGAGGTGGACTGCTGTCAGGTCCGCGGGATGACGACGCGCGGCCTCGCGGCGCGCGAGCGACCGGACCGCAGGCCCCGCGCCGGCCTGCGGGCCGCGACGGCGGCGCGTTTCTGTGGCGTGGTCGGACACGGCGGGCTCTTCTTGGTAAATAAGCGATGGCATGTAGTTGCGCCAGCGACCCCCGGAATGCTCCTGTGCGTTCCCGGGACGCGGCGATGCACAGCGTGAGTCGTGCGCGCGTGCTCCCGACGCGGTCACTCCAGCCACGTGGTGCGCCCTCCGGCTGCAACGGGGCACAGCGTGGGGGCGAGGGATGGCGTCCGGGGGCGCGGGCGGGCTTGTGCGGCGTTGCTGAGATGGAACGTCGCGGGAGGACGACATCTGTGGCAAGGAAGAGGTGTATTGGCGGGGAATCGGAGCTGCGACGACCTCTGGTGCCTGGAGCCTCTGGCCGCCGATCTCGGCGCCCTCTTGGCCGTTTCGTGGGATTCTTGGACGCACGGGGGCAGCATAAAGGACGGACAATAAGGATTCGATGCTCACACGGCGATTCGAACGCCGGACCTCTCGCTGTTTAGCGGCATGCCATGTGGCAGTGCACAACCGCGCGATTGCGCCATTTACTAAACGAGTGCTCTATCCAACTGAGCTATGCGAGCATATCGATGCTCGGTTGGATAAACAGCGTTTCCAGCACAGTTTTTGTACAAAGAGATACATACTAATACAACATCTGCCAAAACGCGGTCTGCACCACCACACGCCAGGTGCCACGCATGGGTACACACACATCGGACACGAACAGCTCTTCAGCTTTCCGTGCGTGCCGCCCGGAAGCCCAGTACAACAATGTTCGTCCCTGTTGGAACCAAAATGCCCTCTGAGCATGTTTGCGCATCGCCGCTTCCTCCGACGCCGTGCAGCCGCGAGATCCCCAGCAATCGCGAAGGCTGCACTCCGCGGCCGTGCTGGCGCACCGGAACAGCCGCCAGAGCGCCACGTCGACGCCTGTTGGGCCCCTCCTGGACTAGGCTCAGCAGTGGGAGCTCCCTGGTCCCCATTTGTGCGCGCGCCCACGGCCCGCGTGCACGAAATTCTCGCGCCGTCGCGGAGACGATGCCAAGGATCACGGCTCTGTGCATCGCATTCGTGGTTCTCTGCGTCGCATGTGCCGGGATCCTGCCCCTGGAGGTGCGCACTGCACCTGCGCTGGCCGCACCGTGCAGCACGAGTCGAGCCTCAGCCGGAAGAGCCCGATGTGCCCGCTGATAGTGCTGCCTGGCCCGCGACTGGGTCGTCCGTCAGGCGCTGTGCGCTCAGGGGGGCCGCGACGACGCCTCAACTGGCACCCAGCGCGCAGCTCAGTTGCGCCGTGAGCCCCGTGTCATGCACCTTGCAGGTCGCCGCGAGCCTCGACAGCAGTGAGGGCGTGCGCGAGGTGTTGAGCGAAGCGCTGCCGACCGCGGAGGAGGGCGCCACGAAGCTTCCACTGGGCTCGGTTGTTCCCCTGGACAGCCTCGGCCCCGTCATCGTTACGAGTGAGTTACTCGCAGCGCTCGCGATGTCGCATCACGAACGAACGTTCCACCCCTCGCATGGCACGTCGTGGCCGCGACACGCACGAGCGAGAAGAGCACCACCATCATCACATGCGGGCTATTCGCTGTCGCGCACCACGAGCGACGTGCGCATCATCAGAGCCGCCGTCATCACGTGCGCTCTGCAGCAAAGGGCGGCGTGCGTCGCATCAGCAACTGGGCCGAGCTGTCCCCCCAGGAAAAGGCAACCGCACTGCGCCGCATCGCCGTGCGGAACCGGGAGCGCATCCAGGCGCTGCAGGAGAAGGCGGCCGCGGGGAACCTCGACGCGCAGTCCCTCCCGGAGTCCGTCCGCTCCCTCGTCGAACAGGCAGCCCACCAACAGCAACATCAAACACCTGCTGAGCAAACCAGCGGCGGCGAGGAGCAGCCGCGGGCCGACCTGTAGCCGGGGCCGCGTGAGCCGGACGCGCACGTCGCGCGGATGACGGGCGACCCGCAGCGATGCAGGAAGGAGGCACCGCAGCGGCGGGATGCAGGAGGCGAGTCTGCGCGTGCTCTGGGATCGCCAAGGCGCTGGCGGGGCGCCTGAACGACGGTCGGGGGGTCGGCGGCGACGCCGTGGCGCGCCACGGGCTCGTGCGGGGCGCCGACGGCGCGTGGGCGTGCTGCGCGGCCGACGTCGACGCGACGCCGCGAGCCGTGGCGGCGCGCTGGCGCCCGGGCCGCAACGCCGACGTGGACCTCGAGGGCGCGGGCCTGCGCGTCGGGCGGCCGCGCGCCGTCGCCGTGCGCGTCGCGAGCGAGGGCGGCGCCGGCCGCGGGACCGCCTGGCACGTCTGGGACGGCGCCGTCGTCCTGGCGCGCCACCTCCACCACCGCGGCGCCGAGATCGAGCGGAGCGAGCTCGGCGCGGACGTGGCGGGCGTCCTCGAGCTCGGCAGCGGCACGGGCCTCGTCGGCCTCTCCGCGGCGGCGTGTTTCCCTGCATGTCGCTGCGTCGCGCTCACCGACCTGCCGGAGGCGCTGCCGGCGCTGCGGCGCAACGCGGCGCTGAACGCCGCGTGGATCGGGGGCGGCGTGCGGGTCGAGGTCCTGCGGCTGGACTGGCGGGAAGCCGCAGGACGTGGGGGGTGTTTGGAGGCGGGATGTGTGGGGGGGGGTCTCGAGTGGGACCTCGTCGTGGCCTCGGACTGCGTGTGGCTCCCGGAGCTCGTGGAGCCGTTCGCGGACGCGCTCGCGGCGGCGCTGCGCTCGCGGCGCGCGGTGGCCGTGCTGGCCACGCAGGAGCGCTCGGCGCGCGTGGACGCGGCGCTGTGGGCGGGCCTGCGCACGCGCGGGCTGCGGGTGCGCGACGCGCCGATGGGGAGCGGGGAGCCGCCGCGTGGCGCGATCCGCGTGACGTACGTCGACGGCGGCGCGCGGGCAGCAGACGACGTGGGGTTGCAGCGGGGGTGAGCGTCGAGTGTCGCTCGCGTCGCTGGCACACGCCCGACGCGAGGGGGCTGCGGTTGACGCTGTGAAAGCTCGCGAATGTTTGCATCATCATCATCGTGGTGGTGGTGGTGTTTCTGCACTGTCGTCGTGCGCGGAGCTCGTGTTGAGGCACTTCGTCGCAGCCCTTCGCCCTGCCGTGCGCCTGCCAGCTTCGCGTCGCACGGCATTCGCCGCTGCGGATGTTTCCATGCGGGGGGGGGGTTATGTTGTGTGTCTGACACAGTGACGCACTCCGAGGCATTCTCGCTTCGCTTGGCGCCCTGTTTGGGGGCCAGGCGCCGCATGTGCCCGCCATGCCCTTCTCCTGCACGCATCGTGCGGGTGCGTGAGGGACGCGCGACGCCTCGCGTGCTTCGGTCAAGATGCCCTGCTCGGTTCACGGGACCCGCACAGGGCGCTGCTGGGGGGGAAATGCACGCGCGATGCGCCGACCTGCGGGACACGCACATGGACTGCGCGGAGCAAGCAGATTGGTGTCCAATGGCGCGCGGACGATCGCCCACGGAATCGACGGAGCTTGTGGCCGCCCACTGCTAGGCGCCCGCCTCGCCCAGGCTCGTTGTCAGCGCACCTCGAGGCCCGTGCGGCACCATACACGCCTCGTGTGTCGCGCAGCCAAGGCGGACGTGGGCGCAGACTCGCCCGAGACTGCGGCCCCGACCAAGCGCGGCGAGGTGATGCTGGTGGCGGAAAGCCTCGGCAAGACGCACGACGGAGAGAAGCAGCTCTTCCGCGACCTCACCTTCAGGCACGTCACACGCACGACGATCCTCTCGCGAAGCGACCCGAACACGACGCGCCCTCGCCGGCCCAGCAGCGGACGCCCCTCCCTCGCAGCACCCTACACGCTCCGCCCCCGCACCTCCCTCCGCAGCATCCACAAGAGCGACCGCGTCTGCGTCATCGGAGCGAACGGGAGCGGCAAGAGCTCCCTGCTGTCGATCCTCGCGGGCTCGGACGCCCCCACCGACGGCTCTCTGCAGGTGAAGCGCGGCGTCTCGACAGGGCGCTGCCTCCAGGACCCCGAGTACGACCCGGACTGGACCGCTCTGGAAGCCGTGCTGTCGTCCGCCGGCGGCGCCGCCGAGGCGCTGCGGGAGTACGAGCGGGCCGCGGCCAGCGGCGACGCGGACGCGCTGGCCGACGCCACGGCGGCGGTCGAGGCCGCGGACGGCTGGACGCTGTCGAGCGAGGCCGAGGCGTCCCTGTCCGCGCTCGGCATCGCCGACGCAACCGTCAAGATCGGCGCGGTGAGCAACACTCTCTCGCTGATCCTGGCAACTTGCAACACCGCTGTACCCCGCGCTCCCAACGAACACTCGCTTTCGCGACCTGCTGCTGAACCATAGGCTGGCACGCATCGCACCGCTTCTGCAGATGTCGGGCGGGCAGCGGCGCCGCGTGGCGTTGGCGGGCGCGCTCCTGGGCGCGCCGGACCTGATCGTGCTCGACGAGCCGACGAACCACCTGGATTTCGGCGCGATCGACTGGCTCGCGGCGCGGCTGGTCTCGCAGGGCGCGGCCACGACGGTGGTCCTCGTCACGCACGACAGGTCCTTCATGGAGCGCGTGTGCACGCGCGTGCTCGAGATTGACCAGGGCAGCGCGTACATGCACGAGGTGGGCGGATCGGGGTCGTACGGCAAGGTCCGGGAGCTGCGGGCGGAGCGGCGCGCTGCGCAGCAGGCTGCGGCGGACGCGGCGCGCACCGTGCTGCGAAAGGAGACGGAGTGGATGCGGCGGCAGCCGAAAGCGCGCTCGGTGAGCCTGAGGACGCCGTCCCTTTGCTTGAGGCTGCAGACAGGAGGGCCTAGACGCATGTGTGTGTGTTGTTTGCGTTCTTTCAAAGCCCGCTGCAGCGCGCAGCGCGCCGTCACCATGTTCACGTTCGCTTGGTGTTCAATTCGATCGATTCTCGCAGACGAAGAGCCGGGCGAGGATCAACCAGTTCTACGAGCTCACCGCGAAGGCCCGCGACCGCCCGCAAGACGACGTGGTGCCCGACCTCGCCGCCGCCGGTGCCACGGCGCAGCGCCAGGGCAATGTCGTGCTCGAGGTCGACAACGTCGCGTGGGGCCACGACCCCGCGAAGCCGCTCTTCCGCTCGTTCTTCTACGAGTTCGGCCGCGGGGAGCGCATCGGCGTCGTCGGGCGCAACGGCGCGGGCAAGAGCAGCCTGCTCGACGTGCTCGCGGGCGTGAACGCGCCGACGGAGGGCGCGGTGACGCCCGGGGAGACGACGGCGGTCGGGTACTTCACGCAGCACCCGCCGGCGATGCCCGAGGGCTCGCGCGTGATCGATTACCTCAAGCAGGACGCCGCGGGCGGCGACGCGGGGTCCTGGGAGGACGGTTTGCGTCCGGAGGTCGTGCTGGAGCGCCTCGGGTTCCCCCGGCCGCGGCAGCAGCAGCTGATCGGGCTGCTGTCGGGCGGGGAGCGCCGGCGGCTGCAGCTCGCGGCGGTGCTTGCGGGGCGTCCGAACTTTTTGTTGCTGGACGAGCCGACGAACGACCTGGATCTGGACACCGTGGAGGCGCTCGAGGGCGTCCTGGCGTCGTACGGCGGGACGCTCGTGGTGGTGTCGCACGACCGCGCGTTCCTCGAGGGCTGCGCGGACCGCCTGTTCGTGCTGGAGGGCGACGGGGAGGTGTGCGCAGCAGGACCCCCCCCCCCGCCTCCTCCCGCTGCAGACACTGTCAGCGCGTCCCGTGCCGCGCAAGCATGAGCATGAGCTCTGCGCGACCGGTATGAAGTCGGTGAACACGAATTCGTTTACCTGGTTGTGCAGGTGCGGCTGTTTGACGGGCCGTACGGGGAGTACGTCGAGGCGGTGCGGGAGCGCGAGGCCGCAGCGGCGCGGCGCAGCGCGAGCTCGAGCGCGACCGCGGACGCGAGGCAGCCGCGGGACAAGGGCGCCGCCCAACCACAGGGGGGGAACAAGGTGAAGAAGCTGGCGCCGTGGGAGGTGCGGGAGCTGGAGGAGCTGGAGGGGGAGGTGGAGGCGCTGGAGGAGCGCGTGGGGGCGGCGGAGGCCGGGATGGCGAAGGCGAGCGCGGCCGGGGACTACGGGAAGCTCCAGGAGTGGACTGACGAGCTGGGGGTGTTGCAGGGGGAGTTGGAGGCGAAGACGGAGCGGTGGCTGGAGCTGGCGGAGCGCGCGGAGGCGGCGTGAGGGCGCTGCGAGGGCGACACGCTGATCGGCGTTGCAGAGCGCATCGAAGATGATGTGACAGGATCGAGTCATGTTTCACTGATGTCTGTGGAATTGCGTCTTTCTATTGCTTTTGATCTGACGTGGCGAACGCGCGCCGCGCACGGCTCGCTGACGAATAGATGCAGGCGAAGGATCCCGGAAGATCCCCCGCGCAGTCGGGCAGCAACGCAAGCGACCCACGACGCAGGGCAACTCAGTGCCGCGACTGCATGAGCTCCTTCATGCGCGCCGGGAGGTCGTCCAGGCTCGCCTCCTCGTCCACGCGCTGCGCGCCGTCCCCGCCGCGGATCCGCACCACCCCCGCAGACGCCAGCCGGTCCGCCTCCAACCACACAAGCCAGCGAATACCCCGTGCGTTGGCGTACGCGTGGTGCTCCTGGCGACTCGGCGCCGCGCCGGGGGCGATCTCGCACGACACGCCCGCGGCGCGGAGCGCCGCACACGTCGTAACGCGCTCCCGCAAGAGGCCCCCGCCGCCGCGGGAACACACCAGGACGCTCGCGGGCGGCGTGAGCCACGTCGGAACGCCCCCTGCCGCGCCCTGCGCGGCCGCTGCGGGGCTGCGCGCCTCGCGCGGCGTCGCGAGGCTGACGACGCGGTCCAGAGAGACCGTCGCGCCGACCCCGCCGGGGACCGGCACCCCCTGCGGCCAGCACCGCCGCAGCGCGGCGTCGTAGCGGCCCCCGATCGCGAGGACGTAGGACGACGTCGTGAACTGCTGCCGGGCGCGTCCGCGCGTCGTCTCGGCGGCCGGGAGCACCGCGCGGACCTCGAAAAACACCCCCGAGATCCCGGGGGTGTCGCAAGGTATGACTGGGTCGATGTGGACCTCGAGCGGGGCGAGGCCCCACGTCTCGAGCGCGCGGCTGACAGCGTCGAGCTCGTCGAGGACGGCGACGGCGCAGGCGTGGTTCTGGAGGCCGTGGAGGGTGCGCAGGCGCGGGAGGGTCTCCAGCGCCGGGCCGCAGAGGTCGCGCACGAGCCGCAAGAGGGGCTGCGGGGCAAAGACGAAGAGAAGCAGTGCGTCAGCGATCGCCCGCTCGCGCGGCGTGGACGGCTCGCGAGGCGCCACAGATGATGACGACAGCTACGAAGCTTCCACCCATTCACTCGAGACACGGACGACGATGTGAATGATGTTTTGCGTTGCAGCGACACTGCAGGTTGTGTCGGTGATCTCACCTGGATCTTGGCGACGCCGAGGCCCTGCAGGCCGTGCACGATGTCCCTCCACGGGCCCGCGCGCCCGGGCTTGCCCTCGGGCGTCAGCAGCGGCACGGAGCGCGCGCGCGCCGCGCTCGACAGCTGCGCGCGCGCGGACGCCCGCTGCGTCTCCTTGACCTGCCCGACCACCTCGAGCGCCAGCGGCAACAGCGCCGTGTGCGACAACCGTACCTCGAGCGTCACGCCGTCCCGCGACAACACCGGCCGCAGCCCGTCGACGACGCACCGGATCATCTCCGCGCACTGCCGCGCGCCCTCGCCGTCGGACGCGGCGTCAGGGAACAGGAAGTCGACGTCGGCAACAGCGTGCTCGCGGGGGAGGCCGCCCGCGACGCCGTTCCGCAGAATTCCGGCGAGCTCGTACCGGCGGAGGGTCTCGAGGGAGAGCAACGACGCGCTGTTGGCGCCCTGTGCAAGCTCGCACGCGAGGCGGCCAAGCCAGGCGATGAACGGGGTGCGAAGGTCGTAGCGCGGGGCCATGCGGCGGCCGTCGCGCGCGAGACACGTCGCGGCGAACTTCGGGAGCGGGCCCACGGCGAGGCCGATGCTGGTGCTCGTCATCGGAACCGCGCCGTGGTGCTGGAACGTCGCGCGCAGACCCTCTGCGTTGCAGCAAACAAAAGAGCAGCGTCCTGCCGTCGCAACGCACATCCACGGGCCGAGCAAGCAGCCAAACGACACAGATCTATCATACCCAGCAAGCCAACGGGTGGGAAGCCAACGGGAAGCCAACGCACCTTCGACCGCCTCCCGCACCGCCGCGGAGGCTGTCCGGGGGGTCCCTGGCAGCATCTCTAGCTGCACGGCGGCGCGCTCCGAAACGGCGGCGAGGGCTCCGCCAGCGCCCACGCCGGCCTGCAGCTCGCTGTGCCGCGCGCCGAGGTCGAAGAGCGTGTCGAGCACGCGCTCCGTGTGCTGCGCGTTGTTCGGAAGACTCTTTAACACGAACTCGAGTTGCTCGTCCTCCAGGGTTCGAGGAAGCAGGTCCGAGGACAGCACCTCGCGGGCCGAGGGCCGGCGCGCGGGGTCCGCGGCGACGAGCCACCGGACGAGCTCGGCGGCGGCCGGACACTGCTTGACGAGGGCGGGCGGCGGCGCTCCCGTGGCGCGCACCTCCTGCAGCGTGGCGATGCGCTCGTACTGCGTGGAGAAGCGCAGCCAAAGCTCGCAGGCGAGAATGCCGAGGGAGTACATGTCGACCTTGTAGTCGGTCTGCGCCCACTCTTGCAGGATCTGCGGACACTCCTCGCAACACACAGTGCACGAGGCCTTCACGACCGAGAATGAACGCAGCATTCGGTGCATCCGTCCGCAAGCAGATATCAGGCAAGGGCGTGCGATCAAATGCACGGATCCGGTCCGACGCGCGCGCGCCTACCTCGGGCGCCATATACAGGAGAGTCCCGACAGCCCCCGACGCGCTGGCCGCCGGGCCCTGCGCCCCGCTGGCCGCCGCGCTCCGCGGCAGCGACGCCGCGTCCTTCCCCGGACCCGCCGCGCTCGACGCGGGGTCCGCCGCGGCCTTCGCGAGCCCGAAGTCCCCGATTTTCACCACCCCGGTCGAGTCCACGAACACGTTGCCCGGCTTCAGGTCCCTGTGGATGACGTTCTGCGCGTGGATGTGCGCGAGGCCCTGTAGGATCCCGCGCACGATGTCGAACGCGCGCTCGCTGTCGATCTCGTGCGACGCCACCAACGTGTCCAACGTCTGCGGGCAATACTCCATCTGAATGAACAGGAACGGCACGCGCTGCTTCCTGCCGCTGCCGGCCGGGCCCTCGCCGCGCGGCACCGCCGCTCTGCTGCGCTGGCCGGCCGCGCGCCGCCGGGATCGCGCCCCGCGCGCCACCTGCCACCCGCCGCTCGACTCCTCATCACTTTCGTCGTCGTCAGGTCCGTCATCGTCAGAGCCCTCGCGGTCGGCAGCGCTGCTGGCCTGGTTCCCGCTGGATGGACCCGGGGCCTCGCTGTCCCCTCCGAACTGGATGAGGTCGTACATGCTGTTCTTCTGTTTGCCCGTCGTAGCTTTGGACCCCCCCGCACCTGGTATAAACCCCCCCCACGCGCGGCTGTGGACCGACCCGCTCGGGTCGTCCTCCTCCCACAGATCGTCGTCGTCCAGCGTCGAGTCGAACAGCCCGAGGGAGTCCGAGAACGCCCCCGCGCCGGCCCGCGTCGCGCGCCGCGACATCAGCACTTCCTCGCTCCACGCCTGGAAGTAGCGCACGATGTTCGGGTGCTGCAGGCGCGACAGCGTCGTGACCTCCTTCATGATCTTCTCGTTCATCTGCTGCGACGTCGGGTCCATGCGGACCTTCTTGATGGCGTACAGGCGTCGGTCGACGCGATTCTCCGCCAAAAACACCTCCGCGAACCCCCCCCTCCCGAGCGGCCGGACCTCGACGAAGTCCTGCTCGTACCGGCTCGCGAGCTGCGGCTCCGCGCCGCTCTCCAGCGCGCCGGCCGCGGCGCGCACCGCGCCCGCGTGCCAGACTGCCGCCGCCATCGCGCTCGACGCCGCGGGCCGCGGGGCCGGGAAAAGCCGGCGGAACGCCAGCTCCACGTACGCCGGGCGCTCCTTCAGCAGCGCCGCGAGCCAGCCGGGTATCGCACCCTCGATGGCGAACTGATCCGCAACGGACGCTATCGCCGCGCACAGCGGCTCGTCCCGCGCGCTGACGCTGCCGCCCGGGCTGAGCCGCGAGGCCTCCCGGCCCGCGACCTGCCGCGCCATGGTCACGAGGAGGTGCCCCGTCAGGACCTGCTGCTTGGCGGCGGAGTGCGTGGCTGTGCGCGCGGCGCCCTCGCCCGACCACTTGCGCGGGCCAGGGCCGCGAGCGGAGCCCGGCACGCCGGGCGTGACGGACCGCTCCGGCACGAGCGTCTCGCTGACCGCCTCGCTGCGTTCCGGGTCAGACAGGCGCCGCAACCGCCGGGAGTCCTCCGTCGACGTGCTACCAGTCCGCCCCCCCGCGGGCGACGCGGCCTCGGCCTCGCCTTGACCGCCGATGATCGCGCGAAGCGTCGGCGGAAAGAACCGAGCGATCGAGGCCGAGAATCCCCGTCCTATGCTCTGCAGCAGCCGGCCAGTCCCAGACATCGATGCTTCCGCCGCAGCCGCGTACCCCGCCGGGCGCCGCGCGGCCTCGCCGCTGCTGCGCTCCGAGACGGACTCCGGCAGCGCGATCACGGGCCGCTCCGCGGCCTGAGCGGCTCGCGGGGGCCTTGTGGAACGTTGCTTCAGCGCGCCTGGCGGCCTGCCGAGAGGGCTCGTGGGCTTGGCGGGCGGCTCGTCGCCGGCGCCCTCGTCGCGCAGCACGTCGAATTTGTTGCGCGCCGACGCCGCCGTCGCGAGCTGCCCGCCGCCGGCGTCCGACCACCGCACTCCCCCCGCCGCCCGACTCCGCCCCGGCATGACAGGGGAGGCTCCCGTCGCCGTCTGCGCCGGCCGACCGCCGGCGCGCCCCGCCCGCGGCACCGCCATCGCGCCCGCCAGCGCAGGCTCCTGGTCCTCCCCGAATAACGCCCCCCCTCCACTCCCCCCCCAGCCATCTGCGTCGTCGCCATGAAGCGCCTCGAATCCGTACCATGCGCCGAGCCCCTCCCCGCCCATGGACGGCTCCGTCGACCCCGGCGCCGTGCCCGCGAGGTCGCGCCTGCTCGAGGTCGCGGACGCGTCGTGGCGGGCCGCCGCGCGGGTGCGCCGGTCGGCGTCAATGGCGCTGTCGTTGAGGCGCTGGAGGCAGCTCTGCGCGTGCCAGAAGAGGTCCATCGCGTGCTGCTCCGCGCTCGCGGCGCGCTCCTCGGCGATCTGCGGAAAGCGACGAGATGCGAGCCGTGAACTCCGGTTTTTGTGACTCGGGATTTGGTGTCTGGTGTTTGCGAGCTGCGGGGTGCCTGGCTGGTGCCGGTGGGGCTGCGGTGTACCTGCGTGAGTTCGCCGTGTATGGCGCGCGCGTCGTCGGAGGTCAGCCCCTGCACGGCCTCGACATGGGCGTGCAACGGGGACTTGGGATATCCCGTCTTGGGATATTTCAAAGAAAGCCTGGCCATGCAGAAGTTCTGACCCATCGACTGGTTGAACTCGTTCGGAAGGACCGTCATCTGCAGTGTCAGCGTCTCTGGATCCGCCTGCAGGGCGCGAGCGGGACGCAAGAGCAGCTGTGGGTGGTGTCGCACCGGACGGCCGCTCGGTGAGACCTGGCGGTGCGGGTTCGTGGAGGTGTTCCATATGCGCGAAGTACAACGAACGGTTCCCGCGTGCTGATCGTGCCAAAGCGCACCGCCTGTGGCTCTCGCGCCACTGCGGCATCAACCAACAGGGCGTCAGCGTCCTGGTCGCTGGGCTCCGAACGACTTTCGTGTCCGCAACGGAATCAGCATCGTGCGAGGAGGCCATTCGCGGATTCGCGGCGGACGACTGTCGCACGCAGCCGGCCGCAGCGCAAGAGACGAGAGCGGCACCGTCGTTGCGGAAACTGGCCGTGCGCGTCGTCGGTCCTCGGCTGCGAGCATGCACAGCGCTCACCGTCGCGCTGCAGATGGCCGTCATGGCCTCCCATTCCTCCGCCACCAGGTCGTCGACGTGCGGGGCCGCCTTGGTGCCATCAGCGTGATCGTTGCCCGCGTGCCCGCCGCCGTGGGCGCCATGCTTCTTTTTCTTGCCCATCTCGGCCTCACTCTTGCACTAGCTCCGCAAAAGCGCAACAGAACCGGCCATCTGCGCGCGTCCGGAGCCAGACGAGCCGGCACTGGACACCCTTTCCGCCCAACGCCAGCGCTGCTGCCCTCCCACGTAAACGCCGCAGCACGGAACCGATTCCAAGTCTGCGCCCGCCGCGCCTCCGCACGCTCCAACCAACCCGCCAACACGCGCCACGTCACAGCGTTCGCCTGCGCACTGACAGCGTCACTTCACTCCCCCCCCCTCCGCCGCCCCTCACAGCGCGCTGCTGGGCTTCAGGCCGATCGCCGCAATGACCTTCCGCGCCGCCGCCATCCCGCTCGTGCACGCCCCCTCCACCGACGGGTACACGCACCAGTCCCCACAGGCATACGCACGCATCGATTCCTCGGACAAGCACTTCTCCTCCGGCGCCGCGGCCTTGTCGGGGAAGCACGCGCCCCAGCGGTGCGCTTGCTGCAGCCACGCCGGCCGGGCCGCCACCTCGTGTGAACCCACGGAAAACCAATCAAGGAAACAAGACGTGCGGCCGCGCCGAGCGGCCCGACTGGCCGTGGAAGCGCACGCACGCGCCAGCCTGTCGTCGCAGCGTCTCGGGCGTGCCGCGACGACCCCCGAACATGTACATTCCAGGCGCAGGACGGCGACGCTGAGTCAGGCTCGTGGGTCCTACCTGGTAGACAATCTTCGGTGCGGGCTTGCCGGTCGCCGCGGCGATGACCTTGGCCATCTCGTCCGCCATGCTCTTTGCGGTCTCGTCGAGCATCGCCTGGTGCTCCGGGGACCCCCTCACGGTCAGACCGTGCTTGTCAACAACCCCCTGCGCGAACGCCATTGTGCTGACGGCCACGACTGGGACGAACCGCTGCGGCGCGGGGCGCCCGGGCTTCGTGCCGCTCGCGGTGACCAGGGCGAGGACGTCGCTGGACGCGACGCCGACGCAGGCCGCGCCGTTCGCGCTGCCGTCGCCGGGAGTCCCGGTGTCGACAACGGCAAGCAGGGAGAAGACGGGGCGGCCGTTGACGGCCTTCATGGCGTCCGCGAAGGCGCCGAGGCCGAGCTTCTCCGCGAGGGACTGCGTGCCGGTCTGGAAGGTGCGGTCGGAGAGCACCAGGGCGGCGTAGGGCCCGCGCGTGGCATTCGGCTTGTCGCGGCCCGTCGTGTGCTCGAGCGTCCACTCTGCGCACGTCGACGCGTCGCCGTAGACGTTATGCTGTGCGTGCGAGGCGAAGCGTCGGGGCGAGGATTGTCGCGACGTGTTCGGGGCGCGAGTTGAGATAGGGGATGCACCTGGGGCGTGGTCGGGGCCGCCCTTCTCCGCGGAGACGATCTTGCTGCCCGTGAGGACCTCGACGCCGGGCGTCTGGCCCATCGCCGCGCAGAACGAGTTCATCCGCGGCACGCCCACGTACCGCACAGCGTCAGGGGACTCCTCGGGTTTCACCGCCCCTGCACGCATGACCGACTGAGTCAGTGCGCCTCAGGCTCACGCACCAGGCAGGTGAGCGACGGCACAACGACCGAGATCAGTTTCGATTCAGACTTTGGTGTGAGTTCGGCGGGGAGCGCGCCTGGCGTGAACGTGCCGGTCGCGACATCGCACGCGCCGAACGCGCCGCCGTCGGTCCACGGCGCGACGGCGCCGGCCGCCTGCCACTGCGCGACGAGCCTCTTGAACTCCTCGCTCTCGGCGACGAAGTACGGCGCGCCGTGGTCCCACTCCACGCCCTTGAGAAACTCCCCCAGTTCTACCTCGGACTCCCCCAGGGCCGCGCCCGTCTCGTCGCCGGCGACGTGCTGGATGACGGTCCCGCGGCGGGTGCTCATGCGGCCGCCGACGCCGCGGCCGGCCTCGAAGACGTCGACGCGCGCGCCGGCCTGCGCAAGCGTGGTGGCACAGGCGAGGCCGGCGGCGCCGCCCCCGAGCACGGCGACGCGCGGAGCGTCCTCTGGAGGCGGAGTGAGGCTGAGGGGGGAGGTGGCCATGGCGCGAACAGCCAGACGAGGCGTTCCCGCGACGAGCGCGGCCGGGGAGGGGCGCCCGGTGGAGCGCAGGGGCGCCGGGTGCGTGGACGGCGCGACGAGGTTGGCGAAGGCGCGCAGCGAGAATCTGCTGTACGTGGAGGTCAGGGACAGGCGGCAGACGTGGGCTCCGGCGACGGATGCGGGAGGCATTCTACACTCGGGGGACAAATGCCGGACGTTCGCGGATAATACGGCGTGATATCACGTCAATTCAGCGTCAACGAATCTTCCACGAACGCGCAGCGCAGTGCGCCCAACGGGACACGCAGGGACGTCGCATCGGGACCTCTAGGGGGTGTCTAGGACCTCAGGGCACCACAGAGCCACAGAGGCCGTTTGGCCCGCGAATACGCGCGCTGCGGCGCCGCTCGCGCAGTTCTAGGCGCGGAAACGGATCGCACACATCAGCCTCTAGTTGCACCCTCGTAGTAGCTCCGGCACGTGACGCAATGCACTCCGCCATCCGCGGCGCGGCCTCAGGCGTGGGCGCCCGTCGCGCCTCGACGAGCCGCAACGTCGCAGCGCGCGCGTCGGGCACCGGGAAGACAGTCATCATCACAGGCGCCAACACAGGCATCGGGTGAGAGGACGCGACGCTCGATGACGTCGCGTGGGCCTGCGCTGTGAGCGCAACGCACCGCGTGCCCCCGCATGACGTCGACGTCGCGGTTCCGCGTCCGCCGCGCAGGTACGAGTCCGCGAAGGCCCTGGTGTCGAAGGACTACGACATCGTCATGGCGTGCCGCGACCCCACGCGCATGGAGAGCGCCAAGGCCCGACTGGGGAACGAGGTGAACATCTGTGGCCTCGCTCTCGCCGCTCGCGGCACACGCCGCCTCGCTCGCCGCTCCAGCGGCGTCCCAGAGCCCCCGCTCGCCCGGCCCGTGTCCGCCTGGGCCACCCGCGACCTCCACGTGGACCACCGGGCTCCCACCCCCCTCCGCCGACCAGCGCAGGTGCCGTCCGCGGCGGGCAAGATCTCGACGGAGCTGCTCGACCTCGCGTCGCTCGAGTCCGTCCGCGACTTCACCAAGCGCTACCTCGACTCGGGCCGCCAGATCGACGTGCTGCTGAACAACGCGGGCGTCATGGCGCCGCCGCTGATGCGGACCAAGGACGGGTTCGAGCTGCAGATCGGCGTCAACCACCTCGGGCACTTCCTCCTCACGACCGGCCTGAGCCCGCTCCTGATGGACCCCGCGCGGCCCTCGCGCGTGGTCACCGTCAGCAGCACCGCACACCTGTTCGGCCGCATCAACTTCGACGACCTCAACTCGGAGATCAAGTACCAGGAGTGGGTCGCGTACGGCCAGTCCAAGCTCGCGAACGTGCGCGCGCATCGCCCCCCGAAGCTCACGCGAAACAACACACCCCCGTGCCATATCGCATTCTCCCCCCCCCCCGGACGCCGAACCCGCCCGTTCGCGCCCGCCCCGCAGATCTACTTCACGTACGAGCTCGCGCGGCGCCTCCCGAACAGCTCGGCGTGCACGGCGAACACCCTGCACCCCGGGGTGATCAATACGGAGCTGGCGCGGTACCTTCTGCCCGAGGACCCCGCGTGGTGGCAGCGGCCGCTGATGGAGGTCATGAAGAAGTTCACGCTGACGCCGGAGCAGGGCGCGCAGACGTCGATCTACCTGTGCAGCTCCCCGGCCGTGGAGGGGGTGTCGGGGAAGTACTACGACAAGTGCGAGCCCGTGAGCTCGAGCCCGATCAGCTACGACGTCGACGTGGCGAAGCGGCTCTGGGACGTGTCGATGGAGCTCACGGCCGCGCCGGAGCTCGCCAAGGGCGTGTGACTGCTTCCGTGCGGCGGCGGCAGGGGGGGGGTTGTTTGGCGCCGTGGTGGGCGGCCCGGGCAAGTGGCCGGTGCATGCAGCAGGGGCGCGCGCGCGGCCTCGTCCGTATCACCCAGCCGCGCCCGGCGCGGTCCTACCGAGCCGCCTCCAATTAAGGTCACACGCCGACGCCAGTGCGCGTCCTATCGCGCCCGACGCCGGCAGATCCTTCGCGTCTGCCCGGAGTGCTATCGTCCGGTCATACGCGGCGCGTCGACGGCGTCCGTGCCCCCCCCGAGCGTCACGCCGGCGAACCCACGCACCGGCACGCGGCGCCGCATCCACTGGCTCCCGGAGAACACCTCCCGGACGGCGCTCTCGTCGAGCAGCGACACCTGCTTCCGCCCCGTGTCGACGTACCACATTCGGGAGTCCCCCGCGTCGTTCTCGTTCAAGTATTCCCGCAGAACAATCACACCCCCGGGGGAGTTCGCCGTCCACGCCTCGTGCACGTTGCTGTCGCCGTCCCGGCCGCGGTATCGCACCAGAACGCGGCCGTCCTCCCCGCTGCGCTGCACCGTCGTCCCGTCGAGCGTCAGGGCGTAGGACTTGCGCAACCGTTGCATCACTGCGGCGTCGTCGTCGCGGCCGCCGCCGCCGAGGAGAGCGGCGCCGAAGACGCCGCCGAGGATGATGGCGCCGAGGGTGCGCCGGTCGAGGAGGTCGCCGGGCGCGCGGCTGCCGGGCGGCGGCGGCGGGGGCGGCGGGGCTGTGCTGCCGCGGCGGGCCGTGCGCTGTTGCGCGTACCCGGGCGGGGGGGGCGGCGGTGGGGGCGCGGCGCCGCCTGATCGCCTGCGAGGTTGCGGGGGCCGCGGTGCGCCGTGAGTGGTCCGGAGAGGGCAGAGTGTGTGCCGTAGAGGACGTGCGCGCCTGTGGCGCGCCGCTGAGGACCGACGCGCCCAGTGCGGGGAGCGTGGAGGGTAGCTGAGGGTGTATTCTAGCGGCGACGCGTATTGCGGTCGCGTTTGGGGACGACGGCGTCCCGGCGACGCGACATACGAGCGACAAGGTATGTCTGGCCAACTCACGGCGAGCGTTGCAAGGAGTCTATGCCACGGCGTGGTAGGCTGGCGAGCAGGAGCGCGTGGTGCGACGGCGCGGGCCACAAAGGCCGCTCGTGGCCTGAAAGGGCCAGGCTGGCACTGGCCGGCGCACAGCCTGCATCTCGCCGCGCACCTGTCCCAGTCGTCTTCGGGCGGGATGATCCTGTCGGGGTTGCTGACTTGGCACACGACATCGCGGCAAGCGGGCGCGCAAGGGCGCAGCCGCTGCACAAGCGCCGCGCCAGCAGGCCGACTGGCTGCCTGCACAGCAGGAGTAGCTCCAGCACAGGCGAAAGGGACAATGCGGCTCATTGTGCCCTAGCTCGCACTCTCTCCAGGCGGGCGTATCGCGGGGGCCCGCAGAGTGCCGGCGCCGGGCGCGCTCACACCCCCTGAAGCTCTGAAGCCAGGTCCTTGGGGCTGTAAATCGTTTCCGACTCCCCCGCCCTGTCCTCAAGAGGCCCGCCCCCCGCCGGGCCCCCGCATGGTAGAGCGCTGCCACCGCCGACCGTGACAGCCCCGCCATCGCCAAAGACCTCACCGGAAGGACGAGTGCGCGATCGAAATGAGGTCGAGTGCAGCTCTAGGAACGGCCACGGGCTGTAGCGTCGGGCTCCGGGCTCGCAGCGCCCGCGCCGACGTCCCCCGCACTCCCCCCGCAGGCTACCACCGCGGCGCACGCCGCAGCTGCGTCCGCGGCCCCCTCGCTGCGGCGCAGCGCCCTCAAACGGAACCCGCTTGCGAGAACCAGCGCAACACGGCCCCAGGTGAGCGCTGACGCGGAACACTCGTCCCGGCGGCGAAGCTGATGGACCACGCTGCGGACCCGGCCTCCGCCTAGCTCTGTGCGGCGCGAGCAACGAGGGCCCAGCCTCAAAGCCCTGCGGTCGTCTTCCGGGCGTTCGATGCGGCGCACCGCTCGTTCTGCCGCCGATCGCCCGCCGGGCCAGCGAGACCACGTAGTATGACATTCATTTGCGCTGCGTAACTCGCGCCGCGACGACGCCAGCGACGCACACACGCCCGCTTCGTTCTGTTGCGCTGCTGTCCCGCCCCCCCGCCGGCCCTCCCAGCGCGCGCCCGCTCCGAACGACGCGCCCCCGCAGAGACTGACATCGCGGCAACGTCACGCTCGCCGCGGTTCCCGCGTCGAGCCCTCGCGATCTGCGCGGCGGGCGTGGCGCTGGGCGCGGCGCTCTCCGCGCTGGCCCCGCCAACCGCCGTGGCCGCCGCGCAGCAAGCAGCGGCCGATGCGAGCTCGGGCGGCATCGCAGGCGCGCTCAAGTACGCGCTCTCCTTCGTCCTCCACCTCGACGCCCACCTCGCGGTACGAACACACACACCCGCGCGCGTGTCCAGGCAGTCACGCACGCACGCGCGGCCGGGCGGACGGTCCGTCCGCCTCTGGCGCGTGGTTGTACCTGCGTGTCATGTTTTCCTGACGCCGGATTCGAACCCGCGACCTCCGCAGAGCATCATTCAGTCGTACGGCAACTACACGTACGCGCTGCTCTGGGCGATCGTGTTCTGCGAGACCGGCCTGGTGCTGACGCCGTTCCTGCCCGGGGACTCGCTGCTCTTCGGCGCCGCTGCGTTCGCGGGCATGGGCCACCTGAACATCTCGGCGCTGATGGTGGTGTTTGTGACGGCGGCGGTGCTCGGGGACGCGGCGAACTACGCGATCGGCGCGTGGCTCGGGCGCGCGGCGATCGAGAGCGGGAAGATCGACTCGAGCCACGTGAAGAAGACCGAGGAGTTCTACGACAAGTGAGCGACCGCGCAGACCGCCCCCACTTGTTTGCAGTACGAACACAGGAGGGGGGGGGGTTATGCTTCTCTCTGCGGCTCTCGTCTCGTCGAGCTCGCGTCGGCGCGCTGCGCTGCCGAGCTCGTCTTGTTCCGCACTCGTGAGTCGCGGAGCACCCACCAGTCGTGACGTCGTGTCTTCCGCGCTCGCAGGTACGGTGGCAAGACGGTGGTGCTGGCGCGCTTCGTGCCCATCGTCCGCACGTTCGCGCCGTTCGTCGCGGGCGTCGGCTCGATGGACTACAAGCAGTTCGCGGCCTTCAACGTCGGCGGCGCCTTCATTTGGACCATTCTGTTCTGCGGCGCTGGGTACTATTTCGGGAACATGCCGTTCGTGCAGAAGAACTTCACGCTCGTGGTCCTGGGGATCATCGTGATCTCGATCGTCCCGATCATCGTCGAGGTGATCGCCGCGAGGCGCGAGAGCAAGCGGCAGAGCGGGGGCGCGTGATGGAGGCTTCGTCGCCCCGGGAACGGACAGACTCTTCAAGGCAGTGTCCGACTGGCATGTGACGTATATTCAGCGCAGCGTTCCGGGGGGCTCGCTCTCTCTCTGGGGCGAACACGCGCTGCGTTGCAGCACCTGCGCACAACAGGGAGATGCGACGCGTGCGATCGAGCCGCGATGCGCTCCACCCGGTCAGTAAGCTCGCGCTTGGTTCCGCAGCGAAAAGGACGCATCCTTCGCGCCACGTGCACGCAGACGGCGTTGGGCGGCACGAGCGCGCCATGAAGTGCGGGATCTGCTTCGCAAGGGCAGCCAAGCGGAATTCGCGCCAGTTTGTTTGCAACTTGCGTGCCAGTTGCAGTCTGGCTGACTTTCAACACTGGCATGGCACGATTTCTGAGCCAGAAGAGACCGAGATGGATGACGACAGCGTCTTGCATATTCACTCACACTGGGTGGAGGGGTTGTCGCCGTGCTGTTCGCGGCGTGCTCTAGCAAGTTGTTGCTGTTCCGGGGGCAGAACGTCAAAGGGGGCGACCTAAGTCCGCTAATTTTTTCACGCTGAAGGGGGCAGGAAGGGGGGAAGAGAAGGGGAGGGGGGGGGCAGGGGGGGGTTTAGTCGTAAAAGAGGGAGGGAAAACAAAGATCAGGATATCAACTGTGGTCCCGGCACAACCGTGAGTGACACCCGGGTCCTGACATCACTCGGTCGTCAACAGGGAGCAAGGTCGAGGGGAGGGAAGGGAGGGGGGTTTCTGGGGGAGGGCGCAACGCCACCCATGCTAGGGGGGTGTGCGACAGAGCACGCAGCCTTGGCCACCTGTTGGGGCGTGGCAAGGAGTCATGAATTGCCTGTCTAGCTCACCGGCGGTGGAGCGCAGACGCGCGCGGACCGCCGCAGGCGTCCTTGCAGCGCACATGCGCCAGGTGGTACTGCCGGGGGGGGAGGAGGGGGTACCGGGTGACAAAGTGTCCGGGCGCGGGCGTGCAGGCGGCGCGCGGGCCGGGGGACGTCGAGCCTGAAAGCGGCGCGACGGACTGCCCCAGCCCGGCGATAGAGAGGAGCAACGGTGACCCCCCCGGAGCCCCGTGATGGGCAGAGGGGCCCTGGTGCGGGTTGAGAGGGCTCAGCAAGCCGCTGTTTGATCTTCTGAGCCGCGGTCGGGCGAGCCGCCGGTGTTGGGACAGGCGGCCGCCCGCTACTTGCAGAGAGACTTTGAGGCTTGAAAAGTGCGTTCAAGGGTTTCGTGAAGACACGCGCTCGTCCGGGATGGCCGGGGAGCGCGCCGAGGGGCCCCGGGGGCGGCGGCAGTTGGCGGCCGGTCCGCGGGGGGCCGCTCGGAGCGTGCGGGGGCCTGCTGCGCACTGTGCCGAGAACCGAGCAGCGGTGCGCGAGCAGTGGTTGTCCCCCGGGGGGAGGGATGCAGGTGGGATCGCACTGCATCCGCGACGCTGCTGAAAAAGTGCGTTTGCTGGGGCGGAGGTGGAGGTAGGGGCGTCGAAAGGCGGCGGAGAAGGGGGGGGGAGGGGGGGGTTGAGCGGGGGGGGTGCCCGGATGAAGGCGTGGCCAGCGCGATGCGATGACCTCTGCAGAGGGGTGGCGCCCAGCTGCGGGGCCATGAGCCCCGGGAGGGCGCTCAGATATTCGATTCGTGGTGTTTTTTGTGTTCGTTGGTTCATAAATGCTCCTGGGGAGCGATAGATAGCTAGCATAGAGCACAACAGTGGCGTCCCGTGAAGGCCAAGGGTCCGCCCGAGGAGCGGCCACGCGGGTCGTGAGTTTGGCTGCCGGGCAGCAGCCGGCAAGCGGCGCGGTGGATTGGCGGGAGGGGAGCGGGCGACACCGTGCCCGGGCGCATGTCTTGGCAGGGGTAGCGGCGGCGCCAAGAGCAGCGGCGCAGACACGAATTGCTGGTACAGCGCGCCGGATCCGTGCTTTGGGCTGAAAGCTCGGAGCGCAGCAAGTTGGTTGCTCGGAAGGGGGGGGACGGGGGGGGGGTTATGGGGGACGAAGAACGCAGAGGGGCTGCGCAGGAGAGGAAACAATGGTGACGAGAGGGCGTCGCCGCGTGCGTGTCCGCGACCGGGCCTCTGGCTCGGCGTCGGGCACGCGTGCGGGCACAGTGCGCTCTCGGGGGGGAATGCAGTCAGGTGTGTCGCGAGCATCTCCACTCGAGCGTGGAGGGTCGGGGCGCAGGCAGGGAGGGGGGTTCCTTTTCGCTCATGGTGGAGGGTCTGTTCCGAACGCGAAGCTCGATCGGCGCGTGGCAGTCGACCGGAACCAGGCCGGGGAGGGCTCGGGATGCAGACGGCGCCACATGGTTCTCGCTGCATTGAGGGGGGGGCGGGGGGGCGGGGCGGAGACTGGACAGGACTAAGGGGTTGAAGAAGGGGGGGTCAGGGGAGGCGGGGGGTTGGTCGTCGTGGTGGGTTTCTGTCCCACGCGTGTGGTTGGGAAATCAGGTCAGGGGGTTGAACAGCGCGCAGAGAAGGGGGGAGGGCCGTGAGGAAAAGTAGATTGGGGGAGGGCGTCGGGCGCTGCGCGACGCGTCGTTGGGCGGCGGAAGCAGCCCGAGATCATGCGCGCCCCGTGCGGTGGCGACGGCCCCTCACTGCCGGTCGCTGTCCAGCGGCGAGCTGAACAGGCTCCCGCCCATCAGCCCGCCGAGGGGACCCAGGCCGCCGGAGCCGAAGTCGAAGCGCCCGGCGTCCGACATGCTGCCGCTGCTGCCCGGCTTGTTCGCGGCCTGCGACCCACCGCCGCCGTTGTGGTTGTGCCCAGTGTTGTTGCTGCTGCTGTCGTTGGCCGCGTCGTGCGAGTTCGCGTACGCCTGCAGGCTCGCGGCCAGGCCCTCGAACCCGAGCGACCCCGTGAACCCGCTCATGCCCTGGCTCGTCATGGCGTGGCCCGGAGCCGCCGCGCTCGACGCCGGCTGCGACAGCGGCTGCGACAGCGACGGGGACTGCGGCGCCGTGCCCCGCGCGGACGCGCTGTACCCGCCCATCGCCTGCGACGCCACGGGCGGCGACCGGAACGCCTGGCTCCCGTACTGGTCCTGGGCCTGACTCATGCCCAGCGACGTCATCGGGTCCTGACTCATGCCCCCAGCGAACCCGTACGGCTCGCCGCGGCCGCCCGCGGCCATCCCGGTCGACATCGCCATCGACATGGCCATCGCCTGCGACCGCGCCGCCGCGGCGGACGAGTACGACGGGTTGGCTGCGCTCGCGCGGGGCCACGCTGACGTGGCAGGGCCGCCCTGCGTCATCTGCGACGCGTAGTCGAACTCCCCCGCGTGCCCCTGGCCGTAGTCGCTGTACTGCGACGACCCGCGCTGCTGCTGCTGGTGCAGCTGCGCCTGCTGCTGCTGCAGGCGCAGCTGCTGGAGCTGCTGCTGGAGCTGGGCCTGTTGCTGGAGGGAGCCGGCGGAGGACACGCTGGCTCGCGGCGCCGCGCCGGCCGCCGGCGCCATCGGCATCTGTGCGGACATCCGCGGCATGCCGCCGTACGCCTGCTGCGCCATGCTCGCCTGGGCCATGCTCTCCGACATGCCCCACGTCGCGGGCCCGCCGTACTGCCCCTGCGCCGGCGCGTTCATCGCGCCGGACGTGCGCGCGCCCCCGGCCTGCTGCAGCAGCTGCAGGATCACCTGCTGCTGCTGCCGCTGCCACGCCGCCTGCTGCGGGTCCGCGCCGGGCCGCCCCATGGGCTGCGACGCCGCGATGCCTGCCGTGCGCTGAGGCATGCTCGCCGGCAGCGCCGCCGAGTGGCTCTGCGCCATCGAGCTCGCAGGCATCCCCGCGGCCGCGCCGCCGCCGCCAGACAGCTGCGCGATCGCGCTCTGGAGCGCCTGCTGCATCGACAGTGCTGCGACGAGGCGCTGTTGCATCAGCGGGGCCGTTCCGGGCGGCAGGCTGCCCGGCGGGCCCGACAGCAGGGCCTGGAGGTGGCGGACCTGCCCCTCCGCGTAGCGCAGCTGCGGGCCGAGCGTCGCGAGGCTGCCGGCGGGCGCGCCCTCGGGTGTGGCCGGCGGCTGCATCCCCTGCTGCAGCATCTGACGGACCACGGCCTGGTGGAGCTGCTGCGCGCGCTGGCGCTGCGCCGTCGACGTCGCCGCGCCGTGCTGCTGCGCAGCGGGCGGTGCGTTCCGCGCCGCCGCGGCCGCGAGCGCCTGCTGTTGCTGCGCCTGCTGCTGCGCCTGCTGCTGCTGTTGCTGCTGCCACGGCTGCTGCGGCATCGCCTGCGGCTGTGCGATGGCCTGGGAGTACACCAGCGCCGCGAGGCCCGTGCTCGCGGTCTGCAGCGGCATCGACGCGCCGCCCTCGCCCCCCGCCGGCACCTCCGCGGCACCCGACATGCCCGGGAGCACGGGCGCGCCCTGCTTGCCCGCGTGCTTGCACAGGTAGCTCGCGAGGCTCTCCAGCGACGCGGGGCTCAGCCCGGACAGCGCGGGGTTGCCCTGCCGCTGCGCCGTCTCCAGCGCCGCGATCAGCATCGACATGTCCGCCACGTGCGCGCCCGCCGCCGCCGACGCCACCGCCGCGGCGGCCGCGTCCCGCCCGGCGTCCGCGCCGACCGCCGCGCCCTCGGCCACGCCCGCGGCCGCGCCCGCCGGCCCCGCCTTGGCCGCGCCCGTGGGCACTTTTGCCATAGTGAAAAAGGACACGTCGTACACCGTGTGCTGCATCGACCGCGGGTTGTCGTTGAAGCGGCACTGGTGGCTCGAGCGCCGCAGCTCGCTGAACCCGAGCTTCTTCGCGACGTTGAGCACCTCCTCGAGCGACAGCTCCAGACTCAGGTCGGACCCGCTCGGCGCCGGCGTGCCTGAGTCAGCCCAGTGGTAGAGGAGCGGGCCGACGTTGACCCAGTAGCCGCCGTCGCGGAGGCAGTGCCGGATGACCTCCATGTACTCGATGACGTTGTGCGCGGTGTCCAGGAAGAAGCACGTGCACACGGCGTCAAACATGTTGGCCATGCCGGGGGCGCCGTAGACCTCGACGAAGTCCCCCGCGCACATCGAGAGCAGGCCCTGGCCGTGCCCGGCCGCGACCATCTGCGACGGCAGCTGGTCCGGGATCCGCACGGGGCGCAGCTGGTCGCCGTCTGCAGCGAAGGGGGGGGGGAGTCGCGGCGGACGTGAGGCGGGGAGCGGCGAGGCGGGCGCGGGGCGCGGGCGCGGGCGCGGGGCGCGGGCGCGGGCGCGGGCGCGCGCACCGTTGAGGTTGTTGAGCGGGCACGTGACGAAGGGGTAGATTGAGAACTGTTCGGCCGTTTCCGTCTGGTTCAGCGTGAAGCTGGCCGCGAGGAGCATCATGTAGGAGAACTCGTTGCCCTGGGCCTCGAAGCCGCGCGCGACGAGCTCGAGCGGGAGCCGCCCGAGGCCGGCGCCGGGCACGAGGACGCGCGTGGGCGCCGAGGCGAGCGGCGCGCGGTGGGGCTCCGGGAAGAGGCGGCAGAGCTCCTGGACGCAGAGGTCGTAGCACGTGGCGCGCTCGGCCGCGCCCTCGGACGACCAGTCGCGCGCGAGGTTGCGCAGCATGTAGCGCACGCGCTCGTCGTCGTCGCCGCCACCGACCGAGACGGCCGCGGCGGCCGCGGCGGCCTTGGAGTCCGCGTCGAGGCCCTCGCCCTCGGTCGCGAGAGCGTACTCGCGCGCGGCCTCGAGCGCCCCGCCCAGGTGCGACTCGGCCGAGTCCATCGACGCCAAGAGGTGGTTCAGGAAGCCCATGTTGGCGTCCACGCACTCCCGCGCCCGGGCCGCCTTGGCGGGGATGTTGTCGCACAGGGCCTGGTGCTCCGGGGACAGCCTGCGGGGCGGCGGTTCGCGCAGCGACGTCGGCGTGCGGGCGCGGGAGCAAAGTGGTTGCAGCCTCGCGCAGGCGCTCCCGGGCGAGCCGGGCCGCGAACGGGCGCGCGGGCGGCGGCCGAGGGCTGCGTGTGAGGAGCAGGGGCGCGGCCGGGCGCAGCCGGGCGCGGGGGCGGGCGGGCGGGCGCGCACCGGTTGTAGTTGTGGAGCCAGCGGGCAATCTCCTCCTTAGCGGGGCCCGAGTAGCGCGAGATGGACAGCGCGACGCGCCCGAGGGCCATGCGCTCCGCGTCGGGGTCGAGCTTGTCGGAACTCAGCTCCGCAGCGGCCATGGTGTCCTCCAGTGACGGGCGCTGGCCGCCCTGCGGCTGCTCCCCGGCCTGCTCGGCGTTCGCGGCCTCGCGGGCGTCCTTGGCTGCCTCCTGCGAGGCCTCGGACGCAGAGCCGTCGCTGTCCTTCTCGTTGCTCGACTTCCCCGCCTCCGAGCCCTGCGCAGTGCGCGGGCGTGCGCGCCAGAGGGATCAAGAATTGACCGCACCGGCCCGCAACGGCGCTGGGCGGGCCCGAATCCGCCCCGCGGCGCCGCGGGGCCCGGGATCGGGACTGGTGAGGGCGGCGGGCGCAGCCGCGCTCGCGGCGGGCCGCCCCGGGGGCCGCACGCCCGAAGCAAGCTTGCTGTGAGCACAACTGAGCGGAAGGCCTCAGGAGGGGCCGCCGCCGCCTGCACGACGTGCCGCGCGCGAAAACCGGGCAGGCGCGTGGCGTGGTGGCGCGTGGCGGCGCCGTGCGCGGGCGGAGCCCGGCGTTTGCGGCCCATGGAGGTGTGCAACTGCCATCGCGTAGCAGTGCGTGGGGCGCGTCTCAGAGCGCGAAAGCGAGGGGGCGTGGCTCACCTGCTCTGACTGCGATCCAGGCGTGGCGGAGCCGGGGGCGCCCGCGGAGGAGGACTGCGGCGAGTCCTTGCTGAGGTTGGGCTGCTCCTCGCCGTTTGGGGGCGTGGCGGCAGCGCTGCCGCCGTCGGCCATGTTCACAGATGTTTCGGTCATTCTATCGCCGTAAACGACGATTGGCCCCCGGGCGCCGCCGGGGGCAGTCAAGTCGGCTCCCTGCCTCTTCAGCCGCACACGCGCTGGGGCCTGTGGGCTTGAAAGCGCGCTAAGCGAAGCGCGATGTTCTTTGTTTCTGGCCCTTCTCGCCGCCCGCGCGCACCCACGGCGCCTCGAACGGCGCGGCATCGTGGTGTGTCAAGTCGGGGGGTCTCGAAGGGTTGTGGGGGGGCAAGCTCTGAGGTGCGCCCCCCCACCACCCGTCCCTCTTCGCTTTGATTGGCGCCGCGCCCCCCCCCACCGCCAATTTCCGGGCACCCGAACCCACCCAGTTCAGCCTCCGCCCTGCGCCAGGCGAACACGACGCTCTGCGCCGTTTCCTGACGCGTACCGCGCCCTGGCTTTGTCCCTAGGAAACATGAGAAGCGACAGAGGACCGTCAGGAGGCCGAACATGCGTGCGCCACAGCGCTGTCCCACTGCCAGCCTAGATTGTGTGTCAACACACCAACCCGCAGATCCACCCTCGTGTCCGGCGCAAAGACGCCGGCTCCACGCCCGCACCGACCATCTTGCCCGCGCGGGCGTGTCTCCGCGAACCGCGCCGGCACCTGAACCATGCAGGTGCGGGGACGTGATTCACCTGTGCATGGACTTGAAAGCACGTGTTGACCGTCGCCTGGACCAGATGCGGTCTCCCAGCGCCCTCACACGGGACTGCGCACTTGCCAATGCAGCGAAACACGCCGACTGAGGCCTTCGCGCGCTTCTGCGGGGGTGGCCTGCCCCGACACCGCCCATGCTGCGGCCGCAGGCTCACGCCCTTTCCCCCGTCACGCTTCCGTGAAAATGGGTATGAACACCCTCCGAGTGCGTCACAAGGTCATTCCCCGTCCCCAACAACCCATCCCCCTCGCCGCGAGGGGGCTCGACGGCCCAAGTGGTGCGGCAGATGCCATGCGCACGACAGAGGAATGCACGGGAGGAGCACACGCGCACAGTAATTGACCCGTGCAGGGTGCATGTCTCTCAGCGTCCGTGCAGGCAGAATGCGTTGCGACGTGCTGTCACAGTTCCCGAGGCACTCGTGCAACGAATCGTGCATGCCCGCGGTGTCGCCAGACGCAGCCGAGAGCCCGCCGGGCCCGCCACCACCGGGGGGAGTGTAACAAATAGAGCCCTCCCCGGAGTACCGGTCGCCGAAGACATGTCTGGTGCAGTCCTCGACACGCGCGCCTCGACGACGTCTCTCTCCACGGCGCGCCAGCACCAGCCCCGTGTAAACGCCTCGTCTCGTCTCGTTCCGTCTCGTGCGCCCCCCGTTCAAGTGTGTTGGAAGCGGGGAGGGGGGCGCAGTGTCGCTGCAGTGCTACATGCTCGCGTGAGGCCGTGCCGCTCGCTGTGGGCTGCCTGTCGGATGCGCAGCGTCGTCGGGCGACGCGGGATCGCGCGCGGGAGAACCACGCGGGAGGGTGCTGCTGCCGGCACGCGGCAGAGCGCGTGCTGCGATGTGTGAGCCGTGTTGCTGTGTTGCTGCCTGCTCTCTTCGCGGTCTTGCGCCTGGGTCAGCGGCGAGCGGCGAGCGCCTCTGCCCGGCGAGTGCGTTGTTGTGTAAAGGGAGGGTAGGGGTCTTTTGTTTCGTCAAGGGCAAACACCCCCCCGTTAAATCAATACCCGGGTCCACTGGCACTGCTGTGGAACGGGAAGGCCGCGGCGGGGACGTGCTGCTGCGACACCGTCGGCAGGTGCACCTGCGTGGGCGTGCCGGCCCCGTACGCCCCGGCGCCGTGCATGTCCACCACGCCCCCCACCATGCCGTGCGCGCCCAGCACTGGCGTGAGCTGCATGGGGTGCATGTGCCCCTGCGCCCCGGTCATGTACGCGATCTGCGGCATCGCCTGCGACACCCCGTGCTGCGTGGCCAGCGCGTACTGCCCCGACGGCAGGTGCACCATCGACCCCAGCGCCAGCCCGTTCTGCGGCCCAGAGACGACCCCCTGAAGCATGTACGCCTGCTGCGGCTGCATCTGCTGCTGCTGCGACATCGCCATCGCCGCGCTCTGCCCGCCCTGCATCGCCGCCAGGGAGGAGCTGCTCGAGTGCTGCGGAACCGACGTGTGGTGGCTGCCGCTGTTGTTGCTGTGGTTGCCGCCGCCGCCGCGCCCGCCGCGCCCGCCGCGGTGCCCGCCGCGCCTGCCGCCGCGCCCGCGGCCCCGGCCGCCCGGGCCCTGCGGCGCCGCGCCCTGCGGCTGCGCGCCCAGCTGCTGCTGCCACTGCGGAGCCTGCGAGTGCTGCGACCACCCGGGAGGACCCGTGTCCGCCCCGCCGCTCTGCGGATCGCCCACCTGCTGCTGCTGCTGCTGCAGGTACGACCCCAGCAGCTCGTACAGCGCCTGGTCGCCCGGAACCCCCCCGCCGGCCCCGCGCCCGGCCACCTGCGACGGGGGCGCCGCCGCACCATCCGCCACCGCGCCGCCCTGCCAGCCCCCGCCGCCCTGACCCTGCCCGCCGCGCCCGCGCCCGCCGCCGTGGCCCGCCCGCCGCGCCTCCTCGTACCCGCTCGACACGTCCCGCGCCCCCTGCGGCACGACGCCCCGCGCCATCGGCCCTGACGATGCACCCTGCATCGCTGCCGACGCCTGCGCCTGCGCCTGCGCCTGCGCCTGAGCTTGCGCCTGCGCCTGCGCCTGCGCCTGCGCCTGAGCTTGCGCCTGCGCCTGTGCGGCCGCGTCGCCGTTCGGCGCGTGGCCCTGCTGCCCATGCGCCAGGAGCGCCATCAGCACGTCTACGGGCACCTGCCCCTGCTGGGCCGCGGCCGCCACGGCCTGGTGCGGCGAGCCGCCCTGGTGCATCCAGTGCGCGGGAGCGCCGCCGCGCCCGCCCGCGGGCCGCCCGTGGCCCTGCAGCGGGCTCGACGTGCCCCCGTCGCCGGGCATGTGCGCCGTCTGCGGCGACACCGCGCTGGAGCCGCCCGGGCCGCGCGGCCCGCCCTGGCCGTCGTAGCGGCCCGCGAGCTGCTGCGGCGGCGCCCCCTGCGCGTCGAGCGGCGAGCCCGGCGGCGGCCCGCGGCCGCCGTTGTCGGACGACTGCTGCCGTGCCATGCCGATGCGAGCGGCGCGCGCAGAGAACTCCGCGCGGCCCGCGGGCTTGATCGCGACGCCGTCGGGGCCGACGAGGCCGCGCGGGCCGACGGAGATGCCGTCGCTGGGGCCCGCGCCGCCGCCGCCGCCGCCCGCCCACTCCCCGCCGGCTCGCGGTGCGCCCAGCCGCCGCGCCCGCCGCGGCCGCCGCGGCCGCCCCCGGGCTGCTGCCCGCTCCACGACTGCTGCCCGTACGGGCCGCGGTGGCCCCTCTGCGCGGACGACCCGTCCGTGGAAGACCCCCCCCGCCACGCGCGCTGACCGCCCCCGGCGTCGCTGTGCATCTGCCGCGGCGGGGGCCCGCCGGGCGGCGCGGGCGCCCAGTTCGGCGCGCCCTCCACCTTCGACGCCGCCTGACGGGGCGCCGACGGCGGCGGCGGCGGCGGCGGTGGCGGCGCGGGCGGCCCGGAGGCGCGTCGCCGAGTGCGGTGGCGGCGGCACCGCCCCCGGGTCGCCCGGCGGCGGCGCCGGCATCGGAACCGTGCCCGGCATGTTCTGCGTCGCCCAGATCACCTGCGGCACGCCGTGCATCCCTTGCATGTGGCCGTAGTGGGACATGTAGGAGTAGGCGTACGGCGCGACCCGCCGCCGCCGCCGCCGCCGCCTCCGCCGCCGCACCGCCCATGCCGCCCGCGACCGCGCCACCGCGCCCGCCGCGGCCCCCGCCGCCGCGCCCAGGCGAGTGCCCGTCGATGCTGCTCGCGTACGACTGCGGCGTACCCCCGCTCCGCGGCGCCGGCGGATGCGCCGACCGGCGCGGGTCGTGGAACGCCGCGGCCGCCGCGGCCGCCGCAGCGCTCGCCGCCGCCGCCGCCATCGCCACCGCGCCCTTCCCGCCGAACAGCGCGTCAGCTTCGCGCACCGCATCCTCGGGGCTGCGGACCGACTGGAGCGCCTGCACGGCCTGCGCGGCGGCCGCGGCGGCCGTGAGGACCGCGCGCGGGTCGTTGCTGCGCGTCGTCGCGTTCACGCCCTCCACGACGGGGTCGGCGATGTAGACGATGGCCGGGAGCGTCTGCGCCACAGGGCGGCTGCGTCCCGGGCCGACGCCGATGGCCGCGAGCGGCGGCGGGGGCGCGAGGGAGCTCACGCCCGGCGCGCCGCTCGGCGCGATGCCCGCGCGGCCGCGCTGCGAGGCCTCGAAAGCGGCGCGCGCCGCGCGCTGGGCGGCCTGCTGCGCCTGGAGGAGCACGGCGGCGCCCGAGACGGAGCGGTCGCTGTCGCCCTCGACGGGCATCGTGGCGCTGGAGCTGCCCGCGACGGAGGCGGCGCTGCCGTCCGCGGAGGGCTTGGCCGCGGCGGGGGAGTCCGAGGAGGCTGGGGACCGGGGGACCGTCACCCACTGCCCCGACCAGACGTCCGGCGCGAGCCCGTCGAGCGCGCCGCAGTGCCACATCTCGAACGTGATCTTCAGGAAGCACAGGAACGAGAAGAAGATCGACGACACTGTCTCCCCCGGCCCGCGCTCCGCCGCCGCCGCCTTGCGGGCTTCGCGCAGCTGCGCCGCCGCCGCGCGGACGCGCTGCTCCATCTCCGAGAGGTGCTGCGCCTCGCCGCCGGCGCTGCGCTCCGACAGCGGCTTCTTGGTGTCGGGGCCGCCGAAGAGGGCCCGGAGGGGGGGGAGTGTTGGCTGGCTGCGCGTCTGGAGGAAGAACGCGACGAGGAGGCACAGGGCGCGGTGGTCCAGCGCCGACGGCCGTCCGCTCGCTGCGTCGCAGTCGTGGGCGCGAGGGCGGGTGAGGGCGGCGCCGCGAGATGAACGGGGGGTGCGTGGTAGAAAACTGGCAGAGGGGGGGGGGGGTTGGTGTGTTCGCCAGGCGGGTCGCTCGCTGCTGGCAGAACGCAACACACGCGACGCGGCATCGGGGCCGGCGGAGCATCTCCGGCGCGGCGGGCGTGCCCGGTCGGCGCTCGCCTCGCGCCCACGCGCAGCAACAACGGCGTCAACGTCAGTGCGGGGCCGCGGCGGCGTCGTACCTGGTCCGGGCGGCGGCAGGAGGTCCCGCGCGGAGCCCCACATGTGCACAACGGCCAGGAGGTGCGCAGCACGCGGGTCGATGGACAGCAGCTCCGACAGCGCGACGGCGCCGGGGCGGCTCCGCGAGCCGCACGTGAGGCTGCACTGCAGCATGCTCGGGCTGTGCAGGACCTGCAGCGCGGGCTCCTCGCAGTCCCACAGCCCCTGGAGGATCCGGAAATCCGGGCTGTTGGCGATTTGCACCGCCAGGATCCGGAGGACCTGCGCGCGGTCCGCGCGCGACGCCTCGCTGAGGATGACGACGTCCTCGTCGTCCTCGGGGGCCGCGGGGGTCTCCGGGGGGGTCTCCGTCGGCGCCGGGAGGTCCTTGGCGGCGACGTCGCCGGGCGCGGAGCTGCGCTGCCCCGTGGAGCCCGGCGCGGCGGTGCCGTCGCTGACGCTGCTCACGCGCGCGCTGCCGGGCGCCGCGGCGCCGGCGGTCGCGTCCGCCGGCGGGTCGGAACGCGGGCGGCGGGCGCCGGCGGCTTGGCGGGCGCGCGCGCCCGTGGCGGCCGCGACGCTGGCCTGCGCGGCGGTGGCGAGCGCGGCGCTCGGCTTGCGCGGCCCGCCCGGGCGCTGGAGCTGCAGCGCGGACCGCGGAACCCGCCCCTGCACCGACACCTCCGCGGGCGCGCCAGGGCGGCAGAGGCTCATGGCCGACTCGCCCGTGAGCTCGCACCAGATGCCCTGGAGCTGGTCTCCGCCCGCGGCGCGCAGCAGGGCGTCGACCTTGCGCGCGACCTCGGCGCGGGCGGAGGCTGCGGCGTCCGCGGCGGTGCCCACGGTGCCGTCGCCGCTGACGTGGTGCTCGGAGTGGCTGTTCAGGGCGTCGTCGAGCGCCGTGGTGGTCTCCGCGGACCACGGCGGGGCCGTCACGCTCCCGCACGTGCGCGCGTGCGCCTCGGATGGCGTCCGGCACGGTGCGTGGCGCGGGAGGCCGACGGAATCCGGCGACTGGCCGAGCTGCGGGCCTCGCCCTGCGGGAACGTAGAACGATGCGACGCGGCGTGAGGCGGAGGCGCGTGGCGCCGCGAGGGCGGCGGGGCGGCCGGGGCTAGAGCTGCTGGTGGGGTGCCTGGGGGCGCTGCGGCGCGCGCTGGGCATCGAACGGGGCGGCATCGGGCCGGCGGAGTCGTTAGATCCGTGGCACGGCGGCGCGGGGCCGCGGGGCGGTCGGCGCGTCCCGGGGCCGCGCAGGCAGGCGCACTTGTCTTCGATGGGAGGTGCAACAACTTGGGTGCTGCCGGCACGGCGCGGCGGGGCGGCTACGGCGGCGCATACGGGCCAGGCCTCGGATCCTCGGCCATGATCTTCGCGTGGGAGGCCATACATTGTCTGAGATAGCCCGGGCGCGGCGCCTGAGGGCGGGAGCTGTGCCAGGGGCGGAGGCCAGCTGCCCGCACCGCGGTGCCGGCGCGTCGCTGATGGGAGCGGAGCGCGGACGTGCTGGAGCGCGATTCGCGGGGCGCGGAGGGCGCGGGGGGCGAGCGGAGGTGCGGCGCCGGGAGCGGAGGTGCGGCAGATAGCCGGTGGTCAATAGCGGCAGCTTGTTCCGCGCGGGGGGGTCTCGCGGGCCGAGGGGGCGGACCTGGGACGGGAGGCGCTCCGGGCTGCAGGGAGTGGGCGGATCCGGGTCCGGCGGTCTTGGGAGAGTGCGGCTCCGCGTGCGCAGCCCGGGCGAGTGCCAGCCCAGGAGCGTCTCGTGGCGCGGCTGATGCGCCATGCTCGGCCCGCACGCGTCGCGAAAGCGCGCGGAACTTCTCCCAATTGTCCGAGTCGCCCCTACACAGGAGCTCTCCGCCGTCAGGGAGCATGGCGACTCCGGCAGCAAGATTAATGGGCGCGACGAAGGTCGCTGGTTGGGATGAAACGTCTATGGTCCCCGGTGAATGAAGGTTGTTTTCACTCGACAAACGTCGTCATGTTTGTCGGCGCGCAAGCTGCCCACCGCGCTGGCCTCGCGATCGAGAGAGAGACGACGAAGCGAGTTGCTGCCGCTGGCGAAACAGCACCGAGCCGGTGCCCAGGTGTGCGGCACCAAGTCAACTCGTGCGAACTAAGTTACGCGGCCCGCGAGCTCGGAGACCCCTTCGAGCCGCGCCCCCGCGCGCTCTCGCCATCGAGCTGGTATAACGCGCCGTTGAACGGCGTGGGGGCCGAGAACCCTCCACCGCCACGCCACCACCTCGCTTCGATCCTCACTGCCGGCTTTGCCGAGCTCGGATGGAGCAGCGGGGCCCGCGAGCCCAGCCGAGAGCCCCACCCACCAGCCTTGACCAACATCCGATCTCACCCCTCCTGCAGTCCCCGTGCCGCAAGCTCTCGCCACCAGCGCACCACATCAGCTCAACCCCGTGAGCTCGCGACAGGCGCGGAAACCCCCGCGCGGAGCCCCCCGCGGCCGCGCCGCCCCGTGACCTGGGTCGCCCGGCACGAGCGCACCGCTCGCCGCGGACGCCTCCCCGCGACGCAACGCCCGCGCGTGCCGCCGCGACAGCCTCCTCCGCGTCCACGCCGTCGCCAGGCAAGCTCCCCGGACGGCACCGAGACCGGACGTGAACCCACGTGGTTGGTTGCGCGCGACCGTGTGCGTCGCGGGACGGGCCCGCGCGTGGGCGCAGCGTGCCTGGCCGGGATGGCATCGTGCCGGGCGGGGTGGCGGGCGGACGCGCGCGGGGGAGGCGGGGGTCGCGCGCACGAGGGCGTGCGGCCACGCTGGCGGTGGTTGTGCAGGCTTGACTTGACCTCAGTGCAAGAGCTCACAGCATCGCGAGGAGCGCCGCACGAGGAGTCCGTGGGAGCGGAACGGAGCGTGCCGTGCCCGGGCTCACTCTCTCTGACATCGGCGGGGGGTTAACATTACATCAACTCCTTGCCAGCTAGTCGCATGATATTTCCGGGTCCCGGCGCCTCACGGCCGACGACGCGAAACACGTGGCACGTCTGCTCACGCCACCTCATCTAGGTGACGAGGAGGTCGAAGACGATTTGGTCGCAGGCGTCCACGCATTGCATCAGCACGACCACGACAGGCCGAGAGACGCGGAACCCGCGGAGAGGGAGCTCCGCCCGCGACACATAGGTCCAAGTTCTCTCATCAGACTCATCTGCGTCCGTATCCGAATCGGTCTCGCCCCAGCTGTATTCCAGAACTTCGCTCTTGAGCCACGCAGCGAAGGTCAGGTCGGCCACTCCGTTGAAGAACCGGTCGATCGGTTCGTCCGGATGACCCGCGCCCCTTCTGTCTTTCCAGATCAGCCACCACTTCCAGAGGAACCTCTCCGTCCACTCCAGGGCCTTGAAATACCTCCACAACTTCTCCACGGCCTCCTGCGTCGCCAGGTGCGTCATGCGCGGCACGACGACGACGTGCGACTCGTGCTCGAGCAGCACCTGCTCGTCTTCTTCATAGGGGTCGTCCTCGGCGAAGAAGACCCGGTGCACTGTCGTGGTGAGCACCAGCCCCTGCAGGTGCGCGTTCACGTCCTCCGCGAACGGCCACGGATCCGAGACGCTCATGAGCGGGTACACAGGGCCGACGGCGGGCGTTCTCGCCACGAGGTCCCGCAGGTACTGCGCCACCTGCCGCTGCACCTCCCTGGAAGACGAAACGACCCGCCTGAGGTCCCGGCACGTCTGCGCGAGCGCCGCGAGGCTTTCGCGCGCCGCGCCGGTTCCGACGACGCACTCCCAGACGCGGTACTCGTTGTGGTTCATGATCCACGCGTGCGAGTCGGGCGCCAGCGCTCGCTCGCTCTCAGCCGCGAGGCCCTGCCCGAAGATCGCGACAAGGACGCGCGAATATGCGGGACGACACTCCCGTGACGCGGATGCCGTGCGATCCTGTGTCGCCGTGGCCGCTCGGCGACGCAACAGGGTCCATGGGACGGGTCACATCGTGGCCAGCAAAACCCCCCCCCCTGACGGCACCGAGACCGGACCTCTGTTGCGGAGTGTTGCGCGTCACATCGCGACGGCCCAGCCGCCTGCGCGTGCTGGGGGTCGCGCGGGCTGCGCTCAGCGCGGCGCCACGGAGGCGCCTGGTGCCGCGTGCTGCTGCTGTTGCGCTTGCGGCGCGGGCGGCGCCTTGCGCGCGGGCGTGCGGAAGCCGAGCAGGCGCAGGACGAAGCGGGCGAGCTCCGAGTAGAGCGAGCCGCAGCGGTCCAGCAGCTGCAGCAGCGCGGTGATGAAAAAGTGAATCGCCTGCGTGTTCTCGTCCACGAGGAACGAAATCCGCCCGAAAAAGGACACGACGCCGTGGAGCGCTCTGCAGCGGAGGCGGGCGGCGCGGCGCGGCGTCAGCGGCCGTGCGCGGCGCGGGGAGGGGGGGTAAAGGCACCTGTACATGCCAATCAGTCGAGCACGAGCGTGTGCGCGGCGGGACGGGCCCGCGCGTGTCTGGCCGGGATGACACCGCGTCGGGCGAGGAGGCACGCGGGCGGGCGCGGGGGAGGCGGGGGCGGGGGGTCATGCGCACCTGAGTGCGTGCTGCCACGCTGGCGGTGGTTGCGCGGGTGCCATGGGGTCGTTCGGGTCCATCGGCCCCATTCCGGGGCCCATGCCGCCGAGACCCATGCCCATCCCCATGCCCATGCCCGTCCCCATGCCGTAGCCGCCGTAACCGCTGCCGTAACCGCTGCCGTAACCGCCGTAGCCGCCGTAGCCGCCGAGGCCGCCGTAGCCGCCGCCGTACGACCCGTACCCCATGCGGTTGTACCCGCCGTACATCCCGCTGCGGCAGAGCGAGACGAGGAGCGCGGATGGAACGGAGTTCGAGAATCCTCAATCTAAAAACGCACCAAGCAAGCAGGCTAGGGCACGCGGGCCGCCGGGGCGACCTGCGCGTCTGCAGGCGCGCAGAGGCGCTGCCGGGGCGCGACGTACCCGTAGCTGCTGTTGTACGCGCCGCCATACCCCCCCCCTAGTCCATACGAGGACCCATACAGGCCCGACACCCCCCCCGCCGTGCTGTACGGTCCGGCCGCGGCGATCGGCGCCGACTGGTCAGGCAGGGATCCGGTCTGCGCGCCGCGCTGCGTCACGGCGTCCGACGCGACCGACGGCCCGGCCCCAGCAGAGCCGTTGCGCTCCCACGGACGCGCCGGCTGCGGCCTGCAGCGTCGCGTTGGCGGGCGGCCTCGCTCTCAGAGATACAGTGCGTAGCCAGGGCGAGCGGGCAGGCGCCGTGCGGGGCGCATCGCGGCGTGTCGTTGCCGCGGAAGGGCTAAGGCGGGCTCTGGGGGGCGTTGCGAGAGCGCGGGCTGGGCGCACGGTGTTGCTGGCCGCTCGGTGCGGTGGCGCGGTGGAAAGGGAGCGCTCGCGGGCGAGAACGTGGAGGTTGGGCAGCGGTACTCACTGGGAAGCGACGGAGGGCTGTGGAGCTGCGGGTGCCTCCCACGGCTTGGCCAGACCAGCGCCCCGCGCGGCGAGCCCGGTGTCGCTGCTGGTCGGGGCTGCTGTCTCCCAGGGCTTCGGGCGGCCTGCGAGGAGCGGAACGCGAGCACGAGCGCGGCGCGTGAGCGAAAGCCACACGCGGGGAGCGGCGTGGTGCTGCGCCGTTCGGCCGAGACGGCACTTCGCACGCACCCGCCATGGCCGCAGCCGTCGATTCTGGCGCTCGCAGGCTCCTCCAACTGCACGGCGAGCTGCGGTCCGTCAGTCGCCCCGCGCCACCCCAACAGCTTACAGGCGCGCGGCTTTCTCCGGGCTTGCGACCTTAAAGCACGCTTCGACGGTCCGGAGCTTCAAAACTTGCGCGGGCACGCGTCAGCGCGGCGTGCAAGCGCCCCCCGAGTGCGGAGCGGCGCACATCCGGTAGGACACTGAGCTGGCGGATGGAAACGGTTGGTGGGCGGGGGGGAGTAACGCGAGTCCATGCGCGCGGGACATTGCCCGACGCGCAGAGGCACGGCGCTAGTTGTGACCGCGCTCCCACGCTCGGCATCGTTCCCCGGCCCAGCACCCGAGCATCGTCGCCGTTGCTGCCAAGCAGTTCCGTCGCGGAGCTGTCGTGAGATCGCGCGGTCGCCGGCTCAGCGCTCCGTCGTAGATATGGCCGACACGGACTCCGCGCCGCCCCCGGCGGCCCCCGCGAGCGCCGGAGAGAGCGCTGGACCCGCAGCTAATGGCAGGCCCAAGAAGGCTCCCGCAAAGCCCCGCCCTACGGCCAAGAAGGTGAAACATCTGCGAGTAGGCTTGTTGATTGCTATGCGTATGACTTGAGCTACAGGGAGCAGCGCGAGAGCTCGTCAGGGCGCTGTGTAGCGGCACCAAATGGCCAGTCAACAAACCACGAATGCGAGGCGCTCATCAGAGCGTCTAAAAGCACTGTTGAACTGCCCCGCGTGGCTCCTCAGCGCAGTGATCCACCAGTGGCAGATCGAACCTTTCGCGATAGCAGACAGGCTCGTCGCAATCAGCGGTCCCCATCTTCTAGGAGCAACTCAACGTCGCGTGCAGGCCGCGAAGCCCCCCGTGGACCAGGGCCCGGCGCACGAGCTGATCAAGTTCCTCAACGACTCCTGGACGCCCTTCCACGCCGTCACGTCCACCATCGCCATCCTCGAAGCCGCTGGCTTCAAGCCCCTCAACGTGCGGCCCTCACGCGCCCGCCCGTCGCCGCACCTGCAGATCTCTCCCCCCACCGCCCCCTCGTCATCGTTCCCGCCCTCCTCGAGCACCGAACGCGTCGAATCAACCCTCGTCTGTCGCGTTAGTGCCCGAAAGGCCTCTCGTGCATCCCGTGTCCGATCCGACCGGCGCGCCGTCCCCGTGCCGCAGGAGCGCGGACCCTGGGAGGTCGTCCCGGGCGGCAAGTACTACCTCACGCGCAACATGTCCGCCCTCGTCGCCTTCGCGGTCGGCGGCAAGTTCGCACCTGGGTCGGGCTTTGCCATCATCGGGGCGCACACCGACTCCCCCTGCCTGAAGCTCAAGCCCGTGGGCAAGCTCAAGAAGGGCGGGTACCAGCAGCTCGCCGTGCAGACGTACGGGGGGGGTCTGTGGCACACGTGGTTCGACCGAGATCTGGGCCTGGCGGGGCGCGTGGTGGTGCGCCGGGCGGGGGGGAAGATCTCGCAGGAGCTCGTGTGCATCCGGAAGGCGCTCCTGCGCATTCCGATGCTCGCGATCCACCTCAACCGCGACATTCACACCGCGGGCCTGAAGCCCAACGCCGAGACGCACCTGGCGCCGATTCTGGCGACCGAGGCGCGCGCGGGGCTCGGGAAGGCCGCGGAGAGCAAGGACGGCAGCGTCGCGCCCGCGGTGCAGCGGCAGCACCCGCTGCTGCTGAGCATCCTCGCCAAGGAGCTCGGGTGCAAGTAAGCAAACGGGAGACCTGGATTCTCGAGTGCCGTTGCGACGCTGGAGCCTGCGCGTGCGCAGCGGCTCCGCGCACCCTGGCGCACGGGAACAGGGGCACGATACCGCAGCCGGCCCGGCTCTCAAGCCAGCCCCACATAATATTTTCTACTTGTTCGCCGACACATATCTTTTCCCTACCTCGTCGAAACGCCCTCCTTTCCCACGCACATACCCACGGGCGGCCGCGCGTGTTCGCCCTGCATCGCTCGCAGCCCTCACACAATACTCCCCTCCCAACTCCCCGCCCCCCGCAGGCCCGCGGACATCCTCGACTTTGAGCTGCACCTGTGCGACACGCAGCCGTCGGTGATCGGCGGGGCCTGCGACGAGTTCGTCCTCTCCGGCCGCCTCGACAACCTCGCGATGTCGTGGGCCTCGGCGCGCGCCCTCGCGGACACGTGCGGCGACGCGTCCCTGGGCAACGAATCCGGCGTGCGGTGCATCGCGCTGTTCGACAACGAGGAGGTCGGGTCGGACTCGGCGCAGGGCGCGGGGTCGCCGCTGATGCTCGACGTCGTGCGGCGCGTCGCGGCCGCGCTCGGGGCGGGCGAGGAGGGCGCTGTGGAGCGAACCCTCCAGGTGCGGATCCGCGCCCAGCCCTCGCAGACCTGCCAAAGCGCTCTGATGGCTCAGTACGGCCTCGGGCGCGACGACCGCTCGAGCTTGTCGACGTGCTGGTCTCATGAGGACTGCTTGCGGGCATGCACCCCTGCACAGCATCGCAGCCTGGCAAGGTGCTTGCTGGCCGTGTTTCTCTAGTGGCCGGACAGACGGTCGCGTCGTCCGCACAGGAGCGCGCGCGCCTCGCTTCCCGCGCTCTCACCGTCGCGCGCGCCCTCTCTCCCGCAGGCGAGCTTCCTGGTGAGCGCGGACATGGCGCACGCGCTGCACCCGAACTACATGGACAAGCACGAGACGCTGCACCAGCCGGCGATCCACGGCGGGCTCGTGATCAAGCACAACGCCAACCAGCGGTACGCCACGTCGGCGGTCAGCGCGGCGGTGTTCCGGGAGGTCGGTGCGCGCCGCAAGCTGCCCGTGCAGGAGTTCGTCGTGCGGCAGGACCTCGGGTGCGGGTCCACGATCGGGCCGATCCTCGCCAGCGGCACGGTGCGCGACACGACGCCGAAACCAAGCCAATCGCAACCTCCCCCTGACGCCACATCATGCCCAGGGCTCTCCCGCGCTTGACTGCCGGGTGATTCGGCACGGCTCGTTGCCTTGCTTCCTTGCGAATCGCCACGTACACACAGCTGTGGCCTGCTCTGGGCGAAACGAGGAGGAAAGTACACGTGTGCCTGAAGACACACGTACATTCCGTTTGTATGTGCCGGTGCGACGCAGGGCATCCGCACGGTGGACGTGGGCGCGCCGCAGCTCGCGATGCACTCCATCCGCGAGATGTGCGGCACGGACGACATCGCCACCGCCCTCGGCCACTTCAAGGGCTTCTTCGAGTTGTTCACAACCATCGACAAATCCGTTGTCGAGGGCCCCAAGGAGCCGAAGCCGGCCGCGGCGCCGCGCGCGAAGAAGCGCGGTTCGAAGACGGAGAAGGCCGGCGCGGCCGCGGACAGCGGCGAGGCGGGCGGCGCGGGCGCAGCGGACAAGGACGCGGGGGATGTCCCGGCGCCTGACGTGGCCGAGTAGACCCGTGCGCGGATCGCTGCCTCGGCGCGGAGCACCGCGTCGAGGGAGCCTGGGAAGATCCGAGGTGGTCGATCACGCCTCCGCAGCAAGATGAGTCAGTGTGACGCATGCCAGCAGGGGGGAGTGACACGGCGTGCCCGTCGAGACCGTACTTGCGTGGAACTGTTGGTGCTCAGCAGCATGCCGGTCCGAGGACGCGTGCTCGCAGCGCGGACGGCGCAACCTCTGAGGACTTGGCTGTGCAGGCAGCTGAGGCAGGGGGGGGGGGGAGTTTGGCACGTTCTGCCCAACAGGCGTGACGGCTGAAGTCCGCACTGGCCAGGAAACGGGGCGGCCGAGAGGAACGACGCGGTGGAGTGCCCGCGGGTACGCAAGACATTGCATGGGACCTGCGGTGCGCGAACATGCACCTGGCGGTGCGAACCGGTCTGCATTTCGCTGACCTACGGGCACCCTGGGTCGCGAGAACGGTGCACGGCGCACTTGTCGTTCGTTCCGAATTACTTACAGCGACGTATCTACATATTTCTCAGACAGGGGTGTTCGTCCGAGCTCCATGCGTGTGAGGGTGTGGCGCAGGCCCCCGGCGCACAACGCGCCCGGGCCGCGGGAAAAAGTGACACCTCTGCGCGGGCGTGGCCGCCCCGCGAGGTCTGCGGTCGAACAAAAAACCGCAGCAAAACTCCACGAATCTTCGCCAGTGCTGCCTTCCGCAGCGAAAAAGCCTCCAACAACCGAAACCGGCCCTCCGCCGACCTCAGATCCGCGGCGAGTTGAAGTCGAAGTCGTCGTCCGAGCTCTCCCCCTCCTCCTCGTCCAGCCGGAACAGCGTCCCCGCGTCGCACTCGACCGACTCGGAGCACACGGGCTCGTCGCCGTTGGCAGCGGCGTCGACGACGCCGTTGCGCCACCGGCGGTACCGCACGGCGAGCTTGTCGTAGCTCACGGGGTTCGCCCACGTGATCGAGAGGTCGCCGGACCGCTGCATGCGGTCCTGCTGCCCCGCCACCAGGCGCAGGTCCTCCTCGAGCACCTGCCGCGCGACGTCCTCCCAGACGCGGTCCACGAGCGGCACCTGGCGCAGCCAGCCGAGGAAGTCCATGCTCATGCGGTACAGCACGCGCGTCTTGCCGCCGGACGCCGGCACGCACACGTGCAGCTGGTGCAGGTGGTGCGAGGCGGCGTCCGCCGTGACGCCCCGCTCGATCGAGCCGGGCGAGTGCAGCCCGACGGTGGACAGCGTCATGCACGGCGGCTCGAACGACATGTTGATCGGGTACGGGTGCCACTCCCCCGCGAGCATCTCCATGGTACGGATGCGCACCATGTCAGGGACGGTCCAGCCCTTGGCGAAGGTGGCCGTGTGCGTGAACGGCGCGTGCGCGAGGTCGAGGAGGTTCTCCACGAGCAGCCCGTGCTCGACGGGGACCTCGAGCGAGATCTCCGCGTGGCACTCGTAGCCCTCGGGCACGGCGATGGCGGTGCGCTCCGGGAGCGGCGTGGGGTCGCGCTGGCCGGGCCAGACCCACACGAAGCCGTCCTTCTCGACGACGGGCAGCGAGCGCACGCGCAGGCCGTGGCAGAACCGCGTGCTGGGCATCTTGGTGACCTCGCCGCAGCGCGAGTACGTCCACCCGTGGTAGGGGCACTCGGGCTGGCCGTCGACGAGCTGGCCGAGCGAGAGCGGGCACGCGCGGTGCGCGCACTCGTCCTTGATGCACGCCGCGTCGCCGTTCTCGTCCCGGAAGAGCACCCACGCGTCGCCAAAGAGCTCCACGGGCACCATCTTGTTGGGCGGCAGCTGCGACGCGAACTCGACGGGGTGCCAGAACTCCTTCAGCGCGTCCTCGGGCTCGAGCGAGCTGTGCAGGTTCGGGCCGCGGCGCTTCGTGCGCCGCCGGCCGGCGCCCCGCTGCGCCTCGGGCGGATCGCGCCGTCTCGTCGCTCCGGCGTGCTCGCGTCGGCGCCGGGCGCGGGCGCTCCGCGCCGCTGCGCTCCTCGCGCGGAGACGGCGCCGCCGCGGCGGCCTCCGGCTGCGCGCCCGCGGACGCGGCGTCCACCCGGAGGCTCTCCAGGCGCTCCGCCTCCAGCTTGAGCTCCCGCACGCGGTGCTGGTTGGCCTCGACGCGCTTCTGGGTGATGTTCAGCTGCCTGCGCGCGTCCGCGAGCATCTCCTGGGCCTCCTTGACCTCGTCCGAGAGCGCGGCGATCGACAGGCCCTCCTCCTGCTCGGCGGGCAGCGCTGCCACCGCGCGCGCCACCTCCTCGATCGACGCGAGCGTCGCCTCGGCGTCGTGCCGCATCACGTGCCGGTGCACCTCCTCCCAGTTCTCCCGCCGCATCTTCAGGTGCTCCAGACGCTTCCGGACCGCGACGGAGTCCTGCACAGCACGCGTGCAGTCCACGACTGCTTCGTCACGTCGTCCCGCGCGAACTCCGTGCCTTCCCGCGCGCGCGCGGCGCTCAGCGGCGCGCGTGCGTGCCGGCGCGGCGCGGTCGGGCCGAACGGCCGGCAGCGCGCTGGCGTTTCGGGCCGTCAGTTGAGCGTCGCTAGGGGACACGCGTCGCCCGGGCGGCGTGCTGCGCACCTGGCCCTCGAGCCGCGCGTTCAGGACGGCCAGGTCCACGAGCTGGTCGCGGCTGCGGTCGCTGGGCGTCCGCCTGCGCACGCGCGGCGCCTGTTGCATCCACTGCGGCATGAGCTTGAACCCTCCCCCGAAATCGCTCCCGTACGTCCGGAACTTGCTCTCAGGGTCCGGCATGCTCTCGTGGTCGCCTGCGGGGCGCGAAGGGCGCGGGAGACGCGGGGTGCGTCGGCGGAGGCGGCGGGGAGGGCGAGGGGCGCGCGGGGCGTGCGCAAGAGGTGCGGGGGGCGTGCTCCGCGCGGACGGGCGCGGGGGCGCGGCCGGACGGCGCGGAACGGGCGTGTGCGGAGGGGGAGAGCGCGCTGCCGCGGGCGCAGCGGCGCCCGTGGGGTCGTTTGGGCGAATTTCGTTCGATACGCATCCCTAGAGTCTGTGGCAGCGCGGTCGCTGGGGGGCTCTCGGGCGGCGTCCGAGCGCTCCCCGTCGCGCGGGTAATATGGGGAGTTGCGTGGCGGGGGCGACCCGGGCTCGATAGCGGGTGCGCTGGCCGCGGTGTCGAGAAGCAGGTGGGGGCCAAGCCCGGGCCAGCGCCGGGCGCAGGGGCCGAACCAACGCGGGCTGTCCAATCAAACGGAATGATGCGCGTTCGGGGCGGCGCAAGCGACAGCGGATGGCCGGTCGGAGGTACTTCGCGGGCAATCACCTGCCAAGAAAGCGTCGGTGCTCGCCCCGCCCGCAGACGGCTTCGCGGCCCTCGCGGGCGCAGCCCGCACGCGAGGCCCGCCTTTGCTCCCGCATCCACAGGCGCTCCTAGCCGCTAGATCCTGCCCGCGGGGCAGGGCGCTAGACCCCAGCATCCTGCTCCTCGGATTCGGCCAACGTCGCGCCGCGATACCTCTCTCAGCGCAATCGCGCAGCGCAGGGCAACCCGGTGGAACGACCAAGCAAAACTCAGACTGCGTCCCACCTGCAGAGCAGCCCGGTTTCATAGCCCTGTCGGATCCCTAAGCGCCTCGAAGTAGAACTATAGACGCCCGAGCCCACACGCGCGCGTGCGCGGCTCGAGGGCGCCTCCGGCTCCGCGCCCGCCCGCACAACCGCTCCGCCCCGTCAAGCCCCGCCGAGCACACGCGCGTCGACGTCGCCGGACCTCGCCGCGCCCCGCCCGCAGACCACCCAACGAGATCGCTCCCAACATGCAGGCAGCGAGCTTGCGGGCGCCCGCCGGGGCCGCCGCGACCCCGCGGCGCGTCCGCTGCGCCGCCGCTGCCACCGCGGGCGCGCCCCAGAGCTCCGGCGCGGGCACGCAGGACCCCCTCATGCTCCGTGCCATCAAGGTGCGTGCCGCCGTCCGCGTGCCACCACCTGCGCCCCGCACCGCGCGCACGCGCCCGGACGCGCCGCGTCCTCGCCGGCCCGGGGGCCTCTGCCACGTGGGCGTGCCGCTCGGTGGAGATTCGGGGGGTTTCGAACTTTCTTCAGTCGTGAATCCATGGATGCCGTTGAGGGGAAATGCCAGCAGTGGGATACGACCGCCGCGCGTGCGCGCCGGGGCGCTTCGGCCCGGCCCGCGCGCCCCGCAGCGATCCTCCACGATCTCTCCAACCCATCCAGCGCGCCGTTCGCCTTCCTCGCGGCCGCACCGCGCCGTGACAGCCTGCACTCGCCTTATCTGGCTCGAGCGTTGGTGAACGTGCTTCCGGGGGCCGCACGGCGCGCCCCGCGGGCCCTCTCCATTCCCCGGCGACGCCATGCAATGCCAGCATGCCCTCGGCGCCCGCTGCGCGCAGGGAGAGAAGGTCGAGCGGCCGCCTGTGTGGATGATGCGCCAGGCTGGGCGCTACATGAAGGTCTACCAAGACCTGTGCAAGAAGCACACGACGTTCCGCGAACGCTCCGAGAACGTCGACCTCTCCGTCGAGGTGCGGTCCCGCCGCGGACCCGCGCCGCGCCGCGCCCCGCTCGGGGCGCCGCTCCACACCGTGCCTGTGGGCCCGCCCGTTCGCGGGCGCTCCGGCCCGCCGAGGGGTTTCCGGCGGCTGTTCCTCGCGCACGCGAAGCCACCGTGCCTCGCGTGCATCGGTTCCGACCTCTGCTGCCCTCGACGGTGTGCGTGGGCGCAGATCACGCTCCAGCCGTGGCACGCCTTCAAGCCGGACGGCGTGGTGCTGTTCTCGGACATCCTGACGCCGCTCACGGCCATGAACGTGCCGTTCGACATCGTCGCGGGCAAGGGCCCCGTCATCTTCGAGCCCATCCGCACGATGGAGCAGGTCCGGGAGATCACCACCGGCGACGACTTCAACTTCAGGTGCGACCCGCCGCTCACGCCGCGGCGTCCGTCCCCGCGCGCGGCCGCGCGATACGCGCGACGCGTGGAGCCATCGTTCGGACCCGACACGCGCCGGCGCCACAGCGCCGCGTTCGCGGCGCGGCCGTTGTGCCGGTGTGCTTGCGTGCGCTCACCGGCGCGCTCGCGCGGCGCGCGCGTGGCCGCAGGGAGGTCAACCACTACGTCGGCGACGCGCTGACGCAGCTGCGCGCGGAGCTCGGCAACGACGCCGCCGTCCTGGGCTTCTCCGGCTGCCCCTTCACCATGGCCACCTACATCGTCGAGGGCGGCTCGAGCAAGAACTTCTCGCACACGAAGAACCTGATGTTCACGCAGCCTGGTGCGCCGCGCCCGCCCGCCCGCCCCGCACCCACCACCAGCTGCGCTCCTGGCTGGCGCAGCAGCGCATGATCAGCACCACGTTGCACGCCAGGCCGAACGCGCACGAGTTCTACCGCTCTCCTCCCGTGCCAGCCACCGCGCGGACTGCTGCGCGACGTGTGCGTCCAGGCACGTCTGCTGCGCCACGCGAGCGTCCGTTGGCCGCCCCGTGCCGCGCAGAGGTCTTCCACGCGCTCCTGGACAAGCTCGCGGTGAACCTGGCGGACTACCTGCGCTACCAGGCCGACAGCGGCGCGCACGTCGTCCAGATCTTCGACTCGTGGGCGTCGCAGCTCATGCCGCAGGACTTCGACACCTTCGCGGCCCCGTACATCCGCAAGGTCATCGAGTCGGTCAAGAAGACGCACCCGGACCTCCCGATCATCCTCTACATCTCCGGATCCGGCGGCCTCGTCGAGCGCATGGCCGCGACCAACCCCGACGTGCTCTCCATCGACCAGTCCGGTGCGCCGCGCGCCCCCGCGCCCCCGCGCCCGCCGCCCGCGCCGCCCGCGCGAATCCCCTCGAATCCCGGCGGGAAATCGCGCCGGGCGCCCCGCGGCGCGCCTGGACGCGAAGCTGCGCTGCCCCCTGCCCTTGAAAGCGACTCGAGCCCTCACTGCGGTCTGCCGGCCCGCGTGCGCGCTTGCAGTCGACATGAAGGACGCGATCGCGCGGGGCGGCACGAACTACGCGTACCAGGGCAACCTCGACCCCGGAGTCCTGTTCGGCGGCGAGGAGATCATCCGGGCGCGCGTGAACGAGGTGGCCAAGACCTGCCACGACGCCGGCGTGCGGCACGTCATGAACCTGGGCCACGGCGTGCTCCCCACGACGCCGGAGAAGAACGTGGCGGCCTTCTTCGAGGCCGCGCAGGCGGTGCGTTTCTGAGCGGTCGGATTGAGTTCTTTGCGGGGGGGGGGGAGTGTTGGCCAGGTGTGCGGGACGCGGGGCGCCGGCGCCGGCGCGACGGGCGCAGCTAGCTATTGCGAAGAGTGTTAAAGCGAAACCAACCCTAGCTGCGGCGTCGCGCGCCCCCCACCGCGCTGCGCCAGCACACTGGCGCCGTCACTGCGCAGGCGGCGGAAGCACGCGCCCGGCACGCACGCACCCCAGCAAGCAGCGCCTCCTCCGCGCGCCGCCAGGCCGCCACGCAGCGGCGCCCGCGACAGTCTCGACGACCACAGCCACGAACACTTGCGCGGCCACGACACTGGCAGGATTACATTCCGCGGTGGGCGGCGCTTACTTCTTGGCGGCGCTCCGCTTGATCCCGGCGTACGGCAAGCACTTGATGACGTTGTTGTAGTCCGCCAGCTCCACGCCCTCCTCGTTAGACAGCCTCCGCAGGCGCTTGGCGTTCATCTTCTCGTTGATGTGCTGCTTCATGGGGTGCCGCCGCATGATCTTGCCCGCCGACGTGACCTTGAAGCGCTTCGCGGCCGCCTGCGGGGGCAGGGGGTGTGTGCGCGGGGTGGGCCGGCGGAGCGGGCGCTGGGAGGTGGGGTGGAGGAGCGGTGCTGGCGTGGTGGGGGCCGTGGGACGTGGCCTCAGGGGGCGGGATGGGGAGGGTGGGAAATGAGCGGCGTGCCGGGGGGGAGAGGGGGGCGCGCGGGGGGCGGGCGAGGGCGTGCGGAAAGCTTGGTGCAGAGCTGCCCGTGCAACGGCGGGCGAGAGCGTCGCGATGGGTGCGCGTGGGGGGCGGGCGCGCGGTCCAGGGTCCTCGCGTATTGCCGGACGGGGAATGGGCGGCGCTGCCGCGCACGACCGGCGCGGACGACGCCCGCCGGGAAGGATAAACAAGCGGCTAGACCGACGCGCAGGGTCCGATGTCGCGTGTCGCGGAGCGCCGGATGCGAGAGGTGGCAGAGCACATTCGTTCCGCTCGGTCCCGGAAATCGCTTTGGGGCGCGGCCTCTCCGCCGAGCGGCGGGGCCTGGTGCTCAGAGCAGCTGCACTGTCCGGAGGGCCCCTGGCCGACGTTCTCACCTTCCTAGTCTTCAGCTTGTACCCAGCGCTGATCTCCATCGCAGCGCAGCGCTGCATCACCGGCGAGGGCGCCGCGGCGGCGACGCGCGGGGCAGCGGCGATGCCCGCGCGCTTGGAGCTCAGGCTCATGGCCGACACGCGGCCGCACAGCATCGCAACGCTCATCTTGTATCCCTGGCGCCAACGCTCCCGTCACTGCCCAGGAATGCGGCGTGCCGCAGCGCCCCTCGACCCATCGCACCGCCCAACGCCGCGCACACACCCCGCGACGCCTCCCGCGCGGCCGGGGCCGCCCGTCGCCGAAACGACCGCCGCCGCGTCTCGACCTTCCAGGACAAAAACCCACGCCACTCACGCGATGCAGCGGGTCGCAACCGCGTCAACAATCATCGGATTTCACCGCGCTTCCCGGCAACCTCCCTGCGCCCCACCGCGCCCTCGCGACCGCCCACGCCGCCCGCGCGCGCCCCGCGCAGGCGCGGGAACGGCGCCGACCGACCGACCGAGGCCGCCGCTGCTCGGTGCGATTTAAAGTGCCGCGCCGGTCGGCGCGCCCGAGGGCCTGCGCGGGCCGGGTCGACTTTTCCAAGGGTTGTGGCGTCCGACTGGAGGGGGGCCGTGTTCGGGCGCATACGAGGGCCGTCCGGCGCGGCGTCGCGCATTCGCTGCGCTCTCCTTGCGACGAGAGACGACAGAAACCAGCAGCACGGAGCGATGAGCGGCCGACGGGTGGTGAAGGTGATGGCGGGCGGGGTGCTGGCGCTGGCGTGCGCCGGTGGCGCCGCGGCGGACGAGGCGCGCGGCCGCATCGCGGACGTGCTCGGCCGCGAGCAGGTGCAGACAGGTGCGCAGCGCCGCCGCAGGAGCGCGACGACCCCGCGCCACCGCCGGCGCGTCCGCGCCAACTACCCCCGCGAACGCCTGCCCGGACCGGTCCTTTCCGCCTCGATTTGCTTCCGATGCCTGGATCTGCACGTGACGGTGCGCTGGGCGTCGCGGAAGCTCCGTCCGGGGCCGATGCGGCGCCGCGGCGCACAACGTTGGTGTTGTCGAAAGGCGTCGCTTCGGCGCTGGCCCTGCGGCGCCGCGCGGGCTTTCTGACGCGCGCGTCCCCGCGAGCGGCGCTGCGCAGCGTGGAACGACTTCGTGGCGGCGATGCGGGCCGTGACCGGCGAGGGCGGGTCGACTGGCACGAGGAAGTTGCACCAGGTTGTCCCGGGGCTGGGAGACCTGTTTCCGGGTCTGCAGGGGTTCCCGGACCTCACGAGCATCACGGACCTGACCTCGTTCGTCGACCTCCCGGTGCGCACGGCGCCCCGCGCCCCGCGCCCGCCGCGAATCGCGCATGTCTTTGGTGGTTCACAGGGAGACGGGGATCCTCGACTGAAAATCCCTGCCTGCAGCGTCTGACCGACTTCCTGGCCGGCAACGTCGGGTTCGACATCGGCGGCCTCACCGACCTGGACGTCTCGCTGCCCTGGGAGGACCTCGCCTCGAAGCTCAGCGCGTTCGCGCCGCCCACGTCGCTGGTACGCCAACCAGCCCAACACCCCCCACACAGCGCACACGCCCCCACCCCTGCAAACCACGCGCGCCCGCACGCACGGCGCCGCAGGCGGACGCGCGCCAGAAGGCGGACGAGATCCTAGAGCAGTACTGCGAGCCCGCGAGCCTGACGGTGGGCTCGGGCGACGACCCGGTGGAGGTGGGGCGTATCGAAGGCATCCCTGACAAGTACACCAAGCTCGCGCCGGTGCTGTACCAGGGCGACGTGATCCACAGCTGCAGCGGGCACGCGTTCGACTTCACGATGGAGCCGATGACCTGCGAGATCGACCACGCCGCGGTGCGCCCGACGCACACACACGCACACGCACGCGCGCCCGCCCTGGTCGCCGCGCCCGCCCGGCGCGCGCTGCGCCCCCGGATACCACGCAGAGCGACGCGCTGCGCTGCAGGGCGAGGCGAAGTGCGTCCCGCCGCGCCTGGTGTACACCAAGGAGCCCGCGAGGTGCTCGATGCCGGTCCTGCACCGCCCGCCGGTGGTGTGGACGGGCATGGAGTGCAAGCACCAGCACGAGGCCGGCGTCGGCTTCGAGAAGGTCTTCGGCGGCACCGACGTCGTCATCCCTCTCGGCCGCCTGCCCAAGGACGGGCCGCTGGACTTCTCCGGCCTGGACTGGTGCGCCCCGCGCCGTGCTGCGCGCCGCCTCCGCTGCCTCCGCGCGCGCCGGAGCGTCCGTGCGGGGCGTGCTGGCGTGACCGTTTGCGCGCGGGGGGGTGTTGATCTCGTGCAGGGGCAACGCGCTGGCGCAGCTGGCCGACAGCTTCACCGCGGACCTCGGCGGGCTGTTCGACGGAGCCAGCGTCCCGGACCTGTCGGGCCTGTTCGGCGGCCTGAACGGCGGCCTCATCCCCGGCGTCTTCGGTGGGCCGTGAGCGCCGGCGGCGACACGCCTGTGCGGCGGCGACGGTGCGCGGTGGGCCGCGGGTCGCGTGTGATTCTCGTATCCCCCACCACGACGCGTCCCGCACGCGCCCGGCCGCGGCCGGAGAACGTCGCGGCGGCGCCGCGACAACAGCGGAACACCTGCGACAGCGCTCGCGCAGCTCGTGCCAGCGCGGGCGTCTAGCGCGCGCCGCTTTTGCGCCGAGACGGCGCGAGCCGCTGGGGACCATACTGGCGGGCCCTCGGAGGGCGATTGCTGGCCACGAACGCGCGCGGATGCTGGCGATGCGCCGTGCGAAGTGTTGCGGTGCGGGCACACCAGGTCACCGCCTCGTGCGCGCTCAAACGCGGCGATCCCGGCGTTTCGGCGCTCTCGGCGCGCTCTCTGTTCGCAGGGCTCGCTATCCTGGGCTCGGAGAGCGATGGTGCGCGGGGGAGCGGCCGGCGGGGTGAGGAGGGCGTTAGGCCAACGAGCGGACGAGGGTCGAACGCGCTCGCGCGGGCTCGAGCGGCGTCGCCCGGCCGTAATCGGCGACGGAGAGTTCCCAGATCCCGGTCTGCGACGTCGAGATGGCGTCTCGCGTCGCCGTGGCGCGCCCCGGGCGGACGGCCCTACTGGGATTAGGGCTGAGCCCCGCACGCGCGGAACGGGGCGCCTGGTGAGACGACGCGCGAGTCATCGATGGTTCGCTCACAGCTGCGCCCGCGTGCGCCGTCGCAGGCGGGGTCGTCGCCGTGTCGAAGCCCTGGAGCCAAAAGCGTTCGGTCGCATCACGCGTCGTCTGCGCCGCGTGCGAGAAACCGTGCGCGCATGCGGCGCCGCTCTGGTTCATGGGGGGAACTGGGCGGGGGGCGTGTGTGGTCGCGCGGCGCTGTCAGGTCGCGCTGCCCACGCAAGCTGGGGGACTCCCCGGTATGGGGGCATCGAGCTTGCTGGCTTCAAGGCGGCACGACGGCGCGACGCGAGCGCTGTCCAACGCACGCCCCGTGAAGAAGAACATCAAGATGTCCGCCATGTCCATGTCCATGACCGCCAGGCCCACGATGGCCTCGGCTCGCGTGGCCCGCAAGCAGGTGCGTCGCGACTGCCCCCAGCGCCTCGATCCGCGCGCCTGCGCCTCGATCGACGCCATCCCTCGATGGATCGTGATCTGAGGATGCGCTGCGGCGACGGGCACGCCCGGGCGCGGCGGCTCGCCGACCTCGGCCTGCCCCTGTGGCCGGGCGAGGAGTGGACGGCTCCGTTCTCGCGTAGTTGCGGCCCGAGGCCGCTGTCCGACGCGCGCTCGGGGCTGCGACGCCCATCGATCGACCCCTCGCCGACAGAACGCGCCCCGCCCCGTCCCCCCGCAGCCGGCCGGCCTCTCGGCCTTCTCCGGCTTCAAGCAGGCGTCGTCGCTGAAGCTGGCCAACCGCTCCGTGTCGGCTGACGAGGCGTTCGTCGCGGCTTCTTCGCGCGCCGTCGCTGCGGTGAGTCCCCGTCCACCCCAGCTCCGGGGATCTGGGACCAACAGCATCCCTTGCCTAGCCCGCCCCCCGCCGCGCCGCCTAGGACGCGTGTTCGCCTGACGCGGCCCGATCGCGTGCCTGACCTGATGTCGCTCGGCGCGTCCGAGGGCCGCGCCGCCCGCGGGTACACGCCGTTGCGGCTGAAGCGGGCCCCGACGATGTCGTTGCATGGATGACGCGCCGCGGCGCATCCCGGGCGCCTTCCCACTTGCCCCGTGGCGCTATTTCGGATGATCGCGGTCTCGACAGCGTATCGGGCGCGAGAACCGCGCGCCGCGCCCCTCCTGTGCGCAGGCTGCCGCTGGCAACAAGTCGGCGACCACGGCCAAGAAGTGCCGTGTGGCCATCAACGGCTTCGGCCGCATCGGCCGCATGTTCGTGCGCTGCCTGGACACCCGCGAGAACTCGAACCTCGAGCTGGTGTGCATCAACGGCGGCTCCGGCGGCGTGAAGCAGGCTGCCCACCTCCTCAAGTACGACTCGACGATGGGCACGTACGACGCCGACGTCCAGATCGTCGACGAGAACACCCTCTCCATCAACGGCAAGAAGGTCGCCGTCGTCTCTGGCCGCGACCCCACCCAGCTGCCGTGGGGCGAGATGGACATCGACATCGTCATCGAGGGCACGGGCGTGTTCATCGACGAGGCCGGCGCCTCCAAGCACCTGCAGGTAAACTCAACCTCCCGGTTCGCGCCGCCGCCCCGCCCGAACGCCCCCGCGTCGCCCCCCGGCGACACGTCGCTCCCGAGCCAGGGCCACCCTCGCGCCGCGTCGCGCGCGGCCCCCGCGCCGAACACACCCCGGTTTCCGCGCGCTCAGTTCGCCCCCTCCCGCCCCACCGCGCGCAGGCCGGCGCCAAGAAGGTGCTGATCACGGCCCCGGGCAAGGGTGCCATCCCCACCTTCGTGTGCGGCGTCAACGAGGGCGACTACGACCACTCGATGAACATCGTCTCGAACGCCTCGTGCACGACCAACTGCCTGGCTCCCTTCGTCAAGGTCATCGACGAGAAGTTCGGCATCGTCAAGGGCACCATGACGACGACGCACTCGTACACGGGCGACCAGCGCCTGCTGGACGCCTCGCACCGCGACCTCCGCCGCGCCCGCGCCGCCGCGCTCTCGATCGTCCCCACCACGACGGGCGCCGCCAAGGCCGTCGCGCTCGTCCTCCCGGGCCTGAAGGGCAAGCTCAACGGCATTGCGCTGCGCGTGCCGACGCCGACGGTCTCGGTCGTGGACCTGGTCGTCCAGGTCGAGAAGAAGGCGATGGCCGAGGAGGTGAACGCCGCGTTCAAGGCCGCCGCGGAGGGCCCGATGAAGGGCATCCTGGCCATCACGGACGAGCCGCTGGTGTCGGTGGACTTCAAGGGCCTCGACGTGTCGACCACGATCGACGCCGCGCTGACGATGGTGATGGGCGACGACATGGTCAAGGTGGTCGCCTGGTACGACAACGAGTGGGGCTACAGCCAGCGCGTCGTCGACCTCGCGGAGGTCATGGCCGCCAAGTGGGAGTAAGCGCTGCTTGCTCTCGTGGATTGACGAACGAGCGAACGGACGGTGTGGGCGTGTGGGTTTGTGTGTGTATTATGACGCGGACATGAGCGGCGGACCCGCGGCGCTGAGGGGCGCGTGAGGCCGCCCGTGTGATGGACGTGCGGACAAGCGGGCGTGGCATTGACTTGCCGGTGTCGGGGGGCCGGGGTCGTGGCGACTCTGGTGCGCTCGTGCCCTGCTCGGCGCGACTGGGGCAGCCTGGTCGCTGCGAGCGACCGATGTGCCTGCTCGTGGCTGGGGGGCATGTGTGCAGGCATGTGTCCATTTCGCAGGCATGTGCAGCTCCCAGGGGCGCGTGGCGCGTGGCTGCACGGTGCGCGTGCACGGCGCCACGTGCCGGCCTCGACTCTCGGTCCAGCCGAGCCTCCTCCTGCGCCGGTGCCGCCGGCCAGCGGATACAGGCTGTGTTGGGCTGCGTCGCGCGCCGCTGCGTGTCTCGACGGCCTCGCGCCGCGCAGGGAAGCGCGCTAGGCCCAACAGTTGAGCCCAGTGGCGTGCTCGTGTAGAAAGAGGGACTCGGCCGAGACCACAAGACACAGGACAGGGACTTCAACTTTTCCCTCGTCCACGAGAGGCCTGCCAATCAGCGGAAGGCACACGACCGGCGCGAATCGCACGTGAGAGGCGCGCGGCAGGGATCCAGGCCGATGCGAGCCGCGTGCGCCGACCAGGAACAGCGCAGGCGACATGACGCGCGCCACATCTGTGGAAGGGAGGTGAGTCGCGGACACCTTCGTCGGTACGCTCACACGCGCAGAAGCGTTCGCGCGGCTTCTCCCGGGGCGCGCGCGGAATCTCCGCCGCGCCCAGGCCACCAACTCGCGTCAGGCACTGCCCCGCGTTGGTTCCAAAAAACAGCTACTACTCAGCGGGAAGGAAAGGGGGGTGGGGGGAGAGTTGGGGTATCGAAGCATAGGAGCGGGGAAAGGTAGAGGAAGGTGGGGGTAGGCGAAGCGTGGCCCACGAAGTTGGCCGGGACGCGCGGCACAGTCGCGGCAGCCCCGGGGGGCGCGCGGGCATGCACGCGGTGTAACACGGCCGGCGCGCCGGTCCTCACGCGCCCGCCCGCCGCGTCACCCCGCCTCGCCTAGCGCGCCGAGACCGGCTGGCTCGGCCGGAGACACCCCCCTCAGTCGACCTCCTCGATCTTCGGCCCCGGGCCCGTGCCGCCCTCCGGCGCGGCGCCGCCCATGTCCGGCATGCCCCCCGGCGCCCCGCCCGGCGCGCCGCCCGCGGCCTGGTACATCTTGGTGATGATGGGGTTGCAGACCCCCTCGAGCTCCTTCATCTTGTCCTCGAACTCCTCCTTCTCCGCGAGCTGGTTGTGCTCGAGCCACTCGATCACCTCCGTCACCTTGTCCTTGATCGTCTTCTTGTCGTCCTCCGACAGCGCGGCCGCGGTCTTCTCGTCCTCGGTGGTGTTGCGCATCGAGTAGGCGTAGTTCTCGAGCTGGTTCTTCGCCTCGATCTTCAGGCGGTGCGCCTCGTCCTCGCTCTTGTACTGCTCCGCCTCCTGGACCATCCGCTCGATGTCGTCCTTCGACAGGCGGCCCTTGTCGTTCGTGATGGTGATCTTGTTCTTGTTGCCCGTGGTCTTGTCCTCCGCCGACACGTTCAGGATGCCGTTCGCGTCGATGTCGAAGATCACGTTGATCTGCGGCACCCCGCGCGGCGCCGGCGGGATCCCCGTGAGCTCGAACTTGCCCAGCAGGTTGTTGTCCTTGGTGCGCGAGCGCTCGCCCTCGAAGACCTGGATGAGCACCGCGCTCTGGTTGTCGCTGTACGTCGAGAACACCTGCTCCTTCTTCGTCGGGATCGTCGTGTTCCGCGGGATCAGCACCGTCATCACGCCGCCCGCCGTCTCCAGGCCCAGCGACAGCGGCGTCACGTCCAGCAGCAGCAGGTCCTGCACCTTCTCGTGCGTCTCGCCGGACAGGATGGCCGCCTGCACCGCCGCGCCGTACGCCACCGCCTCGTCCGGGTTGATGCTCTTGCACAGCTCCTTGCCGTTGAAGAAGTCCTGGAGGAGGCTCTGCACCTTGGGGATGCGCGTCGACCCGCCCACGAGCACCACGTCGTGCACGCGGCCCTTGTCCATCTTCGCGTCGCGCAGGCACTTCTCCACGGGCTCCATGCACTTCCGGAACAGGTCCATGTTGAGCTCCTCGAACCGCGCGCGGCTGATCGACGTGAAGAAGTCAATGCCCTCGAAAAGCGAGTCGAGCTCGATCGAGGCCTGCGCCGAGCTCGAGAGCGTGCGCTTCGCGCGCTCGCACGCGGTGCGCAGGCGCCGCATCGCGCGCGCGTTGTCGCTGATGTCCTTCTTCTGCTTGCGCTTGAACTCCTGGACAAAGTGGTTGACCAGGCGGTTGTCGAAGTCCTCGCCGCCGAGGTGCGTGTCGCCGGCCGTGGCCTTCACCTCGAAGATGCCCTCCTCGATCGTGAGCAGCGACACGTCGAACGTGCCGCCGCCGAGGTCGAAGATCAGCACGTTGCGCTCCCCCGCCGTCGACGACTTCTTGTCCAGGCCGTACGCGATGGCCGCGGCCGTGGGTTCGTTGATGATGCGCATCACCTCGAGGCCCGAGATCACGCCGGCGTCCTTGGTCGCCTGCCGCTGCGAGTCGTTGAAGTACGCCGGCACCGTAATCACCGCCTTCTTCACCTCCTGCCCGATGAACGCCTCGGCCACCTCCTTCATCTTCGTGAGCACCATCGCCGAGATCTCCTCCGGCGCGAACTTCTTGGTCTCGTTCTTGTACTCCACCACGATCTCCGGCTTGTCCGCCGGCCCTGACACCACCTTGAAAGGCCAGTGCTTCATGTCAGACTGCACGGCCGGGTCCGCGACCTTGCGGCCGATCAGGCGCTTGGCGTCGAACACCGTGTTCTTCGGGTTCATGGCCACCTGCGCGCGGGAGCGGGCCGGGGGGGTCGTCAGCGCGGGGTGCTGCAACGGGCGCGGCGGGACGCGGGCGGCCGGCGGGCGCGCGCGCGGCCCGGCAGCGGCGCGCGCGGGCAGCGGGGGGGCCCTGCGGGCGCGTGCGCGGCCGGGAAGCGTACCTGGTTCTTCGCGGCATCGCCAATGAGGCGCTCGGTGTCGGTGAACGCCACGTACGAGGGCGTCGTCCGGTTGCCCTGGTCGTTCGCGATGATCTCGACGCGGTCGTTCTGCCAGACGCCTACACAGCTGCAGGGGGCGCGGGGCGCGGGCGGCGGGCGCGGTGAGGTGGGAGTCGCGGGCGAACGAGAGGCGGCGAGCAGTGGCGGGATCGTGAGTGCGGGCGGTGCGGGGCGCGGAGTGGCCGGGCGGCGCGCGCTGCGTGGGCTGGTGCGGCGCGGGGGCGCGCGGGGCGCGCGGGCGGGCCGGCGGTGGCCGCGGCGCGCGATGCAAGGGGAAGAAGCCGCCGGCACATGTGGCGGGGGGCCGCGGCCAGAGCGCGGAGGGCGGTGGAATGACGGAATTTCGTCGCTGGGGCGTGGCTGGGGCGAGGTGGAGCGCGGGGGGCGCGGAGGGGCCCTGGCGGGCCCGCGGGGAGCCCGGGACGGGGGAGGAAAGGCCTAGAGGCGGGGCGAAGGGGCGGTGAGCGCGGGCGGGCGTCAGCGGCGCGGGAGGGGCGCTGGCGGCGCGCGGTGCGCGTGCAGGGGGGCGAGGGGGCGTGGGGGGTGGCGGGGCGCGGGCTATATCGCGGGCGCGCGGTCATGCGCGCAGTGTGGGCGGCTGAGGCGGGGCCGCGCGGGCGTGCGTCGCCCGGGGGCGCAGAGGGCCCCAAGGCGCGGTATTCGCGCGGGAAATTCGGAGAACAGCGATCGTCGGGCGAATGGCGCGGCGTCACGGGCGCGGCGACGCGCGAAGCTGGGTGGCGGGCTGGCTTCCACGGCCTTCTTGGAAGAAGGCTCCCGGTGGGCGCCGTGGGGCGGCGCGACGATGGGCGCGCGCGAGCGATGCGTTAATTACCTGTAGGTCGTCCCCAAATCGATGCCAATGGCGTTCGCGGGCATCCTGACTCCTCTCCTAGGCTCTCTTCGTCGCTCGAGGGCGTCGCTCTACGGTTCGATGAATTCGCGCCTTCTCTCTGAAGGATTCGCTGCAAATATTCGTGCTCGGCGAAGTTCGCGTCTGCTTCCGGTTCTGCGCGGAGCAGCGGCACCGCTCGACCAATGTAGCGGCGCCCAGGCCGCCCAGTCGTCAGGTCAGACCTTCCAAACGAAGCTCCGGGAACTCTCTGGTGCGCGGCGCGCCGCTCGCGGCCCACTGCGGCGCCCTCCGCGCACCAGCCGTCCCCCGCAAGCGCGTCCGCCGCCGCACCGACCTCTGCCGCCCCCCCATTCGCCCCCCCCGCGCATGCAAGAGCGCGCATGCCGCGGGGCGCCCCGCACACGCCGCGGCGACCCGCTGCGGCACGCGGGCCGCGCCGCGAGCTCCATGCGCAGGCAGCGCACTCCGCGCGCCGCGTCGCGCCGCGAAACGCGGCCTGCGCGCACGTGCGCTCGGCAGCGCTGGACTCTAGAACCCACCCCGGATGCCGGCCGTGCGGGGGCGCCAGCGGCGCCGTGGCTGCCCGCAGCGGAACCCATGTGACCAGATCGAAGGGCGAATGCGTTTTCGTGGACACGGACGTGCAAGAGCACGCGCAGCGACCTCCTCATTGCCACTGCACACTCAAGCGCCTCGCACGGCGTCCCTGCGCGCTTCCCGCCGCCCCGCTCGCCGCCCCTCGCACCTCCTACATCCACGGAAGACACCCCCAGCCCTTCCTGCTCCGCCGCTCCCGCTGTTCCGCGTCCGCAGCGCGTTGCTCGTGCGGCGTCTGTTCCGACCCGCGCACCCGCTCCAGCGGCACCGCGGTGCCAATCTCGCGCACAGCCGACGCACGGCGCGCGGTCCGTCCGCTGACAGCGACCCGGAGGTCAGCGGCGCGCAACCCTGTCTGACACAAGCGAGTCCTGCACACGTGCGCCTCCAACTTTGCACACCTACGCAGCGAGCTGGCGCAGCCAGGGCGGCAGCGCCCGTCCCCCCGGCGCTCGCGAACTCGCGAGCCGCGACGCCGACGAGGATCTGGCCGCTCCGCCTGAGCCCCCTGGTCCCCGCACGGGCCCTCGCCCCGCCACCGCTAGTCGTTTCAAGGGCGCTTGGCAGGGAGCGCGTGCAGTGAGTAGCAGGGCAAACAACCGTCGAGAGACGATGACAGCGAGCCGAGCGACGTCATGCCGGTCTGCGAGTCGTGGCTCGCGGCCTAGACGTGCTCCGAAGGGCTGGGGCACCACGTTTGACCAGTGCGTGAGTGCGCGAGTGACGCCCGCGAAAGAAGCAATCGACCCGCGCACTGCAGCGGGCCCGTGCGGCCGCGCGATCTCGTGTCAGTGTCACATACGCCAGCCACGTCGAGGGAGTGGCTCGCTGAGCAGGCGGCTGTGCGCGGCAGAACCCGGGGGTGCAGAGTCAGCGGAAGGAAGCGCAGGGGCGGCTGCGCTTCGGCGGGTGATCGAGGGGGGTTCCCCGAACTTCGCTTCGATCTTCAAATGCTCGGCCGCGCACCTTGGTCCCCTGAGAGGTGGAGTCGGGCACTACTGGCGGGCTAGGCAGGCAGGGGGGAGCGGCAGGGGGCGTTCGAGGCACTCCGGCGTCCCTCGAGGGCCCGGACCGTGCAGCGTCAGCGCGGCACTGGGTGTGGGGTGTGGGGTCCACAAAAGCCAGCGCCCTGAGTCAGGCGTGTGCAAGGTGGGGGTGGGGGGTGTTCAGGATCGTGATCGTTGCTTGGAACGCGCGCGTGAGCGACCCGCGACGTCGGGGCGGCGTCTAGGATGGAGATCGGATCGGGCGAATTTGCCGGCACCCTGGGAGGCTCCGGGCAAGCAGCAGTGGGCAAGGGGCAGTCCTCGTGCGTAGGCCCAGGCATGACGCGGCGCGTGTGGACGTCGTGAGTTCGCGCCGCGCCCCTCGCGGGGTCAAGCGGCGCAGGCGATCCGATCCGCCGTGAGTCAGTCCAGTGGGGGGAGTGATGATGCGGCCGGGGGTCGTTCCGCCCAGGTGGCCCCGGCGCTGGTCGATAGCCATGCAGCGCAACGGCCGTGCGTCGCTGTTGCGGGCTCGCGGTGGGTGCGTCGCACACACACGTCGGCCCAGGTGAGTGGACCCACAGTGAAAGTAAAGGGGGGGGGGAGTTAGAGGAGGTGAGGGAAGACGAGAAAAGGCTGCGGCGGCGGCGTTCCCCGGGAAAACTCGCGGCGTCTTAGTCGCCCAAAACACCCCGAGGACGGGGGGAGGAAGGGGGGGGGTGTCACTGCGCAGGTCGCACGTGCATATGTACAGCGCTGTGTGTCGCCGGGCCTGCCCGTCGCTCCCGCCTTCCTAGAGCAGCTGTACCGAGTTCGTTCCGCCGTCGCTGCCGGGCGGCGTCGCGCCGCCCATGAGCGCCAGCGCCTCGTCGGTCGTCTTCGCGCCCATGGCCACTAGGCGCTCGAGAAGTCCGCCGATCTCCGTCGACGCCAGCTCCGGCGTGGCGGCCTGCGCGGCGGGGATCTGCGTCTGCGTGTTCGGCGGCGCCCCGCCCGCCGACGCCCGCTGCCGCTGCTGCCACACCGAGGCTCCGCCGCTCACGTCGTCCAGGCGCTCCGTCTCCGACCCGGCGAGGTCCGACAGCAGCGAGCGGATCTGCACGATGATGGCCTCCCACGCCTGGTTGCTCCGCGTGCCGAGCCGCGACGCGTCGGCGCCGTTGGCGGCCTGCTGCGCTGGCGCGACTGCGATGCTCGAGCTCGGCTGCGCGGCCGCGTGCGGCGCGATGATCAGCACGAGCGCGGCCTGGTTCGCGCCCTCCGCGACCGCGAGGTGGTGGATCGCGCACGTGACCCACCGCCAGTCCGACGACGGGCTGGAGCGGAACCTCCACGTGACGGTGCACCGCAGGGTCGCGGGGGGAGTCGGCGCGGCGTCGGCGTCGCCCGCGGCCGCGCCGTACAGTCCGGCGGCTGCAGGGGCCGTGGCGAGCGGCAGGAGCGCGCCGCCGTCCGGCTCGGCGTCCGCGTCCACCGCAGTGTGCCCCACTTGGGGGGGGGTGTTGCACGAGGCCAGCGCGACGGGCCCGAGAGACGCCCAGTCCTCCGGGTGCACGAGCGCGGAGATGTGCGTGCCGGGCGCGATCCCCGCGGGCCACACGGCGCCGACGGCCAGCGCCGGCGCGACCGCCCACGCGGCGTCGAGCGGCACCACCGAGACCTGCAGGCCGCCGAGCGCCGTCGCGAGCGCGGCCGACGCGAGCCCGAGCATGTCGCCGCGCGTCTCCGCCGTCGCGGGGAGCACGCACCCGTGGAGCGTCGGGTCGGACGCCTCGCTCCCGGCCAGGCGTGCCACCTTGACGCGGTGCACGCGCCGCCCGTCCGTGGTGCGCAGCCACGCCCACGCGTCGGCGTTCGCGGCGCTCTGCGCGCCGTTCGCGCTGTTTCCGCCGCCCTCGCCCGCCGCGGCGCCCTCCGGCGCCGCGTCCATTGCCGCCGCCACCAGCGCGCGCAGCCCCTCGCGGGACGACGCGTGCGCAGCCGCGTCGACGGTCGCGCCGTCGAGCTCCTCGGGCGTCTTCCCGAGCAGCGCGCCGAGCGCGGGCGACGGCTCCGCGAACCGCCCGTCCGGCGTCAGCTGGAAGCACGCCACCCGGGGGAGTGGCCACGCGATCGAGCTCAGGCGCTGCGCGGTGCGGCCCTTCTGCAGGTCCGCCGCGTACGGCGGCCGCGAGTGCAGGTGGATCAGCAGCAGCGGCGGCCCGTGGCGCTCCGCGCCGTGCTCCCACACCTCGTGCACCAGCGCCATGCACAGCTCCACGCTCATCGACGTCCCGTCCTTCTTCACGACCTGCACGGGGAGCTGCCGGAGCCGCACGACGGACCGCGACGGGTCCCCCGCGCCCTCGTCGCCCACCAGCCGGCTCCCGAGGGCTTTCCCGAATAGTTGCACCAGGCGCGGAATGTCGTCGGGGTGGAGGAGGGAGTGCCAGGAGCGGCCGGCGAGCTCGCGGAGCGGGTACTTCAGGACGTCCTCCGTGCACCCCGTGGCCCAGAGGATGCGCCCCGCGGCGGTGCAGATGAGGTACACCTGCTTGTGGACGCGCGAGAGGGCCGCGAGGATGCCGGCCTCCATCCCCGTGGGCTGCTCGTCCGCGGCGCTGGTGGTCGTGAGGGATTCGGTGGCCGCGAGCGGCGGCTGGGCCGGCGCGGCGCGCGGCGGCGCGGGCGGCGAGGCGGCGTGCGGCGCTGCCGTGGCCGCTGCTCACGTGCGACGGCGGATCCAACATCGCGGTCGGCGCGGAGCCGTCGTCGCTCCAGACCCTCTTGCACGCGTCGACCGCGCTCGCGAAGCCCGCCGTGGCCCACTGCACGGCGCTCGCGCTCGCAGCGCTGCGCGCCGCCTCCAGCGCGGCGGCCTCCGCCGCCGTGTTCCCGGCGTCGCGCGCCGCCGCCAGCCCGGCCGGCTCCGGCACGGGCACTTCGAGCAGGATGCTGCGGAAGTCCCCGGACGGGTGCCGCGCGCTCGCGATCGTCGCCAGCGTCCAAAACAGGGCGCTCGCGGGGTCCTGCGGGCTGACGCGGCGCAGCACGAGCGCCTGCGGCACCGTCGAGAGCTGCGACGTCGACGCCGCCGCGGCGTCCAGGCGCCGCGCGAGCTCCGCCCGGTCGTCCTGGTGAATCGATGCCATGGGCTCCGATCCTGCGGCCTCGCCGGCCTTGAGCCCGAGGGCTTGCAGGAGACGCGCGCCGGTGGCTTCGACGCGGTGCTCCGCGTCCAGGACCTGCGCGGGCGTGCGGGGGGGTCGTGGTCGTCGTCGTGAGCGCGCACGCAACACCTGCCACTCGTGTGCGCGTGCCGGCGCGTGACGGCGCGACACAGGCCGCCGCCCCGCATCGGGCGAGCGCGTGCGACGCTCCTGCTCCTACGTGGAGCGGCGCAGGGCGCGCACCTGGACGTAGCACGGCGCGAGCTCCAGCAGCGCGCCCAGGAGCCCCGCGCGCGCGCAGTGCGTCAGCGACGGCCCCGACGGCCAGATCTCCACGCCCATGATCGGAATCATCTGGTCCAGGCTCTGCGCGTGCACGCGCAGATGCACCGGCCGCCGCGCGCCCCCCTCCTCCACCACGTTGGCCAGCCACGCCTGTCCCGGCGGGCCGCGCTCACTCCCCCCGGCGTCGCCGTCGCCGTCGAGGTGCAGCATCGACGCGACCGTGCCCTGGTCCGCCGGATCGAAGAGGTCCAGCAGCGACCGCCCCTTGACCAGCCCGGGCGCGGTGCCGAGGATGTTGTGCACCTGCCCGGCCGTCGCTTTGATGCTGCGGTCGCGCCGGACCTCGATGAACGCGAGCGGCGTGTGCTGCAGCGCCCAGCGCCACCCGCGGTACGCCGCCAGCAGCTGCTGCTCGTGCGTGATGTTGCGCAGCAGCATCAGCCCCATCCCGAGGCTCGCGCCGGCCGAGGGCGGGCCCTGCGCGGCCCCCGCGGGCGAGAACCACGTGTACGACCCCTGCAGCCACTGCGTGCCGTCGCGGCCGGTCCGGAACCGCACGGAGCGGCTCAGCGACGACGGCTGCCGCCCCTGCCCGGCCTCGCGGTCCCAGCGCTTTAGCGCCTGCAGCACCTGCGCCCTGTCGCGGACGTGCACGAGCGTGGGCAGCCGCGCGCCCAGGACCTGCTGCGTCGGCGCGCCGAGCATCGAGACGCAGTCCTCGGGGGCGCCGTCGACCTGGATGACGGTGCTCGTGCTGTCGAGCACGAGGATCAGGTGGCCCAGGGAGCGCTCGAGGATGGACAGCGCGTGCCGCGCGAGGCGCGCGCGGGCCGCGTCGGCCGCGTCCGTCGCCGCGGGGAAGCCCGGCGCGCCCATGTGGCCCGGCGGGCGCCCGGGGCTGCGTGGGAGGCCGCGGGGAGCGCCCCGGGCGCGGACGCCGGCGCGGCGGCGGGGGCTTCTGCGGGGGCGCGTGGGACGTCGAGAGGCCGGCGCCGTGGCGGTTGTGGAGGCTGAGGCTCTCCGAAGAGGTGTCGAGTGCCTGCAAGGGGCGGCGCGGCGGCGCTGGCGCGCAGAGAGCGCGGCGGCGGCGACGCGCGCGATGCGCGGACGTGACGGAAGCGGGGCGCGCCGGCCGCGAGCGCGCGGAGCGCCGCTGCGGGGCCGCCGTGGACGCGTGTGGCTGTTGACTGCCCAGCGGGCGCGATGGGGCGGGGGGGGGTGTCGCGCCTGGGTGAGGCCCATCGATGCGGGCTGGTGGGAGATGTGGGGCTGCATGGAGGAGAGCGAGGAGCCGAATGCGCCGTGTCCCGCGCCGAGGACGGGGTTGCTTGCCTCGGGCGACCCCCAGACGCCCTGCGACGCAGCGTGCCAGTTCGCGCCGAGCGGTCCGATCTGGCCGCCGCCGGAGAGCGAGAGATCCTGCGCGCGGGGGCGGGAAAGGCGCGAAAGTTCGCGTCCGGGCGCGAGGACGGCGGCGAGCGTGGTCCGGGGTGAGTGGGGAGGGGCGATGGCGCACCTGGCGGCCGTTTGCGGCGTTCATGCCGCCGACGCCGAGCCCGTCGAAGGAGCTCTGCTGCTGAGCGCTGCTCGAGGGGGCACCGCCATACGACGACAGCCCGGGCAGGCCGGTTGAGGTGCTGGCTGGGCCTGCACCGGACGTCCCGAGCCTCATGTCGAGCGAATCTGGCTCCCGCTGCGCGCCGTGGGAGTCCAGGTTGGCGAAAAACTGCGCCGCTCCGGGGAACGGGCCATCGCCGTCGAACCCGTGCGCGTCGCGGTGCGCTCCTGGCGCGGCAGAGAGGTTCGCCTGCTGGCCGCCCTGCGCCGCCTCGCCCTGCCCCTGTGCGGAGAGATGCTCGAAACCGCCCCAGAAGGAGCCGTACGGGTCGGACATCCCGGCCCTGCGCCCGCGTGAGCCTGCGCGCCGCGAAAGTGGCACTGGCCGCTCAGCACAGACTGCGGCCTGGCAGGTCCAGGTCCCTGGGGGGGGACGCGCGACGCCGACGCGCGCAGGTGCCGCCTCCGGCCGTACGCAGCTGTGAGGCGGCAAATCGACGCGGCGGGCCATGCCGCGCTGTCAACCAACCAAGGGAAACCGTGGGCGATCGCAGGGACGTCGAGGGGTCGTCGCGCGCGCATCCGCCACGGCAAGGCAGGTTCGCTGGACGAACAATGAGCGCAGCCGGCCGCCGTGCATCGCGTTGGGGCCGTTCGCGGCCAGCGGAGCCATTAAGGTGATGGGCGATGGCGCTTACCTTCTCCAGGGACGCCGTCAGGCGACTTCCGGGGGCCGTGGGCGCGACCTGGTAGTAAAAGGTTGCACGCTGGGCCGGGCTCGTCGACGCGGAGCTCCGTAGACGCGCCGGCGGAGCGGCAAGGTGAGGACGCTGGTGCGCGTCCGATCGCCGCGCACACGCTGTGTTACAGCGTGTTCGCGACAGGTGCGGCGGACTTCGGCGGCAAAACGAAGTCCCTCGTGCAGCCGGAATGCATCACGGGGCGCGCCAGCGCCCCCCTGAGCGGCCCCGGACGGCCGCAGTGAGTCGGACACTTCGCATCAGGGCTACTCGCCGCGCACTTGGCCCGCACGCCGCGCCCGCCGCCGGGCAATCGCACACCCGCTGGCGGCGAAGACGGCGCGAAGATCACCGCACGCCCGCCCGGACGCCAGGGCACGGGGACACAACACGCAGTGCTAGGCGCGCACCGGGCGCCCTCGGGCACGGACGGGACGCCGGCGCGATGTCCGGCGAGATAGCTAGGGAGATCGACGACCTGAAGCGGCTCCTCGAGACGCCGATGCGCGTCGCACCGGCGCGGCGGTCGCCAGGTGCGTCTCAGCATGCGCCGCAGCGCCCGGCGCCCCATGCGCCGCGCAGCGCGCACGAATTCTTCAGGAAGGGCGTTTCCTGGACCGCACTGTTCCTACGCATGCTGCCGGCGAAGCACGGGCCGCGCCAGGCGGCTCATGCGTGCGTGCCGGGGGGCAGTGGTGACGGCGTAGCGCGGCGGTGCCTGGGCGCAGGGAGGAGCCGCTACGCAGGGGGCACGCCTCCACGGTCGCCCACCGCGACGGTGGACGCGTCGCGGATGTCGCGGCCGGTGGCGTCGTTCGACTTCGGCGCGAGCGCGGGCGAGGTCGCCGCTGCGTCGCGCCCGCAGCAGGCCATGATGCACGCCCTCGGCAACACGGAGGCGATGATGGCCAACCTGCAGCGCAAGCTGTCGACAGGTGAGAGGAATGCCCCCGGTAGGCGCATGATACGGCAGACGCGCGTCTGGTCGCGCGGTGGCTGCGGCACTCGCAGCTCTCTGCGCTCACAACCACTTGCGCTGCGCCGTGCGGCGCTCTGCGCATCGACGCTTCGTTTGTGTGTGCGCTGCGGGCCGCAAGCTGCCGAAGAGGCGGAGGCGGGCGCATTTCGAACCCGCCTCCCGCTCTGCGCTAGCCGTGAGCGCGCGATGACAGCATGGACCAACGCCCGGGCGCAGCATGCTGCGCGACCCTGCTCTTCCGGGCCCTCCTTGCCTTCCGCCGTCGGTTTCTCTTCTAAACATTCAGATTTCGTCTCCGAGACCCCACGAACGCGCACGTCCCGCCCGTAAACGTGGTGCAACGACTGCCGCTGCTGTCCCTCCCCGGCCGTCCGCCACGGCGCGGACCAGCGCGGCTCCGCCCGATTCCCGACGGCTCCTTGTTGTGGTGCAGGTGATGCGGAGATGGAGGCGGCGTACGCGGAGGCCAGGGAGGTGCACGGCCAGCAGATGGCGCGCAAGGAGGCGGAGATCGCGGAGCTGCGTCAGCTCGCGAGCCAGAGGGAGCGGGAGAAGGACGACATTCGCAGGAGGGCCGGGGAGCAGAAGGCTGCGCTGGAGAAGCGCCTCGCGGGTGAGAGCTCACGAGCGACACAGCGCAGTGCCGCGTGGCACGCCCGCGCTGATTCCGTGCGCAGCCCGGCTCACCGCGTCGCTCGGCCGCCCCTGCAGACTCGGAGGCGGCGCTGGCGGAGGCGAGGGCCGAGGCGAGGCACCTGCGCGACGCCCTCGGGGCCGCGCAGCAGGAGACGACGACGTTGCGCTCGCAGCTACAGAACCAGCAGCGCGCCTTCGAGATGGAGATGCAGACGACCGCAGCTCGGCACGACGCGGCCATGTACGTCCAGCTGCGCCCTAGCTGCGCCCTCGCTGCGCCCTCACGCACGCGTGCCAGCTGTGGCGCTGTCTGCAGCAACCATGCGCACGGCCCGCCGCGCTCCGTGCCGCTTCTCACGCTGTTGTCCGGGCGTTCCGGCGCCGCGCTGCGCGCAGGGAGGCGACGCAGCTGCGCATGGAGAGCGAAAAGAGGGAGCTGATGAGCCAGCTGGACAACTTGAAGGAGAAGCTCCAGGTGGAGATGAAGCGGCTGGAGAGTTCCGTGGAGTCGCTGACGCAGGAGCGGGACGCGGAGCGCGCGGCGAAGGAGGCGGCGGTGGCGGAGCGGGACGCGCTGCGCGGCGCGCACACGCAGCTGCAGGCGGAGCACGCCGCGGTGCAGACGCGCGCGGAGGACCTCGCGCGGGGCAAGGAGGAGGCGGAGAGCGAGGTGCGGGGCCTGAAGGGGGAGCTCGAGGGCCTCAAGGACGCGCACCGCAGCCTGGCCAGCGAGCACGGCAGCGCAGTGCAGCAGCTGCGGCAGGAGCGCGAGGGGCGGCAGGGGGCGCGGGCGGCGCTCGAGGAGCTCAGGAAGGAAGCTGCGGCGGCGACGGAGGCGGCCAAGCTCGAGGAGTACAAGCGGAAGCAGGCGGTGGCGAAACTGCACAAGGAGCGGAAGAACCGTCTGGACGCGCAGCAGACGAAGGAGATCTGCCGGAAGCTGCAGTGCGAGCGGAAGGCGCGCCGGAGCCTCGAGAGGTGGCTCGAAGCCGAGCTGCAGGTACGCCGCGCCCGCCACTGTGCAGTGCGCGCTCGGCGCGGCGTGCGCCCCGCAGGCCGCCGCAGTAGCGACCCGCTGCGCCTGCACGTCGCCGCTGCGCGCGTCCCAGGGCTGGCGCACACACTCTGGCGCCCCGTGGTCGGCGCACGCAGTCGCGGGAGGAGATGGAGACGCTGTTCGTGACGCTGCGCGACATCGCGCTCACGCGGGACCGGCCCACGGAGTCCGGCGACGTCCGTGCGCTCGCCGACTTGATCCGCAAGTACGAGGCTCGCGTGTCGGCGACCGACACGCTGCGGCACGAGGCGCTGCAGGCGAACGGGCGGTTCGGCGGCGCGGCGGAGGGCTCGCCGGGCCGCGAGGCGCTGGCGTACAAGAGCGTGATCGACCGCGACAGCGAGGCGCTGCGCAGCGAGGTGGCCAAGCTGCGGCAGCTGCTCACAGAGAAGCTGGTGGGGTGAGGGGTGGGCGCGGGGCGGCAGGTGTGAGTTGATGGGGACGGTCGTGGAGGTCGCTGGAGGTCGGGTGGGGGGTATGATCCCTTTTCGCATGACAGGCCACGCGCGGGGGACGGCGATGACGAGGAGAGCTGAGTAGCCGTCGGCGCGTCGCCACACAACGCGGACAATGCCGCAGACTCGGTCACCGCTGTCACCCAGCCGGCTGCCGACACCCCCTGGTACAAGCAGCCTAGGACGTGGACCAGCACTTCGGCGCGTCGGCTGGCGGGCGTCGTCCAGTACTCGCGCGGCTCGCCGCGTTGTTGCTGACGACGCCCGCCACTCACTCTAACTGATTGCAGGTCAGAGCCTTCCCTTGGCACATGATGGCACGCTCACATGGCATTTCGCGCGAGTACTCCTAGCACGCTGCCGCCTTGATCAGGACGATAGCACACCCGCATTTCGTTTCGTGCGCGGGTGGTCAATTACTACTCTGTGTGTCGTGTTGTGCTGCGCCGGGCCTCGAACATGGGGCTTTGGCGCAGTGCCAGCTGAGAGCTACCTCCCTACTCCGGCCTTCAACCGTCGGCGTAGACGAGCCTGCCTCCGGCTAACTGACTCCGCCGTCTCACGTCCGTGGCTCACCGCCCGGCGTGCTAGGAACGCGCAACTTAGGTAGAGCTCTCCCCGTCATCGTCGCCCTCCCGTCGTGGCTTGATTACTGCATCCTCGGTCTAGTTCCGCACACCACCCTCTTTTCACCCCCAAAACCTCTCACCATGCGCACTCCAATCGGTCGCCGACGGAGGAAACGGCTCCAAGCAGCGTTGCGTCTCAGCGACCAGGCCGGCACCGCCGAGGCGCGCACGCTGCGTGGCCACCTTTCGAATGGCACCCTGTTCCACCATGTCGCAAATCTAAATGACCACGACCCGAACTTTCGACCCAGCATCACGCACGCACGCCGCATCGCGGCCGCTATTGCTCCGCAGGCATCTCCCCGTGCCTGGCCCCCTCCTAGCCCCCACCACACACCCTCCCACCCCGCCTCCGCACTAGCCCCTCGACCCTACTGGGACTACGTGCCCCGCGACGAACGGGCGCCCGCATACCCGCACCCGTGCCCCCCACCGAGCGCTCCTTTCCCACCGCCCCCGCCGGCGCTCTCGGACCTCGCCGCGCTACCATCGGTCACGGCAAACCCCCCGCTTGCGGCGCGCGGGGTTGTCTATGTCCTCTTGTGCCGGAAATACCCCTTCTTTTACTATGTCGGGGAGACATACCGCACAGCGATCGAACGACTGCAGGAGCACTTTGATGCAGCATTCACGCACCATCCGAACGCCGTGCACACCCCGCTTTACGAGTTTATGCGACGAGTGTGGGCGCAGTCGCCGAACGGCCATGTCCCGTGGCGCGACTTCACCATCGTGCCCCTCTTTCGCATCAATTTCGCACGCCAGGTGCCCATCCCGCCGGCGACTAGCCCGGACGCTTTGAAGGCCTGGTTCCACAAGTTCCGCACCTACTCCCTGGCCTGGGAGCAGACCATGATACGCTGTCTGGGCTCCACATACCCCGGCGGCCTCAATTACTGCAAGGGCATGTGGAATTTCGGCTACGGAGCTGGCCACTCTGATGCTGCCCCATGGCCTCTATCCCCCCTGGCGTTCCAAATCGCCGCTGACCCCCACCCCGTAGCGATCCCCCACAACGACTTCCCCGTCCCGCCCGGCCCGAGTGGGCTCCCAGCGCTGGCGACCCTCTTCCAGCCAACGTTTGCCATCTCCTCCACGCATCAACGTACCATCCACCTCGACGCTGACAACTGCCTCACAACTACGGCACCAGCGTTGTCCCTGCCCCCCGCTATCGCAGGCATGTCTCCGCGCCTCGGTACACGCGAGTATATCTACCAGACTCGCCTCCTTCTTGACGTTGTTTTGTTCCGCCGCGCCGGCGACACAGAGCACGATCATTGGAGACGCGCGGTGAACCATTGCACGGCAGCGAACATCGGAAAATACCTCTTCTCCCTCCATCACTGCGTGTCGCACATGCATCCCGATGCGCTTAACCTGGGTCTCGACGAGCCCTTTTACACACAGCAGATGTTGGACAGTGCCCGCACCGTTTTGCAGGCCGCCATCAACCACCACTACCCTCCCGTCGCAGACATCGACCTCGGGAGCCGTACCCTCATGATCCACGACTTCCCTACCCCCCTGGCTAGCCTCGCCCCCCTCGAAACCCTCGTCAATAATGATGACTTTCTCAACCTCTTACCTGAGCGTATCCGCGAAGGTATGGATGGCTTGTTTCTGGTGGCCCCGCGCTATTCGGTCAGGTTTCCACCGCTGTCGCGCTCGGTGTGCACGCACAGCGGAGTTGCCAAGTTTGCACGCAGTCGCCTGTACGACATCATGGCGACGCAGTGCGACTGTGCGCAACACCAAGGACCGGACCTACGACGCCACTTCACGCTCGAGGACCCCTACTGGCAGATCGACGGCGAGCCTGTGCGGCACCTCTGCACGCTGGACCCTGCTGCGGCGGGCATCCAGAGCACCGCGTACCGCCGTTTGTTCGCCGTCGGCGGTGCCAAGCACCGACACGTCCCGGAGCTGCACCAAGCCACGAGCGCGACCGTAGCTAGCATCGTTGAAGCCTACCAGAAGCCGCTGCTCGGGTGGACGAAACGCGTCAGCAAGGCCGCCGACATGGACGCGGCAGCGTGCATGCCGTACATTGATGCTATACTTGCTGCTACGCAAACGGCACTCCAACCCGCTCTTCAACCCGGGTTCCGCCTTCCATGGCCCCCGCCGCTGGCGGACATTCAGCCCGACGATCGCGTGGCTCTGCGGCGAGACGCGACACGCCTCACCATCACGACCATGGACAAGAACGCCGGGAATTTGGTTTTCGTGTGTCGGCGCGCCTACATCGAGGTCCTCCTGCACGACCTGCACAGCAACGACGCTTTCGCTGTCAACGAGCCGGCAAATGCCAACATCACGCATGCCAGGCACGTGGTGAACGTCGCTAACACGACGGAGGCTATGTTGGACAACCTGCAGCTACCAGGAATACGCACCGAACGCGAGTGCGGTGGTCTACCGCACTACTACGGGACGATGAAGCTTCACAAGGCCAAGGTGGACGTGCGGTACATCTCGGACTGCTCGAGCGACATCACGCGCCCCGCAGCGCAGCTGCTGACGAAGGCCCTCGGCGCGCTCATGTGCCACGCCACCCTCGTGGAGGTCTGGAGCTCCATCTTCGACGGCGTCCCGGAGGACCTCTGCAGCAGCTTCGCGCCCTTCTTGGTGGACTCCAGCCGCGGCATGCGTGACATGGTGACCGCGTATCTACATGACAACCCACCACGCTCAGCGATACATGCTCAACAACCACCTCTGCTGCTGGGCGCCGACATCAAGCGGCTCTACACGCACATCCGGCACGAGACGAGCGCGGACCACGGGACCGGCCTCATCGACTGCGTCATCGAACACATCGACGCTGTTTTTGCACTGCATCCAGGGCAACACCTCCTGATCGACTTGCAACCCGCGTTTGACGCGAGGGAGACGTGGTGGTGGGTGGCGCAGCTGCCGGACGCGGACGGCATGGTTGGGAAATGGGCACCGAGCATCGAGCAACTTCATGGTCTCGTGCACATCCTCGTCAAACGCGCCTACGTGGTGTTCGGGGGCGTCGTATATCACCAGACCTGCGGTGTGCCCATGGGGCTCTCGGCCTCCCCCCACCTCGCGAACTGCTACATGTTCCGGCATGAGCTCGCGTTCCTCTGCCAGTTTCGCGACCGCTGGTTGAGCACTGGCGACGTCGCTTGGCTGAAGGTCTTGGGGTCTTTCCGTTATTCCAGGCGCTACATCGACGACAATTTCTCTCTCGCGAACGCACTGTACCGCTACTTCAACACCCACCCCCGCCCCCCCACCCCGCCCCCCGAAACCCCGTCGTCGATCGTAGATCTCATCTCTGGTATACATAACATGTACCCCCCCTGTCTTGAGGTCGAATTTGACGCCCCAGCGAACCCGCTCGACGGTGTCTCCTTCCTAGACCTCCGCGTGCGTCCGCATCCCGAATATCAGGGCTTCCTCCTGATCTCGCACTATGACAAACGCGGTCTGTTTCCTGAGAACATTCACCTCATACAGTACCCCCACGCTTCGTGTGCGCTGCTGCGACGACACCTTTACAACATCGTCCGCACCGAACACATCCGCGTGTCCAGCGAGGTGACTGACCGCGACAGCTACGTAGCCAAGATGTCGGCCATGATGCGCTACATGCGTACGCATCGAGGTTACTGCATGCGACAGGTCCTGGCGATCCACCGCGCCGCCTGCCGGACGCACCCGAGCCCGCATTTTGGCCCTGCCACGCCGGCGGGCCTGGCTGACCTCGTGCGTCGCCACGTGCAGTTTGCAGACCATACTGGCCAACCTGCTGACAGGGCGTGCCCGGCGCCCTGCAACTCGTCACCCTCATACATGATCCCGGCGCTGCGAAGCTGGCTCGGAACTATCCAGCCATGCCCGCACACATGACGCACTCTGTTACCCCCCCGATGTTGACATGTTGGCCATGCGCGTATTCCGTGGCCGCTAGACCGAGGTATGATCCCTTTTCGCATGACAGGCCACGCGCGGGGGACGGCGATGACGAGGAGAGCTGAGTAGCCGTCGGCGCGTCGCCACACAACGCGGACAATGCCGCAGACTCAGTCACCGCTGTCACCCAGCCGGCTGCCGACACCCCCTGGTACAAGCAGCCTAGGACGTGGACCAGCACTTCGGCGCGTCGGCTGGCGGGCGTCGTCCAGTACTCGCGCGGCTCGCCGCGTTGTTGCTGACGACGCCCGCCACTCCCTCTAACTGATTGCAGGTCAGAGCCTTCCCTTGGCACATGATGGCACGCTCACATGGCATTTCGCGCGAGTACTCCTAGCACGCTGCCGCCTTGATCAGGACGATAGCACACCCGCATTTCGTTTCGTGCGCGGGTGGTCAATTACTACTCTGTGTTGGGGTCAATTGCGTCTTTCGCGGGAGAGAAGGAGTGCGGTAGAGAACCTCGCGCAGAGGCGCGGCGCAGCGGGCGCGGCCGCGGCCGGGCGTCGCGGAAGCCGGCGTGCCATGCGTTCGACGGGGGCGTGGCGGGCGTTGGCACATCGAGGCGCCGGGCGCGCTCGGTCGCCGGCGGGAGCACGCTGGCGCAGTGCAGGCGCAATTCGCGGCGACGCGGGGGCGTGGCGATGTGAAACGTGGTCGAGGTGGGACGTACGTGCGGCGACACGCGAGCCGCGCTGATAGCGGTTCATGGCGCGGGGCTGCGACGCGTCGCGGAGGCCAAGGTGAGAAATGGGGCTCTGAGGGGCCTCTGCGGCAACCGCGCAGCCGGGCTGCGGATAAGGCCGCATTGCGAAATGGGCGCGAGGCAAAGTGTTGAGGAGTGCTCGCAGGACAGCGGTGACGTTCCGCGCGTTCCGTTCGGCTCTCACCGCTCGGCGTTTCGCGCGAGTTGCCTGGCCGCACGAGGGTGCGCCGCGCAGGCCCTTGGATCATTTGAGCGCCGCACACGACTCTTTCGGTAGCATTCGTACGATTCCGGGCACCCACGTTCCCCGCTGCCACTTAGATTGCCGTCGCGGCCGCTCTCCTCTCACCTGGCAGCTCGTGTCATGCGGATGGAAGGCGTTTCCGGGGCCACGCGTCCGGCGGCCACGGCATGCTTGCACACCGCCCACCGGCCCCACGGCCGGGCCATGGCGGCCGCGATCCCGCCCCTAGCCACGCGCAGGCCGGTTCACCCTGCGGGAGGGTACCCTGCCCGTTCGGTCTGCACGGCCGCCCAGACGGCCGCAAAGGAGCCCGCCGTCGATGCTCCGTCCTCCTACAAGATCCCGCCGCGCAGCGAGACCGTCCTCACCGGCAAGGCAGTCGAGGACTACGCTATGAGGAAGCAGATCGAGGTGCACGAAAAGTACCCGCGCGGGCTGCCCATCGAGTTCTCCTGCGCGCCTCAGGTGCTCGAGGCGTCGTATGCGCGCTGCGGGGAGGTCACGGCGGAGTACGCGAAGACCTTCTACCTCGGCACGTCGCTCATGTCTGAGCCCCAGGCAAAGGCCATCTGGGCCATCTACGTGTGGTGCAGGTGCGAGTTCGCGCCCGGCCGATGCCAGGCCGCGCCTCTCTTGCGAGGCCCGCGCCGCGCGACCGCGTGCGCTCGCCCGCCTGCGCGCGCCACGGCCGCCCGGGCTGTGGCCTCCCAGCCGATCGCCCGGACCTCGCAGCGCCGCTGCGCGCGACGCACGCGCCCGACCGCCGCGAACCGGCACCTCACAGACCGTGACATTTCCACGCGAGCACCTCCGGACGCCAGCTCGGCCGATCACGGCGACCGATGGGCTGCACTGCCTGCCAAACGCGCCCGCGCATCGCGCGGCCCCCGCGCACCGATCCGCGGCCGTCCGCCGGCGGCAGCACTGCGCATCCTCTGCGCCCCCGCGGCCGCCCCGCGGCCATTTTCGGCGCCGGAGACCGCCCGGGCGGCCCAGGTCAACCTTCCTCGCGCCCTGGTGGCCCCCCCGCAGGCGCACGGACGAGCTCGTCGACGGCCCGAACGCGTCGAAGATCACGCCCGAGGCCCTGGACCGCTGGGAGCGCCGCCTCGAAGCCATCTTCGAGGGGCGGCCTTACGACGAGCTGGACGCGGCGCTCACCGACACCCTGACGAGGTTCCCGCTCGACATCCAGCCGTTCCGCGACATGATCGACGGCATGCGCATGGACCTCGTCAAGGTGCGCGCCCGCCGCCCGCGCGCCGCACGCGCATTTCCGACCCGCTTCTGTGCCGCGCAACACCAGATGGGATTTCTCGAGTCCGCTTGCGCCGCGCAGGCCCGATACCAGACGTTCGACGAGCTGTACGAGTACTGCTACAAGGTCGCCGGCACCGTCGCGCTCATGTCGATGCCCGTGATGGGCGTGGATCGGAACGTGGAGGACTACGAGGAGGTGTATAGGGGGGCGTTGGCGCTCGGCACGGCCAACCAGCTGACCAACATCCTGCGCGACGTCGGCGAGGACGCCGCGGAGCGCAACCGCATCTACGTGCCGCTGCAGGTGCGGCCCCGGCGCGCCGCCGCGCGTGGTGTGCCATGCGCCGCTGTCCCAGCGAGCTGCGCGGTTCGGCGCCGGCGCGCGTTGACGTCGGAGTGTTCGCGGGGCTGTTGCGCAGGAGCTGGAGGAGTACGGCATCTCGGAGCAGGAGGTGTTGGACGGGGGGGTGTTTAGCCCCACGACGGGCAAGATCGACGACCGGTGGCGCCGGTTCATGGAGTTCCAGATCCGCAGGGCCCGGGAGTACTTCGCGGAGGCCGAGTCCGGCGCGGACAAGCTCGCGGCGGAGGCGCGGTGGCCTGTGTGGAGCGCACTCATCCTGTACCGCCAAATCCTGGACAGCATCGAGCGGAACGGGTACGACAACTTCACGACGCGGGCATACGTGAGCAAGGGCAAGAAGATGCTCAGCCTCCCCCTGGCGTACGCGCGCGCCAACGTCCCGGGCCTCTCGCTGCCCGGGATCGACAGCCTGCCGCGGTGAGTGAGTGCGTGCGGGCGGGGGCAGCGTGGAGAGTGGGAATCGCGACGGAGGCGTTGTGCGGCGCTGTGCTGTGAACCGGACGCAGCGTCCGATGATTGCGTGTCGCTGCGGGGGTCTGACTGCGACGGGGGGAGTGTTTGGTGTGTCGGGCTCGGTGGGGGGTCATGGGCGGCCGCGGGCGGGCTGGGCGCGCAACGAGCCGACCTGGAGCAGCCGGGGCGTCGGATGCATGGCGCTGGGGCTTCGGCGACGGACAGCGGGAGACGAGTGCAGTCGTGTGTGTGCATCAATGCTGTTCGTTTCGCCATCAGGGACGTGATAGCGAAATCCGCGCGCCTCTCGGACTCGACCTTCACTGATGAGGAACATAAGCATCGAAATCGGCGCTGAGAGCGCACAAGACCTCTCCTGACAGTGCCTTCCTGCTCGCGTGCACCTAAGGGAGCTATACACGACGTACCTGCGGGATCCAGGCGTTACTACGCCCTAGATGCAAAGGACAAGGTATCTAAGCGCACAGATTCTGCGGTTCAACCTCAGCAGCGGCGTCACAGGTGAGATCTGGCGCACATCACTTCAGGCACAGTGGCCTCGCGCCCTCGAGCGCGCAGCAGCGATGCCTTCGCGCCCCGACGTCGCCCGTCCTGACCTCTCGTCAATCAGGTTCGTCCGCACAGCACGCTCGTTCCAGCTCGATCCGTCCGACAACGGGCGTGCCGCCTGAGAGGTGCGTACGCTGCCCGCACCTCGTGCAGGCCTGCCCGCCGCCGCCACGGCTCGCAGCGGCGCCGCCAGCCTCCCCGCAGGCCCGCTGCAGCTCGGCTGCCCCCCCGCGAGCAACAGCCAAACCGACGCCACAGGGGCAGCCATGGACCGCGACGTCGCCGCTAGCGACGATGCTGACCTGCCGGCACACCACGTGCGTAACGCGGGAATGTTCGGGCCGCGGTTCCAGAACCCGTTCCCGGAGTGGCGGTTCCCGACGCTGTCCGAGTTATGGAAGGTGCTGTGCACGAAGATTGACGGGAGCAGAATGATTGTCGACCGCTTGACCAAGGGTACGTGCCGCGCCCCCGAGTCGATCAAACCACGCGCGAGGCGCCGCTGCAGCGCGCAGACGCATAGCCTCGCTGGTGAAATTGATTTCGAGCCCTGCAGTCGAACGCAACAATCCAGAGCGGTTGCAATGGCCTCGCGTTGCAGGGGGGGGGTCCAAGCTGGTGGGGAACGCGGCCCCGACGGAGGCCGACTTCCTGCGCGCGTTCCCGACGGAGGACGTCGACGTGGACGGCATGCGCAGCGGCCCCCCCGGGGGCGGCGTCCAGGTCACATGGCTGGGGCACAGCTCGTGCCTGGTGCAACTGGGCGGCGTCTCGTTCCTCACGGACCCAGTCTTCGCGGAGCGCGCGTCCCCCGTGCAGTGGTTCGGCCCGAAGCGCGTCGTGCCCTGCCCGCTCGACCTCGACGCGCTCTCGGACGACGAGCTGCCGCCACTGGACTTCGTAGTGATCTCGCACAGCCACTACGACCACCTGGTGCGGGCCCCGCCTCCGAGCGTTCACAGCTGCGCCCGGACCTGCGAGGCCGCCTGCTCACATCGTGCGGTATGAGACGAACTCGCTTCATGTTTCCTGGAGTCTGACGACGATCCATGCGCCACGCGACCGCATTTCATGCTGTTTCGACAAGCAAGCGGAGCGCTGAGCGCCCCAGAGAAGGCCCCACGCGCCCTTGCGTGCTGCAGTGTCTGCCCACGTGTCGGCAGCTGTCCAGGCGCTATGGCGCGTCCATCACGTTCTACGTGCCCCTGGGGCTGCGAGAGTGGTTCGCGAGGAACGTGCCGGGCGCCGTCGCCGTCGAGCTGGACTGGTGGGAAACCGTCGAGCACAACGGAGTCAGGTGAGGGTTGTTATAATGATCATCAACTCTCCCCTCTCCTTCCTTCCTTAGAACGACGTTGCGTGCTTGGCACCGGCTTGCTGGCTCCTTTCTTGGCGCTGGCCGGCCCGTTCGCTCACCTGTGTGCGTCACACTCCCCCCCCCTCCTGTCTGCAGGGTGGTGTGCGCCCCAGCCCAGCACTGGTCGAACCGCTCACCGCTCGACCGCGACCGCACGCTCTGGGCCTCGTGGGCCGTCCTCGGGCCCGGCGCCGGCGAGCGCTTCTGGTTCGCGGGCGACACGGGCTACTCGAAGACCCTCGTGGAAGACTTGCGCGCGCACCTTGCGCCCCTGGATGTCTGCGCCATCCCGATCGGAGCCTACGAGCCCTTCTGGTTCATGGAGCCGCAGCACGTCGACCCCGCGCACGCCGTCAGGATCCACGCCGAACTTGGCGCGCGGGCGTCGTTTGGAATCCACTGCTGCACGTTCAACCTCGCCATGTACGTGCAGCATCATATGTACATTTATATCTTCATCAAGTGTTTGTTGGTCTCTTCTTGAGAAGCGAACTGCAAAACATGACACCTTCCGCGACGGCACCAACGTGGCGTGTTGTGGCGTGGGGCGCTCGTGCAGGGAGCCGCTGGACGAGCCCCCGATGCGGCTGGAGAAGGAGGTGGTCTCGCAAGGTTTAGATCCAGGCGCGTTCGTGGTGCTGACGCAGGGCCGGCTCGACCGCCGCTGGGCGCGCGCCTCCGCCGCGCAGCGCTCCAACCCCTCCGCCGTCGAGTCCTCCGCCGTCAACGTCGCCGCCGACTAGGGACGCAGGACGACGTTGCGCTCACCTGCGACGGCGGTCCCCGAGCCACGGGACCCCTCCTGTATACAAAGGCAAATATTTTTTTTTCAGGCATGAGAGGAGGGAGGAAGCGCAGAAGAAACTACCACCACGGCCAGCCGGACACCGGCCGGACCGGTCTCGAGCTACTACTGTTATGACCTGTGACCACGTGACCACGATGGCGCGAATCAGCGGTGAAGCGACAACACCCAGCCAACCCTCGACGGCCATCTCGCAGGCGCCATTACACGCGGCCCATCACCGCCGCCCGCCCCCAGCTACCAGCCCGCGCTCGGCGCCACGCGCGCGCACCCACGCGCAGCTACGCCGGGGCAGCTACGCCGCGCTTACCACCCGATGTGCTTGTACGACTCGCCGGCGTACACGGCGTCGTTGCCGAGCTCCTCCTCGATGCGGAGCAGCTGGTTGTACTTGGCCAGGCGCTCCGAGCGGCACGGCGCGCCCGTCTTGATCTGCCCCGTCGACAGGCCGACGGCCAGGTCCGCAATGAAGGTGTCCTCCGTCTCACCCGAGCGGTGCGAGGCCATGACGCCCCAGCCGGCCTCCTTCGACATGCGCACGGCCTCGATCGACTCCGACACGGTGCCGATCTGGTTGACCTTGAGCAGGAGCGCGTTGCACGCGCCCGACTCGATGGCCTTGCGCACGCGCGTGGGGTTGGTCACGAGCAGGTCGTCGCCGACGACCTGGCACAGGCCGAGGTCCGTGAGCTTCTTCGTCGGCTCCCAGTCGTCCTGCTCGAAGGGGTCCTCGATCGACACCACCGGGAACTTCTCGCAGAAGCCCTTGTACATGTCGACCAGCTCGTCGGGGGTCTTCTTCTGCGACCCGTCGTTGGGCTGGTTCTTGAAGTCCAGGTCGTACATCTTGTCCTCCGTCTGGAACTCCGACGCCGCCACGTCCATGCCGATCTTCACCTTGCCCGTGTAGCCGGCCGCCGCGATGGCCTCGTTCACCAGGTTGAGACCCTCCTCGTTGTTGCCGATGTTGGGCGCGAAGCCGCCCTCGTCGCCGACGTTGCACGCGTCCTGGCCGTACTTGTCCTTGATCAGCTTCTTCAGGTTGGTGTACACCTGCAAGCGGAGCGGGGGGAGTGAGAGGGGGTTGTCAGAGAACAGGCGACGAGGAGGCGCGGCGGCGCTGGGAGGGCCAAGGGGTAGTGGCGAGGCGAGGTCGGGGGCCGGGCGGTGTTTTGTATTGTTGGGCGGGGGGGGGGGATGAAAGGTCGGGGCAGGTGGTCGCTCAGGGATGAGTACAGCAGCGGATTCGTTCTCAGCAGCGTCACCCCGAGGGGCGCCTTAGACTGGTGCCAGCAGAATCCGAAGTCTCGTCATCGCGACGAGAGGGGAGCGCACAGCATTCGAGCAGCACAGCACTCGCCGCAGGCGCGGGGGGGTCCGCGGCGCACCTCGCAGCCCATGCGCATGGCCTCCGAGAAGGACGACGCGCCGGTGGGGAGGATCATGAACTCCTGCATGGCCAGGCCGTTGCCGGCGTGCGAGCCGCCGTTGATGATGTTGAACGACGGCACCGGCAGCACGAGCTTGCCGTTGCCGGCGAGGTCCGCGAGGTGGCGGTACAGCGGCACGCCCTTCTCCTCGGCGCCGGCCTTGGAGACGGCCATCGAGACCGCGAGGATGGCGTTCGCGCCGAGCTTGCCCTTGTTGTCCGTGCCGTCGAGCGCGATCATCGCGTCGTCAATCTCCTTCTGGTTCCGGGGGTCCTTGCCCTGCGAGCCGGGCGGAGCGCGCGCGGTCAGCCGGGCGCCGGGCGCGGACCGCGCGCGCGCGCGGGAGCGGGCGCGCGAAACGACGAATGCAACGACGCGGCGACGCGCACCTTGAGGGCCGGGGCGATCTCCTTGTTGATGTTGTCCACGGCCTTGTACACGGACTTGCCCGAGAAGCACGACTTGTCGCCGTCGCGGAGCTCGACGGCCTCGTAGATGCCCGTCGAGGCGCCGGACGGGACGATGGCGCGGAACGTGCCCTTGTGCGTCGTCACCTCGGCCTCCACGGTGGGGTTCCCGCGCGAGTCGATGACCTGGCGGCCCTTGATCGCCACGATCTCGGGCGGCGACATCTTCAGGAGCGCCCGGGCCTGCGCGGGGAGCGGGAACGCGGGGGGTGAGGGAGCTCGCGAGGCGGTTGGAGGCCAGGGGGTGGGGGCGCCGCGTGGGGGGCGTGGCGGGCCGCGAACGGAGTACGCGCGGGAATTCAGTTCCTTCGCGGTGCGGGGGGGGCTCTGGCGAGGGGAATGGCTGCAGGGGGGCCGCGGGGGAGCCGGCGAACAGGAGGGGAGGGGGAGGGCGCCGTGTCCGTGCTGCTGGGGTGGCCTCGGCGCGTTGCGGAGCGCGCAAGCGTCAGGGTGGGAACGGACGCGCGCGGCCCGTGAGAATCGCGCGGTAACTTCGGTCTCCCGGGGCCGGTACGCGGCGGAGAAGGAAGCGACTCGGGGTCGCGAAACAGGCCGCTTTGCGTCGCATGGCAGGGTTTGGCGGCAGGGACTGCCGTTCTCGTGGATGGAGGAATTCCCGCAGCCGCCGTGCCGGCGTAAAGGGCCCGTGATACGCGCCAGGCGCGACGCAAACGCGGGGCGGCCATGCAGGTCGCTGGGGGTCGCTGCGGCTGCGCGGGGAGCAGCTGCGGCGCGCGGCGGCGCGGATCGGATATGGCTGGGTCTGGGCCATTCCGCGAGGCGGCGTTTCCGCGCCCAGTCGGGCCGCAGCGCGCGTAGGAGGCCCGCCGGCACCGCGAGGCAGGTACCTGGCTTCGGGCCGCCGCGCGGGCCCCACGAAGGGGCATTGGCCGCGGCGCGCGGCAATCCTAGGAGCCCGGAAAGTCACTGCGGCGCCTCGCGGTCGGTTCAACGTCGACCGCGCAAGGTAGACGTGGAGAGGTGGCATATGCCTTCGGCATGGGCAGCGACGCCAGGGGCCCCGCGGCGCCCGTGCGGCGAGCGCTCGCGCGCGCGACTCACCAGGTACGAGCAGGGCTCGTCGGCCTTGGCCTTGCAGACCTCATTGATGACCTGCTCGACCTTCTTGGTCAGGTTGTGGGTGTCGATGTACTCCTGCGTGCTCATGGTGTCGCTGCGATGTGTCGAAGCCGAAAAAGGATCAGACGAATCCTAAACAGGCGGGACACGCGCGCCCGCGACCCCCATAGCCCCGCCCGGGCGCAACCGCCGCCGGTCTGTCATGCGACCTCACACCCCTGCCGGCCACCGAACCCGCACCGGCGCACCCCCGCACGCCATGCACACGGCGCCCCCGACCCTCGATCGTCGCGACGTCCCCTGCATCCGAGCCCCCCCCTATCGACACGTGTTCCACACCGCCGCACCTGCGTTGGTGGTATCACGGACCGTACGCGCACGCGGGCCCCGGCGGCGACCCGGGCTCGCGCAGCCGGTCCGGGTGCCGGCGGCGCGCCTCCCCGCCGCGCTCAGGGTCCGCCGGCCGCCGTGGCGCTGCGCAGGGCGGCCCGGCGTCGGCGGTTGACGCTGACGCGTCGAAGCGCTGTGTGCGACGCCGCGGAGGGCGCCGCGTCGCGGAGCGCACTCCAGGAGTGCGGGGACTGGCGTGCGGTTCCAGCGCGTGGTTCGCGGGGGGGCAGTCCCGGCGAGCGGCGCGTTCTACCTCACACTCCCTCGGGGGGGCTGTTGCGCGGCGCAGTGGCGCTGAGGGCCGGCCGACGCGGCGCAGGTGTTGCAGTTGCGTGGAAGGATCGGTCCGTTGGTTGTGGCTTCGCGCGCCGCGGTTGTCGCGTCGCTGTTCGCTCGGATAGGCTCAGAAGGGGGCAGGAGGTCATCGCGAGGGGTGTTGCTGGGGAGCTGGCCGGTGGCAGCGGCAGCTGTGGGGCACGTGGCGCGTGGTCGGTGTCCGCCGCGCCCGCGATCGAGTGTCCGCGCGCGTCGAGCGGCATGAGGGGCGTCCTGGCGCCTGTGCCGCGCTGCAGCGCCGCCCTGCGCGGCGGCTGCGGGGGGCCTGCCGGCTGCGGCGCAGTGCGATGGCGAGCGGAGAAAGAGAGGACCGGTGCGGTCGCTGTCCGTGCGCGGAGAGAAGGGAGCGGCGCTGGGTTGGCGCCTATGAGGCCCAACAGCATCCAGGTGCGCGCAGCTCTGCGCTTGCGCCGTCGCGTGCGCCTCGGCCCCTCAGCGCATCCACATGTACAACAGAAACCACCACCATGCGGTGCTTTTGACCCGCGTTTTCTCTAGTCCGTGAGCTGGACCCAATAGAAGTACGGCCAAGCCCGCGCGCCGTGCGCCCAAGCCCGCGCGACAGCGCGCACCGCCGCGATCGCACCACCCATACATGGCGTTCGGAGGACGTTCAGGGCACCGGGTCGAATACTCCCGCCTCTTGCGCGCTGCATTGCTCACCTCTGGGCCTGCTCTGTGGACATGTTCGCGCGCAGGGAGGTGTGGCGTCGCAGCGACACGGAACCCGCCTCCGCGCGACAGACGAGGACAAGGACGCGGCGCCCGCGAAGTGAGCCCTGCTCAGCGCCCGCACCCCACCGTGATGTCCTTTCGTGTTGTTTCACGTCTCTATTTCATGTCCTCCACGCCACGCAGCGACCCGCGTGCGCCGCCGCCGCCCCCACACAGCTGTACCGGCTCGCTGTCCTTTCAGTCCGAGCGCTGCGACGCCTCCGCTGCACGTTCCGGTCACTAGCGGGCAACTCACACACCAGCCACGCTCCGGGGGTGTGCAGGCCTGACAAGGCCGAGCAAGAGGCCGCCATCGAGGAGCTGGCGTTCGAGGAGAGCCTCGAGGGAGACATCGCGGAGCTCGCACTGTGGGTGGGTGCCGCCGTCGCCTTCGGAGCCGGCGTCTGGTTCTTCCGAGGTACGCAAAACCCCCCCCCCAACACTTTCCCCCCCCCGGAACCGCTGACGACGCCCCACAGACGCAGATCAGTCGCTGCACGTGCTCCGTAGCGCCCGATCGCCGCGCCGCCGCGCACGCGGAAGCAGTGTCCAACATTGTGCACACACAGCCCACACACACCCCGCTCGCACCGTGAGCGACCGCTCGGTGCCCAACCAGCCCGCCCCGCGATGTCCGCTCCGCAGGGCCCACGGCCGGGGAGGAGTACTTCGCGGGGTACCTCTTGGAGCAGTCGCTGTCTGTGGACAACCTGTTCGTGTTCATTCTGGTGTTCGAGTACTTCAAAGTGCCCGTCGCGTCGCAGCGCAAGGTGCTGTCGTACGGCATCTACTCCGCCGCCGTGCTGCGCCTCACGATGGTGCTCGCGGGCGTGGCCGCCATCGAGACGTTCCGCCCCGTGTTGCTGCTGTTCGCCGGCGTGCTGATCTTCTCGAGCTACAAGCTGGTGCTCGGCGACGACGACGACGAAGAGGTGCGCACGCCCCGGGGCTGCCCCGTGCGTGCGCGAGACGGTGGCCGCTCGCCGCAGCTGTGCCGGGTGCGGTGCAACAAGCGTGCCACCGTTGCGCCGCATGTGGGCGCGCTCCTCGCCCACGTGCAGTCTGCGACTCTCGCAGTGCACCACGCCGCCTCTCGTTCGCCGAACCGTGCCTTGTGTTCCCTTCCGTCCCGACCGCCACCACCACCGCGACGGTCGTGCGCGCGTGTGGTGCGGAGACCGCGTCCGTCTCGTCGAGGCGACCCGCCCGCGGCGTGCGCACTTCCCCCGCAGGAGGACCTCTCCGACAACGCGATCGTGAAGGCGTGCCGCGCGGTGTACAAGTTCAGCGACGACTACGACGGCGACAAGTTCTTCACGACCCTCGCGGACGGGGCGCGCGTCGCGACGCCGCTTCTCCTGGTCCTCATCGTGATCGAGATCTCCGACGTCATCTTCGCCGTCGACTCCATCCCCGCCGTCTTCGGAGTCACTCTGGACCCGTTCGTGATATATACCAGTAACATATTTGCCATTCTCTCGCTCCGGGTGCTCTACTCCTTCGTCGCGGACGTCATGACCAAGGTGCGCCTCTCTCGTGCGATCGTCTGGCGCGCTCCGCGCGCCCGCCGCGAGACAGGACGATGCGTGTCATCCGCAGATAGGGATTCCCTTTCTTTTTTTGCGTTGTACTGCAGCTCTGGGCGCTCGACAAGGCGGTCGCGCTCGTGCTGGGCTTCATCGGGGCGAAGCTCGTCCTGGAGTACGTCGGCGTCCACGTTCCCACGGACCTGTCGCTCGGTGTCGTGGCCGCACTCCTGGGGGGTGGGGTGGGAGCGAGCTTCGTGCTGCCGGACCCGTCCGAGGCGAAGTCGGAATGAGGCGATGGCGAGCTGCTGTGAGCGCGTCCTGTGCATCGCGAAGGGCTGCGAGGTCGGTTCCTGAAGTGCTGCTGCGTCAATAGACCCCCGGAGCACTGTCCTTCGCGATTCGGCGGCTGCCGCACGCCAACAGGGCGCGGCGCCGCTAGGACATGCAGTCGTTTGCTGTTTGATCCGAAATCAAATCGGCAGGGGCAGGCTGTTGGTGCGGGGGAGAGGCCCTGTGCGCGTTTGGGCAGGGTGAGGCGGCGTGGGGGTGCAGCAGGGGCTCGTTGCCACGGACGCCGCGATGTGGATACCTGGAATTGCGGACATCTATGAGGGGACCGCGAGGGTGCGTGCCACGGCCTCGCTGCTGCGAATTCGCGCCATGACGCTGCCGGCAAGGCATGCGCGCACGCCCTTCTCGCGGCCCGGAACGCACCGAGACGATGCGCCATGGGTGCATGATCTTACGTGTGACGCTTTCGCTGTGTCGGGCAGGCGTTCGATTATGTTTGGCGGGGTAAGGAGGACCGGGAGCTCAAGGCACGGAAGCGGGAGGTGCGCAGGGCGTGCGGGAGCGCCTTTCCGGAAGCGTGGGCTGCGTTCGTCGACGAGTTCGTCTCCGTGGTGCGTTCGCTCGCCAACCTGTCGCGAACCCGCGTCGCTGGGCTCGCGAAACCCGCCTGAGAGCCACAGCGGTGCTCTCTGCGTCGCCGCACGCGCGCCGCCGCAACTTCGCCGCGCACCACGCTGTTCACAACGCCCTCGTCCACCAGCCTGCGTCGTCCGCGTGCCCGCAGTGCCACTCGAAAGGCCACGCGCCGCCCCGCAGCGACGGCAAACCTGCGCCAGCCATCTCGTCCTTCCGCCTGCCCGCCGCCGAGCGAGTGATCGCGATCGGCGACCTCCACGGCGACCTCCACAAGGCGCGCCAGGCGCTGTCGCTCGCGGGCGTCATCGACGCCGACGGCCGGTGGTGCGGCGGCAGGACTGTCGTCGTGCAAGTGGGCGACCAGTTCGACCGCGGCCACGACGAGGTGGCCATCATGCACCTCCTCGAGCGCCTCAAGCACGAGGCGAAGCAGGCCGGGGGCGCCGTGCACGTGCTCACGGGCAACCACGAGGCGATGAACGTCAGGGGCCAGTTCCGGTATGCTACCGAGGAGGGGCGTTTTGACTTCCTGAGGTGGCACGAGTGGCAGGTGCGCCGCGAGGAGCTGCGCGCGCGCGCGCGTGTCCTCGCTCGTCATTCGGGATTTCTCGATCCACAATTCTCTTGTTGGAGTATTTCTTCTCTGGTGCTTGATCGCGCGCTGCGTTCCGCCCCGCGCACCGCACCGCCGCGAGCCCCCTCGTCGCCGCTTGCGCGCCCTGACGGCGCGCCGCCTTCCGCTCCGCGCGCAGAGGCTCGGCGCGGCGATGAAGGCGCTGTGCGGGTGCGAGAAGGGGGCGTGCGACTGGGGCAAGGACCTGGCCGAGCTCCCGCAGGGCCGGAACGACCCCGAGCGCGCGCGCTACGCCGCGGTGGCCCCGGGCATGCCGTTCACGTCGCGGTTCCTGGCAGGCAACCCAGTGATCCTGCAAGTGGGGTCGACGGTGTTTGCGCACGGGGGGATCCACCCCGAGCACGTGGACTACGGCGCGGACCGCATCAACAGGGAGACGAACCAGTGGATGCTCGGGCTCGACAAGGTGCGGGCCGCGGCGCAGCCTAAAGCGCATCATCTGTCCTCTGCGCGTGTTGTTCTGTCCAGATCGCACACGCGCTCCGCGCAGCCCTGTTGCCGCTAACTGTTGTGTGCGCGCGGTCTACGGCGAACGGTTTCGGATGCGGAAGTGCCCGGAAACGACGCCGATACAGGCCCGCCGAGACGACGTGATCCAACATGCGCGTCAAGTCCGTGCGCCCGCGTGCAGAAGGGCGGAAAGTCCGCGCCGATGCCGGATTTCCTCGCGGGCCGCGACGCCGTCGTCTGGTCGCGGCGTTTCTCCCACCCCGAGGCCCACGCGTGCGACTGCGACTCGCTGCGGGAGGCACTGGGCAAGCTCCCTGGGGCCGAGCGCCTCGTGGTCGGCCACACGATCCAGCCGTACGGCATCACGGGCGCGTGCGAGAACCGCGTGCTGCGCGTGGACGTCGGGCTGTCGATGGGCTGCGGCAACCACGAAACAGAGGTTCTGGAAATCTTGAATGATAGGGAAGTGCGGAGGTTGCGGTACGGGGAGCCGGCGGAGGACCTGTCGAAGCCGTCGCGGCCGGACAAGATCGACGCGCCGGTGGAGGCGGCGGCGTCGGACGCGTGAGGCCCGCGCGGCACCGTCGCAGGCATGTAAGGGACAGGGTCGGCGCAGAATCGGGTATATCTTGGCGTTTTCGCCCGGATTTGCGCCCCACGTCTCCGGGGTGATTCGTGTCGGGCCGACACGGCCGGATTCTGCGGGTTCCAGGTCGATTCTGCGCGTGGGCGCACACACATCTGTGGCTGGGGTTGACGGCACTGTGTGCGCTGCACCTGCGTCGCGCTGCGCTTTCCGGCGGCTAAAGTCCACCGCCGACGCGATCTTGCATATGATGTGGAGCATCCTGCGGCGGCGCGCACCGCTCGCCGTTCGCCGATCGCGCCGCACGATGCGCTGCTGCAAGAACGTGCAACTCCCGCGCCATACGTCACCGCCTGCTGACTCGGTGCAGATTCGCGTCGGGCCGCATGCTCCCGTAACAGCCATCCCAGCCGATTCTGCGAAATTGCGTGCTGATTCTGCGGCCAGAATTGATTGATATTGATATTGATATTGAGAAGGGAGAGTTCGCGCATACAACACATGCCCCCGCGTGCAGCTGCGGCCGTCGGCCTGGCGCCCGCGCGCAGCCGTGCCCCACAACCCATGCAACGGTCGCCATGAGGGTCATCGCAGCTGTCTTGCCCGGAAATGCCACCCTCGCTTGCGCGCGTTGCCCGACAGACACGGGCATGCTGACGCCGTCGCAGCGGTCACGACGGCTTCGCGATCCTGGCATGGACAGAACAACGTCACAACCGTGCCGGTGTCAGTCGCTCGAGCGCCGTCCCGCTCTCGCTGGTGTGCACTCATCATTCTTCGAATCTCAAGTGCGCGGAACTCCTCCTTTATGTCTCTACCGATCACGAGCGCCCGCGCGTCGTCACGCGTCGTCGTCGTCGTTCAGGAGGAGGATGTTCAGCCGCATCGTCGCCTCGCGCAGCGCCGCGCCGAGCGGCCCTCCCAGCGCCTCGCGCGCCTCGGCCGCCGCGGCGCCGCACTCCCGCGCCGCCAGCCCGTCCTTGCCCGACGTCAGCACCCCCAGCGCCTCCCGCATCCGCGGCCCCACGACGTCCGGGAACCTACCCGACCGCACCGCCTCCGCCACACCCCTGGGGGACTCTCCCACGCCCAGCAGCCGCCCGACCACGGCGCCGACGCCCCAGTTGTCACCCACAAACACCCAAGGCTCCCCTGCCGCGACGCTCGGCGCGACGTACGCGCCGTCGCCGCGTGGCACGCCCGCCAGCTTCGTCCCACGCGGCATGGCCGCGACATCAACGAGCTTATCCGCACCCGCGAGCAGCAGGCCCGGCGCCGCGCCGGGCACTGCGGGGCCGACCAGGACGATGCACGCGGGCGAGATGGCGCCGTGGACGTAGCCCTGCGAGTGCAGCGTTCCCACGGCCTCCAGGAGGCTGGCGGCCAGCGCTAGGCCGACCGGGGGCTCCGGAGTCCCCGCTCGCGCCAGGATGGACTGGAGCGTCACGCCCTCGCCCAGGGGCCCGAGGAGGAGCGCGTTGCGGGCGCCGATGACTGCGTGCGTGGGCGTCCAGATGCCGCGGGAGGTGGCGTGGACCCCGCGCGACGCGAGGCGGCCCGCGACGTGCGCGGCGAGTGCGGCTGCCTCCGGGGAAGTGACGATCGCCATGAGGGCGTCGTCGCCCGGGCCGCCGCCGTGGAACGTGCGCTCGTCGTCTCCCGCGGCGAGCACGCGCGCCGACGTGAAGCCCCCCTTGGTCGCGGGCGCCTCGAGCATGATCGACAGCGTCGGGGTGTCCAGGGACCCGCAGCCTGCAAGGACGACACCGGAAACCACGTCGATTCGAAGCAATGCCCGTGCCGATCTCGGTGCGCTGCTGAACGCCTACGGCACAACAATGACGCAAACGTGGGAGCCCTGCGCGCGACGCAGCCCCTAAGGCCGCCGTCCTGCACAACCCTGACTGCGCGTCCTTCCGCACCTGACTCAGCGAGCTCCTCGAGCGCGTCGTCGAGCGCCTGACTCAGCTCGGTGTCCCTGACATCGACCGTCCCCGTCAGACGCACGACGTCCTCCATCACCGCCCGCCCGCTGGCGCGCACGCGCGCAGGAGCGAACGCGTCGACCACCGCGTCCGACCTCGCGACGACGAACTCGTCCCCCGCGGCCCCCGCCCGCGCACACGCCAGCTCCGCCATCCGCGCCGACAGCGACACCTCCCCCCCCTCGTCGTCCGACACGACGTCCTGCACCTCGGCATCCAGCGCAGCCACGCGCTCCGCCGTCGCGGGCTCCAGGACGCCGCGTCCCGCGCCGGCCGACCGCACCTGCGACGGCCCCGCTGGGCCCGCGTTCTCCGCGCCGTCCCGCGGGTCGTCGCGCTCCGGATCGTACGCCGCGGCGACGGGAGCGTTCTCCTTGGCGTCCGCGAGGGCCGCGCGGGGCTGCAGCGACGGCCCGGCCGCGGCCTCGGTCGTGGGGAGCTGGCCGGTATTCTTTTTAATACAAACGGTGTCCTCGTAGATCAGGAACTCCTCGTCCTCGTCGGCGGCTGCCCGCGCGGGCCCCGGCGCGCCCGCGGGCAGCGCGAGCGTCTGCGTGGGCGCGGCTGCGGCCCCCGACGGCCGGGGAGCGCGGTTGTCGTCGCCGCGGAGAAAGATCGTGTCCTCGTAGATTGCCATGCCGGGGTCGGCGTCGGGGGACGCGACGGCGGGGGAGGGCGGGGCGGCGGGCGGGCGCGAGGGCGCGGCGGCCGCCGTGCGCAGGGCCTCGTGCGGGAGCGCGTCGCTGAACATCGCGTTGATCTCGTCGAACGCCAGCTGCAGACAAATAGGATGTCGTGACTGGAATTCGCGTCCGGAACCTCGACTGGCAGGTCCGGACGGGTGGCTTCGTGCGGTCGGAGACGGTGACGGCCATCGCGCCGAAGCTCGCGCGGGCGGACGCGACCAGCGAGTCGCGCAGGAAAGCAGACGAGGCATCGGATGTGTGGGCGCACACCTTGGTGTTGATGGTCACGCCGTCGCCCTGCGCCGCGGCGGCCGCCAGCGCGGCGCCCGCCGCACGCGCTGCTTCCGGCGTCGGCTGGCAGTTCTGCCGCTTCGCGGCGCCCCCCGTCTTCTCCGGGGACTCGCATACGTCAAGGCCCGACACCGCATGACTGACAGCCCGCCCCACGTGCCCCAGGCCAAGATCCAGCGCGCGGCGCTCCTCGAAGCAGCACTCCTCCTCGCCCTCGGGCATGCGCAGCAGCTCCTTCGCGAAGCCCTCGCCGGGAGCGCAGGGGGCGTGCTGCGGCGCAGACGCGCCCGCGGCGCCGTGCGCGACCGGGCCGGCGTCAATGTCGGGGTCCTCGAGGACGTCGAGCGCCGGGGCCGGCTGTACCGACGCCGACTTGATCTGCTTGATGCGGGCTCCCTGCCAGGACGTCGCCTGCGCACCAACAGACGGAACGGTGCGCAGCGATGGGCTCGAACTTCCACGCTCCCCCACATCTCATACATATGTGTCGCACGTGCAGCATGAACGTGTACCAGTGCGGGATGCGCTCGATTCGTCGTGCGGGGCTCTGCATGTCTGCCGCGAGACCCAGCGTCGCCGGACCTGCATGACATTCTCCTTCGGGTTGTCGAGCCCCAGCAGCGACGGCGCCGGCCGAGCCGCGGCCCCCGCCTCCGCGCCAGCAGCGCCCGCCGCAGCGCCCTCGGCCGCAGCGCCCTCCTCGCCCCCAAACTGCTCGTCAACAAACACGTCCAGCCCGGAATTCGGCGCCGCCGCGCCCGCGGCACCGCGCACGGGCGCCAGGGCCGCGCGGGCGGGCGACCCGCCCGGCCGCCGCGACCCCACGCGCCCTGACGTGCGCGCCGCGAGCGGAACGAACGCTTGGCGCTCCGGGGCGGGCTGCTCGCGGTGCACGCCCTGCTCGGCCTCGCGCTGGATCCGCAGAGCCATGCGCGCCTGGAACGCGTCGTACTTGAGCTTCAGGCGCGCGATGGGCTCGGCGTTGCGGCCGATGCCGTCGCGGTACACCGCGTCGGCACTCGCGTGGCTGCCCTTGCGCTCGAGCCACGTCGCGTAGGCCTCGTAGAAGAGCGCGAAGTCCTGCGGGCGGGCGGGCGCGACGAGGCTCGGCGTCCGCGGACGAGCGGTGCGCGATGAGAGTCAGGCGGCGTGGCGGCGGGGCGGCGGACCTGGCCGATGTCGTGCTGCCTGAGCGTCGTGAAGACGTCGTTGGGGTCGCGGCACATGTCCGCGTACATGATCCACATGCGCAGGTACCGGCGGTCCGCCTTGTACCGCTCGAACTGTCGCAGGTGTTCAGTGGCCCTCTGGTACACAGGCTTCAGGAACTTATCGGCCCCGGACTGCACGTGCTGCCGCACCCAGTCGATCAGGGCCTCCCAGGGCTTGATCGGATCGTCGCCGGCGTAGTCGTGCACGGCTTGCTCGAGCTCCCTGCGCGGCACGGAGCAACATACGCCACGTTGGGGCTTTCAACGTGGAGCCCGGCCGCGCACTGCGTCTACAGTCGCACTTCGTGCACTCAACCTACAGCTCTCTGCATGAATTTGCGCAGCCGGTGGCCCTGACGTCGAATTCGTCCTCAACGAGGGCGGAAACGCGGCGCTGCTAGCTTTCAGAGAGCCACCGGCGCTCGCGGGCTGGCAGGGCTCCAAACGCCCACAGTCGCGATCCATCTGAATCCTTGAACCAACGAAACGGACCGACTTGTGCATTTTTGTCTCCCTGAGGGCTTGCAGCGCCCGCACCCGCCCCCTGAACCCAGGCTGCAGGGCTGTCGCTGACGGGCGAGCGCGCGTGCAGCGCGACGGCCCACGAAAGGGGATTCCCGCGCCATGGTGCGCTGGAATGCGATATTACCTCATCCTGTTTTCAATTTCGGCCGCATCCTGCTTCTGGTTCGCGACGAAAACCTTCTCAAGTGCAGCCGGGTTCCTGCCCCGCTTGAGCGGCTGGATGTTCTCCTTGCTGAGGTCCCACTGCATCTTCCTTCGCAGCAGACAGTGGCGCTCCGCGGCGCGAACGGCACCTACGGCCCTCGACCGGCGAGCAGGGCCAGATAACCGACGTGCAAGAGGCTCTCCTGCGCCCCTACCGCCTCAAACTACGTGAAGCGGGCTGCACCGTGACACCGCCGGGCGGACTTCGAGTGACACGACGCGCTGCTGCCCCGGGAACAAGAGCAGCGGCGCCCCGCCGGGCAAACGGGGCCTGCCGCTCAGATCCTCCTCCGTGCCCGACTGGTCGCCTCCGCCCGCCTCGAGACTCCCCCACACCCCCGCTCGTGCAGCCCCGCAGCGTCCCCTCGACCACACGGAGCGAGATCGCGACACCCTCAGAGCCCAGCGGCCCAATTGATGCCGCAGCACGTGTGCGCGCTACGACACGCTGAGCCACGCTGCGCTCACAGCCCCGACGACGCGAGCTCGCGCGCGCCGGCGCCGTTTCCCGCGGCCCATTCTAGCAGTTCGCGGTACCGTCCCACCGGACCCCCCCCCGTCGGACCCCCCCCCTGCCACGCTCCCTTGCCCCCGTCGTCAGCCAACGCGTCCACCGCCGGCCGCATCCCTCGCACCGCCTCCTCGTGCCGCTTGTGCGCCTCCCGCACACGCTCCGACGCTGCAACGCACGTCCGCACCCACTCGAGCCTCCTCACCGCACGAACCGCAACCAAAAGCGTTGCAGGCGAAGCCAGCCGGCAACAACAGCAGCGGCGGAGCGCGCAAGCCGGGTCCGCACCGTACACCGCGACCGCAGCGGTCGCGGACGCCGTGCGCTCGTCGACCGCGGAGGCGGCCGCCGCCGCAGACGACGCCGGCAGGCTGGCGCGGTCCAGCGCTTTCCGCGACGTCGACATCGCTCGCAGGAGCTCCTGGGGCGACCCGCGGCTGAACAGCGTCGCGGCAGCGACTCCGAAGGACCCCGGAGGGTAGTGCGGCGACAGCTGCATCATAACAATACGCACCGTGATCACCTGCGCCGCGTGTGTTGCGTCACGCGACGGCACTCGGTCATCGCGCACGCAGCGCCGCCCGTGCGGGTGCGCGGGGCCAGTCAGTCAGGGGGGGGGGGTGTACCTGGGAGCCGTGCGACAGGGAGATGACGTGGAAGTCCTCGGCGTCGTCGTCGCAGTGCGGGTCGCGCATGAGCTGCAGCCGGGAGCACACGACGCGCCACTCCGAGCCCTGCGACGTGGTGGTTCGCGGCGGGAGACGCTTGTGGTTGCTGATGCAGGGGCGTGGGGGCGGTCGTTGGGTGGTGGGGGGGGGTATTGCGTGCGTACTTTGGTGGAGGACGCTGAGTGCTGCCTGACTTGCGCGAAGATGGAGACCATGGCGCTGCCGCGGTTCTGGAATCCGAGCGCGGCGATGGGACCTGTCGCCGTGGGCGTGAGCTCGATGTAGGGGTGGCTGTCGCCGCTGGGCGAGGTCTGCTGGATCGTTGAATGCACCGCAGGGACGGTGAACCCCTTGTTCAGGAGCTGGAAGTCGCCCTCGGCCATTTGCGGCGCGGTGCGCGGCGCTGTGCGCTGGCGCTTGGCAACGGCCAGGGCGGGGCGACCCCCGCGACGTACACCTGCTAAGATCCGCGCGAAATTTGCCGTCAATGGAATGATTAGATACTACAGGACGTCTTGCGGTACCTAAATGGCCCCTGTGTTGCGCAACGAGACGACCGTCGGGGAATGCATGTCCACAAGCACTCTCTTGCTGTCCCGAGGCAGGCGCGTAAGGGCCGCCTGTTTTCACGTCTGCACAGCACGCGCGCAGCATATGCGCAGCGGCGCGCGCGCGGCGTGCCCACGGGCCGACAGCGGCCCGGCAACGCATTCCTGACATCAGCAAAACAACCTCCCCCTCCACGCGACCGGCATCCCCCCGCGCACCGGACAGACGCGCACGACAGCAGCTCATGCCCCCGCGCAAGGAACGAAATGCGCGTGTGCTGTCCTGACCGAGGCGGCGTATGGCCGCGAGTGCTCGCAGAGTAGTAATTCATCGCGTACTGAACAGCGCGCTCGCAGCACGCACCGCTGCCTCACAGCTGGCTCCCGACGCGCGCTCACTCCCGCGCGGCCCACCCCCCTCGACAACGTCAGCATGGGTTGCTTCCCGACATGCCGTGGGGGCCCTGGCTCCCACTTCAACACCCCCCTACTTCATGGCCTCGGCGTACTGCGCGGCCACGAAGTCCCAGTTCACGAGGTTCTCCAGGAAGATGTCCATGTACGCCGGGCGCTTGTTCTGCTGGTCGAGGTAGTACGCGTGCTCCCAGACGTCCATCGTCAGGATGGGCGTGTGCCCGTCGCACATGGGGTTCTCCGCGTTCGGCGTCTTCTTGATCGCGAGCTTCTTCGAGTCCTTCTCGACCACGAGCCACGCCCAGCCCGACCCGAACTGCGTCGCCCCCGCGTTCTTGAACTCCGACTTGAACTGACTCAGGCTCCCGAAGGCCTTGTCGATGGCCGCGGCGAGCTCGCCCGAGGGCGCGCCGCCGCCCCCGGGGCGCATGCACTTCCAGAAGAAGTCGTGGTTCCAGACCTGCGCGGGCGGCGGCGGGACGGGCGGGCGGTGGCCGGCGCGCGTGTGGTCGCGCCGCGCGGGGCGTCGCGGCCGGCTGGCGGGCCGAGGCGCGGGGGGTGATGGGCCTGGGAGGCGCGGGAGGCGCGGATGTCCGGGGAAAGCCAGAGCGACGGTGTCGCGGTCGTCTGCTGGGGAGAGCAGGTGCCGCGCTCGTGGCCGTGAGGACGGCTCAAAGCGCGAGTTCGACCGTCGCGCATGCCGCTCGACGCAATGGTGCACGTCATTCTCATGCAACAGTGTGCAATGCCTGAGCGCAGGGGCAGCGGGGGACCCAAGAAGCAGCAGGTGATCCATGGCCCCGACGGCCGCGGAAGGGCGCGGATCTGTGCAGGTCCGCAGCGCACGGGGATCCGTAACGACTACTGAGCCGTTCACGCGCAGAAAAACATGCGGAGATGCGCCGTGCACGGCGTGAGCGGCGCTGGCGGCAGCATGAGGCCAACAAACGCCTGTTGGGGCGGTCGCGGCGCACCTGAGCGGCGTTGTTGAAGACCGGCGTCTGCTTGCCGCCGTTCCAGGAGGCCATGATGATCTCCACGAGCGACTTCCCCATGAGCTCAGCGTTGTCCTTGAGCTGGTTGTTCATGTTCGTGACGTACGTCTGGTGGTGCTTGCCCCTACAGCGCAACGAACGCCCCGGGAGCTACCTTGAGTCCCACGCCATCGTGGGCGGTCGAAATGCACGCGGTGGGAGCGCCGGACGCGCGCGGAGCGCCCGCCTGGAGGTGGGAGGTTGTTGCGTGCGGGGGCGCCGCACCAGTGGTACTCGAGGGTGAGCTTGGACATGTGGGGCTCGAGGGCGTCCAGGGGGTACGGGGGCTTCTCCAGCTCGAACGCCATGGTGACGATTTCGCAGCGAACGCGGAGGTGGGGGGCGGGGGCTGGCAGCGGCTCGCGCGGTGCAGTGCGGACGGCCGAGGTCGGTTGCGACGGCTGGAGACGACGACACAGACGGGGAGCAGCGGAGTGGCACGACACGCCCTGTTCGGCGCCGCAACGAGGCAGGGGCGCGTGCAGCTTTGGACCACCACCGCTGTCAAGTGGGAGGCTTCCAGAAGCCACGTCAGACAGACCGGCTGCCGGGGACAGTTGCGCGAGGCCGGGGCCGCGAGGTCAGAGTCTGCCGTCCCGCGGATTTCACGCCCATCATCGCGTGTTTTGGCAGCTACGGGACCGTGTGTCTAGCACAGTGGCAAGAGCGGGCTGCTGGGGCGTGTCGAGGCGAAATACAGACTTCCGGGGCTCTTACATCGGGGATACAGCGCCGATCCTCTCATCGAGTGCTCGTGCGCACTGCCTCGCGCACTCCGCGCGCGTCTGGAACCGCTTCTGTGCCGCAGCACTTCCGTGGGACGTACAGGCGCGCATACGGGTCCCTCGCAGCGGGCGGGCGGCGCAGGACGCCACTGATAGATACGCGGTGGCGCAACGGGGGACGATGGGCTCGGTTCGACCAGGGAACTACGCCTGTCAGGCCACACCCTGGTGGCACTGCACCCTCCTGTGCGTCCTCCTCGCCGTCGCCTACGGACCGCTGGTGCGCCCCCCCCCGCGCCCCCTACCCCCGCACATGCTCCGCGCACCGCTGAGCGGTTCTCAGCCATCGTAGGCAGCGCTGGCAGACCCGAATCACTGTCGCAAGGTTGCGAGTCCCTGTGCCTCGCTGCGATGCTGCCGGCCGAGAGCTCCCCGGCCACTTGTTGAGGGAACACTACTCCGCCTCCGCATCCCCGGCCCCGCACAAGCCAACACGCCCCGCCAGGGGCCCGTGGCAGCGACCTTCTCTTCACTGCCCCGTGAGCTGCCCACCTGCCGTGGAAACGGGAACACCCGCGCCCGCGACGCCTGCCTGAAGCAACGACTGTCTTCTCCACCGGTTCGTCTCCGCAGCCCGTCCTGGCCGCCGGGGAGTGGCTCGCGAAGGGCAACGAGGCGCTGGGCGGGGGCCGGCTGCGCGAAGCGATCGAGTTCTTCACGATGGAGATCAAGCAGCACCCCGACAACGCCCTGCCGTACGTCAAGCGCGCCGCGGCCCACGAAAAGCTCCGGAAGAAGCAGGACGCCATTCGAGGTACAACCCCGCCACACCATTCATCCAACCCCCCCCGCCGCGCCCGCACTCCCCCAGCACGCGCCCCACGGTGTCCCGGTCGCGCGCAGACCTGGAGACGGCGGCGCAGCTGGACCCGTCGTCGACGTCGACGCTGATCAAGAAGGCGCGCTTGTATAGGGACGCGTGCCGGTTCGATGACGCGACGGTGGACCTGAACAGCGTGCTGCAGAAGCGCCCCGAGCACAAGGCGGCGACGAAGGAGCTCGAGCAGGTCAGGGAGGCGCAGACGCTGCTGGGGGAGGTGAAGGAGATGGTCCACGTCAAGGTATGACGCTGGAACGCCGGCTGCGTGCCACCGGCTGCTGAAGTGCGCGGCGGGTGCGGCTGGCGGGTGCTGCACGCGTGACCGGCGCCCGGGCGCAGCGAGGGTGCTGTTGAGCCGACGGAACATATGGTTTCGTGACTGCGGATGAGTGCGTTTGTTCGGGCGGTGCAGGGGGCGCGGGAGGACATAGTGTCGCAGATGATAGACCGGGTGCTGGCGGTGGCGCCCGAGTGCACCGAGGCGCGGCTGCTCGGGCTGCGGGGCCTCGTGGCGCGTGGGGACCACGAGCGTGTGCTGGCGGAGACCACGCAGCTGCTGATGGCGGGCGGCGGGGGCGCGGCGGGGGCGGGGTCGCTGGGCGCGGCGGACCTGGACCTGCTCGTGATGCGCGGGCAGGCGTTCTGGCACACGGGCGAGACGGAGTCGGCGATCCAGCACTTCCAAAAGGTGCGCAACCTTGGTTTCGTTTTTTTGAGATACGAAATCAGGTCTCATCTTGCGCGCTTGACCCCTGTGGCACTCGCGCCCACCCGCGTGCGCAAACCAACCACCCAAACGCCCCGCCCCAAACACCCCCCCTCTCCCCCAGGTGCTGCGCGCCGACCCAGAGCACCGCTCCGCGAAGGACGCCTACCGCACCGCCCGCGCGTTCACCAAGCAGCGCACCGCCGCGGAGGCCGCGGAGCGCGACGCCCGCTGGGACGACGCCATCAAGGCCTGGTCGCGGCTCGAGGAGAGCACGCGCGACGGCAGCTACCCGGAGGGGCGCAAGGTGGTCCTCACGGGCCTGTGCCGCGCACTCACGCACGCGCGGCAGCCGGGCGCCGGCGCGCGGCGCTGCCAGGAGGCCCGGGAGCTCGACGCGGGGTACACGCCCGCGATCGTGGCGCACGTGCGGGCGCTGATCGCGTCCGAGGAGTACGACGCGGCGGTGCGGGAGGCCAACGCAGCGGCGCAGGCCGAGGGCGCGGACGCGGAGATGCAGGAGCTGCTGCGGGAGGCGCAGGCGGCGCTGCGGCGGAGCAAGGTGAAGGACTACTTCGGGATCCTGGGCCTCTCGCGCGCGGCGCAGCCGTCGGACAGGGAGATCAAGCGGGCGTACCGCGCCCTGTCGCTCAAGTTCCACCCCGACAAGCAGGTCGGGAAGAGCGAGGCGGAGTCGGAGGAGGCGGAGCGGCGGTTCCGGGAGCTCACGGAGGCGTACGAGGTGCTGACGGACCCTGAGAAGCGCGCCAAGTACGACCAGGGGATTGACCCGAATGACCAGAGCCAGGGCGGGGGCGGCGGGCAGCACCGCCACCCCTTCCAGCACGGGAGCCCGTTCGGGTTCGGCGGCGGGCCCTTCACGTTCCACTTCCGCGCCGGATGACGGCCCGGCTGCGCACGTGGGCGTGTGAGACTGCTCCACCCGCGTGTCCGCTCCGCCACATCTCAGACGCGGTTTCGTGCCGCAGCCAGTGCGGTGTCGGCCTCCGGGCTCGATACGCGTGCCAGCCAGCTCGCACACATGACTCGCCACCTAGTCGAATGATCTTTCCAGGTCTTCAAGCCTTATGGCCGACGTCGCGAAGAATGCGACACCTCACCCCTGCGGTGCACGTGGAACGCGGACTGTGAACTCAACATGGGCAGAAGCAGACATGTCGCGTCATCCCATGATTGGATCGAGCCAGTCGTGGCGCGGCGGTCTTCGCGCTGGAGCGGTGCGCGCGAGTGCTGCGCGGGGTGGGAACGCCCACGCGGTCCTGGCGTGGCCCCAGTAGGAAGTTGAGGCCCCCAGCGTCGGTCGGGTCACCAGGGTGGTTGAGCCGCGCGGGGCACATCGGCAGGGAGCGCGCGGAAAGCCGCGCCAGAATGCACTTGGGCGCACGCCTGCAGTGCGTGTGATCTGGGGAGACGCCGCTCGAGCTTCGCGCACGCCAGGTGCGGCCGGCATGGGCGATGATTCTGCTGGCTCTTCCTCTGTCCCGCTCCTGGCCTGCTGTTTCCGTAAGGGCGAAGTCGTGCTGCGGACGTGTTCTCTTGATCGGCATGATCACGTAGAAAGCATGAACACTGCGCTCGTCCCGCGAAACTACGTCGCTAACCGCCCTTCGACCCTGTCGTGTTTTTACGTCGCAGCGTCCTCGAAGGCGTAGTGAAACGGCCTCAAGTCCGGTCTCTGACGCGCGATGGAGAAGGGAGGAGCGGGTCCTTCCGGCGCCGGCCCGTCCGGCGCCACCAAGGCGATGGGGTACGGACAGGAAGCTCACGGCGTGGGTGTGGTAGCGCCGGGTGGGCCGAACAACCCCGTGATGGGGGAGTGGAGCTCGAACATCTGCGACTGCTTCCAGGACGCACCCTCGTGCTGCTACGTGTTCGCATGCTCCCCGTGCGTCTACGCAGGCACGCATCCCCCGCACCCACACCGGCCACGCGCTCCGCCTCGTCGCTGGCATCCCCGCCATCTCTCGCTCAGATCGAGAGGAACACGACTGAGGGTCGTCAGACACAGCCGCGCGCTGCCTTTACCGCCCTTGCGCGGCCCACTGACCGCTGTCTTGTCCCTGCTGCATGATGATGCAGATCTCATGCAGCGCCAGAGCGTCCTGGACCAGTGCGGCGTGACGGGCCACGCGTGCATGTACTACTGCCTGTGCACCTACGTTCCGTCGACTCTCTACATCCCCACGTGCTTCTGCGTCCCGTGCATTACGCAAAACACGCGCCGCATGCTCAGGAACAAGTACCAGCTGCCGGAGGAACCCTGCAACGACTGCTGCACGCATTTCTGGTGCGCGCCTGCGCTCCCCGCTCGCGCGCGCCCCGCAGGGGGTGTTGTTCCACTCCCCCCATGCCTGCGTGTTGCGCGACATCGCGTCGCGTGACGGACGCCGCCCTTGCGTACCCGCAACCGCCACGCACCCGACCGGCGGCCTTCGACACGATGGACGACGACGGGCGCGGCCTTGAGTGAGCGCGCCCGCTGTGCGTTCGTGCGCGCAGGTGCCACAGCTGTGCGCTGTGCCAGGAGTTCCGCGAGCTCAAGTACCGCGGCGTCTCGAAGCACGTGACGGACACGGCCCCGGGAGGCGAGCCCTACGTCGCCCAGATCGCCACCGGGTACCCCGCCGATCATCAGCAGGGGCAACCCGTGACAAAGCCGCCGCAGCAGCACGCCGTGCACGGCGGCAAGGCGTAACCGTAGCCGGCGAGCAGCGCGCAGTGACTGTGATATCGCAATCAAGCCCTGCGCAATCAAGCTGCGGGCGGTGACGAGCCATGATGCTATTGCGAGGGTTTGAGCTCCCAGGCGGGCGCGCTGGCGTTGCTTTGTACTGCGTGGGGGGCGCCGCGGGGCTGCAGCTGTCCTTTCAAGACTGCGCTTGCAGGACCCGCGTGGCGCGCATGCGTGCTGCAGTGACGCGCGTGTGGAATTTTGGGGGGGGGGGAGATTGTCCGCGGCCACTTGCAAGACCCGCAGATGAGCGGTCGCTGCGGGCCCGTTGGGGTGGTACGCTGTTCGGCAGGGGACCGCGCCAGTGCGCGGGCATGTCGCCAGCCTGCGTGAAGAGAGGTGGAAGTGTGGCGTGCAAAAGTGCTGGATCGTTCCGGGCATTCTGGGGGCGTGTTCGCGGTGTTGGGAGCGCTGAGGGGTGCAGGAGCCTGCTCGCGCTGTCCAGTTCAGAAAGATCGATGCCCGCCCTATCCGGGGGGCGCAAAGTGCTGTGGTTCATGCAGGAGGGGGGGGATCGTAAGGTGGAGACCTGATGGCCATGAGGAGGAACGCTGCGACTTAAACCGTGCATTCAGGCTCTATCATCTCGTTCCGAGGTGGAAAGCACGGCCTTCGTCCAGGACAACGCAGCGAAGCGACCCTGTTGGAGACCGTGGTGGGGCTCTGGTCCCCCGGCCTGTCACGTCCTTGCATGCCCCCGATCCCCGCGCCAACACGCTACGCATACTAGTCTCGCGTGTGTTCCGGTAACAGTTGGACGGAATCCACGCTTTGATGGCCATGAGGCCCATATTCCCTCATAAGCTCCCACTTGGTGCTGCAGGCTCCGATACGCGAACAAACTCCTGATCAGTGCTCTCTGCTGCATCATGTGGCAACAAGGGCCGGGCCAGTCGAGCGCTGCGCCGAGCAGTGCCGCCCCGGCCTTGCCGCCGGGCTGGATGCTAGTCGCGGACCCAGCGTGTCCCGACAACCCAGAAATCGGGAAATGGAGCTCCGGCTTCTTCGAATGCTACAAGGACTGCCCCACGTGCTGGTACGTGATGGTCTGCGCCCCGTGCGCCTTCGCAGGCAAGCGCCCGACGCCCACTTTGCCGAACCAGGCATCCCATCGTTGCGCCCGGTCCCTCGGTCTTCTGCGCCCGAAGACCCGGCGTGCGCGCGGCTGGCGACCCTCCGCGGCTTTCCTGCGAAGCAGGTACATGTGCGGGCACACAAGTCACGATATGGAAACCCCCAGAGTCGTTGCATTGCATGACATGTACTGCAGATCTGGCGCGGCGCCAAAACCCGGTCAGCAACTCCCGTGCGTGCGGAGCAGCGGCCGCATGCTGTTGCCTTTGCACCATAGCGCCAGTGGTGACGCTCTGCGCTTGTCCGACGTGTCTCTACGTGCCGTGCGTCACCGCGCGCGGGAGCCTCGGGCTCCGCGTCAAGTACAGCCTGCCAGCGGAGCCCTGCAACGATCTCTGCGCGCACTTCTGGTGCGCGCCGCAGCCATCTCCCGCGACGCACCGACGCCCTCCGCACCTGCCGAGAGCACGTCGCTGCCTTGACCTGCACGCCCAACCCTCGACGCAGCTCTCCCGTGCAGGTGCCCCTGCTGCGCGTACAGCCAGGAGCTCCGCGAGCTCAAGTACCGCGGCGTGAGCAAATACATCCCCTACTACAGGGATGGCAACACCGGCGCGATCGTGCACTGCGTCCGCGCCCAGGGACGTCCCGGCGGGGCCGTGCCGGCCCGCGGCCCCGAGCCGCCGCGCGGGCAGCCGGTCACCAGGGCCCCGCAGCAGCACGACGCGCGCCAAATAGATCACACGGCCTTCTTTTCAGTCGCCGATAGTTGATCAATCGAGAACCTCTGACCGCTCCTGATCGTGGCTGGCATCGCCGCCGGCAGCGCCGCCAGCCGCCTCGCATCATGGCGCCGCGTGATAGGCCTGGCGCAGGTACGACTGATCCAGCATCGACCCCGGCGACCGCACGGGGGACCGCAGCACCGCGTTGGCCGCCGCCGTGGCCTCCCACGGCAGCATCGCCCCGCGCCCGGGCGACGCGGGCACGTACGCGGCCCCGGCGATCGTGGACGGGTCGTAGCGGTACGGATTCGGCGCGCCGTCGGGCCCCGGCCATCTCCGCGGCGCAGGGGAGCCACCCGACCTCGCAGGCGAGCCCGTCGCGCGACGCAGGAGCTCGTCCGTCGCGGCGGTGACCGACGCGCCGACGGACTGGATCTCCGGCACGAGGCGGAGCGGCGAGCCCGGCGTCGCGCTCGGGAGGTACGCCGGCGGTGGCGGGGGGGGGTGTGTGATGGTGGAGGTGTCTTGGGGCGCGCCGGTGGCGTACTGGGCCGTGGCGTCGAGGGGGCGTGCGGCGGGCTGCGGCGCCGGCGGGGGCGCGGGCCGCGGCGCTTCGGCCCACGCCGGCGGGGGGGGGAGTTTCAGCTGCCGGCTGACGGCGGCGTCGTGGATGCCCTGCACGGTGGCCTGCATTTCCCCGAGCGACGCGTTGAGGTCCTGCCGCACGCGCCGCATCTCCAGCGTCGCCTGGTAGTCCCGCACGGGCGACCGCCAGCCCCCGGTCTCGACACCCCACTCTGACACCCCCTCTGCCGCCACCTCTGCCGCCACCTCCAGCGGCCGCGGCGCGGCGGGGGGCGGCGCGCTCGCCCGCTGCGCCGCCTCCTCCTTCTTCGGCGTGTTCGCCGCCGAATTCGCCGCCGACGCCGTCGCCTCGATCGTCGCCACGCGCACCTGCAGCGTCCGGATCGCCCCCAGCAGCTCCTCCAACACCCCGGGGGAGTATACGCCGCCCGCCTCGCCCGTCGCGGCGTCCGCGGCCGCGACCGCATCCTCGGCGGCCTTCGCCGCGTCCGCGTACGGGTTCTCCGCCGCAACCCCGCGCTCCAGCGCCAGTTGCCGCTCCAGCCCCGCCACCTTGATTTGCAGATCGAACGCCTGCCTCTCCAGCTCGCGCCTGCGCGCATCGCCGCACGCGGCCCGACGTTCGCGTCAGAGCCGGAGGGCGCACCGTTTACGCGTGAGGAGGCCCGCAGGGACGGGTGAACAAGGGCGAAGAGCCGCGCAGAGATCGCCGGCGGTGCTTGCGCGACAGCCGCGGCCGCCGCGAGTTCGCTCGCGAACGGGCGCAGGAACCCGACCGCCGCGGACCGTCTGCCATCGGTGGCGGAGGAACGGGCGGCCTGGACAGTGGACCTGGTCGTCGACGACCACCACACCCCTGCGGTTCCCGACGAGCGCGATTCCGCCCATGGCGACGCGACGCAGCAAGTTGCAGCGGTGGGGCGCTCCGCAGGGCCTGAGCGAGGAGGCCGCGGCGCTACTCGGGGAAAAAAAACGCCGCGTCGCGTCGCCGTGGGCGGAACCGAGGTCTCCGCCAGACTCCGGTGGGCGCCTCGGGCCAGGTTCGGGCTGATGGACGCGTTCGGGCGCGAACGGAGCGGCCGCGGGCCGACACGCTCACGGAGAGCAACTGCGCAACAGCAGCGGCGCAGGCGGGGGAAGGGCACGTGCCTCTCCTGCTTCATGCGCTCCACGACGGCCTCCGCGGCGCGCGCCCGCGCCTCGGCGCCGCGCGCCTGCTCCCGCAGCCCGCTGTTCTCGCTCGCGAGCCTCTCAACCTTGGCCACCATCTCAAAGTTGGCCTCTATGTCCTTCAGGAGGTCCGTGGCCCTCTGCACGCCGCCCAGGTCGGACGCGGGCGCTGCCTGCGCGCCGCCGCCGTCCGCCGCCGCCAGCTCCGCTGCCTTGGCGGTCGTCGCGTTCGCCGACGCCTCCAGCTCGTCTGCCATCGCGAGGAGCGCCTGCGTGCCGTTGCGGTGCGGTGCGACGCGTCAGGCTTGTCGTGATGCGTCGATGCGGGGGAAGGAGCGGGCGAGAGGGCCGGGCAGCTGTGTGCGATGCGCGGGGTTGAACCAGTAGTGTGCCGGGGGACGCTGGGCTGGGGGCGCCCTGAGGCGCGCGACGTCGATTTCCGCACGCGGCCTGGTGTGTCGCTGATGTGACAATGCTGTGCGGGCAAGTGGCCGGCAGAACGGGCGCGCGCGGGGCGCTGCGGCGGCTGCGGAGGTCCTTCAGCACTGAAGACGGTCGAGGCCTCGATGAGCCGCGAGGAGGGGGGCTGGCGCGCCGTGAAGGCCATAGGCGGCATGTTTGTCCACGATATGGTTGCGACAGGAGGACGGAGGAGCTGGCCGGACCGCACCCGCTCCGCAAACGCGCGTGGAGTGGCCGCTGGAGACAAGGTCGGGGGAGGTGGGGTGAGGAGGGCACCGCACCTGCTCGAGGGCGCCAGGCTTGATGTCCTTCTCCTCTAGCACCTTACCAAGGCGCTCAGCGGCCGCAGCGGCCATCGCACCTCTCCTCTCCTCTCCTGAGCGCTCGGGCGGCCCCCCTGTGTGTGCACGCTCTGTCCGGCAGGCAGCGCGCTCGAAGGCTGGCGGCCATCCCCGCTCCCAGCCAGGGGGCTCGCAAACTGCCCCGGCCGCGCCTCGCGCGGCCCCGTCGACCCCCTCCCACCGCGGTCCGCGGCACCCTCCCCCCTGAGCAACAGCCCGTGCCTGCCGCAGCCGGGCTCAGCCTCCTGGCGGGCCCGTTCGCTTTTGAATCTCGGGCGATGAACGTCATCGCGACATTTCGACGACGAAGCGAGACATGGGGCGTACCAGCTCGCATTCCGCGCGCAGGGACGGTGCAGCGGGGCCCAGCGATGCCGCAGCCTCGCCGGCCCTGCCAACGCGGAGGTCGCCCAGGACTCCCAAGCCGCGCCAGCGGCTCGACCTCGACCCCTCGATCCCTGCGCCCCGATGGCTCGACGGTGCGGAGGCCCAGAGCGGCAGCCAGGCGCCAGGCCAGGTTTCGCCCGAGCGGGCCGTCCGCGGCGGCGACGGGGCCGGCCGCGCTGCGAAAGACATGAGGGACAGCGTTGAGGTGCATACGGGAACGTACGGATCTGTGTATCGGGCGCGCGTGCTCACGAATGGGACCTGGTTTAAGGGGCCCTGGGTCACGGAACTCGAGGTGGCGCACGTCCACGCGGCCAGGTACGTTTCTCACCCTCCCCTCACTGATGCGTGTGCTACCTTCTTGCCCGGTCCGCTTGCGAGGGAGCCGACCTGCCCCAGCACGCAGCCTTCACGTTCCCGTCCACTCTCAGCTCGCGGCCGCCACGCTGGGAAGGCGTATTCTGCTCCGTGCCGGACATGTTCGCGTCCTTGATGTCGATTTCGACGCAGAATCATCACTGTCTTGCGAGCCCAAGGCGTCGACGTTGTGGGCGTGGCCCCGTACAACAGCGTGCTTCCCTCGGATGTTCCCGACGCTTGGGCCGACGAGGCGCTTGAGCAGGGGCTGGACCAGGCACGTCCTCTCCACGATTGCGCAGCTGGCATCCCCGCGGGCTCGCCTGGCGCAGCTCGACGGATGGCGGAGGGTTGCTGCCCTGCCCCCAACGTCGTGACGTGTGTGCGTTTCCCGCAGGTCCTGAAAGACCTCTACCAGCAAGCCGGGGACCCCGTGACCGACCTGGACATCGGCGTCGTCGGTCGGGTTCACACCACCGTGGACCCGAGGGCGGCCCCGCACTTCGTGGGTGGGCGTGTATGAGTCCTATGCATCCTTGGATGCGCAGGGCGAGATCCGTAGGTGCTGGAACGCGGCGGTGAAGGAACGTGGGGGACGGTACGGAGTTGTCTCATTCCTCACGCAGCTGCAGGCCCTGGAGTTCCGTGAGCGGGTGAAAGTACTCCGAGATGGCAGGTGTGCACACCGACTGGCATGTCGCGACTCGGGTCCGTGCTGCGTTGCCGCCCTCGGTGCGTCCGGGAGCTGCGCCGCCGGCGCCCCGGTCGAGTCAGGATGCCGCACGCCACGTGTCGTGTGCGGCACGTGCCCAACACCCCCCTCGTGTGTCGATCGGATCCTCGCGCCCTTCGAGACACCTGCACCGCTCCTCCGCGCGCGCAGGGACGCGCGAGTCGCCACGTGCATCGCGCACGAGCCAGGTCAGCTGCCTGCGCGGAAATTTCCGCGCGCCGTCGCGATGCAGGGTTGCCGCAATGATCGCGCCGTTCTGTCACGTTCCCTGACGGCCCAATGCGCGCCCCGCCGGCCGAGCTCGCCGCAGATCCCTACAGCGCGGAGCAGGAGATCCCGCGCACGGGACCGGACAACTGGGTCACAGTCCCCGTGGGTGAGATGCTTTCGTTTGGGGCTGAGAGGGGGCTGCTCGTTGCGCTCTATCCGGTCGAGGAAGGCCACATCGACGCCTGCGACATCGACGCTATCGCCGAGTGGGTGAGGACCCCAGAGCTTGCTGCTCCCGGGCAAGCGCGCGCGGAGTGCCTGGGCAGGACGCTGCGCCGCCGCAACGCTTCACGCGTGGGGCGGCCGCGAGACGAGTTCTTGTCACGATGCGCCACCCTGTGCAATGGCGTCCCCAGAGACAGGCCGAACGCTTTCGCCGTGCGCGCTCGATTGCAGGGCCTCCCTGTCCCGGACCTCAACGGTGGGTTCAATGAAGGGCTTCGGTACGTCCGCGGTGAGGACGGTGAGTTGGACAAGGAACTCTCCGAGGACGAGGACGACGACACGGACATGGAACTCTCCGCGGACGAGGAGTACGACACGGACATGGAACTCTCCGCGGACGAGGAGGACGACACGGACATGGAACTCTCCGAGGATGCACCTGATCAAGGTGCGCATCTCCGCGCGCGCTGCGTTTGCTGCACTGACCCGCAGCGAACACGGGCGCCCCGTGCCGCCCGAGGACGCACGGCACCCACGCGAGTGCACTCACTGACACGTTCACATGACCGCCACGGTGCACGCAGTCGAGCAGGCCAGGCGCTACAGGGAGTGGATGGCCGCGCACGACGGCGCTCAGCCGGGCCAGGGGCGAGGCGCGCAGCCCGACGAGGTGCAGCTGGCGGTATGGATGTCGAATTTGAAGACGAGGTGCGCGTCGGGCGCGCCGTTGATGTCAGACGTCGTGGCGGTGCTGGACGAGGGGATGGAGCCGGGCTGGTGGCGGACGGATTCACGCGCCGATCATCAAGGTGCGCGTCTCCGCGCGCGCTGCGTTTGCTGCACTGACCCGCAGCGAACACGGGCGCCCCGTGCCGCCCGAGGACGCACGGCATGCGTGCTCTGATGTCGTGTCTGCTGGACGCGCAGCCCGCCGCTGCAGTTGAGCACCCACGCGAGTGCACTCACTGACACGTTCTGATGACCGCCACGGTGCACGCAGTCAAGCAGGCCAGGCGCTACAGGGAGTGGATGGCCGCGCACGACGGCGCTCAGCCGGGCTGGGGGCGAGGCGCGCAGCCCGACGAGCACCAATTGGCGCAGTGGATGACGCACTTCCGGACGCGCAGCTGCGCGGCGGGCACGCCGTGGATGTCAGACGTCGCGGCGGTGCTGGACGAGGGGATGGAGCCGGGCTGGTGGCGGGCTGCCCTGTGAGCCGCGTGCGAGCCTGCGACATGAGTCAGTGTGCGACAAAAAGTGGGGATGTTGCATCTTGAGGTCATTGGTTGAACCAATGAACCAGGTTCCGGGGTGTTCAAGCGGGAGGGGGTCATGGCGCCGCCTTCGAGGGTGGGACCGGTCGGCCCGGTCCGCGAGTACGTGTTTCGAGGCTCGCAGTTCGCGCAGCGGTGTGTCCCGGGGCCCTTCCTGGTTGCGCACTTGTGCGACCCGCTGAAGCGAAGGGGAATTCGCGAGGCGCCGAGGACATAGTCCAGCGCGTTCAGTCTAACGCGTTCCGTCTTTCTGGCGACGCCAGGGCGGGGTACAGTGCCGGCTGGCGAGCATCCTCTTGCTCGCGGACTGTGCTGTCGCCTCTGACGGCGTATCAGGGGCCATGTCCGCCAAGCGGCCGGCCGAGGACGCACGAGTAGTCGACGATGAGGGCGCTAAGCGCCCGAAAGTTGAGCCTCTCGTCGTCGTCGGTGCGCACCACCCGCTTGAAACCAGCGCCATCGCCTGCTCCTCCCCTGCCCCGCACAGCCGCTGCCTCACCGCGCATGCGACGGCCACGGCCTCTCTGATGTCGCGATCACAGCGCCCTCGCCGCTTCGTCCCTGCGCGGCCTTGCAGAGGAGGCCGAAGGACCTCCCCCCGAGGACATGATCCTGTCCGCGCTCGGCAAGATCAAGCGGCACATCGTGGAGCCGAAGAAGTTCCGCAAGGCCGCAGGCCTGCTCCTGCAGCTCGTCCGCGCCGACTCCATCGCCGCGCCCGAGCACGCGGACGCGCTCTTTTCAGCTCTTTCTGCCGCCGCAACCACCGCGGCCGTCAGGCACGCTGCCCGCGCCCCCGCCGCCCCTCGCGCCACGCGCACAACACGCAGCCCCGCGCGGTCCGCCGGGCAGCGGCCAGCGCGCGGCCGCAAGACGCGTGACCTCCCTCCTTCCGTCGTGATGGCGAAGCGTGTCGTGTCGTGGTGTGGGACGCGCCACGGCGCCTGAGGGCGGCGCCGTGCCTCGTCTCCGCGCAGCGGCTCAGCTCGGGCACCGCGGTGCTGTGCGTGCGCGCAGGGACCTGCCCATCACGGACGTTGCCGCGCGCCGCGACTTCAAGTGTGTGTTCGCGGACGCGGCGGCGCACGAGTGCGCGGGCGCGATGCGGCCGTGGCAGCGCGCCGTCCTGACGAAGGCGTGGGGCCCGCTGTACGAGCAGCGCCACGCGCTGTTCACGGACGACTCGTTCGCGTTCAACCGCGCCCTGACTCAGGTCAAGGCCGCGGTCGCGGAACTCCCCCCCGCGACCGCGGAGGACGACGCGGCGCTCGCGCGTGCCGTGGAGGCCCTTGCGAGCGAGGCGTGGCGGACTGGCGGCGGGGGCGCGCAGCCGGACAGCGGGGCGGCGGAGTGCGCGGGAGGGGAGCGCGAGCCGCCGCCGCCGCCGCCGCCGCCGGAGGACGAGCAGGAGGGTGCGAGCGGGGCGCAGGTCGTGCACCAGGCGGTGGGCGGGCAGTGGGTGTGGAGCGGGGCGGAGTGGCAGTGGGCGGCGGACGGCGCGGTGAGCGGGGCGCGGGCGCGCCCGGCGTGGATGTCGGAGGCGGTGGCGGAGGAGCTGCGGGCGCGCAAGGCGGCGGCGAAGGCGGAGGCGGCGCGGGCGGCGGAGGTTGCGGGCGCGGCGGACGAGGGGGGGGGACTGACGTCAGGGCAGATCCTGGCGCTGCGGAGGGAGTCGCTGCTGCTGTGCCTCGAGGCGATGAGGTGAGGCCGCGCGGGCGCGTCGCAGACGCACTGCATGGCACGCGCGCGCTGCTGGCGGGGGCTGCTGCGTCGATTGGGCGCGCGCCGCGAATCGCGAGTTGGAAGTCGCCGGAACAAGCGGCATCGCATCGCTCGTTCGGCGCCGTCGTCGAGCGCCGCGGTCTCCTCCTCGTCTCGCTGCAGGCCGATGTACAAGACGGCGTGGGCGCGGACGGGCATCGACCTCGCGGTCGCAGCGGCGCGCCAGCACGAGCAGAGGTTCTGTGCCTCGCAGCGGGAGCGCATCGACGCGCTGTGGAAGTTCACGCAGGCGGAGAAGGCGGCGCGGCGCAAGGCGGGCGGCAAGGCGGACAAGGGCGACCTGACGTCCTTTGAGCAGGCCCAGCGGGCGTGGGGCAGCTCGGACGCGGTGTCGCGGCGCGGCGCGGTGACGGGCGGCTCCACGGGCGGCACGGGGGGCAACTACAACTGGCTCGGCTGAGCCGCTGCCTGGCGCGCCCCGACGGGGCGCAGGATGACGCGCACGCGGGGAGGGCTGCGTTGTGGGCCGGCCGTGTGACAGCGGTTCAGAGCCCGAAGAGCTTCTTGGGGGTATTTTGCGTGATGGCCTCCCACTCCCCCCTCCGCAGGAGCGGCTGTCCCTCGATTTCGTCCCCCGCGGCAATCACCTGCCAGGCCTTCTGGTACCCGCACTTCTCCGACACCCACGGCCAGTCCGTGCCGAACAGGCACTTGTCGGGGCCGAAGCTGCACCGGGCGGCGCGAGAGCGACATGTGAGCCGCGGGGCACGGGCGCGGGCGGCGTGGCGGCGCGTCGTGCGTGCTTGCGCGCGTTTGGTCACCTGTCGAGGATGAGGCGGATCATCGGCCGCGTGTCCATGTAGGGGAAGTCCTGCGCCGACACCCGGAAGAACGCCGACAGCTTCACGTGCACCGCGGGCCGCTTGGCGAGCGACAGCAGCGACCTCCACTCCTGGCTGGAAGGGTCCCCGCAGGGGCAGAATCCGAAGTGGTCGATGATGACGCGCGTGTCCGGACAGTCCGCGATGAGCGCCTCGATCTCCGGCATGTGGCCCGTGAGCCCCTTGAACGGCATGTGTCCGACTGGCACGCCCAACTCCCCCGCCGCGCGGTACATGGCGCGCCCGACCTCGTTGTCCATCTTCTCGCCCTCGGGCCACAGGTACGGGTTGAAGCGGACCGCGCGGTAGCCCTCCTCCTGCGGGCGCCGGCGCGGGAAAACAACACGCCGCATGATGCAGCGGTGCGACAAACATTCGACGTTTCTCGAGTTCCGACGCGAGGGGCTCGCCCGACCACGGTCGACGCGGCGCGGCCGTCCACGCGGGCCGGGCGTGCGCTGCAGCGCACCTGCACGAGTCGCTTCACCTCCGCCGCACCGCCCCCGCCAGGGGTGGGATCCGCGAGCAGGCTGCCGACGAAGCGGTCCGGGTGCGCGCGTAGCATGTCCGTGACGTAGCTGTGGTCGTACAGGTGGTTGCCCGGCTGCACGACGAGCGCCTTGTCCACGCCCGCCGCGTCCATCTCCTGGATGAGAAGGTCGGCGTGGCCCGGCATCGGGGGCTCGTTCGCCTTCGCGGACGACCCGATCAGCGAGCCCTGCGGGGACAGCGAGGTTCTTTAGGTCGATGACATATGTCTGAGGTGGAACGCGGGTGCGCTCGAGGACGAGCGCGGTGCAGCGCGCCCGGTTTGTTGTTGCGACACTGTGCAGGCGTGGAGGCTTCGCGCGGCGCTGACGGTCGTCCATCGCGTCGCCGGACGCTCGGTATGGATGATGTCGATCGTAAGCGTTCCCTTTGGCGAATGTCTGCCCAGGTGTGTCGCGAACACACGCGGCAATGCGGTCCTCCCTGAGAACGGGCCGGCGATTGCGCGGGCTGCGCGGGAACCATCGCTCACCGCGTACGGGTACTTGTCGCTCTGTTCCTTGGGCGCCCACAGGTGCACTGCCGAGTCGACGACGGGCGCCCCGGACGCCGCCATCGCGATCACCCGCTCCGTGCTGCCCGCCTGCCTGCGCGACGCGCTGCCGGGGGAGCGCCTCGACGCGCGCGTCGCTGCCGCCCGAACACGCGTGCCGAGGGGCAGCCGGGCGATCATTCGACCGGCGCGTCCGCGACGTCGCCCGCCCTCACCAGCAAAGGTTGCACGCGGGAGCAGCACAAGCTGCGAACGATGCGGGCGGCGGAGGCGTCGCGCGACGTGAAGCGGCCACCGCACGCAAGCACTGCGCGCGCGACGCGCGGCCGCACGGCATCATCGGAGCCGCGGCGCGCGCCGGGAAATAACCCCCCCCCCCGGTCAGCCGAAGAAATGAATCACACCCCCCCCTCCGCATCGCCTCAGGCACGCGCCCGGCCGGCCTCACCGCCTCCGGAACACGAGCATGAAGTTGTTGGCCGGCATCTCGATCGGGCCCCGCTCCAGGTACAAGCCAGCACTCTCCATGGCGGCCCGCACGTCCGCGACGTCCCGGTACCCCCACGCCGGGTTCCGCGCCCTCAGGTTGCGGTCGAACTCGGCGTTCGAGGCGGTCGTGCACGCGCCGTCGACCTTGAACGGCCCGTACATGGCCACGAATCCCCCCGGGGACAAGACGGTCCCGGCGCCGTTCGCGAGGCCGACGGTGGCCTCCCAGGGCGCGATGTGCGTCATGTTGATCACGAGAACGCCCTCGAAGCCCGAGCGCGGCGCCGGCGCGCGCGGCCACAGGGCCGGCGCTGCGCTGGCGTCGAGGAGCTGCGGGGGCCGCATGTTGGGCGTGGTCTCGGCCCACGCGGCCACGCTCTCGAAGCGCTCGCCCGTGACGTCCGTGGGGAAGAACGTGGCGTGCGGAAGCTCCCGCGCGAAGTACGCCCCGTGCTGCCCTGCGCATCGGTCCGTCGTCACGAGGAGGGAGCCGCGAGAACGCGCGGGTGGGCCGACGATTCGCGCGAAAGGCGGTCGCGCACGGATGTTCAGCGGAGGGAGAAGCGTACCCGTGCCGCAGGCGAGCTCGAGGACGCAGCCGTTCGCGTCGCTGGCCTTGCCAAAGAGCCCACGCAGCACCTCGAGGATCGGTCCCTTGTTGCGCTCGGCCCACGGCGTCGTCTCGCGCTTCGACGCCCAGTTCTCGCCGTCCACCACCATCGATCTCGCGCGCGGCCGGCGCCGCAGCGCCGCGCCCGGTCTCGCAACGAGGCGCCCTGCTCCCCGGCTCAGCATCCGCGCAGCCCGCACCCCGCCGCCGCGTACGCCCTCGCCCGCCCACGACGCACGCCGCACTGCACCCACCGCGCCCCCGCGCCGCGCCCTCGACGCCACACACGACCCGCTGCGGATGGATCGCCAATCATCACACCCCCCACCCCCTGAGTCCGTCAGTCCAGCAGGCCGCGCCGCGCTTTCAGGACCCCCCGCACGTCCAGGACCTGCCGCTCCACTTGCCGGCACTTGTCCTGCATCCGCTCCAGCTCCGCGCGCAGGTCCGCCTTGGACGCGCGCGCCGCCTGTATCGCGCGCTCCGCAGCAGCCACGAGCTCCCGCCGCGTCGCCTCGCGCGCCCGCTCGACCTCCGTGAGCCGCGACTGGAACTCCTCCTCCAGCGCCCTGCACGCGGGCGGCCACGCGCCGGCGGTCGGCCGCGAGCACCGACACACGCCACGCACTGACTGCGACGGAATTCAAACGGCGAGGCAGCGCCGCGCGCGTCGGCCCCTGCATCGCTCCCTGGGCGCCGCAGGGCGGACGCCCTGCAGGCCACGGCCCCGGAGCGTGCGCGCACCTCTGCCGCTCCTCCAGGCCCTCGAGGCCGCGTGCCTGCCGCGCGGCCACCCTCCGCAGCGCCTGCCCCTCCCCGGCGAGCTCCTTCTCGAGCGCCGCGCGCAGGTCCCTCAGGTCGTCCCGCAGCGCCCCCGCCCACGCGTTGTACCCTGACTGCTGTTCCTCGAGCTGCGCGACGCGCTCGGCGAGCGCGGCAGCGCGACGGTCCGCCTTGGCCTGCTGCTCGCGCGCGGCCGTGAGCTCGTCCACCACGATGTCCGTGAGCATCCCCATCGCCTTGTGCATCATGCGCATCTGACGGGCCATGACCCTGCGTGGTTCCGCGGTGGTCGTGGTGGGCGGTGCTGTGGGCGGGGCGAGCATCGCCGGGTGGCCGAGGCGCGGGGAGGTGAATGCGCCGCGGTTCGGGGCGCATTGACGGGAGTGGCAGCGTGCGGGTGGTGGAGCACCTGACGGCCGCGTGGGACTCCTCCTCCATGCGAAGCGCATCGATGCTGCCCTTCTGGACCTCCCCGATCGCCGTGCGCAACTCCTGGAACTCGGGGTACTGCGCCAGGGGGTTGCGAGCGCGGTACAGCGAGGCTATGGTTGGCGCCGCGCTGGTGTGCCCGGGGTACGGCATCGCGTCGCCACGCGCCCCGCGGCGCCTCTATGGACGGAGCGTCCTTTGCGCCGGGACGGAGGTCCGTTGCGCGCCGACCTGCAAGCGGAGAGCGTGCTCATTGTGAGCGTGGCACTTCCGGGGCGTCCTCCCGGGCGGAACGAGGGAACGCAGAAGCCAACGGGGCAAGCAGCGTGTGCCCAGAGCCGTTGCGGATATCCTGCTGGCCCACCGGCGTCTTTCCCGGTCGCATCGAACGCACAGCGGTAGGACGGTGCACGCGCATGCAACGACCGCGGGCGCCCGTGCCGACACGTCCGTCTGCGGCGCGCTTGCGCGCAGGCGGAATCGCACATGCCGGCAATGCGCGAAAATATGGCGCAACCCACCTGCAAGCAAGGCGCTGGCGGGGCGCTGCGCTGAGCACTGGTGCGTTCGGCTCCCGCTGCGTGCCGCGACGAGGAGGTTCTCGCGTCGTCGAGCGCTCCGGGCCGCGATCTATCGCCTCCGCGACGCTGCGGCGGCCCGTTGTGTGCACTGCGCCGAGCGATCGGAGCTGGACACCCCCCGGGGCCCGCCGCAGCCGGCCGCGGACGTGGCGGTGAACTGCACGCTCGTGGACTGCACGGTCCAGCGGGGCATCTTCGCGAACCGCGCCAACATCGCGGTGCGCCGCACGGCCGGCCAGGAGACGGCTGTGGGCGTTGTATGACGCGAGCTAATACGCACCTCGGAACGACGCGTGGTGCGAAGTCGAGGATCATGGCGGCAGCCACGACCTCCCACGTCGTCTCCGGCGCTGGCCTGTCGGCCAGGCTGCGGGGCGCAACCAGGAGAGGCAGCACCACCTGCAGTTGAACCACGGCGTTCTCCACCACTCGCGGCTTCATCATGGTCAGAAGCTCCAGCCGGGAGAACGGGTGGCTGACCTCCGCCTCGTAGTCGAGCGGGGGGCCCACCGGGTCTTCGGGTTTGTCGGGCTCGGCCATGACCACGATGGCCGAAGCCTGCCTGAACGCCGTGGGCGGCGGCATCGGGTACGCCGCCAGCGGAGTGCCTCCCTGGGCGCCCAGTGCAGGCCAACGAGCGCGTCCTCCAAGTCGTCTGTGTCGTCCGAAGCCCCGCCGGACACCGGCGCTACCTCCCCCGTCGCGATGGACTACGGGGGAGGTAGCGCCGGTGTCAGGCGGGGCTTCGGACGACACAGACGACTTGGAGGACGCGCTCGTTGGCCTGCACCTGGCGGTGCTCGACACGCACGTGGGCGCCCAGGCAGGCACTCCGCTGGCGGCGTACCCGATGCCGCCGCCCACGGCGTTCAGGCAGCCGGTGGCCCGCGCGGCGGGAACGGCTCGTAGCGCAGGCTCGCCTGCGCTTCCGCGTTGTTGTGCACGTCCCGAACCACCCAGTCCGGGATCAGCTGCTGGAACTGCTGCGCCGTAGCACCGCCGGTGTCGCTGACGCGGAGACGGAGCCACCTGAAGAACCCGGCCGTATCAGCGAGCGCCGGGGTCCTCCGCGCGTGGTCCTCCATGGCCTGGAGGTTGTCCGCATTGGACCCCTGCTTCGCCCACTGCGTGCCGGCGAACTCCGTCATAAATCCCGCGTTCACGTTCAAGGCGGGCACGCCGTAAAACATGTAGCGCGTGGACCGAATCGTGCCGTCGCTGTACCGCCGGTCGCTGGGGAGAGACTTCGTCTCCAAGGCCTCGACGATGGCAGCGGCAGCGCAGTACAGCCTGTACTGGTGGCTGAAGTGCCTGCCGATCTCCATCTCGTCGAGGTTGATGTGGATGACACGGATGGGCAGGCCCCCGGACTTACGGTCCCATTTCTGGGCCAGATCGTCATCCCGAAACGCTTCTGGGAGATGTAAGTGCGTGTCGTTCTGATGTTCGTCCAGCCCGACCTGAACCGTCGCGTTCTCGCTGAACAGCACGAGGTCCTCGTGATACCCCTGCCGATCATGCACGCCGGCGGAATCGAGCGCGGCGATCTGATAAGTCGAGACCCTGTCGCGCAGGATCGTGAAGAGCAGGTGCAGCGCCGAAGTCTTGGGCCGCTTGTCGAACTCCTCGACGTCCCCGGTCGAGTGGAGGCGCTTCATCCACGGAGCGCCGTGCCCGACGCAGTAGTACCGCGTCACGACGCCGCGCGGCGTGCCGACAGGATGTCTGTACGCGGCGGACGCCTCGCAACCACGCTCGGAACACGCCCCGCGACCCGCGAGGTGCAATCCCAGCAGGTCAGGGGGCATCGCAGGCATCATGTTGCTCGCCAAACACCGCCTCGCGGCCAGTCTGCGGAGAAATCGGGGCGGGGCGGAGGTCCCGAGGGAAATCAGTTACGATGCACTCTAGGCAACGCGCAGCCCCCGCGAGACGCGCGAGGTCGCACAGCTCGCGCACGAAGCAGCCTCCGTGAGCCTCGGGCAGCGCTGGCTGCCCCTCGCCGCAGCGCATGGCCGCGTGGCACCGCGATTATTACAGCCACGCACGCACCTGTTGTTGTCAAAGCTTGCTTGCTGTCGACCTGGCGGCGGCGGTCCCCGGACGACGCAGGGGACAGCAGAAGAAGCTCTGAGGAGTACTACTGCTCGCCCGCGCCGCGGCCGGATCGCAGTCAGCGCCGCGCGGCCAGACCGGCGCGACCCACGACCAAGGTACAACTAGACATACGACGAGCGGCGGCTCTGCGTCGCCCCCGCGTCACGTGCTCGTCACGCCCGACGTCCGCGCCCACGCATCGCGCGCCCAGCGTCCTGGCGCATCGCCCCCGCCCCCGCAACGGCCCCTGCGGCGCTGTGATGCACGCTGTTGTCGCACCCGCGCACGACCGCGCCCCGGCCCCCGCGCAGCCCCAGAGCGCGCACCAGCCCGCCGCAGCACCAGACCAGCCCGCGCGCACGCCGCCCGCGCGCTGACACGCCCGCCCCGCGTCCCTCTCCCGCGTCACCCACCAGCGCCGCACCGCAGGTCGCTCCGCGTCTCCGCGCAGCGCCGCGCCGCGATACCGGCCGCCGCGCCCGACGTCCGCGCCCACGCATCGCGCGCCCAGCGTCCTGGCGCACCGCCCCCGCCCCCGCAACGGCCCCTGCGGCGCTGTGCACGATGCCGTCGTCGCACCCGCGCACGCCCGCGCCCCGGCCCCCGAGCAGCCCCAGAGCGCGCACCAGCCCGCCGCAGCACCAGATCAGCCCGTGCACGCCGCCCGCGCGCCCAGAACCGCCCCGCAGCCCCCGCCCCCGCGTCATCTCGCAGCGCTGCAGCAATGGTGACTTGCGGTCGCGCGCGCATGGCGATCGCATTGCACGCGGCCGCTTGTGCGGACCCTCGAGGCCCTCGGAGCCCGCGGGCCGCGCGCGACTCGCGTGCGTGGCGTCCCTGGCCTTGGTCCGGAGCGGTTGCAGCAGGCCCGTCGGGACTCCAATCCCGGGGGCGGTGCAGCACCGGTACGGTCGGGGATGCGCCCCAAGCGCTCGGACGCCCGCAGGCAGCAGTGCCATGCGAGCTGCAGGCCGCAGCCGCCCAGTGCGGTGCGCGACGAAGCATGCGGGGCGGCCTCACCTCCAGGTACTGCCTGCTGCCTCGTGCCGGCGCGGGCGGACGCGCGAGCTGCGGCAACGAGCCGCGCGCACTCATTCTCGCTCGTGGTGGCCCAGCGCCGCCGTTTCGCCCCTGGAGGAGAGTGCTCAGGTCGGGTTTGGGCAGGCGCAAAGGAGCACTAGCAGCGGGCGATGCCCCCGGCGTCAACACCCGCATGCGACGGGGCCCTCCTGGCGTGAATCTGCAGGCATCGTCCAGCGCTTGCGCAGCAGAGCACCACGGGACCTTCCCCAGCGCCCACCCACCAGCATTTCAAGCCGTGAGGAAGGGCGGCGGGTCCACGCGTCCACCGGGGCAAGAGGCCCGCGCAGCACTCGAACGCATGACACAGCTGCTGCAGGCCGGCCAAGAGACGCCCACGAGTCGCGTCATGGCGAGGAGTGACGGAAAGAAGCTCCTGGTGTGCAGTTTCGACGTCACAGCGCCGTGCGGGGGTCCGGCCGAACCAGCGCACAGCTGATGCAAATGCACAAGTCAGAACCACCTGAGCCGCGGGCGGACTGGCGCACAAGGGCGACAGTTCGCCCGCTGCGGACCATCTTGTGTCGTCCCTGAGAGCTGCGGCGTCGCTCGCGTTGCGCTTCTAGCTGGCACTGCCCCTGGGTTGAGCCCCCGAGCGCCCTACGTGTCGCTGGACTGCTTGTCGTTGCGCGCGCGGACGGTGCCGGGTCCAGACGTGTGTGCCGGAGGCTGGAAGAGTGGGCTGCCCCGCGCCGTCCCGCGCACGCGACAAACGACGAGGGAGCACGCTGCTGCGGCGCGCACTGATGCAGGCTGTCACGCGCACGCCAGCAATGTGGTGCGCGAGGCTCCTGCGGTGCGCCCGGCGCCGCCGCACTGCGGCACGGTGCTCTCGACCCCCCCGCTGAGGTCAGCAGACCTTCCGAAAGAAGGCGCGCGTCAGTCGGGCCACATGGTGGCGTGGTTGCGTGGGACCGCGCGCGGACGTCATTCCGGGCGTCCGCGGTGCTCGTCGGTGGTCGGGCTGCTGCGCCATTTCGCCAGGCGACGAATTCTCGCATCCTTTCGATGCTAAACATTTGCAATATGTGGGAAACAACAAATACTGTTTGAAACAAGCAGTAATTACAACTTTCTTCATGTCTTCATGGTGTAGTTGGTTATCACGTTCGCCTCACACGCGAAAGGTCTCCAGTTCGATCCTGGATGAAGACATCCTTATTGCGCTTCGTGGCGTGTCGCCGGAGCGTTTGCGCGTCGATCGACGGGTCGGGAGGCCGTCCAGGGCCAGCAGTGCCCCCTGCCGCTCCCGGGCGGATTTCCGCACGATATGCGCCCTGCTGCGCGCGTCACGCGCCTCCGACGAAGCATCGCAGTCGTTTTCCACGCCGCGGACGGGCGTAGGGCAGCCGTGGACGGCCCGGTCGACGGCTCCATGCACGCGCCACGAAACGCCGACCGCGAGCTTCGCGACGCGAACGGCAGCCGCGCCGGGAATCCCGCACAGCGCGCGGCGTATGTGGCCGACACCTGCAACGTCCGCTGACTGGCGGCGGAGTAGTCGTCGTTTTGTGTTGGTGATCGCGGCGCCGAAAGGGGCGGGGCGTGTGCGGCGCCGCGAGAGCAGAACCGAGTGCGCGGGGAGGCGACGAGACGGCCGTGCTACGGGCACGCTTTGGCGACCTTCGCGAACGCGCGACGGCAGCGCCGTCAACAACACACCACACGGGCGAGGCCGTTGCAGGCCCGTGCCGCGGCGCTGCGGCGCTGCGGAGATGCGGAGACGCGTTAGCGCGCAACAGCAGCCCGGTGCTGCGCGGGCCGCGCGCGCGTGACCCGCCCAGCCACCGCCAGGCTGACGGTGCGTGCGTGGTCGGGGCCCGACGCACAGTCAGTCCCGCCGGACGCGCGTGGGCCCTCCTCGGCCCGCGGACCCGCGACGAGCGCGCACTCTCGCTGCGCGCGTCTTTTGCAGCACGCGGGCGATTCGTTGCCTAGCATCTTCGCGCGAAGATTCCCCCCACCGCGGGCTGCACTCTCGGCGCAGCAACCCCCCTGTTTGGCGGTTCCGCGATTCCTCGCAGCTCGTGGGCATCGCATCCGCGAGAGCAGCGCGAGCCCCGACGATTCCGTGACCATGCGCCGCTGGAGCGCCGCCGCGTCCCGCTGGGCGGCGGTGGCCGTGGTGCTGGCTGTGGCGCTGGGGACCACGGCCCTCGCGCGCGCCGAGCGGGACCGCGACCCGCAGCCGTATGACCTCCGCAAGGACGTGACGAAGTACACCGAACGCGCCGAGGCCGACCGCGTCGTCGGACTGCCGGGGGCGCCCCAGGGCTCCCAGCAAGGTGCGGTTGGCAACCTCCTCGTCGCGCGCCCGGCCGCTGCCGCCCGCGCAGCCCGCGCGTCTCCTCCGCCACGCCGTTCGCTGTTCACGCGGGCCGCGTTCGTCGCGCTCCGAGACCGCAGCGCCCGCGGGGGGCATTCCTGCGCTTCCGCGTGCCTCGCCGCGCCAGCCGCGGCCCCGCCGTCCATTCGAATCGCTCCCCGGCGCCCGCAACCGCGAGTGCCGTCCGCCAGCCGCGACGCGCCCCGCCGTTCACCCGCCCTGCAGTGCTGTACTCGGGCTTTCTGGAAGTGGACCAGCAGGCGGGGCGAGAGCTCTTCTACGTCCTCGCGGAGGCCGACGAGGACGCGGAGAACAAGGTCCGCGGCCGCTCGCGCCCCCACCCCACCCCCCGCGTTCGCCTCGCCGCGCCAACGGGGGTCGTTCGACGCGCCACCGCCGACCGCCGCCGCCGCCGCGTCCTTGCCTGCAGCCGCTCGTGCTGTGGCTGAACGGCGGCCCGGGCTGCTCGTCCGTGGGCGGCGGCTTCATGACGGAGCTGGGCCCGTACTACCCGGTCCGGGACGACACGTGCCCCGCCGACGCGCCCACCTGCCCCATCAAGCTCGTGGCCAACGACAACTCCTGGACGCGCGAAGCCAACGTCATCTTCCTCGACTCCCCCGCCCTCGTCGGCTTCTCGAGGTCCGCGACCCCCCCCGCCACGCGCGACAGAGAAACCCCCACCGTCGCTCGCAGTCGCGCACCCCGCCCGCGCCGCCCCGCAGGTCCTCGCGGGCGTCCGACAACGTCGTCGGCGACGCGCGCACAGCGCGCGACGCCCTCCGCGCCCTCCTCGTCTTCACGCGCCGCTTCCCGGTCTACTCCAACCGCCCGTTCTACGTCGCGGGGGAGTCCTACGGTGGCCACTACGTCCCGAACCTGGCCGCCGCCGTCGTCGCGTGGAACAAGGGCGCGTACGAGCCCGTCCCGGCCATCCCCGGCGGCGGCTTCTCGATCCCGTTCGAGTGGCAGGACGAGTTTGGGGATGTGTCGTTCGACCTGCGCGGGGCGCTGATCGGGAACCCGTGGACGGTGCCGTTCGTCGAGACGGCGGCGACGCTGGTCAACCTGTGGTCGCGCGGCATCATCAGCGACGCGTCGCTCGTCGGCGCGCTCACGTCGTGCGACATGGCGACGACGGGGCCCGTGGGGGCCGAGGACGCGGGCGACGGCGGCGACGGCGGCGCGCAGGGCGCCGCCGCGGACATCCTCGCGGGCATGGGCCTGCCGCCGGACATCACGCAGGCGCTGCGCGTGGGGTGGCAGGGCGACGTCGTCCCCGCCGCGCAGTCCGGGGAGTGGACGCGGCGCGGCGAGGACGGCGACGCGGACTTCGAGGACGTCGACGACGCGGCCGCGAGCGAGGACAAGCGCGAGCCGCCCGCGCCCGCCGCCCGCGACGTGGGCTTCCGCCGCCACGCCGCCGTCGACCAGGGCCGCGTCGGGGGCGTGCCGAGCCGGCACGCGTTCCTCCGCGGCCTCGACATGATCCCCGCGGCCGGCGGCAAGCTCGTCAAGTGGGTCGGCGACCTCGTCCGCGTCCCCAAGGTCCGCCGCACGCGACGCACGGATGCCTCCCCCGCCGTCGCGCCCCCGTCCGACCGAACACCCCCCCCGCCCGCCCGCCCCCGCGCTCGCAGCCCTCGCGCCAGGTCCCCGCGATGACCTCGCACGCCGAGTGCCAGCACTACCTGGAGATGGTGCTGTCCGAGATGGGCCCCATCAACATCTACGACATCTACGTCGACGTGTGCCGGCGGGGCGCGGGCGCCGCGTCCGACACCGCGCGGCAGCTCGCGCGCGTCCTCGGCGACCACCCCGCCGGCGTCGCCCTCCGCGGGTCCCTCCGCGGCCGCTACGACCCCTGCGTCGACTCCGAGGCGTCGCACTTCCTCAACCAGGCCGACGTGCAGCGCGCGCTCCACGTCCCCGCGGGGCCCGGCGGCCAGGCGGTGCCCTGGACGATGTGCAACCCGTCGCTCGACTACTCCCGCGACGACCTGCTGACGTCGATGCTCCCCGTGTACCGCTGGCTCCTGAAGGAGGCGCCCAAGGTGAAGCTGTTCGTGTTCTCGGGGGACGTCGACGGGATCATCCCCGTGCTAGGTGAGGGACCGCCGAACTCTGCGCGGGTGCCGCGTGCGCGGTGCGAAGGGCCGCGATGCGACGCGGGGCCGCGTCTGTGCTTCTGCAGGGACGCGCGTGTGGGTGCGGCGGCTGATGCTCAAGCAGACGGAGTCGTGGGGGCCGTGGTACGACTCGAACGGCCAGGTCGGGGGGTACCGCGCCGGGTACGGGTCCCTGTGGTTCTCGACGGTGCGCAACGCGGGGCACATGGTGCCGTACACGCAGCCCGAGCGGAGCGTGGACCTGCTGCGGTGGGCCTTCGAGGAGGGGGCGAAGTAGGCCGCTGGGTCTGTGAGACGGAGACGCGAGCGCCGCACCGCTGTGTGCGCTGATGATGCACAGAAATCGGCGGCGTCATGCACTCGTGGCCCACGCAGCGTCACGCACTCACAGCGCGCTATCATCTATCACGTATTCGCGCCACCAACTCCTCCAAACAACAACCCAACCATCCACGCCCGTGCTCGCGCGTCCTGCCACACACTCTGCGTTCCACCGCCACACGCGCGCGCACCCCCGCGCAGCGCTCCGCGATCCGCCATCCACCCGCGCGCCTCGCCCCCCGCAGAGCACCCGCCAGACATGCAGCCTAGTCAGTCGTAACACCCCCTCACTCCTGCGAGGGGCGGTCCGGGTGGTTCGGCGCCCCCTGTCCGAGCTGCTCCGGGTCCCGCCGGTCCAGCCTGTTCTGCATCTCGTACCGCGCGAGGAACCCGCGCACCGCGGCCTGCACGTAGAGCGCCGCGTGGTAGTGCGCCACCGAGTACTTGCTCTCGTCCTTGGGCATCGTCCCGCGGAGCTGCGACGACACCGTCTGCTGCGCCTGCTGCGGCACGTCCGCGTACGCGACCAGGCTCGACAGCGCGTAGAGCGTCTCGTGGAAGTGCACCTTGCCGCCGCGGTTGGGGATGGACACGCGCATGAGCATCTGCTGGAGCTCCGCGGGCGAGATGTCGAGGCCCTTGGTGCCGAGCGGGGGCTCGAGCTGCGAGATGATCGCGGGGAGCTTGTTCGCGTCGATGTACATGGTGCCCGCGGGGTCGTGCACGGCCCACATGTCGGCGAAGATCTGCATGTCGGTGCCGGTGACGGGGAGGTCCTCGTCCTGGCTCGAGATCTGGTAGTTGTCCAAGATGATGGCGATGACCAGGTTGAGCATGACGAAGGCGCACAGGATGGAGAAGATGACGAAGTAGAGGATCGACACCGCGCGCCCGGGGCCGCAGCCCTCCCAAAAGTCCTCCGCCATCTCGAGGTCGGTGCCCGTGGACTGCTCGTACTGGAACATGGCCTCGGCGGTGACGTACTCGTCCTCCCTCCCGAGGCCCTGGATGTCGCGGATGAGGCGGTAGCAGGGCGCGACCGAGGAGGGCTGGCCCGCGGGCTCGATGGTGTCCCACATGATGCCGTTCCAGGACTCCCCCGTGGCCATGCGGAAGAGCGTGAGCATGGCGTTGGGGAAGTTCTTGAAGTTGGCGTGCCGCGAGAGGTCCTCGTTGTACGGGATGAGCCCGAAGAGCTGCATGCCCATGATGGCAAAGATGAAGAAGAACAGGAACACGACGGAGCCGACGTTCCAGAGCGCGGGGAGCGAGTACATGAGCGTCCGGAAGAGCATGCGCAGCCCGCGCGCCTTGGGGATGAGGCGCAGGATGCGGGCGACGCGGAAGACGCGCAGGAGGGACACCACGGGGATGTCCTGCTCGGCGGCGTTGTCGACGATGATGCCGACGACGGAGAGCAGCGCGACGATGAAGTCGAACAGGTTCCACGAGTCCGAGAAGTACTTCTTCGGGTAGAAGGCCATGATCTTGAGCGCGGCCTCGACGACGTAGATGGCGGTGAAGGTGATGTTGAGCACGTTGAGCGTCGTCTCCCACGGGTCGGCCATCTTGTAGTGCTCGGTCGCCATGAAGAGCACGTTGAGCAGGATGACCAGGATGATGGCCGGGTCGAACCGGTCGTGCGTGACGATGTCGAACGACACCTGCCGCAGGTAGTTGCTCTTCGGGCGCTGCTGCTTGCGCTGCGGCTTGATCAGCGCGAGCAGCTTCTGCACCGTCAGCCACTTGCTCTGCTCCTCCGTCAGGAACACCGACTTGCCCGCGGCCTTCTTCTTCATCTCGTTGAACTTGTCAATGGTGACACCGACGAACAGGTTGAGGATGAAGAACGCGCCGACGACCACGAAGAAGATGAAGAACAGCGCGTACCACGGCGACGCGTCGCGCTGGATCGCCTTGTCCTCGCCGCGCGAGTCGATGCCGTTGTACATCACGTCCAGCCACAGCTCGAGGCTGGCGATCTCGAAGAGGGTGAGGATCGCCGAGCCGATGTTGTTGAAGTTCTGCGGCGGCTCCGTCCAGAACGTCTCGATCGTGTACGGCTCGAACGGCAGCCCGAGCTGGTCGTGGTACCACGACGTCGTGATGTTGACCGGCTGCGGCGACTCGCACCACGCCCGGTCGATCTTCACGCCGAACGGCCGCACGACGTGGCTCTCGAGCTTGTCGCCCGTCGCCACGTCGATGCACCGGAAGAACGCCCCCTTGAAGAAGTTCACCCCCATGATGCCGAAGATGAGGAAGAACAGCAGGCACACGAGGAGGACGTTGCCCATCGCGGGGATGCACCCGAAGAGCGCGCCGACGACGACCTTCATGCCCTCGGCGCGCGAGGCCATGCGGATGGGCCGCAGCGCGCGCACCGTGCGCAGCGCGCGCAGACTGGAGAGCCCGCCCGACTCGTCGAGGAAGAGCAGCAGGATGCCGACGACGACGATGAAGAAGTCGAGGACGTTGAACGGCGAGCGCAGGTACGCGCACGGGTGCAGCGCGAACCCGAGGACCACCGTCTTGATGGCCGCCTCGATGGCAAACAGGATGACGAAGATCAGGTCGAGCGTGTCCAGCGCCTTCTTGAAGTCGCTCTTCGGGTCCAGCCCGGGCTCGTCGATCGCGAGCAGCAGCGACGACATCACGATCAGCACGATGATGGTGTACTCGAAGCGCTTGTCCTTGACCAGCGCGGCCATGGCCTGCCGGATGCGCGACGTGCCCGGGAAGATCCACAGCGCCGAGTGCTTGAACGCCATCGCCACCTGGTCCTCGTCCGAGATGGGCTCGCCGGACGCCGGGGCGGCGCCCGCCTCCGCCGCGGACGGCGCCTTGAGGTCCGGCTGCCGCCCGCGGCCGCCGCTCATCGAGAGCACCGCGTCGGGGTCCGCGGGCTCGCCCGCCGCGCGGCCGCCGTTGGCCTTCGACTCCGGAGGCACCTCCGACTCCCCGCGGCCCTTCTTCGTGCCCGAGAAGAAGGACCCCTTGTGCGACGCGTTGCGCCCCAGCTCCCCCACGCGAATCGACGAGGCGCGAACCATCGCCGGGTTCGCGAGCCCGTCGAGGATGGACGGTTTCTTGGTGATCTGCTTGGAGAGCGGCGCGGGGCCCGGCGACGGCGACCCGCCATCGCCGGCCACGCTCCCCGCCGCCGACCTCTCGCCCTGCCGCGCGCGCGCGTTCCCGCCGTTCAGGCTCTCCCGCGCGCCGTGCATCGACGCCGCGGCCCCCGTGGTCGCCGAGGACGCCCCCGACGACGCCCTGCGCTGCTTCTCCGCCCTCGGGGCCTGCAGCGCGCTCGACTTGGCGTCCGCGGTCGACGTGCTCGCCCGCCGCTTCCCGCTGCCCCCCTCGAGCCCCTTGCGCAGCGCCGCCTGCTCGTCCTCCTCCTGCTCCTCGGCGTACCCGGAGAAGTTGTCCAGCAGGATGGCCAGGAAGAGGTTGAGGATGATGTAGTTGCCGACGACGACGAGGAGCACGAAGTAGAACGCGGCGTACCACCCGACCTTGCGCATCCCGTCGTACATGACCTCGTTCCAGTTCTCGCCCGTCAGGATCTGGAAGATCGTCAGCACCGACCAGTAGATGTTGTCGAAGTTGTGCCGCGCGACCTCCGCGTCGCCCGTCTGCGCGAGGTACTCCGTGCTCACGCCGTCCGTGAACGCCTCGCAGTACGCGCGCCCGTTGTACGCCGACCCGGGCGCGTCGACGAAGGTCCCCACCTGCTCCGCCGCGCACTCCACGTAGCAGAAGCGGTGCCGCGGGCAGTTCTCCGCGAAGTTCCCGCCCGTCGTCATCCCGAGCGGGCACCGCGGGAGCGCGCCGTCGGCCTCGCAGTCCGTGAACTTGTACCCGAAGATCTGCATCCCCAGCAGCGCAAAGATGAAGATGCAGATGGACAGGATGAGGCTGAGGTACGACACCGAGGTGACGGAGCGGCTCATGGTCTCGATGAGCTTCTGGAGGTCGCGCCAGGACCGCGCGAGCTTGAACATGCGCATGATGCGGAAGGCGCGCAGCACCGAGAGGTTGCTGCCCTCCGAGCCCGCGGAGAGCGAGATGATGATCTCGAGGATCGACATGACGACGACGAACGCGTCGAACGCGTTCATCTTGACGCGGAAGTACCGCTTCACGCCCAGGCCCGTCAGCTTGATCGACATCTCGAGGAAGAAGTACCCCGTCAGGATGTAGTTGACGTAGTCCGACCCCTCGGCCTGCCAGTCGGGCATGCGGTAGTGCTCGGCGGCCATCACGAGCGTGTTGAGGATGATGAGCGCGTTCGTCGTCACGTCGAAGTACTTCCAGTACGACACCTTGAGGCAGAAGACGCGCGTCGCCGCCCACCACGGCGGGCCACGCGCGCCGACCTCCGCGATCATCGCGTCCGGGGGCTCGTCCGCCTGCTCGGGCTCGGGCTCCTTCTCCCCCTCATCCTCCTCCTCCGCCGGCACGTCGTCCGACTCCTTGGTGAAGTACATGTAGAGCACCGCCAGCGCCAGGTTGACCATGAAGAACGACCCGAACAGGATCATGAAGACGAAGTACACCCACACCCACCCCGACACCGCGTCCTGCGCGATGTACATCACGTCCGTCCAGCCCTCCATGGTGATGCACTGGAAGATGGTCAGCCACGCCGCCGCGATGTTGTCGAACGACGTGAGCCCGAAGTTCGGGTTCTCCTCGATGTTGCTGCAGTACAGCCCGTCGGGGAACTCGTCGTCCGGGCCGCGGCACACGTTCCCCGTGCCCTTCGCCCCCACGGACGTGCGCAGCGTCAGCGCGCCCCCGGAGGTGTCCCACGTCGTGCCCGACGCCAGCCGGCCCGTGCACACCTCCTCGAGCGAGTCCGGCACCGAGTACACCACGCCCCCGGTCTGCGGGTCGAACGACGGCTCCGTGCACCGCATCCGGAACGTCCCCACGAACGTCTGGATCCCCACGATGCCCAGGATGGCGAAGACGAAGGCGCAGAGGATGCCGACGTCGAGGAGCATGGGGAGCGACTTGATGAGCGTCTGCACGAGGACGCGCATGCCCGGGACCGTCGTGATCGTCCGGAGCGGCCGGAACACGCGGACCACGCGGATGGCCGTGTAGTTGCCAAACGAGGGCACGAACGCGAGCATCCCCAGGACGACGACGACGAAGTCGATCACGTTCCACGCGTCGCGCAGGTACGAGCCCTCCTCGACCACGAACGACATCGCGATGATCTTGATCACCATCTCCACCGCGAACCCGGACGTGAAGATGTACTCGGCAATGTTCACCACCTTGCCGACGTCCGTCCGCTCGAAGTCGGGCTCCTGCAGCGAGGGCGGGACGCGGCGCAGGTCGCGTCGGAGCTGGGCCGCTGCGGCGCGGCGCGGCGCGGGCGCGGGCGCGGGCACGGGCGCGGGTGCGGCGTGCGGCGGACCTGGGACGTCATGGCGAGGAAGATCGAGTTCGTGAGGATGAGGAGGAGCACGGCGTTGGAGAACCACTTGGAGTACATCGTGCGGATCGCCCACTTCCGGACGGGGTGCTTGAGCGAGAAGTAGTAGACGCTCTGCCGCGGGAGCGCGGAGCACATGTTGATGTACTCCTCCGGCTCCCCCTCGAGCTCCTGCCGCTTGAGGTCCCCCTCGTCCGCGGCCCCGAGGCCCATGCGGTGGTAGTCCGCGAGCGAGAAGGTCGCGGGCGGCCGCGAGGGCACCTCGTCGAGGGCCTGCTTGGCCTTGGATATCGTCGGCGCGAGCTCGAAGTTGTCGCGCTGGACGCCGGACTCCTTCGTGAACGGAGCAGAGGACACGCTGAAGCGGTCCTTGGTCGGCTCCGGCCGCAGCCGGCGCGGCGAGCTGTCATTGTCGGGCGCCGGGTCCTGCACCACCACGCGCCGGCGCGCCTGCGACGACTCCGTGGGCTGGGAGCCCTGTCCCTCCGTGTTGTCGCTGCTCATCGGCGGGTCTGCGGGAGGGAGCGGGAGGCACGGGCGCGGCGCGTTCAGCGCGCAACCGCTCCGGGTGCGTCTCGGCGACGGGGGCGGCACAAGAGCTCCCGGGAGGACTGCGGCGTCACTGCGAGGCACTGTGCCGGCGCGGGCCGCGCGCGGTGGAGCCAGGGGGCGCGTAGGCAAGCGCGGAGGACCCTGCTCACTGATGCGCTGGCCCTGCGGCGGGCTGCGCAGCCGCGGTGCGCGGGCCGCGCGCTCGCACGCGGGCGTGGGCTCGCGCGGGCATACACGTCGCTGCGCGAACGTCCCCGCGGGAGCTCACTCCGCGGCGCGCGCGCGGGGGTCGCGGGTGTTGCCTTGACCATGGGGGGCGTGGCAGCCGGGCAGCGGGCACCGCCATCCGCTCGGCGGGTGTGTGGCGGCGGTATGGCGGGCTCGTGCGGGCGGTGCCGGGCGCGCGGCGGGAGGGCAGCGAGCGTGGGGGGCGAGGTGCAGGGAGCTGACCTGCTTGCGAGCTCCCTTCCGGATGGACTTGTGACTTCATGGGCTCATCGACCCATCACGCAGCCGCCAGACGTCAAAGTTGGCCGGAAGATCGCGCAGCCAGCCTTCGAGCGGACCGCGACGCGGCCTGGACCGGACTGCTTTGCTCTACGAGCTTCGCTCGCCCCCTGCGCACGTTGAGTCCTGAACCGACGTACTTACGCGATGCAGCGCGAGACACAATGAATTCGTGCACATAGCGATCACCGGGCGGCAGCGGTACCGCCCCACGGCCCCCCCGCCCGCTGCACTGCCCACTCGGCCATGGCGAGCCCCACCGCGGCGCGACGGGAGCGCGTCTGGGCCCGCCACACGCGCGCCCCCTGCAGCGGGGCGGACTGGGCGCTCAATGCGCCTCTCGGGCCGCACCTCACGCGCTCCTGGACCCAGAGGCGGCCCGTTTCCGGCGTCAAATGCGCCGCGCTGAGTGCTTCGGCGCGTCCCAAGGGCCCCGCGGAGCCCGCGGGCGGTTTCCGGCGCTCGACGGCGCTGCTGTCTGACGGTCGGCCGCCGAGTCCTGTGCGCCTTGGCCCGCGCGAGGACGGCGGAGCGCACAGCTTCCAGGAACACCAACGACGCGCCCCGGTCTATCCTAGGCGGAACTACGGGCCCGCGAGTGTGTCAGCGCGCGGAGTGACCTCCCGCGGCCGCGCGGGGCGGCCACGACCGCCGGGCGCGACCGTGGGCGCGCGGCGGGGCCTGGGCTGTCGTCAGGTGAGCCCACCCACCCCGGTCCGCGGCAGCGCGCCGAGGGCACGAGACGGCGGCTGGACGGCAGGACCGGACGCAGCAGCGCCGTACCAGCACGCGCCGCAACACTCGACGTCCGACCGCGATTCGAGCGGTGCGCGCGCGGGTACGCCGAACCAGGCCAGTAGGTGCAGGAACGCCCGAGGTGCGCGTGAGTGCGCCCTGGAGGCGCCTTTCCAGCGCTGGTGCGTCTACCGGTAGCGCTGCCTGGCGAGAGGTCTGCGAGGGGGCAGCCTGCGCCAACTGCAGCGCGCGCCCTCTGGGCCAGCGCGCCAGGGGAGCTGGAGGGGGCGGCGAATGTCGGGGCGTGATGCGGCGAGCGCCGCGGCCGGATACCACCAGATCGTCATCATCGGTGAGTGCCAGAAAACGGCCCGGGACGGATCCGCCCGCTCGCGTGCGGCGCACGGGGGGCATCTCAGCGTGCTTCCTGCGTCGTTCGGCCGCCTCCCTGCGTTCTAATCGCGCAAAGCCACATCCGCAGCACGGCATCGATCTTTACATGCCCCGGGTCGCCGGAACCGCCCGGAAACGGCTCGTGCGCGTGCTGCGGGCTGCATTGCCTCGCGCCCGGCGGCCTGAGCCCGCCCGCCGCGGCCACGCTCCCTGCAGGCGCGGGGGTGTCCGGCCTGTACGCCGCGCGGCGCCTGAAGCAGCTCGGCATCCACGACGTCCTGATCGTCGAGGCGCACGGCCGCGCGGGCGGCCGCGTCCACGAGGAGCGCCACCTGGTGCCGTGGGCGCTGCCGATCGGCGCGGAGTTCGTGCACGGCTCGGAGCACAACATCGTCGTGGAGGACATGCTGAAGATGGGCGTCACGTTCGAGGAGCGCCAGTGGCCGGACTGGTTCTACGACCGCCGGGAACGCCGCCTGATGCCGCCAGCGGAGGTGGCCGAGGACGACGAGCTGCAGGAGGTGATGGAAATGTTCGACTCGATCGCCGAGGAGGAAGAGGTGCGCGCGCGCCGGGCTGTGCGGGCGGGTCGGCGCCGTCGCGCGCGAGGCGATGGCCTGCGGTGGCGGTGACGTGCGCGCGTGTGGCTGATGCCGGGCGTGTGCGCGCGGCGCGGTGTGTGTTTGCAGGACCCGCTGCCGGACATCACGGCGGAGGAGTGGCTGCGGAAGCGGGGCGCGTCCGCGAAGCAGATCGAGGCCGCGGACGCGATCTTCGCCAACGACTTTGGCACCGGTCTCGCGGGGTTGGGCGTGGCCGAGATGCTGATCGAGAACCGGCTCTGGCGGCACGGCCCGGCGTACCTCACGGTCAAGGGCTCCTTCTCGAGGTCCGCGGCCCCTCGCGCCCCGCCGCGGCCGCCCGCTGCCCGCGCAAATCGACCGCGCACGAACCCCCGCTCTTCCGCGCCGCGCCGTGCAGCGTCGTCCAGAACCTCGCGAAGGGCGCGCGCATCCGCCACAACTGGCCCGTCCAGCGCGTCTCCGTCGCCCCGGAGGGCGGCAGGGCCGCCGTGACGCTCTTCGGGCCCAACTCCGAGCGCCTGCGGTGCGACCGCGCCATCGTGACGGTCTCCGTCGCGGTCCTCGCGTCCGGCGCGATCCAGTTCGACCCCGCGCTGCCGGACACCAAGGTCGGCGCGGCGCGGCGGATCCGCCTGGGCAACGCCATCAAGCTCATACTTGCGTTCAAAGACAAGTTCTGGCCCGAGGAGATGTACGACGTGGTCTGCCCGGGGTGTTTCGTGCCGGAGATCTGGATGCTGGAGTACCCGCCGGAGCGGGACGCGGACGGGCGGCCCGTGCGGCCTGCGGCGGGGGGCACGTGCTGCGTCGTGTGCTTCATTGCGGGGGAGCGCGCGGACCAGGTGACGCAGATGCCGCCGGAGCTGGCCGCGAAGAAGTGCCTCGACCAGCTCGACGAGATGTTCCGGTGAGCCCCGCGCGCGGCGCCAGCGAGTCCTCGCGTGCATCTGCATCACACGAAAGTAATTATGAAAACACTATGATTGGTTTTCAGAGGCGCCTAGTTACGATCACTTTGGTTCCGCTCGAGCTCCGACCGGCTGTGCTCTCGCCGCCCTGCCGCTCCGCAGCACCAAGGAGGGCCACACGCCCGCGTCGGACGCGTGCGTCGACTGGCGGCTGTACGACTGGGCAAAAGACCCCTACGCGCTCGGGGCGTACACGTACCCGTGCTACGGCGCGCAGCCGGGCGACCGCGCCGCGCTGGCGGCCCCTGCGTGCGGCGGCCGCGTGCACTTCGCCGGGGAGGCCTCGCACCACGCCGTGAACCCGTGCATCCAGGCGGCGGCGGAGACGGGCGTGCGGGCCGCGGAGGAGGCGGCGAAGGCGGTGAGCGGGGAGGCGGTGGCGGGGCGGCCGGTGTCGCGGCTGTGATGCGGGGCGTGCGGGTGGTGTCAATTACTACTCTCTGTGTGGGGGTGTCTGGGCTGAGCCTGAGGTGGCGATGGGATGGGGCGGGCTGTTTGGGCGGCACGGTGGAGGTCGGTGGGGAGTTGCGCGCCGGAGCGCGTCGCGGGTGTAGGCGGCGGCCTGCTCGAGCGGCGGGTACGGTTTTCGTCGTCCTAGACACGCTTGGCGGGATGCAAGTTGCAGCGTCTGTGGTGCACGCCCGCGGACGGGCTCGGGCGGGGCTGTTGGAGGGCGTGAGAGCCGTGACCGGAGGGTGGGTGTACGGTCAGCGCGGCGGCCGGACAGATGAGACGCAGACGCCCCGCTCCGCTGCGGCAGGGCCGCATTGCGCACTCCCAGACCAGGGCCAAGGGTCGCTGGGGCCGTGCGCGGCATGTGCGTCGAGTTGGGTCGGTTGTGGGTGCTGGGCGGACGGTGCACATGTACGACAACGCGGTGGTGCGATGACGTGGCCCCTGGCGTTCCCCGCGGCTCCTGTGCGGGGCCAGGCGCGCACGGCGAGTGGTTTGGTGCGAACGCCTCTCGCGCGGCTAACGGGGCGCGTTGGGGGGTGTGGGGGCGGAGTGTGGGGCGCACACATACAGGGGACTGCGACGCGGGCGGCGCTCGGGCCAGTGGGGGTCGTTCCTTCACCGATGGCGGCGGAGGGTCGCATCAGCACGGGGCAGGTGTGGCGCACGGTGAGCGGGCGGGCGGGCGGGGGGGGGCGCGACGGCGGGGCCGAGCGGCGGGAGCGCAGCGACAGGCCGCGAAGCAGGGAGGACCGCCCAGTGGATGCGCAGCGTGGTACAGGGAGGGTTGTTGCGGGGGGTGTCACCATGGGTGGGCGGGGCGGCGGGCGGCGGGCGAAGCAGGAGCGCGAGGGTGGCCGGGCGCTGCGGCAGCATCCGCGGGACCGGCACGGGAGCGATGAGGGGCTGCGGGAGGCCAAGCGCATCACCAGTGACATTGCGATCGCTGCGGGGCAGGGGACAACTGTGGAGGCGGTGAGGGGCCTGCTGGAGGTGTACCGGCGGGACGGGGCGCGCTTCAGCGCCATCAACATATCGACGTGGGTGCACAGGATGGGGAAGACGCTGTCGAGGGGGAGTCGGAGAGGGTTGAGGACGACAGAGGTGAAGGAGGCGGTGGGGGTGGCCGGGGAGCTGGCGCGCGAGCTGGACAAGCGCGCAGCGGAGGCGATGCCGCAGGCGCTGGCGAACACGGTGTGGGGCGTGGCGAAGCTCGCCGAGGCTGGGGCGGCAGAGGCGCTGTGTGGGGCGGCGGGTGTGGCGGAGGCGGTGGGGGCGCTGGCGGCGGCGCTGGGCGAGCGGGCCGGCGAGGCGAAGCCGCAGGAGCTGGCGAACACGGTGTGGGGCGTGGCGAAGCCGCCGAGGCTGGGGCGGGGCAGGTGCTGTGTGGGGCAGAGGGTGTGGCGGAGGCGGTGGGGTCGCTGGCGGCGGCGCTGGGCGAGCGGACCGGCGAGGCCGACACGCAGCATCTGGCGAACACGGTATGGGGCGTGGCGAAGCTCGCCGACACTCACGACAGGGCGGCAGAGGTGCTGTGTGGGGAGGCGGGTGTGGTGGAGGCGGTGGGGTCGCTGGCGGGGGCGCTGTGCGAGCGGGCCGGCGAGGCGACGCCGCAGGCGCTGGCGATGACGGTGTGGGGCGTGGCGAAGCTGCCGAGGCTGGGGCGGGGAGGCGCTGGGGCAGGAGGCGTGGTGGCGGAGGCGGTGGGGGCGCTGGCGGCGGCGCTGGGCGAGCGGGCGGTCGAGGCGACGCGCGCAGGATGTGGCGAACACGGTATGGGGCGTGGCGAAGCTCGCCGACGCTGACCGCAGGGCGGTGAGGCGCTGTGTGGGGCAGGAGGCGTGCGGTGGAGGCGGTGGGGGCGCTGGCGGCGGCGCTGGGCGCGCGGGCCGGCGAGGCCGACACGCAGGCGCTGGCGAACACGGTATGGGGGCGTGGCGAAGCCGCCGACGCCCACGACAGGGCGGCGTGGAGGAGCTGTGTGGGGCGGCGGGTGTGGTGGAGGCGGTGGGGTCGCTGGCGGCGGCGCTGGGCAAGCGGACCGGCGAGGCTCACGCGCAGGATGTGGCGAACACGGTATGGGGCGTGGCGAAGCTCGCCGACGCCCACGACAGGGCGGCGGAGGCGCTGTGTGGGGCAGGAGGCGTGGTGGAGGCGGTGGGGGCGCTGGCGGCGGCGCTGGGCGAGCGAACGGGCGAGGCTGACACACAGCATCTGGCGAACACGGTGTACGGCGTGGCGAAGCTCGCCGACAAGAACCAGAGGGCAGCGGAGGCACTTTGTTGGGAGGCGGGCGTGGTGGAGGCGGTGGGGGCGCTGGCGGCGGCGCTGGGCGAGCGGGCGGGCGAGGCTGACACACAGCATCTGGCGAACACGGTATGGGGCGTGGCGAAGCTCGCCGACGTCGACGTCAGGGCGGCGGAGGAGCTGTGTGGGGGGCGGTGCGGTGGGAGGCGGTGGGGTCGCTGGCGGCGGCGCTGGGCGAGCGGGCGGGCGAGGCGAAGCCGCAGGAGCTGGCGAACACGGTATGGGGCGTGACGAAGCTCGCCGACAAGAACCAGAGGGCGGCGGAGGCGCTGTGTGGGGCAGGGGGTGTGGTGGAGGCGGTGGGGGCGCTGGCGGCGGCGCTAACAGGGCACGCGCTGGAGGCAAGCAGGTGGGAGCTGAAGGACACAATGTTGGGCGTAGCGACCTTGGCCGACGTCGCCGACGGGGCTGCGGAGGTCCTGAGCGAGCAGAAGGATGCGGTGGGGCGCGCTGGCAGCGCAGCTGGGCAGGCGCCCGGCGCAGGTGAGCACGCAGCATCTGGCGATGACGGTGTGGTGCGTCGGGAAGCTGGCGGACGTACATCCGAGGGCATCAGAGGAGCATGCGCCGTACGGGGTTGAGGGGTTGGTGGACGCAGTGGGGGCGATGGTGATGGAGGTGTGCGAGCGGGCCGAGGAGGCGGACTCGGAGCATCTGGGGCGCACGGCGTGGGGCGTGGCGAGGCTCGCAGGCACGGACCGCGGGGCGGCGGAGGTGCTGTGCGGGGAGGGGGGTGCGGCGGAGGCGTTGGCGACGGAGCTGCGCGAGCTTGCCGCGGAGGCGGGCACGCCGCAGCATGCGAACGCGTTGCGGAAGCTGGCAGATACTCTCCGCCCGCCGTCTGCGCGTTGACCACGCAGAGGAGGGGGCCGAGCGTGACACAGTGCGCGAGGTGTACGCGCACGACTTTGTGAAATGCTGGCGAGCTGCGGCCGCTCTGATGTGCGAGGATGAGTCCAGTGCTGCCCGGCGACTCTGGCCACCCGCACCGACCCGATCGCAACGCTGACAGCACGAGCAGCAAAGCAACGGTTGCCGCGATGGCAATGGTCGTGCTGACGGACGGAGGGGGAGGGTGTCGCGATGATGCAGCTCTGCGTGGACCTCTGAGGTGTCGCGCTCGACTTGCCCGAGCACATCATCTCGACAGATCGCCACCGTATTCGTTGACCCAGGAAAGAGGGGTTGGGACAGGCCAGTCGACTACATATGTCGGAAACCAGGGTACCAGTGCGGCTTGAGGCCGGTGGATGTCCGGCACGTGACGCCCCTATTGAGACTCGATGGCGCGAGTACAAGTTGCGAGGGAGCGCTCGTTCGCGAGGTTGAGAGGGCGCTGCATCGATGCCGCAGCAGCGGGGCCAGCGGCGCGGGAGGCGGTGGCGGGGCGGCCGGTGTCGCGGCTGTGATGCGGGACGTGCGGGTGCTGTCAGGGGGGCCCCGGGGGGTTTCGTGGGGGTGTCTGGGTTGAGCCTGAGGTGGCGATGGGACGGGGCGGGCTGTTTGGGTGGCACGGTGGCGGTCGGTGGGGAGTTGCGCGCCGGAGCGCGTCGCGGGTGTAGGCGGCCTGCTCGAGCGGCGGGTACGGTTCGCGTCGTCCTAGACACGCGTGGCGGGATGCAGGTTGCAGCGTCTGCGGTGCACGCCCGCGGACGGGCTCGGGCGGGGCTGTTGGAGGGCGTGAGAGCCGTGGCCGGAGGGTGGATGTACGGTGAGCGCGACGGCCGGACAGATGAGACGCAGACGCCTCGCTCCGCTGCGGCAGGGCCGCATTGCGCACCCTCAGACCAGGGTCAAGGGTCGCTGGGGCCGTGCGCGGTGTGGGCGTCGAGTTGGGTCGGTTGTGGGTGCTGGGCGGACGGTGCACATGTACGACATCGCGGCCGTGCGATGACGTGGCGCCTGACGTCCCCCGCGGCTCCTGTGCGGGGCCAGGCGCGCACGGCGAGTGGTTTGGTGCGAACGCCTCTTGCGCGGCTGACGGGGCGGGTTGGGGGGTGTGGGGGCGGCGTGTGGGGCGCACACATGCAGGGGACTGCGATGCGTGCGGCGCTCGGGTCAGTGGGGGTCGTTCCTTCACCGATGGTGGCGGAGGGTCGCATCAGCACGGGGCAGGTGTGGCGCACGGTGAGCGGGCGGGCGGGCGGGGGGGGGCGCGACGGCGGGGCCGAGCGGCGGGAGCGCAGCGACAGGCCGCGAAGCAGGGAGGACCGCCCAGTGGATGCGCAGCGTGGTACAGGGAGGGTTGTTGCGGGGGGTGTCACCATGGGTGAGCGGGGCGGCGGGCGAGGGGCGAAGCAGGAGCGCGAGGGTGGCCGGGCGCTGCGGCAGCATCCGCGGGACCGGCACGGGAGCGATGAGGGGCTGCGGGAGGCCAAGCGCATCACCAGTGACATTACGATGGCTGTGGGGCAGGGGACAACTGCGGAGGCGGTGAGGGGCCTGCTGGAGGTGTACCGGCGGGACGGGGCGCGCTTCGACGCCATCAACATATCGACGTGGGTGCACAGGATGGCGAAGACGCTGTCGAGGGGGAGTCGGAGAGGGTTGAGGACGACAGAGGTGAAGGAGGCGGTGGGGGTGGCCGGGGAGCTGGCGCGCGAGCTGGACAAGCGCGCAGCGGAGGCGATGCCGCAGGCGCTGGCG